AAAAAAAATGAAGTTAGTATATCCTAAAAAAGAAAATGGAGTTAGCATTCTAAAAAAGAAAATGAAGTTAGTATTCTATAAAAAGAAAATGGAGTTAATATTCTAAAAAAGAAAATGGAGTTAGTATATCCTAAAAAAGAAAATGGAGTTAGCATTCTAAAAAAGAAAATGGAGTTAGCATTCTAAAAAAGAAAATGGAGTTAGCATTCTAAAAAAGAAAATGGAGTTAGTATTCTAAAAAAGAAAATGGAGTTAGTATTCTAAAAAAGAAAATGGAGTTAATATCCTAAAAAAGAGAAAAGAGGTGTTAGTTGAAGAAGTTAGCCACGATCGAAGTTTGTGCCATCCATCTTCATAGCTTCAGCATCCTTAAACTACGCTTGTTTTACTTTATATTAACAAGGTTTATATGCATATGTCCAGTTGCCTGGATCGTTTGTCTACATTTTGACTACCCTGAAAAAAAGGTGCGTTACTAACTACCCTGAAATGGAAAGTCCTAGTTATTTCTAGTTACATTTTTGTTTTAAGAAGCCATATCCTATAAAATTATAGCTTTCTTTTTTAACTACAGTATTTCTATTAACAGCAATTTTTCATTTACAAAAACCTTTATCACTTACTTGCAATAGATTCTTTTTTACTTACCACAAAATATTTTGCTATATGGATTTTTAACATTTTTTTTCATTTTTCCTCCTTTTTTCTCTTATGTCATAAAAGCTTTGGTATATCCATCCATTCCTCCTTTAAAAAACACTATCTCATCACAACTTAAATCAAGGCAAGCTTCTATTTACTTTATATTTACAACGTTTATGTAACTGTCCTGGCTTATGTTTTATATTCCAATCTTATTTTATATATTTACAATTGTTCATGAAGTTAGCCATATTTCTTATAATCCGAAAGACTTTTATTCTTGTATTTACTTTATATTTACAATGTTCATGAAGTTAGCAATATTTTCTAGACTACGAAATTCATGGGGCCCAACCCTTCATGCCTATGTATGATAGCCGCGCTTATTGTACGTTTGACTATATTTATTATAGTCCGAAAGAGATTTATTCTTGTATTTACTTTATATTTACAATGGTCGTGAAATTAGCAATATTTCTTACAGTCCGAAATTCATGGGGCCCAACCCTTCATGCCTATATATATTAATATGATAGCTGCGTATTGTACGTTTGACTATATTTCTTATAGTCCGAAAGAAACTTATTCTTGTATTTACTTTATATTTACAAATGAATGTTCATGAAGTTAGTAATATTTCTTACAGTCCGAAATTCATGGGGCCCAACCCTTCATGCCTATATATAACCGCTCATTGACCGAACCGCTTATTGACCGAAGTCACCGGTACCGAACTGCGTTTGACCGCCGCTTATCGACCGAACTGCGTTTGACCGAACTAATTCCGCTTTTAAGAATTCCTAAGGGGCCCCCACAAATACAAATAAACACAAACTTTGAAAGCCAGGTCATCTACTTCGTAGTCGCACTGTAATCATCGTTTTTTTTTGCATAGCGTTGCTGTTGGTCGGCGTTGCTGTTGGTCGTCGTTTCTGCTGTTCGTCGTCGTGCGGTCGTCGTTCACATATCGCTTTTCGTAGATAATATTTTATCCTCGCGTTTTTTGCATAACATTGCGGTTGGTCGTAGGCAATACCCTCGTTCTTTGCATAGCATAGCGATGCTGTTTGCATGGTCATCCTTTTGTACGCTGTTCGGTTGTCGTTTTTATATTTAGGATCCACCGTCTTTCTCAATTAAACGTCGTCTCTTTGACTCAGACGAACTCAGACGACACTCTACGAGTCGCTTCGGACCTCGTGTTTTAAAACTGTTCGATTATAAAGTCAGTTTATATCCTTTATCAAATTCGATTGTAAGTCAAATTACGTTGTATCGACTGGGTATAATTGCATCCATGTTTTTGGAATTGGTCTGCTCAATGGTCTGGTTTGGCTAAGATGAAGTCACAAAAAGTTCACGTTTGATGCATGTGCAAACTGCAAACCTGCAAAAGAATAGGAAAATAGCTATATTTAGCTCTTAAATCAAATTCTCCTTTCTACATTCTTTTATACTTCGCAGGCTGGTCAGAACTTAGTATAATGATGTAAACAGGGGTTTGGTCTGCCCCATGAAATTACCCATGCATGCATTTTTTATTATTTGGAACATTTTACAATCCATTTCAATCCTGGGTAATTTCAGAAAGTCCGTTATCCCTTTCTAGTATTTCGTATTTAGGTGTTGCCAGTTTATGCTTTTACGTCCTTATTTTTCACTTTAATCTAACCCCAGGACATTTTTTATCTTTTTAACTAAAGCGATAAGGGTCGAAATTTGTAAAACATGCAGACCGGCCTTTTTCATTTTGATAGTGCAACAATCTTGCCGGCCAAAATTGCCGTACATATAGTCCTGTCTCGTGTTTTAGCAGATGGGTTTTGACTAGTGCTTGTTTTATTAATATACGCAAAATCTGGCCTGAATCTGGTTCGAAAGCGAACATTAGGGAGCGGCATAGCTTAATTTAGTTCTCAAGTTGGATCAAACCATCAACAACTTTAAATATACTTACATCAGTAAAATAGCGGCGACGTCCTTTGTTGAGATTCCAGGAGGCGATCTCGAATGGTTGTTTAATTTTTAAGCACATCCTTATTTTGAAAGTCACCTTAACAAGCAGCTTCGCTGTCAGATTTCAAACGAGCAATCGTCTATTAAGAGAAAACGTAAATTGAATATAAAGAATACAGGAAAAATACAGGTGCGAATAAGGATCTAACTACTATAAAACATCTATAACAGACCTAACAAAGATGAAATACTCACCAGTTCATTTGAAGATTTCCCTGGAGAAGAGAGATAGCAGTTCTCAAACCCATCACAGCGCGCATTTCAAAAACGCCTGTTCCTTGCAATGTACTCTTGTCAAGTGAATAAACTTGACTTTGGGAATTAGAATTCAGTATGCATGTATGCATGGAGGGTCTGGAATGTGTGCATTTCATTGGCTAAGCAGCATCATCGGTGAAAATGAACGCAGGTGGTTGGTTGGATATTTAAAATTGACCAATCGACGGAGTGAAGTCAACTCGATCGAGGCTAACGATATTAGCTATTGTCAAAATGAATAAACAACAACTAAGAAATTAGAGCGCATTTAAAACAATAGGTAATGAGAGATCTGAAGAGATTATGATAGATTATCTATTGTTCTTATTCTATTATCTATTGTTCTCATTCGGCTCATAATTGAAGCACGATGCTTAAAAAAGGCTTACTCATGCCAATTGCATACAATCTAAAAAGATTATAAACAGCATAGAATAGTCCGTTACAATCATACTAACGTTATATTTCATCCCTGTTTAGACAATCGATTGATTGGTACACCACAGATAAAATTGCTACCCATACCCAATTTTATCCATGGTCAGGCTACCAATACGAAAGCCGAGCATGGATTTTACCTACGCCGCATCAATAAATTGAGTGTAGTGTAAACAGATGTAAATTAAGTAGCTAATTCAATGACCACTTGGCAAATATGATAAAATTTGGCAAATACAGGGTGTCTCAAAAAAAACGCAACCACTTAAATATGCAGGAACATTAATACAGCTCTAAAGCGCAATAGATAAGCACCTCTGGGAATTGAAAATGGCTCTTAATCCTTCATTTAAAATGCTAAAAGTAATTTTAGCTGAACTATGGTGCAAACCCGAACAATATTAATATTCTTGCATATTTAAGTGGTTGCGTTTTTTTTGAGATACCCTGTAAAATAAAATTTGCCAAAATGTTTTGATCAAATTCAATTCCGATTATCGTTGACATATAGAATATGACTAAGAGTGTCTGACTCGTCCCCAGTCGTTTACCTAAGGCGCGGTTGATGATGGGGCGCGATCCTTTGCGTCATTAATTTTCATCCCTTTGTTACGGACTGTGGAAGAGTCAGTGAGAGTGTCATCTACAGCACAAGAGTAGAACAAATATTTCGCAAATACATGTACGCTTACGAACCTATTTTTCCTTGGAATTTTTTTGTGTTCAAATGTATTTTCATTAAGGAATGTAAATTCACTATTTGAACCAAATTTTGAAATGTCGACAAATTGACAAAAATTACTATCTTTCCTTTGGTTCCCCTGTTATCAATTTTACTGAATTTTTTTTCATATAAAGTAAAATATTAAATGAATTGATAAAGTCCTACTCAACAATTGGCAACGTGAGACAAGTTTCAAATTAACTCAAAATTATTCCAAAATTTTAAATTGCATTATTTCATGAAAACAGTGCATTTAAATAGGATAAAATCATTTAAAATCTGGATAAAGTCGGTTTTGTGCGACAAAAAGAAAAGTCGTCATTTTCCTTTCACAGCAAAAATTCCAAAGGATCTTAAAAAAAATTAGATCGAAGGTCCTGATTTCAAATCCTTTGATCTCCTGGTTAACCGTAATGATTTTAGGTCGAGTAAATCATTTGACCACGACATATTAGAGATCATTACTATATAATAAACGAACTAAACTATGAAATTAATTTGGAAAGTCTCGCAGTCAGGCGGTTGTCTGACCTGCAACGTTGAGACGACTAAATTCCTAAAGATAGGTTCATCCCATCACGTCCTGAACATCACAAGTCAAGGAGAGAGATTTGTGAGAAAATCGGAAATCTTTGCAGCTTTGCACCCCCTTCCTAAACTTAACTTTCGCCAGTGTCAAGGTTGACCCAGCTTTAGTGAATTAGTGGGAAAGAAAGCTGGGAAAGAAGCATTTTTCATAATTTTCAACTCACCATGATGAGAACTTGCGTGAACCGGTGAACGCACGTTTGTCAATCACTGGCATATACTATCTAGTACAGGTCGGTGGACTGAGACACTTATTGAATAAAGAAGAAACCGGAGTTTGACACATAAAGATGAGGTGTAAATGTTAAAAAAAAGATAATTTAACAAATCACAATACTTCATAACAACTACATGTTATAATACAAACAACAATTATTAAGTTCAATTTAGTTTGTCTATATTAAGATACAAGTTTTGAAGAAGTGAAGGGATTAAAACCATCTGTCATATAAACCCTTAGAGCTTTTTAAATGCTAAAATGAATGATACACCGATTCCCTAGTCTCTAGAACCCCAAGATTTGTAGATGATCCCACAATTCATATGGGGAAAAACAATTGATTTAGAAAAAAATATAGCAAAAATGCTAACATGAAAATGGTTTAGAGTATTGAAGAGTAAACATGTCAGGCAACGTACATCAATTATGTATTTCCCTGACAGAATTTCTGATTTCCCTGACAGAACTTCAGACTTCTGCATGTTACTCTAATACTCAGTGCTGTTAACAAACAAAATAACTAAAAGTGCTTTAAATTTCTTTTAACAAAAGAAAAACACTTTAAAAACTTTTTAGCCCCCTAAAAATAGACAAACTTAATTATGCTTAACCCTCTTTGTCCATAATAATTTCAATGTACTAATTATGTTGAGAAAAAGTTTTCTAAAACTGTTCTTTAGACTACAAACTAGTTTCTTTCAAACATTCCCAGTTTAGATTTTCCAAGCATTTCTCATCATCAAGTCGAAGTAGACATCCTCATCTATTGATGCACTAACACCACTGTAATAATTCAGAAATTCTTCACTGGTCACCTGGAATAAGATTTTAAAATGCATGTTATATCACTTATATATATATATATATAAATATATATATATATATATATATATATATAATATATATATTATATATATATATATTTTTTTTTTTTTAAACCTGCATTGTTAAATGAACTATTTTCATATATTAATAAACAAGTACATCATAAAGTATACAAAAACTGGTAGAAATTTAAAGAATTACCTTTCCATCCTTTTCTTCAGGTGCTTCAAAAGTGCTTAGGAAATGTTTAAAACATTCTGCTTCAGTCCACTCTCCATTGATAAACTTTGGATGTTTTCTGGCATTGTACACACTGCAATTTGATATGAAATAAAGGAATATCAGCCTAAGACAATTCAAGTTGATAAGTTCACTGCAACTACTTGTAGGTATATAATCAATTGCAATTATCACTACTCTGGTCAACACTTGCAGTATAGTGTCTTCATCAGGGGTAATCATGAAAATTCAGAGTAAACCTGTCTATGAACTTACCCCTTTAGGTCGTCAACAGTAATTACTCCATCTCCAGTCTTATCTAATTTCGCAAATGCTTGCTTTACTATATTCAACCGGCTTTCACTCATTGGAGGCTAAATTAAAAGTATCATATCAGAGTTAGTGTCACAATACACTAATTTAAATATGGCTTTGCCAAATGCTAGTCACTGCCACCTAATAATATTGCTATACCATACTAGTAACAGTCAGAAATTTACAGTTTTAAATACTACTCTTGCAAATCAAAATAATGCTAATGCTAAAATGCAGCTTTGTGGCATTAACTATTAATTTTAGGTTCTGGACAAAAACATTGGCTGAATATTATGATGTACTCACAATTTACTCACTACCATACATTATTTTATGGTTGTCAATATTGGTGAAATATTGCCATGTGCTTTATTACCTCCCTCAGAGGAGTAAGGACAACCAATTTACTTACATAGGAAAACAAAATTTCCTGCAGACTTGTGATAACAAAGATCAAACTTAGATAGGGTTTTATAAAACCTCTTTGTGTTTTCAAATGCAAGTACTATCTTAAATATTAAATATGCTGATTATATATAATAAATGCTGGCCATTTCAAAAAACAAAATTGAAAAGTGAGTAAAAATTTGCGTTTAAATGTAAACTTATTCATTATATTATTATTTTATTATTACAGTGAGGACCACGAAATGCAAGAAATAGTTACAAAATATTACGCTTCGTAAAATATCTGGAATGAAAGCCACGCTAGCAATAATAAGCCATTAAATCTCTTGATGCTGAACATCTTTTCAAATGTTAATGAGCATTTAGCTTAAAAAATAGGGCGTAACATTGTGGCAAGACATAATATATTGAAATAAAGACACGGAAAATGCCTAAGTTTTTAGCTTACTCTTAATGCCAAGAGGAACTCGTTTATATCCACACTTCCACTTCCATCTTTATCAAATGCTGCAAAAGCTTGTTGCGCGTGCTGTTAAAAATTGCAAAACAAAATATTTGACAATTATCTTTTGCCTTCTCTTGCTGTGTTGCATGGACAAATAGACTTTTCGTAACGACCTTACGGTTACCTCTTTGTCCAAAGCAACGCCATAGTCGTGTAATCCTTTCTCAAACTCGTCAAAGTTCAGAGATTTGCTTCCATCATCATCCATAATCCTAAAAGTTCTATTTTAAAAGCAAACACGAGAATTCCATTTATCATCTTCGAATAAAATATACAAAGTAGTTTCACAACAGCAATACCTACCTTCCTAATCCTTTGATACCAGACGAACCTCTCGATAGGCAGGCATACCGTAGCTTTTCAACAGGATCCGTTGTTTCAATAACCAACTGACGATATTTTCTTCGCATTTCTTCCTCGGGATCATCGTGTGCACCTCTGCGACGCGCCATATTATCTTTGTAGTTATTCACGAGTATGTATGCGGATACTGCAGTGTAAACTCTGCAGTGCTTTGCGTAATGAGTAACCTCACACGTATCAAACACAGCAAACCCAAGACACGACCCTGACTTAGAATCTGCACTGATCTGCAATTTAACTGGATGGCACATACAATAGTTCATTTTGTTTTACAACTGACTTTGGAATACCATATCGTCGAAATATCACCAGAATTCTGCGCCTGTCTTTCATGATCTAATAAATGCAACAGCACCTCAAAATTCATCAATTGTGTCATCAATTTGCGAAAAGATCAGGTATCACTGGGACGCTGCACCAGGAAACCTACATCTTTGAACATTACCTGTTATAAAGTGGAGCTGGACGATGCAATTGATAGATAAAAAGATATAAATCTACGACTATAAAGATATAAAAAAATATCTACGAATAGGATTTTAAAGATTTTAAAAAGTTGATTGCACAAAAAGACTGCGACATAAGTGTCGTTTTTGGACGCTTCTAAGTGTATTTTTAAAAATTAAAATTGATGTTTTCACAAATGGACAGTGGTATTAAAAAATACCACTGTAATCATTATACATTTCAATCTGGAGCTGGGAGTTTTCCTGCAAGATACTAATAACGTGGATCGGTATAAGGGCAAAAAATCAAATAAATAATCTCTGTTCCATAACGAAGTATAATTTTTTTCATAAGATTTAAAATTAATGCATTAATTGTAATATCATAGTTTAGAATACTGTATATATTTACATACGTGCTGCCAAAAACGCAATAAAAAGCCAATGATGCAATATGTACGTACAGAAGCGATATTCCCTACTGTTTAGTTTCCAATATCCCCATACCATGCATGCAGCAGACATTACGTAAAGTCGTGACTAGTCTGAGACCTTTCATTTATATAATGCTCATTTCTATGCTGCGAATTTGTCTGAAAAAAAAAGTGAAAACTGAGAACCTCGCTGTCCTCGCGTTTGTCCAAAATTCTCACATTTTTCTTCAAGCGAATACTGGGACACGACACCAGACGGCCCAGAGCATTGAACTGTCCAGAGTGACCAATGACTATACAGACATACACTCATATAGTGACAATACAGTGACTACACTGTTGTGTATATTCAACATAGCCCCACAGACACAGTCTATCAATAGCCAAACTCGCAAGTCAAATTCTCCGTGCTGAAATTTGTCGAGTGCAGGCTTCAGGACAAATATGAAATATCTAAAATCTAAATTCTAAAAGCATGTGTCGTAGGCACTCAGAAACTAGCGAAGACCTTTCCTACTCTTTACTTTAGCAACTTTAGCAGCATCATTTATTGCCTGCATCAAACAAACTCGTTACCATGTAACATGAGTGTGTGATTGACTATCTTACGTATCTTATCTGATCTGGTTAATATACCCTGAGTGTTTTATTTCTGACCTCGCGAATTGCAAAAGTACATTACTGTTTCTGGATGCAATAGATATAAAGGTCCTAAGAAGTAATAGATAAGATATATATATACTGTACATCATATATTAGTAAATTTGTTATATTGGTATCCCTAGCTTATCTTGAGCTTTCCTGAAATCCCCTACCAATTAATTAACAGACTAGAGTATGCAGTGGGACCAGGAACATTTGGTAGTTGAATTGTCTTTCATAATCTATTTAAGTTTGTAAGCATTCCTCATCATAAGATCAAAGTAAGCATCATTGTCAATAGAAGCACTGACACCACTGTAATAGTTGAGAAATTCATCCATTGTGATCTACATTAGGAAACATATATATATGCATTTTTATCATATTGGATTTATATCAGATTTCTAAGGGCAAATTATATATATTACATAGATGCAACCTGGCATAACTTTAACTCAATTTTACCAAACATAAATTATTCTTCAGGGCTATTGAATATTTGGTCTAATTCCTCCAGAGCATGAGGTTTTCCCCAATCTTAAATCTTAAGCCTGTAATACAAACTAAGAATTCACAGGGGGATTACTTATTTTGGATACTTAAGGCACTGTGGGAACTGAAAGCCAATATAGGGACCAAAAAAGGAATTACCAGTGTGCATGCAGTACTCACCCGTCCATCTTTATCATCTGGAGTATCAAAACTGTCTAAGAATGTTCTGAAGCATTGTTCTTCAGTCCATTCTCCATTTCGGTACTTAGGATGATGTTTGACATTATAGACACTGTGAAATAAGATCATGGTTGGTAAGTAAGCTCTTGGAACAATATCTATTTTTATATATGATAATTATGATTTACCCTCGAAGATCTTCAATGGTGATATTTCCATCCCCTGTTTTATCTAACTTCTTAAATGCTTCATTGATTACTCTTTTCCGAGCATTACTCATTGGCGGCTGAAAAATATTGGCAAAAAATAAGATCTAATAGGATATTCATATTTTCATAGATAATTTAATGTTGATTACTTTACTATTGTGTAAAAATCATAGCTTTTACTTACCCTGAGTGTTACAAGAAATTCGTCAAAATCTAGACTACCACTTCCATCTTTGTCAAAAGCCTCAAACACACCCTTAACTTCCTAAAAATAAATAAAAAGTCACATATAAAGAGTATTACATGAAATTATTTCATTTATCCATTACGTTGTGTGAAGTGTACAACATATGTAACATCAAAACTTTACATTTCCAAACTGTACCTTTGGTTCAAGATAAAGGCCATAATCTCTCAATCCCTTCTTAAATTCATTGAAATCCAATGTTCTACTACCATCATCGTCCATAATTTTAAATACCCTGTCAAAATTGTCACACAACGCGTCAGGTGTTGTAAACACGCTGTCTTTGAGAAAATTATCGTACTATATTCTTTCATACACCGAGATATCAGACACTCAACTCAAAATCGAAAATGCGCACGTATATCTTATATTTGTACAAAAGAAATATGAGCTACCTTCCCAAACCTTTAATACCGCATGAACCACGAGATAAACAAGCAAGTCTTAATTTTTCAATTGGATCCGCCGCCGTTTCATAAGCCTTTTTTGCTTTACTTAACATTTCTCGCTCATGCCTGTTCGTGCTCGCCATTTTGCCTTATTTTCAAAATAGCAAGATCAATAGTTGGCGTCATTGTTACCATGACAGCAGTGCATTGTTTATGTCATGGGTCATGGGGAGCCTCATGGCTGCATGCACAGGACATATATTGTGTCCGATATAAGGACACAATACATTTGACAAAGGATGTTTCATTCTAGAAATGTGTGAAGATAACCGAAAACAACGCTCTTAAAAGCCGTGCCATAACGGAAGAGAAGAAACTCGGCTATTACCTTTTACAGCGGGTTTGGCGAACAAAACGTTTTCGTTTTACTGATTTTTCCATTTAGGCCCCTGTTTACACTATACCAGATTGCTTCCAGAGGGGGTCAAATTTTGTAGCTATCAAAGATAGTAAAACATTTTACTCTCAGAGTTCGAAATAAATATACCAAATCTATCAAAATAATAAGCACTTGCTTCTAACCATTGCCCTTTAAAGGCAAACGAAGATATCGTGACAAGCGAAACCGGTACAGTGTAAAAGGGCCTAATTATACTGCATCACAGTGAAACCGAACCAGCGAAAATCATAACTAGATTTTTTTAAATTGACCTCGACTTATTTAGAGTCCGTGTATCAGACGCATTGCATTCATCGCAAAAGCTGTAACGTTCTTTAGATGATTTTTATAAGAAATTTCATTTTTTAAAACACGTTTTTAGAAACCACGCCCAAACTATACCCGTGCTGCAAAGGATTTGTGGGCAAAACATAGTCTCGTTCTTCCGCAGTTGCGGTAATTTCAGTCTTATTTGCTTTATATTAGTTGTTCTTCATCAAGAGGAGAGTACTTTACAGAAAGACGAGTGCAGTGTTTACATGCATGGACACATCATTTGGCAAAATAACATACGTTTTTACAGTTCTGAGGACACGCAAAAGCTACCTTTTTTGCCTTTACAAGGCGCTCCAAAAACAGCTTACCTTCCTAAACCCATAATGCCAGAAGATCCTCTAGACAAACATTGCAACCGTAATGTTTCGATAGGACATTCAACAGCACCTGATTGCAAAGCTTGTTGGGACTTTCTCTTCAAAGCCTCATCTGCTCGCGATGTGTGAGGCATAACTATTTAATAACACTACGGGCCAATGTAAATTATTTGTATCACAATCTTTTCTGTATAAATGAGATTCTGAAGTCGCAGTAGATTCTGAAGTCGCAGTAGCTATATACAGTTTCTATGACAAAGCAGGTGCAATATTTATAAACAATCCATCAAACACCTGTACAAACGCGAAATGAAGAAAATACTGTCGCTGCCACTGGAATAGGATGCAAAACAATAGAATAGAATGAAACCATTAATTTTCATTTGCAGTTTTTATGGTTACGTGCCATTTCCACCTGATCTTCGAGTTCGTATCCAGGATCTAAATCTTCCTAATATGAAAATCACTACCTACACTATAGCATAATTATGATACCGGAACTCCTATAGAGCTCATTAATATAGACGAACGCCAAGCTAATTTTCACATTAAATTCAATTACACTGCTCATTAAAAATATTTACATCGCCACAACTTTTCATTTGACAATTATAATTTTATATCTGTAATTTTATCTTTGTTATCTTTGCCTTTGGTGTTACCCTGAATACACTTTTTGCGCGTTCTATTAAATGGCTAAGGTCATGAGATTTTTGAATTGCCACAAATTTATCTTTTTTATAAAAATTCCTATTAAATTTGAACGATCTGACCGTATTATTGGAAAGCGCTCTAGAATAAAAACCCACTTAACACGATGTTATTTGTTGTATTAAACGAGTGCTGACAACCAAGTTTGAGATCAAACGCCTGTATAGAGGCTCTCACCAACTCATCGCAAAAACTAACGAGTAATTTCGTCCAATCACAATTCTCTACAGTTTGTTTAAATTAGATGCAAATACTGAGTTGGTTTTCAGATGTGTGGAAAAGAGACTTCACTCATAAAATTTAAGTTATTCTTTGATATAAAAAATAACATATGCCAGGATAAGAGCTATGTTAACACTTGTATTGTGTGATTCTCCCTCCAACCCAATGTTTATTTTAAGTCTTTATGCCTCCAGCCAACAGTCTTTATTGCTAGAATCTGTACAGCAAAATATTTTTTATAGGATTTCTATCAGTGAACTGGTGATGTAGCCCTGTGTGTCATGAAATAGCATTGAAGAACATTGTAACAACAACACAGCAATAATTCCTCCATGTTATAAATCTTTTCTACCAATTTGTACCAGGGTTTTTGAGCAATGTACACCAGTTTATATGAACAAAATACATCAAGTTTATTTACAACTTTGATCACCAAACACTTGTTGTATTGTCCTATTGGTTTGCTGATTCACAAGCATCTATCCAATCACTATATACATCCACAGGCTCTGAAAGATCTTTTTTAACCAATTAAAGAAAAGTGTGAATACTCTGAGAGAATTTATTGTTAATTGGAATTTGCCTTTCCTGCTAACATACAACTTTAACAATTTTTATACTAAAGGATACATGTTATTGACGTTTGAAAATCCTCAAGACAAACCCGACAGGCAATCCTTGCTGTGTTACGAGGACGATCCCTATAGAAAAAAGTTATTTGTTATTGTTTTGAGTATGCAAGTAAGATCCAATGCAAGTGTCCACTAAGGATATAGTGTGTCAAATTTAACCCTTTTTTAAAATATTGTATTTAATAGACTAATAGTTTATTAAATTATGTGGTACGTATGGTAGTTTACTCTCACTTGATATTTTGAAAATTGATTAAACTGTTTATTTATTATTCATCATTTTAGCTGTAGTTGAAAAATGACAGCTTTCATTTGTCATTATCCATCATGAAATATTGAAATTATCAAAATTTAATGCACACGCTTAAGATCCATGTGGGCAACTGATAGTAATCTGATACCTTAATACCAACTGCCTTAGGGCCTCTTGAATCCAATTCACTTCTGATGGATGTTTTATAGTCTGGTAATTCGAAATGTATATGGGCAGCAAATCAACTCAAGCCAATGCAGTACTGCTTTATCAACAACAGACTTCATTTCATATGTCAGAAGTGAATTGGATCTGACAAAATTGGATTGTGGATATAGGCTTTTGTATCCAGCACTTCCAACTTCCTAGTGATGTTTAAAATTTCACAGGGACAATTTTAATCTCCTGGGATTCCAACGGCCTAAGCTGCAAAGACCAACCTCTTTAGCATTTTTTTTTGTTTATAAAGTGATTTTATTTGTTAGTGGTAGTCATTACAATTTTGAGTGCATGACTAACAAATATTCATATGAAGATACAAAAAACCCGACGACTGAGTGAGTCTGAGTCAGTCTACGACTCCACATGGCAGTCTCAAGTTCTCAACGTGTCGTACATAATCTTTGACTATCTTCAGCACTTACATTTTTACATCGCAAGACCTTTCATGGTTACAAAACGGACAATTAAACTGGCTTTCCAATGGATCATTTTTCTTTTTTGATGGAGCTTTTCGTTTTGATCGTCGTCTTCCCATAGTATGCTATAAATACTAGAATGAATCACCGTCTCTAGATTAACAAAATGGCTCACACATCGCGCAATTCATAGCGTCCTGGGATCGAAATGTTTAGTCAGCAAACTTTTCAGTGACGTCAAAAGGTGCATTTCGTGCAAGGAAAACGAATGGTCTGGCTACGATCTTTGAAGCAGTCTGGGCTGTTCTCCATTTTTAAACTTTCCATAGCGTATATGACTACTCTGTAAACAAGGAAATACGCTATGCTTTTACTTTTAGTTCAATGCTTTGCGACCGAGTCACGCGCAGCCAGGATTGCTATTGCAGCTGGTCAGATTTTGTAGATATTGAAGGGTCTGTGAAGATTTGTATTTTCTTACTAATTTGTAATTTATTCCTAATGCCAAATGAAACGTCGTGACCCGCTAACCAAGTATAGTGTAATCGAGGCCTAACGCTGTATTTTGCGCATTTGTATCAATGCATTTGTATCATTCACCTTAGGCGGGGCAGTTTTCGTGGCGCGCAGTTAGGCAATTGCCGTGTAATTAAATAACTGAAAACTACAAATGCCACCTTTTAATTCTTTCTTTATAATGTTCCGTTTCATTGACAGGAAAAACGCACGTGAATCACCACAAAGTGCATGCTTAAACAGTAATGTGTATTGAAACAGTGTCGTGATTTGGTGGGATTGTGAAGCTTTATACTGATCGATTTATTCACCCAACACTGAGGTGTGGTTGCTGGCCCCTCCCACCCCTGGTCCTGAACATTGATGAATACTTTGGCGACGAAATAATTATACCTTTATTTTTCTATTATTATACGATTATTAAACCAAAATTATTTTCAACGTTCATTAATCAAAACATGCTCGTCTCCATATAGGTCCATTTTAAAATATAATATTCTTAAAAGTTTTACTATTTCAGTATTATTATAGTCTTTATTAGAATCATTCAAAATGAAATATATAACCTTGACGTTTATTACAATTATGCTTTATGTGGAAATATAGGTAAGCACGAATATTTGTACGAATTAAATGTCCGGTGCGAATCGGTGTAATGAAATTAATTATTGCCAGGTTATGACAAATTTGTCAACAAGGCTCAAATTTAATGCCCCAAGGCCTAGAATTTTTGAAGATGAATCGTAGTTAAATGGCGTTTGTTTTCCATTGACTGATACTTGACTTGGTTTCGGCATCACTCCAAGAATGGTAACATTGCCGACTTTAGCCAAAGGAGAATATCCCGCCAGTGTTGGTGAAGAGGTGAGAGTTCTCGACTGGACTGTAAATTTAACCAGTAAAGTCTCCTTAGTATCTAGGCTTTCACCATCATCAAGGTAAAGATCACCAACTGCATCACCAGAAGAACTTAAAGCAACTTTAAGAGAGTAGGGATTCTTACGACTTGCTGCGGTTGTTGTTGATGGATCCTGCATTGGGATAACATAGCCTCCTCTAATATGCAAATTAATTTTATCAATAGGCGCGTCCAGTGTAACGTGTTGCCCTCGAACCGTTAAAGCTTTTCCAGTATAAAAATCATACCACACGTCATCGGGGAAGTAGGCATCGACTTGAACGGAGGACTGTGTGAGGACAGGTGAGATTAATAGCGCAGGTCCCCAGAGGAACTGAGACTGAATGAGATAAGTATTTGGGTCTTTCGGGTATTCAAACACCAGTGAGCGGGCGACAGTGCTTCCTTGGACATGGGCTTTGTAGAATAAGGTATAAAGATAGGGTAGAAGACTGTAACGAATTAAGAACGTTTTGCGAGCAATTGCTGCTACATCTGGACCTAACGAGGCAGGATCCTGAGCAGTTGCACCTTTTGTGTTGTGATTTCGTGAAAACGGATAGAACGCTCCAAGCTGTAACCATCGCGTACACAATTCTTTCTGGGTGTTTCCATTAAAACCACAAATATCAGCGCCAACCATAGGAATACCAAAGAGATTAAAATCTAGTATACCTGGTATAGAGTAGCTCATGTCGGGCCATTGACTGTTGTTATCTCCTAACCAATGTCCTCCGTATTTTCCGCTACTCGGAAATGTTGAACGCGAGATTACCAAAGTCCGTTTCTTCAAAATATTCTGAAGACCTTTCGCAGTGGCTTCCAATTCAGAATGTCCATATAGACTGTGCAAATTGTAATGTATGCCAATTGCGTGTTTTGCTCCCATGCATATTGTTTTAGCCGTCAAATGACCTCCCATAATACCCGGAACGTATGGTGGTGCTTCGTATGACGATTTAGGACAGGATGGATTTGAGATGGAACCGTCCACGAAATTAGAAGGTTCGTTCATGTCTATCCATAGACCATCAATCTTCACCTTATCGTGAAAACTCTGTAACTGATCTTGCCAATACTGGATTGTTTTCGTGTTGAAAAAGTCAGGGAAGACCGTATTTCCAGGCCAGACCTTTCCCACCAAGGGATCATCGCTGTTCGGCTTCAAAACAAATGCTCCGACTTTAAGACCATCACTATAAGGGGCATAATTAGGATCAGAATTTGGAATCCCTGGGTCTGTAATAGGGATATAGTGCTGATTGTGTTCATGGAGATCATTGACAAGGTCTGGAAGGCCAGCAAATCTTTTAGGATCTATCGTGAAATCAAAATGATTATTCATATAATCAATGTCGTTCCACTGCACATCTTGGGGGATGCCATACTGCCGCATTTTGTTCACAATTGCTTGAGTTTGATTTGAGGTTTCATATCCCCAACGGCAGAGATGGAATCCAAGAGACCAATATGGAGGCAGGAATGGACGTCCGATCACTTCGGTGTATTGTTGGACGACAGAATCCGGTTCTGGACCTAGAAATATATAGAAGTCTAAAATTCCACCGATAGTACGGTATGTCAGTGCTGGTGTTGGCTGCAAGACGATTTCCATAGCATTGCTGTTAAGTAAGAATACTCCGTGGGCGTTTCCATCGGGTTCAATATTAACATAAAATGGATGAACACCATACAAGTTGATTCCACCGTATGGTGTTCCACCATCACGAGCAAACATAACCAGTTTTTGCCACGTTGTGTTTAGCTTAAAACTGTCAACATGTTCACCAAGACCATAAATATTAGTTGATGGAAGGAAAGTAGACAGTTGTAAAAACTGATCTTCAAAAATCATCGCTCCAGCTGTAGAGTTGAAGAGCACGCGACCGGTCGACTTTCTGGTGACTGCAAAACCAAATGGATAATGAGTAAAACTGATGAGATAGTCCTGTTCAGAACTTTTCTTTGTGATCTTTGGTGTTTCCACGGGAACTTCGTAACGCTGATTGTTGGGATCATAGATCTGAAACAGCACGATTAAAATAAAGAAAAATAAGAGCAATTGACTTCTACAGTAACTACACATACAAGTAGAACAATGAACTATGGATAATTTAAACTGCATGGGAGCAATTAAAGAATTTCCAGCTGGTTATTGTACAAAATGTTGTCCGTGGCGGATCCAAAGTTACACAAATAATTTCAAATTTAAAATACATTAATAACAAATAATGCTATGGGATTTCTAAAGAATATTTTAAATAAAAAACTACCAATGTAATTTTAAGTTATATAGAGATATAGTGATTTATTCTGCATTAATTACCATAGATTTGCTACCGAACTGTCTAACTAAAAAATGCATCCCTAACATCCTTGAATTACAAATTCCCCAATTAAAGCTTTATATTCTATAAGGAAGAATTTTCATTTTTCACTGCATTATAGAGGTAATTAAGCATTTAAACAGTTCGATAGCGAAGATTAGAGTTATCATAACTCTGTAAATAAGTTTCATTCTTTTCAATGCTAGTGAGGCCCAACAATAGTGGGCCCTAGGACAATTTTTTGAACACAGACCCTATACACCTCACAATAATGCAATCAACAAGGGTATCCCTAGCTACTTACTTGCAAGAGATTTTAAGCCCCCCTAAAGTTGCAGGAAATCATTATTAAAAATAATAATCTAAATATTCTATTGATATTTTAAGTAAACTTACACATGTATTGTTCAGCAATATTCATGCATGTCCTATTAGTTCTAGTTATGTACTGCATGAACTTTAGTTATATACTTCATGCAAATTAAGTTGCAAATCAAATTTTGAAATACATTGTGTCAACAAACTTTAAATTGACATAGACACAAAAAGCTTGCAGGAACATTTAGAAAGCTAGGTATCTATTATATATTAGCGTTAATAGAATTCTTCCAAGTAATATGTAGTATTAAAAGCAGGGTATCAAAACAGGCTCCTTGATCAACAAGCACTTGTAACCTTAAGGATATTCTGATAATCATGTGACTTTATATATTGGGTATCAAAATAAATACGCTTCTGACCTTAGGAGCTGCACAACAGGAGCAGGACACGCCTAATGCAAGTTTTGTTACTTAATTAAGTCACATGTCTGGCCTATGGTCAATAAAGGTAGACTATTCACACCAATATTCCCGAACGAACTGCACCTATTGAACCGATATTAGAATTTCATAGAATAGAATAAGCACTTTACCTTAACATGAACACGATATTCCGTTTCTAAGCGAACATCAACTTTAAGATTCACAACATCTCCACCATATGGTCCGTGCTGTTGCATTTGAAGGTCAAGTAGAAATCCTGTGTCGGTTTCTTGTTGATTCACAAGCTCATAACCAAAGTTTTTTGGGTAAAAACAATATGGTACGTTGAGAGGAACCTTTCCTCCGTATAACGCATTGCTTGCGTCTTTCCAACAGCATCCACGATCCTGACATTTGTCTTCGGAGGCTCCAATGTCAGGATAGCAATCAAACCGCTTCGAATCTTCATCGCGTGTACAGTCTGGTGAGCTGTGACAATACACAAAAGCGAAGAAGATAACAACTAAAATCCGGAATTCCAATATAAGGACTTTCATGGCTGATCGACTACTGGCTAGCGACTACTGACACCTGCCTTGTAGCCTGATTTTATTTTAATGAAGTAGGAGTCGTGTCGTGACAAGACTTGGTCATGGGACCGGACACTTTACAAATCAGTCTGTGGAAAAATTCAAGTTTGTTTGTGAAGTGTCAACATGGTTCTTTAATTATCATAAAGTAAAGCGACTCTATTCGATCAGACGATTAAGAAGCATTTACGCAGAATTTTTGTAAATTCCATAGAAAAAGAAAGATAGATAGAAGCACCAACCAACCATTCGTCTAACCAGTGCTAGACTAGTACGTACTGCCAACAACCAGTACGCCAGTACGGCCTATATGCAGAGTGCAGACTATATGGATTGGAAGGCCTGTCCTTGACCGAGAACGGCTGCATGGTGTTTTATTTTTGTTTAATTTTTCTATTTTAAGAAGGGGTCCTAAAAACTCTAAGTAATCGTGTTTGCGTAATTTCGAGTTCATAGCATTTGCACCTTCCATACACCCCCCCGGGTCTAAAATAGAACCAGACACAGAGATACGAGTAAATGAAAGTAAAAGAAGTAAATGTCATTTTAAGCATGGACGTGGAGCCAATTCTTTCCGAAAGCCCTGGATTGAATGTTGGTTTGATTGCAAAAACATGATTAAAATACATTCAAAACCTGTGACTAATTAAATTAGGCTTAATATAAATAAATCACGAGTTTACTCATATTCAATTGCGGTAGGTAAAGTACGCCTATGAATCTTATACCTAATAGTAGCCTGAACACAGACCTCATCTTCGTTTTGAAAAGGTTAATCTTTTTTTAAGACGCCGAAACTTGTACTGGAACATGCGACGGCACCAGCACAAAATATTGAATTGTGCACTTTATGAAGATGAGGGAATTATTACTTAATTATTACTGGCCTTTTTCCCGATAACTGGTTTTTGTCAAAATTATACAAGAAAACATCCTCAGGAAAGATTTAAGTTCACGACTGAAAAGACCGCTGTATTAAAAAATTCATTATGGTGCCTGTTACAGATTTATGATATGTAATTTAAATGTACCTACAAAATAGCCAAATTTCCTTTGTGTTATTTTATACACCTATTATTTATTTTCCATTAGCAGTGTTGACATTTCAGGAATAGTGAAATAAGCACTATAAACAGTGCAGAAAACACGAAAGGCCGAAAGCACTGTAGAAGAATGTAGTAAGTAAATGCAATACCACATGTTACGATCACCGCTCACCGAAGCAACTTGTTTATGACCTACAAATAATCATTCTCTTTGTTACCAATCTTGTACCCAGCTGGAGTCATGGAATATGAGGCTGCCTCGTGATCGCCACGCCGCCCGGCCACCGTCACTTTGAATTTGGCCGCGCCAAGACTGTGGAGAGTATTCGGGGTTAATTAAGGTGGTTCGGTTATTCGATATAAATTTTTATTAGAACCATATCCGTTCCATACATGTTTAATAACAGTGTTTTTTGTATGTAAAAGAAAACTTGGAAAGAACGAAAATAAATTTTTGGAAAGAACGTAAAAAAAACAAAAAAGATCATTGAGCTCTATTCATTGAGATGAATAAACCACTATTAAGCACTATAAACCACTATTGGTTTATTCATCCCAATGGCTCAATGCCACTCGCTGACAGCAATGCCGCAGGGGCATGCGAAGACTGGCGAACCAGTTGCGATATACATAGATTAAACAAATGGGACTCGATGTGAGCCCTGGAGAACAGCACGAAATCCCAGAGTCTCGTGGGTGAAACACGAGAGCTGGTAGCTGTGTGTGTACGCCTACAACCATGCTGAGTCACTCAGCCTGAGTGGTCCAACGTTGCATTATATATAATTATTGCGTTGCATTAAAACCATTCAACGTTGCATTACTGCGTTGCATTAAAACCTTTTCATGACGTATGGTTATTAGTCTTGAAGCAAATTGAAGTACGAAATTCTTCTAGTCCTTAATTAAATTTGTTCCTTCTCTTGTCCAGACTGCTTGTGGTTGAATACTTGAGTGGGGATATATGTTCATATATTCCTGATTGCATATAGCGTAGGAACAATAGCTTTCAAAAGGAATTAGCAGGGCATAAGACGAATACTTGCATTAATATGCAGCCCCCAACTTCTAGCCCTGATCGTGAATGTGATATGCTGGTGCAAATACTATGAAAAGATTTGGTTTACGAAAAGCAAAGAAATGTTCGTTCAAACTGAACCACCGCATCTCATCGGTGTGTTTGAGAATTTTTTAGTAGGTATGTACAGAGGTACAGATTGATATGGAAAATTCAGTTTATCAGTACGGGCAGTAAATGAAAAAAAGTTATTTAGATAACAAAAATTAGGATTGAATGGTTTCGACTTACCTGACAAAAAACATCATTTAGATAAGAAAAAAATTGGATAAGAGAAACGTCGAGAATGCATACATTGTTTCACGTCCTCACTCCTACGTTTAAATCAGGGTCATCATCAGTTGTCATCACATGCACTGGGCTTGTGTGGTTGTTACTTGTTACGACACTAACGACCGGCAGGTGCACGAAAACGAGTTTTCAGTTGTTAACTATACCTATCGCCTAGTTATATGGATCTGAATTAAAACCAAAAGGCATGCTTATCTCGCTATTCTTTCGAAGTGACTGGAGCACTTTGTGAAGTAATTAATCCCCAGGAGGTACACCGTATAAGGTCAGGACGAAAAAGCCGATGTTTTTGAGGTTTCTCAGTTGATTTATACTTTGATAAAAAATTTGAATATTGTACTTTCTGCCACGAAGATGTCGGCAAGGTGTTCTGAATGTCTACACTAATTTATGAGAGATTGCTTTAAATTGATTCAGGTTGACCACATACAAATTAGAGCCTATATATTAATAAAATTGGTAAAGCTATTGCCTAAAATATGATAATGAATTTCTTACATGAAAACCCAAAGAATACTTTTTAATGTAATTGATAATCTCTGATAGGCTTGCATTGAAGTATAACCCCGCAGTACTCTGCAGCACCCTGTTTTGTTTCCGCATTTCTGGATGGTTAGTCTGTTCTAGTGCATAAATCAGTTAAACTGTTAGAAAACTGATTGACAAGTAAATCAGTAAACTGTTAGAAAATTGATTTGTGGATTCTCAACATTCACAACTCACAGGCTTAAGGTAACCAGCATTTAAAAAACTGACCCATTTAGAGAAAAGTGAAATTTCCATGTTTGAAAGCCGAAAGACCACACCGATGAAAAAAGAATGCGCTTTTTTTTTCAAAAAATGTGTTAAATTAAACAATTAATACATAGTCACTCTAACTTGCAACAATACTTCTTTAATGGACCAATATAAATTCTTGCATGCATGCTCATTGCTTCTATAGAACTGGTAGAATCTGCTGGATAATACAGATTTCCAATTAAAGAAATCATAACATTCCAATGACCTATACTGTATACGCAGTATGCAAAACGCTACTTCGAAAATACGTCATTTGGCATTGCAGCCTCGATCGCGTAAGCCAATCGCCATGCACTCTTCACAATTATCAAGATTACGCATGCATTGCCATATACTTGTTGTTAAATATTGAAGTCAGTAAGTACAACGCCTAGGCAAAGAGAGTGCGACTGATAAATTTAACGAGCTGTTCGGTAAGTTAACATTAAAACTACATTGTATAAATAAAATGTGAGCAGTGTTTATACTCTAACTTTTATGACTGTTTTGATGAATTGAATCACTTTAATTTCCTATCGTATGAATCTCATATATAGCTATATAATAATGAAATCGAGTCTTCGTGTGTCCCTACGGACAAATTCTGCGCGATCGACCCTGATTCGTACGTTTTTTCAGTAGTTCGGTGGCATTCGGCAAAAAAACAACATATAGAATAAAGAGATTGAATCTAATTTGGAGCGATATGATTGACATTGATTGCACATTTTCATATATTGCAAATTGATATAATTTTTTCTTACTTAATTTTGCATTTATTTTTCAATAACTTTTTATGATTTAATCACTCGATCCTTGCAACGACATGTGTCTGTACAGCGGATTGGACGTTGCACATATATTTTTTGGTCGTGTGATAAGTAAGTTATGGTGTTTTTTTGGGAGTAACTCGCCAGTAACTATAGACTGATTTATTACATAAGTTGTACCGCTGTAAATGTGAATTCGGTCGGCAATTATATATATGGAGATCTGTATCGCAATTATTTAGTCCATTGAATCCCCCAGTATATCTAGGTATTGCTTCCGTTAACCTTGTGTGTTGCTTGCTAATATTCAGTTGCTTAAGTATCGCCTTACATGTTTATTTAGTACGAAATTTTAGCAATCTATACTTTAAACGCAGCATTTGCACCAGAAATTGCATTGGAGACGTGTCACTTAAAATTATGAAAAGAATGCAGGGTGGGTACGGAATAAAACAAGACAAGGATGATTCGCGATATTTCGATTTTATTGCAAAATCATCATCAGACTAAAGCTACAATATATACACTAATATATAAGCCTTTTTTAAAGTGCACAGTTCACCTCAAATACTTTCAATCCGTGATGTCTTCGCCGGAATAGTTGTGGATATGCCTTTATAAAAAAGCGTTCGATATTCGTATTTATCTAACTTAGTTTAAGATGAAGGAAGTAGCAATTGACCATTATTTGTTTTGTTGACTTTGCGCGAAAAATTTTGATTCTTCTTCTTTATGATGCTTAATTAGTATTCATGGTAGTTCTAATGATTGAGACCCCGTGGCGCAGGATCAAAAACAAACACGATTGTGGATAGTATGTGATCTGTGGCGTCTAAGCTATGGAGGGCCTTTTTGGCATATTGCACGTGAGATTGAAAATATTTCCTGCTATATATTAGATATTACATCGATATTATGACTCTCTGTCAATCAGCATTCCAATCTTAAAGCTAGTGTTGTGCAAATTACCTTACGTTTCAGTTGTTTCAGTGGGAATATGTGAAAAGTTCACCTTCAGTTGGCCTGTTGTTTTTCACGGACTGGTATAAACTGGACTAACTGACTTTCACCTAATGACTGGATGACCCATAGCTATATGCAGGCCCGATCCTATCTAGTCAACTCCCCGATTGCATTTCACCGATTTTATATGTGTAGCGACTAACACAGCACAAGAACATATATTTTCAGCGTCCTTCTAGAATGTGCACGCAAACTTCTCCACCAGGGTTGCATACATACATGGAGTGCTGCTAATATTTGGCAGCTTGCCAGCTGTTACTGACATAATGACCATTTTCGTATAATGATAACGTGGGAAAAAAAGCAATTTCAAGTTTTTGGGTTTGTCTTCAGTGTTCAGAAGTGTGTAATGTATAGTGCTGCGTGCTTGGAATGAGATCGATCAATCACATATCCGGTTCATATTCTCTTTGACAATAATCAGAGTTCACAGTAATCAAATGTTCAAAAATAACCAGGGAGCAGCGAACTTCTCATCAAATGTGGTATAACAACTGCCTAAAATAGGCTAAACACTTTTTCACGTAAGCTAAGGGCGCTTTTCGTCGTCTAGGACCAAGAGCAAATATTTTGAATCTATTGAATTTTCTTGAACTTTTGTCATATACATCGTAGTGCTTGCATCCGTCTTAATTTTTTATCATAAAAATCGATATACGACATACAATCAATTGGTTGTTGTATAAGAAAAGCCCGGCTGTTGTTCTAGTTTTTGTGATGCTAAAAATGTTTCATCGCATTATCCATTAACCCAACACAGTAGCTACATGAAAACCATTTTATTCAAACAAGCTATATAGTGCTATAGTGCATTGTCCAATTGAGTGAATTGACGTAAAATTGTAAGTTAGGGTTGCAACAACTACAAGTGCTTGAAATACACACCGCATAAAGAGCCCCCTGTAGCGCTGTTATATACAGAGAAAATGCCACATAGATTAGTTTCCTGTGGTTATGATGTGACCTAAGGCTGACTTGGTCAGTAACCGGCCTGGCAACCCAAAGTCTGTACGAATCTATATGCACGTAAAAGTATAAAACCTATTTTTTATACAAAACCTAAATGAGACGATGTACATTTTTTATTCGGTTGTTAAAGGCCCTTTTCAATTACATTCGCTTTACCCACGGTGAAGAAAAAGCCCTCGAAAATCTTAAATTGTCTTAGGCAATTAAAGACACACACACGTCTTCCAAATTTTCAACTATTGTTTTTTCTCACGAATAACGTTGTTCCTCCTCGTCTGTGAAGTATGTATTTGGTCTTTTGTATAGTGTAAAACAAGCTTTGAAACAAAATGGCATCAATCAAAGGTTTATTGATAGGACTACCAGTTCTGGTCTGCTGCTTTCTGACAGGTAAATTATTTACTGCACATTTCTAGCCGATATGAAGGTCTTATTGAGACGTCTTTTAGGCGACACCAAACACGTACAACTCGGCTTCGTCTCGTGTTCATTTTGTAAAAATTGCAAATAATAAAATACCCAAAAAAATTCCCGTTGATAGAAGGAAAGCTCAGTTTGATTTCAAAATATCTTGACTCAGACGACAGATTTGAATACTTTTCTAACAATTTACACTCCATATTTCCAGTTCTCTCAGCCCATGTTAGCATACATAGTTTTCATCAATATTATGTGGTTTCGAACTAAACAAACGTGGCTGAATCCATAACTTCACCCTCATAACGTCTTCCAATTTAATTTAGTTTCCCCCCTGTTTGGATTTAGTTTGTTTTTGTTTGTATGAAGATATAGTGAACTGCACGAGTATTACTGCGTGGTTTCGTTTTTCTGTCTATAGCATCAAGCCTGACGTGTTATAAATGTGAAGGAGACAACACTCCCCCGATGTGTAATGAGACTGAAATATGTTCAACGGGCAACACTCAGTGTCTGTCTCAAGTTGAGAAAGATGGTGATGGGAAGATGAGCTATAAACGAGGTTGCACAATTCCTGCATCTTGTTCCGCAAAAAAAACCGCCTGTCTTGTAGAAGAAAAATTGGGTCGAATAGACGACTGCTCCTACGAATGTTGTGACACAGACAATTGCAATGATAAATTCCCAGCTCTTGGTTCTGGTGTTCAAGTCACATCTGGTATAGTCGCCATTGCTGCAACATTGTTCTTTGCTCTTTTTGTCATGTGAACACTTTAGTTGTAAACTTTTTTATTGGCCAACTATGTCGCTCATACACATGGTCAAATTTAATTATTTAAAACTGCAACCGTATTGAAAAACTTTATAGAATATAGATCATTTTTGCTTTACACCGTATATTTTAATTTAAACCGTTTTAATTTACCAATCAATTTAGAGTTGTAATTTTAAATCTTAATGTTTCAATTTCAAAGATTTTTTGGGAATGTCACTAGTTATTATAATTGTGTCGTGTATCTTTTATGTATACTGCACTTTGTCAATTATTGCACAACTTTCTTATCCATTTTTAAAAATACAATATTTCCGTCAACTATAAACGATAACGTTTTCAGTCTGTACTGTCTAAGCTCCCCCCTGGGAGACATTACAGAAGAGCCACATTCTTGCTCATTTCATTTCACAAAAATAATACTTGTCTCGAAAACTATAATACAAGAAAACTATAAATATGAATTTCATGCTTATGACAGTCCCGGCCCTCTCGGTACGGTACAGAATCATAAAAAACTTACATAATCGACATGAAGATATAGTGAACTGCACGAGTATTACTGCGTGGTTTCGTTTTTCTGTCTATAGCATCAAGCCTAACGTGTTATAAATGTGAAGGAGACAACACTCCCCCGATGTGTAATGAGACTGAAATATGTTCAACGAGCAACACGCAGTGTCTGTCTCAAGTTGAAAAAGATAATGATGGGAAGATGAGCTATAAACGAGGTTGCACAATTCCTGGAACTTGTACCTCAAAAAAAGCCGTCTGTCTTGTAGAAGAGAAATTGGGTCGAATAGACGACTGTTCCTACGAATGTTGTGACACAGACAATTGCAATGATAAATTCCCAGCTCTTGGTTCTGGTTTTCAAGTCACATCTGGTATAGTCGCCATTGCTGCAACATTGTCCTTTGCGCTTTTCGTTATGTGAACCCCATAGTTGTAAACTTTTATATTCGCTATGTCGCTCATACACATAGTCAAATTACTGCATGGTTTCGTTTTTCTGTTTATAGCATCAAGCCTGACGTGTTATAAATGTGAAGGAGACAACACTCCCCCGATGTGTAATGAGACCGAAAAATGTTCAACGGGCAACACTCAGTGTCTGTCTCAAGTTGAGAAAGATGATGATGGGAAGATGAGCTATAAACGAGGTTGCACAATTCCTGGATCTTGTTTCGCAAAAAAAACCGCCTTCGCTTTACAAAAAAAATTGGGTCGAATAGACGACTGCTTCTACGAATGTTGTGACACAGACAATTGCAATGATAAATTCCCAGCTCTTGGTTCTGGTGTTCAAGTGACATCTGGTATAGTCGCCATTGCTGCAACATTGTCCTTTGCTCTTTTCGTCATATGAACACTTTAGTTGTAAACTTTTTTATTCGCCAACTATGTCGCACATAAAACTCACAAATTGCAAAAGTAAACGGCCTTTATATGTTGCCGTAGAACAAACAACAATTTTCTTTTAATTTTATTTTTACGTATAAATTCTATCTACCATAATCTCATATTTACCAAGAGTGTTAATTCCGATATCATCACTATATTAATACAATAAACTTTTATTGAAACCTGTTTTCCACGGTCGTGACAGTTGCAACTGCAGAAATGTTCGGAAATTTAAGTTATCGGGTCGTGAAAAGTAAATTCTTGGGAATAGGTTTCAAGCGCTTTGAACACAAAGATTTTATCTGAGTCAAAATTTCCTATTGCCATGATTCGACCATGGGAAATAAGTTTAAAATCATGATTAGTGTTTTATATATAAACTATCGGTTGATTCAAATATTGTTCAACAAGTCCACAACGCCTGGTTTACAATGACGCACACTTAATGCTTTATCGCTTTGATCTGATCATTCTGATAAAATTTTGGTTTTCATTCGCGCATGCGTCACGAGAACCAGAACTTACTGCCAGGACTTCATTTTGATTCAAAATCAATTTAGGTCGCATATAATGACTTTTAAGGCTGCTTTTCAGTTAACCGCTTTTCTTATACGCACGTACACCAAAGCAAAAATTCAAATGCTTCTAAATTTTTATTATGTAACATCTAGGTAAACAAATCCATATTAAAATATGTAGAAAACTAATTTCGTTCGATTTATACACTTAGTTTTAAGGATAACATATATAAGGATTTGGACTTGCACGTACGTGCGTATGAAAAACGCGCAAGTGGAAAGCATCCCTGACGACCATTTGCCTTAAAATCATAGCTTTTTTAAATCTATGTAAAACATGAATTTCCACAACATATTTTCTACCAACTTATGAAAACCCTATGAATCGGTGTATAAACAATGAAAGATTTAGTATTGCTAAAATACTATAATGTGATTATTCTATTACCGCGCATATTTATTCCAGGGGGGGATATTTGGTTTACAACGACGAACGGGCATACGTAAGGTTGTTGCAAGGCCACTGTTGTGTATCTGAAGGGATACACGATGGTAATATTCGACAAGGCTTTGTATTGTTGGGTGATTGTTAAAACCCTCAGCAAAACCAAATCCTTCAGGACTTTCTTCGATACAAAAATGCTTGATTGCATTATTGAACCTTAAAACAAATTGCACTAATTTTTAGCAATTCCATGCAGTGATGGATGAAGATAAAATGAAATAAAATCACACTTGATTTACATTCAAACTATGGATAATTTACAAACAGTTTTTATTAGTTAGTATGCACAATGTCAATAGAGAAACATATCGAAAAGCGACGACTTAAGGCCCTGTTACACGGTGCAATTTTTCTTGCAACTTGCAATGCAATTCTACTTTTGAGAGATGTAAATTTGGCCACTACGAAACTTTTATGTTTATTACACTCCATTGCAAGTTGCAAGAAAAATTGCACCGTGTAACGTGGCCTTTATTTAGTTAGGAAAAAATTATGAATGAGACAAGCATTAGATTGGAAAAAAGCAAAATAATTTCATGGGTGATGTCAATATTGAAAGACATACTTCGGATCTTGGGCTTACTCATGATTTCAACCTATTTCCTACTACATGGGAACATCATAGGCACAAGAAGACTATAAATATTTTCATGCATATGTCACCCTGCCTTCTCTGTATTACAGAATCAAAAAAAACTTACATAATCGACACGGCTTTCATTCCACGGTTTTTACTCTCTCGGACCAAGAAAGTACCGTCTGGAGTTTCGTGTAAATAACTTTTGACTGTATCCCTAATGAGAATAAATCAAAGAACACTAAATCAAAGACATCAAATGTGGAGCTGAATTGGATCAACCAATAGATCTTTCCAGTAGCTAATTACGTTCTAAATATAACTGTTTAGATACACAAAATCAGTCTTTTTCCTAAAATAAAGTATATATTATTGCATGATTCTTTTAATTACCGAAATGGTCAATACTACGAGCTGACATTCCACGCTATTTCCACCCTAAATTCTGCGTTGTTTACGTGCGCAATCTCGCGGACTTGAAGATGCAATAGTTATTAAAATTTCGTATACTCATCGACTTAAACTCCAGACTTCGACCGCAGCTAAAGGAAATAGACCTTTTTCATAATGACGTCAAACGCGGAAAGTATGATGTTACAAGAAATTTGATTGGCTCGATAGTTTTGTGGACTCAATCAAATTTCGTGTAACATCACACTTTCCGCGTTTGACGTCATTATAAGAAAGGTCTATTTCCTTGAATCGTGCTATACGACTGCTGTCAACTGGCACGTGGGAATAAAGAGTGCCGTTGTTGCTGCACGAGGTAGACAAAACACACAGAGATCTGGAAGTAGTTATCACACTCAAGTTTTCAAGCGGAAAGACAAAAATACGTCGAAAAAAGTTACCGGTCTAAGACGCCAAATAGCCAATATTCGGGAGAAAGATTTACTGACGCTTCTTCTTCAGTCATTGGGAACTCATAAATCCTGTGCAAGGAAAAAAGTATGAGACCATTTAGGAGGAAGTAAACATAATGTGCATGAGATAACTTGTTGTGATATAAAAATTAATACAGTACTTGAAGTCCGTGTTTCCAGCTAAAAGTTCCACTTCTTCCCTCTTCATATCTTTCTCTTCTAAAAACCTTGAACGGAAAATATATTGATATGTAAGAGGTCATGTTTCGCGTCTTGGACCTTACATCTTGGTCCAGTTGTATAAGACGTTAATGTAATAAAAATCCATCGTATAATCAAGGATTTCAGACCGTTGCATGCATGGATTAATGTACATCACAACACTTACAGCATATATTTCTCTTTTTTATGCTGAAGTTCCCAAAGATCTGGTTTTATTCTATTCATTTCTTTCTCTATCTGCCGACGTTTTTCTGATTTCTCTAAACACTCGTGTTCCAAAGTATTCAGTCCATCTTGTTGTTGGCCAAGTCGTTCAGCGAGAAGTTGATAATTGACGTCCAAACTAAAAACAAGAAAGAAGATAAGAAAGTCATGAGAAAACAACTAGCTTGAATGTAGGTCAACTCCTTCATATCAAAGCATTTTTATGAGCTCCCTCAACAACAAATTTCTATGATTTAGGATATTTGGCAAACAAAGGACATATCCAATCGATCGAGGAAAAGTTGAATTAAAGGAAATACTTTGGCTAGCTTGAAATACATCGGTGCCTCAATAACAAATTTTTCAAATGATTCAGACTAAATTTAAGGACTGTATGATAAAGAAAATGGTGTATTAAGTTTATGCATATCACTGATATACGTAAATTTTATGAAGCACACCTTGCTCGTTCACCAGATGGAGCTTCTCTTCTAAAATTAATGTGTATTTTGACCTGTTCTTCAAGGAAAGAAATTAACTCCTTTTGCGCAGATATCGCTTCTTCAAGAGAGGCTACTTCCTACCGCCAAAAGAAACACATAAAATATTATAATCAAAACTCATTTGAACTTTTTTTTCAAAGACATTCGGATCTAGTCCGCTCGGGTATGTCACGTGGATGTTGATGAAACGACCAGATCTCGATATCAATTACATTGTGGTTGGAAGTAATGAAAAACATGTCACGATGATTAAAAGTTATTCAGACAAAATGGATAAAGTAAAGCCAACCTGTTCACAATCAAAACATTGCTCTGATAATTCTTCATATCTGGAGGATTTTTCATTAAATAATTCTCCCTGCTTTCCTCAGTATGTTGGCTGCTCTTTTCACTTCGGAGACCTCTTGCTAGAAATATTAACAGAATTGCAATCAGCCGATGGTCTATATCTAGTTCTAATTAATTTTGAATGAATTTACAGAATGAATTCTGTTTAATCTCAGACACCTGTACGAGGAAACCACTGCATCCTTACCTCGCGACAAACTGGATACAATAACATGATATCCAATGCTGAACTATACTCTTTGAGCGAATGCGTGCGATAGAATTCAATCAGTTCTGGGACTGAGTTATATTCACAAGGTTCGGCAAAACCAAATTTGCCGTGTTTTTGTTCGATGCGAATCTGCCTATTTCCTCCATCTTTCCTAAATGCGTCAAAATGTTGAATATAAGGATTTCAAAGAGGTTGATTGAGCATAATGATATTACTTTGAAAATCTGCTGTCTATTGTGATCCGAACATTTAATTGCAAACAAAAAGCTCTTACTTCAGTATCAAGACGTAACTATCTTGGATTCGCCGACTATTCCGCACAAGAAAACTCCCGTCTCTACAACCAGCCAATTTTTCGCTCTCTTTCTCCCTGCAATAAAAAAAATAGTGTAAACGAATAAAGAAATGACGGGAAATGTCGAGAACCGTTGCATGGACATATATAATATCTGATATAGACAATATCTGATAATAAAGTCGACAGTAAACGTTCAGTTGATATACTGTATTGATAGTAAAGTCAACATCATACATGACCGTACCCTTTAAGCTCTCCCCAGTACCACTCGACTTTTTCGATCTCCTGTACAACTCCCTTAGCAGCGTGAGGTCGGGGTGGTACTGGAAATTAGCAAAACAACAAAATGAAATGAAATAAAGAGTAGAGTTGGCAGAGTAGACATTGCTTAAGATACAGTAAATTGAAAAGCTTAAGGTAAGACCCACCAGGTGGTATTGGCAAAACATCATTTTCCTCAAGCTCACTGTCAGCTTCATTACTTGTATTCCTTAAAGCTGTCAATAATTTTATGATAATCCTTGTGTGGGCACCCAAATGTTTCGCCATTAATCTACATAAGAATACGAACAGGTATTGCATTCGAACAGTCCAGATTCAATTCAAAGTCCTAGTGGTCAGTTATTTTAACCAGCCTCCTCCCTTCACGTCAAGAATGATGCCCGTGCTATACCCGTAAGAACTTCTTCTAGCCGTAACACGAACTTCTAACACGCAACTCATTAGGTAGAATGTTGACCACGTGATTTTCAAATACATGTAAGGTGCCGCACATGCAGACAAACATATCATATGATTGTACAGTTTTATACAATTTTTTAACATTTCCATGCATTCTAATGCCCTTATCAACTACATACGTTAGATTTTCATGTCGTGGTCTCAATATTAACGAACCAAATATTTCTCCAATGGCTACTTCTGATATTCCGTTGTCTGCCATAATCACCCTTAGAAAAACAAGAGTTCACATGTTTTTCGATATCATAATGCAATTCCAGCCCACGTATCCTCGTGGATTTCCAGCCCTTGGGTTACGCACCAAAAGCCACGGTACCTTTCTGTTTCGAGTTACTCGACTTTTTAGAGGAATGATTAATTTTAGCCCAGCAAAAAAACAGAAACAGAAACACAGTGCTAAAAATTTACCTACGCATGCATGTAACTATAATATATACCATTAATGCCACAATCGCAGAGTAGAATAAGTAAACTTGCTGACTTGAAAAGTTGTTACAGCACTTGAACATTGTGAATAACCCGAGACCCGATTTTACTATCCGATTTTCTCCTTTTGATAGATGTGAACGAGTGATTTAAGTTACTGATTTTTAAATAAGAGCTTTTATACATCAGACCATTCATAACTGGTCACTTGTTCACATCTATCAAAAGAAGAATATCGCAGCAAAAACGGGCTTGTAAACCAAGCTGCCAAATTCTAGTTGCTATACCATGCATCACCTCGTATCTTGTTCCTCATTCTAATGTACATCCCTAATGCTCATACTTACTGATTCAAATGAGCTAAGATAAGATTTAAAATCTCTCCATTCGCAGGCGGTAAAGCATCCAACACGCCAGAATTATTTCCATTTGGCGATTCTAAAATGAAAAAAGCTGTAACATTCGAAATGGATTCGAAACAGTAAATCGTATTCCTATTCAAGGAAAGAAAATACCCGGGTGAAAGTTTGACATAATTTGAAAATCCTGCAATACATACCTGCAAACTCTATAAATTTCTCGTACATGTCGGAAGGTAAGAGAGAATCAGGAAGTTCATTAAGGTAACCCAACAAAACAGCTGATGGAAATAAAGGATCAATCCATTCTTCAGCTTTCATGTCAACATCCTCCTCGTCTAAGTAACGTTTAAGTGGCTGATAAAGTTTTTTTGCCGTAAAATACATAAAGTCATCTTTATATATTCACACCATTCTTTTTTGTAGTCTTTCTCACCATATTATTTGACATAAGGAAAATAACGTTCATGATAAAGAGAGTACCATTCACCTTTATACAGTGCCTCTCTTAGAGCATATTTCGATCCCCAATCTTCGGGTTCCCTTTTATAGATATTTCTTATATTGAGGCCTCTACTTTCAACAGCGCCAATACACTTTTTAACAACAGTTGGGACTCCATTATCTTGCGGTAACGGAATGTATACGGGATCTAAAAAACAGAACAAATCCCGCACTCGTTAGTTTGTTTGTTTGTTTGTTTGTTTTTCACCGGTCCACATTTGCAATTCTTGTTGTCATTTTTGTCTTCTGATCGATACAAATACTCACTCGATGATCCTGTTGGAGGTTTTTCCATACAAACACGTAAAATTCTATAATGTGTGCACTTTCGATGAATAACTAACTCACATTCTAGATTAAGAAAACCCATGTTAGCGATTATTTTCTTCCAGAAATATCGTGATTATTTTTTTTTAAATGTCAGGGGTGGATCCAGCACTAGTGCACTAATTTGCATGACACAAGAAAACTGCTAAAAATAACCATTTTGTTTTGTAATGCAACTTAGTGCACTAGTGCTGGATCCACCCCTGCTAAATGTTGTTTGGTACACCAGCAATTCATGTTCACGATAAATAAAAAATATCTTACTTGTACACTGGAGACCTTGTCTCACAAGACCAAATAAAACCTGTCCACATTCGTGGCACCATGTAATTGCTGTGAATGTCTGCACTACAAATGAATGGGTGTCAATTGAACCTAAAAGAAATAATCACAATATGAAATACCTGGATTGCTTCAGGTATGATAATATGGTTATAGACAGACTGGTTTGGTCGCTCAATTAACGAAAGAGTGAAGGAAATTTTCAAATTTGAAAATCACATTTACTTCAGTGTCATCAGTTGTATTATATAAACAGCATGTACAGGTATGTAGACAATCTTCAGACAATTAGGTTCAAAATGAAAGGAAAAGATAAAGTAAACATGAAATGTAGAAACGTGCGATGAAAAGCTACAGTGCTGAACTGTAGTGCCGAAAAACAGGCATAAGTCCTTAGCTCTCCCTCAATCCAAAAATTGCTTCACAATCTCTGCAAAACTGTAATCTATCAAACCATTAAATGTACCTTTTTTACCAATTTTCATACCAGGATATTTTCGAGCTCTCCTCTAATTTTGAAGAATAAAAACGAAATTACCATCATGAAATGATATGATCAGCCAGAATGGTTGATGAGAAATCTAGAGAACTAGTTTACTAGAATTACAAATTGTAAGCAAAATGCTGCGAGGGAGTTTATCAGATGTATAGTGGACCAGTTGTTCAGAGATACTCAGATACATATGGTGGGCTGGTTGATCAGAAGTACAGTTGGCTGGTTGAATAGATGTATGATGGAATGGTTCATCATAGGAATGGAGGGCTGGGTGATCAGAAGACTTATGGTGCGCTGATTGATCAGATGGTGGCCTACAGTAGATGACTAGTCAGGTATAGTAAACTATTGCATAATATGAAAATAATTCATTAACTTACAGTTTCAGAATTGCCAATTAACCCATCAATACATGTCAAAATCATCTTGATGTGAAATTCATCATGAATTCCTAAACCTTCTAGCTTGCCAGCATCTAAAGCCAACAATATTCTGCCACTGATCTTGTGCGACAAAAACAGGTGTGCATATTGAAACAGATTACTTGCAGCCATCCAGAATATAACATCTTCAACAGACCATTCATCTGGGCCCTTGAATAAAAATACAAGTAAAATTTAAACAAACATATTACAGTATACTACACACTTTCACATTTTGTATTTATTTTGAGTAGAAGTTCAATTAGCCTTTTTCAAAATGACGAATGTGCTGCTATTTTTGAAGTACGTTTTTTTTCAAATTGGGAGTGCATGGCATTGTCAGGGCGGCTGTCTTTAATTTTAGGCCTAATTTATTATTCAAATGGTCTATTGACTCTTAAAAAATGCTTCTTACATTGCTATTATTGTTAAACGCATTTGAGAAAGTTGAAAGTACCCCAATCCAGTATTTGCCAGTATTTGTCATCGTGAGAAAGGCTAATTGGTCAACATAATGCTCAAATCAACAACTTCAGATATCATTTACAGTAACTATGTAAATATCAGTCAGTATTCTGTGCACAGCATAGTGGTTAACTATGTTACTAATCTCTACGAATAGGCAATAAAATTTTAACTTCACACTGTACCTTAGCTAACGTATCATAGGGACTTTCATCCTCATTACTTTTTTGAATTCCCGGACATTTATCACTGTCCTTAGCACACAATAAGTGGAATGATTTACTGCATGCTGCAAAAAAGTGTGTAGTACGATTAGCAATTTGTCATAGGCCACAAAAATGATAAGTAGGAAAATGTGCAGGGAAACATATTTCTATATATTGTTTATACATCTATATCTATAGTTGAAACTTACTGAGACATTGATAAAGTAACTTGTGTTTTCCCCAGATGTAATCTAAACCTATATTTGTTCAATAAAGGAAAATGAAATGAGAATTGTTTCACGAACATGATTAATGTGTGTGTTACATATACACAATAATTATCAGTGGTGATTTAATAAATAATAATAATTATTGAATTTGCTTACAATAACCACAGCAAACAGGAGCTGAGCGAGTAATTTTTTGTAATCCATGTTCATTGTGAGTTAGAGATTCAGGAAATTCTAGAAAATGAATACAAATAACTATACTTATTCCATTATTTTCCTCTCATGTTAGTCCACCAACATGTTCAATAATTGCATACACATGAAAGTAGAGTGTATGATAGGAATAAAGAACATAATGCAATTAGGCAGAAATAATGGACCTAACCCCATTAAAAACCCATGTTTCAAAAACAGCTAGCTGATATAATACAGGCAAAATACAAGCAAATATCAGAATTTTTTCACTAGTTTCCCAATTTGTACCAGTCTATGTTAGCTGATGGTATCAATCATAGGTAGTAACATGAAACTCTCTAATAAGCAGGGTTCTTAAATTAAAGACTAATTTATTTAGAATAGTTTATTTAGAATAATTTCTATCAGTGATCTGGAACAAACAAGAACCAATGTTTCTGTCGGCTGCAGCTGCATTCAAAAACATGTTTTATGGAAAGGAGCTTCCTATACAATAGATCAGTAATAACAGAGAAAGTGTCAGAAAAAGAAAAATACCTAATTTATGCAATGACTTTGTGATGATGTAGATAGTTTAGAAATGCTATTATTATCACAATGCAGTACTTAATATGCCAATGGAATATATTGAGAAGATTGTTTATAGTATTGTATTCAAAATTGAAAAAATACTTGTAATAAAACAATCATCTTAGCAATGATGTAAAATTGAGAAAATATGCAGAGGATGCATTTGTCTGTTAAAACACAGTGTGAAATCATGCATATCAATGTAGAAACAAGGAAGTGATATAGAGGAAGGAGGGAATATCATTTAAGATAAAACACTTTACCCAGTGTGTCATATTTCATGTGTAATAATACTTATATATACAAGATCATTCAAGTAAATGAATAATGATGACTCATGTTATAAATTGTGAATTTGTCTTTGTAAATGCATAAAGATCAGTTAAGATGCTTGTAACTAAAAACCAAATCAACTCCAAAAGGCAAAGTTTAAAGTATGTGGAAAGCTAATTAAGATTAAATTTCAAAATTAATCTTAATACGTCGGATGAGTTATAATAATTCAACAAATAGACACTTAAACCTTTTATTTATAATGGAAAATAATGAACTTATCTTGCATAATCTGTGGCTTGATATACAAAACCGTAATATAAACATTATAGCGTTCGGATTAATACTTCCTCACACAAGAAATAAGGATAGACTGCACTACACCTTCACCTTTGCAAACACGGAAGGATAAGACGAATATTTAAATGCTTCCACTCACTTCCTAAATCACTATCCGCCATACCTACTAGCTCTTTCAAATAATTGCCAGGAATCTGTCCACGCTGTTTAGTTCGTTGATTCTCCCCTTCTATCCAGTCCACAATGTTAAATGGTCTCTTAACGAGAACAATGTCTCCAACCCTTAATTCTATCTCGCCAAAATGCTCAGGTTTGAAGTTATATAATGCCGTGAACGATGCATACCCACTCGCCATAACCGCATAAACAAGGCCTGAAGATTTACATTTTCTATTTATTTCGATCATAAAATAATTCACATAGCCGCAACTGACGGAAATCGCGACAAAACATATCAAAATTGAACATGTTGTCCTTTTACCATAAGAGAAGTTCTTCTTGAACTTAGTCCTTTACACCGGGGATTGTTTCCACTTGGAAAAACAAGCGGGAAAAAGCAGGAAGTGTTTTTTTTTTACATTGCAAAATTCCTTGCAGTAACTTTCTAGGATTTAATACCTCCAAGTTATAAAAGAAAGATTTTCTCATTTTCTCTGAAATTTAATGAAATGTCCGGATTTGACTTGAGAAATCCAAAGCAGACTCCAGAAGAATACGTGGACCAACTGAGAACAATATTGGAACATGACTGTCTTGGGGCTAGAAAAAAAGAATGTTTGTAAAAAAAAATTATATATACATTACTTTAAATAATTTCTTCAAACATAAATGATATATAATATAAAATAAATAATTTTGTCCATTTATTTTAATGAAATAGGCTACTTCTTGACATTGATCAAATATTAATATTTTTTATGTGCTGTATATATACTTCTATAGCTTGCCACCAACTGGGTGAATTCTACCAAGCTGTAGAACGAAACAATTCAAAAGCAAGAGATATTTTCAAGAAAAATTGCGAAGAGCTAGATTTTCCACAAAGTTGCTTCTCTCTAGGGATTATACACCTAACTAATAAAGGTTGTTAATATTAATCTAATATTTAGCAATTAAAGTTAGGTATATGAAGTTACCAGATTATTTGGACTCATGGTACATATTTTTATATATGTCCCAATTTAATAAATGTTTTGTTTCAGGGCAATTCAATAAATGCAAAGGTTGGAGTACAAGCATTAGTTCATTCAATAACCATACTTAGAGATATCTCTCAGAATGGTTCTTGAAATCTAGAATTTACTACCAACGCCAGTAAGAGGTTGTAGGCCCCAAAATAGTTTGCAGGACCTGAAAATTAGCTGGGAATGCCTTTCCTGAATGCAATGGCCAGGGTTGTCTTTACACGTTTGTCTTGGGACCCTTAGTTATCTCCCACTGACCTTGACTAAAACTCCATGCATCCTCTATAACCAGCCTTAAAAAGTACAAGAATATTTTAAGAGTGGAACCTTTTACTAATCGTTTTTGGCTGAAAATTTCTCTCGTTTATATATTAATTATTTGTTAACAGATGATAGAAAGCCACTTGATGCTCTAATGTTGTTTAACAAAGCATGTGAAAGAAATGTTTGGGGTGCCTGTAATAATGCTGGACTGCTTTATCAAAAAGGAGAGAAACACTTTCATGTACCAAGGGATATGGAAAAAGCTTTGCACTCCTTCAATAAAGCATGCGATGGTAACTTTCGTAATGGATGTTTTAACCTAAGTGTGGTATATTTAACTGGAAATCATGGTATAGAGAAGGACATGGTTAAAGCATTGGAATATTCTGTAAAAAGTTGCAAGTTGGGACATTCATGGGGTTGTATAAATGCAAGCCAGATATATTCACAAGGAGATGGAGTGGAAGTTGATTTGGAGAAGGCAAAATTGTTTAAAAATCTTGCAAAGGAATGTAATGGAAAGGGGTGAAATGGTAGGGTAGACAGCCATGTATTGCCTGTTCAGGCAAGTATCAAATGGATCAGTTTTCTAAACCAACCTTCACTGTAATGTTGTTAGCTTGCGTGCAGTCCTAAATAAATAGGGCAAAAGAATTTTCTCACATTGAGCCTCATCTCAAGAAAGCTAATGATGACTTTCTGTTCCACTGCTAATGATTTAATAAATACAAATACACATGGACTTTTCTTCTTTTACCTATAATTAATAACAGTGTATACAGTACTTTGAGACACTGCTAAAACCAACATAATAATAAATTAATAATATACAAATGCCTCAAACTATTTACAATAAAGTATGCTTTGCACCACACCCTGTTGTTAATGCTCTAAGAACCATCATGATTTTTTTTTTAAAATTTAATTTTGATCATCTGATTCTCTGAGACCAAGTTCCTGCAGGAAATGTTTCTCCATTTCCAAGTAGTTTTGATATTCCTAAGGTGGAAAAATAAATATTTTGTTATAATATATGCCTCAATTTTATTGAACTATAAAAGCACAATGTGAAACAATAACAGCATCATATGAACCTAACACAGCACGTGCAGCATAAAACAATATATACCTGACGTGCTTTGGCCTCCCATTCAGCTTCCTGTTCTTCTATAAGTTTTTTCCCATCCACCTAAAGACAAATGTTTTAGTATATCTATCAGCAAAAATGCAAACAGGGGCACTGGAAGGATGTAAACAGTTTAACTATTACAGGTTAGCTGAGGTGTCCTCCTGGTAAAAGTCATGGAGGAGACCATGCAGGTTCCCCCTAGCTCTCTGGCATAATACTTGGTTAAATGTGAGCAATATAGGTTTGAAATATATATATTAGTATTATAAGATTGAAGAAATAAAAAGGTCTTATTGTTATGGTCTATACAGTGGTTTACTGGATAAGACTGGACAAGCTTGATCAAGAGGTGTAGGTTTACTGTACGTTCTGGATTAGAGAGTAATAACACGATTTCCATGCTCTTGCACTATTAAGTCTTGTCCAAGTACAGATGAAACAAAATAGTGATTGCCTACCTGTACTTTTTCTTTAGGTTTCTCAACATCTTTTTTCACAGTCTCCATTGCTCTGATCTTTCTTCGCTCTTCAACAAATTTTAATCTTGATACTTCACGTTCGAAAAAGTTCTCGATTATATTTTTCTGTGAATAAAATAATTTATCATGTACAATTTTTAAAAAACTCCAAATATGAATCAAGGATAATAATACTTTTCCGCATGTCTTAGGTATACTTTTTGGGGATCAAGAAACTGAAATGGGGATTTAAGAACCATGGAATGGGCCAACATTTACCCAATTAAGCATCTAAATTACAATACAACCTTCTAAATAGACTAGTTTGGGATTTGGAACACAAGTGATGCCCATGCAGAATTAGAATGATTGTTATATGCACCTCATTGACAGAAGGTCGTCGTAAATTCCAGGGCACCTCCATGATGTGAAGAGTTCCCACATTATCACCAATCGACAGCAACTGTTGCTTACCTATGGAGAAAATATGAAATATGAATACTTTGGGACCAGCGGAACCTTTTTCCCTGCAAAACCCAAGATACAGTATTTCTGCTTCTTGATAAATGTGAAAAAAAAATTAGGTTCGTTCTGCTGACAGACTTTTTTATTTTTTTGTACGTATACGCGTCTTCAGAAGAAATCCGTCAGGCAGAACTGATATTTGAATATGCATCTCCCAAATTGTCGCTATAGTTTCGTTCAAGGAAAAATGTTTCATTGGCTGGATGGTACTAACTTGAGACTTGATATGGATTTATACTAGTTATGGCAGCTGACGTCACATTTTGTGTTAGTGATGGTTCATGTGATCTGTGAAAAAAAGTAACATGCTGGTAGTTTTTAGTCAACATAGGGCGACAGAGAACCACGACTTTCATTAGTAAAATGTAATCTGCAACGATACTTGCAATTTGTCAGTGCAACGAATTTTGTGATGGCACAAATTACTGATTGAAATTTAGAATCTTACTTATCAAGTAAATCCCAAACGTCAACATTTCCATCAGCTCTCGTTACAAAAAATACTCCTGGAAAACAATTAATGGATTTAATAATTAACATATCAGCAGCTACAGTACATGTGCAACAAGGTTGGTAATGTTTTTTTGGTGTTATTCCAATGCAAAATATCTTTTCATAAGGAGAACAACCGTTAATTCATTTGGACAGAATTATGAATCTAACCAGCATGCATAAGGAAATAAGAGTTAATTTAAACTCAGATCATTTTTTCGCATCTTTGTACAAAATAATCACATTCTTTTTTATAACAATCAAATAAATTTGCGAAATGTCGGGTCGTTGTTCACCGCAATTCACACCATTTCTAACAAAATTCCAGGTCTGATGATCCCGCGGAAGAAGAAAAATAATTATTGAAAGCTGTACTACATTTTTAGTCCAGTTTAAATGGTTTCTACAAATGGTGATTTTTTTCTATATATAGCACGCAGTGCCACCAACCTGGTCTAGTTGGACTCCAGGTTCCCGCGGTTAATCTCACTTGGAATGATGCCGACTCCAAAATAGGCCCTGTCTATTAAAAGATAAGTTAATACATTCCACTACGTTTTCTTACATATCTCACTATAAGAAGTTATTTCCGGTAATCCGGTTAGTAGAGATGAGATCCCGACCAACAATTTGCTCTGTCAAAAGGTGCAGAGTTTAGGTTTAGGTGAACATACCGTGACGCCTTCTTTCCAAATCGCAAACGTCCATCCACCAATCGATAACAGAATGTCTTTAAAGAAAGGTGAGCGTTGTAGAACGCAGACAAGTCCTTCGTGAGCAGCCAGGACCAATTCAGGTTTACTAGCTATAATTTGAAAAAAAAGTACTTGAGTTTTGTTGATAAAATATTGTTTATGCAGAAGAGGTATGTAGGTAAATATAAGAAGTACGCGGAAACACCAGTGATAAATACCTGAAAATTTCCCACTATCCGAGTCTTTAGACAACTTCCAATCCATGTAAACAACATCACCACTCTTAAACAAACAATAAACGAAGACATGGTAAGTGCAATAAATATCACCGTGCATTCATTCATGTGAAAATCATCTGTTTTAAAACGAAATGGGCCAAAGTCAAAGTCAAAGTGAAAGACTGCTTTAATAAAGATCCAGGTTTACCTCTGTACCGACAAACAACATGGTTGCAATGTTCTCCAATATTTTTCCTTGATCTTTTTTACTTGTCATAGAAATTGTTCTGCTCAAATGTCCAGCGTCCTTATCGTTGTCTGGTTGGTTAACTACACATGAAGGGTTTTAGAAATACTATGAAATAAACTGCAATGCTTGTACGTATCTACAGGGCTAAATGAAGCTCGTGCGTTTGGAAATAAGCCTAAAATTATCTACAATCTATAGTACGTCACTAAAGTCAACGTACTTGATGATCTGTCCCCATGTCTCTCCGCAAGACTAAATTTTGTTGGTCCAAATTCCCCAGAGCCAGTAATATGACTCACAGATACCTAATCAAACAGATAAAAGATGTTTTGGATTTAATCCACGAGAGATTGATGTGACAAACGTAAATTATCATTACCTTTAGGATAGGTTTCCATGTGAGATCAAGTTGTTTCAGTGGATTGGATACAGGTTGGGTGGTAGGTTTATTTACCGATGTCATCTGGCTTTGATGAGCTGATTTTGTCGGTCTGGTATCCCAGTACAATATACTTCTGTAAAACAAAATCGATGCTCCAAAATATAACAAACGAATACACTTCTTCTTTCAACAATGTTCACTGGCAGGTTAAACTTTAGTGTGGTGGGCTTTGGTTGGTTTAAAAGCTCACTGTTTGTTAATGAATATTAATTATAGCTATAGTTTCATGATTTGACCCACCTCCCCCCCCCCATAAAGATTGAGGCAACGCTCGTACATTTCTGTCCTGGCAAAATATAGAAATTGAGGAAATAAATAGCTCACCCGTCCGCGGCACATGTTATTAACTGATGACAATAGCTTGATTTATTTTCAACAACAACACCCATCCTCCCAATCTAAATAAAGTTCGGTGTTTTAAATGAGTCTCACACATGATAAAAATACAGTAAACGAATATTTGTTTATTAACATTTTAATAACAAATCAATGAAACCGAACAAACGCTCTTTAGATCAACATAATTGTCCGGGATGAGGCTAAATAGCTAATTGTAACCTTTTCTATAATTCCTGATTGATCACTATATGCCAAAATTTTAACCTTTTTAATAATACCCAAATAGCTTAAAATTGAAAAAACTATTATTTATTCCTGATTGCTGGGCGACGCACAATTTACCTCCATGTGATCTGGAATCCACTGTAAATCGGAAACAGCACTTTTATGACTGTGTTCAATAGCGGAGACTGCACAGTAACGAACAATCGGAGTATGATCTGTGTTCGAATCATCTTCAAAACCAGGCTGAAAACACATCACAAGACTTCGTAACATGTACTGTATGACGTGACAGGTAAAGAGTTATGTACCTCTTTTCAATTAGATTTTGTCATCTGTTAGGGTTAGCCTTTTCTAAATAGATTTTGTCCTTATAAAACAACTGCAGTACTGCTCAGAAGTAACTTAACACTGAGTTCCGAACGCATTCCAAAATGCGTTCTTTGCGTTCCATGAAATATTTGGAACGCGTTTCTCGGTTGATTTGAAACCGCGTTCCTACTTTTCGGAAATTTCCGAGTTGAATGGTGTTGATCCCGATCGGAATACACTATAGCGATCCTGGTCAAACATGTTTTTGGATAAAGCGGCAAAACATGTTGATCAAAAAATCACTGAACTAAGTCCAGACAATAGATGGCTTCGTTTCGCACATAGCTAGCTACATACTGTGATCAACATGTGTCTGTATGTCTATGGTCAATGTGAGCTAGTATAAGACTCAAGGTTCTTGTTTCTACGCATGCATGCAGTAGCATAATACTAACACAACTTACCAACGAGGTCATCGTATTCTTCTTTGCTTTAGCAGCTTGCCGGTGACTGAGAAGGCGATCATTCCAACTGCTGATGTCCCATAAGACGACCTGTTTATGACATATAACGTAATTCACCCTAACATCTCATTTTAACTATTCTCTATGCATGGTTACAGAGTTCATTGTTCAAAAGTATTAGATATTAGTCGTGGCTGAAGCGGTGGTTACTGACCGACAAGTATTCCTTTCCTAAATTTTCAGTGCCCTGAATTGCTGCATTTCCACTGCAAATATTTTCATCACAAAAAATACAGAGTGGGAGGGCAGGAGCCAGTCGTAGAATTTATTAAAGAACATCAAAGTTCAATTTAAATGGTACCGATTTACAATTGATCGACTTAAAAAACAACTACGCGATGGAAAGCGCCATCTGACCGGTCCTTGTGTAACTAGTCCCAGAAAGATATATCTCAAAACTTCATGAATTTTAGTTTTTAAAGACGTTAAACCTCCAATGAAACACAAAAATATAACAACAAGTGATGAAATGTAAATCCAACCTGTCCATTAACACATCCTCCAGCGATTATGGTTGGCTCAGATGGGTTGAATTTAAAACTGAAGATATCATCAGGAGCTTCCAACAAGAGCTTTAAAGAAAAAACAACGGCTATTGTGTTTAGGTCTATGAATATAGTTTGAATATATAAAATAATATCTATGGGAGCCGCCATGAAATAACATGTGTACGGTTAAGAAGACAGTAAAGGGGTCACCTGTGGATGTATTGGATCAGAGAAACTCCATATTAATATCAGTGACGGTGTCATGATAATTCTTGAAGCATTGTCCACTCTTTCATCAAACGACATCTGCTCAGCACAGGACACTGCGATAATACCTAAGACGGTAAAGAAATAAATTATTGTCATTTGTATTCACCATCAATATCAAATTATACCGCGGGCATTCCTTTGTCACGCTCCCCCTATAGTGTGAGGTTGGCACAATAGCACGGGACCCGTGCAGCGCGTCTTCTCCCGAAAAGCAAGTCCGTTATACTCTATTCTTATGCATGTCTGATACACTAGCTCTATATCATAACGGGAGGAAAAACGGATAAACATTTTCTGTATCAGCTCCTGCTAGGGGATGGAGAAGATGCTGAATTATGGGTGAGGATTTAATCCGCGACTGAATAACTGATGTGAAGAATGGGAATTCCGTATTACAAATTTAACGTATCAATGAAAAGTCTGAAAAAGTATCAATCAAGGACTCTAATCTTTAAGTCAGAGATCAGAAGTCCTCTGCGTACCAATTACCTTTAGGTTAGAAAGAAAAATTAAACAAACGCACCGGGCGAATAATCAGGTTGTTCTAAAAGTAGTATTTGTACCTTTAGCAGTCGGATGCCATTCAGTATTTGTTACCACTTTCTCTTTACTGTACAACAAATCAGTAAATGACTGATACTCCTGCAAAGTACACAAGACGTAGCTATAATAAAGCTAGACGGTTCATCATTCATTAAAGCAAGTCGAAGCCGTCGAGAATGGTATGTTTGGAGTACCAAGATGACGATGAGTCTAGTTTCAATCCAGTTTTCCAGAGAGCATAATCTCGACAGGTTTTCTTGTGTCGCATATGCTTGCATGCTAGGGGCTTGTCGTTTTGTTACTTAACCATTGAAGTAACGTATTACTGACCTTGAGGTAGTTGTCAGATTTCGAACCGAACGTGCTATCTTCATCCGCCAAAGACAGATAATCGTCGTAAAATACATCCATGATTTCATTCTGCTGTAAAGCCAGCTCAAATCTAAATGGAAGAAAGATGAATCTATAATCGTCCAGAAATACTGAGCTCATGAATGATATCTAAAGGAATACGTATATTACTGTACATATATGTATATTTGTCGATATCATTTTAAAATTTGCTTTGATATCCTAACGAAAAAAATGATAGCCTAATAATGAGGCAGACATTTCTTGCATTTAGACTAGTCTTTTTGTTACGGCCCCGGGAGATCTGTTCTTAAACCAGATTGCTTGTCATATATCACGTGTTCGTTTGACCTCAACACCAACCTTGGAGTAACTTTTTGTAAAAATTCCAGCAAACTAGGAGCTTCTTCCGCCTCAACTTTCTTTTCTTCTGGTAAAAATCTGGGTTCGTATTGCACGCAAGCATTCCTGGGCTTCTTCCTACACCAAAATATAACAAAAATCTCAACTCAAATATACTCAAATCATATCTCAATATCAATCAAATGTCATCTAGGAGGTCGTTCAACGCTCGTTCAACGATAACCCTGGGCCGACTGATCCTAACACATCACATCAGACTATTCTTTTTATGTGTCTTGCATGCGTAATTTATTTAAAAGTACTTTTTAAAAATAAAACATCGATTGATTCGGACAATTTATAACCTAGGATTAATTCATGCATGTGACCGCGTTTGACCCCGATATGAATATATGGTATTATATTAGGCTTGCAGGCTGCAGCAACCTACCATTCCGTCTGTGATCCTCTCTCCTCTCTGGCTTGGACTACCTGCATGAAAAACCAGCGGGCAATCATATGCATGCATGCATCATGCAGTGATGTAATTCTTCACAAAAATACCAACAAATTTAATTGTTACAAAAGGCTTGCATCCTAACTTTTCAAGAAGTGCATTTGTCATATTGTGACTACTTTCTAAAGTGAAGCAGTGGAAATTGAAAATCTACTCATGGAAAGATTGTTTCACATACGTGTAACTAAAGAGTAAGGGCTGCTTTCCAGTTACGCGTTTTTTATACGCACTTACACGCACGGTAATTTCTAAATGGTTCTAAATTTTTATTATTCAACATCTAGGTCTACAAGTGAATACTAAAACATGCGGAAAACTAAGTTCTTTCGATTTATTTACTTAGTTTTTCCAAAGATAACATCTATAAGGATTTAGACGTTTACGTGCGTGTACGTGCGTATGAAAAACGCGTAATTGTCGCGTTTTAGCACGTACGTACACGCACGTACACGCACGTACACGCACGTAAAAGCCTAGTTTTTATTATTTAACATCTAGGTCAGCAAATGCATACTAAACTACGCGGAAAACTAAGTTCTTTCGATTCATTCACTTCGTTTTTTTTAAGATAACTTATACAAGCATTTAGACTTTTACGTGCGTGTACGTGCGTGCCATTGCGTATAAAAAAGGCGAAAGTGGAAAACAGTCCTAACATCGAAGAAAACTAAAGTCATTAACAATTTGCCCAGCTTAACATGTTGTCTTACGAAATTCTTTTAGTCGACTTCGCTGGACTCTAAGACTAAGAATCTTTCATGCGGTAGATATAATACAGTTGTTTGTACCTGAATACCAATATGAAGCTCTAATTTCTTCAAACTATAAGTTTCATCTTCGAACGGAAGGCATTCTACTGTGGAATCTTTCACTGTTTTCTCGCTTTGATCAGCAAATTTTACAGGAGCACCGAATTCACATCGTTTTCGTGAAATACAGATCTTTATCTACGGCAATACAGTAATCAAGATAACTATGGTTTTATGGCGACAGTCAACTTGCAGTAGTCTTCTCACCATAAAAAATTACTCGGTCCAATAACAATATGATGATTTTATTTTAGTCTAATTATTCAGTTTTTAATGTACCAACTCTGAATGTAACTATATAAAGGCGCCGTTACGCTATGCAACTTTCCTTGCAACTTGCAATGCAATTCTACTCCTGAGGCATCTTAAGTTGTCAAATACGAACATTTCTTATGATCTGCTAACGTTTTCTTAGCATTTTGAACACTTTTTACAAATTAACACCCCTCAAATTCATAATTGCATTGCAAGTTGCAAGGAAAATTGCACACATAGTTTGTATATGATATACAAAAATTACCTTGGCTCGGTTCTCAACAGTTTTTTCATCGTCGACATCTACCTCGCTCCCTAATGATTCCCAAGGTCTGGGTGAAACAGGTCCTTTCCATACAACAATTTCTTCTTCTGTTGTTGTACCTTCTGTTTGCTCTGTATCTGCCTGTTCACCAACGTCTGCCGACTCAGGCTAAAGTAAGAATATTTTCAATGTGCGAAAAGACAAGATACGATCATTTTCTTGCCCTAATTTCATTTTTGACGTAATTTCAAATTTTATTATTACATCACTAATTGTCAACCTTAAACGATTTTTTGCGTCACAAATTAAATTTTACAGCATAAATTTCACGCGCTATGTTAATTGTCAAGCAAATGATATAATAGTCTGTGTAGCAACCGGATTTTACTTTCAACGTCATTGAATAAAGTTAATGTCAATGATATGATATGATAATTATGGTTAGCATTGCTGTTCCTTTCTTGATAAAATTAATCGCACGTTCACACGGACTGGACGAATTTGTAACCGTAAAAAAAATTAAATAATATATTTTTAAAAAAATTAATTTTGGCCAGTTCTATGAAAACTTAACGAATTTGGGAACGGTCCCAAATCATTCCAAATCCGTCCAGTCCCGTGTGACGGTGGCCTTCATTTCATGAGAAACTATACACGTCAGGATTAAATTTAAGCCATATATTTTAATATATATTATAATTTAATATTTTAATATATTTTAATCGGTTGCTCACATGTAAAATGCTTTCTTTACATTCTTCTGTGGTGCAAAGATAAAAATTTTGCCCATATTTGAAATCCGCATCATACACAACTAACAATTCCTCACCAGAATAATCCTATAAAAACAAACAAAGATTAACAGTTTAACACATAATTGAAAAAGCTAATAACTATGTAATATTCTCAAAACAGGGCTGACACAATTAAAGGAAATTTACTGCAAGAATGACAAGCAAGAGGGTTCTATGTTGATATGATCTATTGTCCATTCTTTTCAAGTCTTTCTTAATTGCATTTGTCATTGCTACCCCCTGCCCTCTCCTTCTCTTCTCCTTGAAGTTTATTCCAGCAAAAAACAGGGGTGTATTCATCTCAAAAAAGAATATCATTAATTAGCTAGGACACTTTTACTCTAAAAAAGTGCACACTGCAAAATGGGGTAGCTGGCAGCCTGGCCCAGTTAAGGTCCTCAGTAACAGGATTGAAGTAAATTACTAGCTATTACATTGTCTGAGCAATTTAATTTTCCCATGTCAACAGTAACAAGAGAGATTGAGAGCTAGAATTAAACCCAAGAAACTAAGGGACAAGGCCATATAGATTTATCTATATATATTATATATATATTATATTATTATATTTATTATATATTATTATATTGTAATTCTTAGTCGATCTTAAACAAAAAAGTGAACTTTTCAAGGAATGTGTGCATGTGCGCAAGTTCCTGCTGGAAGTTTAAACGAACACATTAGCAATATAGCGCGGTAGTAATTGTGACATCTTAACTGTATCTTAGTTGCCTGATGATTGCTTGTTGCTGAAACTTGAAGTAGCAACTTATTCTTTAAAAAATTGTAATGAAACATTAAATTAATTATTATATATATTAATTCAACAGCCTCCACTCCACAGCTCATATATACTTGAAGCAATTTTGCCCAACAACGCCGATATCAATAATATAAAATATGCAATGTTCATTCGTTAGATTCGTTTACTGCACTCACCAAAACAATTTTTTTAGCCGGTGAAATCCGAGACTGCTGCTCTGTCCTTAAAATCTTGTAAAATAGTTTCTTTCTGAATAAGTTTGTACGGATTTTCTGCATTCACGTCTTCATCAGCTATGCATCCAAATATTTGTTGCGTTTTGCTGGTAAAGAACAGTGGTAATATATCTTGTGGAGCAGCCAAGCTGCCATCTCCACCCTGATTTGTTGTTTTCATCGACATTCTGCTTACCTGGCTACAAATAGATTATTTAAATTCCATGTACAGGACAAAAGGCTTATAAGCATTCAAACGGTAAAAAGCCAAAGAAGTTAACTGCCCGCCATATTTCTTTCTTCGCGACCTTGTTGCCAAGGAAACGTTAACAAGGAGTATGATGACCTAAAAAATCAACTGGACAACGACAGCAGGCACTAAGTACAGCCACAGCGGCAGTGTATATTATTTTAGTCATAACTTTGCTATAATTGACATTACATTTAATACTATATTTAACCTATTCGCGGGTGAAATCGTTGGTTGAAATCGTTGTATATTATAAAAGGGTATATTTTGCTGTTGGTACAATGATGATTGGTTACGTCACATTCAACGTGAATAAAAATTCTGGGAGAGATCATTTCCACACTACATTAATCTGATCGGGCATAACTACTCAATAGTCACAAAACAAAATAAAGATCGCAAATACAGTAAGTGCAAAAAAACTCACAAGATATGTAAATGCAATTATGAAAATTTTATGTCTAAATATACACGCAGTGCACTAAAGTCTAAAACTATGTCATGAATATTAGGCCCCGTCCACACGTATCCGAATAAAAAAATCTGCGTCGACACGTTGTCGTTTAGAACCATAAGATACATATGCAAAGTACTAATAAAACAAGACGCTGTGGTAAGAGTTATACGCCCTTATTCTAGAAGCTCACTCGCACTCAAACTCATTAAGTGGGAGATCTCAATCTTCTTATAACGTTTCAATGGCGTTAGTTTCAATCTAATAAGAGCTTGGTTTTCAGTGTTTCACCTAAGGTGTTTCTATTGAATAAGAAAGAACTTTTTCATCAGTAATAATAAAAAATTTCTATGACACACTCAATGAGTGCAAGTGTGAGCTATGGTGTGAGTGAGCTTTTTGAACACAGGCGTTAGTATTAAAGTAATTTAGCTTGTAGGTACACCACGTAAGTATTTAATACTGCAAAGCTTTCGGTCCGTTAACCCGGGCCTTCATCAGTGCAATTACAAAAAAAAAGCTTTGCAGTATTAAATACTTACGCGGTGTACCTACAAGCTAAATTACTTATCGACTGTGACCATGCAAACATACAAGAATATTATTACAGGCGTTAGTGGGGCCTGGGGCTATGGAAATATAGAGCTTTTCTGACTATTACTTGTATTAGCAATTGGAATATTAAAGTTAAAGTTCACTGTTTTCATGTCGTTGAAGTTGCATTGAAATATATCCATTTTCCTTAATATCGTGACCGACGTAACGTAGCCATCATGGAAATTTGTGTCAACGGAGATCTGCGAAAAATACGTACCGAAACCTAGAGTCGCTTTGACTAATTAGTTTTAATTTTACGAAATAATGTTTAAAAGTCGTCTTGCTCAACCGGTTTCTCAACCCACTTTCCTAACTCCTTTGTTTCAAATTCCTTTTTGAAAACGAGTAAAGCACGCTTGTAGTCTTCAGCACTTTGTTTGGCTTCATGGTAATTGGTTGGTGTTGCAACATTACGTTTCATCTTCTTCCAAATGGCCAGAAAGTGTTGAAAGAACAAACTTTTGCAAAGTCGCGAAGCTTCCCCGTTTTCCAACTTGCCAGTACTTGCACTAACGCACTCCAACCCATCATTCCCCCAAGACCAGTTTAAACTAGAATTGGGGCTCTTTTCCGTTGCACGAGCTTCGGGCAGAGAAATACCATTGACTAGGTGGTAATTATGGCGGTATGAGCCAGGAAGACCGGTAAGAACACCCAAACGCTTGTACAATGCACGAGTAAGATGGTGGAAGTTGTATAAACTACCGAGAACAACTGATGTGAGGTAGATGGGCTCAATGAAATGGCTAAGCAAAGCGCCTTGGAGGCCTACAACATTCCACTTGGCAATTTTGTCACTGCAAGACATAGTGAGAAGTCGTTCACCCATAAGTACTCCGTCCCATGTCTGCAATACGCCTCCAACACGAACCGGCACTGTACCTGATACAAAATAAACTCAATTACATTGAGAACTAAGGACAAGGGGAAATTTTGATCAATTTTGTTATCTTTTTCAAATGCCAAACCAAAATTTTTATAAAGTTAAAATAAAGAGACTATTCAGTATTAGAATATGGCCTCCAAAAAACTTTTCAATCTGTTTTGAGTTCTGAAACAAATTATTTTAATGTTGCTGAATCAAATAGAATATGGGTTGAAATCTCAAGACCTCTAATTCTTTAATAAAAATCATGTTATTGATAATCATTCCTACAAAGATACAGTAGCTTTCACCCAACCGAATCAGTTATCATTTAATACTCACAACCTAATTTTTATAGACTTCAGTAACAGCACAGTAACACTTGTGGAATCCACATTATAATTACACCTACAAATTATTAGGCCAAGCTGATGACTTACTTGGGATGTATCTAGATAGGTCCTTAGCTTTCCAATAATACTTTTTTGTACCACTGTACTATTTGCATTCAAGCATTACACTGCCCTACAAATAGAGGTTGTTTTCAGTTTTTGCAACAAAGTTATGATTGGAAAGATGGATGTTTCATAGTCATGACACAGCCTTTTTATATTTGACATTTGAATGTTAAATTATCCAAAGATAACTTTGCTGCAAAACTTGAAAACAGCTTTTTAATTAATAGTGCAATCTAATGCTTGAATGCAAATGGTAAAATCATTGCAACCAGAAATGACCACATACGTAATTTGCTTTGACTAAAAATTACCATAAAAACAGAACAATTCAGGAACAGTAAACAAGAACATTAATAATGAGACAGCCCTTCCTATTTTTGCAATCCTCTTAAAGGTGGGTTACAGTCTGTATCTTTTTCAAATATGCTATCTTTTTTAATCCAAAATTTGTGTAAAGCTAAAATAAAGAGACTATTTAGTATAAGAATATCGTCTCTAACTAACTTTTCAATCTATTTTGAGTTCTGAAACAAATAATTAAATAGATCTAAGTAACCAAACACTGCATGTTATCACAAAAATTTGTTTTCTGTACAAAATTGCTGTCAACAATTTCACCTATAATTTGTTGTTGAAAACTGCAAGAGCTGTTGAAATGGCCACTAAAGAATATGACCAAGAGTTTAGACTTTTCGCTTCTATGAAATTTTATCTGACAAACTTACCCTCCCCATTTTCAATTTTGGTTCTGAGTAACCCCCTTGTCTTCCGCTGAGGGTGTCGATCATCTGGCTCATCAACTATTTTCTCTTTGGGTGAAAATATTCTGCCATCTCCACATGGTGAAGTGCTGATGTAAAGATGGAATGCAACACCATCTTTGAGAGCATACAGACCACTCTTTTTCTTTGTAAAGCAAGACACCTTTACCTTTCCTTTTAGAGCCAAATCTAGCTGCTCATAAAGATAGTGGCAGAATCCACGTCTAGCAATCACCTCTCCATGACAATCATTCAGTGCAAGGCCTGAATTGCTAATGTTCCCACCAGAAATGCACTTGGTTCCGGTACCAAGACTAATCACATCCATCTCAACAACTTCTTCACCTTTTTGAACCGTCTTCACAATTCCAGCTAAAACTTTACGCCTCAGGTTTGGTGTATCATTTGACTCAGACAGCTGTGCCAACTTTTGAAGAACCATTTCTCCAATTTTATCTGCAAGCGGTTGTGGTACAAGGAACTGTAGGTCAGTAGGTGCAGAGACATCTTCATTGTTTGTGCAATGAATGACACCATAAAGCTGAAACAGAGCTCTAGCTGCTGCACAAATATTTGCAGCTTTTTTATTACTGCCATTTCCAAGGTATGTTTTATCATTTAAAGTCAGCTCGCTGGTAAAGACTTTACTATGAGATTTGCCAACCTCACCAACAATTGTGAACTTAGCCTCTGGATGATACTGATTGACAACAGACACTGCATTTCTTCCTTCAGTGACGGCTTGCACTATCATTGCTTCCCGGGTCGGTTTCTTCACCTGATCAGCAGTTGAGGACAGAATCATTCCATCTACATTTTCCTGGTCTACGTTTTCCAAGCCGTGTTGAACCGGCCATAAACTCTTACTTCGTAGTATACTCTCAGCTACTTTCTGTTTGGCATCTTTCTTAGATCTCGCCCGACCTTCGTACTTCACACCATCTAATGAAACAGACATTACAAACTCTGGATCATGGCTAGGACCACTTGAACTTTCCAAAATGAACTCTGTCGCTGGAAAAGTTTCATTAAACAACATCAAAGGGCTTTTATCAATATCGTTCTTGTGCTTCTTGATTTTCTTTCTTTTCGGCCCGCTTGTGTTCGCTGTGTTGGTCGCCAGCGCATTATCGGTTTCCATTTTAGCATCATCTGTTGAAACCTCGTGGATCGTACGTTTTTCTGCAGATTTCGGTAGATTGCTGTCCATTTTTAAAATACTGAGAGCTAGCAAATTCTCAAAATAAATAAACAGATGTTTGAGAGTAAAATTTTCATTTTTGATATGATCAAGTATTCTCAGTCTATCACGCATGCTCAGGGTCAGCCTAGAAATTATACAAAAAGTTACTATTGCAAGGGAAGTGCTGCCTTATCTATTCGTCAACGCATATATTTGCCAAAGAAGCACTTTCACATTTACTTTCATCATGGATAGTTAAAAGACTGGGGCCAGTTGTATGAAAGCCGGATAGCACTATCCACCGGATGGTGGTTTTTTTCAATCTCCTCAAAATCGCCCGTTGTTTGGTATAACTTCGATTAAATCTTAGTATTCCTAAATTAAGGATCCTCTTTAACGATTGTTGGTTCCAAAGCTGAAATTTTATTGCTCTTCAAGCATCTTTAGAACGGTTGAAAAATCACTATCCGGTGGATAGCGTTATCCAGCTTTGATACAACCGACCCCAGGATAGGAAACTCATGGCGTCAGCATTTTAACCCATTTTAACCTTGTTGAAAATCGTGACGTCACGCACGATATAGCTTGCGTCAATTTGCGTTAGCTTGCGTTAAGTTGCATCAGGTTTTCTTGCAATATACTGAACAACTTATTGATTTTTTTAATTTAAAATAAGATTTACTTAAAATTTTGAAAAAATGGAAGTAGAAGATATTTTTGAAGAATGGGATGACAGTAATTTGATGGAGATGGTAGAAATAAGTGAAGCCCTAGACGATGAGGAAAATGCGATTGATGAATGCGAGAAAAGCAATGAAAGCGAGGAAGAAGCGCACTCGGAAAGTGAGGACGAAAATGTGAACTTATTGCGTTGCAAGAAATGTAGAAAGATATATCGTTCAAAAATATGGTTTGTCAAACATCAAAACACCTGTGACGGCTCAGCCTCAGATAAGAAAAAACGCAGAAAGCATCGCCCTATGACCGAGCACCAGATAAAAACAAGAGAAGTTCTAGCTGGCCTCGGAGCGTTGGACTACTTTGCAAATGGTGGATTACAGACTGTGTCAAAACTCCTCGGCGGAATTTCCACTACTTCATCCGATCTAGCTTTACTTAGGGGAACCCGGTTTGCTAATTTAAAGCTTCAGGCCATTCAACCATGGTCGTATATTTGCCATTTTCCGGCGAATATATGACCATGGTCGTATATTTGCCATTTTCCGGCGAATATATGACCATAGTCGTATTAGTTTGCCATTTTCCGGCGAATATATGACCATGGTCGTATATTTGCCATTTTCCGGCGAATATATGACCATGGTCGTATTAGTTTGCCATTTTCCGGCGAATATATGACCATGGTCGTATATTTGCCATTTTCCGGCGAATATATGACCATGGTCGTATATTTGCCATTTTCCAGCGAATATATGACCATGGTCGTATTTGCGATTTTCGTATTTGTCAACTTCAAAGTTTATAAACTACGAGTCGTTCCTATTTCACCAACTGTTGTTTCTGTGCTGTGATGATCTTTAAATCTTTTATTATTGTTTTAATATTTGACTACATGATTTCATTTTATATTTTTAAAAAATTATAGTTTGCAAAATGACGGTTAAAATGCTGACGCTCTCAAGGATGCTCTCTTTTTGTCTTAGCTAATCAGCAAGTTGTAGACGACCGTTCTTTCTTCGTTCGAATTTCGCGCATGCGCACAACTACCATGACCATTGAACGTCCATGACATTTGGGCAACTTTGGATTCGCCTGTGTTCTGTCAGAATACTCGGGTGTAATTCCTAATCTCCGGGCGGAAAAACATAAGGAAATCAATCATACTTACATAAATATTCGCGATCCGTGACATCAGATTTTTCAACAAGGTTTCAGCCATTTTAAAAACATGAAAAACGCATTTCGACCAATCAAAATGTCCCTAAGCACCCCACGTGACTATAGTTTCCTATCCAGTGATTTTATTATCCATGCTTTCATATTGTTAGTTGGCTACATAGGTTACAAAATATCTTTTATTGGCTAATTTACTAACTTTCAAGCGTGTGTGACAGCCTAATAAATATTTTCGTAATAATTTGATCCATGTCCTGAATCGAGAAATATTTACTTTTAAATGTCGGTCTAATTTTCTGCTGATCGGTCTTTTTAAAGTTCCGTCTAGTTTTCCGGCGATTTATCAAAATATTTTCCCCGCCTATGTGGGTTGTTGATTCAGTCAGGGTCACAGATTGAATCCAAGTTGCAACGCAGAGGCTAGAGTATGGTGGCCGAGAGCTGCCATTTCGAAATAATGTTTGAAAAGCGTTTTATTGTGGATTAGAAATATTTTATTTCAGATTGATTTTAAATTTAAAATATAATTCATATTTAATGCAACTTGAACTCTTTCAAATTAATTTGGGGACATTACGGAACAGTAAGGAACGAGTATATTTACATGGCCACGTGAATATGGTGGCCGAGAGCTGTCACATCGAAATAATGTTTCAAAAGCGTTTTATTGTGGATTAGAAATGTTTTATTTCAGATCAATTTAGAATTTTAAATCTATTTTCAGTGCAATTTAAACGCTTTCAAATTAATTTGGGGGTATTACGGAACGGTTAGGAACAAGTATATTTGGCCACGTGAATATGGTGGCTGAGAGCTGCCATTTTGAAATAATGTTTGAAAAGCGTCTTATTGTGGATAGTCAAATTAATTGCACTAAAAATGAATTTAAAATTTAAAATTAATCTGAAATAAAATATTTCTAACCCACAATAAAACGCTTTTCAACAATTATTTCTACGTGGCAGCTCTCGGCCACCATAGTCTTCTTAAAAGCCTGAAAATGAAGAAAGTCAGTGGGAAAAAATTTTTCAAAATTTCTCGCTTTTAAAAAACTCATGTTTACTTACCTTAATTTTTTTTCACGAAAATTTGACAGGGTGATTTTCTCGAGACTGAAAAAATTCACATTTTTTCACTTTTTTTAAATTCTCGGAGATTTTTTTAACGAAGAAGTATTTTGTCTTGGGCTACTGTGTCTGTCTTGGGCTACTGCATGTGTCTGTCTTGGACTACTGTGTCTGTCTTGGGTTACTGTGTCTGGCTCGACACAGTAGACCAAGACAAAATTCAAATTTTCAGGTACTTTTGAACGCGATAATTTTTTTTAGCTTTTCAGTTTATTTCAAATTTTTTGTCAATTTGAGGCCGAGAGATTGTAAACCTTCCAAAACACACCGAAATTTTTCAGGCTAATTTTGTTGCATTGCATTACATTCATCACTGAAAACAACGCAATTTAAGAGAGGAAAAATTTTTTGAAATTGGACGTTTGTACACGCTGTATATTGTTTGAAAAGACGTGTTTCAGGATAAAAACTAAATGTATACGACTATGCCATGGAGGTAATGTTACGAAGTGTCCGTCGACACTTTTACGGAACTGATTCTTACCCTGGTATTGCCAGGACTGATAGGATCAGTGCTGTCTTTTTGTCTCTGTCGGCAAAATATGATAAAGCTACTCACAGTAAGTCTGAAATCAGTCTACTCACAATCAGTTTGATATTGTTATGATTTCACTAGTTTTAGAGTGTTCTAGAGATTTTGAATCACAGCATCCGGCGACATCATCATCGGCATCTGATGCAAAATTATTGATCAAGTGGTTTAAGTAGGATTGCCGACATAAGAAACTTGAACTTGGAGGGACAAAACAATAAACTGTTTGTATCAATGCAGATGTATTTTATAGCGCCACAAGTTGACTTTTTGGGTTTATATCTGCATGTTAAAAGTCGTGTTTGTGATCATCATGCGATGATTGCGGTCATCATGGATTATGGTGCATTACGGTATATTGACCACACACTGAAACGCAACACAACTATAGAGACAGTGAAATATTGCTGACAAGTGGTTCTGAGATACTCAGTCTTGAATTGCTACTTGTATTCATGAAAAAATCAACTGATTTCACAAAATTAAGTATAGCCAGGCGGCAAATGCAAGAAGAACATTACCGCAGTCCGCAGTACGACACAATACTGGACATGCAGTACAATCTAAGTACAATGAAGTACAATGCAAAATGTTACTTTCAGTCACCCACTGCAGGAAAGATTGTATTTGCTACAATGACATATTAAAACATGCATAAGGGGAACATAAACTACCGCTAGCATGCTACAATAACAACCTGTTGTGGGTTTGTGTCCGAGAGACACGTGTCTCAGCCACATGCGAATATTAATGAAGAGGGTTATTCGAAAGTATTTTTCATTTTTTACATGTAGTTTTGACCCTAAACCATGGCCGTTTATTATTTAAATATCCTTTTACAAAAAAGGTTAAATCAACTAGACATTTTCCAGTCTTTAGTATGAATATTTTTGGTCATTAGTCGCAGCTCGTTATATTACGCATGTTAGTGAAACAGATTAGCATATGCAAAAGTGTTTGTGAATCGCCTGATCTGGCTGTTTCAAACACACACTTGTTATTATTATCCATAGAAATTGATAAGACGGACAGCTGCGTCAAGGTAGCAGGTGGTATACACATGTAAGACAAAACAGGGGTCAGTTAGGTATACATTCTGTCGCAAATCTACAGCTACAACACGGTTTTTATGATATTTTATAACCCTATAAATGTATATCGATTTTAATATCAACACACACTCACAGTCACATTGTAAGTGAACACAAGGTCAATGTCATTACAAATGTTGCCACGGAAGTTACCGTGAGTCGGGCGAATATTATAATAACACTTATAACAGGTTGACTTGAATGCAAAATGCGTGATCGGCGAGTCGTCTCATGTAATTCCCAACAAGTACTTGTCGTAAAAGTGCGGTTAGTATAATCTTACGACACCCGGTAGTCATTGCACAATTTGCCGCCTTCTTCTGATAAGATGGCCATATAGCAGCCCTCTATTTTGCAGTTAGAGTGTTGCCTTATTTATATATATATGTATACAATAGGAAACATTTTGAAGGCGTCAATCTCAATGTAAATTGAGCTAGCTTACACATACACACTCATTTTCATTCTGTTACAATTTTTACGTTTCACCTGTACAAGTGAGCTGCAGTGCAAGTGCAACAGTTGAAAACTCGACACTTCAATAAATTACGAAATTTTTAACGAAATCTTATTAAATTCCGATCGAGTTTGCTAGAAAAGCAATACAGTGGGAAAAGATCAACTAATGTTTGCTATCAAAATGTAGACCAACTGTGATAACTTGGGTTAGGAAAATTTTATTGAAGCGCTAATGTCTGTGAGAATTGATGCGTTAAGAGCCCCTCGTCACGGCGCGCGTGTAACTTAATTAACTCTTCTGTGATTGGTTGAGAGAACAGTATAATGTACACTGACAAAGAGGCCACATGTCCTTTTGTGTCGTGCTCAATAATTTAAAATGCATTTGAAAACGCGGTCATTTTATATGCTGATTGCTCAACGCGGTAGTTGAGGACAAAGCACTGTACAGTAAACAAAGCACGCGGTGACACACGACAGTTGACTAGAAACGGCGCCAAAACTGCACTGCCGTAACTTTGTTTCGTAGGAAGACTCACGTAACGCTTGCTCTCGAAAATTTGCGGTATTTTGCAGCTGCAACAATTTGCTGACAAATTATATACATAGCTTTGAAACAAATTATATAGCATTGACGGAAGAAGTTAGGATGGGTGATGAAATGTTGACGTTGTTTTACGATAAAGAGATCTTGAGCTACACGAAAGCTGCAGAAGGAAAGAATATCTCAGAATACGAAAAAGAAGCAGAGTTTCGACTATTTCGAGATTATTTCGGCCTCATCCATTTGATTCAGAGCTGCGAGGCTGGAGCTGCTGCTACTCAGCAGCGTGGATACGGAGAAATGTTAGGATATTCGACAGAAAGGAATAGATTGGATAGCGTTGATTCTGATATATGGAGCGATACATCAAGCGGAGGTCGTGATTTTGATACATCATTGGACGGTGTGCAACAAAGTTCAACTGTACCTCAAACCAGCCCTTCACTAGCACCAGGGTTCTCCCCATCGAGAAATATAATCTTACGAGACGGGGCTGATACAGCATTGCGAGGGCGTCCTGTATTGGCAGAAGTTAGCAAAATTGCCGTGGGAAGACGTAATCAAAATGTTTGTGTGTTTTGTCGTAACAACGGTGAAAGCAAGAAGGTTTACTCGAGTCATGTCCTGAAGGATCCGCAAGGCAACACCGTGTGCCCAATTCTACGAGCCTATACCTGTCCACTGTGCAAGGCAAGCGGTGATGAATCGCACACCATCAAATATTGCCCTAAAAACAAGAATAACCGTTTGGACAAATAAGCAGAGGAACTTATATCTTGTGCGAACTACAATGAATATTGTGCAACTTAGACAATATATTCTGAACGCCATTGAAATGTATATAGAGTAAGTTATTTGCGATAGTGTCATGATTGCTAGCACGACTCAGTATGTTTATAGTGTGATTTGATCCTAGCAACAAGAATCGCGCGACCGTAACCGTTAAATTTCAAGTAGTATAATTTCATGTTGAAAGTTATTATTAATGGCTTTCGCTATTAGGAAAATTACTAGCCGTTATGACCTTAGCAACCGACACGAAACCTTTAGTAAGGATGTGAGGTTAAGATTTTTTCTATCTTGCACGGTGTGTTAGGTTAAATATAAAGCAAGCAAGCAAGCGTAGCATTTCGACTTTTACGCGTTTCAAGACTTGGCGAGGATAATATTTTCATTCAAAGCTAAATTTCCAATTCTGCACTGTTATATAGCCGTGCATATAACCAGATATATCTATTTAATTCAAAATTTTTAATTTCCGTAAAAAAATCAGATAAGGACCCAAGTTTTTAATGCGAATAAATTGCATGGGTTCACTAGTCTATATATATATACGCGGGACTCAAAATGTAGCAGTTTTTATTAATATTTAGGGTGTCTAAGTATACAATAATTTGACCAGTTTATAGGAAGTAATCCAAAGATGTTATATATCATCCTTTTGTATCAAAAATTTTATATATAGCCTATGTAATTGCATGCGATGAATTCAGAGTGTGAAACTGATGCGAATTAAATCATTTTTATTTTCTAGAATGACGTAGTTAAAAAACAGATCAAAAATCTAATTTTTGCAATAATCGCGTTGCATGACTCCATGCATGCATATATACGTGAGATATATATATAATATAGTCGTATATTACAGTTGTGTTGCTGTGGATAATATTGACAATATAAACAGCGTTTAAATTCTTGATCTAAAATTTCAATTTGTGTATATATGATTGTAGAAACATAGAATTAATGAATTCGAGGTTGTGGTGCCTAGATAATGTTTACAGCCTATAAGTATAGGCCTCATATTATTATATTAAAATTTTATGATGAATCATTCAGATATTGTGTACTTGTATTGTGTCTATATTTAGAGTTGCATGCACAAACCATAAGTGTATACAACCGAGAAAGACTTCAAGGTTTACTATGCGTCTTTTCTTGTGACACAACTCAGGAAATAAACTTCTCTACAGTTTTCCGTGTCTCTTTATCCTATTTTCCTGTGCGGCGCGTAATGATACCGTCCACAAACCACGGGAAACGAATACATGCGGTTCCTTTGTGAAAACCCGTTAGCTTTGAAACAGGCCGCTTTTTATGCAGGAACATTTCAAAGCATAGACTTTGAATGAACTTTATTTATAATAATTCACTGAAGACATTTCGTTAAGTAAGACTGAGAAAAGTCTTGTGTACAGGATGGTCAAAGCCGGAGCATTCCTAACAAGATTTTTAATCCCGGGAAAGATATGAGAAAGATACAGGGATTTCGGCAAGTTTACATAGGAATTAAGCACGAAGATAAAGATTAAAAGTTTGAATAGGGTGTTTAAACATTAGGGGAGTCATTAATAAAAGAAAAAAGAATAGAGCGAGACATTCTGCCAACACTAGATTAATGAAGTACACACAGATACTAAAGACAAGATTAAAGTGAAAATATGAGGCTACATTTTTTAATCACTGCACACTCTCCAGCAGTCTCGTGAATACATACAAAATTGTATAAGCATGCCATTTTGAAACGTCCATCAAAATCCCCTCGTGTAAACATACAGTTAACAAGATTTACGGTCAGCTGAAATACACTTCGTTAGTTGAAGAAAAGATGAGAAAAGTGATGTCACGCACTATTACTCCTTTACATGCATCCAATTCATGTAATGTGTATAATTAACGAGTATATATATAATTTATATTTTCTCTTCATTGAAATAAACAGATACAATTTATATAAAATACATCAATGTGATTTTAATTTCATTAAAGAAATACTATATAAACACGTTACTAATGCACATGTACTATAAGTCTATATATATTGCTCGCTGATTTATGATCATACGAATTTCGCCTTTTCTATTCATGCACATGTTTTAGGGAGGAGGTTAATAATGAGGTGTGCAAGCCGATATAGATATATATCTCGATCCTTTCCAGAAAAGTAAGCTATATAAACTTGGTATTAGGCCAATGATTCGTACGTGTCGCCCCATGTAGAACCCTCCTTTTCAATATTGCGGATCCTGTGCGAAAGTTTTGGCGACACACACGCATGCACGTTTTATGTTGTAAAGGCCATAATAATAGCCAACTATAACTATATATTATCACTGAAACTATACATATTATCACTGAATTAATTCGCATGCACGAGCGAAGTGTACAAGTACACTTGAAAATTGAAATTGCACTACAGTAAAATTAAGTTGCTCTATACAAAGAAACAACTGCAATTTAAATTTTAAAATTGACGCACACTGCATGCATGCATGTAGTCAATTAGCATTGAAAACGTTTTTGCATCCGTACATTCTTATAGCCGCGGTTTATGCCGGGACATGGTATCGCTTGCCTGCAGTTTTTTTTGCGTGGATTTTGAGTTCGAGTCTGAATTCATATATAGGTTATAGGTTCGGCTTCTGTAAACACGCCCTTAGTGCCAGTGTTGATGCACAATATCAGAAAAACACGCAATAATATATAGCCGATGATGGAAAAAGAGATGACTAATCTATGGCTAGTTTTCTTCAAACCCCGCGTTGGATTATGTTTTGTGAAACAAGCTTTCAGCCAAAGTTTACTCAAATCATAGACAAGAACTATACCATACGATAGAACTATACTTTACAACCATGAGCTCTTAGAGCGGTATCGTCGGTGTGTTTCAACAATTTTCTTTAAATCTTTAACAATCCATGTTGGAATCATATAAAGGTTACCATGACGATATATGCATGTAACGCCGACCACTTGACGGTGCAATATTGCCAAATTAGCCGATAATTGCCAGGATATATGAAATCAAGATGGGTTGACCACAAAACTTTTGTCTTTCGAATGCAGCTACTTCAAAAAATATGTAGACTACAACACTACGGGTACTTTTGAACTAAAGTATAGATGGCTACTGACCACAGCTGCTGTTATATTGTACTGCTTTTGTATCAGGATCATATATATATATATATTGCGCCAAAAATCGAGCCAAAAATAGTCTTTCAGTTCAAGTGTTGAATTCGTGCAAATTGACTATAGTATTGACTATTGAGCATTTTAGCAAACCGTATCTTAATATCACTCTCAGTATTCTATATCCGGTAGCGAATATAGCGATTCAAACTAATGCATGGCTGTTGAGTGTTGTAGCTCGCTGCAGTGGCGAGCGAACTGTATTACTTCACACCACTTTACAACTCTGCAATTTATACGATAATATATAGAGACTATATAGTTGGAGGAAGCCTTGGCCGTAAGCTACCTGGGAGAATTAATATTATTCGACTGAGAGTTAGTAGTCAAAGTTCTGTTCATTAATTTGACTGTTTTTAGTGGATAGGAAGTTATTGGTATCATATATGTCATAAATGAGCGCAGCGCTTGCCAATTCCCATATCTGTGTCGGTAGCGCACGCGCTCGCCGTGCTGGCCCGTGCACGCATTAGCGTCGAATTACCCCGAGATATACGAGAGGCGAGAAGTTATGAAATTATCCCTTCATCGGCATGTGGCTGGTAAATGTTTTGTGTCATGAGGTGTACGTATCGATACAATCAGTCACAGATACAAGTGGTACTCAAGAACGCGTCAACAATATGGAATTTTGTAATGAAAATCAACCCTCCCGCTGGGGATGATGGGTTGCCAGGTGACGATTGCCGAAAAAGGAATAAGGTTATATTATATTATTACTTAATAATACGCAGAATATATTGCAGACTTGTTCTAAAATATTGGGAAATGACCTACAAAAATCGTGTATAGGGAGCTTGAAATTGCAACATTATCAGAAACCATACAATTTTCTTAAAGTGGACATATTTCCGTTATTAAATACTTCACGATTCGCATGTGCGGTTTTTGAGAAAACGGCTTCATTAATATGTAACTTACAAGGTCATGAGAGGCTTTCAATATGCATAGCTAGATTTTACCGATACTATTCATTCAAGAAATTTTAGACTCATGGCCATGCAATCAAAATTTTTATCAGAATCAATCAAATCATAATTTAAAAGAGGCGTTATTTCTTAACGCAGTATCGCCAGTTAATGAGATCATTTAAGAAACCATGAGCGAGTAAGGGTAAAGAGAAACCTCCTTTTCAAAGTCGGACATTCAAGAAGGCAGCAACTTTATATACATAGTAATATCCTGGTCAGTTCCTGGTGCGCGAAACTCTCTCCGCAATAGCATTCCATTATGTGAAAGAAAACACAAGTAAAGCCGTTGCAGCGGACTTTCCAGTAAACTGAGTTTATTCGGATAAGACCGCATGCTGGACATTTTCGCCCCTGAAACACTTTTGATTCAGCATTCTTATAGGTTTTGCCACTGACATTTTGTTACGTTTAGCTGTACTAAAGTCTAAACACTTGTAGTAAACCAAATTTAAACTGGGAGGGAAAGGAACTAAGTTAAAATCCAGCAATAAAGTGAATTCCCACGCATGGAAATGCATGTAAGCCGAAGTTGTCTCTTGCCGAAGTTGTCTATCGACGAATAAGGGCAGCCAGTTTCCATTTTCATCGAATCGCAGCGACACGTAGCGTTACTATAGCGTTGTATCATTCTTTCCTGAGCATTCGGATAGAACTAATGACTTTTAAACAGAGGAATACCCTACGATCCGGTTGAAGTGGAAAACAGGCCTTATATTTGTTTGATAATGTCGTCAGACAAGCGTTTTCTACGAATATAACACACGCCCATCTCTGCATGTCGAACTGTGAAATCAGATCACGGAGTTCAGAGCAGCCGCGATGACGCGATCTCGTTTGACCCTTTCTAGTTACTTTTCTAGGTCAAATCATATAAAACTGGAATTCACTTGCCTATGAACGAAGGATTAACGCGTCGCAGATAAAAAGCATGATCGAATTTGACATCGCGAGGCTGGGCTCAGTCAAAGTACGTTGACACAAAACGATTTGTCGGCGGAAATCATAAGTAGATTTAATGATATTTGGAATAACTAAATGACTAATGTCAGCAAGGCAATATACCAACCACAAATATCATTGTAACGTTTTGCAAATTGCACCCGAGAATTCAGGATTTTGTAGCACATTTCTTTGCACTGGCTTTTAGAACCATATATATATGTGCTCTGTGCATGGAGAAATCCCAAAGTAACCTCCCCCTGGAAGTTATGGGTGATGCAATCTTTAAACGCTGACCGTTATTTTTAATCCCTGCAGGATTAGTAAAGTTGCTATATATAGCAACAGCTACGCACTAGGCAATCCTAAAAGGAATTAAAAAAAGAAAATTCATTTAATGAATCACTATACACTGGTTTAATCACGGTTAGGGGCAAATGCAATTTCAAAATATTTACTTTGTAGTAGGTTTAGTTACTACGTCAACTACAAGTTTACAACACTCAACAGTATACAAACATTTGAAATGAAAAGAAATGTTGTCAACAAGTTTTCCCAAACAGTGTTAAAAGTTGTGGAGTTAAATCTTCAAACTAAATCACAACAACAATTGGAATCCCATGCAGTATAAGGATGATAAAGTGATAAACATTTCCGCTGGAAAATAGCGAAAAAGAAAAAATAATTATATTGCCTACACTACGTACGTTTCTCAGATCTTCAAAGTTGAGTGTTTTCAGCTAGTATAGCGGTTGTTTCTTTGCTGCATTAACAGCCTTTTACGTCGAACACCAGAATAGTCCAGTCATCCAGGCAGAATAAGGGCCATATACATAAATTATATTGATATAGAAGACAACGCATCGAAAAGCAAGACAAAGACTTTGAATGGGTTCGAGAAGAAAATCCTTATTTGCTTTGGAGAATCCAGTACTAGATCACGGGATATCTGTAGTATGTCATGCTGATCATCCTAGAAATGAGCACTTTGGAAATACAAAACTGATGAACATACAGGAAGATGAGATACTTGAGGATTCCTTGTTTAATGACGATATAGTTAGACACCTTATAAGAGAAGTCTTTGAATACCGTTTGAATGGGATAGAATATCGTAAGAAGGAAAGTGATGAACTGTGTAAACACATTATCACAGACATTCAAAAGAAGATCGCAGTTCTTGATTATAGATGTTACAAGATAATATGTACATGTGTTTTAAGCGCCACAGATAAACCGCCCATTTGGTTGGAGAGTCGTTCAACTTGGAATAGCGAGTTGACAAGTGCAGATAAAGATCGGTTTGTTGAACTCATCTTTAAGAACAAGGAGTTTTACGCTATCGCAACTGTATTTGGGGTATATAATAACAAAGACTTCAGAAGACGAACGCAGAGAGCATCATTGTTTTGTAAAAACTATTGAACGTGATTGTGTGAGACAATTTTGAGTAAGGGTAATGAAGAAGTCACATTCCTATATAACATACAGAGAATACACGGCTCATATTTTATATATAGTCTTAATATTTATCTCCCTTTGGCAACTTGAACATGTAAATAGATATCCTGTAAATATAATACAATTCCGAGCACGGATGAAATTGGTACAGGTATATATTGGAAATTTAGCCGTGCAGAGTGTAGTGACTAGTGTAACAGGGCTTATATCTACATGTATCCTGAAAAACTATATTATGTAAAGTATATATATTTCAAAACTAGTTCTCTAGTTTTACTATGGAGAAAGCAGGAATATTTTCTTAAAAATAAAAAATATTCATTTATTGTATATATACTACGCGTTTTTCCACGTTTGTACACAACACTAGGGATCGAAGAGGATAGAAGAGGATAAAAAATTCTGTAAAATTTGTTACCAAAGAACCGCAGTGCAATATCCCACCAAGAATATTTATTTAGGACAGTTTAAAGGGGATTGTCAGAAACAGGTAGGGGGGACGTGAACAACATGAAGAGGGGTGAGGGTGGTATGTGATAGAAAGTTGAAAGCAGGTTCACAGACGATAGTCCAAAAACTTTTGAAAGGCATACCATGCAAGAATAAGAAAAAAGTATTATTTATCGAGCAAAAAATATAATTTCAAAGTTGACCAAGATTTTGCCGGTCGCATTTGAGTAAACTACAAAAAAAATCGTGAATGTCTTTTATTATAATAAAGGTATAAGTTTTTCATAATATAATTATAGGTAGATATAGGGAAGGTATACTTAACTTACAATTATACCAAATGAATTTTTGCGTTGCTGACTGCTGTGGATATGATTTGTGCATATGGCAGCACACCCAGCCAGGGAAATGCGGGCTTTAGAACTTCACAATTCCAACGCACCCTCTTCCTAGTTAATTTCTCAGGAGGATTTTGAAGGTTAAATGAAAGGCTATTAGAACTTATGCAATGGACTCTTTGAGATAATAATGATTCCAATCAAAGCGCTTTTATCCCACTGCATGTCGCATGGAGTAAATTTTGTTATTACTTCAAGCTGATATTTTTCTGCAGGAGGTAACAAAGAAGTGAATGGTAAAGAAACTTCATTTCGTTTGTATAGTTATTAGAAAATGAAGTTACGAAGATTAGAAGAAGTCATTAAACCAATTCCTAATTTGATTAACGTGCCTATGTAATATCTATATAGGTTGGTGAATATAGAACTGCGACGAATTATCAGTCTGAAAGAACTTTAGCAAAGAAAAGATAACGAAGTACTCTACTCCTACAGGTGAAGTTATAGTCAGTAGTCAGGTTCGTTTTGCGAAGTGATTTCCTGACAATCCTTTTGCGAAGTGATTTCCTCACAAGAAGTAAACGTGATGCATCAACCATGGTGTTTCTCACTTCAACCAGGCAAATCTAGAAGAAACTTAAGTAAATATTCATTATACCAACGCAAGTTATTAGCCAAACACATTTATATCATCTAATATTAAATACACTTTACCTAAGCTAGTGTATTTATACATCCAAGCTGCTCAATACCAAAACAAACAAACAAAAATTGCATGTTCCATCACTAAAAGCTTAGGTAAATACTACAGCTGAGCTTAGATTATCACAAATCACATATCACAAGTAATTAAGGCGAGTATATAGTAGTCATAACCAGCGAATGTTGGAAAAATAAACCTGTAAGTAAACTATGAACATAGCTTATAAATTTAATATCAAATAATTAAAGGAGGTAACAAATACTCCTACACACAAACTGCAGTAATGCTCACACGCTAAGATTCAAAGATGACTAAAGAATTCTTAATTAAATACTATGTAAATCCAGGTATAAATTAATCAAAACCGACCTAAGCCTGGGTGATAAATGTTTATACCCAACTTAGATTCATTTGCGTAGAAACGTTTCCTTGTGATATATAGGTAAAAAAAATGAGTCGTAATTTAGCCCTTGATAGCCGAAGATCGTCTATAAGTGACGGTGGGAGTCACTTACAGGATAGAAGGGTATCTATTACTACTTCAGGGGATACACACGGTACACGAAGGCCATCTATTTGCTCCATAACAGGGCCACCAAATCTCACCAAACGCAGGTCAACTATTCATCGTAAATCAAGCCTGCTTGACAATCATCCTGCCCAACTAGCATTCCGACCACGACTAGCCAACACATACCAGATGGAACCAGAAAGAAAGTTTAAACCTACAGAGATCCAGAAACTTGTGTATAATGTTCTAGAAGAGAGACTCGAAGACACAAGTTATGATCCTGACAAATGTCGTTTTCTCGTGGTTTCTCTCGCAAATGAAATACGGCATAGGGTAAAACAGATGGGGTTTGCTCGGTATAAGATAGTTTGCACTGTTGACATGGGATCGATTGCAGAACAAGGATTACGAGTTGCTAGTCGTTGTCTTTGGGATAAAGTTCAAGATAGTTTGGGAACAGCAACATATAAGAACGAGAGCTTGTTTGCAGTTGGAACTGTGTTTGGAGTATACCATGAGTGATACTTTGAAGGCCTTATTTTGCAAACTCACAACAAGATCAATAAAAACTAATGAATTAACTGCATGCGCTCATATATAATGTGGGAGTTGTAAAATCAAAAACATTGGAATTGTAATTTGCACATTGTGACTAATAATACCAGACTCTATGAGTAACAAATACAGTTATATAGGAAGACGATCTTATCAAGGCATGCATCGGTTTGACGCAACAGTCAGTTTAAACCGTCAGCTGCATGCACGAACCCATTACCCATATCAGCCAATACCATACTATTATCAGAAGACTTTTTCATCAAACACATTGCTCTAAAAGCCTGAGTTATAGCACTATATAGGGTATAAGTTCGTATGAATTATAAGCTAACAAAGGCGCTATATATATGTGCGCAGTAGGCAGTGTGTTTTATAGCGATTGTAAATTTTCCCACCCACCTACAGCTTATCTGAAAAAGAACAAGGAACTACTAACATGAATTTCCATATGGCGCCTAATTAAAAATACCGACTGTCGTTTATAGACATCATAATGATACATAATTTGCAACGATATCAACGCATAATCTATATTTATGTTAACAGTAGTTCACGTCCATAGACTTCCAATTAATCAAATCAAATTTCGAATTGACTGCCTGTTTACAGTTTATCAGATCATCAAGTTCATATCTAACAGGTCTAACAGGGAGAATGTAAACCAAGACACCTGGAATGATAATAATCTTGGGAAGAACGAGTCTTCTCCTAATGCCTTTCCCCTAATGGGAAGAACGAGTCTTCTCCTAATGGGAAGAATAATTCCATGGAATGATAGATTTGGGTGAGTGCTTAATCCCCGGCCATTCTGCCCACAAAAACACTTGTGATCATTCGCGCATTGCTAATTGAAGTTGAATGATTTCGTCTTTAGCAAAAATGATCTATATACACACGTCTACGGAATGTGTCCTCACAAGTGCAGTAATATAAGTGTGATTTCAAAAAAATTGCAGACTGGAATGATGGATGTGGAGAAAAATATTCAAATTAATCATAACACGATGACAAACATGCCACTAGTGAACTGCGCGTAACCGACGATTTGACGAAGCTGATCTTGTAAAAGGATCCCAGCGTGTGCATCTAGATGCATATATATCAATTCTTCTTCGCCAAAAAAGGTTTCTTAGACAATTTCCTGGAATTTCCTTCAAGATCATTTCCTCAATTTGTCAAATTCCTTTCAAAAGAAAATGTGCTTCAAAATGGAAGCACTAGCTGACCTGTCCTTACGATTGATTAGTTTGTCTCCTAAAAACTCGAACAGCAGTTCCCGGTGTTGCTAGTTTGCATCACGTTTTGCGGTCTGACCAAAATAATTAATATACGTTGACGGAGAAGCTATTAAATTTCTGGACGTATTCAACTTTAAACAAGTTTGTCTTGAAGAGCAAGACTCGTTTCCCTTCTGACGTTTACAATCGAAGACAACAATGCAAAATTACACTCATTAACCTCACATTATCGCCATTGACTACACCATTCTACATTACTTCCAATGCATCTACAGTAATGAAATGCAATACTAAACATGACAGACACAAATTAGGCCATACATAAACAATTAAACGGCAATTATTATGACTAACGTCCTTGCTTATCTTATGTGTCATAAATGCTTCCCCTCCATTTACAGGAGTCATAGAGAAATTAAAATAAACATACATGGAGTAAATTTTCCCCGCAAGTTGTGATTATATAGTTTCAAGTCAGTCATGTGCCACGTTCGTGGTTGCAAAAAGCATACCAACGGCAAAGATATGGGCTGACTTAAAGTTGCCAGAGGCAAATGCATCTTGAGTTGGATCAAATAGACATTGACTTGCTACTTCAATTCCATCTTCACGAACCTCGCCAATGAATACAGATGAAACAAGCTTTGTATTACAACAAACCACTCTTCTTGCTTTAGTACTGATCACTTTTGCCAACATAGCACTTTTCTCAACAAATTCCTCACTCGACTTCAAACCTGTTTCGTTTTCAAGCTGATCACTCAATTCTTCTGTTATAATTTTGCAAAATGTCTCTTTTAAACTAGGGACGGTACTCGAAGTGATAGACGACAAATCTTTCTCTTGACTGATTTGTTTCACCTGTAGGGCTGCCCCATGCCAGGTTGAAGATCTCTTTCTTCCACGAAGACCACCGACTCCCGAGACAACTGAACGCATGGAGGAAACAACCAGATTAGGTCGCTTAGACGAAGAAACATCTTCATTCTCAATCAGCGTGTCATAAGCCCCGATTGTGGAGGAACGATCCTTCGTTGAACAGTTAGATGGCCATGCCAAAGCCATAATAATACAGTCTGACAACAAATAATAATATATACAGTCCCTTGTACTTTAGTAAGTCACTACAACCAACTCTGATTAACACAAAGATACTTCGCACTTAATAACCAACCATTCGGGAACTATTCTCGCACATTAAGCGAAATATTGCTATTACTTATATTGCTGTCTCACAACACATTTTCCTTCATTCGAAGTTGCAACAATACACGCGACACAGGTCATTTAACTTCGAGATTCATATCAATTATACAGGAAGTAGGCACGTGAACTAGGTGCGATAATATTTTAATAGTTTGCTAAAAATATAACCGCATCATTCCCACAACAGAAACTGAACAAACACAGTAAGGTACAGATGCCCAGTTGTGTGGTAAAATCTAGAACTTATGAGATATCGACATTTTTAGGTCGAAAATTATAGGTATACGTTGCAAAATCCAAGCTCGCTTGGTAATTGATGAATTCATTCCTTGGATTTAAAACTCGATTTCTCAATAGTCGCCATAATGCTATTATTCATTGAACTCAATCGTTTTTTATGATATGACTTATGTATATACCAGCTACGAGATATACCACACAAGAGTGTGTACCAATATTATATGCAAACCTATACATCATGCGTAGGAATACAAAGCAGGGGTTGCAGGGCATAAACTATGGGAAAAGAAAATTGTCAAGCTCTGGGTATAATTGAACTTAAATATGACTTCATGGTTGAAAAAAGTCAAGTACATATTTCAAAAATGGTTAAAAAAACGTTAGAACTTGGATTGGTAAAGCGATTATTGTTCTAAAGTATTTAAGCGGTATATCGTCATCATAATTACAAGGATTTGGAAATAGTATGAATAGTTTTAATCGTAATCGTAAGTATTTCAAATTAGTACATCATCTTAGAACTTAGAACGCAAGAAAGATTTATTAACCGTCTATGCAGTTGTTAGGTGATAAAAAAAACGCAACTTGTCTAAACGAACGAAATGCGACGCAATCGTTCCCATAAACGCTAATGACACTACCTGTTCCCAAGATTGCTTCTTTGCAACTAACCAAATATAAATATAAACTTCTTACATGCATGTATTTCTTACCGTCCGTGTCATAAATGCAGAAACCTGTTTGTTAGAAATACTTTTGAAGAGACTCTCCAAGCACTTCTTCCATTTCACTGATTACTTGCTGACATTTTTGTTCCACTTCAAAAGATTCATCTATATTAATTACAACGAATATATAAACTAGTTCAAACTGGGAATAAAACTTTCCTGACACATTGTAAACAAGTTTATTAGTGTGCGCAAACAGATTATAGATTTAAGTCGTTATAATGCCTCATTCCAAAGGGCCAATTATTCGTCTCAGGGATTTTAGTTGATGAAAACAAGTGTCATGGTTTTTTTCGTTATGAAATAACATGTAAAGATGTTTTGTAGTAAACACAACACAAGTAAACACAATTGAAATAACATGCAAAGATGTTTTGTAGTAAACAAACCATACTACATACGTCAGACATAGTAGATAAAGGTCGGATATTTAGACATAGGTAAATATTAAGGTAGATATCAATGTAAACATACAGACATGGCGACAGTTAAATAGCGAGTATATCACGTATATCCTCTTACCAATACGTGCAGCTGAGGTTTGTTTTCATGCACGGTAGCACGTTCCGAATGATCCAATCAAAATAAGACAGTACCAATTATCTTGAAATAATGAGCATGTTTACGTACCTTCCATAAGTTCTGCAAGGAAAGGGATAATCTCTGGCAATAGAGCGAGGTACTCTTCCCCAAGCTTTTGATTCAGTTCTTGTAACACTTTTAACGCCGCTAAACGCACCTGAAGAAAAAGCAAAATTCAAACGGGGCTTGAGTATTTCAAAAAAAATATTACAACAGAATATACGCACTCGTTAAACTCGATAAACTGTTTCAACTTTAACAGAAAGTTCCGCGAAAAATTTAGCGAATATTGAAAGTCAAGTTTGTTTACCACCCTGGGGTAATAACATGAGCCACACGCACCCGGGGAAAGCATAACAGGTTTGGGATGAACTTCTCTAACATGTGGAAAAGCAAAGGAATAAGGGGTAATTATTGTCTCAAAATCTCACCAAATCACAAAAGAAATTTCATTGCAAAGCAAAAATATTTGAGTTCATGTTTTTGAACAAATGTTTTTGTCTGTACCTGTGGTGAAGAATGTCTTGTTTTCAAACAAATTTGATGATTCATTGTTTTCCAGTAAGTCTCGTCACCAGCCGCCACTGCAAATTGCGCAATACATGGAGCCAAGTGGTCAGATATTCTGTTATTAAACACCTCTGCGTTTCCAATCTGATTTTCTATCTGAATGTATAATTTTTGGTTGTTTAGTATCAGGTTACTTCACTTGTTTTCACCCTTAACTTTTAAAAGAAGCTCAAGATATGGGTCAAATTGTGCTCAAGATATGGGTCAAATTGTGAAAATAATTCCTCTTACGTTTCATTAATAGTGTTTCAACCAATGCAAATATAAATGTCTTCTATATCTGTATATTCATGGAATGGAGTAACAGTCAAATTGTGGAAGAATATAAACTAACCTGATCAACTAAAGGTTGAAGCAGTCGATCGAATCGTTCTTTATTGACAAACCGTTGATTGTCATAGAGAAAACATTTATAGAAGCAATCCAAAACATAACCAAGTAGCTGATCGGATTTCTCAGTTGCTTCATCGTCCCAATATTCACCAGAAAAGAACGATTCTTCTGAAAAACAAATTCACAGATTATGAACCTGGGCATGAGGTTGGTTTCAACGTCGTTATCTGGGATCATAGATGATATGGTTAAATTACGAACAAAATTATCATCTTTTTCTACCTGTTTTCGTAATATTAGTGGAATCAAGAATACTGGCGGTGTTTTTAACGAGATATCCAGCGAAAAGGACAAAAAGACCTTTCAGTTTGTCCGCCATCCTAAACAGAAATTCATAACGATAGTTTGTTTGATAGATATTATGCTATATATTCATGAATTTAAACCATCATAATTCGCATATTAATAGTAGTTGATCAGAGTAAGTGCATGCAGATTACCTTTGTGAGGGATTTTGCGATTACCATTTTATCGTTCACACATTTCCTTTTCGGGTTTCAGTCAATTAACCCGCGATTTCATGCTCGAAAAACGAACCACAGACACAATCTTACCTGTCAGCCAAATGATAAAACACCAATTGTCGTGACTTAGCAGCTGACGATCTTGTTGCCCAGTCAACTAGCTGAAAGAAAACAATATAAGATAGAAATAAGTATTAGGTATAGGAATTGATTTGAATCAAGCAAGCAGGAGAAGTATCAATATACCTTCAAAAACATTGGTCTAAATAACGACTCGGAAAGTCTCATAATCAAACTAATAAAAGCCCCAATAATCGTTTCTTCTGTCTTCAGTACTTTTTCTTCTGGAACTCCCTGGAAAATTCGTCCGATAAAGTTTAAGTTGAAAACTGCATTGATAAAATAATATTGGAATGCGCAAATAGAACTCCATACTAATGAGTGCGACGCATGCACGCGCAGAGTGAGACGGAATATTATTAAATTGATATATTTGCGTGGGCTTAGGAAGGGTGCATGTACAAAGATGTACAAAAACTCACCTGTGCATGTTGTGAACGATAGTCCAAAGCGGAAACAAACAAGGACAACAGTTCATTATGGTAATTATTTACATCATCCTTTGTCATGTGTGTTATACAGCTGTCAAGAATTTCGTATAGAGCATTCAATGATTCCTACAAAAGGAAACAGAATAATGCACCGAAGTCTCTTACAGAAGCTTGGAAAATTCGGAAAACAAGTACGTCTGTATTCTCCGTTGTTCCTTGTACTCCTTTCTGTTTTAGAAACACTCAACTAACAGACATATATACTGTAAGTTCCACAGCTTTAGAAATAACTTATAGTGTCTCATTCTTGTTCGTTGTTTCCTCGTTTAGTCATTTTTATTTCATTAAAAGTTCGTAGGCCTTTATATTAGTAACACTTACATTGTTTTTATTTACAACGATTTCCTCATAGCATTGAGAAACATTAGGAATCAGGATACGCGGTTTGACCAAAACAGCAATGTCAGTTCTAACAATGAATATAATCCATCAGACATGTTTTGATTACGGTGCACACAATACTACAAACACGACACAAATATCATTAAAGTAGCAGTTATAGCATATATTTAACCAAACTTCATGGAATAATAAACTCAGAATAGATTGATATACATAACGTTCATCGACATGCTTGGAACATCGACCATGCATGTTTTACACTGAAAGGTACTGTAACATTAGTCAAGATCATTCTGCAAAGAACATACCTTAGACTAGCACCCAGGTCAACAATCTGCTTGTTCCAATGCGAGTTTGCATTTGTCATATCTTCATCAATTGATATAAACGCAGGTGATACCAACTAAAGAGAAAATGTGAAAACGTACCTTGTTATTTTAAAAAGATATACTCTTTTGAAACTGACAACGCCAATTTAATTCTTAATGATTATTATCCCTGAAATGGTCATTTCCTTCTCACACCCCTGCTCGATTCCTTACGCTTCTGTTTTTGATGGTTTATGCAATCAAGGATAACGATTTTGCTCATGTTTCGTCAAAATTCACTGCATCGTTTAACAAAGAATTACCTGAAGAATCATAATCTTGAGATAAGGACTCAGGAAATTCGGCAGAGACTTAACGACTTTTTGTAGAACGGTCAGAGCATTCAGCGACAACAAGTCGGATCTGGTAAGGAGAAAACAATATTACCGAAAAGGAGATTTTATGCACTTAAATTATATTTAACAGTTATTCTGCGAACTCGAGTCGTAACAAACTTTGTCGCCCTTTCAGTGCATTTTGGTGTGCTATTATCAACTAAAGCTTGGATTTCTATTTCACTCAACTCCCCAAATCTTTCGGCCATTTTGTTTACTTTCTTCTACTAGACATATATGAGCTAATATCTGTTTAGTAGCCAACCAATGAAATCGCAGCATACCTCATATCTGGCGCTTGTGTATATAATAATAGTTTTTAATATTCTTGAACAAACTATGTACCCTTAAATGTATTTTATACCAAGACTGAACAAAACCTAGACTCCCTGGTTTTTTCACCAATAAAATTCCATCCACTTAAAACGTTTTAAGGGAAATATGTACCTCTTCTCGATGCCTTTTGTTTCCAGTATTTGTAAAACAAGCGGAAGAAATTTAGGCAGGAATGGTATTGAATGAACTTTAAGAACAGAACATAACTCGGCGAGGCAATGTAATGCACTTGAGGCAACCTGTAACGGCAGACATATCACATGTGAATGCAAAATACTTGATGTTTTTCAAGAAAATTTTGGCGGGTACAGGATTTGCTTAGCTCATATTAATATTTCTGAAGTTGGTTATGAAAAACGACGTAATAACATTTGAACACGAGAAAGATGCTTAACGTCGAGAGACTGGAACTATGTACGAATCGTTTATGTCTCATAAATTAATCTATATTGAATAAGCTCACCTGTGCCTTCACATTGCTGCAGGATATAACTTCAACTGCCACAGGAAACATCTTAAATTGTTAAAACAAGTATTATAAACACGTGTACGGATGCAGACTCAGGGAAGTTTTACAATCAGTCTTCGAAATGTACCAGGCTATCACGGGATTTATGGCGCGTCGTCCGCCATTTTTGCTATATGGAGAGTTATATGTCATGTCAATACACCATGAATTGTTTGATTTTTTTAAAAGTTACAGATGTATAAGCACGCGTGAGTTGAAAATTTCAATTAAAGCATATATACCTTATACCTTAGCTAGATTATTAAATGATACCTTTTTCAATGGAAGATTATGATTTTCGTTTAACAGCTTCGATAGCACCACAACTGTATTAAAAGCTGACTGTATATTGACATCTGGTTCGTCCGTATTTTGTATCAAGGGCATTATAGCATCAAGAAACGATAGCAATACCCCAACCTAAATAAAGTGTGTATGAAATCGATATGAAAAGAATACTTGATTGATATCAACTTGCATCGATGATCTATTTATTCTGATTTGTAAATCAGACAATCGCGCAATAGGAGATTGTTTTATGACATGTAAAATAACTTTACCTCTTCTGCTGAACAATGACCGCTATGTTTTGCCATTCTCTTGTTAAAAAGATCCATTGATTTTTTTCTGATCAATGAATTCTTGCCCTGCACAAGCTGAGAGACAATACTCACAAATGCTGCTCTCGGGAGAAGGTCACATACCTCAAAAATAAAAAAATTTGTGTGAAAACCCCCACAAAGATTTAATTTTGGTTGCTTGCCTTTAAGAATTGTAGTCGCTTTGTTTAATGATTCTTGTTGCAACACAATACCAGCTGCTACAAAGCGAACTTATAAATTGTCATTTAGTGCAATCTGCAAAAGCATACCTTTTCAACAATATGATAAACCTTGTGAAGTAACACGCGTAAATATTTCACTGTCGTTTCTTGAACGTTGCTTTCTAGTGCCCGTGAAATAAAGGTGATGTACTTCAGGGATTCCTCCAGTAAACTAAAATATGATGGACAGGTGAAATAAACAGGTGATTAACCAATCCAACACGTCACAAGCGTATAGTGAAACAATTAATGTAACCATTAAACCATGAAACGTAAATTTTTCATGAATTTCCAGTGTTTACGTAGAGATTTTCATATTTCTGTAATCAACCCTGATTTACCTGAGATAAAAATTCTCAGCAGAATCATCTTTCTCTTCAGTAATATTTTCAGTCTAAATACGTAAAAGCATGAAAAAATGTTTAAAGAAGCTGAAAGAACCTACTTTGAATACTTTCATTTTACTTGCTTCATTTACATGTATCGTATCAGATATTTTTTGTCAAGAAATTGCCAATAACTACGTACCTTATTCAACAGATTGTCTGTTCCAAGAACGCTTAAAATTACTTCAATGGCACAAAATTTAAACTGATGTAATTCTTTTCCGGAATGGGTATTCAAATCAAACACAATGCCAGATGAATCAGCGTAACGTTTCCTATTTTTTCCTGAATAAAATTGGAAATTTAATGAGAGAAACGTATAAAGAAACATGCAGGAATCAGGATCACAAAATATAACTTACACGGCAATTGTTTAACATATCATACGTTCCAACACGAATCACCTGCACAGTTCAAAATGACATTTAAAAGGCGTTACAAACCTTCCGGTTTTTCTTCAGGAAGCATTGCAAGGTATTTTAGAAGATTGATCAAAGAAAGCATCTGAAATAGAACATGGAATTAATGATTTAACTAACCTACAGCGTTGGGCTTTAATGAAGCAGTAAACATATATACAAAAGGTTTTCTTTAAAGAACCTTCAAGAATTGATAAAATAATTACCTGAATCTCAGGAGAAAACTCACAGCATAAGAAGTTACAAAATACTAATCCGGATTCCTTTTTATCAATCTATCAAAAAAATAACATTAATGTTTACAACCAAATCTCTATCTTAAATCCAGTCCAGAAAATCGCATAATTTATAATCATTGACTACTGTATGTATGTACCTTTGTTTCTTTGTTTGATATTTTCTCAAGAAGTAAAGCTAAGCAAATATGAAGATAACGCGAAGCTCCAAGTGTTGTTAGAAGATGACTAAACACTGGTAAACGACGGTGCTCAGGCACATGAGGAAATGCATCAACAAATACTCGCATTACTTTTGTCACCAAAGACTCCAAGTTTCTTTCATTTTTCTCAGCCTGGTTAGAAAAAACACTTAGAGTAAATAACACAAATCGCTGAATCGTCGTATCTATGTACATGTAAATAACCGTCTTTTAAACAATAGACGAACTAAAAATTAGCTGACAATGCCTGCTGTTGATACAGGAGTGGTTGACCTAAAGATGTAACTAAAGATTAACACTCTATATTTACTCAAACTGTGGCAAGTTTTCAAACCTGTATAAGTGCTGGAATGATGGATTCAACTGTCCTCTTAATAACTTGGAAGCTATATGTATCGTCCTGGCGCAGAACACTCATTCCCATGAATGTAAATATGGACATAACATTATGAAGAACTTTTTCCTAGAAAGAAGATGGGATGATATTCGACATGCTCTGAGTTCTAATGAAGATGAATTTATTTGTACGTATATATGTTACCCTAAGCGACCAAGCATACAGAAATAACATACAGGGAAAAGCTGTGCTCCGATAGCCAACAACGACAGGGCATGGTGATGAGTTTGAGGATTTTCAGACACACGAATACAGCGAATGACTTGTTCAACGCTAAAGTGAGATTCACTTAGGACACCTGTGACATAAACAGCGAGAATTGAGTATTTTTATAGGAAAGATATACATAACAGGCATGTAACAGGCCATCTACGTATGATAATTCAAGAAGCTGCATGAACAAGCTTATAAATCAATAATTATCCCATATAAGATTCGTAAGTCTCACCTTTTTTCTGATCAACATGAGCTTGGCAAATCCTGAACATTGTAGAGAGAAGCAATTGCTTGATATAATCTGCAGATACTTCGGGTGACATTTCAAGACACCTAAAACACACAAATGCCGTACGTAGGTTTACAAACATAACATCAAAGTAACACCAAAGTGTCTATAAAATTCGGCTTGTGGACTGGCGGACATCGTTCGAACATTGCGATGAGCCTAGTGTACTACAGTGGCAGTCTAGTGCATGCATGAATGTAATCATAATCGATTAATAGAAAAATAGACGTACATTGAGAGTAATTTAAAAAGAATGGGAAGCAAACTTTCAACTTGATCAACGTCATCTTTCGATTGTAACACTTCGATGATAGCAATGACTCTCTGCCATAATGGACCAAACGAAGTGGACCAAACTGCAACGTCTTCAGGCTTAGTTCTATAAAAACAAGGTAAAAAGTTTACAAAACGATCCACAACAAAGCAGAGACAACTATCGTGCACAGTGCTCAAGAACAGGAAGAATACTAACTTGGATTCCTTCATTTTTGGCTTCTCTTCTCCCAATAATTTACTTATTTCATTTTGTATTTGATCAGCAGTTATCGGTAGCTAAATATAAAAAAATAAAGGGTATAGACTTTTATAGAAGGGTATAGGGTATACACACTCGCTGATCTCGGAGGGAGAATTCGTCTATATCTCCATGCGTGTTATATTCATCACATATCTTTCACGGACGTTCTTTTTGCCACCATGCACTAGCTCTGAATTGTATAGGAAGAGCACATTAATCATATGCATGGTGCATGAGTACAGTAAATGGGCATATACCAATGAGCCAGTACAGACAATTAATAAGTTCAATATCGCTTCTACTCCATAAAGATGAAGGAATATAGAAAGACATGTGTACCTGTTTTAAAACGTCCTTGATCTTAGCTGACATTTTATGGTCGCTCGTTTCTGTAAGCACGTCAATCAATTCGCCCAACACTCGACTTTGTATATTTTCATCGTCAATTGCTTCAAAGAATTCCGTAGTGATCTGTAGAAATGTATGTAGAAATGAGGCAAAATAAAGGTGAATTGCTAATTATATTATACAAAGTGGTTTAGGACACGTGTCGATTACTTTTACCTGGTTAAGAACGGCTTCCTGCGGCGTCTTGAGACCAGGAAATAAAGGTTTTGAAAGGCGTAGAAGTTGTAGCAAAATCTCAAGCAGCCTGGGCTCGGATTTAAGAATACCAGCAGTGCGAGGGGTAAACTTTTGAATATAGTAGAGCAGCATTTGACTGTCATCAACTGAATAATCTGTGTAGAAACAAAAATCACAAGTTATTTCACGCATGCAGACCATTCAGTAGCTATTGAACAAAAATGGTCACCGTTCGCAAACCTGCTGACTTCAAGACGTTTCCTACTCTTTGTTTCATGGTACCGTGACATACGATGAGAATATCCTATAGAAAGATATATAAACATCATACAGACATCTTATCGAAAGGAAATGTAATATAAGTGTAGGTGTAAGGTATAAGGAAGAAATACGTAACGTTCATGGACATGGACTAACCAACATTTACGTGCTTTTAATTTCTATATCATGCAAACAATAATAACTCAAGCGAGTTGTATGAACGTTGTTTATTTTAAGAAGAAGTCAGATGTACTTATCGTACAACTATATATAGCCTTGTGTCGAGTTGATGTTACGCATACCTCGCTATCAACTTTGTTGAGTGTTGCTATAAGAGCTCGAGAAACATATATAGGGGTCGCTTTTTCAACTATGTGGTCCAGGAGATAATGGAGCATGTTTTGTGCAGTTGAGTGTTTCTTTGACTTGGATTTTCGTCGGCCACTGCTGTCAGAAGATTTACTATCGAGCGTCAAAGACCTTTGAAACACACTAAATACAAAAGAAAAGTATCATCATAATTCGGAGGTTTTTTGGAATTGATATCGTTATCTCTTTATAGCGTTTTCACCATTTATAATCATGTTTCTTCATTCAAAGATATATCTTCATTCAAACTTACGCGTAACTGTGACACCCCTTATACAACTTAACTAAGACACGCAAGAGTTTTTGAGCTGGATTGTTGGAAATTACTTGCTCAGGACTACAACCATAACTCACGAAGTCACATGTTTCTCAAAATGTTTACTGAAATTTCACCTGGCGACAAACGTTCTGTCAGCGATAATCTCTTCCGACGACTCACAGACAATGTTCCCGAGATGAACTGAGGCGGTTTTATTAGTCGAGCGAGACATAATTAATGAGAGGACTTCCACAGCACTCTGGCGAATTGCCGTAATTGGACTAGTCAAACACACCAACAACGATGGAAGCACTACAAAAGATTTTCACCGGGATGAATAAATGAACCAAAATAGGGCAACATGCATGCAAAGAAGACAAACAGATCTAGCGACTAATTCTTATCGCATACACAATAACGAGGTTCATGCAGATTTGACTCCAGCTATACATACAGTACTACCGCTAACGTTCGTATACATGCAGTACTGTACTCGTGATTTGTACCGAATTTGATTGGCTAATCTGATAAAACCCGCATTCTATAGTAGAATAGTGCAACATCGCAATTTTAGATAAAATAACACGCACATTTAAAGCAGTACTACAATGCTTCGCACCTATATCGAGAAACTTGACAATCTTAGTATTGCAACATATATACACACTGATTCAAAAAGCCGTACCTTGAGATTTCTCTGATGTTATTTCCTCTATATTTTGTTCATTTAAAGACGGTATTAAAAACTTTGCTACATTAAGACTCTGCACAACAACTATAGCACTGGGAACAGGAAGGTCGCTGGGATCACTTGATGATTTCTGCCAGCTGGTACTCGACCATAACAATGTAAGAAATTTTAGAAACTGCAGTCTGTGGGAAAATTGTGCCTGAAATAGAGGACGGATTATGCCTTAACAACACCGAAGAGGCTGAATATAAAAAGGCTTTAACAAACGTCCGTCCTACCACTGAATTACGGTAAGATCTTTACACCCACGGCCACACGTACATCTGGGATAATACTGTATCTGCTATACATTTATATGAATAAGATATATTACGCGCGTTTTAGTACCTTCACGATTGTCTCGAAACAGCTCTTGAATTCGTCATGAAGTAAAAACTGCTGTCCTTCGACTAGTCCTTTGAACATGACATCGACGACAGACACAAGAGTCTAGGAATGTGAATAAAGAGAATGTATAATTTTTGTCATTACATCAATTACAAATGGCCAGAGGAAATATTCTCTTTTGTTCAATTGCTGGTCAGATCGACAGGACTCCAGGGTGAAACTGTAAATTCTCTCATTTTTATACGCCCTTTTTATGTAAATATAAATAGTTCGAATCCCTCTGAATTAAATGAAAGAAATTAGTCTCCGGTCCTTCATTGCTCACAGTACAGTACAGTGGAATAATGGAGTGCATGCAGTAAATAAAATATTGCTTGACGCATGATGGGACGTTTACCATAATAGTGACTGAAGACAGTCAAAGATACATAGCAAAGACGTATACATGCAATAACATAACGAACCATGGTGTACTGCTCCTCATTAACATCAGTAATTTTCCACCAAATTGACGATTGTTGTTGAGCTTGAGGAAGACACTTGACAGCATTTTCAAGAACGTAAAGATACATTTTTGATGTAACATAAAGCAGCTTCCTTTCTTTTTTCCGTTTCAACACATGAAGATAATTTGTCAGTAAGCCGATAGGAACAATACCACAATCTTCTTGCGAAGTCACCACACTGTCTGAATCCTAATAATTTGATTTCAAATTTCGATAAATACTCGATACTAACATTCGGTGTTGTTGTTTTAAGGATTCAGTGGATCAGACGTGGGGAAAATTGACCATTGGAAAATGGCGTTATATATGAACACCCTTAGATACAGTGCTTCACATGCATATAAAGATCTCCCGTCATGTCGTCAGCAGGAAAATAGTTCATCAAAAAGATTAAAGATACAGTAAAAAATAATGTTTAGCTACAAATATACATATAAAATGATGACTATAAACCCACCGTAACAGATTTGGTGATTTTGTCATTTTGTGTCACCGAAGCAACCAGTGTTAGCAATCCAGGAAGAAACAGGAAAATAACTGCAAATCTTTGATCCTCATCTTTGCAATTATTTACATATTGGCAACATATCATCAGAAACATTATGACAAAAGTTTGGTTTTGCGTTTGGTTTGCATGGTCTTGCATTTCTTTTATCTAGAGTTGAGTGGAGTTAATTATTATTATTAAGCGGCAAATAAAGAGGAAAAGTATATATTTTCAAAACAGCTCAAACTGCTTTTATTTGTAGCAATCCTGTGCCCAAATCACTTTATTAAGTTGAAATCTCTGTGATACGGACTATTACGAAATGCAAAGTGTATACATATTACCATTTCAAAAGCAGATGGATTATTCAGAATATTCATTCCTTCCACGAGAACATATATGATCTTGGCATTTGTAGTTGCAAGCTCTTGAAGAGTCGAGTCTGCAGTATATTTTCCAACTTCTGTAAAAATAAAGGTGGGGGAATCAAATGTCACAACGTCATTTTTAATTGGTATTTTTCCGTGAGTCGATCAGGACTAACAACTTATCCTGGTCGGCGTTAAGAAGATGTATTATATCTATAGGTACATGTGAATATAGGTACGAAGAAATAATAAAAATACGAAGAAATCGACAACTATACGTCTACAGTACATGTCAGCCTTCCTGTGTCAGATACTATCTAGTGCTTGTTTATCACGTCCACAGTGTGGCTCATACAAGATATTATACATCATTCACAGGTTACTATATAACGTCAATATCACAAGCATTTTTATCCACAATGCATACAGATGAGTCTGTAAAGAGTCTGTAAAGAGCAACCAACTGTATGCACTCCAGGCTATGAAATTATGAGTCACCAACTACGTATTCAACTAATGTATGTCAGAGTGTATGTAAATTTGTCTTTATTTTTGCATTCAAATCAGTAGTTTTTGATTGTACACAAATAAAAATATTCTATCACTTCAGCTACACCTTAACATGCCCACGACACTTACGACAAATGGAAACAGGCATTAATCATCAATCGTCTGGTGCATGATTCCATATTATTAATATCTACCTACCTTCAATCAAACGTTTCTTTCGTAAACTCTTCACCATACATTGCGCTTTTAACTGAGATTTCAACAAACGATCAAGAGCAATTTTTGCACGATCTAAACTATTTTTCTTTAAAAACAGAAACGGCAGAACGTAAAACAAAATTGCATCTTTGGTACATGACAATCTTTTAAACATTTCATCACTCAAAAAAACATCGATTGCTTTTTCAAATACGTCTGACCTAAAAAATAAAACGGGAAATGGGATGTAATACTACAAGAATACAAGATTACTATATACAGCCCTTTAAATTTGCTTTTCAGATTTCCCTGTGTCAGATACTATCTAGTGCTTGTTTTATATCATAACCACATTGTGATTCTTTCAAGACATTTCATCATTCACAGGGAAACGTCTTAACACAAAGTCAAGTTGAACCTGGCTCCTCTTTGAGCAGGGCACCCAGGGTCATCTTTATGCATAAAACCTTATCTATTCAACGCGATTTATTCTCGTGATATAAATTAGGTTTTTCCTTCGCACAAAATTTGCGTGACTCACCATTTTCGTGAGGACTTCTCCATTAACTTAACTAACGGGGAAATCAGAAGATCGCCACCACAAACATTGATTAGTCCCTAAAATACACGAAACAAATGTGTTGTCATGTTGTGATAAATTGAGAAAATTTTCAACATACCGTAGCAATAGAAAGGGAACACAGATTTTTGAATTACATTTCCAAAAAATACCTCATTCAACTCCAATACAGCTGAGACGACGCTAGGATCATCGTCGTGTAACTTGACTAACAGTGATTCTTTCAAAAAATTGTAATCTTCAACGTCACGCTTGAGAAAAATTTTATATATAAATTTTAATTTTTTTCTGATCAAGTGCCTGGGTGTATAATCTTCTACACTTCCCGTGCTTGAAGGGGGGAGGGAGATTGACAACTCAAAGGAAAGAGTTGGAAACACTCATATAAACCAAAAATTTTGGAAGATGAAGAAAGGTAGAGGGGAAATACACCGATTAATTTTGTAGATACACCGATTAAATTCAAGTAAAACTTGTACCAGCAAAGTATAATCTAACAATTTTAGTTTGAAAACACAAAAGACATATGATACTAAAATTAGTATAATTGCATTATAATTGCATATGTACTCCATTTTCGGAAACCTCCTTTTCCGTTTTGTCGCCTTAATCTAAAGTTGGTCTATTATGCAAGTGGTCCTTTGCAGTAACATGAATCTTACCATGGGTTCTTTTAAAATATCTGAGACTTTCTTAAGAGCAAGTTTACGATATTCAGCCTCAGGATGATGCAATGCTATTAACAGAGTTGAGCCAGAATCACACACAACCTTGAATAAAGACAACATAATTTTTCATTAATGACATTAAAATGCTATATATTTCTATTAATTTATTAATACAAGTCAGTTACTTTTTTGCGCAATATAATTTTTCATTGGGACAATTACAGCATTCACAATTATTAGGAATTAAGCTTGATTACCTACCTGACTGCCAATATTTGACAATGCCATTGAAACAAAGTCTTGAGTCCATTGCAGATATTGCTTCTTGTCATTTTTTGACATTTCCTCATTTTGCAAACTAACCAAGTAGTCTTGAATTGTCTTGTCCATTTCTTCTTGCCATCTAAGGAAGTTCAATAAAATGCATATAAATTTGTTTCCATCTGTTTATTGCATGTGGAATTGCTACTGTAACTTCCATGGTATTCTAGTTTAGGTGTTATTTTCTAAACTATTGATAATACAATTCATGCTTGACTAAATCTAAGCTAAATCAGTTACCTATTTTGAATAATCTTGACCATACTCTTCACACTACATTCAAATTTGGCCACATCAGTTTCTCTTGATCTTCTCTGGATGTATTCATTGAGAAGATGTCTACAGCAAAATTGGTGACCACATCTGTAAGAGGCTGATGCCATGGTTGCATGCACATCAGAACAAACTAAGCAAGCAACTAAGCAAGGTATATAAAATATATTTATTTCTTAGATTGAGAAATTAATCACCCACTTTGGTTTTAGTCAAAATAACATATAAACTCACTGTAACTTTCTTACCTGATGACTTCCATCCTTGTTGTTTTATTCACATCAATATCTTTGAGTAAATTTAACAATTGAGACTCATAAACTGATTCTCCATCCATGGACATTTTTATCAAATGAAAAATAACAACTTTCAAAAATGAATCTATTTCATATCTCTCTGATAAATCTGAAACAAGTGTTCCCATGTTTGGCAGCTTGCATAAAGTTTGATAAACCCTAAAACACCAACATATTTAGGGTTGTAATATATCATTGTTGGCTATAATTATCACAACATAAATTATTGCACAATATTCCTGATTGAATTAGACTCAAAATACAAAAATCCTATACTGTCTGATGATCTTACACTTTTGGGAGTTCCACCAACTTGTGACTTGAGCACAAAATACTGATGCACTCCACCAAAGACTTTGACAGTTGCACACTGGAATTCTGCACAAATTTGGAGAAAAAATGTACAATAGGGGGTTGTAGAGCATTTAGCAAACTGAATATAAGGCAACAAAGTGTTAATTAATTTACATGTAGTTTGGTATCAATTCAAAGTATGATCAAAACAACTAAATACATACTTTACACATAATCTTAAGAAGTGATTTAATAACTGAAGATTCCAATTCGCATTTTGTTGTCAATTGTCCAATGATCATATATGAAGCGGCTTGTAGGTCTGGAACATTTGATTTTAAACCATGAATAATTTGAGCAAGCACTGAGGTCACAATTTCCTCAGAAATCTTGTCAAGTCTGTCCAGAACGCCTATGACAGTTGACATATAAAATGCAGAGAACCCATGAAAGGCTACAAAATTTTGATTAGTATCACTACTTGTTTTACAAACATCAAACACCAAACCAGATATAAATGTGAAGAATGCAGGATTTGAGATACAATGTTGGATGATGGTACTGTGTGGCAATGGACTGCCTGTTTTCTGAACTGATATAAGCCATGACCATTTCGTATCGGTAAGATTTATCAGCTGCACAATGCGTGCAAATAGATTGGTCTTGTGATATGGGAAGACACAGGCCAACAAATCATCAATGTTATACAAATGGACTTGGTAACGACGTATTAACCACTCTAGTGTTTTATGAGCTGGCTTCAGTAGAATATACTGAGACAAGAAACGAAGATAATCCTTTATATTGCTGTCTAACTTGTCATTCAACTCTTGAGACTGTAAACTTCGTTCAAGCAGTTTAGATGACTCGCTAAAAAGCAATGTTTCAAATCTCTCAAATTCCAAATTTACAAGCTTGAGTTCCTCCAGTCCATTTAAAGCCAGTGCAAATACTGTTTCATTATCAATATCAGAAGCCTCTTTCGGGTCAAAAAGAAACGACGTTTTCTTCTTAAATTTCGTAGCTCTTTCCAGTGAACTACTATCTGGAATTCGAAGCCGTTTCAACTGTTTTTCCAAGGACGACATGTTTGCACGTGTTGGTAAAAGTTTACAAACTTTACATATTACAACTTTTCTAACCTTGAGCCTTCGATCTACACTGCAGAAATGAAATACTTTGTGTGAGCCTTATCTGAATACTACGCCTAACCTTACTGCATCAACTGCATCAGCAGGTTAGATTGGTAGGATAAATTGGAAAAATATATAGACTTCATATTTATCTATGATTTGATGATTATTTCCTGCACGCGCCAGCTTGCGGAATAAAAAAATGATGCAGTAATTCTATTACAATATAATAAGTATACAATTCTTTTCGCTACGAGCATCAATTAAATCATTATACATTCAATTTTCGATCATTCGAAAAAACTACGTCTTCTCCTGTAGCATCTGACGTATTATCTGAAAAAAAAATGTTAATGATATTTTATTTCTTCAACTTTTTTCTCATAACTTGAATTCCAGATAGTTAACCGGCCTTTAAATGAATTTATATCGATGATAAAACGTTTCCGGTCTGTAAGAAGGCGGCTGGAAAGTGGAAAAACGTAACGTCCATCCTATCCTCATTTTAATATATTTAAGATTTCTAAGAATACACATTTTCTATGATCAGTCTACTGAAAGTATTTTTTTCCGCCAGTCATGCATTGAAATTAAGTGCACTGAACTACATGGTAAAATATTTTGTCACCTTGTCCTGATCCGCTAGAAGTTTAAATAAAATTCATAATGACATTAAACGTACCTAAACAGACATAGTTGCAACAGGTTCCAGGAACTTTACGATAATTACTGCAGCCTACGTCATCAAACCATGTACAAGTGATAACGTTACACCAAATCTTTCCTCTCCAGCATCGACATTCCTTACAATCATCCACAGTCCATATTTTACCGTCGTTTGTGCACGAATCTGTCAAATCTTGAAAAGTAGGTAATGAACGTGGCATAAGAAGTACTTCAAATTGATACGACTTTTTTGATGGTACAAGACCTGCTAAATCGTAAGCTTTTGCCCTAGAAATAGCTTGAAAATAGATCTAAGTGATCGGAAGAACTAAGTGACTTGTGACCTATGTAGTTGAAACAAATTCGGGAAAGGTGAAAAGTGAAGAATTTTTGAGTTGCAGATAAATGTTTTATATATTTTCAACAAAACATAGATGTCAGTTTGACAAGATAGTAAAGTTTACCTTTTGGCAAAATAGCTGAATATATAGAAGAAAAGAAACAGATGAGAAAGAATGGCTTCATCCACTGTTGCATGTTGATTCTGAAAAGAACACACACACAAATAGTTTGCTTGAGGAATGTTTACCCAACATATGTAGTATTGAAATAATCTGAAACATCGACTGCAAAAGTTTCACGTGTTGAAATAGTAGAAATTCTTAGCTAACTTGACACGATATTGACTGGAGCATTGTTCCACTGAATACCAATGTTATGTGAAGAAGGATAGAAAGGAGAAATAATTTCAAGATACTAAACCCTTTCTCTTTTTATTTCCATGCAAACAGTGAACGGTTATGGTTTTTTATTAATGAATTCCACTAATGGCATGCATAACTCCCTAAATTACTCAAATGCATCGGTAAATATTAAAGGCCAAATTTGAAATAACTTCTGCATGTGATTGATGTGAAGCCTTCTCGTGCACTGATTACGCAAAGCCACGTTCTTTATTCCACCTCATTAAAACTTCCTCTCATGACTAAGCAGGCGTTAGCTTATTACAGATATATGGTGACCAAGGTGATGAGCATACATTCACAGACAGTTAACGTGCGCCAGCCAGCTATAACCTCACAGTTAAGTGTAAAATTATATTACAGAGACCACACAGGACGTCTAGAAACTAGGCTATAAAAATTTCGCACTTGGTGTATGTATAAAAATTATATATATGTCCTTTTCCTGCGCTCAAAAAATCTAATCTTGTGCCTTTGGCAGTGTGAAAAATAAGATCCCTGTGCAGTGATTTCACCGAATCGAGGGTTTAACAGAATTGATTGATATTTTACAGACAGACATGTATGACAGTATCATTTTTTTAAATAGACACAATAGTAAACTTATATACCTTTTGTATCTTTCACAAATCATAACACGACTGGTAGAATATGTTCCAAACGAAAGCTTATTTCGTGACTTTTGGTCAGTATGCATGAAACATCCTTGTTGATACAATGTCGTGATCAGGTGAATTAGAGCAACTTGAAACTACACTGAAAAAACGAATAATGAAAACAGCTTAACTGATCAAATATTTGATAAACGCGCTAGTAGCTATCTATTATAGTACGGAGGAACGCATGCCGCATGCGTACCATACCTTGTTTTAGAGCTGTGCTTTCATGGTGAAAAACGCCATCTTGCAGGGGGTGCAAAGGCAATAGGAAATTCGAAATGCGTGAGAGAATTGACCATTTCGAGAGATTGCTTCTTGCACACCCCCGTATAAAAAAATAATAACTATCGATTTTAATCGATTTTATTAATAATCTATTTTGTCTTTTTTGCCCCCAATAATCTCTAGACTATATATATGTTTAGTCCTAGTTCAGAAGCGTTATATATGCACAAGTGACTAAAATTTTTCAGATTTTTGATGTACTTTGTAGCATAACATTACTTCTAGAGTTCGAGTGTCAAGTTGCGTGTATATCATGCACAGAGAGCATGCAACAACGTGCCTATACGTTTACATATAGCTACCAAGCTACCAAGTTTAACTTTCAATCTGAGTACATGAACATAAAATAAATAAAGGCTAGTGATATAACACCAGTCGAAGACAAAGCAAATGCAATGCATGCATATACATGCGATATGCAAAGATGAGTCTTGACACTGATGAAACTGGACGAATCATGTTTTACTTGCAATAAAGATGACTTCAGTTAGAGGTCACGTTCCAGTTTTACGATAAGAGGCGCAAACAGATAAACACCAGCTAGAGTAACAATGAGAAAGGCGAGGAAGAGATAGAAAAATATTCTATCCATTGTTTTAGAAATTATCTTCCATTCCTGTTGATATTTATCTTCTTTCTTTTCTATCATGCTGATCTGTGCTTGAAGTAAGGCTGTTACGGTAGGTTGTTTTGCTTCAGGATCCAGGTCAGCAGGATCGACCATGGGCTCTGCTTTTGTGCTACTCTTGATACAACACAGACATTTGAGGAAATTGGGCGGTTTAGACGTGTTATGGTGACATTTGAGAACAATGATGGTACCGAGAAAACCCAGAGTGATTTCGATCATCATCAAAACAGACGCTATTGCAAGAAGGGGGATATTTTCTGACGACTCTGGTAAATGTTCACCAATCAAAAGCAGAAACACGCTCATAGACAACAAAGCTGTCGTACACAACCCGATTCTTTCACCACTGTCCACTGGTATTTTAAAACTGAACAGGACCAACAAAGATATGAGAACACTGGGTACAATGAGATACATTATGAAATATATCGGTTTTCGTTCCAGCTTCAATCTATATGTTATTCTGGCAAATTTTTCATCACCATATTCAAGATTTTGGGTATGTTGATCCAGCTTTATTGATGGGATTGTCCAGTCTCCGCTTTCATAACTGGAATCTGATTTTAAAGAAGAATTAAACGGCTAGTTACATTATTCAGTATCCGTGCCTGGTCATCCGAATATTTAAAATTTACCTGAAAAAAGATTACTTTTAACCATTGGTAGCAAAATCATTTTATTCATAGTGAATGTCCAAGAACCAAAAGTCATGTCACAAAGCTGAGTATCGAAGGGGAAGGTTGAAACATCGAAACGACAAGAACTTATGAATGTTGCTGGAGACATCCAAATATTCTCCCCGTTGCTTCTCAATACCACCATTGTTTTGTATTTTGTCCTGGAGCCAGCAAAATCACTCTCAGCACTAAAATGAGGCAATTATAAAACTCGTGAATCGAGGGTGCTGAGTGATGAAAATGTACTACATCTGTGTGCAGGGCACCATAAGTATATGGGGTGGGTTAGGGGCGGATGGGCAGATAGGGGGGGGGAGCTGTTCCCATGCATGCGGAAATATTTGAATCCAGAACTTGATTTCGGCAATTTTGCTGAAATTGCCGGCACTACTCCAGAGAGATAATTTTAAGAGTGTTCGGAAAGATAAAAAGTAAGATGGCAGGCATCAAGCGTTTAACATGAAAGATGGAGAAAATTATTTTTTAGTACTTTTTTCTTCGATCTTTCATCTATTCAAAGTGATGAAATATCTCAATTTTTACGACTCTTACAAATTTTAAAAGATTTTAAAAAAATATTCTTGTTTGGTCATACATAGGAAGCCCAATGATAATTATTCCATAATTGATAGTAGAATTTGCTATTGAAAAGTCACAAGAACTATGTGGACAGATTCAGGTACAGCAGCATTTCTTGCCAGCAGTTGCAATATGATATATGGATACCGCAGGTATATAGAAACGGGGCTGGGGAAACAAAAGAAAAATATATCTCTTTATATACTTACTTATTCACCAATGCTGTATCTGGCACCCAAACATCCTTAGGTTGAGCGTGCAAAGTTTTAATACCACCATATTTTTCTGGATTCCACGTCAAGAATGGATTGGACCATTTCTAAAGAAAGGTGTAAAATAGAGACAGGTTTTGTGTATAGAAACGTTAGAAAGAAAATAGAAAGTTACGTGTTACATTTTTTATCCGACGCCAAATGAGATACGGCAAATGTAACTGCATGTTTAGTTAGTATATATTATTCATACCTGAGTAATCCAGACATCCGTAACAAGTGTCATATCCCTAGAATTCTGAAAACATACAAAAATTACGTTATATATATAACATATGAAAATGTCGATTTTTGAGGCAAACCATATATATAGGCATACATGGAAGCAATCTTTTTTTTCGAGAGCGAAAGGGCTGGGGGCGTAAGCATGTTGAACATTTTCTTTTTTAATTTTTTAAATTAATGATTATCAATCAAAATTAAAGTGGTTCGCCAGTTTGCATCATCCTTCGATCCCCCGCCCGGCCCGTACGGATAGTAATTAGTAATTGAACAACATGACAGCACGTACCACTTTAACAAGTCTGCTCAATTTCATTTGAAATTCCACTTGAACAGGTTTTGTGCTATTTTTAACGGGTCGTACAGAAGACATGTTGTAGCCAAAAAATAATGTTTTCATGAGACGAAACTCATCAGTGTCGGTAAGATTTGGTCGAGGAAGCGATAACGTTCCTTGTATGACTAGAAAGTAAGGAAGAGTTTGATGCTGAGATTCAATAAATTGTACCATAGTAACCCCAAACTTGCAGGATAATCATTTGGACGGAGAAATTATTCGGCAATGTAATGGAATTATGCATGTACCATACATTATCATAAACTGTTAACATATTGCTGAAGAAAAATTTTCCCGTTTAAATTACCTCGCAAATTTGGGTTTTCTGTGATTCTACAGTGCATGGGGTCACTCATGCACGTACCCAAAATGAAGATCATGATTTTTCAAATTAAATCAGCTATTTTCAAATTCACAGGAGCAGACAATTCTGTGTATAAAAAGTATTTCAATTTCCAAAGGTCTTTTTTTCTATAAATATGCACCTCATGAATATTTTACGCACTCGTGGTCTATAGCATACTATGTGCAATTAAAAAGGAATTCAATTTTTAACAATATGGTTGATTTCTAAAGGTCTCTTTTTTTGATACACCCAATAGCTCCATTGTACGGACCTCACAACCCCTAAGAGCTTTTTCTCCAGATGCATGATAACTTAATTGCTTTACTAAAAGGAGTTGTTTGGGCGAGCAGTAAACGGAAAACATTTAATAAAGCAGAGTTTTTTCATTTGTTTGTATTTCCGCATTCTACTGAAACATTATATTTTGCGGAATTAAAGCCTTCTCGTCAATACGTCCAAGTCTTTCCAACAACCGTTCCTAATGCCTATACTGTGAAATCATGTGTTACGGGTCTACACCTACGAAAACTAGAAATTATTACTTTCTTCCGTTCGCTCATATAATTTTAGATATACAAAATTAGCAAAAAACTTGACGCCCTCCATATTTTAATTTGCCGCCGATACCTTTGTGTCCAGCAGGACGCGTATACATGCAGTTAACTACAGTTTTATTATCGTTATCACCCTTAAATAGCATATTTCAATACTTAAACAGCGGTGTGGCGAGAAGCGTGTATATTCGCATGCATTCATGGTATCTTGGGGCACTTTCCTTTATACGGAAAAAACGGCCAGACCGGTCCTGTTGTATTTCAGTACAGACAGATTACTGGTATTTTGGAGTGTTTCAAGATCTCTACATTCACGTTTATCGTTATTTACATCTGCCTAGCACGGGAAGTGTATAGTTTTATCGCTATATATATTTTTAACGAAATACTCTATTTCAATTTAAAATATGACCGCGCGGTCTGACCATTTTGGCTGCTTAATGGAAAGCGCACTTGCTTATATTTATCATGGATTCAAAGGAAATAATTCAGTACAACTACAACACGAAACGAATATGCATGTCACTCGATGTTTCTCCCGTTAATATTTAGGCGTCTATATAGATTCTTTAGCATTTCTCGTTACATGCATTCAACCTCAGTCAAGTTCACACAGACCACTCTTGCCAAAGGCAAAGTCGCTTTTCATCCGCCGAACTCATTAAAAAACAATCGATAATAAGTTGAGATACGTCTTTTTTTTGCACGCTTCTTTTTTTTTAAGCAAACGACAATCTTCATATTTAATTTGACATTTTTTAATAACTATTCTTCATCGTCAGTGGGGGATAAGTATATTCACTTGCATGCAACGATAAGGAGTTGAGATATAGAAAACTTCAAACCATTGCAAACTGTTAAGCAACCACAATTATGAAGATAATAATAAAGCAGCTGGTTTATAGGAAAATATCAATTTAGCAGTATATATATACATATGAGGATATAGTATAGTCTATTAAGTGACAAATATATATATATACGCTAGCTATATATATTCAATTAAGAAATAATTTCTCTGAAAATTGCAATTTGACGATTTATACAATGTCGATCATGCATATTATACATGCATACATGAATTGTGAAATCTTAATTCACATGCAGCATACGGATGTGAATGAAACTCGCTTCGTTTTTACTCACACGTTAACGTTTTCGAGCCGGCGTTTTTATCAGCCAAAACGGTTTCAAACACCGCGTGATCAACATCGTGCGTGATAGAAGTTAAAGCTATAATTGAGCATATCAAGCATATTTCCCCTTGGAACGTGAGGACAATAAATAATCTATATATAAACAATAAAATAGACATAAACGATTTTGAAAACGCTCGAAAACAATGCTCGTGTGCACCTGTAGCCTGACATTTTTTTGGAAAAGAACTTGCGATACACAACTTGTATATAAATTTTTTACATAAATTCAATTAAAAAAACATGTTTTTGGCTTTGCTGCAGCGACCACGAACTTCCTCACACATTTTTTACGCCATGAAGTGATATGCATGTTGGTGAAGTCATGACATCAATTCCACCCCCCCAAAGATAAAAGTATAAAGTGACAATTCTATGTGCGATTAAAAGCCGAATATAGTTGAAGGTATGCACAGATGTGGGGTGATGTCTTTTATAGTTTTGCTGCACAAAACATACATTTATGGTAAACCGCAATGTAAATGAAATGTTGAATCAAACTTTGAAGGTTAATTGGAAGGATTTAGTAAAAATCATAAGTTCAAAAATAGTTTCCAAGAGACACATCAGTATGTATGGAAAACCTGTGATACACTACAGAAAGCCCTATATGCATGTATAGCTATATAGCCACTAATTGCATTAAACACATCGCAAGGCCACGACTGGCAAGAATCAAACATTCCCGTTCCTTTTACAACTCAATATATTCCCACGTTGAAATGATTAAAACAGAAGCAAATTTTTGTAAGAACTGAAAAAAGGACATCACATGCAGTGTAAATATATAGCAATGTTTCAAAAAAACCAAAACTTACAGAAACAAAAAAGGATGAAAAGGAATCCTTGAAAGGCCGTGCAATTGCATTTCAACTCCATAACGTCTAAAAAGATAAAACATCAATTTAAGACATGATTTTCAGAAGCGAAACAATCGCGTATCATCAAACACGCTGATTACATGTGATATATTTACCTTGAAAGTATCTAGATTAGTTGAAGTAATTCCTGTTAAATATGAGAAGTTGTGGCTGCGTTGTTTGATCAATCCACCTTTTAAATCATTACACTTCCCAGCAGGAGACTGGTCCCAAGTAATTAATATAAGAGGCTTGGGGAAATAATTGCACTTGCTTATATTATCTACAGTCTCGTTACAAGGAGAGTGATTAAATATTGACCTCTTTACTGACACACACCGCGAATTTTAGAGATATACGTTTTAAGTTGATCAAAAATTTATAAGGCAGAATGACGATTTGCATGGAGGAAAAATAATTAATATAGAAGCATTTAGTAAAAATATATATTCACACACGGAGGCACTTATGTTTGTGGTTTAACAGCGAGCATCATGTGAAGAGTTCCTGGGTCTCAGACTCTCCAATTAAAGTTATATACATATGCATCAGTGCGCAGACATTCTTGCATGTGAAATTAGGACGCCAAATGCTTGGACGTTTGCAGCCGTTATTGAGAGCTAGACTATTTAATTTATAGACCTTTATGCAAAAGTGACATTTTTTGAGTGAATCTCGAGAATGGCTCTAATTCCCTCATGCTTCTGACGATTTTTGCAAAAGAAGACTTTCGCAATTTGCAATATTTTTATACAATATTGATGAATGCATGTTATATATTATCGCACTGAGCAAATTCTGACTATTTTTTTATTACCACCAACTCCATGCATGAACTCCTGTTGCACTGTTAATAAAATGTGTATGATTTTTTAATTTCTTTTCCAGCTATATATTTCTTTAATTTTGAAAACGATAGGGAGGATTTGTCGGCTGTTTCTATAACTAATGAAAATTCTTTTTTGACATAAGCCGGCATATAATATAAAGAATGACGAAATGTATTGGAACTTTGAAAGAATAAAAGTATTAATTAAAGACATTGCACGGATATCGTCGGCAGAGTATAAACGGATAATTAAACGAAAACAAATATCTATATACCTATACAATTAATTTATCAAGCATATATTAAATTGACTAAAAAAAAAAATTCCGATCAAGGATTGAGAACTGTGTTTCTATAAATAAGAACGCTTTATTATTAAAGACTCAATTATAATTCCTATTAAACCTAGCTATATATAAATTACACATCCATATTCAATAAATCGGGCATCTAGAGTATATAATTAAGATATTAATCCTGTTTAATATCTTTTTCATGAACAGGTGATGTTTCATAAACATAACTCCTGTAACGAAATCTATCAGGTAGTATGTAGAGAGCTAACGTATCCACAATTGTCGCTGTAAGAGTTAACAATCCCATCCCAGATACAAGTTTGATTACAAGAGAGGCCAGAGAGAATTTGCCTAAAATAAAAGGATGATCATAAAAATGTAATCCAATAAGCATGCAATGACCTAATTTCAGCATTCTATTTCGAAAATGTTTAGCACAAAGGACGAAGTGAATGCAGTATACTGCATGACATGCATGCAGGAAGGATACATAAAAAGCGACTCTTAAAACTGTGCACGTGATAAGAACAACGCAGCTGGTGTAACTGATGAAATCTTGAATTTGAAGCATAAAGTGTAAATATACAGCAACGTGCCCCGATGGGGTAGTAGAGAGGTTGTGTCTTCGAGGGAAATCATATGAAGACTATGGAACGATATTGTCAAATTGTCGACGCTCCCACGTGCAATATGATTCAAGCTAGCTAGGGCATAGCCACAAAGTTCAAGGGCATGTTTAGAATATCGCACACAAGCTAACGACCTTTGAAGGAAAGTCGTCAACACCATATGATTCAGGAAATTACAAACTCTAGTTTATTTTTATTACAATCAAAAAAGAATTTAGCCGGTTTTTGTAAACGGAATTTTTTAAACAGAGAAAAATTCTTTGGCTGTTTTTTTTGCATTTTTTTTTCGATTTATCATTATATATAATTACATTTTTTATCATAAAGAAACTACGTATAAAATAAATTTTAATAATTATTATCGCAAAATAGCCACAAATGTCTAAGTGCGGAAAAATTCATCGTCATTTTCACAATGATTTTTTATCCAAATACAAAACTTCGCGTTGAATGAAATATTAATGAAAATCCAAATATTTAAATTTTGAGTGGGAAACTTTTTTATCTGCATGGCGTATTAATGACGTAACGAATCTTCATTAATTGCCTGATGAAAAAGATAATTGATTTAATATGCATGATCGTGATATCAGAGTCTGAAATGACCTGATAAAGAACAAAATAACAATTGGAAGTACGCATGCTCAGCTTCAGGATCAGGTGAAATTAGTGCAAGTTAAGTTAAATATTTGCTGAATCACTGCCAGCCCAGCCAGCAACCGCGCACAGCAGTTCATTTGTACATATTTGACCTTTGTCTCAATGATGAGATTTACATAATGATTATCTCATGCCTAGTTTATGTTTTGTATTTTAGACCAAAAAGAAACAAAAAAATTGTTGTGTTCGCGTGGCTAACCAAAATAGATTACTTTTGCTGCACGGGTAATTATTAGGTTGAATCATAACAAAAAATATAAACTTTCCGCCTCAAAGGCTTCTCGGGAAATTTGTCTAGATTTTCAGTAGCCCAATAAGAAAGCATAAATTTTGACCTCCCGTAAAAAGCCGGTACATTATTTACCATTTCACCGCGAGTTGTTAAAAACTTAGGCATTCTAATTGGCTAAAAATGTAACAGTTTTTTTTCTAATGGCATTTATGATCGAGTTAAGACCTAAATAAGGTAACGACAATCAAATGAAATGTAGGAGATTAGACGTTCTGATTCTTGTCAAGCAGTTCTCGTTCAGAGGCTTCAAACTAAATATATAAATATGGTATCATACAGTCGAAATTCTGACAATCTAACTCTCCGCATAAACACCCGCGTTTAATTTCATGCAAAAAAATACAAACATACAAACCCAGCATTCCGGCTTGATGAAATTCTAACTTGACGCCATATCGTTTGCGAAGAACACGAGATTTTGGTTCTGAGGTATTTTTCTTCATTTGATAAAATATTGGTATCAGCTCGTTGACTCGATAATCAGCGTAAGGTATGCGAGAAACGTGATAACCATATTCGATAGGACTAAAACAGGGGAAAAAAGCTGAAAAAAAGTTCACTTTATTCGTGTTTTCTGAGATGGTGATATAATAGAATAATGATATTTTGAAAAGTACGTTGAAAAAATTAGTATATATCTAACAGCCGTTGATCGTTAATCGATAGCCTTTAGCAAACTTACCCTGTACCAAACCAAGTTCCATGAGTATTTGTGTACTTTATGGTGACATGCAGAACAAGGCCATGGCGGCGATATGCTTTACCTTTCGCATTTAAAGCATCAGAAACTTGCTCAAGGCTATCGACACCTGCTGCAGAGAATAACTCTCGGATTGTTAATTTGTCAGCTCCTTTATTCATCCTATAAATAAAGCATGAAAGAACAGCGATTTCTTTGCTCAGCCTCAGGATAATTTCACTTTCATTTTTTGTATTCAGCTACAGTAGGTTCTGTAGCTACAAAGAGAACCTACTCGCGAATTTTTGATCCACTGACATCATACAACCAACCCCTCATGCTCCTCTGTGACCCAGCTATCGTACCACTTCCACTGTCGGAGTTTCCAAAAAACTTGGTGGCAATAACCGAGTGTTCAACTTTTACAACATACTCTTCAGGTTTTAAGGTGTAAAATTTTTCTTCTCTATACACAACAAAATCAGAAATTTGATTTTGAGTAAAAATACTAAAAATTGCGTTTCTTGCAGAAACGATTTTTGTTTCAATCAGTCGTTATATCATCATTGGACATCACTCGTAGGCAATCAGCGATGTTTTGCGTCCATTATCGTTAACCGATGAAATAGAAATTTCCTGTCTTTCTGTTTGTCTGTCTGCCTGCCTGCCTACTTGCCTGTCTGTCTGTCTGTCTACGAGTGACAAAAACCTTCAAACCAGGTGCATTAGCAACTAACAGACTTATGCAATAAGTTATCTTGATCTAATTTAACATTATCCCATTCTTCTCTTCCTACAAGCTTACAATCTACGTACATTAGCATAAACAAGAAAATTAACAAGTTGCTATTAGTATATACAGCTGAATGGCCCCAAGCCCAGGTCTACTCTTAGTTTTAATCTTATGCAGTCAACAGAAATTTCAAAGCATCAATAAAAAAGGATTAATACCTTAAGGTTATAAATTCTTCTGGATGATCAGGTGACTGCTGATTACTCTGCCATCTTTCTTTACAAAATGTCATAACACTGAGTGTATGAGATTGAATTGGCCATGAAAGTTCTTGTGCATCCATGTAATGACATTGAGATATACATTTTCCATTAGAGGCTAAGTAGAAAGTGATATTAACTCAATACTTATCATAATTAGAAATGGTGCATACATTAATTCCCATATCAATAATACCCATGGTAATCAGTTTGCTATGGTTGAATCATAGGTTATTGAGTGTTGTGTTCAGTTAGTGTTGTGTAGAAAAAGTGATAAATTAATTTGTCAAACAAAAAGTATTCAATGCATGTTTATATGAAATGATGAGATGATACTTCCAAATTCTGTTCAATCTTCTATCTACTACCAAAGACACTTTGATATTTATCTCAATGGAGTGAAATGCTCAATTTATAAAAAATATTGCAAGATTCAATGTTTTAAACATAGCTAGTGCTCTATACCTTTACACTGGATCAAGCTCTATTTTGATGTTGCACTGTTCTATAATATACAAAGAACCATATTCTTACTTTTATTCACACAACATTCAGGTGGTAGTTCATCATGAAAAAAATCATTATCAGGATCAGACAGTATAAGTCTCAGAGTTCCAGATGGGTGAGTATCATACTACAGAAAATTTCACCATAATTATATTCAGATAATTAAGTTAGTATACCGTAGTGATGGTTGTTTGGAAGTTCCAAACAAACTTAAATATTTATATGATGAAGGTTGTATAAGGTGTATGTAGTTGTACCACTGTGGTTGAATGGTAGAAGGGGAACTTAGGTCTACTCATGAGAGCCAAATGACCATTATGAATATCAAAAGTACATTCTCTTTTAATATTGTGAGTGAGAGACTGCGTCAATACATTCTTATTCTGTCTCAAGGCTACTTAATTAACCAGTCATACTATTAAAAACAATGATATGGGAATATACTTTAAAAAATATCATACACGTACCTCTATATATCCCTTGCTAATAAATATTTCCGCCATTGTGAAAGTAATAATAAGCACTGCGGTTAAATAATACCCAACGCCAAGTCTCGAGTCACGAATTGTTACATATTTATATGTTGCATAATGAAAGAACGACATGATTCACGACAAAATTTTACTCCAATCCAAACCACTGCTATATTAAAACTTGAGAAACTGGCTTGCCTTGGTTAGGACACAAAGACCAGGATCAGGATGATTGCAGAATCAGAACGCCTCCAATCCAATCTCGAAATGGCATCTTGCCACTGTGAACTGTAAACAAACTGAAACTCAGGGGCATTAATCTTCAAGCTGAATAGGGATGTTTGTCAGGACTCAGGAGTTATCGTTCCAGTTGTATCGACTATAGAGTTCATTGGTCATACCACACCACACTATTGATGTAATCATGTGATTCATGTCAGCACATTTAAAAACCTCGACCTCGTTCCTGGGCGGAGCCTATTTTTTTCTCGTAATTTCTACCCATTTAGAACCCATTTGGCAATTTGGTTATTTGGCTGTTTCCAAACCAGCAACCAACCCCCGGCCCTACCCCAGTCTTTCTTTGTGCCCCGCCTCCCCTACTCGCCGAGCTCGAGGGTAAAAAACAATGGATTAGATGCTTTTATTTTGCGAGATCTCTTTAATGAAATAGTTCAGTGATTAGAATATTTATAACCGCAATGACGTTCAAAGCTGTGTGTTTATTTTGTAATAAGATGATGAGCGAGGGAAAAAGAAATTAAGCTTTTTGTTTGTGAATTCTGTTTTTTAATTATTGATTCAGCGAACTATAATAAAGCGATTGAAAGTTGTGTGTAATGGAATTCGTTGTTTCAGTTTATTATTAATGGTTCAGTTGTGAACGTCCCTTATCAATATATTGAATTGATGAGGTACGTTTAAAACAATATTATATCCCCCATCCTTGTACTTGGGGGAAATGCGCAAAAGAAACCAAGGCGACCAATGTCCATGTTATGAACGAAACGCATGCTTTGAGGGATATTAGTGATCAAATGTACACTAAAGCCTCGGAAGGTGACTTTCACTTAACCTCTCGCGGTGTGCGGGACATTTAATCACTATAATCACTAATATCCCGCAAAGCATGCGTTTACTTATAATAAAAATATAGCATATAGGAGAGAAAAGGATGGAAAAGATATATTTCATCATGAGGGAGAGGGCCGGAGAGGGAGGACCCAATGGCAATGACGCAATTCTGAAATAGATTATTATCGAAGTTAGAGAAGGACAGGCAACCCTCTTGTCATAGTGATTGTGTCATTTGTTTTTATAACTCGGGTAAATTTATATCTGATTTAGACTTCCTGTACCTAGGGCTTCCTACATTCTCGCCCTCAGAGCGGCAGAGCCTACTTTTGACTTCCTGTATCTATGAATTTCCGCACGGTTTCTAGGAAGTAACATTTTTATTACGTTTGACATTTAACTGCTTGGTTGTCCGCAAGGACGAGGGATTCATAAATCCAATAAAGGTAAGGAAATATTGACTATTCGACTGATCCAAGTAAATTAGAATGAAAAAAGGCCTTGGTACGTGTTTACTCGGTGTCTTCGCGTTGATCTGGCTTTGTATATAACAAACAGTATGTTGTTTAAAATATTATTATATTTGCAATTTACGTCAAATTACTGTATGATGATACATCCACTCATGACCATACTACGAAGCCACCGTAAATATATGGATATTCTACTCGCGGATACAATTACAATTTTGTTATATGTAATTTGTATTTGTATTTAATAAAATTACTTTGCAGCCTAAAGGCGGAATTACGTAATTGTTACAGTTAAAACTATTGCATCATTAGAATTGTAGCTATAACTATTGCTAAGACGCATTAAGATTATTGATATAAGTTAGTAAAATAATTTCATTTTAAAATTAAAATCGAACAGAGAGGTTAACTTTTGTTGACCTTATTACTCATAGCATATATAAAGGAGTTTGATACTCTATTTGTGTGGCTCATTGGAATATCGAAGGTTCTTTCATGTCTTAGATTATTATTAGATTTGTTCCTCTCTGGCAACAAATTATAAATTTTATTGTTTGGATCCAACACAGCAGAATGAAATAGTTTGTTACACAGATGTTCATGATGAACTTTAAAGATGGAATACCAAGTGAGTTTAATGTGCCAGAATAATTTTCTTCAGCTATAACAATGGCCATAGCTCTTTTTTCCGGCCGTTCCAAATCGTTTTTCAAGTATTGAGGTATCGCATTGTAAAAAAACGGGATGGCATAGTCCATGACTGATCTAAGCATGATATGTAGAAGGAGGCCAAGTCTTGACATGGAACACTTTCGCGTTCAAGTTGCTTAAGAAAATAGAGTCTTTTATTGACCTTTTTGACGACTTCGTCTATGTGAGGTTACCATATTAAAGTATTATTAATGGTAAGACCCAAGAGTTTGATTTTATTAACAACTTCTAACTCTTTTCCATTGATTACAATTGGATCGAAAGGTCTCGGCACAGCGTTGAACGAGATTCGTAGTTCTTTACATTTTTCCGGATTAAGTTGCATTCTATTTGCATTGGACCACGTAACCACATTATCTGTAATGTTTTGGGCATTACTAATGGAATCCTTCGTGACAATTTCTGATACTGTCGAATCATCAATGTATTTCCAAAGATCTGCTTGGTTACTGTTAGGTCGTTTATGAGTAAAATGAATAACCAATATACCTAATTTAGTTCCTTGGGGCACACCCGACGGAACTGGCCCCCCATTCTGAATAACAGTTATCTGCAAACTTTACTCGTTGATATCTGTTTGTCAGAAAATCTGATATCCAATTGATGACGCTATATGGTAATTCTAACTCTGATAGTTTTTGGATCAAAATTGAATGATCGATAAGATCAAATGCTTTTCGGTAATCGAAGAGGATTGTTCTTACAACGGCGCCAATACTGTCAGTGGTGGTGGCCAGCGATGGACCATACTGATCTGAGTCGATGACTTTTAAGATTGCTGGTTTAACATAATCAACGACAGTAAATTCCTCAGCGACTTCAGAGATACTGGCGGTAATTGAAATAGCTCTTAAATCTTTCTTTGGATCTTTTACAATTTTTGTCTTTGGCAATGGTGTAATGTTGGCCATTTTCCAAGTGGTAGGTACACGTTGCTCTCGTTATGAGATGTTGAGGATAATTGAGAAGGGCTAGGATATATGAATAGTCCTTTAATACCCAATTAGGTAACTTATCGGGTCCACATGCTCTATTTGTTGGGAGTTTCGATAAAGCTTTTTGCACTCCTATTTCTGATACGTTTAGAAAGGTTGCCATTTCTTCCAACGGAAATTTTGGTAACGGACATTCTAGTCTGTATTCCTCGAGAGGTTCTAGAAATGTTTTGTTAATTTCATTTGCTTGATCTCTTGGTGTAAGGTTAGAAAACGTTTCAACATTGGCTAAATTGGTTTTCGTTCGGTAACAAGGTTAGAGATACGTTTAATTTCAGACCACCATTTCCTCGGGTTTTTTTCGTTCAACCTATGAATATTTAGTTAATAATACTTCGCTCTACATAATTTTCGCTCCCTGTTAACTAAATTCCATAAAACGCATTTTCGCCAACAGGGAGTTTACGATATACAACGCGGTTAGCTCGACGTCGCTAGTCAATTATTTTAATTGAAATAAGCTACAGAGAATTAACTATGCTGCAACGACTCTGAAATAATCATACAAACGTTTAAATTGTGCTAAGAACCTCCTATATTGCAGTTCCATTTAAGCTATCAAACAACTATCACGTTGCCGCTGCTTTCATGTCATCGAGAAGCGGTGAATATTTCACAACGCTGTCATGGGACCACAGGTTATGCATACCCATTATCTCGCGTGTGGAGTTTCTTTGTTTTGCAAGCGCGTCATCGAGCTGGCCACGTCGTGAATCTCAAACTCCCTGATTCCAACTTATCGACTCCTTGTATATGACGTCACATTAGGCAACTGGGCAAGAAAAATTTTAAATGTGGCATAAACTTTACTAAATATGCAAAGTAAACTTTAAAAGTTTAGTAAATAAGTCTTCGGTGAGTGAAATTAGTATCTCGCGGTCCTGTAAAGAAATAGGGTGTTTGTAAAAGAATGAAATACTTTGACCCGTTATAGACAATAACAAAAAAATTGGTCTGATTGTATTTACACGTTTTTAGAACTTTTTGTTTCATCGGTTGAATATCAAAGGAAGACATGCTCTCAATTGAAACGACAGGCGCGTATATTGATGAGACTACTCATGAAGTGTCACTACATGACTTTAATAAGGAGAAAAAATACAAGGAAAAAATACTTAAGCAGATAGTAAATACAGTCTGTGCTATGATGAACAGTTATGGGGGGAAAATTGTGGTGAATATTAATACCGACGACGAGGGCAGTGATATCTCAACATCTCAACTGTCATCGGTGATCCGCATAGTCGAACAACATTTGATCAGTATCATCGGAACAAATATAACTTCGGCTGTTAATTTTAATAAAGATCCTGAAGATAAAAATACCATAATCATTTTTGTTGAAAAATCTTATTCATTAATCACAGTTAATTATCACCTTTGTCTACCCAGTAAAACACAAGTTTTACATTGGCTACCATCGCAACCGCAAGAAAAAACGAAAAACGAGATTATCAACAGAAATGCGATCCATAACCCTGTTCAACTTGAATCACATCGGAAGATGTTTTTAGAAAGTAAGGAATGCGGTCTTACTGAGAGCAAGACAGTTCAGCTTAAGAATGTTAAAGCAGAAGCATCAAATGGTACAAAATTGGCTGATCGTATGACTGGTAAAAGTAATAAATTTAATAAATATGTTTCTGCCTTTGCCAACTATAAAGGCGGTCACATCTACTACGGTATTGATGATGATGGGATTGTTAATGGAGAACTGATTGAAAAGGAAGAGGACAAAGTCGAAGTAATAAAGAAAGTTGAAAAATCCATCAACAAAATGATTTGGCCTGAACAACCGAAACGGAAGGTACACTGGGAAATTTTCTTCGAACCAGTGCTTGACAACAATTCTACGCCTATCCCATCAACCTTTGTGATCGTGATCTACATCGCGACTTGTTTTGGTGGTGTATTCACAGAGGTACCAGAATGTTATGAAATGGTGAAGGGAAAAGTGGTGAAGATGTCATTCACTACTTGGAGGAAGAGGATTTTGCGGTCAGGTCATCGTCATCCACCCATAGCTGATCCAACTGTCATACGCTGCACGTGGGGCTCATCCAGAATTAAAAAAATTTGCAGTAACGCAGATGAACAATTAGTGACAGCCTTGAATAAAGGAAAATCTATCGAGGTAATTGCCGACGATCTGATGATGAAAAATCCAGGCGTCATTGAAGTGCAACTGCTAATTTTGGCGAAGAAGGTGATGGCCAGCTATCGTTCATACTCGTTTGAATCTGCAAGGAAGGTTTTAGGTGAATACGAGATTTCCCTGAAGAAGGCAACCGAATCCTGGATGTTTGATGCAATACGTGTATATTTAGAAACTGCGATATGTGTTGTTCAAGGAGATGTTACAGCCGTAGACAATATTTTGCCTGATGTTTTAATTCAAGCAAAACATATAGAACGTGGTCGAATCTCAGCTGCATTATATTCGCTTGTTGCAATGTATCTTCTTCAACAGAAAGGCGATTCACCGGAAAAATTTGCAATTCTAGCACTTGAGGACATGGAATATATGCAGGATTTACCTAAAGTACGAGCTGACCTGGAACAAAAACTTCACATTATTTTAGCTCTGTTTTACCTGGGCTGCAACAGATTTGGAGTGCCAACAAAGAAAGTTATAGACCTTGAAAAAGTGAAATGCAGCATGACGAAAGTGCATGATTCGATCGACGATGGAAATCCAATGACTTTATATCGCAAAGTTCAATTTAAATTAGTACAGGCTATACTTTATTATCGAAAGTCCGAAGTCGACCCTAAAAAACAAAGGCACTTATTGGAATCAGCCCTCGAAGTTTCCAATGAAGCTCAAATACTCTCGGCTGCCTGTAATTTTGTGGATATAGAGAAATGGTCTCGTGATTGTATCGCTCTGTTCACTGAAAGATTAGAAAGCTGTTTATGTGAACGTACGTAAATCAGTCGTGCAGAATCTGATACATTTGTCTCGATTTAAACTCTTATAGTTAGTTGTTCAACTATTGTCGCTATTTTATTTGCAATTCTGCTGATAAACTGAATACTGATATTTTTATACACCTGCATGAGTGCATGGGGTCGGTTATATCAAGCCCGTTTAACTTAAACGGTGGTTAAGTTCAAAATAGAAAGCAAGTCTATCGTTTTATTCAAGAAGCAAACTAAATGTTTTTAACCTTAATACAAAGATACTGTTTACAACTATATATTCAGTGCATAATATTCAAGTTGACTCATTCAAGAGAGATGTAAGAGTGTTATTTAATTTTGACTTATCCGCCGTTTAAGCAAAACGGGCTTGATACAACAGGCTCCTGGATATCATCCAAACGTTTTCTGACACGGCACAGAGTCACGATATATATTGCACTAGATCCTATATTTACTGCTTTGTAAAAGAAAAAGATCTCATTCACTGGGGGGGGGGGGGAATTAAAAACACATTTTATAGTTAAAAAGCCCTGTGACGTACCCATCGACGTAAGTATAAATTTCGTGAAAATGTAAGTGATTAACTATTTTATTTTGATATACTATTGAAGTAAATGTTGTGTATCATCACATGGATTAGTATAAGATTGTACCGCTTGACTAACAGTGTAGATGTATAGTATTTGACAGTCAGTATATGGTATACGACCTATATAAACTGTGAAAACTTAGACAGATCTAATCGACCTGGCCTGCTTGTCTTTTCCTCCCAAGACAGTTCTTCTTCAGTTAACTAGAAAACAAAACACTCTCATAAATCTCAAAATAAGTCTCAAAAAAGTCAAATTTGTATTTAGCACAAGTTTCAAATTTTGAACCATTATTCGACACTGATCGAAATACCAGGAATGCTGTGCCCATCGAATTTCCAGATCTTCTGCCACGTAAATCAAACTTCTAATAATCTAACTTTGGTTAGCCGGGTATACGTTTTGTACCTGGGAGATATCTCCGACTGAATATCTAGCATTGGGACTGGATTTTGACGGATTGAAACTTTGACCATGTTTACTGGATGATTTTAGTGCGATATAACTATCTTCATTGCTGAAGAAAGAAAACAAATGAAAAATGAAGACTATATACTTGGAAATGTCAACACTTAAACACAACTATATTAAATTATTGTATAAAACATTTTATTACCTATAATTATCTTTCGTTCTGACATCTGTCTTATGTTTACGAACACGGCGGACCTCGTCTTCATCCAGTGAAATTGTTCCAAAATTGACGTGATTCTTCTCATCAACATCATTCAGCCGAGGTATTCTTTGGTCTGATATCTTTCGTTGTTTAGGTTCTTCTACAGATATTTTTCTTTCGTACGTTTTGCTGAACCTTTTTTCCCATGCCAGTTCATCTTCTGACATACTCTAGATATGAATTATTCAGATGGTGTAATTAAGGTTGGTCTATGGTATCCAGAACGGCAAAACATAATCCACGCGACTGGTAACAAACCTTATTGAGTGAACGTTGACTGGTGTAAGCACTGTCTTCCTGAGGGCTGCGTTCTGTCATTGATTGCTTATTCATATGATCCAGGTCACGTTGGGACGAATTGTCACCATTTACGGTGAATGACGATTGCTTATTACTTGGACTTCTTGGCTACAGGTGGAACGAAACAATGCATTAGTAACAAGAAGATGTGTAAAATTTTGACGCCGATTTTTGTAGAAATAATAAAATGTTATTGAGCACAGCCAGAAACATATTTATTTTTTAGAAACATATTTAGCCGGAAAATCTTTTGAACAATATGACAAAAGGCAAAAGATTCAGACATTCGAAAAACCACCGTAAAATCCCTCAGAAAATTTGCTACTCGTAAACTACATATTGCCATTATTCTGAGAAGTCATCAAACTTTACTATTACTATATATAGTAAAGCATCATGCATGTAGAGCTAGTAAAAGCATGTGGAACATTATATGATTTCCTTGAATCATCAGACTGCAATGCGTCAATACATTTTGAATATGCCTGTTAACAAAATCAGGCGCTTACCTTACTTCTGTTTTCAAAGGTTGGACTGGCATTTACAGACAAGTTAGGATTATTCGTATGGCTCTGAGACGAGGCGTTTTGTTCCCATAAACCTAAATTCACCTTTCCAACCCGCTTTCTGTTAAGATAACTATCATCGTGATTAATTGTTTGCTCATCATCCTCGATGATAACAGTATGTTTTATACGTGTCGGCGAGGTAGGATTTGATTTGCTTAATGAGTTACTGTTTTCATCTAGGAACTACAAAGACAAAACATACATGCGTGAGTTACGTCAAATCTTTGCTAAATTGTCTTTTCCACTTCTCCATATGAGTTCAACGACTTTCTTCCTCATGCATCGAGGTATTTGATATATACAGGCAGTAATGACAGATTGGTGTATCGTTATTGGTGTATAAAATCGCACGTTAAAGAAGGGAAAATTCAGCTAAAAATCTAAATTTTAAATAATGCATTAAGATTTTGTGGCACCCCATTCGATGTAGGATAATTACCAAAAGGTTAAAGGGTCTTAATTTTGAGTGGAATACATTACCACTCTAGCAATACATTACTAAATTATATATTTTAATTCATATTAGCTATGCACACATTTTTGCCATAAACTATAATAAAACTCACATTAACTTTTTCTTTGTACTTCAAACTTCTGGGCCTCACTCTTTCTGAAGAAATGTTATCATTCTTTGATTCCAATATGTAAACATCTCCTGCCTTTTTAGGTGACTGATTTCTGTTTATGATCACCACTTCGTCGGCATCCTAAAGAAAAGGGTCCAGTTAAATGTTTTTCGCCGCTTTTTAAAATCATTCTTATTTTGACAACAGCTGATGAGTTAATCATATTGTATTCTTATGTAGTATTCTTATAGTCATATGGCGTTTTTATTTAATATTACTTATAACAGCAATGTGCTAATTTATATCCTCTTGAAATATATTTTAAAATATTAATTCTTACATTCCACGAAGGACTACTCTGTACCGATGCCCTCGTCGTTACTTTCCGTACTGGCTCTTCTGAAATTTCATCTTGCTTAATCAGCTTTCTTAAAGCAGGACTCCGTTCCACATTTATTTCAATCAATCTCTGAGAGATAAATCATTAAAGATTGAAGAGTTGTTTCAGTGAAGTTTAGCTTGCCTTTTTAACAGAACGTACATTAATTTTTATATAATAACTTTTACTGAGTTGACTTACTTCCGACTTCGGCGATGACCTGACATCTGCAGAAAGGTCTTTGACCCTGCAACATTATGTGAATTGTAGACTTAAGTGATTTGTAACGATTTCTCTACTGCATGTGATCTATAGACGGAAACCCAACACTTTAATGAACAACTTGATCACGGAGAGAAATGCAGATCGTTGATTCTAAAGTTTAGCTTCGATTCATCTGAGCTTAATGGTCCAGAAAACGTTTGGTATGAAGATATAATCGATACAAAATCGGGGGATCATGTTTGACTATTATATTTAACAAAATAATTGAATACCTGGATCTTTCTTCTTGTATATAAATGCCAGGTTGTGCTGAAGACGTTGTTCTTACATCACCTTTATCCTCGTTAACAAAATTCAGCCATCTTGTTTCGTCCAAACGTTTCGGACTTAAATGTTTTCTTTCCCATTCTTCTTCTTCCAAACTCAAATGCTAAAAGTGACGTCAATAAATAAATTACTAAAATATCAATATTTTAAAATTCTGCAATCATTTAAAGTGATAGTATACAATTCAATATATTTTTATACCCGATCATGTACGTTCTTATTTTTTCTCAGTGGTTCAAATGAATCATCACTAGCATTCCTTTGTTGGGAGTTTCTTGTATTTTCTTCTTCGACATAGATTGAACTTTCCACAATCGTTACGTCAGTTTCTTTCACTATTTTTTGATAGCCATTATATTGTCTGGGTGGATTTTTAGCTTTGTCTCGGGATTGCTGTCTTAATGGCTTTTCCTTGACTGTTTCTGGAATGTATGACGATTTCGTAAATTCACTAAATCGACATGGGTCCAATCGCCTGGGTGAAAGAATCTCTCTATCACTTCGTTCAAAATTGTCTTGAGTGCGCTGGAATGATAAATACGTCCAAGTTTAGAACTTGTTCCTACCCAAATTTTGAATTTTCATTATGTTAATGATTTAATAGCTGCCACAGTAACTCATCATATATTTACTGGTAATGTATGCATAATATCGGTTCACAGATCAAATTGCACATTGAGGCGAACTTTGTATGAAGGCCAACTTGCTAAGTAACCCTTTGGATAAAATGGAAGAGTAAACTACCCCCACGTACTCCCTATGGCCCATCACTGCACCGTGGGGCTGTATTCTGGCATATACTAGGAGTAAGTTTTTACAATGCATTCTTTTAAAAAGAACAGTTGTGCAGTTGAAGTAAAGGGACATGCACAGATAACATAAGAAAATAAAATATTAATGACAAACAACATATCGACTAATTGTCTAAATAGATAAATTCAGACAATGAAACAGCCAAGAGTTTGCAAATGCATGATATGGGACTCTCAGATTTCAAGCATAGAATAATGAAATTTGAAATTGTAGCGAAACCCAATTGGCAATACAACATTCTGATGAGAAGTAACGACGCTCAACTTTAAGCATATCAAAAACAAACAAACTCTGACCCACAACGGAACGAAACTCACAGTCGGAATCGTGCTGAATCCAATCAATAATTTCCATTTTTTGATAATATTAAAAAAATCAAATAACCCAAATCATGGGCAACCCAAATTATAACTTGTTCCTAAGCAGGAATATTAATAACAAACGTCTGTATATTTTAATATTATTTTAGCTTGCTCTGCAAACACGCGAAACAATGCTATCTATACTTCGTTCACGAACAAACGATATTCATGAAACTTTTTTATCTTCAAATATACTATAGTCATATTCAAATAGCTTATATATATCCATTGAAGTTCCAAAGTGAATTTAAATTATGCTCGAAAGAATGACTGGAATATGTCAGATTATAACTATATGGACTAAATATGGACCAACATCATGCAGTCGCAGTCCTTATATCAGTATAGCCTAGTCCTATATAGCCACGCGAAGGAACGGTCTAATCCCCAGTTTGAGTGCTTGTTATATAAAAGTGAAACAACTTAAATAAATGTATAGAACCACTATAAAAGTACCATAAAACTCATCATCAGGTATATAAGGAACTCGGTAATGACTTATACGTTATTCTAGCACAAGTTTTTCTATCGTGATGATGGCTCCTCACATGCAATCAGCACCCCCAATGAACGGGAGCTTCGTGAAAGTTTGTATTTTTTTCTTCTTTAAAGAGAATCCTTTTCACGTTAGATTTTCAAAGTTAGATACAAGTAGCTACACAGTATAATTAAATTCACTTCGGTCACATGCATAGGAGCAGCTGGTCAACAAGTAAACGACCAGACATGTGTAGTCGTCAAACTCAATGTCTTTCTGTATCGTTTTAATAACTTTTAAAAATGTAATGGAAGAACAAGCCTATAATTTCTAGAATATGCTTGCCGTATATACTAATACATTTGGCACGTTAATAAAACGATCATCTTAAAGTTAGGAAAATTTAAATTGTTTGAATAGCCAATGTTGTCTGTGGACAAAACCGAATATGCTAAATAAAATACATATATCAAATAAGCGGTGTTCAAAAAAATACAGTTTTGTATGTGCAGACAATAGTGTTGTCCACCTTTCATCTATATTAGTAAAATCAAGATAACACTCTTTGGACAAAGCTTATACATGTAGTAAAATGAATATCCCCGAATATTGCATGCATGCGCAAATTTAGTCCCCAGGCATGCAATAAGGCGATAAATACTATCGTTCCCCATAAAGAAGATTTTTAGGTAATACCTAACCTGCATTATTTCAAATTCTCCAATATCCCAACTATAACGTTCTTTACCAAAGTCTTACAAAATAGACGATAGATCGACTCTTAAATCCATTTGTTTACAAACCGCATGCCTGATTCACCATGTTTAAGCTACCGGCAAGATGATATATGCCTTTGAATAGGTTAATCAAAGGCAAATTCGAAGATGAATTATTGCATTATTCAAGGTGGACATTAGTTAAGCACGTTGTCAAGGATACTAAACGCTATGACGTTGATGGGATGACAGTTAGGCTCTTGGCCAAACAAGATTCATTGAGCATATGTAGTTTCTAGTGACTTAAGGCTTAAGCCAGACGGATATTATAACGTTACTAGATCACGCGAAAACAGATCCGTGACATACATTTCAAACATCCATTCATAAGTCCAGGTCACTGTACAGGTGGTACTTTTAACAGTTGTTCCTGTTTTTTTATGGATAATAAGAGGATACCCGTCGCTTATTTAAAAATGGCAAACCCGTGATACATCTTAATACACTGTTTACATTAGGACTTGTGTAGCTTCATTAAAACAAGAGGTTTCGGAAACTATAAGTCAGTGAGGTTGAATGGACTGTCAACATTTAACACCTAAGTTTCTAAGTTTCTTTCATGATCGATCTCAATAAAAATTGGGTTTGTTTCGCAATGCGACCCTAAATACGTTCTTTCATTATTGCTGTATTTTTTGGCACCCGATGCAGCTGAACTGCTGAACCTCACGGATTCTGATCCGTAGCCTGGGGCTAGCCAGCGGTAATGTTATTGTATTCAATAGATCCATAGCAGGTGAAATTAAACTCTTTATTAGTTGGTTTGTGGTTGCATGCTGTTCATTTTTTTAAAAATTATATTTTTTTATTTACCTCATCGATATAATCGTCATCATAATCTTCATTTGCAACATTACCAAAACTGTAGGAATCCTGTCTTTCAGTATCTTGCGAACTAAACATAAATCGAAATAGATTGTGAAGCCTTAAGATCGTCGTGTATAACTGATGATCAATATGTCTTTGTGTGTTTCTCAAGGAGGTTGCATGCAGCAATATTACGATTCAACTGGTCGAAAAGTTTGGACAACTCTATCTATCCTTTTAATCATTTTTTTAGTGACCCAGTAAAGACCTACAGCGCCCTACAGCAGGACCGGGGCAATGAATTAAAAAAGATGATCGTTGCATAAAATTCATAGAACTCTAAGGCTATAAATTATACTCAGACATCAGAATTTCCCAACCCCAAACAGCAAGATTAAAGATATCGTTGATCTTAGTAACAATATTATTTTTCTATATATAGTGACAAGAAAACTTACTCTTTTTCTTTTTCAAACTGAATCATTTCCCAGGGATCTACACCAGTGTCAGTTGAAGCATTATAGTCATGTTTCGTTGGTTTTTCAAATGATGATTGAGGAACTGCTCTGACATTATTCTCCCTGTTTGGAGGTGAAATGCTCTTCACAGAATGACAGCTTGTGTTTGTACCACGTCTTTCTGTATATGAGTCGCTGGATACCTTTGGGTTCACTTCGTAAACCTATAAAATAATACAACATCACTACTGGTTTGATGAAATCATGTATATATAGCAAAGTGGAATCACATGTCCGTATGAAAATTGTGTAATATTTTCGCACCTGTTCGTTTTCAACCTCACTGTCATCTGAACTTCTTTTTTCGACCCATAGATGTTCCTCACTGAATTAAAAAAAATGAATTTCGTGGGAACACTGAACAATTCTTCTTATGTTCTTATGTTTCCCCTGTATGATAACTAAGTACACAGCTAGAGTGCAATATTTACCTTTCAGCAAACTCGCCTTTAATATGTCTACGTTCTGTATCTTTGCTGGGTGATTGGTTTCTTCCTGGCCGACTCCAAGTCACAGAATTGCGCAAACTGTTTCAGCTTCTTCATATTGATTCTCGCTTTCATTTTGCTCTTTGTCAAACATTTTTGACCATTCATCTTTTGGAAATGAGTGTACGTCATTGGAGGGCATCGGATAAACAATTTCTTCGTTCGTCTGCATATGCCACTCTTCTGTTCCACGATCTCTCGCATGCCCTGTGTTACTTATTTTACATTGATCCTTGTAATCACTTTGCTCTTTGTCGAATAATTTTGACCATTCATCTTCCGGAAATGATGACTGCACTTCGTGTGATTGTGAAGCGCATACAATTTCATTTGTCATATTCGAATCAGGAGGATCATTTCTAACGGGCTCTTGTGGCACATGATCATTCGAGTGCTCTGCGCTACTCCAGTCATTCTGCTTGTCGTAATTTCTTTGATTTTTATCAAACAACTTTGACCATTCATCTTCCGGAAATGACTGAACTTCGCTCGATTGCGCCGAATGAACTATTTCTTCTGTCATATGCCCCTCGGGTTTATTTCGAAAAGACTTTTGTTGGTCACCACCGCCTAAATGCTCTGTGTTACCCGAATTATACTGATTTTTGTAATTATCTCGCTCTTTATCAAGCAACTTTGACCATTCATCTTCCGCGAATGTCTCTACTTCGTTTGAATGTGCAGGGTACACGATTTCTTTTGTCATATGCCATCCAGAATTGTTACGAACTGACTTTTGTTGCCCAGAATCGTTGAAATGTTCCTGTGTTGTCCAGATATCTCTTTCAACATTCTGAACAGGCCTTGTTGAAGGAGAATTATCAGTCTCATCCTGGATTTGCGATATTCGTATTGTTTTGACAACCGTACGACCTCCACTTTCGCTATATCGAGATTGCTGATTACTATTCATCTCTTCACCGCTACTTTCTTCACTCGGTGGGTTTTCTTTTCTTTGCTCGGAATCACAGTGACTAAACTCCTCAAAAGCAATGGGCTTTTCCTCCGTTAGTTCAATGTTGCTTTGAAAGAGGTTCGGCTCGGACACAGATCGAAAAAGAGACTGGTTCTTTCTGTAAACTTCGAGCAATGATTTAGTTTCTCTCCGAATCAATTCCTCTTTATCTTCTTCGTCTTCAATGCGTGCTTCAGCAAGATCAATAATTTTCTGGTGTTTCTTTATCTCTCTATTTATCTTCCACCTCTCTCCTTTCGTGCAAAGAGTAAGTTGAAGATTTAAACTCTCTATGCATTCCTCGCTTTGCCTTATGATTTCTTCCTGGGCGTCCAAGCGTTTTGTAAGTCTCTCAAAAGCTTTCTTCACAATATGCTCCTGGTTGGTTTGAATAGCAAACGCTCTCTTCTCTGCTTCAGTTTTAATCTCTTTAGCTCTTGTTTCTTGGTAATTTTTCACGCCTTTATCTAGGATGAAATGGAAAGTAATGTATACTGATACTCACTGCTGCTCTAAATAAAGTTTATCAGTGAAAGCCTTGCTGAGCTCGGCCAATAATTTCAAACGAATGTTGAAAACTGACATGCTTTATGTTTCGTAGCAAGTGTGGGGGTTAAATTTAGAGGTCTTTCAACACAAAATGCCCAAATCAATTTATTTACTAAACAAAGCTAGAACAAAGGTTCCTAAAATAAATTTCGAAGCTTACTTTAATTATTGCATGCAGGGCGTATACATACATTTGCGTCTGAAGATGACTTTGAAAGTCGATGATGATTTTTGTTTAATTCAAATACCTTGAATTTCAAAGTGAATTTTTTCTTTTGGATTTTTCTTTAAATAGATCTATTTATTTAAATAAAAAAACTCCACACGTCTCAAGAATTTTTTGTGGAATGTTATGCAAAGTATAGCGACAGGATTACACAATTATATGGACGGATAGATGAAAATATAAGACCATAATGATACAGATATTTTTACAATTTTCTTCACTATACTATGAAAATATTTGCCTAAATTGAATGTATTATTATTATTATAGGCTATACATCACTTGTTATGAAAAGCCCGTGACATCGCTCGCATGCTTAGGCTTCCTATCATTGATTTGGTGTTGGATCGGCGCGAATTAGTTGTCGAAGTTGTTCTTTTAAAATACTAATTCATTTAGCACGTATAAGCATCGCCCTCATAATTTTAGACAAATTCAGTCAACCAGGTACGTGATATAGGTATGACAAACGAAGAGTACTGTAATCACTTGTCATATTAATATACAACCTCAAACAAAGACTTTTCAATTTGTGAGAATAAAGTTAATTGGATTTATGCTTCAAGCAAGCCAAGGCTAAGGATCCATCCATTTTGTTATTAGGCTAGCTGGTTTCAGCATGCCGTAATAAGTTATTTCCAATACAACCAGGGAGCAGCGTAGCAGCGTCTTCAAACAACTTAGCATCAAATGTGGTTTAACAACTGCCTAAAATTGACAAAACTAGTACTAACTCTCCTGACGGAGGGCCTCAGGTCGAAACGTCGAGAAGTGTTTTGTCTATTTTAGGCAGTTGTTATACCACATTTGATGTTACGTATAATAAGTAATATCTCAATGATACTTTCAACAAAAAATCTTACCACTAGGAGGGAAAATCTCAACCTTACCTGATACATATTTATATGTCCGCTTTGACATGGGGATATTTTTCATTTCATAGGAATTCCATTGCCTCAAAAGTTGATGAAAACAAGGCAAACATACAACTGCTCTACCCAATGTGTCAATTTTCCCTACAGAGGACTGTAAATAAGCTAGCTGGGGAAAATATGGCCCACGTCGCAACTTTCGCGTTGTTTCAACAATCTTCTCAGCGCCATGTATCGTGCTATTGCAAAATGTACAAATTCGTTTCCGATCACCGATAATGCCGTCTACTTTGATAAATAGTTTTGCTTCTTGAGAGTCCAACATTGTAGCGATGGTAGATGTATTGTGGTAATTTTAATCAATTGATAACGTGATCCACAGCCAAAATTAATAATTTACACGTTACCTTAATACTTGCTGTATTAGAGCTGGTATATAGAGTAAATAAACGGCATTATGTCTGGTCTGAGCAAATATATCGCTCTTTTTATTAATAATCACATTCCGTTATCGCTTTATCTTTCAAAACAATGACGAACCCACAAAGTCAATGCCCGTAAGATTGCCTTGTTCACGGCTACCAATGGGAATTGCAATAATTAAGTGCAAAATAGTCGATGCTTTTATTTCTGACGGTCATAAAACCACTAGATGATTCCGACTCTCCTTCACTAGTCATGCAATCAAAGAATCTTTGTTATGATAATAATTTAACAGCCAGGGTCACCGCAATTATGGAGCCATATTTTGCTCAGTTATATAATGTTCACAAAGGAATTCCTAACAAGAAAGTTCATGCACTCTAATTTTAATTTGCTCTTAATTTTTTTTAATGTAGAAGCTATATTTATTCCGTCGACACATCTCGTTTTTAACCTATACACCTAGAGATGGTAGCGTGCAGGTTTACGATTTCCTTTTCAAATACAGATAACGAGCAGTATTATAATAGCTAATTACTATATAATATTTGATCAAATAGGCAAGGAGCGCAGCCGAAGCCTATCGCACAGCATGTAGTTCCCCTGCTGATTGGAATTTTTGTGATGTAGCTGAAGTGGTGGAGAAAGAATGATATAGAACTAATGACAATCAGCAAAAGTATTATAATGTACAGTATAAATTAATAGGTTATATCCTGTTTGAGCTACGCCTATACAGCCGGCGTTTTATTTGTCTGGTTGTTTTCCAGGTCCTCATCTCAACCACTCGAACCGTGCCTATGCACAATGGATTCAGCTGAAGAATATAATGTTTTTCAAACCGCGAAGGATTCTGTGCTAATTATTGAAATTGTTTTCGACTTTTTGCAAGTTTTCAATGACATTTGAGCCCTGTTTACATTACACATAATTTATCGGCACAGCACGGCTCAATGGGCACCCGTACCAATTTCACCCCAAGGCCGACATTTATTTTGGTAGCCTGGACACTAATAAATTTGGTCGTACTGTGGTGCTAAATTGAGTGTAGTGTAATCGGGGCTTGATACAAAGCAGAGGTGTTTAAAATTGGTTTTGAATGATAAACTGCCTTTTATCGCTTCAGAAAATGGATCGCGGAGCAGGTAGAAGGAGGGAGAGGGATGCACTAAGTCTCGAGCTCCACTCAGTTTAATTATCGGATAAAATGGAGTGTGAAAAATCACGTTCAGGTTCACCTCCCCCCCCCCCTCTCTTTAAAACGGCTTCGTGGTTTCTGCATGCATGTAGAAACATTTGCATCTTAATTTAATTAGAGTATACTTTCGTAGTAAATCCACTTCAATACTCTACAATCCACTACAATAATCATAGACGTCCAAGTAGTTTAGAAGGTAAAATAAACAACCAAGACAATTTTTTCTGTATTGGTTCGTGTTTCCATAAAGACGGCTTGAAAATTACATACTAGTCATGATCACAACACACACCTTCTAATAATGCTGAGATTATGGCTTTTAGTATCGATCTTTCTGTAACAATTTTAATACCCTCTATTACCACGCATTTATGCAACACATCAATTATACAGTCAATTGCAAATTAATGGGATTTAGGGTCCACGTGATATTGTTGTTTGGGAAATGCCGGCTGATTGAATACGAACGCTCTTGCAACAGTTCTTATATAAACATTAGTTATTTTAAAGAACTCTTGGCATATTTAATGGTATTCATGAATATTTCCAAATGATAGATCATGGAGTTTCATGAGAAATATAAATCACTGTCTTATAACTCATCAGGCTCGTGTCACTTCTCATTCACAAGATACGACTTAATCAACTCGTGCATCGCGAGATAACTTTGCAAAACTCAAAACTCAATGAAAGAATATCAGAATTCATGACATTCAATACCGAAATCGGCTTGGTCCTGCATATGCATATGAATTATGAATAGGGCCAATATAACATGATGTAAAGATGTTTCCGGCCAAGGCTTACGCTACAGGATTTGCCGAGATATGTACAGCATTAAAGAGTTTAAACACTGTACAGAACAAATCTTGTATTATTTAATTTTGCTTAATAACCAATGTGTGACCATGCTATATAAAATACGACCGGTATTGAACTTACCGTTCGCTATGTCCAGGAGCTGTTTAATCAGCTTCGTAATCCGTTGTACAAACTGAAAATGCTGTCAACGACTTAAGAATACAATACTTTATCTTGTTCGCCTAGAGAAATTATGAAAAACTTGATGTTTCAAGAAGAATATAAAGATTAAAGCTCGATGAAAGAAATACAGACAAATCAAGACGTTCACGATATGGCTTTTTAATTGCCGTTTAAAAAAGATAAACAACGCTGCGATTAGCAGTTGTCAAGCAGGATAACAATGGGTGGCAAATGCTAATAACTAAATTTTCATTTCTTAGTTATTTTCACACAACTTTCTAATGTTTCACAAAGGCATATATGTTTCATGTACTGCCAATGATTAAAATGTTTCTATTACGCTACTTGCTTGGTCAAGAATTACTAGAAACAGTTTGGAATTCAACACATAAATACATATTTCTAAAACTAATTGAATTGCCAAATCATATTTTGGGATTTAATTTTATTTATTTTTTGGAGATTTGACTTGCAAATTCCCCCATAATCAATTTTCCAATATGACATTGTTGTTAAATATTGTAAAAATGAAAACTGAACGACTTAAGCAAGCTTCAACAGTGGGCAAGTTACCTATAAGGGTTGTATACGGAACAAAGTTTTGAGTTCTAAACACTTGCACGCAAGTTGCAAGTCGAAGTAATTCATTGTTACGGGCACTTCGAAATATGAAAACCAAATCGCTACCCGTACGACCTATGAGTTTTGACAAAAAACGACGAAATAGGATATGAAAAAGACACAGCTCATTCAGATGCAAGGGGGGGGGGATGAATTACATGATTATCCTGTCATAATCGCCGTCGTATATTAACTATATTTCGTCGTCAGTATCCATGCAGTTTTCGCCCTGTCGTAACTTGTTGCTAAACTATACTGCATGCCGCATGCGCTAATGCAAACGCCCGAAACGTATTTCATTTCTGATTTCCCTAATTGCCTTTTGGACGCAAGTACTCATTCCACATGCACATGGAGTTTACCGTTCTGCCTACACCCCGTATTATGACTCCTCTCTTAAGATCTAGAGTGATACAATTTCGAGACACTTAAAACATCATCATTGTCATGTAATATTGGCACAGGAAATAACGATAATTAGATATTACCGCTAACGAGGAAAACATTTTGAATACTCTTGTACAATATTTCCAATACTAAGATCTAAGGTTGTAGCCCTTGTCCAAAACTAGTTTTTCAGTATCAAATTAAACGAGAAATAAAATTCACCATGCAATCTCAGGCCAAGGGGCAAAATTTCGATAGATATATCCGGAATCTACCAATAGAGAGAATGCTACTTTATCTTTAAAGCGTAGATTCAGGTTGATCATCTAAAGGCAACGATGTCAATGAGACGTCTATAAACTGGTTTGAAAAAAGTCAAGATTGACAAGTAGTCAGGGCCAATATTTCACAATTTGCAATATTAACACTATTGTCAGTTGAAGCATAATGTTATATTTAGTTTCCTTTTTCACTCGAAGTACAAAGACTTCCTTATATCGTAAAGAAGGTTCACTTGAGTGAATTTTAATGTATACTAAGCAGCAAAATCACTTTGAACGAGACATTCGCCCCCTTGGTACATTAACACACAACTGGACATTTACATCTGAACCCTACGATAACGAAAGGTAAGTTCTATTCTAACAGTGTCCTACAATTATGTAATTTATGTTTTTGTATAAAACTGATAAAATCGTATGAACAAAGAAACGTAAATGCCTTTTATTAATCACAAAAAACATCATAATTTCAACTCTAATGATGCTTATAAAATATAAATGTTTTCTATAAGCCTATATAAGGTGAATCAGTCGTCAATGTCTATGGGATGACTATCTCGCAATCCTCTGCATGTTTTTCAGTTTAGATGTGAAATTACCAGCAACAAATTGAATCTCGCTTTTTTTAAGATTGTTCATGACTAAAGTCAGTTTCGTTTACCGGCGGTTCTATTAACCAAGCTTATAATATGTTTCCTGCTTAGATATACCCTTGACTGGTCTTAATTGAAGCTCTCAACTAATTTCACTACACAAAAAAACTACGCAAACTATTGCGTTAAATGCCAAGTATATAATTGCATGCAACAGACGTTCTTCTTGAATAGAGAAGGCAAAACTCTTTGTAAACACTATTTCGAACTTCAACTCGATATCTATAACTCAGCTATACCAAACGTCAGGAAGTCCTTAATGCATCATAAAATACTTAAACCACAAAGATTTAATAATTTGCGGTTGGCAATATATACCAAAAAATATTTGTGTACAATACATAATTTTCATTGATGATAACGTCACAAATGCTTTTTGGGTTTAAAGCCTCGTTAATTAGACGCGTGTCCATTGACTCGCGTTTCATATAAGCGAGGCTTCCAGCCGATATGATTTACTAATCGAATGAGTATATTGTGATCAATGTTTTTCACATGCTAATACGAATACTAATATCATTATCAATACACTGTTGCTTTTCAAGCTGTGTTTTTTTCAAAACCACGAGCACACACGCTGGTGTGAACTGATCATGACAGACCAGATCCCCAGGGTGTGCGATGAATACAATCAAGTCACAACTATCGTTAAATTGACGACACTTTTATAGTGCATTGAAAAGTAAATTCTAGATAATCTAAGAAATTAGAAGCTGATTTTAATTCTTATCACTATAGAAATCTAGTTAAATAGTATCCAGAAAGCTGCATTTTGATTGGCTGTGGTAATCCCAGCAAGTAGCAAAAAATTGTCTTATTCCTCGCAATTTTTAACGAGTTTTGCACGCTAATAGTTGATGCCTGTATGAAAGGGATCAATCTACTGATGTTGAAAATACACGTTTACGTTCAAAGTTTTAAAATTATCATTTTTCTATTAAGATTATATCTTTGCGAGTATATACTACCTAGAATACCCTTTGCTTATAAAACACCCTTTTTAAGTAATAAAGTTTATCACAAACCAAGAAGAAACAAAATGCCATAAAAATGGATGCCGAATTAATTGTAAACTAGCTAAGTCGATTTTCAGCAGTTCTTGAATTGAAAAGAGCCTCCTGCGGCTGATGTCACGAGTTTATCGAATATTATACCCTTATTTAACAGGAAAGGATCATTAATCGCACTCTACATCTATGGATAGCAAGAAATATCCCATCTTTTATAAAAGTATGGACGACCCTGACGACATCCAGAAAATTGAACATACCAGGCGAGTACGCAGTACAGTTACGGCAAGAGTTATATCAAGACCAGTCCCAAGTACATCATCCGCAAGTAAAACCCGGGAAGTCCTGGGCACTTCTACTCGGCAGCCAAGAACACGATATATTGGTGGAGTTGACAGTCGCCGCGCACAAAGTTCATCACCAGTCCCAAGAGATATGCACACGGCAATGGATGACAAACCATCAGCAGTTGACGAGAACCAGCCTCCATATCACAGTGACCTCAAACGAGCTCAAAGTGAAGGCGATCTGCTGAACGGAGATCCTAAACTGGCCAAGTTGCAGAAAGTTCGAAGCTTGTCGTCTTTGGAAAGACGTGTGCGGTTTAAATCAACGAACAGCGAAGGTTATGGCGTACCAGATGACGAACAAGAGGATAGAAAAAGACGATCCAGATCTTACGATGAATTAAGTTGGAAGAAACCCAACATTGAGGTGAAAAGGAAAGTTCAACTTTTACCGCAGAAAGAACCACGATCAAGGTTGGTTTAAAATGAAATAATTATAACATGAATCCCGTTGTTCACAAATTATGGTCAGTGGTGACTCACTACACGCGCAAACTTGGAGTAAAATTTGAATATGAAAGCCACGTCCGCTCTCATTGAAATTATTGTGAGCTAAACGAATATTTATCTTTCAGAAGCGCGGACTCTGGTCCTCGAAAGGGGATACTGAAGATGAAAAGGATCACGGAAACCAGCAGAATCAGAATCTCTGGAACAGCACCTGTAAGTGATTTGATTGATGAAGGCATAATCCCTCAAGAGAAGATCCCAACACCAGACAAACAACCTACAACACGCACCACACAGGACGATGAGATGGACTGGACACCATATCTAACAAAATCCTCCACAAGCACTGACAGCACCACTTTACCTGAAAAACCCAAAGAGCAAGTGTTTAAACCCCCAACACGTTATCGTGTGCAACAGGATATGGAATTGGAACCTGAGGTCAAACCCAAAAGTATGATCTTCACAAGAAAATGGAAATCTGAACCGTCTTTAGTGACCGAGAAGCCACAAAGGCGTTCAGCATCAGCTGATCGTCTTTCCTCCAAGAAAGAAACAAAGTTGTCTGAAGTTAAAATTGATCTGATAAAGCCCATCGACCTCAAACCACTGAAACCTGCATACTCATTTGGTGATCTACCCTCTCAAACAACTGTTCGTACTGAGACAAAGTTTCATATGAAGCCACAACGTTGGAAGAGCAACCCAGAACTGGCAACACGAGAGAAGCTCGACGAAATACAAAGAAAACCCACACGTGAATTTGAAACAAAAATTGTGCGCGCTCTGCCCGTACATTTGCACCCACTTCACCAACCAAAGCCAGCGAAAGAAACCACGACGGTTAAAACCACCGAAGTTAAAGATGTTTCCATGCAATTTACAAGCTCCCGCGACACAAAAAGCGAAGGAACTCAAGTACGTCTAGATCCTTCCCCACCGCTGACTGTTTCTACTGAACAAGCTTATAAGAGTACACAGACCGTTGACCAACCTCCGCAGCCCATCGTTGTTCAGTATCAAAAAACTGAAGTGCAAGAAAAGAAGCCGAAGGTAAAACCACTTGAAGTAAAAGATATCAGATCATATGACACATCAGAGTACGACATGACGAGGGAGACGAAAGATTTGGCTAAGAAACAGGCATCCGACAAAATTGTCGTAGAGTACGTCAAAGAACCCCGAAAGCCAAAAGTGGAGGAAAGGATGGAAACTAAAATTTATGAAGACCACACAACTCAGGTACGATTCAGGAAAGAACTTGATGAAAGTGAGAAATCGAAGCAAACCATCCATGTTGGTCGTATTGATGACATCGAAATGGACTCCTTAACATCAGAGGTAGGCTACTGATAATCCACTCTCACTAGAAGCTTATAATTCATTAAATAAATTTTGAAAAGAAAAAATATAAAAGCATTTCTTAGTGGAATACTACCATAGAATACTACAGAGGATCCTTAACGGCTAAATTAAAAGAGTCTGGCTTTCGAGGTAGCGGCTAAATCAGTGTAAACTGTCCCATTTTTTAAAAAATTAGGAAGATTATCCCGAGACACGAAGAACGGTGAAGAAGTTAAAAACAACCCATGTTGACTACAGACGATCTGATAAACCAGAAGAGATCAAACCAGGCATACGAGAAGAACCAAAAGAACAACCTGTGCAAGTTACCTACCGTGGAGATGATCTAACATACGGAAGAATAGAGACGACCAGGAAGCTTCCTTCTACCTACAAATCAGAGCAACCAATGGCAGCTGAGCGCATTACTGTTGAAGAAATCACATTTCCAAGAAGAGCCACTAAAGAATCAGAAGAAAAGGAACGCCAGGTAAGATATTTTATGCCTAAACACCCTTAGTCCGAGAAGAGTCTCAAAATATGACTATAATTTATCGGGAGCTAAAATGTCGAAAGATCTTAATGACAGATGAATTTGTCAAATGATTTCAAGACGTGAAAAAGTTCTTTATTTACAGTAGCATATAATATCCAAAATCTTGAAAGGAAAAACTAACACCAAAGTGTAGGATCAACTCTGTATATTCGTTTTTTCCCAGCGTCAACAAGGGCTTAAACGGAAGAAGGACACAATTGAGGTGAAATATGAAAGACCAACCAAGCATGTGACAAAAGTACAAAGGCAAACAACTGAAAAGGCAGATATTGGAAAATTTGTCATAGACGAAACGGTAAAAACACAGAAAGGAGTGAAACGTGAACCACATGTAGGACGCATTGAAGACATAGATGTGGAGGAATTACCGAAAAAAAGCAGAGGTTATCCATTACAACAGCACATTGGTAGTTTACTTGTGACGAGTCCTCCCATTGAACCTAAACGAGAAGAACCGCTGAGAGAAGTTGTCAAAAAGAAAAAACCTGAAGTCCCGACGACAAAACAAGAAGTGGTCGCGACCAGACACGAAGTGATTCCACGAGAATATGTGAAAGAGGAAGTGATCAAAGTGCGTCGAAGTGATCTCGCCTCTATAGACACAAGAAAGGGCGTGGCACAGCAAATCGACAGCGTTGATGGCAGCCAGCAGGTATGTGATAAAACGATAACCTTTTTTATCTTTTTATATTCTGTTTTGATAATTCTGTTGCCACAATGTTACTTTCAGGACGAAGAAAGGACTAAAACCAGAGAAACAACGAGACGTGATATGAAAGAAACTTCAAAACATCAAGTGGAAAAAGCAACGACAAATCTTGGCACATGGCGAACAGAAGAGTTCGAGTTGGCTCCCGAAGAATCAAAAAAATTGGATGAAAGAGTGACAAAATATAAAGAAGGATTGGAAAGATCTCGCAAGGTATAGTAGAAGGTTACGTACGCTTTTAACTAGGTAGTTTCTGGTTGTATTTTATAGATATCAGGTAAGTAGAAAATTTTGTGCTACAACGAGTGATAAAAGTAGAGTATCACATTTAATATTATATAAAAATGAAAATGAACTTGAAATGTTGGAATCAGATCATCTCAATCGCTATTACATAGCGGGTTCTCTAATTCTCTTCTCTATAAATCTATCGTTTTGTAATAAATTCGACACAAGCTTTCCAATGAAATATGGATCTTCAGGGGGGTTTCATGCATCATACTCAGGTTTACTGTACGTGTAACGGAAATATTGACATTTCTCATTGCACGTGGCGTAAGTACGGACAGTCCGTGCCCTTTCTTCAGGTAAATTCAGGTAAATCCAGGTAAATTCAGGTAAAAACGATTGAGTGTCTATTGGCGCTGTCATGATTACAGGTAATATTGATATGAATAAAGGGAATTGAAGGGTGTGATCACAGTTTACATGTTGATTTAAAATTAAAGCTTTATTCAACGATTTTGCCTGAGGATAACTTTTTTAATTCCAAAAAAGAACACAATCTAGTGGAAAAAAAGTTGAATCACATGCCTAATTTATGCTTGGGCATTGTTATTGCACATCTTGTGCACCAAAGAACAGCGCATTAATAACTGAAGATACTACTTTGCTAGCGCGAAGCTAAAGAAGACGCAATCATAGTCTGTAATGCTGATGTGATCCAAAGCGAGAAAACGTTTATGGAATCAAAAAACACGAAAGAAATGGCTGCAGAGTTTACACATGGAAGAAATGGAAAAATGGTAATGGTATGATCAATTGGTACAATATATTATACAATGTAGACTAAATGCTTAGGTTCGAAACCAAACGATAACATTCACCGCAATCAATGAATGATTTGTTACCACAAGTGCAGGATGAGAATTGAAATGATATACAACTACAAGCCATGTATTCGATTTCAAAACCGAAATTGTTTCCCGTGAATTCCTGTCTTTTACCCATGAGCAAAACACACTTATCGCTGAGGAGAAATTTATTATGCTAATGGCAATCCTTTCATTTTTTTTATGCGACCAAATATTAAACATCCATCTGTTTCATTGCACTGCTCGGCTGGTACCATGCGTACCGATATTTCAGGATTTGCATTCAAAATATACCGTGTTTGGAACGTAATAATTTAGTTTATTGCACGTAATGCGTGTAATAAACCACACACTTACCCACGCACTCACTTCTTTATTCCCAGAAAGAGCAAAATCCTCACAATATTATGATTAAGGGTGACCAGGGCGCCCCTGTGACTGTTAAGGTCAACAGAGACTCGTTTCATGAACAAGAAAAGACAAAAAATGCGAGAAAAATTGAAATTGATCGTATAATAATCGAGGAAGGCCTGGAAAAACAAGAACCACCACAGACTAAAATACATCAAACAGAAAACGACGAATCAACAACAATGAATGGAATTGTGAGAGCTGGTACGAATGAAAGTACATTAAAAGTAGGAAAACTTGACGTTACGAAGATAGAACAAAGGGGCGAAGAACGTCAAATCATGGATAAAGAAAGTAGAATATATCCTAAGAAGAAGGTAAAAATATTGTAATTTTTCATCCTCGCGCAACCAAAGGGGGGGGATTTCAAAGGAGATATATTGTCAGGTAACAGCTGTATAAAAAAGCAGTTAAATTTAACCAACCACAATCAGAGATTTTGGAGTAACTATGAAACGTGTAGTTGATTAACCAGAGTATAGTTTTCGCCGGAATATAAGAATGCATATCTCCTTTGACCACTCCATTGTTTTAGTTTCCAACTAGTAGGAAAGAAACGAAATCGCTTTAAATGATAAAGTACTGCTGTCACTGAGCAATGACATGCTTGCCAACCGTTTGTGACTTGATCGTACAATATTTGTATTCAAGGACGGGACTGGGAGAAATAGTACATCAGAAGAATTAGAATGGATCAACAACCTGATCTCAAAGTACACGGATTTTGAAAAAGATTGCCAGGAAATGAACCAAAACAATAAAGAAGGCAAAAAGTCAAAAATACAACGTGTAGACGAGAAAAAATATCCAAATAAATCAGCAACGACCATCCCAAGTAACGACAGAGGGAGAACAAGTGCGAAAGAAAGAACATTGAAAGTTGGAAAACTTGACGTGACGAAGATTGAACAAAGGAACAAACAACCCCAGACAATGGGAAAAGAAAACAGAAGTATGCACAATACGAAAAAGGTAAAGTGCATTAACTTTCTTCCGGGTTTTTGCACGAGCCTGGTTACGGAATAGAATAACTACATCACAGCCCATTTATCTCCTTTGGGGTGACCAGGTGAGATAAGACATATGGGGATGTCTCGATTATAAACTTAAGCTATTGAAATTGTATTTTAGACAGCAGTGGATAGTACGTCAGATGATTTTGAACGGATTGGTTACGCTGGCTCTAAATGCATCGGCGGTGTAAAACTTCATCCACAAAAGAACCAAGGTCTCAACAACATCACGACTGTTGATCAACCAAATACTTCTCAGAATATTATGAACAAAAGATACACAATACGGGAGACGAAAATGAGCAAAATTCGACGAGAAGTTGACATATCGCCAATAACCTACCGATTGCACAGGAATGAAAGAGAAAGTGTGAAAGGAAATGCATTGAAAGTGGGCAAGTTTGATGTGACAAAGATTAATCAAAGGAGTAGAGAACTTCAAACACCCAAGGATAATAAAAGCGTACATAAGATAAAAAAGGTAAATTGGCGAATATCGAATTCATTGTGTGTCTTCAATTGAAGCTAATTTATCGTTTGGCAATGCTCTTTGTTTCAAAGAGAATAATATTTTCAAAATAATACGTGAATCGCTTTTAAATCCATTAATAAACTAAACAATCATGATTTATATAGAAGACAGTGAAACCCGATGATTATTTTGACGATCTAAACATCGAGGAGATGTTAAAGAAACTAGATACAAACAATAAAGATAAAACCAGATACGATCAGAGAAAGATCTTTGAAAGAGACCATTCGAAAGTAGCCTTCAGGCCGAGCGCGGGAGACGTAGAAATCAAGGTCAAGATCATGAATAATGACTTGACTGATGCTGAATCGAAAACACTGGAAGAGAGATATTTTATTCCAATTGAACCTGCAGAAAGTTCTATGATGGCAAGTAAACTAAATTGATTTACTTAAATTCATCACGAGTCCATCTCAGACCATCTGCACAAAATTTAAGCTACTGCGTGACGTCTTCCTGAGCTAAGATACTGCGCGACTGTTCAAGTTTTTTTAGCTGCATGCAGCGTCCTCCAGTCTCCTGTTGAACCGTGAGCATTGCAGATAAAATAGATATTGGATATATCGAGAAGAAAAATTCACTTACCCCAAATTTAACCATTTTAGGATTTCCGCGTTTCGTGTAAGTTCTTGCTTAAATTAGCCACGTTCTGACAGTAAACCATAATAATATCTTCTTTCATTTGTAGAGAAGAAAATTTGTTATCTCGCCTGATGATTTCAACCCAAACCATCACAGGAACCTCAGGTAGACGGAAACACCACCCTTCTGCAAAGAAAACAAAACTTTAACAAACGATTACTTCCGAAGAAAGGTAAAATTCCTTATTGCTACTTAAGCACTAAGAACTTTTATGAAAAGTTTCACAGACAGATTTGGACACCTGTCAACGCTGCAACAATTCAGAGTGTATACGAGTAAAATAGAGGTGTTGAAAACGGTTAACTCGAAAGCTTAAAAAAATAAGGTATACTTTTATCTGTATTTTAGTACATTTAATATAAAGGGATATTGTAATCCCTCTAAACATTCTTATCGTTATAGAGCTATTGGATTAGGCGCAATTAAAAGACCTTTCTCATAATGACTCTCAAACACTCGCCATTTTTATGGTACTTGTGGTACTCAATTTTCTTAAACAGGTTTAAAAATGAAAACAACGTGAAAAGCAATAAAAATAGTAAATTTAGCCTATAAATTGAAAACAGTGAGCGTTATGAGATCTTGCGTCAATTCGTCATCGTGAGATGCGTTAATTGGTCGCCCTCCCCTGTCGAACGTTCCTGCTCTTTTCAATACATGCATACCAATGCAGCCCAACGTATAATCATTACAATAGCATTGTGCATACAATTACAATAGCATTAGAAATGTTACCCTCCAATAAGGCGATGTGCTCGTTTTAAAGTTTTTGAGGAAATCTCCACATTTATACAATTCTTCCTACGTGGCAGTCGTTCTACGTTAGCAGGTTTCGATGTTGGCAGAACTACTCTAAACCTTTCATTCACGCAAATAGCTCACCGGATGTCATATATTGTAAGCATCTTGGCCGTTCAAATGCTCACGTAAACAAAAGGAATCGTCGGGAATATAAGAAAGGAATATAGGGCATTTGAACACTACTAACTTTTGCGGCGATTACCGTCTTTTTTATAGATCCAAACGAGCGAATGGTTTTAAATTATCAGGGGCTTGTTGTTAAATCGTAGTTTAATCGTAGTACTCCAAAATACATCATTCTGATAACCTAATTCTGCAATTTTGCATTTTAATGAAGATAGTTTTCAGTATATTTCAGAATGATGGTGTCGTTATTCAACTGATGTCACACTACTGCTAACTGATGTATAACGGGTAGTTAATAAACTAATAACATTGGCATAATTGGCAATGTTCAGCATTTCAAGTTCATATTTCATGGCAAAGTTCATATTATTAAAAAATATTTTAGATAATTTTCAGTATTATTTCAATTTAAGTATTTTTTCCTTTTAGATAAAAAGGATTGAAGCACCAAGACCACAAAATATTGATCGCATCGAGTTTAAGGGGTTTGGCCAAGACGAGGCAGAAGAGCCAAGGTACACGAAGGATTTAAAAATTGGAAGTATTCTAATTGAAGAATATCCTGAAGAAAGCCGAGATACTTCCAAATCTGAAGTACTCGGAATAAAACACGTCGCACAGTATCCAAAAGACTTCGATGTTGGCCGCCTTATGATTGAAGAATTCTCAGAGGAAAAGAAAGAAATACGTGACGTTAACAAAATTGAAAAGGTACAAAAGAGTGTCGAAGTCTCACTAACCAGACATGAAGAAGAAGAAGATCTCTCTGGTGATTTTATCAAACATGAAGTCATAAAAATCGGAAAACTTGACGTAACTTGTCAGGAAAAGCGCTTCTCGCAGCTCAAATATGAAGAGGAAAGAGCCAAGACATACGCAGATGATGCGCGAAAGGTAAACTAATATTTAGAGCACTTCTTTATAAATTTCAGTCAATGGTGACCTCACGAACGTCTTCGTAACAGTAGTATGAATATAAAATATCATATTTTTACACTGGGTACAAAGGATAAGTAAGACCTTTCTCAAAATTACCACAAGCTTTTAAATCGACTTTATGTTCCAAAAAGTCAACTTTTAACTTTATTTCTTTCTCTAACACTATAACACAGCCCGACGGAAAGGCGATTGATGAATACGTCATTCAAGAAAAAGCACCTGTCGAAAGAAAACGAATAAACCGCAAACACCATTTAAAAAAACAGAGAGAAGAGAAGCATGAATATGTTGATAAACTGGATGTTGGACGTATTATGATTGAAGAAACTCTTGAAAAAACGGAGGAGAGGTCAACAGATTTGGAGAAAGAAAAAGCGAGACCGAAAACTATTGATGCGACTTTGACAGGCCAGGAGTTTGAGAAGACTCCGAGAGAACCGATCAAGGAAGGCATCAAAGTTGGTAAACTTGATGTAACTGATTTTGAAAAACACTCTTTGGTACCAATCACTCCAAAAGAACGAATTATGAGTTATGATGACAAAATACAGACGGTAGACACCGTTGAGAGAGTAGCTATCCATAGTGATAATATGACAGAAAGAGAACAAGAAAAACCAAGATACTCTAGAGATCTTGACATCGGTCGTATTGTAATTGACGAAACTAGTGGACAAAAAGAAGAAATTCCAAAGCGTGAAGTAATTCAATCAAAGAGCACGGAAGTAAAATTCACACAACGCGAAGTTGAAACCCAAAAAAAGGAGAAGCATAAATATGTCAATAAACTGGATGTTGGACGTATTGTGATTGAAGAAACACTTGAAAAAACGGAGGAGAGGCCAACAGATTCAAAGAAAGAAAAAGTGAGACCAAAAAGTATTGAGGTGACTTTGACAGGCCAGGAGTTTGAGAAGACTCCGAAAGAACCGATCAAGGAAAGCATTAAAGTTGGTAAACTTGATGTAACTGATTTTGAAAAACAGTCTTTGGCACCAATCACTCCAAGAGAACGAATTATGAGTTATGATAACAAAATAAAGACCGTAGATACCATTGAGAGAGTAGCTATCCATAGTGATGATATGACAGAAAGAGAACAAGAAAAACCAAAATACTCTAGAGATCTTGACATCGGTCGTATTGTAATCGAAGAAACTTGTGGACCGAAAGAAGAAATTCCAAAGCGTGAAATGATTCAACAAAAGAGCACGGAAGTAAAATTCACACAACTTGAGGTCGAGAAACAAAGAGTAGAGGAGCATAAATATGTTAATAAACTGGATGTTGGACGTATTGTGATTGAAGAAACTTTTGAAAAAACGGAAGAGAGTCCAACAGATTCAAAGAAAGAAAAAGTCAGACCGAAAAGTATTGAGGTGACTTTGACAGGCCAGGAGTTTGAGAATATTCCGAGAAAACCGATCAAGGAAGGCATCAAAGTTGGTAAACTTGATGTAACTGATTTTGAAGAACAGTCTTTGGTACCAATCACTCCAAGAGAACGAATTATGAGTTATGATGACAAAATAAAGACCGTAGATACCGTTGAGAGAGTAGCTATCAATAGTGATGATATGACAGAAAGAATAGAACAAGAAAAACCAAGATACTCTAAAGATCTTGACATCGGTCGTATTGTAATTGACGAAACTTGTGGACAGAAAGAAGAAATTCCAAAGCGTGAAGTAATTCAACCAAAGAGCACGGAAGTAAAATTCACACAACTTGAGGTTGAAACCAAAAAAGAAGAGGAGCATAAATATGTTGATAAACTGGATGTTGGACGTATTATGATTGAAGAAACTCTTGAAAAAACGGAGGAGAGGCCAACAGATTTGAAGAAAGAAAAAGTGAGACCGAAAAGTATTGAGGTGACTTTGACAAGCCAGGAGTTTGAGAAGATTCCGAGAGAACCGATCAAACAAGGCATCAAAGTTGGTAAACTTGATGTAATTGATTTTGAAAAACAGTCTTTGGCACCAATCACTCCAAGGGAACAAATTATGAGTTATGATAACAAAATACAGACGGTAGATACCGTTGAGAGAGTAGCTATCCATAGTGATGATATGACAGAAAGAAGAGAACAAGAAAAACCAAGATACTCTAGAGATCTTGACATCGGTCGTATTGTAATTGACGAAACTTGTGGACCGAAAGAAGAAATTCCAAAGCGTGAAGTAATTCAACCAAAGAGCACGGAAGTAAAATTCACACGCGAGATTGAAACCCAAAAAAAGGAGAAGCATAAATATGTCAATAAACTGGATGTTGGACGTATTGTGATTGAAGAGACTTTTGAAAAAACGGAAGAGAGGCCAACAGATTCAAAGAAAGAAAAAGTCAGACCGAAAAGTATTGAAGTGACTTTGACAAGCCAGGAGTTTGAGAAGATTCCGAGAAAACCGATCAAGGAAAGCATCAAAGTTGGTAAACTTGATGTAATTGATTTTGAAAAACAGTCTTTGGCACCAATCACTCCAAGGAAACAAATTATGAGTTATGATAACAAAATACAGACGGTAGACACCGTTGAGAGAGTAGCTATCCATAGTGATGATATGACAGAAAGAAGACAAGATAAACCAAGATACTCTAGAGATCTTGACATCGGTCGTATTGTAATCGACGAAACTTGTGGACAGAAAGAAATTCCAAAGCGTGAAGTGATTCAACCAAAGAGCACGGAATTAAGATTCACACAACTTGAGGTTGAAAAACAAAGGGAAGACAAGCATAAATATGTCAATAAACTGGATGTTGGACGTATTGTGATTGAAGAAACACTTGAAAAAAGGGAGGAGACACCAACAGATGCAAAGAAAGAAAACGTGAGACCGAAAAGTATTGTGGTGACTTTGACAGGCCAGGAGTTTGAGAAGGTTCCGAGAGAACCGATCAAGGAAAGCATCAAAGTTGGTAAACTTGATGTAACTGATTTTGAAAAACGGTCTTTGGTACCAATCACTCCAAGGGAACGAATTATGAGTTATGATAACAAAATACAGACGGTAGACACTGTTGAGAAAGTAGCTATCCATAGTGATGATATGACAGAAAGAAGAGAACAAGAAAAACCAAGATACTCTAGAGATCTTGACATCGGTCGTATTGTAATTGACGAAACTAGTGGACCGAAAGAAGAAATTCCAAAGCGTGAAGTAATTCAACCAAAGAGCACGGAAGCAAGATTCACACAACTTGATGTTGAAAAACAAAGGGAAGAGAAGCATAAATATGTGAATAAACTGGATGTTGGACGTATTGTGATTGAAGAAACGGAGACCTGGACGGATTTAAAGAAAGAAAAAGTGAGACCGAAAAGTATTGAGGTGACTTTGACAGACACAAAGTCTGAAGATGTTTGCAAGGGTGGAACGAAGGAAGACGTGCTCCAAATTGCTAAATTTGATCTGGAAAAGAAATTTTTTGATGCAAAAGCTGTTAAGGAAAGAATAAAAAGTTACGTTGACGAGCAACCCGTGCATGCAACTATAGAGAAAGTAATGGTAATGCCAAAATATCTCAACGATCGTATTGTAGTTGAAGAGGTTCCCGAAAAGAAAAAAGAAATGGACAGATCCCCTATGCAAGAGATTTCTAAAGTAGGATCTAAACGTAATGTCCCTAAAGTAGAAAAAATAAACGTTACTGAAATCGAAGAAAAAGCCATGGAATCTGAAACTGTTGACAAAATAGTATGTGATCGAATTGATGTAATTCAAAAGGTATTCATCATGTTATTAACTTGCATAAATTTGGGTAATACATTAATAAGGAAACGTTCATGTGCATGATACAAACAAAGAAGGAAGCTACAAAAAGGTATAGCTAGATTATGAATTACATCTTTTGTTTTACAGCCTAGTTACAACCAGCAAGAGAAAATTGTCACCAGTCAACGAGTGACTGATACTAGACTACAAGAGAACATTACAAACGTTGGAAGACTTGATCTTCACGGCCTCGGGGCGAGACAGGTGGAACCAGGACAGAAACCAAAAAAAAGTTTTAAAGAGATTGAAAGTGTTAAATGGTCACGAAAGGCATGTTAAAAAAATTCAGAGGATCTAAAACAATGAACACAATATTTTATTACACCTAAACAACACCGCAGTTCATTATCATTATCTATTTCACAGACATTCGTCCACCATATTGCGATGCTTAATCCAACATTTCAAGTTTGCCCCTAGATATAGATAGATAAAGTAAACATTTATTTCTAGAATGATAAATAATGTTAAAAAATCTCCTTTCCAGGTGACAAGGGACTTCAAGCACGAGAAAAGAGCGCCGGAGGAACCGCGGATTGGACGTATTGTGATTGAAGAAGCTCCAGAGGAAAAAGAAGAAATATTGAAACGTGACGTTGTTAGGAGAGATGAGGTGAAGCCAAGACGTGAGGATATGAAAACTCCGTATGAAGCTGAAAAAGTTCCTGGAGTGCAAATGAGAGAAGAAATTATCAAAGTTGGAAAGCTTGATGTTACTGACTACGAGAAAACACAAAAGGATTCAGAAAGAACTTACGTTGAGCGGTTGAGAAAAGACCAGAAGGTAAGTTGATGGAAAAACCAGAATTGTTAAAAACTCTATCATAGAGTCGTTCTTGATCTTGAAAACATATTGTATCTTACAGCCCAGATATGATAAGAAAAAGGAAGAAAGAATTGATCATTATCGTCCGCAAGGCGAAGAATTTGACAAAGCCTATACCTACGACTACAAATCTCGAACAGATGAAACTGAAATCACTCAGCAACGCGTAACTGCTGAGAAGATTACTGTCAGCAGAGAAGATAGAACTCAAATAGAGGAAACAGAAAAACCACGATATCCCAAAGATCTTGATATTGGACGTATTGTGATTGAAGAAGCTCCAGAGAAAAAAGAAGAAATATTGAAACGTGACGTTGTTAGGAGAGATGAGGTGAAGCCAAGACGTGAGGATATGAAAACTCCGTATGAAGCTGACAAAGTTCCTGGAGTGCAAATGAGAGAAGAAATTATCAAAGTTGGCAAGCTTGATGTTACTGACTACGAGAAAACCCAAAGGATTCAGAAAGAACTTACGTTGAGCGGTTGAGAAAAGACCAGAAGGTAAGTTGATGGAGAAACCAGAATTGTTAAAAACTCTATCATAGGTAGTTCTTGACCTTGAGAACATATTGTATCTTACAGCCCAGATATGATAAGAAAAAGGAAAAAAGAATTGATCATTATCGTCCGCAAGGCGAAGAATTTGACAAAGCCTATACCTACGACTATAAATCTCGAACAGATGACACTGAAATCACTCAGCAACGCGTAACTGCTGAGAAGATTACTGTCAGCAGAGAATGATAACTCAAATAGAGGAAACAGAAAAACCACGATATCCCAAAGATCTTGATATTGGACGTATTGTGATTGAAGAAGCTCCAGAGGAAAAAGAAGAAATATTGAAACGTGACGTTGTTAGGAGAGATGAGGTGAAGCCAAGACGTGAGGATATGAAACTCCGTATGAAGCTGAAAAAGTTCCTGGAGTGCAAATGAGAGAAGAAATTATCAAAGTTGGAAAGCTTGATGTTACTGACTACGAGAAAACCCAAAAGGATTCAGAAAGAACTTACGTTGAGCGGTTGAGAAAAGATCAGAAGGTAAGTTGATGGAAAAACCAGAATTGTTAAAAACTCCATCATAGGCCGTTCTTGATCTTGAAAACATATTGTATCTTACAGCCCAGATATGATAAGAAAAAGGAAGAAAGAATTGATCATTATCGTCCGCAAGGCGAAGAATTTGACAAAGCCTATACCTACGACTATAAATCTCGAACAGATGATACTGAAATCACTCAGCAACGCGTAACTGCTGAGAAGATTACTGTCAGCAGAGAAGATATAGCTCAAATAGAGGAAACAGAAAAACCACGATATCCCAAAGATCTTGATATTGGACGTATTGTGATTGAAGAAGCTCCAGAGGAAAAAGAAGAAATATTGAAACGTGACGTTGTTAAGAAAGATGAGGTGAAGCCAAGGCGTGAGGATATGAAAACTCCGTATAAAGCTGAAAAAGTTCCTGGAGTGCAAATGAGAGAAGAAATTATCAAAGTTGGAAAGCTTGATGTTACTGACTACGAGAAAACCCAAAAGGATTCAGAAAGAACTTACGTTGAGCGGTTGAGAAAAGACCAGAAGGTAAGTTGATGGAAAAACCAGAATTGTTAAAAACTCCATCATAGGTAGTTCTTGACCTTGAGAACATATTGCATCTTACAGCCCAGATATGATAAGAAAAAGGAAGAAAGAATTGATCATTATCGTCCGCAAGGCGAAGAATTTGACAAAGCCTATACCTACGACTATAAATCTCGAACAGATGACACTGAAATCACTCAGCAACGCGTAACTGCTGAGAAGATTACTGTCAGCAGAGAAGATATAACTCAAATAGAGGAAACAGAAAAACCACGATATCCCAAAGATCTTGATATTGGACGTATTGTGATTGAAGAAGCTCCAGAGGAAAAAGAAGAAATATTGAAACGTGACGTTGTTAGGAGAGATGAGGTGAAGCCAAGACGTGAGGATATGAAAACTCCGTATGAAGCTGAAAAAGTTCCTGGAGTGCAAATGAGAGAAGAAATTATCAAAGTTGGAAAGCTTGATGTTACTGACTACGAGAAAACCCAAAAGGATTCAGAAAGAACTTACGTTGAGCGGTTGAGAAAAGATCAGAAGGTAAGTTGATGGAAAACCAGAATTGTTAAAAACTCCATCATAGGCCGTTCTTGATCTTGAAAACATATTGTATCTTACAGCCCAGATATGATAAGAAAAAGGAAGAAAGAATTGATCATTATCGTCCGCAAGGCGAAGAATTTGACAAAGCCTATACCTACGACTAAATCTCGAACAGATGATACTGAAATCACTCAGCAACGCGTAACTGCTGAGAAGATTACTGTCAGCAGAGAAGATATAGCTCAAATAGAGGAAACAGAAAAACCACGATATCCCAAAGATCTTGATATTGGACGTATTGTGATTGAAGAAGCTCCAGAGGAAAAAGAAGAAATATTGAAACGTGACGTTGTTAGGAAGATGAGGTGAAGCCAAGCGTGAGGATATGAAAACTCCGTATGAAGCTGACAAAGTTCCTGGAGTGCAAATGAGAGAAGAAATTATCAAAGTTGGCAAGCTTGATGTTACTGACTACGAGAAAACCCAAAAGGATTCAGAAAGAACTTACGTTGAGCGGTTGAGAAAAGACCAGAAGGTAAGTTGATGGAGAAACCAGAATTGTTAAAAACTCTATCATAGGTAGTTCTTGACCTTGAGAACATATTGTATCTTACAGCCCAGATATGATAAGAAAAAGGAAAAAAGAATTGATCATTATCGTCCGCAAGGCGAAGAATTTGACAAAGCCTATACCTACGACTAAATCTCGAACAGATGACACTGAAATCACTCAGCAACGCGTAACTGCTGAGAAGATTACTGTCAGCAGAGAAGATATAACTCAAATAGAGGAAACAGAAAAACCACGATATCCCAAAGATCTTGATATTGGACGTATTGTGATTGAAGAAGCTCCAGAGAAAAAGAAGAAATATTGAAACGTGACGTTGTTAGGAGAGATGAGGTGAAGCCAAGACGTGAGGATATGAAAACTCCGTATGAAGCTGAAAAAGTTCCTGGAGTGCAAATGAGAGAAGAAATTATCAAAGTTGGAAAGCTTGATGTTACTGACTACGAGAAAACCCAAAAGGATTCAGAAAGAACTTACGTTGAGCGGTTGAGAAAAGACCAGAAGGTAAGTTGATGGAAAAACCAGAATTGTTAAAAACTCCATCATAGGCCGTTCTTGATCTTGAAAACATATTGTATCTTACAGCCCAGATATGATAAGAAAAAGGAAGAAAGAATTGATCATTATCGTCCGCAAGGCGAAGAATTTGACAAAGCCTATACCTACGACTACAAATCTCGAACAGATGACACTGAAATCACTCAGCAACGCGTAACTGCTGAGAAGATTACTGTCAGCAGAGAAGATATAACTCAAATAGAGGAAACAGAAAAACCACGATATCCCAAAGATCTTGATATTGGACGTATTGTGATTGAAGAAGCTCCAGAAGAAACAGAAGAAATATTGAAACGTGACGTTGTTAGGAGAGATGAGGTGAAGCCAAGACGTGAGGATATGAAAACTCCGTATGAAGCTGAAAAAGTTCCTGGAGTGCAAATGAGAGAAGAAATTATCAAAGTTGGAAAGCTTGATGTTATGACTACGAGAAAACCCAAAAGGATTCAGAAAGAACTTACGTTGAGCGGTTGAGAAAAGACCAGAAGGTAAGTTGATGAAAAACCAGAATTGTTAAAAACTCATCATAGGCCGTTCTTGATCTTGAAAACATATTGTATCTTACAGCCCAGATATGATAAGAAAAAGGAAGAAAGAATTGATCATTATCGTCCGCAAGGCGAAGAATTTGACAAAGCCTATACCTACGACTACAAATCTCGAACAGATGACACTGAAATGACTCAGCAACGCGTAACTGCTGAGAAGATTACTGTCAGCAGAGAAGATATAACTCAAATAGAGGAAACAGAAAAACCACGATATCCCAAAGATCTTGATATTGGACGTATTGTGATTGAAGAAGCTCCAGAAGAAAAAGAAGAAATATTGAAACGTGACGTTGTTAGGAGAGATGAGGTGAAGCCAAGACGTGAGGATATGAAAACTCCGTATGAAGCTGAAAAAGTTCCTGGAGTGCAAATGAGAGAAGAAATTATCAAAGTTGGAAAGCTTGATGTTACTGACTACGAGAAAACCCAAAAGGATTCAGAAAGAACTTACGTTGAGCGGTTGAGAAAAGACCAGAAGGTAAGTTGATGGAAAAACCAGAATTGTTAAAAACTCCATCATAGGCCGTTCTTGATCTTGAAAACATATTGTATCTTACAGCCCAGATATGATAAGAAAAAGGAATTCGAAGAAAGAATTGATCATTATCGTCCGAAAGGCGAAGAATTTGACAAAGCCTATACCTACGACTACAAATCTCGAACAGATGACACTGAAATCACTCAGCAACGCGTAACTGCTGAGAAGATTACTGTCAGCAGAGAAGATATAACTCAAATAGAGGAAACAGAAAAACCACGATATCCCAAAGATCTTGATATTGGACGTATTGTGATTGAAGAAGCTCCAGAGGAAAAAGAAGAAATATTGAAACGTGACGTTGTTAAGAGAGATGAGGTGAAGCCAAGGCGTGAGGATATGAAAACTCCGTATGAAGCTGAAAAAGTTCCTGGAGTGCAAATGAGAGAAGAAATTATCAAAGTTGGCAAGCTTGATGTTACTAATTACGAGAAAACCCAAAAGGATTCAGAAAGAACTTACGTTGAGCGATTGAGAAAAGACCAGAAGGTAAGTTAATGCAAAAACCAAAATTGTTAAAAACTCTATCATAGGTCGTTCTTGATTTTAAAAACATATTGTATCTTACAGCCCAGATATGATAAAAAAAAGGAAGAAAGAATTGATCATTATCGTCCGCAAGGCGAAGAATTTGACAAAGCCTATACCTACGACTACAAATCTCGAACAGATGACACTGAAATGACTCAGCAACGCGTAACTGCTGAGAAGATTACTGTCAGCAGAGAAGATATAACTCAAATAGAGGAAACAGAAAAACCACGATATCCCAAAGATCTTGATATTGGACGTATTGTGATTGAAGAAGCTCCAGAAGAAAAAGAAATATTGAAACGTGACGTTGTTAGGAGAGATGAGGTGAAGCCAAGACGTGAGGATATGAAAACTCCGTATGAAGCTGAAAAAGTTCCTGGAGTGCAAATGAGAGAAGAAATTATCAAAGTTGGAAAGCTTGATGTTACTGACTACGAGAAAACCCAAAAGGATTCAGAAAGAACTTACGTTGAGCGGTTGAGAAAAGACCAGAAGGTAAGTTGATGGAAAAACCAGAATTGTTAAAAACTCCATCATAGGCCGTTCTTGATCTTGAAAACATATTGTATCTTACAGCCCAGATATGATAAGAAAAAGGAATTCGAAGAAAGAATTGATCATTATCGTCCGCAAGGCGAAGAATTTGACAAAGCCTATACCTACGACTACAAATCTCGAACAGATGACACTGAAATCACTCAGCAACGCGTAACTGCTGAGAAGATTACTGTCAGCAGAGAAGATATAACTCAAATAGAGGAAACAGAAAAACCACGATATCCCAAAGATCTTGATATTGGACGTATTGTGATTGAAGAAGCTCCAGAGGAAAAAGAAGAAATATTGAAACGTGACGTTGTTAGGAGAGACGAGGTGAAGCCAAGACGTGAGGATATGAAAACTCCGTATGAAGCTGAAAAAGTTCCTGGAGTGCAAATGAGAGAAGAAATTATCAAAGTTGGCAAGCTTGATGTTACTGACTACGAGAAAACCCAAAAGGATTCAGAAAGAACTTACGTTGAGCGGTTGAGAAAAGACCAGAAGGTAAGTTGATGGAAAAACCAGAATTGTTAAAAACTCTATCATAGGCCGTTCTTGATCTTGAAAACATATTGTATCTTACAGCCCAGATATGATAAGAAAAAGGAAGAAAGAATTGATCATTATCGTCCGCAAGGCGAAGAATTTGACAAAGCCTACCTACGACTACAAATCTCGAACAGATGACACTGAAATCACTCAGCAACGCGTAACTGCTGAGAAGATTACTGTCAGCAGAGATATAACTCAAATAGAGGAAACAGAAAAACCACGATATCCCAAAGATCTTGATATTGGACGTATTGTGATTGAAGAAGCTCCAGAAAAAAAGAAGAAATATTGAAACGTGACGTTGTTAGGAGAGATGAAGTGAAGCCAAGACGTGAGGATATGAAAACTCCGTATGAAGCTGAAAAAGTTCCTGGAGTGCAAATGAGAGAAGAAATTATCAAAGTTGGCAAGCTTGATGTTACTGACTACGAGAAAACCCAAAAGGATTCAGAAAGAACTTACGTTGAGCGGTTGAGAAAAGACCAGAAGGTAAGTTGATGGAAAAACCAGAATTGTTAAAAACTCTATCATAGGCCGTTCTTGATCTTGAAAACATATTGTATCTTACAGCCCAGATATGATAAGAAAAAGGAAGAAAGAATTGATCATTATCGTCCGCAAGGCGAAGAATTTGACAAAGCCTATACTTACCACTACAAATCTCGAACGGACGACACTGAAATCACTCAGAAACGCGTAACTGCTGAGAAGATTACTGTCAGCAGGGAGGATATAACTCAAATAGAGGAAACAGAAAAACCACGATATCCCAAAGATTTTGATATTGGACGTATTGTGATTGAAGAAGCTCCAGAAAAAAAAGAAGAAATATTGAAACGTGACGTTGTTAGGAGAGATGAAGTGACGCCAAGACGTGAGGATATGAAAACTCCGTATGAAGCTGAAAAAGTTCCTGGAGTGCAAATGAGAGAAGAAATTATCAAAGTTGGCAAGCTTGATGTTACTGACTACGAGAAAACCCAAAAGGATTCAGAAAGAACTTACGTTGAGCGGTTGAGAAAAGACCAGAAGGTAAGTTGATGGAAAAACCAGAATTGTTAAAAACTCCATCATAGGCCGTTCTTGATCTTAAAAACATATCGTATCTTACAGCCCAGATATGATAAGAAAAAGGAAGAAAGAATTGATCATTATCGTCCGCAAGGCGAAGAATTTGACAAAGCCTATACCTACGACTACAAATCTCGAACAGATGACACTGAAATCACTCAGCAACGCGTAACTGCTGAGAAGATTACTGTCAGCAGAGAAGATATAACTCAAATAGAGGAAACAGAAAAACCACGATATCCCAAAGATCTTGATATTGGACGTATTGTGATTGAAGAAGCTCCAGAGAAAAAAGAAGAAATATTGAAACGTGACGTTGTTAGGAGAGATGAGGTGAAGCCGAGACAAGAGGATATGAAAACTCCGTATGAAGCTGAAAAAGTTCCTGGAGTGCAAATGAGAGAAGAAATTATCAAAGTTGGCAAGTTCGATGTTACTGACTACGAGAAAACACAAAAGGATTTAGAAAGAACTTACGTTGAGCGGTTGAGAAAAGACCAGAAGGTAAGTAATAAGAAAACGAGAATTGTTAAAAACTCTATCATAGGCCGTTCTTGATCTTGAAAACATATTGTATCTTACAGCCCAGATATGATAAGAAAAAGGAAGAAAGAATTGATCATTATCGTCCGCAAGGCGAAGAATTTGACAAAGCCTATACCTACGACTACAAATCTCGAACAGATGAAACTGAAATCACTCACCAACGCGTAACTGCTGAGAAGATTACTGTCAGCAGAGAAGATAGAACTCAAATAGAGGAAACAGAAAAACCACGATATCCCAAAGATCTTGATATTGGACGTATTGTGATTGAAGAAGCTCCAGAGGAAAAAGAAGAAATATTGAAACGTGACGTTGTTAAGAGAGATGACGTGAAGCCAAGGCGTGAGGATATGAAAACTCCGTATAAAGCTGAAAAAGTTCCTGGAGTGCAAATGAGAGAAGAAATTATCAAAGTTGGCAAGCTTGATGTTACTGACTACGAGAAAACCCAAAAGGATTCAGAAAGAACTTACGTTGAGCGGTTGAGAAAAGACCAGAAGGTAAGTTGATGCAGAAACCAGAATTGTTAAAAACTCTATCATAGGTAGTTCTTGACCTTGAGAACATATTGCATCTTACAGCCCAGATATGATAAGAAAAAGGAAGAAAGAATTGATCATTATCGTCCGCAAGGCGAAGAATTTGACAAAGCCTATACCTACGACTACAAATCTCGAACAGATGACACTGAAATCACTCAGCAACGGGTAACTGCTGAGAAGATTACTGTCAGCAGAGAAGATAGAACTCAAATAGAGGAAACAGAAAAACCACGATATCCCAAAGATCTTGATATTGGACGTATTGTGATTGAAGAAGCTCCAGAGGAAAAAGAAGAAATATTGAAACGTGACGTTGTTACGAGAGATGAGGTGAAGCCAAGACGTGAGGATATGAAAACTCCGTATGAAGCTGAAAAAGTTCCTGGAGTGCAAATGAGAGAAGAAATTATCAGAGTTGGCAAGCTTGATGTTACTGAGTACGAGAAAACACAAAAGGATTCAGAAAGAACTTACGTTGAGCGGTTGAGAAAAGACCAGAAGGTAAGTTGATGGAAAAACCAGAATTGTTAAAAACTCTATCATAGGCCGTTATTGATCTAAAAACATTTCTATCTTACAGCCCAATATGAAAGAAAAAGGAAGAAAGAATTGATCATTATCGTCCGCAAGGCGAAGAATTTGACAAACCCTATACCTACGATTACAAATCTCGAACAGATGACACTGAAATCACTCAGCAACGCGTAACTGCTGAGAAGATAACTGTCAGCAGAGAAGATAGAACTCAAATAGAGGAAACAGAAAAACCACGATATCCCAAAGATCTTGATATTGGACGTATTGTGATTGAAGAAGCTCCAGAGAAAAAAGAAGGAATATTGAAACGTGACGTTGTTAGGAGAGATGAGGTGAAGCCAAGACGTGAGGATATGAAAACTCCGTATGAAGCTGAAAAAGTTCCTGGAGTGCAAATGAGAGAAGAAATTATCAAAGTTGGCAAGCTTGATGTTACTGACTACGAGAAAACCCAAAAGGATTCAGAAAGAACTTACGTTGAGCGGTTGAGAAAGACCAGAAGGTAAGTTGATGGAAAAACCAGAATTGTTAAAACTGTATCATAGAGTCGTTCTTGATCTTGAAAACATATTGTATCTTACAGCCCAGATTGATAAGAAAAAAGGAAGAAAGAATTGATCATTATCGTCCGCAAGGCGAAGAATTTGACAAAGCCTATACCTACGACTACAAATCTCGAACGGACGACACTGAAATCGCTCAGAAAAGCGTAACTGCTGAGAAGATTACTGTCAGCAGAGAAGATAGAACTCAAAAAGAGGAAACAGAAAAACCACGATATCCCAAAGATCTTGATATTGGACGTATTGTGATTGAAGAAGCTCCAGAGGAAAAAGAAGAAATATTGAAACGTGACGTTGTTAGGAGAGATGAGGTGAAGCCAAGACGTGAGGATATGAAAACTCCGTATGAAGCTGAAAAAGTTCCTGGAGTGCAAATGAGAGAAGAAATTATCAAAGTTGGCAAGCTTGATGTTACCGACTACGAGAAAACCCAAAAGGATTTAGAAAGAACTTACGTTGAGCGGTTGAGAAAAGACCAGAAGGTAAGTTGATGGAAAAACCAGAATTGTTAAAAAGTCTATCATAGGTCGTTCTTGATCTTGAAAACATATCGTATCTTACAGCCCAGATATGATAAGAAAAAGGAAGAAAGAATTGATCATTATCGTCCGCAAGGCGAAGAATTTGACAAAGCCTATACCTACGACTACAAATCTCGAACAGATGACACTGAAATCACTCAGCAGCAACGCGTAACTGCTGAGAAGATTACTGTCAGCAGAGAAGATATGACTCAAATAGAGGAAACAGAAAAACCACGATATCCTAAAGATCTTGATATTGGACGTATTGTGATTGAAGAAGCTCCAGAGGAAAAAGAAGAAATATTGAAACGTGACGTTGTTAGGACAGATGAGGTGAAGCCAAGACGTGAGGATATGAAAACTCCGTATCCAGCTCAAAAAGTTCCTGGAGTGCAAGTTAAAGAAGAGGTTATCAAAATTGGCAAGCTTGATGTCACCGACTACGAAAGAACGAGAAAAGATGAGATACAAATAGTTGAAAGTCCACGAAAGGCACGTTTAAAAACCGTCCAAACCTCGGGGCAATTTATGTCATTGTCTAACATACACCGTTGCTCATTACGATTACGTGTCTTACTTTGATTTTACGCCGCCATATTCCGATACTGATTCCAACATTTCAATTTTTATCATAGAAATAGATAGGGGAAGATAAATTTATAAAATACAAGATATATAATGTTTCCCACTCTCTTTGTAGGTAAGAAAAGACTTGAAACCCGGTAAAAGTACCGTTGAATTATCTCAAGTGAGTGATATAGATTTTGAAAAGTTGTCAGAGTTTAAGCCTTGTGCGGATGAAATTCCTCGTCAACAGGTGACAACCGAAAGAGTTGTTGTAAGTAGAAGGGATCTTAAACCATCAGAGAAACCAGAGAAACCTAAGTATAAGAAAGATCCGGAAATTGGACGCATTGTGATTGAAGAGATTCCTGAAAAGAAGAAACTCGAGAACGGGAGATTGTTCAGAAGGAGCCAGTCGACCCAAAGAAAATCGACATGACAGTACGTAGACGTGAAGTTGATGAACGACCAAAGACCTATGCTAAAAGAGATGTTAAAGTTGGTAAACTTGATATGACCGAGTTGGAGCGGGAAACTATTGAATTAAGTCGACCATACGAAAGAATAACAAAACCTATTGATAGAGAATCTGAGGTGAGAGAAGTTCATTTCTTTATAGGAATGTACTCGAATTCTTTTGCCCATTAACGCCCTTGACATATAAGTTCTCTAAACTGTTATATGAAATATTTGACACCTGATTATATTTTGTCACAGTTAAGGGGTAAAAAACCAAAGAAAGAGAAAATTGATCAATATCGTCCGCAAGGCGAAGAATTTGACAAAGCCTATACCTACGACTACAAATCTCGAACAGATGACACTGAAATCACTCAGCAACGGGTAACTGCTGAGAAGATTACTGTCAGCAGAGAAGATAGAACTCAAATAGAGGAAACGGAAAAACCACGATATCCCAAAGATCTTGATATTGGACGTATTGTGATTAAAGAAGCTCCAGAGGAAAAAGAAGAAATATTGAAACGTGACGTTGTTAGGAGAGATGAGGTGAAGCCAAGACGTGAGGATATGAAAACTCCGTATGAAGCTGAAAAAGTTCCTGGAGTGCAAATGAGAGAAGAAATTATCAAAGTTGGCAAGCTTGATGTTACTGAGTACGAGAAAACACAAAAGGATTCAGAAAGAACTTACGTTGAGCGGTTGAGAAAAGACCAGAAGGTAAGTTGATGGAAAAACCAGAATTGTTAAAAACTCTATCATAGAGTCGTTCTTGATCTTGAAAACATATTGTATCTTACAGCCCAAATATGATAAGAAAAAGGAAGAAAGAATTGATCATTATCGTCCACAAGGCGAAGAATTTGACAAAGCCTATACCTACGACTACAAATCTCGAACAGATGACACTGAAATCACTCAGCAACGCGTAACTGCTGAGAAGATTACTGTCAGCAGAGAAGATAGAACTCAAATAGAGGAAACAGAAAAACCACGATATCCCAAAGATCTTGATATTGGACGTATTGTGATTGAAGAAGCTCCAGAGGAAAAAGAAGAAATATTGAAACGTGAGGTTGTTAGGAGAGATGAGGTGAAGCCAAGACGTGAGGATATGAAAACTACATATGAGGCTGAAAAAGTTCCTGGAGTGCAAATGAGAAAGAAATTATCAAAGTTGGCAAGCTTGATGTTACTGACTACGAGAAAACACAAAAGGATTCAGAAAGAACTTACGTTGAGCGGTTGAGAAAAGACCAGAAGGTAAGTTGATGAAAAAACCATAATTGTTAAAAACTCTATCATAGAGTCCTTCTTGATCTTGAAAACATTTTGTATCTTACAGCCCAGATATGATAAGAAAAAGGAAGAAAGAATTGATCATTATCGTCCGCAAGGCGAAGAATTTGACAAAGCCTATACCTACGACTACAAATCTCGAAAAGATGACAGTGAAATCACTCAGCAACGCGTAACTGCTGAGAAGATTACTGTCAGCACAGAAGATAGAACTCAAATAGAGGAAACAGAAAAACCACGATATCCTAAAGATCTTGATATTGGACGTATTGTGATTGAAGAAGCTCCAGAGGAAAAAGAAGAGATATTGAAACGTGACGTTGTTAGGAGAGATGAGGTGAAGCCAAGACGTGAGGATATGAAAACTCCGTATCAAGCTCAAAAAGTTCCTGGAGTGCAAGTTAAAGAAGAGGTTATCAAAATTGGCAAGCTTGATGTCACCGACTACGAAAGAACGAGAAAAGATGAGATACAAATAGTTGAAAGTCCACGAAAGGCACGTTTAAAAACCGTCCAAACCTCGGGGCAATTTATGTCATTGTCTAACATACACCGTTGCTCATTATGATTACGTGTCTTACATTGATTTTACGCCGCCATATTCCGATACTGATTCCAACATTTCAATTTTTATCATAGAAATAGATAGAGAAAGATAAATTTATAAAATACAAGATATATAATGTTTCCCACTCTCTTTGTAGGTAAGAAAAGACTTGAAACCCGGTAAAAGTACCGTTGAATTATCTCAAGTGAGTGATGTAGATTTTGAAAAGTTGTCAGAGTTTAAGCCTTGTGCGGATGAAATTCCTCGTCAACAGGTGGCAACCGAAAGAGTTGTTGTAAGTAGAAGGGATCTTAAACCATCAGAGAAACCAGAGAAACCTAAGTATAAGAAAGATCCGGATATTGGACGCATTGTGATTGAAGAGATTCCTGAAAAGGAAGAAACTCGAGAACGGGAGATTGTTCAGAAGGAGCCAGTCGACCCAAAGAAAATCGACATGACAGTACGTAGACGTGAAGTTGATGAACGACCAAAGACCTATGCTAAAAGAGATGTTAAAGTTGGTAAACTTGATATGATCGAGTTGGAGCGGGAAACTATTGAATTAAGTCGACCATACGAAAGAATAACAAAACCTATTGATAGAGAATCTGAGGTGAGAGAAGTTCATTTCTTTATAGGAATGTACTCGAATTCTTTTGCCCATTAACGCCCTTGACATATAAGTTCTCTAAACTGCTATATGAAATATTTGACACCTGATTATATTTTGTCACAGTTGAGGGGTAAAAAACCAAAGAAAGAGAAAATTGATCAATATCGTCCGCAAGGCGAAGAATTTGACAAAGCCTATACCTACGACTACAAATCTCGAACAGATGACACTGAAATCACTCAGCAACGGGTAACTGCTGAGAAGATTACTGTCAGCAGAGAAGATAGAACTCAAATAGAGGAAACAGAAAAACCACGATATCCCAAAGATCTTGATATTGGACGTATTGTGATTGAAGAAGCTCCAGAGGAAAAAGAAGAAATATTGAAACGTGACGTTGTTAGGAGAGATGAGGTGAAGCCAAGACGTGAGGATATGAAAACTCCGTATGAAGCTGAAAAAGTTCCTGGAGTGCAAATGAGAGAAGAAATTATCAGAGTTGGCAAGCTTGATGTTACTGAGTACGAGAAAACACAAAAGGATTCAGAAAGAACTTACGTTGAGCGGTTGAGAAAAGACCAGAAGGTAAGTTGATGGAAAAACCAGAATTGTTAAAAACTCTATCATAGGCCGTTATTGATCTAAAAAACATTTCTATCTTACAGCCCAAATATGAAAAGAAAAAGGAAGAAAGAATTGATCATTATCGTCCGCAAGGCGAAGAATTTGACAAAGCCTATACCTACGACTACAAATCTCGAACAGATGACACTGAAATCACTCAGCAACGCGTAACTGCTGAGAAGATTACTGTCAGCAGAGAAGATATGACTCAAATAGAGGAAACAGAAAAACCACGATATCCTAAAGATCTTGATATTGGACGTATTGTGATTGAAGAAGCTCCAGAGGAAAAAGAAGAAATATTGAAACGTGACGTTGTTAGGACAGATGAGGTGAAGCCAAGACGTGAGGATATGAAAACTCCGTATCCAGCTCAAAAAGTTCCTGGAGTGCAAGTTAAAGAAGAGGTTATCAAAATTGGCAAGCTTGATGTCACCGACTACGAAAGAACGAGAAAAGATGAGATACAAATAGTTGAAAGTCCACGAAAGGCACGTTTAAAAACCGTCCAAACCTCGGGGCAATTTATGTCATTGTCTAACATACACCGTTGCTCATTACGATTACGTGTCTTACTTTGATTTTACGCCGCCATATTCCGATACTGATTCCAACATTTCAATTTTTATCATAGAAATAGATAGGGGAAGATAAATTTATAAAATACAAGATATATAATGTTTCCCACTCTCTTTGTAGGTAAGAAAAGACTTGAAACCCGGTAAAAGTACCGTTGAATTATCTCAAGTGAGTGATATAGATTTTGAAAAGTTGTCAGAGTTTAAGCCTTGTGCGGATGAAATTCCTCGTCAACAGGTGACAACCGAAAGAGTTGTTGTAAGTAGAAGGGATCTTAAACCATCAGAGAAACCAGAGAAACCTAAGTATAAGAAAGATCCGGAAATTGGACGCATTGTGATTGAAGAGATTCCTGAAAAAGAAGAAACTCGAGAACGGGAGATTGTTCAGAAGGAGCCAGTCGACCCAAAGAAAATCGACATGACAGTACGTAGACGTGAAGTTGATGAACGACCAAAGACCTATGCTAAAAGAGATGTTAAAGTTGGTAAACTTGATATGACCGAGTTGGAGCGGGAAACTATTGAATTAAGTCGACCATACGAAAGAATAACAAAACCTATTGATAGAGAATCTGAGGTGAGAGAAGTTCATTTCTTTATAGGAATGTACTCGAATTCTTTTGCCCATTAACGCCCTTGACATATAAGTTCTCTAAACTGTATATGAAATATTTGACACCTGATTATATTTTGTCACAGTTAAGGGGTAAAAAACCAAAGAAAGAGAAAATTGATCAATATCGTCCGCAAGGCGAAGAATTTGACAAAGCCTATACCTACGACTACAAATCTCGAACAGATGACACTGAAATCACTCAGCAACGGGTAACTGCTGAGAAGATTACTGTCAGCAGAGAAGATAGAACTCAAATAGAGGAAACGGAAAAACCACGATATCCCAAAGATCTTGATATTGGACGTATTGTGATTAAAGAAGCTCCAGAGGAAAAAGAAGAAATATTGAAACGTGACGTTGTTAGGAGAGATGAGGTGAAGCCAAGACGTGAGGATATGAAAACTCCGTATGAAGCTGAAAAAGTTCCTGGAGTGCAAATGAGAGAAGAAATTATCAAAGTTGGCAAGCTTGATGTTACTGAGTACGAGAAAACACAAAAGGATTCAGAAAGAACTTACGTTGAGCGGTTGAGAAAAGACCAGAAGGTAAGTTGATGGAAAAACCAGAATTGTTAAAAACTCTATCATAGAGTCGTTCTTGATCTTGAAAACATATTGTATCTTACAGCCCAAATATGATAAGAAAAAGGAAGAAAGAATTGATCATTATCGTCCACAAGGCGAAGAATTTGACAAAGCCTATACCTACGACTACAAATCTCGAACAGATGACACTGAAATCACTCAGCAACGCGTAACTGCTGAGAAGATTACTGTCAGCAGAGAAGATAGAACTCAAATAGAGGAAACAGAAAAACCACGATATCCCAAAGATCTTGATATTGGACGTATTGTGATTGAAGAAGCTCCAGAGGAAAAAGAAGAAATATTGAAACGTGAGGTTGTTAGGAGAGATGAGGTGAAGCCAAGACGTGAGGATATGAAAACTACATATGAGGCTGAAAAAGTTCCTGGAGTGCAAATGAGAAAAGAAATTATCAAAGTTGGCAAGCTTGATGTTACTGACTACGAGAAAACACAAAAGGATTCAGAAAGAACTTACGTTGAGCGGTTGAGAAAAGACCAGAAGGTAAGTTGATGAAAAAACCATAATTGTTAAAAACTCTATCATAGAGTCCTTCTTGATCTTGAAAACATTTGTATCTTACAGCCCAGATATGATAAGAAAAAGGAAGAAAGAATTGATCATTATCGTCCGCAAGGCGAAGAATTTGACAAAGCCTATACCTACGACTACAAATCTCGAAAAGATGACAGTGAAATCACTCAGCAACGCGTAACTGCTGAGAAGATTACTGTCAGCACAGAAGATAGAACTCAAATAGAGGAAACAGAAAAACCACGATATCCTAAAGATCTGATATTGGACGTATTGTGATTGAAGAAGCTCCAGAGGAAAAAGAAGAGATATTGAAACGTGACGTTGTTAGGAGAGATGAGGTGAAGCCAAGACGTGAGGATATGAAAACTCCGTATCAAGCTCAAAAAGTTCCTGGAGTGCAAGTTAAAGAAGAGGTTATCAAAATTGGCAAGCTTGATGTCACCGACTACGAAAGAACGAGAAAAGATGAGATACAAATAGTTGAAAGTCCACGAAAGGCACGTTTAAAAACCGTCCAAACCTCGGGGCAATTTATGTCATTGTCTAACATACACCGTTGCTCATTATGATTACGTGTCTTACATTGATTTTACGCCGCCATATTCCGATACTGATTCCAACATTTCAATTTTTATCATAGAAATAGATAGAGAAAGATAAATTTATAAAATACAAGATATATAATGTTTCCCACTCTCTTTGTAGGTAAAAAGACTTGAAACCCGGTAAAAGTACCGTTGAATTATCTCAAGTGAGTGATGTAGATTTTGAAAAGTTGTCAGAGTTTAAGCCTTGTGCGGATGAAATTCCTCGTCAACAGGTGGCAACCGAAAGAGTTGTTGTAAGTAGAAGGGATCTTAAACCATCAGAGAAACCAGAGAAACCTAAGTATAAGAAAGATCCGGATATTGGACGCATTGTGATTGAAGAGATTCCTGAAAAGGAAGAAACTCGAGAACGGGAGATTGTTCAGAAGGAGCCAGTCGACCCAAAGAAAATCGACATGACAGTACGTAGACGTGAAGTTGATGAACGACCAAAGACCTATGCTAAAAGAGATGTTAAAGTTGGTAAACTTGATATGATCGAGTTGGAGCGGGAAACTATTGAATTAAGTCGACCATACGAAAGAATAACAAAACCTATTGATAGAGAATCTGAGGTGAGAGAAGTTCATTTCTTTATAGGAATGTACTCGAATTCTTTTGCCCATTAACGCCCTTGACATATAAGTTCTCTAAACTGCTATATGAAATATTTGACACCTGATTATATTTTGTCACAGTTGAGGGGTAAAAAACCAAAGAAAGAGAAAATTGATCAATATCGTCCGCAAGGCGAAGAATTTGACAAAGCCTATACCTACGACTACAAATCTCGAACAGATGACACTGAAATCACTCAGCAACGGGTAACTGCTGAGAAGATTACTGTCAGCAGAGAAGATAGAACTCAAATAGAGGAAACAGAAAAACCACGATATCCCAAAGATCTTGATATTGGACGTATTGTGATTGAAGAAGCTCCAGAGGAAAAAGAAGAAATATTGAAACGTGACGTTGTTAGGAGAGATGAGGTGAAGCCAAGACGTGAGGATATGAAAACTCCGTATGAAGCTGAAAAAGTTCCTGGAGTGCAAATGAGAGAAGAAATTATCAGAGTTGGCAAGCTTGATGTTACTGAGTACGAGAAAACACAAAAGGATTCAGAAAGAACTTACGTTGAGCGGTTGAGAAAAGACCAGAAGGTAAGTTGATGGAAAAACCAGAATTGTTAAAAACTCTATCATAGGCCGTTATTGATCTAAAAAACATTTCTATCTTACAGCCCAAATATGAAAAGAAAAAGGAAGAAAGAATTGATCATTATCGTCCGCAAGGCGAAGAATTTGACAAAGCCTATACCTACGACTACAAATCTCGAACAGATGACACTGAAATCACTCAGCAACGCGTAACTGCTGAGAAGATAACTGTCAGCAGAGAAGATAGAACTCAAATAGAGGAAACAGAAAAACCACGATATCCCAAAGATCTTGATATTGGACGTATTGTGATTGAAGAAGCTCCAGAGGAAAAAGAAGGAATATTGAAACGTGACGTTGTTAGGAGAGATGAGGTGAAGCCAAGACGTGAGGATATGAAAACTCCGTATGAAGCTGAAAAAGTTCCTGGAGTGCAAATGAGAGAAGAAATTATCAAAGTTGGCAAGCTTGATGTTACTGACTACGAGAAAACCCAAAAGGATTCAGAAAGAACTTACGTTGAGCGGTTGAGAAAAGACCAGAAGGTAAGTTGATGGAAAAACCAGAATTGTTAAAAACTCTATCATAGAGTCGTTCTTGATCTTGAAAACATATTGTATCTTACAGCCCAGATATGATAAGAAAAAGGAAGAAAGAATTGATCATTATCGTCCGCAAGGCGAAGAATTTGACAAAGCCTATACCTACGACTACAAATCTCGAACGGACGACACTGAAATCGCTCAGAAAAGCGTAACTGCTGAGAAGATTACTGTCAGCAGAGAAGATAGAACTCAAATAGAGGAAACAGAAAAACCACGATATCCCAAAGATCTTGATATTGGACGTATTGTGATTGAAGAAGCTCCAGAGGAAAAAGAAAAAATATTGAAACGTGACGTTGTTAGGAGAGATGAGGTGAAGCCAAGACGTGAGGATATGAAAACTCCGTATGAAGCTGAAAATGTTCCTGGAGTGCAAATGAGAGAAGAAATTATCAAAGTTGGCAAGCTTGATGTTACCGACTACGAGAAAACACAAAAGGATTTAGAAAGAACTTACGTTGAGCGGTTGAGAAAAGACCAGAAGGTAAGTTGATGGAAAAACCAGAATTGTTAAAAACTCTATCATAGGTCGTTCTTGATCTTGAAAACATATCGTATCTTACAGCCCAGATATGATAAGAAAAAGGAAGAAAGAATTGATCATTATCGTCCGCAAGGCGAAGAATTTGACAAAGCCTATACCTACGACTACAAATCTCGAACAGATGACACTGAAATCACTCAGCAACGCGTAACTGCTGAGAAGATTACTGTCAGCAGAGAAGATATGACTCAAATAGAGGAAACAGAAAAACCACGATATCCTAAAGATCTTGATATTGGACGTATTGTGATTGAAGAAGCTCCAGAGGAAAAAGAAGAAATATTGAAACGTGACGTTGTTAGGACAGATGAGGTGAAGCCAAGACGTGAGGATATGAAAACTCCGTATCAAGCTCAAAAAGTTCCTGGAGTGCAAGTTAAAGAAGAGGTTATCAAAATTGGCAAGCTTGATGTCACCGACTACGAAAGAACGAGAAAAGATGAGATACAAATAGTTGAAAGTCCACGAAAGGCACGTTTAAAAACCGTCCAAACCTCGGGGCAATTTATGTCATTGTCTAACATACACCGTTGCTCATTATGATTACGTGTCTTACATTGATTTTACGCCGCCATATTCCGATACTGATTCCAACATTTCAAGTTTTATCATAGAAATAGATAGAGGAAGATAAATTTATAAAATACAAGATATATAATGTTTCTCACTCTCTTTGTAGGTAAGAAAAGACTTGAAACCCAGCGAAAGTACCGTTGAATTATCTCAAGTGAGTGATGTAGATTTTGAAAAGTTGTCAGAGTTTAAGCCTTGTGCGGATGAAATTCCTCGTCAACAGGTGACAACCGAAAGAGTTGTTGTAAGTAGAAGGGATCTTAAACCATCAGAGAAACCAGAGAAACCTAAGTATAAGAAAGATCCGGATATTGGACGCATTGTGATTGAAGAAATTCCTGAAAAGGAAGAAACTCGAGAACGGGAGATTGTTCAGAAGGAGCCAGTCGACCCAAAGAAAATCGACATGACAGTGCGTAGACGTGAAGTTGATGAACGACCAAAGACCTATGCCAAAAGAGATGTTAAAGTTGGTAAACTTGATATGACCGAGTTGGAGCGGGAAACTATTGAATTAAGTCGACCATACGAAAGAATAAAAAAACCCATTGACAGGGAATGTGAGGTGAGAGAAGTTCATTTCTTTATAGGAATGTACTCGAATTATTTTGCCCATTAACGCCCTTGACATATACGTTCTCTAAACTGTTAGATGAAATATTTGACACCTGATTGTATTTTGTCACAGTTGATGGGTAAAAAACCAAAGAAAGAGAAAATTGATCAATATCGTCCGCAAGGCGAAGAATTTGACAAAGCCTATACCTACGACTACAAATCTCGAACAGATGACACTGAAATCACTCAGCAACGCGTAACTGCTGAGAAGATTACTGTCAGCAGAAAAGATAGAACTCAAATAGAGGAAACAGAAAAACCTCGATATCCTAAACATCTTGATATTGGACGCATTGTGATTGAAGAAGCTCCAGAGGAAAAAGAAGAAATATTGAAACGTGACGTTGTTAGGAGGGATGAGGTGAAGCCAAGACGTGAGGATATGAAAACTCCGTATGAAGCTGAAAAAGTTCCTGGAGTGCAAATGAGAGAAGAAGTTATCAAAGTTGGCAAGTTTGATGTAACCGACTACGAGAAAACACTAAAGGATTCGGAGAAAACTGATATTGAGCGGTTATGGAAAGGACAAAAGGTAGATTAGTTTTCCTCGAACGTAATAATTAGTTTTTATGAGTCATTAATGTCTTGGCGAAATGATGGCAGTATCTTGAAAGCATGGTCACATATAGTAATTACCCGAGTTCGTGCTATCACGAACAATAGTATGTTTGGATAGTTGCAAGTGCCTTTCTCCAACGTCAGTATGAAAACATTGTAACGTCAAGAACCTACACGAAAGCCAGTAATAAACACGAACGCCCCCAGAACACCCTGTCTCTTTATTGGTACACGGAACACAATCAGGCAAATCTGAATCACATTCATTGATACGTTTCTGTTACCACAACTGTCATTGCAATTTTATATTTTTCGCTGTAGCCAAAAGAAAAGCCAGACACTCAAACGACACGTCATAGAATCGAAGATGTAAGTTACGATAGAGACAGACCATACGACCGTAGATCTGCACGCTATGATGATACCAGATTCTATCATAAAGAAATGGACGAAAGAACAGTTAAAGTTCGTCGAGATGACGAAGCATACCGAGATGGTATACAGCGTGAGAAATATCCCGAAGATAAAGAGGTTATGTCCGAGGAAAAAATCCAGCTAGATATGCCAGGAGATATCTATCGAAAATTGGTAGAACAACCACGAATTACGGAAGTAGCGACTATGCAGTACGACGTTGAAGACGTTGGAAAATCCGACATTAGAGAGTTTGAAAAAAGAGTAGAACCGAAGACTTCCATACAGACAGACAGATTCAGAGAACCGCAAGAGGTTTGTTCATAAAAACGATATAAAAAATTTTTTCATCTTCACATTACATCTTTCGGACGTCTTTATTGGAACCGTATATTTGTTTGACACAATCGAAAATCTTATAATTTAAGGCAAGAAAGGATGAAAAACCAAAGGAGGAAAGGATTGACCATTATCGTCCGCAAGGTGAAGAGTTTGACAAAGCCTACACCTACGACTATAAATCTCGTACAGATGACACTGAAATTCCTGAACAGCAAGTAACCTCAGAGAAAATAACTGTCAGTAGAAGAGATATAACCCGTATGGAAAGGATTGAAGAAACAAGATACCCGAAAGATCTTAATATTGGACGTATTGTGATTGAAGAAACTCCTGAGGAAGAAGAAGAAATATCGAAACGTGACGTTGTCAAGAGGGAGGAAGTGAAACCAAGACGTGACGACGTACAGACAAAGGCTGCCAGAAAGCAAATGAAAGAAGATGTAGTTACATCCAGTAGACTGGATCCAAACAACTACACGATAACAGAGACACAGCCTGGAAAAGAAATGACTATTTATACTGAAAGATTAGGACAAGATCGCAAGGTAATGCAAGTCCTATCAGAATAACAATCCACTTTGATGCGTATTGACTGCACAAAAAAACGATAAACATCAGGATTTGTTGTTAGCGCTAAACAACGAGATGGGGTGTATCTCGTTAATACTTTTGCAGAAACTATTCTACACATTAAATCAAAGGTAATCAAACATAATCTTTTTCTTGCAAAGGGGGACAAAAGACCAAAGGAAGATAGTATCGCCCATTATCGTCCACAAGGGGAGGAATTTGACAAAGCCTATACCTATGACTACAAATCCCGAACAGATGACACTGGTGTAACTCAGCAACAAGTATCCTCAAAAAGAATAACCGTCAGCAGAGAAGATATCACTCGTTTGGAGAAAACTGAAGAACCAAAATATCCTAAAGATCATCATATTGGACGTATTGTTATTGAGGAAATTCCTGAAGAGAAGGAAGAACTTACTAAAGGTGAGCCTAGACGAAGAGACAAGGTTAGGCCAAGAAGTGAAGAGATAAAAACACGTTTTGAAGTTGAAAGAGGCGCAAGACCGCAAATGAGAGAAGACGTTATTAAAGTCGGTAAGATTGATGTCACTGACTACGAGAAAACACAAAGAGAAGTTGAACGAGTTGAAGAAAGAATTGGCTCAACGGATCGTAAGGTAATTTGATGAACTGACATAAACGCATTTGCACAGCCAGCTTTATATTTTAGAGGTGCCAATGTCGGTTTTTATGCCTGTAAACATAACCAATGTTTGAAGATAAAAATTTGCATTGCCTCTACGTATATATTGCACTAGTCTTGGTAGGCCAGTGTTTAAACGATCTCTTATTAAAATTGATATTCCGTCAAACTATAATGATCCTCCAACATTCAATTTATTACATAAACTTACTATTACGGAATCTACATGTCGATATGTCTTCTCTCTTACCAGCCAAGAAAGGAAAAATCATTTGATCCAAAAACGAAAGAAAGTTACTTTGATGAAACATGTGATGCAAGAAAGCCAGACGAACAAAGGCCTCGTTATGACGAAACTGAAATAACTAAAGGAAAGTTCGGAACAGAGAAGGTCAGTGTAATAAGAGCATACGATGATGGAAAAGTAGACAGAATGGAAAGACAGAAGTCGCCAAGAGATCATGAAGTTGGTCGCATTCTCATTGAAGAAACAGTCGAAGAAGTACCTAAAGAGTCGAGACAAATAACTGACAAATCTCAAGAAGAAACTACAACCTTCCGTAAATCTGCAACGGATATTCAAAGAAAAGGTGTGAAAGATATTAAGGAAACGCACATTTACAAAGAAGAAAAACGATTTGGGCCACGAGGACCTGAAGAGCAGTTCCTACCGGAGACAGAAAGACTGGATCATGTGAGAAAGGTAAGGTTGGCTGTAAGAAAAAAATGTTCAAAATGTACTTTCCTTATTAAGCGTGTTAGTTTCGTTTGACTATATTTCCACCTCTCAATATTCTCTAATCTGTGGACAGTAAAGATTTCGTTTTTCGTCAGTTTCTATTTCTTCACTATGAGAGACTCTAAATGGTGCTACTTAGCATAAAATAATTTTATATATTCTATTTTAAGGTTCGTAAAGATGAGACATCTGACGGTACATCTTTTGATCGTCGCGTTCTTGAGGATCTCGATTCACTGTCTCGAAAAGATCCGAAGACCTTTACAGATGATCCATTTGAACAAATGGAACATTTTCCAACTGAACGAATCAGTGTTAGCAGGAAAGATATTGCCAGGACAGAAGAACCAGAAAAACGAAGACTCCCGAAAGATCTCGACATCGGACGTATTGTGATTGAAGAAATTCCTGAGAAAGAAAAACTCCCAAAACGAGACGAACAACAAAGAGACCGCTCAAAACCAACGAAGAGGGGGGCAGTAGAAAAGAAAGAAATAACAAAAATGCCAAGAAAGGAAGTCGTAGAACACGATCCAAAGTTATACAAGGGAAATACACCACTGATTATGAAGAACGCCCTTGGGAAAGACGGTCAGTGGATGAAAGAGTTACAACATATACCGAGAGATTACGTCAGGTAATAAATATGGCAGTTGGCTGACTAGATGAGCGTAAAAGAAGAGATCCGTAAGATGCGGAAAAGAAGAAGTACATCTTAGATTATAATTTTACGGCCCGTTTTCACTAACTCTACGATTTTGGATGTTAATTTCGCCCTTTGATTTCGCCTCATCGCCCCTTGCATTTGTTTGCAAGTATAAACGATGCTTTATATAATCCTAAACTAAGAATCATAAGCACTAAGAATTAAAACATCGTTCACACGAGACCTAGCAAATTCAGAACCGTGCTCTAACTTGTCTGACTGCCTCCTCTGTATCGCATCTTCACAATGTGAATCAATGATCTAATGAATAAACTATTCTTTAGCCAAAACAAGATGACAAGCCAGACAGACGTGATACGGTTCCAAATTATATCGAAGACACAACTTACCTGAAGGAGATTCGTGGTCATCGCGAGCCAGGACGAGATGAACCTCTCGTAACCCAAATATCAACAGAAAAGGTATCCTTTAGCAGAACTGATGGAATCTCAAGAGAAGAGGCTAAACGCCATGATCATCCAAGAGAACAGCAAATTGGTCGCATTGTCATTGATGAAATTCAAGAGGAACCTGAAAGAATTGCAGAACATAAAAAAGTAAGGAACATCATGAAATAAATAACACTTGTTTTTGAAAACCTACTATTTATTTTTGAATAACCATTAAAATCTTTTAGAAAAAAAAACCGGTAGCAAAAGTAACTTACTAATAGGCTTACGGGCAGTTACTGCAGCTACTATAAAATGCACTTGCGAAAAACTGCGATTATATCTAATCACAATTCGTACAATCTTTTGACGGAGCCAGAAAGAAAAAAAACGTTGCCTAATCATTGGTTCCTGCCGGTGCTTCCGCTAAAATGCTTTTATAGACTATTCGACCATGTTGATGTTTTACAAAGCAAAATATGGTTAACCGGATGCAAGAGAAACATCTGAATCATAATCTATATTTTCAGGTGAGAAAAGAAGATCAACCCATGAAACGACAACCATGTCATCTTGAAGTGGAGGATGTTGAAACATTTGATCGACGATATGGCACAGAACCCCAAGAAGATGAAACTCCTCGTAAGCATGTATCTAGTGACAGAGTAACCATCCCCAAGTACGATGCTACCAAACAAGAGAAAACAGAAAGACGGAAACATCCTAAGGATGTTAACATTGGTCGCATTGTGATTGAAGAAGTACCAGAAGAAAAGGAACGCACGCTAATAAAAGAACCCCGAGATACCCAAGTAATGATTTCTCGGAAAGAAGTAAAGGATATCCTCAAAGCCACGAGATGAAACAATCAGGGTTGGTAAACTCGACTTGCGTGATGTTGAAAAAGAGATCTTGGAATCCAGGAAAACAAAGGAAACATTGATAACGCATTCAGAGCGAATAGATCACAGTCGCAAGTTCGTGACAGACCAACACATTGCGGAAGATACTAAGATTGATATCATTGACGAAAGGATGCAGATGGATACACGACCAAAAGATCAAATTAATATCGGCACTCAAAAGGCAACAGAACCTCGTTTGATAACAGATAAGATTGACGGAGGACAGATAATTGACGAAAAACCTGAAGAAAAGAAAATATTTGATCCATCATTGGGTAAGGTTCCCTAAGGCTTTTTTATGTCTAACTTGATTTTTGTCTTCGGATGGTTTTACGAGCAAGATTGACTAGTATGGTTACAGGTTTATTTGAATGCTAAAATTTAAATCAAATATCTTAATAAAGGTCTGGATGCTCCTCGTGGACACGAGTTTGTCACGGATTCTGTTTGGGAAGAAAGCATTAAACCCTTAGAGGAATATCCCAAGGAACCAGAACAAACCGAAAAAAAAGATGTGAAGTCAGAAGCTATCACTATAACCAAAGATGACCGTTCTAAAGTCCAAGAAAACGTCCGTGTATCTTTACAGAAAATGGAGGCGCACGAGAAAAAGGAGGATGTTAAAGTCCGAAGATTCAAAATAGACGAGTCGCGTGACGTTCATGGTGTAAAGAAACTCAAGGAATCTGTGAAAGAAAAACAGAGTAAGGAGAGACCTCAAAAAGCAGAACAAAAGCAGAGAGGAAAACGGGAGGAAAAACCAAGCAGAAAACCAGAGGAAACGAAGCAAGCCAAGCCAAAAGATTTAATCGAAAAGCAAACACAAACAAAGGAAAGAATTGACGAGCGTGACAAGAAAATAGCGTATTATGAAAAGAAGGAAAGAGAACGGTTACAACGAGCACACGAGAAAAGACGATATAAAGAAGAAAGATATCATATGAAAAAAGCTTCATCAGATCCATGGATCCATACCAGAAGACATGAACAACAAGCACCGACTGAAATAACTGCGACACAAGAGATTCGCGAAGACCCGCGAAGGTAGTGTGTTATCGATGATACATACTATATAAAATTTACTAATAAATTATTACATGTTGCACGAAATTCTTTGTAACATGAATATTAGAAAATATTCAGAAACCATAAATAATTTTCATGTTCTCTTCGTCTATTTTAATAGCAGCTATTTTGATGGAAGATACGAAACAGAAGTTCGTGGAAGGTCGGCGACTCTACCTTGGATTGAAATTCGCAAACGAACCGAAGCCGAGAAAGAACGAAGTTTAGTAAGCAGAAAGAGTCGCCATGGCTACCAGTTAACACAAGAATCCACAGGGCGAGATCGTCTCCTTCTTTTAAAAATACCACAGAAGATGTTCATCTCCATGCAAAATGGCGAGCAAAGCAAGGTAAAAGAGATAGATATTCCATGGATGGAGATAGAAGCAACTCCGGATCATGACAGCGAGGCATTACCGTGGGTGGAACTGGAAGCTCATGATCCAAAAACGGGAAGAGATCGTCTCATCATGTTGAAAATACCCAGAGATATGGTCCTCAAAACATCCAAATCATCCAGGAGTTCAGAGCGTGAAATACAACTTCGCTGGAATGATGTCACCAAGTATTTTGAAGAGACTGGTCAAATTCCTCTTGGTTCGTCCGTGCGTATGCGACTTAAACACGAACCTACTGTTAGTATCACGTTACCACGAGAGGCAAACACCAGTCGTTACCAGTCAACCTCGCAGCGCACAGTCTCTCACGAAGGATTACCCACAATTCGCCTGATGATGCCTAAAAAATTTTATGCAACAGGATCATGGCAGGATGGACCGCTGATCAATTACAATCCTGATCGGCGCATCAAGTTGCGAGTCAACCAACAATCTAACTCGAAAACCGTTAATGAAGACGTGCGCACAATTCGTTTGAATGAATACGACAGGAAGACCAATTACACGCCAGTAGCGTTAACACGTGATTCGCCTCGTCGTGTTTTATTGGCTGATGGCACAACTTGGAAACGACTGGATGTTAGTGATCTCCGAGAATTAGACGAAGAGACTGGTCAGTGCAATCCTAGTCGATTCCGTAATGCTTACGAAATTGGAAAAGAATCAGAAGCCCATAGTTTTCCAGATCTGCGTAAGTTCTCTAAAGAAAATGGCGGAACAAGTCGCGAAAATCCGAAAATATTCAGCTTCTTTATTCATGGCAACAGTGACAAAAGGTGATTGGTATAATTTGGAAAGTGTGACTATGAGCATACATCGTCTTTTATGCGTCTTAAAGCCTATTTTGTTTTTTAATCGTACATCATTTACCATGGCATGGCGTATGCATGACTATGGTAGAGTGTTTTAAAAGTTTAGCACATTTATCTAGATAATAACGTATATATATAGATTAAACACATTATATCATACATAACCATATATTTGCCGATTATACAGATTTGTCAGGATTGCGGTGCAACAAACGTTTTACCAATATGAATTAGTACGAATCTGTAATTAACTAAAGAGTGATTATTTAAAAGTAGATAAAGGATAAAATACACCAATAAAAAACAAAAATATTTATGAGTGCGTGATATGAGGACAACGACAAGTTATAGCAGTGTGGATTATGACTTTTTTATGGGATATATCGTGTGTATTACAGGGCATAATGTTATATTTGATGTATTAGAATAAATATTTGGTTTCTAATTAAAGTTTATATCGTACGTTTGGTTGATCTGTTTTCCAAAAAAAGGGAACTTGTGAAATTAAAACAAGATAAATGCGACAGGTAATATTTCGGACCAGGTGCATGACCATTCTAAAAACATAACAATAACTTTGATATTCAAGTGTTTGTTTCATTATAGACTTGAATTAGCTTGGACGATTGTATAGCGTAATTTTATACCGACCTTGCACGATTTTTATTGTTCATTTCATACCGTTCGTGCCGTTCTAAAACAGCTACAGAACCACTTCTACCAAACACACCTCTTCGAGACATTTTTAGGTTTTAACAAGAATGATCAATGTCTACATGTATGATGAATACTGAATATGCCATGCTGTCCCAATATATACTCTTGTCTAGTTTATGATAACAAACTGACAACAATCCTCGGATGCATAGTTATCACTTAATTCACTCACTCATATGCATATACCAATTATTGCAGTTTTAGGTAAAAAAATTTTTAAAAAAAAATAGATAAAAAAATTTTTCTTCCAGAACATTTCAGCAATGAAGCCTGGCTTCATGTAAAAGCAGTAATTATATTAACTGAGTTAAAGTTACTCTCACGCACTTCAAAGACGTGTGGGTTTGAGGAGATGATCAATATATTAGTTTAATTCAAACTTCGAGCAACGGTGATATATAGATACTGATTTAATCACGAGCACATATGCATAAACTACAGGAGTCAAGGATCCAGACTGTTGACATTGTAGAACATAACGTCGGGTCAAATCGACCAAAATGAGATTATGATGCTGAACCATCTATAAAAATCAATACAATTTAACCAAATTTTCTTGTGACTGTAGACATTTTTTGAAAAGTATTTCCGCTTATTTGAAAATCGCCTCGCGAGAACAGAGAGATAATTATCAGGCCGCTAGCTTGTTTCTCATGTAAAACAAACTCCCAGTACACAAAGTATGCTGAATATGCATGTGAATATTCACGAAGACAGTCTCCAGCAGAGAGTGCAGTAAACAGAAATAACGTTAAAACTATCAAACTTTCTCTAATATCAACTTCAAGATTGGAGACTGTATGGACAATAGCACTTTTCAAAAATCCTAGTCAACTAATAGCCTATATTTGACAAGTAGAGTTAGCTAATTTGTTTCGAGTTCGCGTTTCTGTTGCTTTCCTTTCAAACCTTTTGCTTTGTTGTGGAATGGTAATTCGTTTCGCATGATTGTCACTGATATGCAGCGTAATTACAACACAGCGCATTCCAGATTCTGCGAGTCCAAACAAGCGGCATGAACATGTAATGCTATGTAAACCACAACCAATTTTGTCGAATAACATTCAATCATTCTATACCACTGTTTAAAAAGCTACCCGAATGAAGGATACTAATGGTGTCTTAAATTAAGTGACTCTCAAGAGGGTTGAACGAATGACAAGTGTCGCTCTAATGGCTAATTCGTAATTCATCAACTCTTTGTAAGTAAAGACGTTATAAAGTAAAATAGAAACCCAATAATTTTCATTTTTAACTGTCTAATAAAATGATATAGTAATGTCAACTTGACTTGAACGCTCAAACTTTCATTTCAATGAAACAAATACTGTAGTGGATGTAAAGTTTTTGAAATGCAATTATGATTTCCCCGATAAACCCCGATAGGAATGTAGTTCGCACAAACCATTAGTATTACTATTATTATAATATATACTGCTTATATAGAATATTAATTTAGTTACAGAATATGTTTGCCCTCAGAAAACCATTGGCAATGGAGCCGTATCTTAATTCATATATATCTGTATACACACCTAATATAAACTTGTTCTCCATGGACAGCTGTCAAAAACTATATGTATAGATAATGTCAGATTTGAGCGACACCATAAGTGATATAATATAGGAGCTATCGGGTTTTATAGACCTATTTAATTAGAAAAGAGAGTGCATGCATCAAACTATAAGCAATCGTATTATCACTGACAATTCTGCTGGGTGCCTGAGTAATATAGAACGTGCTATTTAAAATAGATATATTTCTCATTTAAAAACTAGACGTATATCTTTATATATATATAATACATCCTTCATCATTTGTATACTGCACACATTTCTACGTTGAGAACGAATTACGAAATTTTGCATGAATATCTTATAGTAAATAACTTACTGCATAAAGTTATTATAATTATATTATATGTTCATCGATAGATGAAACGTCATTTCAATCCCCGCAAAAGAATTAACGCGGTGGTAGAACTAAACTAAATTATTTTTTCCTAAAAACAGGACATTTTGAGCAATAATCAAGTATTGCAAGAAATTTGAAAACATATTTCACAAATGAAATTGTATGGTTTAACAATTACATTAATTGCTATACATAATCAAACAACGATACGTCGGTAGGTTTTCAAAACCAGTTTGATAAATTGTCCTAATTCAATAATTGCATGATTGACGTATACAGAGTCATTTTCATGATGTGCTGTTCCTTTTAAAAATGAAAATCATCAAAATACATCGACCCACTGATACGATGAATGCACCAAAACATTGAATGAACGACAAGGAATTGGAGCAAAATATAGAAATTCGAATATTTAAAAAGTGAAAAACTGAAATTTCTATCAAAAATCACTGAATATCGGTTCTTTTCGACTGAACTGAACTGGTAATACCTGATACATTCAAGTCATGAAAGGTCGCGATAAATACATTAAAGGAATGGAAAATATTTTCCGCGTTATTATACATAAAGTAGATTGTTTTTTCTTTAAGACAAAAGACTGCTCAATCAGCCTCAATGCAAAGAACGTATAATTATATAGTAAACATTAATAAATGCAAACAAAACTCTGAACGTATACGCAATATAGGTATCGCTAGGCTACATACGACTATTGTTTACCAAGCTCTTAGTATTAAACTATTCATGTATACTGGAAGAAGAATAAATAAGCTATAAAAATTTATCTAACATGCAGAGATTTGTAGAAAAATCTGTATTCACTGGAATTCACTGGAATTTAATTTGAACATGCAATAGTTAATTATTTAAGCAAGGGTCTATTGCAGGTCAAAATTTTTATATTGATGATCTAAAAAAAACAAATATGAGCGTTTAGCAACTGACATTTAGGGTATCCTGCTAGGATATTCACATCATCAGATATTCCGTTTCGTTTTCAAATATTTGTTAACCAACCAGTGAAACTGACCGAATGTTTCCAGCATTAACTTGTATTACAAATGATTACATAGGAAGACTGTAATGTCACAACACATTGGGCGTAAATAAAAGTCTGAAATAATGGAAGAATCGGGAAACAAGTTGTCTAAACAAAGACGACGCAGAAAAATTTTAATGCAAAGCGATGACGAAGATGATGGCACGCCGAGCAAAATTCAAAGTCTTATGCCGAGTGAATCGACATCCTTCAGCGAAGTAGAAAGAAGCGAGAGTTCATCTTACACTCAAAGAACAATTTCTAACTTCGCTTCAACGGCGCAAAGTAAAACTACCTCTATCAGCAAGACGTCATTCTCAAGCTTCAGCGAATTTGAAAAATCAAGCTTCACTAGTTCAAGTCACGCTGACAAGCATGAAACAAGCTATGAAAACTTCAGCCAAAGCAACGAAAGCAAAACTGAAAGCTACAGGGACCAAATCATGACCGAAAGCACATTCTCAAGTTACAGTAGAACCGAAAAATCATCGACGGTGCACAAAACTCAAAGTGGTGAACTCCCTGCAACTGGTGTCCTCGAATTAAGTGGTATTGGCGAGACTGGAGGCAGGTTGACTGAGAGGGATATTAAGAGTTTGCGTCCAAGACTAGGCCACATTGACCAAAGAGAGTGTGTTCGTCATGACAATGATAACAGATCCAGAGAAGACAGAGATATTTCCATTGTTGATACTGGAAAATCTCATACTTATCATGACATATCGATTAAAGAAGGGCACTCAAATAAATCTGATGAAGCTTCAAGTGAACACACCCGTTTTAAAACTGATTCAGAAAAGTATTCCTACTCAGACGACGAGAATACAAAAGTTGACTATGATAGAAGTGAGCATCATCAAGTAACAGAACGAAGAGGATTTGTTTCATCAGAAGAGCTACTCTCTATTCTTGGTGAGAACGTTCGTGGGAAAGATAATCTTTCGCAAAGCAATTTCAGGAAACACGAGACACACACTAACCTCGACGAATTATCAGGCAGAGACGTAGAATTAAGTCCTGAGACTGAAGAAGAGACAAAATTCAAACTTCGATCAGATGAGCCAGACGAGATGTCTGAAATGGACGAAGCCAACATCAGAAATCGAATTCTACTTATGCGAGCAGGCACTGGACACCAATATATTGAAACTTACCCTGATGACAATCAATCTCAAACCGTACATTCGGTACACAGTGACCAGGGAGATTTAAGACAACCCGGTATGCCGGCTAAAGCTCAAATGCAAGTCAAAGCAGAGCAACGTTCAGACGAGACTGATGCATTCGCAGATGGCGTTTCGGAGACACCCCGTCGTGACGTTTTTAGGGGGATTGAATCGATAGAAACGAGCGACATTCACAAGAATCGGGAGGAAGACACTGTTCAAGAAGACACAGCTGACGGCGTATACGCAGAAATCGACACAGAGCGAGAAAATGAAGACCAAAAATTCGTAACTTACACCAGTCAAGAAGAAACAGAAACTGCACGTGAAACGCAAGATAGGCGTAGTTCATTTGGTAACACAGAGGATCTTGTTTATGCATCGGATATACCAATTAAACAATCCGAATCTGGCAATGTTTCTGAAGAAATCATAACGATTCAAACAGGAATTGTTACATCTACGGAATTAAGTCAACCTATGGCCCAGACAAAAGAGTCTGACGTTCCCCAAAAAATGGTTGGATCAGACGAAGTAATCATTATTCATGCAGTACCTATTAGGTATGAAACGAGACTACATAATGCCATTTTAACTTGGCCAAATGAACAACGTCAACAAACAGAAGACAAAGAAGTAAAAGCATTTGAAACAACGCCGTATGAAGTTAAACATCACGACACAAAATTTGAAAGATCACCAAAATTCGGAAGCCTGTTGTCTTATGCCCCGCGACCTTATCAAAAACCAGCAAAGGAGACGTCGCTTGAAATTCGGTCACAGTCATACTACATACAGCCTAAAGAAAAGCCACTTAACGTTCAAGCTGAGAGAAAATCGCAGGATATTCCGCAACCTTACGAGACTCCACCACGTGAAGAACCAGACGAACAAAGTTGGTATGAATCTCATCAGAATGAGGATCAGCCAAATTACGATTTACGTCGCTACGAACAGCAACCTGATTTGCCACCAGGGAAAAAACTGGAGGATATGCCACAGTCTTTCGAGACACCGCCACATAAAGAACCAGAGGAACTACCATTGTATGAATCTCACCTTAAAGATCAATCAAAATCAGAGGTGTCTGAAAATTTGCAACGATCCTTCGAGAAACAACAACATGAAGAGCCAGAGGAACTGAGGTTGTACGAATCTCATCCCAACGAAGATCAACCTAACTTCAGCTTACATCTTTCTGAACGGCCACCTGATGTGCAGCTTGAGAAGACGCCCGGAGACATGAAACAAACTTTGGAAACTCAACTACATGTTGAACCAGATGAATTAATGCCGTATGAACATAATCTCGATGAAGAGCAACAAGGAGATGATTACGAACAGCCTGAAGACACACCTGCTGGGCAACCATACGAAAAGCTGGGAAATATTCAACATCCTTATGATACACCACCATATGATGAAGAAGAAGATGAACTGAGGTTGCATTACCCTGATCTTACAGTAAACACTCCACCGTACGGTGCAGAAACATATGACGAACCTTCCAATAAAGACAAACTGGACCCGGAAGAAATAGAGCCGCACGTCAGTTATCCTTATGAATTGCATTCTGAAAAGATGGGCTTTGATGAAACAGATGGCGATCAAGAGGAACCAACCACAACCACAACCTACGAAGTTCTAGCACACGACATACTGCCGATGTTCACCGAAGAAGCTGAAAAAAATTATCTACTTGAATCCCAGCCTCATGAATCAAGTCCATTAAATGAACAACAGATATCACCAGAAATTCCGAAATACGAAGATGACTCACGTGATCGACGTGAAGAAGCAGGTCCACATAAAAGTAATCATGATACTAACATTCAGCCACTTTTGACTGAAAATTTCCAATACTCTGACAAAATACCAGTGAGAGAAATCCCGGATGAAGAACGAACTGACGAGACGACGCCACAAAATACAGAACTATTTGAATTACCGACTAATAAAATTCAACCACTTGAAGACGCAACACAGCAACTGAAGGACACTGAATATGCAGAACAATCAACAAGACATGGAAGTGTCAGGATCGTGGATACCAGCAATGAAAACAAACCCCGATTTGATGAAACCGATCCAGTTTCGGTGCAACTTGGCCAAGCAACAGATGAGGTCGCATATTTTGAACTTGAGGATGCAGATTCGAATGATGAAATGACATTTGAACAGATTTTAGTCTTTGATGAAAAAAATGGGAACATGAATGATGGAGCACATTCCGAGACGGTGCTTGGTACAGAAAATGTTATTGATCCGCAACATACAACGTACAGGGTAACGCAGACAGAGGAGAACGAGCAAGGTCAGGAACAAGCGGAATTTGGGGAAGTCGACAAATGCACGGCAATGGAGGTGGAGCAAACGGAATCTTACAATGTAGAAAGCCATGAAATAAGAACATTTCAAACAATGTCATATGAATCCATACCAGACGATATGCAACAACAGGAATTACAACCATTCGAATCACAGCCAACTGAAGAACAGTCAGATGATGAAAATGATATGCTATCAGAGGACAATTATAGCGCTGGATCTTACAATCTGGAACGTCGTACAATAAGATACTATGAAACAATGCCGTTCAAATCACGAGACATCATCGTACAAGCTCCACAAATACAGTCATTTGAGCCCGAGAAGGTTGAAGTGCAAGATAATGAAGTGCCACCGACAAACATGTCACACGAAACGAAACTTTACCAAGTCGAAAGGAGTGAGATAAGATCTTACGAATCCCAGCCATACAATATACAGACGCAAGAACAACCCTTTTCCGAAAGCCGTCAAATTGAAGCGCAATCAATAAATGACCAGGATCCAGAAGACATTTTAAGTGATACTGAACCTTACGATATCAAAAGATACGAGATAAGATCGTATGAACAAACTTCAAATGAAACAGAACCATCCAGCGTGTACCCGGGTCAAATGAATGCTTTGGGAACTCAGACTAGTGAAAAGGATCAACTGCAAGACAACCACGACAATGACGATGACAGATTGTATGAAACTGAAGCATATGATGTGGAAAAACGTGAAATTAGATCGTTTGAAACAACGCCATATGAAGCACGAACATATGGAATGCAACAAAGTGAATTACAGCATTATGACGTTGATCCACAATCGCAAAAGTACATTGATGATAAATATGTCACTTCAACATCAGATAGCGACGAGCATGACACCAACGCTGAAATCCAATCAATCCCAGAATCACCTTCGCGAAAAAGAAAATATTCCAAAGGTGAAGATCCAAACGATTCTGATGAAGATTCATCGATTGCTCTACACGTGCCAATAAAAAGAAGAATTAGAATAACAACATCCAAACCGTCGCCTGCAATAGCTGAAACACGAGATACGAGGATGGAAAAAAGTGGGTCCAAAAGTGTTTCTCCTACACGTGAAGACAGACCAAAAGAAAGTCAAGTTGAAGAACACATATCTGCCAGCAAAAGAGATGTTCTACATAGCTCGCAAGATCAGCTCGACCAAGTCTTCGATGTAATGGAATATGAAAGCTGTGATAACAAAGAGCAATATCCACAAAAACCACAATCCCAATCCTGTGACGAGTTCACACATCATCATGATACAGACTTAGAAATGCCGGGATATCCAAGCGATACAAACGTCCACAAATACCGAGTTGATTTTCATATCCAATTATCAGCTTTCGAAACCAAGAAACCACTAAAATCTTGGAAATCCGAACCAATTCTGAACGTCGTCGATTCGACTCAAGATGATAATAGTCGAAAACCATGGCGTTCAAAGTCGATGAATTTTGAGAAGAAAATCCCTAAACAAAGCAGCGTCGTTATTGAACTACAAAAGCCTGAAAGACCTCCTCTTGTTCCAGCATATTCCACTGATAATCTTCCGTTTGAAACAGTTATTAGAAATGAAGTGAGTGTAAAACTAAAGAACAAGCGCAGGAGGAGTTTTCCTTCCGCAGAAGTACTTGATGATTACCACGATGATGAACCCGTTGAACCATCCTATCAAAACATAGAAACAGAGGAAATTGAGCGAAATGATGTACAGCTTACAGAATCTTTTGAGACAGTTGATACATTCTTTGCTGAAAATTTCGATGACAAAGTGAAAGAAGATCCTGCATACGACAAAGATAACGAACCTGAGTATGAAGAGCCCATGGAAAATGAACTCGTGAGACCATTACCTAACGGCATGCAAACAGAAGAAATTAAGCGAAATGATGTACAGCTCAGTGAATCTTTTGACACAGTTGATACATTTTTTTCTGAACATTTCGATGACAAAGTGGAAGAAGATCCTGCATACGATAAAGATGTCAAGCCTGAGTATGAAGAGCCCATGGAAAATTCGGACCAATCCCTTCTAAAAAGGAGAAATGTGAGTACCACACATTACTGCCTTAAATTAGGTAACCAGTGTCAAATCACCTAAATACAATTTTTCAGATAATCAATCTCATCTGTGCTCCATGTTAATGACAGATAATCCTATGAACATGACATTGTCCATGACTAACGGAGTGAATTAATCTAGTGACGATGCTATTCTGAGCAAGAAACCGGATAAGCTTAAAAATTAGTTTGACTAAGGCGGCTAGTTTTTCAGCTAATTTTCCAGCTTGCCCGGTTCGTTACTTAGAGTAGTAGCTACTATCATGATCTGCCAATCTGACAAGTTTATAGCGACAAATTACTGCTAATCACTACTGCCGGTATTGACTGTTCATTACTGACCGCAATAAGCAATATTTTAACGATTAAGAAAGTGGTCATCTTAGTATCGTCCACAAAAAAAATCAGATTGGCCATTTTAAAAAAAATTCAATTTCTCGACTTTATCTGGTGAAGTTTCACGTTTCCAGATATATTTTCTTTATTATTCTCGTTAAAAATTTAACTTCCTGCAATAAAAAAATTCTTGGAAGTGAAGGTCAAACTGTCTGACCGGACCAAAACAAAGTGAAACTAATATTCATTTTATATTTTAAAATGGCGAGACTAAACGACTCTTATATTCGTCTAAATGTCGGTGGGAAAGTAATGATTACGGAACGATCAACCTTGTGTCAAATTAAAGGTTCAAAGCTCGCTATGATGTTCGGTGAAGCAGCAGAACACCAACTTGATCACGACGAGAAAAATAACATCTTCCTAGATCTAAACCCAAAGTATTTCGGCATTATATTGAATTATTTACGTGCTAAAATAATACCACAGCGAACAAAGGTACCTTTCCCAAAACTTAAACCGGAAGAGGCCAGATTATTTTTTGATATGGTGAAGCAACTAGGCCTGGATAATGAGTTCTCGTTAAACATAACAAAATTCACGCTGCACGGTACTTGGATAAATATACAGGATAAAAATTCTGTAGCAACACACAGTGGACATAACCGAGGTGTTGGGTATGCCTTGAGTGATATACATCCGAACGGAATCATGCGCTGGGAACTCAAAATAGAAGCTATACAAAGTGAAATGTTTATCGGAGTATTAAAAGCAGATACTGAACCGTATGATAATCGGTCTTATGACATGAAAGGCTCATGTGGATGGTTACTCAAGGTCGGTGATGATGTCATTGGCAGTTCGTGGAGTGATGGAAGAAAAATTTATAACCTGATCAGTGATGTCCGTAATGAAGATGTAGTGGAACTTGTACTGAATAGCGTTGCTGCAAAGTTGTCGCTGTTTCTATCTCCTGTCAGGGAATTTCATATTTTCTTACCAAACTCGCAGGGATGGAGACTGCATGTAAACCTGTTTAAACAAAATGATATGATAAGAATACTACCGACTTAACTCTTGATTATACTCACTAATTGACAAGTCTCGAAACTAGAGCGTGCGATATTTAAATAACCAGCGAGTAAACAGCGTTAACTAACGAGTAATTACGAGTTAGGTTAATTAACCAATAATTATTGTCGAACATTTTCACTATTCTATTCTCAGTCTGAACCGCAGTACAAGAATATACTTCCGGTTATCTTCCAAGAATTTTAACGAATTCGGAGAATTCAGAAATAAGTACATATTGTTAGTATTATTTAAAATTCTGTAGTCTGTATAGATGAATATTGGTTTAATAAACCAAACCTATATCGGCTATATGCCATACAGACTTTTGAATTAAGTTTAAACCTTGTTATAAGTACTGAACTACACAGCTTAAATTCAAAGTGCGTTTCACGACACCGGAATAACAAGACTCTTGACTTGGCGTTGATTTAGGCTCGGTATAAAATAGCCACTGATAATGGCAGAAGAGGATTACATCATATATTTGAACGTCGGTGGTACAAAAATGGCCACTAAAAAGTCCACGTTATGTCACGTTGACGGGTCTTTCCTTGCGTCCATTTTCAGTGGACGTTGGGAGGATAATATTATGCGTGATGAGGATGGTCATGTTTTCTTGGATTATAATCCCAAACTGTTTGCTCTTGTGCTCGACTATCTTCGTGCAAAGAAGAATGAGACGCCAAACAAGCCTGCATTACCACCCCCAGTGTCTTTGGATGACAGCGTGAATTTCAGGAGTCTCGTTGATTACTTGGGCATCGAGTCAAATACCGGGAAAATGTACGCGAACGAAGGTACGGATGGCTGTGACGATGGTCGAAAACAGTTCTGTATGTCCAGCGAAGGTATTGCGCTTAAAGAAGATGGGACTGTTGCCGTGCATGAAACGAGCACAAACTGTCATGAATTTGTTATTGGGAAAGATGTGTTCATTGCTGCTGACGATGAAAACGAAGTTCGATGGCGATTCATTCTTCGGTCTGCGCAAGAAGATTGTAAACTATTTGTTGGTGTGTTAGACACGCAGTACAGGGATAGTGGCGTATCTGAGTCGCTAACACAACGTGCGAATTATACTTACACACCACCAGTATATGAATGGGAAGGATCGTATGGTTGGGTGCTAGGAGAGAATTTGAAGACTTGCTCAAATGGACATGTGTTAAATCCTTCCACCTATGGTGTTCTTGGTAAACAAGGTGACACAATAGAGCTGCATTTGAAAACAACGAAGTCCGACATTTTTTCAAGTACAAAACTTTCATTACATATCCACCCAACGGATGTAAAACGATTTATTTCACTGCCCGATTCTCAATCTTGGCAGTGTGTCATTGGTTCATATTATGCTGGTGACTGTATTCTGCTGAGTTCTTAGAACTAACCTGACAATTGTGATACAGTGAGCCATAATTCCTGGATATATCCAGAGAATGTAGATGTAATAATTGTAGCAGCTTTAACTATTATCAATTAATTATAAAGTTTAATTATTAAAAAATAATAAAAAGTTGCCTTTTTTGTTTCTTTCCTTCATAATATAATATAATGCATATAATCGTTGGACGCTATGTGGTTGATCAATCCGTCACATGAGTCGGTTGGGCAGATTGCGTGGCAATTATTCTCTAGCCTAAGAGTCAGCCCTCCCATAGTTAAAATCATAGGACCAAAATGTTTTCATTCCCAGCGTGAACAAACATAAAGTGGTGCATTCGCTGCTAAATCTGAGCACTGACTTTAACAGGATTGTCAAACTGTCGTGGTTGAAATTAAGTTGAAACTACTACAACAATGGTAGTAGTACAATAGCCTGTTGTCCTTATTACTCAAAGAAGAGGTGTGGTACCATAGTTCGAGGGTAATAGCTTCTATCTAAGGCATTCGCTGAATGGCCAAAAAACGAAGCATGAACAAAAACAAAACTCCGTCTCACTCTCTATAGTGGTAAATATCCAAAACTAGCAATTGATTGCTCAGAATAACTTCGATTGATAACAATATAAAATCCCCAGTGTCATGTAAATTACATGCCTTCGTCCTGATATTTCCATGATAAAATTTCCTATCTTTATATTTGTACAGGATGATCTACCCGCGTTGGATGAAAAGAAGCCTAGAAAATCTCGCCTAAACGTCATACCCTTAACAATCAAACCAAAATTATTTAGGGAAGAACCAACTTATGCAGCCGTGAAACAACAACACTCATCAGATGTTACCTTCAGTCGTTTAGAGTCTGGACCGAGCTATGAATTGCATCATGCTGTAACTTCTGAAAAACCACGAACTGATATTATTATTGAAGAAGCTTTACCAGATCAGACAACTACATGGTCTCCAGAACAACAGCCAAGGCAATTTTCAAAAACAACCGATCATCCTACAAGCACGAATAAGGTAAATATATTCTTTAATAATATTATAGACTACAAATCAGGCGACTTCAAGACTTGAGGCATTACCTTTTTCGTTATAACTTTAGCAATAATGAATAACAATAATGAATATTATAATTTATGGCCAATAATGAATACATTTCTTAATTGAAATAGAGGTTTGAGCTCTACATTGATAAAATAACATGACTGCGTATTGATTAGCCGCATAAAAATTTGATTTTTTCAACTGTAGGAAGAAATCAGTGAAATTGATGATGACTTCAAAGATGAAGCCAAACTAGGCACACAGAGCCAAGAGTATCCAACACCAATTGAACCAGTCCCTGATACATCTGAAAAATTGAAACCCGAAAGATCAAAAAAACGGCGGCACAAAATTCTTGATACAACAGACTTCGACGAATCTACAAATAACGATGAGCTGTTTGCTGCACCTGAAATTGACGCTTTGGAGGACGAACCTAGTCATTCGAATGAAAAGTCAAAACCGTTCAATGTAGCAAGCTATTTGGATGACGACGACACTGACGAGGTATCCAAAGATCAATATTATGGACAACCTGATAGAATTGCTTACCCTAATGAAGGGTTTCGCAAAACTGATCAACCACAAACGTTTTCTCAAAATACCGATGACTTGAACGAACCTCTCGGAGAAAAAGATGAAGATGTTCCTTTAGATGACACTGATGATTTCTTGGCAAAGCAGGAATTGCATTCTCCAATAGATATAAATCAGTATCTAGGAGACACGGAGAAGGTAGAAAAAAGAGCAGACAACGAAGAAATAGAACATTTAGCACCAAATGAAACATATGAAGCAAATGAAGATATAAAAAGGTTGATCGAAAAAGTATCAGATGATGAAGAGGAGCCAGTGAGGCCAATAGTCCCACGACAAACAATCCAGGTTATATTGATTGATGAGACAAAGAAAAAGAAGAAAAAGAAGTCGAAGAAAGAAAAACATCCAGATGTCGAGGTCACTAAAGAACATATGGCAAAGGATGATGAAACACACCAACTCACTATTGTGGAAACGACGCAGCCTGTTGAGGAAAAGAAAGAGCGAGCGACTACAAAAGAAATAGCGGTGCAGACGATGCCTGTCCCGGATGATATTGATAGTGAGGATGATTCTGACCAAGAGATTCTTCAGTACCAGCCTTACCTAAGAGGAGGTTACCTAATACAAACGATACCAGAAGAACAAGAAGATGAAAGTCCAATGTCTACCCCAGTTTACAGCGATCTCACTTCACCCGACGATCAGAGTGATTTCCTATTCAGGGCTATTCGCGATCATGAACAAACTCCTGGTCATCCTTATCAGATGAAAGAAAAACAGACTTACTTTGATGCTTCCGTTTTGCCTGAAAAATACCTTTCAGATCCTGTTATTACCCAAAAGCAAGCAGAGCCGGTAGAATTATCTCCACAGGTTTACGAGGAAACAAGCGACGACATAAGAACAAGAGAGCCGGAACTATGGAAGAGTGAATTCCCGCCAGCGGAATACAGCGAACCTTCTGACGAACACGTCTACTACCCTGACGATGAAGACGTGGGTTTTGAGTTCGACATGTCAAGCGAAGAGACGGAAAGTTTTCCTACAAATGAGACAGAACACCTTTTAAGAACAACGTACAAACCAAGATTCCAGATACAAGATTTTGTGGAGGAAGACAGAAGACGAAACCAACCTGCAATCCAGGCGCCACCAAGTAAGAAGCACAAAATATCATCACCACAGTCGCCATCAGATGATACTCTTTTAGAGGTCGATTTATATCAGAAAGAAGAAACCATCAAAGTTCAAAAGCACTATCCAAATCGTAAAGAAGACGATGTGAGCGAAGGAAAAGATGTTCAACCAGCTTATCATAAGGAATTCCAGACAAGAGCAGATAAGGCAAAAACAAACGATAATGTCGAAGGTCAAGAATCAAGACCGAGGAATGAAATTGTGGATCATAATCGCGAGCCATTGGGAAGGAGTTTTTCGAACCAACCGTTAGAAAGCGTTGAATATCCTGCAGAAAACATCTCTGAATCAATTCGCCTGAAACATGAGCCAGTAGTTGAATTAGTGGAATTGAACTCAAAGGAACAAGAGAGAGTGGACGAGATCGTGACACCAACACATCCTGTGGTCCCAGTTAACCAAATGGTTAAATATCAAATGCCAGGATATCAAATAAAAAGTATTGTTTTAGAAGAAGAAATTAATGGTGATGGAGGATCAGAAACAGATGATTCATTATTCAAAGAGAAAGCGGGGCCTATAACGGCAACATACGACCGAAAAAATGTATTGGATGAAAACGAGACACAACTGGTGCAACCTATACCACAAAAGGAAAATATTCCTTTTCAATCCTCTGACAAAGCGATTATCCCTCCAAGTAGAATAATAGCTCCGGAACACTTTGTAGGGCAAAGGCAGGAACCATTTGAGGAAACTCCTGAACCAAGTTATCAACCGCGATATGAAATACGAGATTTTGTATTAAATGAACAACTAAATAAACCCGAGGAACCATTAGAGGAAACTCCAGAATCAAGTTATCAACCGAGGTATGAAATACGAGATGTCGTATTAAATAAACAACTGGATAAACCCGAGGAACTATTAGAGGAAACTCCTGAACAAAGTTATCAACCGCGGTTTGAAATACGAGATTTTGTATTAAATGAAGAATTGGATAAACCCGAAGAGCCATTAGAGGAAACTCCTGAACCAAGTTATCAACCGCGGTTTGAAATACGAGATTTTGTATTAAATGAAGAATTGGATAAACCTGAAAAGCCATTAGAGGAAACTCTTGAATCAAGTTATCAACCGCGGTTTGAAATACGAGATTTTGTATTAAATGAAAAATTGGATAAACCCGAAGAACCATTAGAGGAAACTCCTGAACCAAGTTATCAACCGAGGTATGAAATACGAGATGTCGTATTAAATGAACAACTGGATAAACCCGAAGAGCCATTAGAGGAAACTCCTCAACCAAGTTATCAAACGAGGTATGAATTACGAGATGTCGTATTATATGAACAACTGGATAAACCCGAAGAACCATTAGAGGAAACTCCTCAACCAAGTTATCAACCGAGGTATGAAATACGAGATTTGGTATTAAACGAAGAATTGGATAAATCCGAAGAACCATTGGAGGAAACTCCTGAACCAAGTTATCAACCGAGGTATGAAATACGAGATGTCATATTAAATGAACAACTGGATAAACCCGAAGAACTATTAGAGGAAACTCCTGAACCAAGTTATCAACCGCGGTTTGAAATACGTGATTTCGTATTAAATGAAGAATTGGATAAACCCGAAGAACCATTGGAGGAAACTCCTCAACCAAGTTATCAACCGAGGTATGAAATACGAGATTTGGTATTAAATAAACAACTGGATAAATCCGAGGAACTATTAGAGGAAACTCCTGAACAAAGTTATCAACCGAGGTATGAAATACAAGATTTCGTATTAAATGAAGAATTGGATAAACCCGAAGAACCATTGGAGGAAACTCCTCAACCAAGTTATCAACCGAGGTATGAAATACGAGATTTGGTATTAAACGAAGAATTGGATAAACCCGAAGAACCATTAGAGGAAACTCCTGAACCAAGTTATCAACCGCGATATGAAATACGAGATGTCCTATTAAATGAACAACTGGATAAACCCGAAGAACTATTAGAGGAAACTCCTGAACCAAGTTATCAACCGAGGTATGAAATACGAGATGTTGTATTAAATGAACAACTGGATAAACCCAAAGAACTATTAGAGGAAACTCCTGAACCAAGTTATCAACCGCGATATGAAATACGAGGTGTCCTATTAAATGAACAACTGGATAAACCCGAAGAACCATTAGAGGAAACTCCTGAACCAAGTTATCAACCGAGGTATGAAATACGAGATGTCGTATTAAATGAAAAATTGGATAAACCCGAGGAACTATTAGAGGAAACTCCTGAACAAAGTTATCAACCGAGGTATGAAATACGAGATGTTGTATTAAATGAACAACTGGATAAACCTGAAGAACCATTAGAGGAAACTCCTCAACCAAGTTATCAACCGAGGTTTGAAATACGAGATGTCGTATTAAATGAAAAATTGGATAAACCCGAGGTACCTGATATTGTTTCATCAGATTTTGAAGAAGAGCCGAGCGCGAAGCGTTCTTTTCGAAGACCAAAGTTTGTGGAAGAACCTCGAAACCAAGATTTTCCAAGTTACTCCAACGTCGTTCCCGAGACTGGAGATGTTCAAAGCTCTCATCGACTACGGAACGAGCCTAAATATGAAATAAGCAATTTTGTACTAATCGAAGATCCCGAAACAGAGTACAAAATGGATGACGATCTTAAACGAACACAAGCTTTGAAAGAAAAGGCAATAAATTCGGAATACGAATCTGAGGGTAACGAGATGCCAGGATATCCACTTGAATATTCTTCTTTGCCAAAAGAAAATGAAATTACTCGGCCATACGATCAGTCAAAATACGTGCTAAGAGACGAATTAGAGAACGAACCTACAGAAAAAATTGGACCTACAGTTGACCAATCGCTAAAGATAAGCATTGTACGCCAGCCAGACGAAACAGATTTTAATAAAGAAGTATATCCATCAAAATATGAAATAAAAGATTTTGTGCTCCCAGAACAACCTTCAACATCCGAACCAATGACTAGACTAGACTCGATTGAACCGGAAAATAAGCCTAAATTTAATTTCGTTGGAGAACCAAAAACGAAAGCAGCAAAAGACTTTCCATCTGGACACCTCGCATCAGATTACAAGGTAAATTTACTTCAAACGAATCAAGAAGATGAAAAATCAACACAATCTGTGTACAGATCAAAGTATAAAATTAATGATTTTGTGCTAATTGAAGAACCCGAAGTTAAACCACCAGAACAACAAGCAGTTGGCTCAGACAAGAAAGCAGATTTACCAACAACATCACCAAGCAAGGAAAAAACAATTCTTATTGGCAATGAGCAGCCAGAGAATGGAAGTTTTACAAACGATTTTCTAACAGGAGGAACAACAAACGTTACTTCCGGTTCAGTCGCTGAAGAAGAGCGAGATCGCACATATACGACTCCACAATCAAGAATGGTCATGAAATTTACTCTAGAAGAAGAACCTGACGTTGAGGCAACGCCCGGTGTTGATATGCGTGCGGAGGAGGAGCCAGAGATAACTCGGTCACAACATCATCAAAACTTTGAAATGCCAGATCTTGTTATTGAAGAAGAACCAAATCGATTAGACAGAGACTTGACACAACCAGAGTATGAACTAAATAGCATTGTTGTCGAAGAACAGCCACAAAATAAAACAACACCAGAATATCCTGTATCAGCAGAAAACGTCGTTTCAGATGAGTCTGGACCAATATACAGCATTTTACAACCCGGAAAAAAATGGAATTTTGTTATAGACGAGGAACCAAAAGGACCACTCGTTGATAAAACAATTGAAGTTGCACCCGTCGAAAACCAAACTGAGATAAACAAGTTTGTACTTGAAGAACATCCGAATAACGCAGATTCACCGATGCTTTATGAAAGGAACGAAAATGATGAACAAGCAATTGCGCCTTTTACTCAAGAAAAAAGAGAAACAACTCCAATAGCTTTTCAGCCAAGATATGAAATTTCTTCGGATGAAAATCAATCCATGCAAGACAAAACCGTGAAAGCGAGTACAGAAACCATGACCGAGGACGAGCCTGACTTTTACAGACCATTTGAGCCCAGGCATGAAGTAAAAGCTTTAACATTGGACGAGGAGCCACTGATAAAACGAGATGGGAAGATAAAGAAATTCGATACAGCTACTGATATGATGGAACCAAACAGTAAAACTAAATATTTTGTTATCGATGAGCAGCCAGAAAAAGAAAGCGTCCCAAAATATCCTCCTGCTATCAGTGAACAGATAGAAGCAAGTACAGAAATTAGGGATGTGGATGAGCAGGATCTTTATAGACCATTTGAACCAGCATATAAAGTGAAAGCTTTAGTACTAAACGAAAAAGTACTCCTTGAGAGAGAAGAACCAAAACAAGATGAGATGATAATTGATGAAGCCCCTGCTGTTTCCAAAGAGCCAGACTTTCCCGCATCCATTAACATTCCTACACATGAAATTCCAGACGTATACAACCAACAAACACATGTAGATGAAACAAAAGCTCATCTTGTCCCTAATAAGCAAGGAATAATGCCAAAAGACAAAATAAGAGTTTTTCTTATCGAAGAGCAGCCAGAGAATGAACGAATTCCAAAAGAACCTCAAACCGACGAAAAACATACAATAACCACGTCTCCAGTTCCAGCTGCTGGAGAAGAACAAGAACCTTCTGATAAAGTTTCTCAACCACAGCAAAGACTCAAATTTGTATTAGAAGAACCTCAGAAAACACAACAAACCCCAATTGATGAAAGCGTCGAAGTAACCGCAGTAAAATTAGTTCAAGAAGAACCCGAGAATTTCGTGCTGGAAAAACAATCCGAAGTTAAGACTCCGGAAGTAATTGTAAATCAGTCACATTATAAGCCTCAGTATGAAGTTAATGATTTCACTTTGGAGGAAAATTCTTTAAGTTCAAATCAACCCACGCAAGATGAAAGGGTGAAAGCGAGTACAGAAACTATGATCGAGGACGAACCTGACATTTACAGTGACTTTTACAAGCCATTTGAATCCAACCATGATGTAAAAGCGTTAGTATTAGACGAGGAACCTCCACTAAAACGAGACGAAATTATACGACCGGAGATAGGCAAGATTTATGAAACTCCTGTTAATTCGGAAGAATCAGATATTATCAGGTCTATCAATATTATCAAATATGAATTTCCAGACTTCGAAACAAACCAACCGAGTCCAACATCTAGTTCATTGAACGAAGACGATACGTTCACAACTAGTCAAGTTGCTTTGACTGAAACAATAACATTAGACAACGATATAGAACACCCAGATGAAAAACAACCTACACAAGAACCAGCAGTGATAGTGTACCCTCTAAACAGACCAGAGGGAATAAAGATTCAACTCATAGATGATATACCAGAGTCTGATAAACCCAACTATGAGGAAACAGTAGCTTATGAAGAGATTGTTGTCGATGAACCTGCAGAATCAGTACCATCAGATATTGTACAGCAACGATTTGTAAAGCAGTTCGATATTCCCACGTCCATTGTAGACGACAAACCACAAGGGATTGACGAAGACGTTTCCTCTACTGTTATCAAAGACGTGGAAGCCCCTAAAATTCACCTTGAGGAAGAGAGACCTATACAAATAGCCTCAGACGATGATGTAAAAAGAGAAGAAGGTGAAAACATGAATATTTCACCAGAAACAAGATCATTGAACGACGACAATACGATCACACCCAGTTATATCTTGCAAGTGGACCCATCCAAAGTTACTAGCACTGAAACAATAACAGTAGAGAACGATATAGAACATGTACACGGTAAACAACCTATGAAAGAACCACCAGTGATAGTGCACGAGGGAATAAAGATTCAACTCATAGATGATATACCAGAGTCTGATAAACCGAACTATGAGGGAACAGTAGCTTATGAAGAGATTGTTGTCGATGAACCTGCAGAATCAGTACCATCAGATATTGTACAGCAACGATTTGTAAAGCAGTTCGATATTCCCACGTCCATGATAGACGACAAACCACGAGAGAATGACGAAGACGTTTCCTCTACTGTTATCAAAGACGTGGAAGCCCCTGAAATTCACCTTGAGGAAGAGGAACCTCCACAAATAGCCTCAGACGATGATGTAAGAAAAGAAGAAGGTGAATACATCAATATTTCAGCAGAAACAAGATCATTGAACGACGACAATACGATCACACCCAGTTATATCTTGCAAGTGGACCCATCCAAAGTTACTAGAACTGAAACAATAACAGTAGAGAACGATATACAACGTGTAGACGGTAAACAACCTATGCAAGAACCACCAGTGATAGTGCACGAGGGAATAAAGATTCAACTCATAGATGATATACCAGAGTCTAATAAACCGAACTATGAGGGAACAGTAGCTGTTGAAGAAATTGTTGTCGATGAACCTGCAGAAATCAAAGAACGAACAATACGTACAAGATCAGAAGAAAACGAATCTGAAATAACAAGTGCAACATTTACTGATTTTGTGGAATCAATACCATCAGATATTGTACAGCAACGATTTGTAAAGCAGTTCGATATTCCCACGTCCATGGTAGACGACAAACCGCGAAAGATTGACGAAGAAATTTCTTTTACTGTTTTCAAAGACGTTGAAGCCCCAAAAATTCACCTTGAAGATGAACAACTTATACAAATAGTCTCAGACGATCATGTAAGAAAAGAAGAAGGTGAATATATCAATATCTCAGCAAGAACTGGATCATTTAACGACGAAGATACGATCACACCCAGTCATGTCTTGCAAGTGGACCCCTCCAAAGTTATTAGAACTGAAACAATAACAGTAGTGAACGATATAGAACATGTAGATGAAAAACAACCTATACAAGAACCAGCATTGATAGTGCACCCTTTAAACAGACCAGAGGGAATAAAGATTCAACTCATAGATGATATACCAGAGTCTGATAAACCGAATTATGAAGGAACAGTAGCTGTAGAAGAAATTGTTGTCGATGAACCTGCAGAAATCAAAGAACAAACAATACGTACAAGATCAGAACAGAACGAATCTGAAATAACAAGTGCAACATTTACTGATTTTGCGGAATCAGTACCATCAGATATTGTACAGCAACGATTTGTAAAGCAGTTCGATATTCCCACGTCCATGATAGACGACAAACCACGAAAGATTGACGAAGACGTGTCCTTTACTGTTATTAAAGACGTGGAAGCCCCTAAAATTCACCTTGAGGACGAGAGACCTACACAAATTGTGTCGGAGATTTCCAACAAGCGAAATAGTCTGATAGAATTTGAAAAAGACGATGAAGTAAGAAAAGATGAAGGTGAATACATCAATATTTCAGCAGAAACAAGATCATTTAACGACGACGATAGGATCACACCCAGTTATATCTTGGAAGTGGACCTATCCAAAGTTACTAGAACTGAAACAATAACAGTAGAGAACGATATAGAATATGCAGATGAAAAACAACCTATAGAAGAACCAACAGTGACAGTGTACCCTGCAAACAGACCAGAGGGTATAAAAATTCAAATCATAGATGATATACCAGAGTCTGATAAACCGAACTATGAGGGAACAGTAGCTGTTGAAGAGATTCTTGTCGATGAACCTGCAGAAATCAAAGAACAAACAATACGTACAAGATCAGAAGAGGATGAATCAGAAATAACCAGTGCGAAATTTACTGATTTTGCGGAATCAACGCCATCAGAGATTGCACAGCAACGATTTGTAAAGCAGTTCGATATTCCCACGTCTATGGTAGACGACAAACCACAACAGATTGCCGAAGAAGTTTCCTTTACTGTTATCAAAGACGTGGAAGCCCCTAAAATTCACCTTGAAGATGAGAACTCTATACAAATAGCCTCAGACGATGATGTAAGAAAAGAAGAAGGTGAATATATCAATATTTCAGCAGAAACAAGATCATTTAACGACGACGATACGATCACACCCAGTTATATCTTGCAAGTGGACCCATCCAAAGTTACTAGAACTGAAACAATAACAGTAAAGAACGACATAGAACATGTAGATGAGAAACAACCTATAGAAGCACCATCAGTAATAGTTCAACCACCAAAAACACCACAAGGAATAACTATTCTACATATACCATCGTCTGCTCAACCAAAATATGACAAAATGACATTAAATGAAGAAATTCAAGTTGACGAACCTGTGGAATTCAAAGAACAAACAATACATATAAGACTTGAAGAGAAAGAACCAGAAATAGCAAGTACAACAAATATTGATATTGCAGAATCAATACCATCAGAGATTGAACAATCAGAGATTGAACAGCAACGATTTGTAAAGCAGTTCGATATTCCTACGTCCATGGTAGACGATAAATTGGAACAGATAAGCGAAACATCTTCCCTTAGTATCGCAGAAGACACGGTGGTCGCCAAAGTTGAAGAAATCAAAGTTGACGAACCTGCGGAATTCAAAGAACAGATCATACAAATAAGACTTGAACAGAAAGAATCAGAAATAACAAGTACAACAAATACTGATATTGTGGAGTCAATACCATCAGAGATTGTACAGCAACGATTTGTAAAGCAGTTTGATATTCCCACGTCCAGGGTAGACGACAAACCGCGAACAATGGACGAAGAAGTTTCCTTTACTGTTATCACAGACGTGGAAGCCCCTAAAATTCACCTTGAAGAAGAACAACCTATAGAAACAGCCTTAGACGATGATGTAAGAAAAGAAGACGGTGAATACATCAATATTTCAGCAGAAACAAGATCATTTAACGACGACGATACGATCACACCCAGTTATGTCTTGCAAGTGGACCCATCCAAAGTTATTAGAACTGAAACAATAACAGTAGAGAGAGATATAGAACATGCAGATGAAAAACAACCTGTACAAGAAGAACCAGAAGTGATAGTTCAACCACCAAAAACACCACCACAAGGAATAACTATTCTACATATACCATCGTCTGCTCAACCAAAATATGACAAAATGATATTACATGAAGAAATTCAAGTTGACGAACCTGTGGAATTCAAAGAACAAACAATACATATAAGACTTGAAGAGAAAGAACCAGAAATAACAAGTACAACAAATATTGATATTGCAGAATCAATACCATCAGAGATTGAACAATCAGAGATTGAACAATCAGAGATTGAACAGCAACGATTTGTAAAGCAGTTCGATATTCCCACGTCCATGGTAGACGATAAATTGGAACAGATCAGCGAAATATCTTCCCTTAGTATCGCAGAAGACACGGTAGTCACCAAAGTTGAAGAAATCAAAGTTGACGAACATGCGGAATTCAAAGAACAGATCATACAAATAAGACTTGAACAGAGAGAATCAGAAATAACAAGTACAACAAATACTGATATTGTGGAGTCAATACCATCAGAGATTGTACAGCAACGATTTGTAAAGCAGTTTGATATTCCCATGTCCAGGGTAGACGACAAACCACAAGAGATTGACGAAGACGTTTCCTTTACTGTTATCAAAGACGTGCAAGCCCCTAAAATTCACCTTGGGGAAGAGAGACCTATACGAATAGTCTCAGACGATGATGTAAGAAAAGAAGAAGGTGAATACATCAATATTTTAGCAGAAACAAGATCATTTAACGACGACGATACGATCACACCCAGTTATGTTTTGCAAGTGGACCCATCCAAAGTTACTAGAACTGAAACAATAACAGTAGAGAGAGATATAGAACATGCAGATAAAAAACAATCTACACAAGAAGAACCAGAAGTGATAGTTCAACCACCAAAAACACCACAAGGAATAACTATTCTACATATACCATCGTCTGCTCAACCAAAATATGACAAAATTGCATCAAATGAAGAAATTCAAGGTGACGAACCTGCGCAATTCAAAGAACAAATCATACATATAAGACTTGAAGAGAAAGAATCAGAAATAACAAGTACAACAAATACTGATATTGCAGAATCAATACCATCAGAGATTGAACAATCAGAGATTAAACAGCAACGATTTGTAAAGCAGTTCGATATTCCCACGTCAATGTTAGACGATAAACTGGAACAGATAAGCGAAACATCTTCCCTTAGTATCGCAGAAGACACGATAGTCGCCAAAGTTGAAGAAATACAAGTTGACGAACCTGCGGAATTCAAAGAACAGATCATACAAATAAGACTTGAACAGAGAGAATCAGAAATAACAAGTACAACAAATACTGATATTGTGGAGTCAATACCATCAGAGATTGTACAGCAACGATTTGTAAAGCAGTTTGATATTCCCACGTCCATGGTAGACGACAAACCACAAGAGATTGACGAAGACGTTTCCTTTACTGTTATCAAAGACGTGGAAGCCCCTAAAATTCACTTTGAGGAAGAGAAACCTATACAAATAGCCTCAGACGATGATGTAAGAAAAGAAGAAGGTGAATACATCAATATTTCAGCAGAAACAAGATCATTGAACGACGACGATACGATCACACCCAGTTATATCATGCAAGTGGACCCATTCAAAGTTATTAGAACTGAAACAATAACAGTAGAGAGAGATATAGAACATGCAGATGAAAAACAACCTGTACAAGAAGAACCACGAGTGATAGTTCAACCACCAAAAACACCACAAGGAATAACTATTCTACATATACCATCGTCTGCTCAACCAAAATATGATAAAATTACATCAAATGAAGAAATTCAAGTTGACGAACCTGTGGAATTCAAAGAAGAAACAATACATATAAGACTTGAAGAGAAAGAATCAGAAATAACAAGTACAACAAATACTGATTTTGTGGAATCAATACCATCAGAGATTGAACCATCAGAGATTGTACAGCAACGATCTGTAAAGCAGTTCGATATTCCCACGTCCATGGTAGACGACAAACCAGAAGAGATCGAAGAAGTTTCCTTTACTGTTATCACAGACGTGGAAGCCCCTAAAATTCACCTTGAAGAAGAACAACCTATAGAAATAGCCTTAGACGATGATGTAAGAAAAGAAGAAGGTGAATACATGAATATTTCAGCAGAAACAAGATCATTGAACGACGACAATACGATCACACCCAGTTATGTCTTGCAAGTGGACCCATCCAAAGTTATTAGAACTGAAACAATAACAGTAGAGAGAGATATAGAACATGCAGATGAAAAACAACCTGTACAAGAAGAACCACGAGTAATAGTTCAACCAGCAAAAACACCACAAGGAATAACCATTCTACATATACCATCGTCTGCTCAACCAAAATATGACAAAATTACATCAAATGAAGAAATTCAAGTTGACGAACCTGCGGAATTCGAAGAACAAACAATACATATAAGACTTGAAGAGAAAGAATCAGAAATAACAAGTACAACAAATACTGATTTTGTGGAGTCAATACCATCAGAGATTGAACCATCAGAGATTGTACAGCAACGATCTGTAAAGCAGTTCGATATTCCCACGCCCATGGTAGACGACAAACCGCGAAAGGTTGACGAAGAAGTTTCCTTTACTGTTATGAAAGACGTGGAAACCCCTGAAATTCATCTTGAAGATGAGAAACCTTTACAAATAGCCTCAGACGATGATGTAAGAAAAGAAGAAGGTGAATACATCAATATTTCAGCAGAAACAAGATCATTTAACGACGACGATACGATCACACCCAGTTACCTCTTGCAAGTGGACCCATCCAAAGTTACTAGAACTGAAACAATAACAGTAGAGAGAGATATAGAACATGCAGATAAAAAACAATCTACACAAGAACCAGAAGTGATAGTTCAACCACTAAAAACACCACCACAAGGAATAAACATTCTACATATACCATGGTCTCCTCAACCAAAATATGACAAAGTGGCATTAAATGAAGAAATTCAAGTTGACGAACCTGTGGAATTCAAAGAACAAACATTACATATAAGACTTGAACAGAACGAATCAGAAATAACAAGTACAACAAATACTGAAATTGCGGAATCAATACCATCATTTGTAGTAACAGGGTTCGATGTTCCTACGTCCATGGAAGACGACAAACCGACTGCGACGGTAACTTCAGAGATCAATCAAGCAAGTGAAACTCTCTCCATTTCGTCTGGAACATCCAGCATTGGTGATGAAGATATGGCTATCAATTTTGTACCCAGTTATCGAAAGCAAACGGATCTTCTGTCCTCGGTGACTCTCGGCGAAGCACTGATAACCGATGACGTGGAAATGAAAACTTCCACTGTGTATAACAAAGAACCTATATATGCTCGGGTTAACAAACAGAGACTAAATTTACATGATGGAGTCGCTAAAAACTCTGTTCAAACGGGATATTCTGTAATCGTCAATCATCAGCCAGGAGCTACCGAAGTTGCTACAGGAGGTAAAGATTCCTTACATGACGACGGAACTAGAGAGCCTCGAGAGGAAACATCGGAAATAGTTGACCAAAGATTGGTGAACGAAAGAAGTACAACAGAAGAAATTACAACTCTAAACAGTGAAATAACAGAAAACACTCAAGGGGTTGTCTGGATGCCCGTTCGCCATAGCAACAGGTTATTTGGCTCAGGCAGCAGTGAAAGAATTATAACACTTCCCATAGTAAGTAGGGCGCCTTCCGAAGACCTCTCCCTAGAGGAAGACATCGATCTTGATTTGGACGAAGATGTTGAAATGTTTAAAATAGCCCACAAAGAACCAAAGTCAGTTGAATACAACATTCCCATCGAAGGACATGAACAAGTCGAAGAAATTTCAAGCGGTAGTGGTGAACTCAAGTCTGATACAGAACTAAAACAAGAATCTCAAGAGGTTGTCTGGATAACCGTTCGCCATAGCAACAAGTTATTTGGCCCAGGAAGTAGTGAAAGAATCGTAACACTTCCCATAGTGAATAACGCGCATTCTGATGACCACTCACCAACAGACGACATCGATCTTGACTTGGAAGAGAACGCTGAAATGTTTGTTAAAGCCCAAAATGGGGAGGAATCGGCAGAGAGTAACGTTTCGTGTACAGTAAGACTTAAACGCTGGGAAAGCGATATACGAGGGGTGAATCATCCAAAACATTCTCGTGGAAAAGAAACTTCGGAACTATCGAGCTCTACGGCAAGTGTTGACGGTAGTTATGGAGACACTTCTAGAACACTAAGTTCAAATTCTGAATTTACCATGAACCTACTTCATACCACTGATCAACGGTACACATTAAAAATGAGGGGTTGCGAAAGGGATATACTGGATGAAAATTTGTCAAAACCATCCCAAGGAAAAGCAGCTTCGGGTCTGTCGAGCTCAGAAGAAAGTGTTGATGGCAGTTATGTAAATATCCATAGAACACCAAGTCCAAATTCTGAATTCTCCATGAACCTGCTCCATACTTCTGATCCGCGATATACTTTAAAAATGAAGGGCTGCGGAAAGGATATACCCGATGAGAGTTGGTTAGAAAATGGTGATTTATGCATACCTTGTACCGGATCTTCCGAGAATTTGCTTCATGCCTTCGAACCATGGATTTCTATTACACGAAAGTGCAAATCAGAGGGTATGCAGCTAATGACGCAACAATATACCTTGAGTTCTGCCAATATGTTGGATTCCTCAGTGGCCACACTTCCTTGGATAGAAACACAAAAGCGAGGTTCCATTAGACAACGTCTAAGCCTTAGAAAACGTGAAAGCACATCAAGAAATGTTTATCACGCAGTTGATAAGAATGATCGTCTTCTTCTTCTGACGATCCCACGCACAATGTTGATGGAAATCGAAAGTGACGAGGAATCAATTGACACAGAAGTAGAAATTCCTTGGATGGAACTTGAGCCTTTACCAGGTGAGTTCAGTTTAAATATTCGTTTAAAATATTTAAAGTCTGCATGTGAGGAGCTTGATATAGTTGTCCAACGAAATTGAATCTCTTCCCTGCCTGTTTTTCATACTCAACTTAGTCGAGTTTTTTTCATTTGATGGACTATATATGATATTTATTGCTTACTTTCTGGAGTTTCTGTTTCTGCGGGAAAAATTTAGAAAATGAACAGTAGAGACATTTTCAAAGAAAATACAGACGACACCCCAAGCGCAAATTGACACAGGTTTATTGAGACATGCCTTCTTCAAAAGAAGACATGACTTCATAGGAAATAAAAAAGCACGAGGGTTTACATAGCACGAGGTAAATTTGGTGAAATGAAAAAGCTTACACAACATTATTTACAAACAGGAGATAATCAAGGACACCTGCCGTGGGTGGAGGTGGCTGGCGAGGCGGAAAACACACAGAATGATCGTATATTGATGTTGAAAATATCCCGACAAATGATCCTGGGAGCTTCCATAAACTCAGAAAATGAAGCCGAAAATGAAATTCTCCTTCCTTGGAAAGATGCTGTGAAATACTGGGAAGAAACCAATCAGATCATCGCCGATTCCGTATCACGAACAAAACGATCAGAGTTGGCAAACATTGCTATTACCTTCCCAAGTGAACAGGAAAGTGAGAGCCAACCACTTCGAAACAAACCCAAACTTCCTGCTATGAGAATAGTTCTACCCAAGAAATACTGCCTGGATGGGTCAATGAGGATGAAACCTATGATAACCGTGAACGAAAAGCGGAACATAAAAGTTCGAATAATGAAGTCAGTGAAGAAAAGACACGATTGGAGCAATCTACTTCGCTTGAGCAAGTCTGAACGCAGAAAAAGGTACTCGCATGTAAGTGGGGGAAGTGAATGGGTTGTTCTTGCAGATGGCACAAAATGGTGGAGAATTCACCAGGATGATATGGATGAATTTAATAAACTACAATCAAGTTCAGATCAACAGAAGTTCGAGAACAACTTTGAAATCAGCAGTGAAGACACGTATGGAAGGGAATCAATTGATTTCAACGAATTCACAAAGGAATCCAGTGGAACTAAAGAACAGAAGCAATTCAGCTTTGTCATAGATCCAAAGAACTATTTAACAAACACAATGTCAATGACCTTTTAATATATCATTTCATATAGTTACATATACCATTATAACCCAAAATAATGCTAAAAATATCATCATTAACATTTGGTAGATTCAACTCGAGACTTGCGATGCAAAATAGACTCATAAATATACTTAATTTAGATTAATCTTAATGACAAAACTCATATATTTATATTCAAATAATCACAAATTACTATAACCTGATCTAGCTTGAGCGTATTCTCCAGATACAAGTGTATAAGTATACATAGAACTTTAGCTATTGGCATACTCACATACCACGCTTTTTATACAAAATCTACTTAAGTCTAACTGATCAGACTGTTCATTTTTGACCTTGTTTTTGTGCGACAGATATTTGCACGAAAGGTTCAAAGAAGACTTTATGGGGTCAACCTTCATGCGCAATTATCCTAACAATGCAAGGCCTTTATAGTCTAAAAGTGAATAAACAGCACATAAGCTCTATCATTATAAAATGTTAAGCTATAAATGGAAAATTGAGGAACATTTTTATGTAACATAAGTAAATGTTTAGCTCTAATTTGTATTACGTACATATTGCGTTCAATACAGGCCTGATACTTATGTAATGTTGTTTCAAACTTGCATTTCTATCACGTGGCATATAGCGTGGAGAAAAGGGTAATCACGAAGGCAAGGTCCAGTCAGGAAACACTGTTTCTCACTTTATCTCCCAAATTAAAATTATGGAGAATGTTGCCAAGAAGCGAAATACAAGACTGCGACGGCGAAGAAGCCAAACGCAACGATTTGCAGGGTTTAAACTTTGACAAAGCATGGCAACGCCCCACTTCTAAAATTCAACTAAGCTCTAACATCCCTGCCTTCAGGCCTGTTCTATGAATTTAATCATATCGAAGACATTATCTTTTTGGCTAATGTTGTTCTGTTTATTCATTAATACTCCATAGTTCATGCAAAGATCCTGATAAAAGTCCTTTGGGTACATGATATTCAATGAATGCATTACTATTGGTGAGTTCTGTGCACTCTTTATCAAACAAAGTTTCATATGAAGATTCAAAATATTCTGAGACATCAGTTTCATTTCTGCCAATTGGTTTTTCTAGTAGCTCCACTAAATCTTTGATCTGTGGATAGTAATGTTGCCGCAAAGTTTCGAGCTCCCATAAAGAACTTTGCAATGCTTCACATTGGCTTGGATCAGCTTCATCTTCTTTATAAGGGTCAGCTAAAATTTTGTTCTTTGACTCAGATAAATCTCCCCCATTTAGATTCTGGCGAGAAAAAAGTACAAAAGAACAATGATAAATGAGATCTATCTCCATTCCTATCACATAGTTACAATACATAGATCACACTTTACGAACCTCTATTTCTCTGTGGATTAAAACTTGACAATTGGGATGTCGACAGATAAGATTTCCCACAAATGTGATTATCAAAGCCACTCCATGAGGTGGAGCACTCAGCCCAAGCCTTGAAAGCCGTTTAATGAAAGCTGCAACCAGATATGCTGGCAAATGAGTTGACATCAAAAACAAATCAGCAAGGTAGAAAAACCGAGCACGATATTTCAGGTGGAAAACTTCTGCATCGAACAAGCTGTACAGTTTTTTATAAAAATCAGGATAATCAAGGTTGTACTTGTGTATTAGGACAAACAAACTGTTTAACGCAAGAATACTGGTCACACCACCAATGTCATAGGAATCAACCAGAAAATCCATCAAAATTTTTGGGTCAACGAGATGAGGTATAACTTTGTCTTCAAGCATGATCAAAACTTGTCGATATAAAGCTTTATCCAGTGGAAGACCAAGGAATGGCACCCAAGCATTAGTAAAAACTTTCTTGTAGGCATTTAGGTTCATTACGTTATGGTTTATGACATTTTGATTGGTTAAAACTGATTCACCTTGGATGACAAATAAGTTATCCAGTTCTTCTTTAAATTGAGGTATGGTAATCAATAGCAAGAGATGGAACACATTTTTAAAAAAATATGACCCACACTCTGATGTACCACTGGAAGATTTTAAGATAATTCTGCTCAAATTCTTCAGCACATAATAACATATATCATTATATTGAAGATATGGTTTCAAAAATGCAACCAAACTATCATTGCTGTACAAGTCGTCTGTTGACTTTTCCACTATTTTCAAAAGTAAATCATTGGCAAAGATAGTGTCCTGTGAATTCTCTTGCATCCTTTGGCTCTCTGCTTTAATGAAAATCATCAAAGTGTGTAAGGCTTTCTCTTTGACTTCAGGAATAGGCGATTGCAGGAGTCCCAGTAACTTATTTACGGTCTGAATATAGTTCTGATTTAACCAACGCTGAAAAATCTCCTCTGGATTGTCAGAAACCTTCCTTTTAGACACTTTTGATACCTTGCTGGTCAATGGGCATGTGCCTGATATGATCCATGTTGAAAACATTTTACCCAAGCCATCAATACATTCCAAAACTACAGACGTATTTTTGCTATCTAGTTCTTCTATAATATCAACAACGTCATTTACTTTACTGGGATTTAAAAGAACGTCCCTTATTTTTTCTTTCAAAGCCATTTCTCTACCGTTTTCTCCACCACAAAAACGTCGTAAAACTAAACACGTGCGTGCGTGCGCATGGATAATATATATAGCTCAGTGGTAATATATGAGTTATGCGAGAAAACTATGGATAAAGGTAGATACAGGGAGGATACGAATAGTAGAACGAAAAGTGGGACGGATAGAAAATAAATTGATAACTGAAAATAATTTTTTTGCGTTTTGCGACACAGAAAAAGTATTTAATCTTTACTATGGCAATGTACGTCAGATATGGAGCCACCTGGAAAAAAAATTATTAATAAAAGTATAAATTTCTAGCATTTTCTTTGATAAACTCCCTATTGTCGCCTAATCACTTTATACAAATTCAAGTCAGCGTACTAGCACAAATGGCAGTTAATTTTACAGGCGGCTTCGGCTCCATATACAACATTTATTCAATAACATGCTGAAAGTGCACATTTATTGGTACATACTAATGAAAAACATAAATTCGCTCCCACTAAAAATGGAATACTTAAGTGCATTCCCAGGTATATTTAATAAACAACATGGTTGAAACTCAGGCAAAACCAACTAAAACATACCTTTTGACTTTTGAGATTGTAGAATGTAAACTCTAAAATCCATTGTAAACAGAGGCAATCAACATAAATCTCGTTCAATATTAGACAATAATTATATTAGACTAGTTACATTCTCGTACCCAGGTTTTGGCTTGTGGTTACCTGTCAGCTGGCTGTATAATTACAATTTCTTGTCAATGAAAGAATTCAGTTTTGAGCATATATTGATATCCCGTTATTGTCTGGAAAATAATTGAGAATGTTAAGTGATTAATGTTCAAATGAACCATAAAAACAAAAGGTAGGGGTAATTTTAAAAAGCCCGGTTACAATTTATTTTAATAACCCTGTGCTTTTGGGACGAATTGTGGCTTGATGATTTAATATTTGTGGTTCGTTATTCAAATATTTTGTTATAAACATAATTACACTTTGAAGAAGGCCCAAATTTCGAAAACTACAATGTCCTACGCATATGTTTTAATAGTTTAATATTCTTTCTAATATTTGACTATCCCTATGATACTGATATCTACTGTCAATCTTCCTAATCCAAAAACTTCAATAATTTTACAAAAATTTTAAACATGTATAGCAATATGTGTTGCATATGACACTGGTGTAAATCAGTAAATGAAATTATTTATGTTTTATCATGTCCTTGATGTCTCGGGGCCAGCATTCTTGCCTGGGGCCAACAATACATTCAATACCATAATGTTTTATATCCACAAATTACAATGAACTTTAATTATATTATGATTGAAGGGTAGATGCTAAGGGAAGTCTTCCCATAGCTCATATATATTAAGAGAGATTTTGAAAACAGTATCTTCTATTTGGAAAATATTCCAGCAGTTTCCTTACTTACCATCTCTTAGGAATAGTTAAACATTGAACATCATATCACCACATACATTACCAAACTACATATACTGGTTACATACTGGTACTTTACAGAAACAACATGGCCATACAGAACCTCAATCTGATGCAGTCTGCTAAATATATCATAAGTGATGTCAATTATATTAAAGTTGGCAATTAAAAATTTGTTAGAGATGGAAGACCAAATGAATGTGAATTACCAGATGCTATTCAAGCTACAGCTGTTGCCTTAAATCTGTGTTTAGCTAATAAGTTCTTGAAAGCCCAGGAAAAGTTACGACCATGGTAAGTCCACTCAGGTATATATAGTGACTTTAGTGAGGAACAGTACTGGTATGTATACAATGTTGAATGTTGATGACATATTTAGTTCAAATTGACCAAAAGTTCTTTGAAGACTATGATAAGTTTTTTGAAGGGCTGTTACTACTAAGATTTGGTAAGGTGATTTATGAAGATGGCAAAGGAACATACAAAGTTATCAAAAAATCTATACAAACAAGTGTATTTCTACAAAGTGTAAATTAAAATCCCAAATGTTACATGATTGATTCTATATTGCAAGAAATGCATATTGGGTTAATTAAAATTTTACTTCTTCTTTTTGTCACTGCTTTGGTTTAGTTCAGATCAGGCTCAATCAAATTATTTATATACAGCTAAATGTAAGAGGAGCTCATTTTTTTAGGGCCAACGAAAGTATGTACCATGCATTGGGTTATGGTACAATAATGTTTTTGCAAGCAATGATGACTTTTGATAAGGTATATGCAGTATCGACCAGTTTATTGATCCAATTTTTATCTGATTATTTAGTCGCTATATATAAGCATGAAGCATATGTTTCTCAATTGTCATGTACATAGTTTTCAAGAGGAGAGTACCCCATATAGAAAATTTGGGGTGAATGTATACTGTGCTTGGAAAATGCTTGGAAAGCAATACAGATATTACTCCAACAAATTTCAGCCAACGTTGAGCTATTTGAAGATCAAAATAGGATTGCTTCAACTGCACCCAGTAGATAAAATCAGCTACAGTATAATACATCCCTGTGACCTTTTTTGCAACTTCTAGACATGTATTGAGGAAGCCAGCCAAAGTATAAAATCAGCCTTGCAAGTTTGTGAAAGGTACTAATACTGTATTTAATAATCCACATGCATTTGTACGTACTGTACATGCATAAGGTGAATTGCGAAAATGGACGCTGATCTCCAAGTCTAACGCTGTTCCTGAAGAAGAGCGGCGGTTTAGCTGCCAACGTCTTTTGGACCAGTGGTACGAGACTGGAGCTTATTTGTGAGAGTACAAAGGTTCACCCCCCTCCTGCTAGATCACTTTGCCACGCCTATTTAGCAAAATACATAAAAATACAGTGGTCATGGATCAACGGTATAGACTAAGGTCATAGGACGTTTAACTGAATATAGATATCGGAGAAAGCATACTTGGTCAGAAACCTTTACGAGCTTCTTATGGAAACCATCCTACGAGGATGCTACAGAAGGTACCTAATATAGAATTCCTGCTATATGCATATACGTAACGTTTTGGGTCATCAAGTCAGCTCGAACCTACTGAAATTTTTTTTTATCAATAACTAGCTTTTTATTTATCGTTATATAGAGGAACTTCATGCAGAACTTTGCTACGCTGAGTGTCTTCTTCAACGAGCTTTACTTAATTTTATCGAGGTTTGATGATATTTTATATTATTTATATTCCATAGTATTTATATTCTCATCGTAAATGTTTCATTATGGTCTTGCATTAATCAATTGAAATTTCTGGAAATGTCAGAATAAAGTTACGACTAACTTCACAGTTATGTATGTAGCTATATAGTATATGTACATACGTACAGTGCACACTTGATATCTGCGTTTTCCATGATATAAATTGAACTGTAGATGCTTTTTTTATTGAAGGACGAAAGTTTGCTATCATTTTTAAGAGGCGGACTGAAAATTAGAAGTTGTTACCACACGTACAAGTATGTACTTAATAAAGTAATTTTGCACATTTTTATATATAGATGCTTTATATTTCTGATTAACACGCGTAATTGGTTGCTTTTGTACAGTATATAGCAGAGTCCTCTACAGATACATAAAAATATACGTTACTTTAAACATGCTAGAGTTTGTTATGACATGATGGAAGATCTTCACAAAGGTGGCAAGGTGTCATCAAGATTCTCTGATTTCAAAGGAGGAGTGAATTTAGGATTAGGTACCTTTAATTTGGTAGGTTTCAAGCAAAGAATGAATTCATAAATCTAGTTTTCTTATAATCTTACTTTTTGCTATTTTTTCTTTGAACTCAAAACTCATGTAAAATCATCATGGCTTTTTTATCGTAAAGAGTTAGTCCTTCATGTACTGTGAGGTTGAAAATATCCCCCGGTGTTCATTGTAATTGACAAATTTTACATTAGTTATACCTTATTACCCCCACATTTAGCTTCTTTCGTTGTTGCCTGCTAAAGTTCTAAGACTGTTGGAGTTTGTTGGCTTTTCTGGTGACAAAGTAAATATTATTTTCATGCTTTGATTGACATAATTACATAAAATACTGCCATTACAATATATACGTAGCAGGTTACATCACATTTATACGAGGATTGCTTCTCGACGAATTCAACGTAGACAATGTAATGTCAATATTTGAAAGAGATCAGTTTTTTGATAATAACTGTAGGCACTTTCTGAATTTTTAGTATTTTGGGTTGGATTTGTTAGACAAAGGTTTTCTTGATGAAGGTCTGCGGTCACCATTGTGTGCGATGGTACTACTTGCTTATCATACTGTTATAACCTACTTTCTTGGTAAGTTTACTAAGTTAGATCACGATAAACACCTAAACGTCATATGATGCCCAAACTCAGGCTACATGAACACGGTGATCGTTTAATCGAGCGTTTTCCTTTGTGGACTATGAATAGGATTTGAACAGAATTTAGGCTGATTTAAGAATGGAGAGTAAAACGTTTTTAAGAACACTTTATAAGGACGCTCGTGTTGAGACTTGAGGTATCAAGGCTAAGTGCGAAAAATACTTTTTGTGCTGTCATGTAATATGGTCATTTTTCATTCACTTTTTTGCCCCATATTCATCACTTTTAAGCCCAATTATACTGTAATGAAGGCTTTTGTTTGGTTTTATGGCTATACAGTAAAACATGCTTGGCTAAATATAACATCTATAATTCAGGCAATGGTGATGGAAACAGCGCGTACGCGGAGAAGATACTGGAACCGTGCATCAAGTTATTTCCTAAGGTAATTAACGTTAATGTGATATTATTGAGATTAAGTGAAGAATTAAAGAATTACAGCATGCAGTTTATGTATGTGCATGTTATAACAGTTAGATTGACTTCAATGGAATATTGCTGGAAAAAAAACAAAACCTGATATAGGCATATAGTACAGTACGTATTTTTTAGTTTTACTTTAGATCGAGGCCTTAGATATTTTGACTTGTCGTTTATATACAGTAATGCCATTGGACTAGATTTATTTTATTTACAAAAATATTTTTCAATAGGGAGCAATTTTCCTGTATTATGGAGGCCGTGTGAAGCATGTTGATGGTCATCTTGATGAGGTACAGTACTGCCTAATGCATGCATTCACTGTATGTTCTTTGTGTAATCTCGATTATTTTGTGAGAACGTGCCTAATCATTGACTGTACACCTTATTTGTCACTAATCATTAATCTAATCTAATCAAACACTAATCCTAAATAGATCCCATTTTATAATCCATTTCAGGCAGTTGTAAAATATCACGAATCAATTGCATCACAGTCAGAATGGAAGCAGTTTCATCACTTGTGCTACTGGGAACTTATGTGGTGTTACTGGTACGACATATGTTTATCTTAGTCGTGTCCTGGTAGATGTCCGATTACATCCATTATGTCTTGCATTATGCATGCAATCAACGCTTTTTATCCATTTTCGCTGCAGCTTTAAACGGGATTGGAAAGAAGCTTATGGTTATGCAAGAAAATTGTTAAAAGAAAGTCGCTGGTCAGCGGTAGGCAACCAGTTCAGACATGTTGCATTAGCTCCTAGAGTGGACGACTGATACAATTTCAACGTTATTTTTGGCTGATAATTTTAACCGTGTTTTTTTTGTTCTAGTGCTCATATATGTATTTCTGTGCAGTGTTTAAGTTAATGGGTAGAATTGACTCCCAATGCGGTGAATTTAACAGTGAAAAGGAAAAAGAGGAAGAAGCTGAAGATTTTATGTTTAGGTTTGTTTGATTTTTGTTGTATGATAAGTTCTGCCCTCACCTTCGACCCACTACTGCAATGTTGTGCGTATATATTCTACATATGGCACTACTCCACGGATGTCATCTTGTGTTTATGATGCGTTGTGTTGTGATAAATATACTTTTGCATGATGTATTAAACTTTTGATGTATCATCATACGAGCTAGGTAATTGTTGTGTATACGATCTAACATGGACCAGGATATTGAGTGATTTGCTAAATCATGAAACGACAAAGTTGAGAAAATTCGATGCTATAACTAATGAAGAGATATTACTGAAATCTTCTCATGTTAAGTGTATTTGTAAGAATTTTATTTTCTTTTATAGAAAAGCTCAGGAACTTAAGCAAAGATTAGCTGGCAAATCGATCCCTTTCGAAAAATTTTCAGTCAGCAGGTGTAAAAATTATTTTGAAAAGGATAAATACCTTTGGTTACCGGGTCTGGTATGAACTCTTTTACCATAATCATTTATATTATTTTACTGTAAAAAGTGAGCTGGCTCAGGTTGCAAACATTGATACATTTTTATGTGCTCATGAAGGAATTGATATTGCTGTGGAATGGATTTCGAATTCTCTATAAAAGACCGGACTTGATAAAAAGTTTGCTGGAACTTGTGCACGACACACAGCGTAAACAGTCGACCACGAGAAGTGATGGTATGAACCGCACATTTTTTATTAGTCATTAGTCATTACGCAGTACGCCAATTCCGGCCAGAATGCATGTGTTACAGAACAGCCAGTGTAGGCAATGTTGCAGCAATGATAAACCGATCTAACGCTTTGGGGCCGGTTGTATGAAAACGTTGTTAACTTTTAACTACAGTTAGTGACAGAATTGACCAATCAGAGTCATGTATTTCTGAGTTAACTACGATTTAACTACGCAAAATGTATATGTAGTTAAGAGGTTTATACAACCGGCCCCTGGACCGGTTGTTTTACGGTGGATGCTTCTGCACTGTTGTTATCAAAATTTTACAAAATAAAACTTCTACTAATAATACACAAAATGTTTTGAAAAGCAAACGATTCATAAACAAACGATAAAAAGAATGAGTAAACGTGCTTTTAAACCACCAGCCCCGACCCGTAAGGCGTAACTGCAAATGAATTCACTGAACCGGCTGATTCTTCTTGGATTGTATAACAATAAAATATGTTGAGGTGTGAAAAAATAAGATGGTTTTGTGAATGTATACACATGCACTACTGTACATACCATAAATATGAATTTTTATTTGATTCAGGGCATGTATACCAAACTGAAGACGTTTGCCTTTTGAAGTTATTAGAGGGAATGTGTGTAAGATGTTTAAACCAAAAGCAGTTGGCTATGGTGTGCTTCCAACAAGTTTTAGCGCAGTAGGTTTTGACAACGATATATTCATTTGTGCATGCGTTTTATTCAATTTTATTACATTCAATTTTATTACATTCAATTATATCAAAATTACTGATTAAGCCTTAATCAGTAATTTTGGTATCATAATCTGTTAAATAAATGAAAGATCAAAAGACCAAAAGCAGTCCTTTTGTGACGGTCGAAAATTGGTCGTTCAATAAACGACGTTTGACGCTGCTAGAGCCTGCATGCATGTATCTCTCTGTATAATTCAATATGCGTGATGATTGTTGGTATTAATGTTGCTATTTTTTCAATAGCGAAGCTGAATTTGCAGAAGGCAGTTATTTAGCGGCGTATACATGTGCTGAGGTTGGTTTCATGCATTTAGACCACGGTGACGTGAGCACGGGCAAAAATTACTTGGAATTAGCCAGGTATGTTTCTCCCCTCTTTCTCCCTCTCATCTACAGACTGTTCATGTTGTAAGTTTTGATGGATTTACTTAGGATTTACTGAACCTGGAATTAATACCAAAATTGTTCATTTCCTTTGGGTTTAACTAGTCCCTATAAATAAGCTAGTAGGTTTATCCTGATCCATTAGATTGTTTGCACCTTATTCCACTTTTACATTTAATTTTCTATTGAAAAATATAGCAAAAAATATCATGGATATCTCCTGGAAAACCGGCTGCGATTCAGGATTCATGGAGCTTTACAGGATTTAGAGTGTGATAAATATAATGTTCCACGGTTCTGTACTTCGGATGAGAATGACGGAAAACAAGTCACTGACCAGTCAACTGCAACCAGCTCTCATGAAACAACCGATGTTAAAACTGTAAACCCTCAGTCTAGTTCTGTGGAGGTAAAAATCTTTAAGGAAACGTCGGTGTGAACGCAACTAACGTTTTATTTGAAACAAAACCCAGCAAAAATTCTTGTTCATTAGTAAGATTTTCACTGCTGCAACTGTTATTTGCCGGTTAAAACGCGGTGAAATGCAAGGCACCCACCCAAAATGGCGAGTCAAATGCCTCAGTAAAAATTTAAAAATAGGTTTCCTGATTAGATATTTTTCATCAATTAATATAGTAGTCCTAATTTTCAGAGAATTGTAATATAACATTAATCTTAACGTCACTAAAAAGGAGTTACATATATATGAAAACAGTGTAATATAGATCTGTAAATGATATTAATATGTATTTATTATCCAAAATTTCGGTAATTAAATTGTGCTGAAATAATCAGCAATTAAGCAGCCTGCGTGCAGGCGTAATACGTAATTAACCTTTGCACGCGGGCTACAGTCTAGCCACGAAAAATAAATTATTAATATATTGTAGTCCTGGTGTTGAATTTTTTGCTGTATTTTAGGATGAAACGTGTCACAATCACTGATAAATAATAGGACTAAATTAGTGCTATGATAAAATCCTGATGAAATGGGAGATGCTCAATGCTCTATTGATATGAATTTTCCGTCATTACCTGTTTAAACGTCGAGTGTTTCATCAGTTTCCAATGAGTTACGTTCCGAATTCAGTTTGCCATGTTTGTTTGTTTGTTTGTTTGTAACTTTGTTTCCCTTAGTTTGAGCATCAAATTCACGTTAATCTGACACTAAAGGGAACAACCGAAACTTTCGTTATCTCAAGCGGGATTTATTTTAGGCCACACATTTGAAGCGATGATGGTGCATATCTCTGAGCATATGCTCTGACTCTGAGACTGAAAGTGTTTTCGTGTTATGCAAGTACGCGTATCAATTCGCGTATCATATTTCTTAAGTTATACCCGGCTAACCGTTGATACCCTATGCTGGCTAAACTATGCGCTAAATCAGCTGCAACATTTGCATATTTGTTCAACTGAGACTAAATGATATACTTTCATTACCTTGGCTAATTCATCGTACATGCAAAAATTGGCAAATTGCATTGGATCGGATGTATTGTTGAGTGGGCATGGTTACTTTATATTGACTTACATAAATTTGGTTTTGAATTAAAATTGGATCAAACAGCTTCCATCTGACATTATTTGCATTTCAAAATAAACTAACGACGCTTAAAGTAAAGAATAGGTGTGGAGGCAGGAGGTCGACTTTCTTAGATCGGAGTCGGAGACGAATTAAGGAGCAATGTCGCGTTTCAAGGTATGATAATAATACTTACTATATTAATCGCTTGTAATCTTTGACTAGACTATATACGCGTGCTGCTTCACGTATCGTTATACTAAAAAGCAAAGCCAAGGATGTTAAAAACATAATCACATTTCAATATATATTCGGGTATTGTATCATATGTCTGTTGAATTCAAGTTTATTTACTCTGTTTGAGTGTAGAAATGAAGTCGCGCGGACTAACTGCAACGAGTCTAGAATATAGTGGAGTTAGTTCGTAACTTTCGTATTCAAAGATAAGATCGGTTATGTGGTATTTTAGTAGGCATACTTTGGTTACGTAACTTTTTTGTATTAATATCATATTGCCACTGTTGATCCATTTAATTGCAATTGTGCTTAGGCATTGCTGACATTTATTTGAGTAATATTTTTAATCAAATGTGCTATTGTGATGTTGGCCTAAGAGGTCATGCTCTCAACATAATAGTGATAATACTGAATTGCGGGAATTTCGGCTGCTTATGTAACATTATAGCGTCCCTGTTTGGCCGGGATAAAAGCAACAAACACGGTTTCCTTGACTCTTGAACTCGTCACTCGAAATTAAACTTGAACAACAACGTTGTATGGATTAAAAACAGTTTATAGACGTTCATCTTGTTTTCGAAACAATTTCTGTTATAAGAATTTTGAGGCGTAACGACTGTATGACGTAACCTGTTTTAAAATATTGTTGTGTTACGAGTTGATGTTGAACGTTGTTTCGTTACTGTAATTAATATTCGAGAACTGTTCTTGTAACTTACAATGTGTATATCGATAAAGTTAGCCTGTATACCGACTGTAAAAATTTAATTAAGGCCAAGCCATCTTCTACTGAATTTAGTCCGTTCATATAGCCATTCATTATAGCGAGTAATTTGAATTTCTAATTAAGTCTATATTTTTATGCAGACTGTGCGATAGCTGCACAGACCCGCCGTCTGTAGAACTTCATTCATCCACGGACGAGCACTATCTAAGGGAAGGAAACCCTGCGGTCTTTGCAAAAGGATAGCGTACTTTCGTAAAACGTGCGCTAGATTGTTGCCAAAAAAAACATTGCCATTGGCAGTTAAATTTAAGAGCGTCTTTGCCCTTCAGAGGCCCCTGCTAGTAAAAACAAAAGAGGAAGATACATCATGCAGTTCAGGCATTCGTGCAGGCATATTAACGATAATTTAAGGTGGCTCCCTGCAGTTTTAGGAATATTGAAAACTGATGATTTGGATTGAAATTTTTAGCAGGAAATTTCTTGCTGAACGAAATGAAATTTTCCAGATATATTAACCAACATTCTAACAGTCGAAAATTGTCATCACGTATGACGTCATTACCGTTGTTATGGTAACAATGGCGATTCAATATGGCCGTTATTTTACCTATTCACGCATTTTACTCGAAAACAAGTTCGGTTACCCCAATTTTTTATTTTATAAAAAGTTTTCTTACAAAAAAATGGGAAATTGGAGCAAGTTTAGAAAAATTCTATAGAGCCAAAAAATTTCTATAACGAGAAATCACGTTTTTCAATTTTTAATAATTTTGGCTCTATAGAATTTTTTTAAACTGGCCCAAATTTTCCATTTTTTTGTAACAAAACCCTTTATAAAATAAAAAATTGGGGTAACCGAACTTGTTTTTGAGTAAAATGCGCGAATAGGTAAAATGTCGGCCATATTGAATCGCCATTGTTACCATAACAACGGTAATGACGTCATGCTTGTGGGCAATTTCTGACTCTTAGAATGTTGGTTGATATATCTGGGGAATTTCTTTTCCTTAGCAAGAAATCTCGTGCTAAAATTTTAAATCAAAACCACAAGTTTTCAATATTTCAAAAAATTGTAGGGAGCCACCTTAACAGATATCCCCGTATATCGATTTCGAACTCGAAGAATGTGAATGCACAGCGCTTGAAATCTAAATTTATCTAATGCTTCCCTCCCAATTATCAAGCTGGCGACTCCACTGCCTAAAGTTTCGGTTTGTAGCCTTCCTTGAATTTTTAAACAAATTTTACGGTTGTTGATCGCTGCTCAGTTCGTCGTTAACTCGTTAACTTAAATAGAGACTTTTCTATTTAATAGAAACGTTTCTTACAACAATTAAGTCAACGGCCTGTCAAAATCGAGTCCACACACGCTTATCTCGGGTTTCATTCTGGCGCGAAACAATATTTTCTATTGCTTATCTTATTTCTTTGTAGCTACAACATCTTTAGCCAATATCTGTTTCCAAGCAGATGGTTGCACCTGCATGGGAACTCTTGACGGAGAACAATAGCAAAATGTCGCAAAAATTAACGTGCGCGCGGACTGGCCCTAGCCGGGTAGCAACGCGGTCGACTGATCCGCTTCTTTCTTTTCAAATGCATAGATGCTTTACGTTTGGTTTTATATTTTATCTCTGGTGATACGACTCCTGGCTGTTTTCGTATATATGTTGTGCAAATATTGCTTGTCAGGTGAAAGTAAATCTCGGGAAAACACAGACCCTCACCTAAACATTACAAAACAGGAATATGGAAAGCGTAAAATCCTTCGCATTTTGCTCTAACATTATTTCTTTTGTAAAATAGATGTTTGCCGTGTATGTGGTTTTCATTTCTTTACTGAATTTGGTAACGAAAACTGAGGTGCGTTAAAAAATGTTGAAATGTTCCTCATACCAGTTGTTTTCCTAATCTTTAGTATTGTAAAGTTATGTCCTGGTTAGTATAATTTGTAACGAAATTGCCGCGTGAATAAGAATAACGTGCATGAGAGTTCCCAATAAACCAGTAGTTTCTTTAAATTATTTTGTATGATAATTGTGATAGCTAATTGGTAAAATGCACTATGCACTTCGTGGCACTTCGGGAGTAACTTACACCATCACTTCAAGTTTAATCACTATCACCTTGATGCCTGCAGTTTTTACGACTAGGAACAACTTTCGTGCCCTTTCAACTTTCGTTTCCATATAGCAAACAGTTACAACGACTGACTGTGGGACAACAAAGGGTTGTTTGCGAGTTCCGGCAGGCTGCGTTAACACGGATTGTAACTTTGTGGCAAAATACAGTTACCAACAAGATCTTGTGGTATTTGAATTGTTTGGAAAAAATTCTGAATGGGTGTCAATTGGTTTTAATGACAAACAGGAAATGGTATGTCTCTATCAAGAACAGTTTAATTAATCTTCTAGTATCCCTAGCTATCGTAATTATCGTCTATGTACGTATACGGCCATTGTCGGTATATGATCACTGCTTTCTATAACTTGACTAATTTTTCTTCACATTTACATGAGATGATTTCTAATTCTAGGTTGGCACTGATTCAGTCATCTGTTACGTCAACAATACTGTTTTTATTAAAAGTGCAGAATTACTGCAAAAGACTTCTCCTACACTCGAAGAGGTGTGTCTATAAAATCAATTCGTTTCAGTGCATATTTTAATTCGGTTCTTCACCGAGGGTTTTTAACTTGTATCGCTTACAAATATATTTAAAAACGGGGAAAAGAAACCTCGCCAACTTAAAATATATGTACCTATGTCAACGCCGTGTAGTCAGCAAATAAGTATTGTACACATGCAAATAAGATCTTGAAATTTTAACTTTAAGGCCGTTTTTTCTTACTTATCTTATAATTTCTCGCCTTCTAACCCTGTCTTATAACTATCTGCAGTGTATTACGCAGAAAAATAGCACATGCATTATATTGTAAATATGGCATGGTTCTGACTGTTGCATGTTGCTTTTGCAGGCAAACGACCTAAACCTCACCTACAGCTCAGGAAACCGTTCAATACACTGCAGGTACAATTGTTCTGAAAATAATTTTTTTCGATAAATTTTAGTTTTAGTTTAGTTGTGAAATCACCCTAATGTGTGTTAAAATACGACATAATGGGATATGTATACTCAATTGGGATATACAGTATGTACACTCAAATGGATTGCCAAAGAACATTACAAAGTATTTCCATCTATCCTCTGTCCCGTAGTCTGCAGTACGTAACTACGTAATGTTTCTTGTAATTATCAAGGTTCACTCATCCTATCCGACCAAATAATGCAAGTAAATTACGAAATCTTGACGCTGAGTTCTACCTCATTTATGCCACAGGTACTGTATGCATGTAGATGAAGAGAGAGCTGATAATATTTTATCAAACTGCAGCTTGTTTATAACATTTACAATTGTTTTGCATTAAGCTCTACCAGCTGGTTTCGTAGATGTTGTTATTACACGATCTATTGAACCTGATCGATGAAGTATAGATTTTTTTTGACCAAAAATATCACCTGATCCACGTTAGAATAACATCATAAAAAAAGCTGATAGCTAGGATTTGCTTAGACGATATTGAAATATACAATCGATGAAGTATAAATTCTTTCGACCAAATGATTATATCTATATCTACCTGACCTACGTTAGAATAACATCATTAATAAGCTAGTAAGATTTGCTTATAGACAATGTGGACAAAGAGTTTGAATTATAAAATGCTATCTTATAATGATTTTTGTAGTATAATACTGTGACTACTATTACCAATACACTACCAATTATTTTCCTGCAGGTGAAATGAAGAATAACGCTCTTGGATTTCATTATACACTGTATGGTGTTTCAACTTACCATGTTAACCTAACAAAAACTAACGAATCTAGAGCAGCGTCAGTAAGTGTGCCACTATTGTTGCATATACTCGAATTTTTTTGACATAACCTACTGTAACATTGCTCTTTATTCCTTTTTTGTTAAATTACTATAAAAAGTCTATATTATAACATTTTTGTAGTCTAGAAGTTTCGCTACATACACAGTGTTCGACATTCAATTATTATTTTTATCACGTCCCTCATGCTCAATAAACATTTAGGATGGAATTGCGACAGACGGTTGTGGTAAAACTATTGGATGTTTACGTTACCCAAAGGGATGTCACGGAACAGATTGCGACTACATGGCAACTTATCGTTACCAAGGCGATCACGTCTTATTTGAAATTTTTGGAAAGGAAGCTTCTTGGGTATCAATTGGTTTTAGTGACAATAATGAGATGGTAAGTCATTATCTTTCTAGCGAATAAGAAACTAAAAAACGATGGCAGTGCTCAACTTATAACGTAACGCTATAATATAATGCAACATCTCAGCGTGTTCTCTTATGGATGTTACCATAACACGATTGTTCTATTTTTCCTTCGGTTTATCAGACAGGAGAGGATATATAGTTGTTACTTTTTTATAAAAAAATGTAGAGTTGGCATAGAAATAACTGGTGCCATTTTTTGTTTCTCCTTTTAGCCTGACACAGACGCTGTTATTTGTCACATTGCAGTCAACCAAACCGCTGTTATAAAGCGTTCAAGAATGACAGAAAGACGTCGCCCTCCTCTTGTGGCAGTAAGTTGTCAAAAAAGACGTATAGCTACGAATATTGAAATATATTTTAGTTTTGTTCAAGTTTGATTGACTGTTGTATTTTCTTCTGTTAAGGCAAGCAATCTTGATCTTACTGGGAGGTCATATTACAGGAAAAATATTCAATGCAGGTACTGTGAATCAGTGAGATCAGTTCATCTATAAAACATCGCCCTACTGTATAACGCCCTCGATAAGTAACATCCTTATCAAGTTTCTATGAATAGCATGCAACTTTCACTTGTCACATGTAAATTTTTTAAAAATTGTACTTTCCAAACTTACAGATTCAGTCATCCATTTACTCCAAATTCTGGAAGTGGATTACGAAATCTTAGTCAAACTGTTTTCTTGCTTTATGCCAAAGGTAAAGCAAGCACGCTATATTTTGTCTTTTTGCTTTAAACTTGAACTGGTGAGTCAGCTAGAGATCAAGTAAAACCTAGCCTGAAAATAGACCCCAGACAATTGGGTTTATAAGAAAACTTAAACCAAAATCCCCCTTTGCACTACGTATGTTGTATAGACCTGAACATGATCTGTTATATTTAAAGGTGACTTTGATTTGAATGATACTGAACCATTTCGATATCATTCAAGCAAAGAATCACATCGCGGTGCTTCCCCAAAACCTGTCGATCTTCAAACAGCAGAAGATATTGCCCTAGGAGAACCAGATAAAGGTGTACAAGAGGTGAGTGCAGTATCGATCATATCGTGTATCATGAACAACCATCCTCAGAAAAGGTGTCTAAGCCTAACTACCTCAAAATAATATTTGAGATAATATTCGGACGTCATGTTATTTTTTCATTTATTTAGGGAATTTCAACTGCTGGCTGTGGAAAAACAATGGAGTGTTTACGTTACCAACCAGGATGTAATGGCAGCAGCTGTGAGTTCGTGGCTACTTACAGTTATCAACCTGCCACCAAAAATGTAACATTTGAGTTGTTTGGGAAAAATGCTGAATGGGTCGCAATTGGGTTTAGTGAAGATGACAGAATGGTACGAAAAAATATGTCCATGTGTACACAGGCGTCGTTTGTGAACGCTTTCAAAAACGATTTCGATTTTTTTTCTGTATAGCCTAATACAGACTCTGTGTTTTGTTACAACTCCGGTGGCAATATTCTCATACGAAGTGGAAGATTGGTATCTCGAAGTTTACCCAGTCTTGAAGAGGTAAAGTTGTTCATGAGAATAGTACTGTGTAACTTCTATTATCAAAAGCATAATTCATTCACCTTCTAACAACGTCCACCATATATTCTCTATATATATTAAAGGATAATGGCTTGGTTCTTCTCAACCAATCAACAGTCGGTGGAATTCGTTGCAAGTATGACTGGATTAAGATACAACTTATTCTGATTAGGAATGTTTTTGTTCTTCGTGTTATTTTCAGGCAAAAACAATGCCAATTGAATATACTCATTCAAATTTCTAATTCATTATAATTATTGTTATTTCTCATCCTTTCTTGTATACGTGTAATTGTAACGAAACTTATATATGACGTGCAATGACATTTTCAGATTTACCCATCCTCTTACACCGGGAAGTACATCTAAACTGCGCAGTCTTGATCAGAAAGTTTATCTTCTCTATGCGAAAGGTGGGTTCTAATATATCAAGATAATAAGAGTCCATGCACGTGTATATTACAAGTTTTCTAATCAGGAAACCATCTCCATTGTTTTTTCGTAAACGTTTTCTGTCACGTTTCGCCAACTCGGCAAATACCATAAAACAAATCCCCCCCCCTGGCTACATGTATATATAGTCCCATTTGAAATATTTTATGTGTTGTATTCAGTGCAACATGGATCGATTTACCAGCAACGCAGAGTTTCTCTTTTTTACAGGGCCTTTCTTAAGGCTGAACTGAACAAAACTTTACGTCCAAACCAACCGTATCTTGTAATATAGGTTCAGTATCAGGCAATCCAAAGCAACACGCTAGGTCGGCGTCAGGACGCGGAGTTTCAGATGGACGTGTTAATGTAACAAATGTAGGAGAGGATGTTGAAAAAGAAAAACCGGATGATAAAGGAGTAATTACATGCAGTTGCGATGAACTTTGTACTTTGACCATCAACGTCATCATGTCTTCATTAGAAAATCTTGGTTTGAAAATTCAACTGTCGATAATATTAGATATATAGTCAGACTTGATGTTATTTTTTCATTTATTTAGGGAATTTCGACTTCTGGCTGTGGAAAAACAGTGGGGTGTTTACGTTACAAATCAGGATGTAGTGGAAGCAGCTGTGAGTTCGTGGCTACTTACAGTTATCAACCTGCCACCAAAATTGTGACATTTGAGTTGTTTGGAAAAGTTGCTGAATGGGTCGCAATTGGGTTTAGTGACGATCAAAAAATGGTATGATCAAAAAATATTATGAGATATCAGTAACTTTACGAAAAGGCAACTCAGGCCATGTGTACACGGGCGTCGTTTGTGGGTGCATTCAGAAATTATTTCGATTCCTTTTATTCGTTTTGACGGATTGTGGAAAAAAATCTGATGCGCTGAATTAGCGCGTAATTGATAGCTTTTACCACAGTTCTTGGGTAAAACTCTAAACTATGTGCACGTAGCCTTAGGTCTTTTGGCTAGAGTGGAATTCACACCCTCTGCATACGTTTCCGTGTGAAGAACCTTCTCTACTAAAGTACAGAGAAACGTTATGCTTCCGAGTGTAGACGAAATCCGATGCTAATCTATGCAACTATAATTTAGAAGAAATCGTTATATAGTTCGTGTAAGCGAGTAAAATAGGTATATCTTAATTAATCAGGTTCTTCACGGTATAATAATAACAATTATTTTGTATAGGCTAATACAGACTCTGTGTTTTGTTACAAATCCAATGGCAACATTCTCATACGAAGTGGAAAATTGGTGTCTCGAAGTTTACCCAGTCTTGAAGAGGTAAAGTTGTTCATGAGAATAGTACTGTGTAGAACTTCTACTATGAAATTGATATTTCATCAAAAGCGTGATATTCGCGTTTTAACGTCCACCATAATACTCTATATATATTATAGGAAAAGGACTTGGTTCTTCTCGAGCAATCAACAGACGGTGGTGGAATTCGTTGCAAGTATGATTGGATTAAGAATCCTTCTTATTGACGTTTTTGTCCTACGTTTAATTTTAAGCAAAAGCAATGCCCATTGAATATATACTCTATTGAATATATTACAAATTTGTAATTAAATATTGTTGTTTCTCACCAGTTTAATCGTAACGGCACTCATATATGGCGTGCAATGACATTTTCAGATTTACCCATCCTCTTACACCGGGAAGTGCAAGTAAACTGCGCAGTCTTGATCAGGAAATTTATCTTCTTTATGCGAAAGGTATAAGTTCCACGGAATATGAAGTTATCAAGAGTCCATAGAAATAGTACAAGGACATGTCACAGTGCTAGTATATATACTATATACTCAGGAAACCCGGCATCTCTATTGTTTTGTGTGGACGTTATCAGTCACGTTTCGCCAGCCCGGCAAATACCTTAAAACGACTTTTCACCCCCAGGCTCGTGTAGCCCCATTTGAACTATTTATCGGTGTAGTGTTCTGTTCCACTTGACTTAATTTACGAGCCTCGGACACTTTTACGCCTTTTCGTTGGATGAACTGAACCAAAACGTTACGTCCTAACCAACCGAATTGTATCTTGTAATATTACTAATATAGGTTTGGTATCAGGAAATCCAAGCCAACACGCTGCGTCGGCGTCAGGACGCGGATTTTCTGAGGAACGTGTTAATGTAACAAAAACAGTCGAGGCTGAAACAACTACTCCAAGTCAGTTGAAAAAGAAAGTGCACGGTATATATACTTTATTCAAATTGTCTTAATATGGGCAGAGATTGAGGGTTCCACAATGAATATCGCTTTGATTTACTATAAATTTATCTGTAAGTGTTTTTCATTTAATCAATTATGATTTTTGGCACTTCACTCGATGTAGGTAAATTAATTCGTAATTGATTTACCCTCACCTATATTCCCGGCATTACCATCATATACACATTAACCATACATGCTTGCTCTTGTCAGCTACCTCTGTAGATCAGTGGCAAGAGCATTGCACCGGCATCGCGCAAAAGCGTAGGTTCGATTACTGCCGAAGGACCGATAGTTGACTAATTTTCCATCAACTGTGCCTGGCTTGAATTTGAATTGTGTGTAATTCCAGTCTGTTTTTCCTTTAGGTTCATTAATGACTGTCGTTTGGATTTTACTTGCATCCTCTGGCTTGTTTTTCGCTCGATACACCAGACAAAATTGGCCAGATACTGAATTACTGGGAACTAAAGTTTGGTTTCAGGTATGTACTTAGTTTTTCATCTTTAAGATACCGTGTCCGCGGGTGGTGTTAAAGCCGTTAAACTGGATGTTCTGTTCCCCACGCAATATTCTCGTCAATATTGAAATGTATATTGAAATGATTACAAGTTCTCTCGCAAGTTGTAACTGTAATTTCTCGGGTTTTTATATGAAAGAAACAGCAAAAAAGAATGTAACTGCGACCGTACTTGAAAATTTCGGTCGTAATTCGAAGCAATTTAAAAAAGTATATTTCGGAACAGAACATCTTTTTCTAGACACTTTCTATACACCTTGTATCGTTCTAGCAAATTGCAATTTTCATCTCATTTTATAAAACATGATGATTATTCAAAACAAGCATTGTCTAAAAAAACATTATTCATATTCAGTCCAGTAAGTGATGACCATACTGAATGACTATCGTTAAACGACGGACCACAGTCACAACATGCAACGATTAACGACAATATATTTCATGCATTCTACTTTATACATGTAGTTCCATCGGGTTTTGATGGCCGTTGTTGTTCTTGGAACAATCGCCTCAATTGTAATAATATTTGTCGATCTGGATGGATTTACGGAGGTAGATATAAACTATTGATTATAGGTCAATACCGAGAAAATGAAATACGGATCTTACACAAGACGCAATAACACTAAACTGAGTAAACGCAGTCAATGCAATAAAGGAGTCGGTCTGTGTGCAGACTACACTTGCAAACGTACATTGGTATAAAATGTGAAATTCCACCCAAATAGGAAAATCCTCTACCACTACGACTACGTGACTAATGTCACTGATTATGAGGATGTTTTAGAATCTGCACCCAATAATAGTTCAACTGTTTTACAGCACGAGGGCACGGTTAAAACACATGCTATAATTGGTTTGGTTGTTTTTCTCCTGGCTGTATTACAGCCCATTGGTGCTTTATTGAGGCCACATCCGGGAACACCAAAGTAAGTATTCGTAAAAACAAGTTCATCCAACACGAAATAGATTTGGCTGAGATATAGTCATTTCATGTTTTTTTTGCCTTATATATATTTAAAGGGATCTGTGGTTGAATATTCTCACATGCATTTTCCTAGGCGACCGTATTTCAACTTCTTTCATCGATCATTAGGCGTTTCTGCCTTCGTAATGAGTGGTGAGTTTTATCTCAGTTTAGAAAGTAAATTAGAAAGTACGTGAATATCTACGAAGATTAGCCACGCATGCATGTATGTTTAATCGAATAGACGATAACTACGATTGATCCATGCAAAATGTATAATTAGGAATTTGATTAATTTGGTCATGGCCAGATAACTCAACGTTAAGATTCATTGGTCTGAACGCGTATCATCGGAACTGTGTGAAAGAACAATGTAAATATTTTCCATACAACCTGACATGGCTTAACCATAACTGGTATTTTTTTAGTCGTGACGATTATACTCGGTCTGGATTTCTTCAAAAAGGATGAAGCATATTACACAGTCATTGGTTATGCTGTTTTTTTGGCTTTTGTTATCGTTATAATGGAGATCTCAAAATTCTTATATGATCGTGCTCAGGAAACAGTCCATGACGGTATACACAATCTTACCTTTCATTTTCCCCACGGATACGATTTGTCGTAAATAATTTGTCTCGAATTAACATAGTTTTTCAGTAGATAAACGGAACGTCGGTTATCACTTTTTTTAAAACCACCAAATGTTTTCTCCCAACAGCAACCGTTCCAGGTGGAATGCAAATGGAAATTAGTATTGTGGAAGGCAGTTCCTTCGTAAGTTCTTTCATGAAATTGATTGTGATAATTCATATAATTGTGATTTTCTAAAAACAACGTTTGGCTCCAACGCAAAACCTCCCACCCCAGTCCCACGCTTCCATAAGAAATATCACGTATACTTCCCGCGCCCCCTCGGTTCTATACGACTGAATATTATTATTGAAAGCCTTACATGAAGCTTCGTTGAAGAATTAGCACGTTGATAGTGTGACAGACTGAATTCTATAGAATGACTGGCTGGTGTTTTGATAGATTCTGTGTATAAACTCTGGTAACGTTCATACCTAGAGTAATGTCTCTGGGTTAACTCAGTTAATTAATTATTCATTTCCTTATTTCATACAGCATCGGACGTTATCAAAGATACTGCTGGGAGTTTTGGATGTTGTTTCTTTGGCTGTAACTATTGTTGTGATTTATTACATCAATAAAGATGACGAGGAGGTTGAGGCTCATACTCATTAATAGAGATGACGATGAAGCTCAAAATTAGCTTAGTTACTGTGTATAGTCGCATAATATGCATGCCTACACGAAGTGCCCCTTTTACACTGTGTTGTACCCTATATGAAGTGACACAATGTCGTAAAATTTATACATTTATGTAAAAACATTTATCAGTTGTTGATGCAAACGAGCGAACAGTCATGGATGCTCTGCTGTGCATTAAGTACTTCTACATTACTTTAAGTTCAATTAAAGAATCGACGCTTGTGTCAGCCTGTGTGAACAATAGCCTCTATTACTAGTATTAGGAATCAATGGCATTTTTGGTAAAGTTTTTCTAAACTTAAAAATTTCGACAAACTTCAATAGCCTATAAAAGCGTTTACTACTTCTTTTACTACAACTCTTAAATAATTTGGAATGAAAAAGACCACGGGTTAGACTACATTTTTGCAAATTTTTGCGGTGATCAGACCACAGTCAATATACGCAATTTACTACGTCATTTAAACGGAGACACCTGACTCTTTAAAATATTAAATATTGTAACCTTATATACCCGCATGTCAACTCAAGATTCACATACCTCCACGACGTCTGTCTATACTATAGAAAGCAACACGAGTACACTTAGACGTTTTTTTAAAGTACGGTATTATGGGGCGACGAATAACTGTGAGTATCGTTCTTTACTGGACAACCCAAGCAATTGTTACAGTTAGTGTTATCGTTACTATTGCTTTATCCCTCAAGAGCTCCCTAGAGTCGGATAAAATTTATCAGAATTTAAGGTAAGGTCTATTAAGTATTTGAGTGTATAGGACTGCTATATATTATATAACTCATGACATGTTTATGATATATTTTATCGTCGAAATGTTTGACACAGGGTTTCTCTTAGTTTCGGGAGTTATTCGACAAATAACGGTATAACGTAAACGCTCATTGTTGGACAGAATGAGAGGCCATATGTCAATGTTTCTTTTAATAACGATGGTATCTTGTTGCTAATAGGAATATATAAGGGCTAATATAAATATGTTTTTGATCCAGAAGGCACAGAAACATATTTAAATGAATTTCATACATAAACTAGCGATCCCAGTCAATATGCGTCCTTGCATGTGTGTGTGATTGCCAAGGCTCGTCAAAACAGACGCAAACAAATTGCTTAAAGATAGGCACGAATGAGTCTAATACAGACACAAAGACTGTCAGGAGGGTCGTTACTGCAGCCTGGAAATTTGTAGCTTAAATATACGACTCTATGGCATATAATAGTAATAGCATAGGGGGGTCGGTCGGTAACTTCATAAGATCCACATGCGGTAAAAAACATAAGTTTATTACTATTTGTATTACATTTAGACTTACAAATTGTGAGTGAAATGCGGCTGTGAGTAAGTACTAAATATTTGGTATTATGTCACTGTAATAACACTAAAAAACAAATAAAACATTGTCTTTTGCGTGAAATTTCACAAAACCGTCCTTTTTTAGCCACGAGTATTAAGTTTATTTCGGAATTGAAATTGCCTAGTTCTTTCTGCGGTAATATAAGAGCGAGAATGAATGCAAACATTCTCCATCGTCTTGTAATCAAATGTGAAGTATGAATAATGACGAGACCGCCGCAGCTGCTGCTCCGCAAAGTTGCAGACCCTACGCAGGACATAGTACAGTGTAGCCATATAGATCAGTGAATGTCATACTTGATGTTTGCTCACTTTGCTGATGAGAAAGCAGAAACGAAGCAGAATCGCCAACACACCCATAAATCCCTGCTCAAAATCATCCCTCTTGAATAAGGTAACCAGAATTATCAGATTACACAAAAAGCTACAGCACACCTAATCTTAGCTAGCGGTAGGTCTACTGTTCCCCGACTTTTGTTCACTGGTACATCTGTGAAATCTTTTGAAAATCAATGCTCCATTCAATGACTGAAGGGAGTAGGTTATATATCAAGCATGGAGTTCCGTAGGTTGGCGTAACGGATTAAGGTTCTAGGTATTGTTCTTTTGCTCTATTGACATTGCTCTTTTGCCGACAAAATCGGCTATCTGAATTTTTTTTGGAAGGTGTCGTCATCTGGTATCCTGTAAATTTTTCGCTAGGCAACTGTCTGCGCGTAACGATGTGAAAACTGATTCGTCATGGTTAATGATTTTTACGCCATAATTTAGCAGTTAGCACACTGATATAAAATTATACCGTTAAGTATATTGACTGGATTTATGCAAGTCCAGGTTATTCATATACAATTACTAAATGGTTTCCGTGTTTGGATGGCCTGATCCAAACACTAGGGAATATTGCAAGAGTTTGGATTAGGCCATCCAAACACGGAAAGCATTAAGTAATTGTTTTATAAAATAACAACGACAAAGCCTGAATTTAAATTTAAATTCTTTAAAACTTTAAATTTCCGTGTTTGGATGGCCTGATCCAAACACGGGCTTCGACCAATCAGAACACGCGTTATATACATGTTATTTTATAATAACATTTTCCTACCGTTCAGTCAGTAAGATGAGTTCTAATTGTTGAAAAATCGTTAGGAAAATCGTTAGGAAATCGATAAAAACGATGCATGTTCATGCGATGCATGTGCGGTAAAACTTTGGAGTGACAGAAAAGTGAGAAAACACTGATGAATACAGAACAATACAGAACAACCCCTTCGGGTCAATGTCAAGAATGTTTTGAATGAGAATTGTTTATGATAGGGACATGTAGATCATGATGAGGAACAGGAATATTGAACTAATAATATTGGCGGTGACATGACGCCATTATTCATTTGCAAATATAAACGGAAAGGGAGTGTCAGAATGCCCAAAATGTTCCGCTTTGCTGTAGAGCGTTGAAAATCAGATTAAAGTTAAGACGTAAGACAAGTTCATTCAGTAAATGAAAAAAATGAGAACCTCAGGTACTTTATCTAATCAAAAAGTGTCCATACGCTGTATATGAATCTCTTGTCCTAATAACTTAAATGCAATACGTCATTTATGAAGACACTTGAAGCTTCATCATTTTTGTAACCAAATACTTATGCGTGACAGCGTGAGATCTATATCATAGCAATTTAGCATACAACTATAGAACTGTATGTAGATGAGACAACTTTACTAAGTTTACTTCACAAAGAGAGAATCATGAGAACAACAATGTCAGCGGCGAACATACTTTACTGGATAATTCAAACTATTGTTACACTTAGTGTCATTCTTGCTATTTCTTTATCGTTCAAAAGCTCGCTAGACTCGGAAAATATTTATCAGAATTTAAGGTAATGTATTGGTCAGAATGCAAACTTTATTATAATTATATAGCCGTACACGTAAATGAAATATTTCCTGAACGTAAAAGTTTTGTTAATGTCACAGAAATTGTTACTTGTTTCAGCAGACTCGAATGTTACGGAATACGGAGTGCCTTAATCAGCTTTGTAATTCCTTTTCATGTTTGAAACAAATTACATTCAGTGTCACGTTGCAATTCATAACAATTCGTCGTGCTGACGTTTCCTGGAATTTTGTCTAAAATTAACTACACAAGATACTCGTGCTCTTTTCAGGAGCAAATTAAATACGCATACTACCCGATAGTGCATCAGTTTAACTCATCTTGTCTGCATAACGATCATAGATAGCCAGTGCGTAGCCAATGCATTTGACTGTCGAATGTATGTCAATCAATTATATTGCATATAACACTACATAGTACATGCTGTACTGTATATGTAATATATAGAAAAATATTGTATAGTCGCTTGTTTATTTCAAGTGTTGCAGAGAAAATTGCAGCGTGAACGTAACCGTGAGAAAATAAGAAAAATGTTCAAATTTCCAAGAAGTCACATAAGCATATATTATACAGGCATTACCCGATTACCGTGTTGTAATACAGGCTGTGCACAGGCTATTTACCAGTTTACTTTATAAACAATTGATACAGAGACTCAAAACCAAAAGGTGAATAAAAAAAATCATTTTCTTTTTCAGAAATGATCAGACTGCAAAGAGTTTACAAACAGGAGGTAAGACACAAGGCTCGTATAGATCAGCAGTCTTGACTGTCTCATGACAAGTATCTAACGGTGAACGGGTGTTTACATCAAAGTTGCAATGGCAAGTTTAACGGAAACTATTTGACGATGCTTTATGATAATCAATGTATTTTGACGGACATTTTGCAATATTTTTAAAGCGTCGTTCACGGCAACAGTGATGGCTATATGTATAGAGATGTTATACAGGGGAAGGGGTAATTTAAATTCGATAGTGAAAATTGCTTTCTTCGGTTTGCAAGATGTGGGAGTATATCATTAGCTTCGTACACCACAGTTTACATGACCAAACGGTCATTTACATGAGCATTATTTTCCGTTGAAACACGAGCATGACCTGTTTTTTGAACAACTTCTCTTGTCTTACGAGAACAAATAAAATCTGTTACGAAACAGGATTTAAACAATTTCATTTTTCATTAATTTTAATAACAGCCCGCTCCACTAAGTAGTAATATGATGCATATGGGCAAGTATGTCGTGCGGTAATCAACCTGTACTCGTTTGATTGATTATCAAATGTTCTTTGCTTTAGTATCGAATAAAAGCTGTCGTTATCCGCTGATTAAAGTTAATGGGTTTTGTCAGCCGCCTTGTAATTGGTCGTTTATGACGTCATCGGAGATGGAGATATATGACAAGATAATGTCCAACTGTTTAAGAATTGCAATGATTTCTGCTGTGATAACATTTTTAACATGGCTGGCTTGTGAACCGCTGTAAGCTAGTTTTTCCTTTTTTGTATTACATTTATTTCTTGCTATAAGCCAACTTCAGAAAATACAAAGCAATGGACACTATGAATACGTTAATTAGACCCATCAAGCACATATTATGTTAACCATCTTCTTCTCCATTGTTAACCTAAGCATTTTCTGACGTATGTACAGTTGCATATTGAACTATTATATGCGTTTCTTCTTGGCCGAGTTTCAAAACGGTTTCCTGGAATTTTTTTAAAACTCAAAAACACGCGTGCTTTAAGGTCAAATTATGGAGCAACGCCTACCTTTTGCAAGCAGCCGTTCTGACTTCCGTCTCGAATCATTTTTCATCTCGTTGTGTATGTAATTTAGCATTTCACCTATAAATAGAGGGATATTTTTATTGAAAGAATGTTTTCATTTACTTAATTTCTGCAGGAGAAAATTTCCACATATTGTTCGATTTTACATCTTGCTGAGCAGCGCCAGTTTTAGTAAGTTTACATTTTGTTTGATAAAGCATTTTTTTGTTCATGTTTTTGGATGAATACAAATCTGCCATTTCAAAACTCGTTGCTTAGGATAGAGAATATAAAGTTATTTGGTTGAATTGTGATTTGATCTCTTTTTTAAGAGAACGATAACTTTTATAATTATGCATTCGAAGTGCCTGGTCTAACAATGATTTCAAATCGGCTGGTTGTCTCTTTTAATCTAACATTGCATTGACGATCTCAACAAAAAGAATTATTGTTCCCATTTCCAGTTTGAACAATTTCCCATACCATAATTATTTAACCATTCATTACCTAATATAGCAATTTATCATATAGCATTTGCAGGAATTTTTCCGTCCAAATTAAGTACAATCAAACAACATATGCATTGCTCCAAAGAAGAGTATTGGACAGCTGTGGGTATTACGTCAAATATGGTAACATTGCAAGGTAATGTAAATGAATAATGCATAGGGATCCTTGTCAGTTGGGGTTTTTACCCCCGGACATATACCAGTTACAGTAATTGGCAACGCCGTAAAACTTATGACCATGGTTACCAGCATCAAGTATAAATGATAGGAAAGGATAGAGAATGAACTTGACATATAAAATCTTAACAAAATTTGGTTATTTGTGCCTGTTCCCAAAAGCTCTAAACAATCTCAAAAGTAACATACTTTGGAAACAATTTTTACAACTCTATTCTCCAACTGAACCACGGTTCACAGATACAAAGATATGTAGTTAAGATAGCTATAAACGAATGACAATGTATGACAATGTATGTTTTATTATAGGGGCAGTTTGTCATTATCTATTGTTGATGCTTTGCTTCTGGTTGTTTTGTTATGTTGCTAATACGTTTCTCTTGATTGTTCTGGAAAAACGCCATATATTTACCAATCCAAAACTTCATGTCATACAGCTTATGTTTTGCACGATTGCACCATCTATTTTTGTGGCTATTTGTCTACTTGTCGAGCAACCTGGCTATCACATGATATTCAAGGACCGCATGGCCATTTTACCGTCGACGTATATTCTTGTATTTGGCACAATCACCCTTCCAATCCTTCTTATGTCTGGTGCATCACTTACAATGTTGATAGCCGTTGTTAGATGCATTAGAAAGGTTTGTCAATACATTATATATGCCACATGCTTATCATGCAGTGTTAAAAGCTGCATCCCATATGAATAAAGATGTATATCAAATCTATACAAATGTTCAAAATCAGCATTGCCCATATGAATAGTGATGTATATCAAGTCTATACAAATGCTCAAAATCATGAAGCACTGCCCTACTTCAGAAGCATTAACTCTTCGACATGCCTTCTTAGGTTAAGGATTGCACATTTCAAGCGAAAGTGCTGTGCCCCTATGAAACGTATGTTTTCATTTAATTAATAGGTTTCTCGGAATTCTACAACAGCAGGTCAGGTGATAAGATCAGATGAAGAAAGACGGTCTTTGAAAAACATTGAACGACACTTCATCTGCATCATATGTCTCTATGCACTGGCTATGATTGCTATATTTGTAGCCGAGGTTTTTCTACAAGACCAGGAAATCGATTATTTGAAAAATATTTTGGCGTATTTTTCCTGTCTTCGGGTATGTTTAGCTGTGTTAGTCTCGTTTCTGATGCAACTCCACATTTGTTCAGAAATTATTTCTACTTATATAGACCGTTATGAGAAGTCTACACGTTATGAAATAGTTTGTTTCTCATTGGCAAATCGCCGCAAATTTGTATTAAATGTGTATAATTAAATGTAAATACATTGAATTCAATGCAGCCATCGCTGCATGGAGTTTTTCAGGGTTCCAAAAAAAGGCGTACACCTCGACCCTTCATAGACAATGTTACAATATGCAACTTTCCTTGCAACTTGCAATGCAATTCTACTCCTGATGCATCTAAAGTTGACAAATACGAATATTTCTTACGATCAATAACGTTTTCTGAGCATTTTTAACACTCTTTACAAATTAACATCCCTCGAAATTATAATTGCATTGCAAGTTGCAAGGAAAGTTGCATAATGTATAACAGCGCCTTCAGCTATATATATGTTTCTTTTTAGACGAACGAGCCATGCAATAAATCTGACAGACCAAAGTTCTTCTTATCAAATATGAAAATATTAACGCCTGGATTTTTTTGCCTCGTTACCTTTTTTCTGCTTTTCTGTACTAATGAAACACGCTCCATCTGGAGGGGCTGGTTGCAGTGGATTTGCTCAAAATTGTCAATTGTTGGGCAATATTTGTTGGGTTGGATAAGAGAATGCAACATGTTTTTAACTAGGAAACATAGTTTACGAATGGCAGATCAAGTAAGGCCAGCAGGCGCCGATGTTAACAGGGTATCTTTTGGTAGTGTCATATCAACAAATGGTTTATTATCGTACGACACACGAGGGACAACGTTGGGCGACGAACATCTTGCCAGGAATAACGATGTAATAATCACACACCTATAGCGTCGGCCATAGCATTCAAATTAAGGATTGAATATACATCAATCGATTAGATTGGGTGGTCTACATCACGAGCGTTCATTTTAGCTAGCGTTTTTTCCTGCACATAAGTTTTGAGCGTTGACATCTAAAATATTTTCACCTGTATGATATGTTAAAGCTGGTTGTGCTGAAGTCATTTAGGTCGCCATCCATCGAACGAAATTTTCACGATTTTTAGGCCACGTTAATTCACAAGGGACCAGACGAATTTGGTGCTGTTCGGTCTCCTCGTGTGCATGAAAAAGAATTTGCATCCATTTTAGCGTGTAAACACCTGCATGAACCGGACGAATTCGAGCGAGGTACCAAATTCGTCCGGTCCCATGTGAACTTATATAGCCTAAGTCACTATTTGCGACAAGTAACTCCAGAAGTCAAGTAAATATATAGAACACCTCGTACTGTGTGATAGGAATGGTAAAAGTTCACATGTTGTAAAAGTTTAATTTTGTATATTAAATAATCGCAAGAACTCACTTTTGACGTTCCTTTAGTCTTCGTAGATTTGAAATACACTGTGGAGGAAGGTAGCCATAAAACGCACATATTTGGTTTTGTTTATTACGTTTCTTGTTTGTACATTACAACCAGGTACGGTGTATTCGCAATCTCTCACTTTTGTAAGAAACAGAGTACGTATTCAAACGTTTGAAGTTTGCAAACGGTTCCCAGCAAATAAACAGCCAACAAGACGCCCAATAGTAAGTTCGCCGAGAGTTGCCTTCGGGCTTTGAGAAATTCAAACCTCATGCCATGAGGTTTGAATTTCTCGAAGCCCGAAGGGCTCATGCTGACTCATTTGCCGAACGGCGAACGCATTCAAAACAATAGTTAATATTGAGGTTCCTCGTTATCTATTGTTTTTATTCATGCCACGTTCAATAATTAGCATTATTTGCATATGAATGCATGCCCTTGTAGTGGGGGTAGGAAGAGTAGGAAAAAAATAGAGAAATAAAGAACTGTTGAAAAGAATGCATATTTAAAGATACCTATCTCTACTGTGTAAATCGTCTGCTTGAGAACAAAGTTGATGTAATGAGTCTTATTGCCATCTAATAATCGCCATCTTCATAACACCATATAAACGTGTACGAAGTAAAATCATACTAGTTCGTTGTCGTTGATCGTTGAGAAATGAGAATCAATGCATTACTTGTCCTTTACGACCAAGGTCTCGTCTTTCGAAAGAAATCTCTGTTCAATTTCTGAAAGGAACAATGTCTACTTCATTATTAGCCTCGAGCATTATGCTGATTATTAAAAAATTCATATGAATCAAGAAATATAGTGGCGTATTTCTGGTTTTCCGTATAAAACCATAGTTTCATGCACTGACAACTTTTGACGACGATTTTCTTCTTTTGGTGTATGTTATTGAGTACATTTAACTAACTATATAGGTTACTTTACTCGCTAATTTAACTGTGCACAATCTTCTCAATGAAAAACGTTATGAAGAGAAAATCGTCGACAAAAATCACCCAAGAAGCAAAGGGTTTGTTTTGACATATACCTTCATCTTGAAAATGGAAACTATTGACCAAATTGCAAATGTTTTTCAAAACTATAAAACAAAAAAACTATATTTTGTCCGGTGTCCGGCAAAAACATGATTCGATATATATAATTGTAAGGTAAGAAAAAAACTGTTCAGAATAATTCTCTTAGTGGCGATAGTGGAGCGGTGCAGTCTATAAATGATCGAAGTGCTGCTCGATCATCACCACAGAATATGATTTGACCGTACACACACTTCCTTTATGGACTGCAGAGCAGGGGGACAGGCCTTACGTGCGTTCTGGTCCTACAATCACCCCCCCTTCACCCCTCCCTGCCACTTTCAAATCTTCAACTAAAAATACCTTCAAGTTCCCTTGACATGAAATGGCAAAGAAGGAACCAGAAAAGGACTTACGTTTAAATTTAAACCTCTGCAGTACGTATCGGCAAAAATCTTTCAGACATGCTTGAGCTTTTTGAAGCCGATATTTAAGCAACCCACCAGATGTTTTAGAGGAGATATCACGTTCAACCTCGTCGTGTAAAGTTGCCTTTATAATGGCAAAGGCTTCTTCTCTGAATATTAAAGGAATATTAGAGAATTTTACAACAAAACTAATAAGTTTTAATACGTTTAGGTAACTTACGATATATTATCGTCATCAGCTTCTTTGAAGGAGATAAAGTCATTTTCGTCGTTTGACACATTCGGAGATTCTGTGAAGGAAACTTTACGTTACGTCAACTGAAATATCTAAATGAGGATAAATATTACTAACTCGCTAATGAATATTACTAAATATTACTAATAATTCTACTCTCTCTAACACTCTCTCGTTTCATTAAATGTTGAGCGGAGAAAAAAACGAAAGACAGTTCTCATTATTATTGATTTTATTATACATTCCTGTAATACCTGCATCTGGCAGTTTGACAGTATCAATGAATTTGCAGAACAATTTTCGAACCACGTCTATAAAAAGAAAGATAAATATGCTGAAAAAATGCAGGTACTTTACTGATGAGCTATTAATCCTTGTGTTTGAATGTTTTTGCTATTGCTAAGTGTACGAGTGTCATTTCCTACATGTACGACTAACATTTGGGGTGGGATGGAGTATTTAGACGTAGGTATAGTGACAGGGGTATTGAAATAAGGTTCCTAAGTAATCTATTCAAGGAAATCGGTAGTAATACATGAGGCTCACGAGCCTTTTAGAGGTACAGTAATAATTTCGATATATACCACTAGTAGAATCTGGCAACCATGCACAAAGACCTCTCAGACATTTCTGAATCGTCGGAAGAGAAGCCGCGATCCGAGCCTTAAGACGACGCAATTTATCAAAAAACCATGGGTCTTGTTTGGATATTTTTAGGACGTCTTTGAATGTAACGCTCAGCAAATCTTTATCTCTAAATTGAAAGAGTATATCAACCATTGAATACACTTTTGGCTTAATTGTACTGCAAGAATATACGCTAAAATACTACGGTTTTACGTGGTTTGTTCTTGGCTGTAGGCTTAGTTTTCAGTCGGTCGTGCATGGTTTGTTGCTGGGTCACGATCATTGTACGGAGGTATAAATCATATCTATACATTCATATCTATACATTGAACTTACCCAACACTTTCTTTATCTTCTTTAGTATCACTTTTTACAGTCTCATAAAACTGGTCTTTAAAATAGCCTAGAGCCGCGGTTTCCTCATGCCCGTGATGGTGTGCAACACCTAGAGACACAGCACAAAAAACTGCGAGCAAAACTGTCCAAAACTTCATAGAGACTGTTAACACAATTAGCTGTCCTGAAACCCTGAAATGATCCAATGGTTTATGCAGCTGTGAACTGGCTACACCGTAATTATAGCGTAGTTGTTTTCAAATGAATTGCAAATTTCACGAATCACAACACCCGAATATGGTTTTTCTGTTAAACCTTGTGAAGGCGTCGTAGAATAGCAGTGTTCTGTGTTCGTTCCAGAAAGGCTAAAAAACTTGAGTAACGGATGTTTTACCTGCTCACCGGAAAAAACGTCATATTTCAATTTCTTCTGCAATCAGATTATCAAGTATAATAAGTCTCCATATCGCAACGTGTTATTAACAGCCAACCTAGCTATACTGCACGCAGGTCCGCGATAAATATTAACGAAAAGTTATCTGCACGAGTATTGTATATGTTCTATTTAAAGAATCAGGTAGAGATATTTGCCCTGTATGCATAGTATGATATAGTAAAATATATTATTATGAATTATTAAATCTCTGATATGCAGATATTGTTTGGCGTTATTATCTCTGGCTTCGAAATTAATTCCGCTTAGAAAAAAATTCAATTCTCATGCAACGGCTGAGTGTCCCAAATTCCCTGTCCCCCGGCCAAATGAAACCTTTTTATTTTCAAGGCAGTTCTATGCACCACCGCCTTTCTTGCTGTTGATCAGGACAAAAGATCCCCGATTCGTAGGAGCCAGTGTGAACCAGCCAACCAAACCAGGCCTAAGACACACGCATAAAAAAGGCCAAGGCTGTCAAGCTACTTTCACTTCGCCAAAAATACATCAAGGGCAAATATTAGGACGTTATCTAAACAAAGGTAGCAGTCACATATGAACACCTGCCATATCATTACTACTTCAACATCCGAAGTTGTAAATATATTACACTGTCAATCGAATTCATTCAAATTCCCAGAGGTGAATCTTGCACCTCCAACGACACGAGAGCGCCATTGTTTCAGGGAACATTATTTTGGGATATCCTGTATGAGAACGCTTTGAATTTCAATCCCTGATTCATTGGGTCTGTGGATAGATTTCGGACAAAATATAGGATAAATTTAAACCGAAAATCAGCCTATAATAAAAACAGGTGAACTTTTGCTTCCTATTTTATTACCCAACACAAAGATTAACATTACAAACGTTGTATATATATTTTAGATACGCATACATATATTACGTGAACGATGTTACTATCGAACCGTTACATCTAAATAGTTTAAAATACATAACATCAATGTAGACCTTGTCCCTTCATGGCATATTAATTCAAATATAATTTACTCTATTAGTGAATCATAAAAATATAAAGGCTTATAACAAAAGTAAGATAATAAAAATAATAATATAGGTTAAGAGTTCTGGCTTGTGGTTAGTTTTGTGTAGTTTTGTGCATACGGAGGATGAAGACGTCCTAAAAATGGAACAAAGGCTTTAGATATCAATTGGTTTTAAATCGTACAAAACGAGGCAGTCTCTGGGAAGTGGGAATTAACTAGCCTTGTGTATATTATTCTTCTAAAGTTGCGATTATACAGTATACATACGTTGTTTGTGATTTTTGCATGCACAGACAGCTATAGAAACTTACCATTTAGGAGCACCTTGCATGTTTGTTTGTTCTACAGATGGTCACCGGTTCAGTCATAAGACTTGGAACACAAACACATTGTCGACAGTGAGACTGGTCTTCATCAATCTGTTTTCCAATTGTCGTTTTCATTGCCTGCTTCAGTAAACTGGTCCAATCTCCGAGCTCCTTTGAATACGCCTTGAGATTGAAGGTTCCACCTTGCGAAGATTCTGCCAACTTGGTGTAGACATTCGATGGTAGCCCAATGGAGCTCCGTCGCGATCTTTCCTTGGAAAAGTCTTTTTTAAGCATCGCTTTGCCCTTCCACAATCCAAGAACATCTCTGTGTTGTTTCTTTTGGAAATAAGGACCAATCACATTAAATATCACTCCTTGCATGTCCAGATCTTTGATGGCCTTCTGTAATGGTGGACTCGCCATCACTTCACGATTTTGATCGGTCATCATGATCACAACCTTACTTGCTCCAGGCAGGAACGGCAGATGAGCAAGATACTCAATAGCTTCAAATGCGTTTGCTGCTCCGGAAGTGAACTTCATGTTAGCAATTGCACTTTTCACATCTTCGATGCCACCAAAGATTTTACCTCCGCCAGTAACGATGTGTGGGCGTCTGAGTACGTCAGACTTACCACCGAAACCAACGACTGCGTATCTTGAGTTATATTTGCTAAGGTCAGTTTGTAGCTCTTTGAGGAAATTAGGTAGATTATTTGCATGGATCTGGAGGTTTAGTGTCTCGGGAATAAGCAAGACCACGTCGACGTTATTATTGCCACCTTCTGTCCATTTTTGCCACGCGCCTTTGGCACCACAGCTCCCTAAAAACAAATTTGAGGTCAAAATGCGAATTGCTCTACATTTGTAATTTGTCCCGATCTTATAATATATTTTGAAATAAATACTCACCACATTCATCCAGTTGTCGTGCCCAGACTCCTTTCTCTCTCAAGAGTGCTGTGTATGCAGCGGTAACATTGCAGAAGCTCTTACTTGCTGGAACATCAGTCTCGCAGTCAGAGGTGTCGAAACGGCATGCATCGTAGAATGGTTTTGGATCAACAGTCGTGAAATATCGAGCCAGAGGAGATGAAGCGCTCATAAAGAGTTGCGCGCATCGTGGAGATGGCGTCTTTCCGCACGTAGGCTGCAATGACAAAAGTGAATTAATTAACAGAACTGTAAACATTCCAAATTCCACTGGTTCTTCCTTCTTTCACAGCACTTGCTGAAAAGTTTATATCCTCTACATCGGTATTATTAAAATCATGCAACCATATTACTTACCTTCACTTCTGTATCGGTTACTTGGCACTCGGGGTCTTTGGTCACTTCCCAAGCATTGGCAAACTCGGCCATTGATTTTGCGATAGTCTTATCCGGCTTCATAAGTTCGTCATACTGTTCATTGTTGTTTGTACCAAGTAATCCTACATTTATAAAAGTTTATTTATATCAAAACTGTTTGTTTCTTCTCGATAATCTCACGGCAGTTTGGTCGTCAAAAGATCATTTTGAAGTTAAGAAAGTATTAAAATTAATATTCTCTCATGAAATTTAGGTATTTGAATATTTTGCCGAGCATGGAATTGCCGAGCATGGAATCGCCAAACAGCATCTTATCTAACTTGGCTTTTGAATCGTTAAAAAGATTCATTATAAAATATTACAAAAATGCATGTTCGGCTGAATCTTATCTCACCTGCTAGTTTTCCGTAATAGAATTTGTCAATGTTGAATGTGCACAAGAAATGTCTAAGATCGCAGATGATATTAAGTCCTGTATCATGCTTGATCTTGATAAACGAGCCTTCTCTCGTTACGGACATTTGCTTCATTTCAACAGGTAGCTCATAATGGGTGGTGCTTCCTTCTTTTCCATCAACATCTTTGGTTACTGTCGCTTCAACCTTTCCACTTTCATGAATCTTGATAAAACCAGCATTGGTGTTGACAATCAAAGCTGTTTCCTGGCTCATAAGAGTGAAGTTGTTATCCCTGAAGTCATGAGCCAAGACATAAGTGCATGATGGTTTCTTATATCCGACAAACTGGTATGAGTGACCGTCGAAGGTGTGCACGTGAGGCTTACCAAATATCATTGCAATACCTTTAATAAAAATACAAAGATAATTTCGGCTTTTAACAATAGGAAAAACTCGCTACAAGTTCTTTATCGGCCCTTTTTTATCTGTAATATGCCTGAACCTCTAGATGGTTTAAAAAGGCTAAACAGACGAAAGGTAATGTTTGTTAACAAAGGCTTCAGATACTTATGACAAGTAAGGGAAAAGAGAGGACTTACTGTTAGATGGAGGCATCCAGTAGAATGGATTTGTCCATTCGTTGACAATTTCCCACAGATCGCTGTATTTCACAATATGTTTGATCACATACAATGCAAACTCGCTGCTTTCCTTGACAAGATTAATTAATCGTCGGCCTTCCATGTAGTAAGATTCTCCCATCTCTACAAGATCACGTACAAAGCTTATGTTGAGGATATCTTCCTTAATCTCGTTGGTCTTATTCTTCAGGTCTTCGACATTATAATACTTATCAATGAACTTTTTGATATCGGTTGAGTTGAACAAGGTTCCAATTCTCCTCTCCATTTCCTTTCGGTTTTCTTCAACGATTTCCACCAAGTCTTCATTTAAACGTACAGCTTTACTTTGCAGCTTCTCGATTCTCAACTTTGTTGTGAGCATCAATCTTGAAACGTGTTTCTTGAGATATTCCACAATTTCTTCGCTTCTTTTCGGGAGCATTTTCAGGTTCTCGTAGACGATTTGCTTTGCTTCAATGGTCGTGTTGTACAAAGCCAAATATTTTACTTTACAGAAGTGTACGACTTCCTGTCGCATTCTCTTGAGTTCCTGGGCAGCCATTTTAGCAGATGCAGATAAGGACGTCAATCTTAGTTGGGTCAACTGACGAAGTTCAGCGAACGTGTACTCACAGAATTTGGTAATATTTTCACGTGTATTTTTCCAGGTTTTCTTCGTATCTTCCACCAAACGGTTCAACATACGCATGCTGCTGTTCTTGTTATCTTGATATAACATGTCAATCTTAGAATATATCATTCTGTAATTTTCTTCAACAGCATTGTATTCAGATCGGAAAAGTTTTCACGAAGTTCATCTAAACGTGGTGGCGTCAATTCAAGTTTACCCGAAACTACAGAGATCTTGGTTTCTCGAATGATTTTGGTGATATTTAAGATCGTGTTCTTAATGAAAGGCAATTCTTCTTTGATGTTTTCCCTTATTGCGGCCAATACATCACTTGTCTCGTTCTTCATCTGGATAAAATGCCTCTTCAAAGTATTTACATTCTCTATGTAGGTCTGAGTCACTTTCAGGAACACTTCGTCTTGAAGATAAAGCTTGCCTTCATCCAACTTGGACACAGCATCATTTATCAGAGTTTTCAAATCACGTTTAATCATATCAAGGATGAGTGGCAATTTACCCAAGGCGTTCTTTACCAAAACTGGGAGTTTGTAGACAATTTCAGTATACTTTGTGACGTTGGTTTCATATTGTGCTTTCAAATTTCTCAAATAAACAAGAATCGTGCCATACCGATTTTGAACCAACCTTTTAGCATCTTCAACGAACTCTTCGCTTATATTAAGGTATTTCTTCGCTACGATTTGTAATTTTTGTAGGTGTTTCGTCTCGCCGAGTTCGGTGATGAATTTAACGAGTTGCGGGAACCTTTTGCGATACGTATAATTTGCTCTAGTGAAAATTCCTTCAATGATGTCTCTAGATTCGTTATATAACTTCATTGCTCTCACTTTACAAATTCGTGTACAGTTGATGAATCGCCGTAGTTGATAACTCGCGAACTGAACGATAGCAGGGCGTGCATTGTATACGGTATCCCCAGATCCATAAAACTTTGTCATAAACACTGTGGTTTCCATAATCTCGGTAGCTAGGAAATGCATTTGATCGCGGGTGTTATTCAGTAATCGTTCAGCTTTCTCTTTCATTATTTGTATCTGTTCTGGGTCAACGTTATTTTTTAATTCTGTCAACATTCGAAGAGAAAGTTGCATCCATCGCACAGTGATTGTTCTTGTTGAATTGTAAAGTTTCTTGGCTTCAACTGGTATTGATCGTAGTCTTTCGATAAGTTGATTTGGCGTCATTTTCACGAACTCCTTGTATGGAACATACTCGACGATAAATCTTCTAACAACAACCATGCACTTATTGGTGCACGTTTCCAATTTCTCTAAGCCATTTAACGACAGGTTTTTAAGCTTTCCAAATTCATTTTGGCTCCAAGTCCATGCACGCATTCCATATTCATTAACATCGGTCGTCACATGTTCGTATCGGTTACGTAGTTTATTCACTTGTTCAAGCATTTCACGATAGCGTTTATCGAGTACTAAAAGTTCAGCGACCACGAGCTCAGACAAATCAGTGTAAGCGGTTTTCATTGGGACGAAAATAGTGTTTAAATATTGACGGATTCTCGTTTCAATATCATGAATACTCATTTCGCCAATGCGCTCGAGAGTTTCTTGTAATTTCATATGTTTTGATTTGTACAAATCACGGGTTTTTTCTACCAGTCTCTCGCCGTGTGATCGAAGTTTGGAGTGACCGACACGAAGTGTTTCGTGGATTTCCTCACGTTTTTCCATGATAGCTTTCTTCATCTCTTCGTTTTTCGCAAGCAGGTCATTCCTGAGCCGTTCTAGTCCAACAAACGTTTTGTCTCTCAACTCGCGAAGTTTAGAGAGCGAATGAGTGTAGTAGTATGTTGGTAGTTCTTTTAACATTTTCTCAGATGTTTTTCTTAATTCTTGGATTCCGACGATCAATTCGTGGTTTAGGATTTCCTGTTGCAGAGCAGGCCATAATTTATGCGTGCGAACTTGATAAAAGAGTGGGAATTTGTTCAGAGATTCGACAATATACTTTAACAAGTCTTTCCGTACGAACTCTAAGCATTCGTTAACACTAAGTGAATAATTTTTCAGTGATCTGGTAAGGAATTGTTTTGACTTCATCAGGAAAGGATATCGTTGTAGGGACGCATTAACCATATCTAAAATTTCATATCTATCCAAATTCGTGCGGATATACTGCACGCATTGCTTCATGAACATTTCAGTCGTATTTTTGTACTCTGTAAGTAAAGTCTTCAACATCTTTCCGTATTTTTCCGTAAATGGCTCGAGTTTCGTCAGGGTCTTATTCATGTGTTTACCAAAGACATTCCTGAGTAGTTTCTCGTATGGCGTAAAGGTCTCAATTGCGTCTTGTTTTACATCTTTATTGACTTGCTTGATTCGTTGAATAATATTCCTTGATTCATTTTTCACTTCAGCTATAAAACCATTTAGTTTTACTTTCATCTCCTTGATTTCCCTCACCAACGCTTTGATTTTCTTTTCACAACACTTTGTCACGTTGAATTCATATTTCAAAAGATAATCCATAACATTTCTGTAGAAATCCCTAAATTTAATGTATTTCACGTGTTCGTACCAAAGCTTCATTTGCTCAAATTTGGCTTGCGAAACATTAAAGTAGTCCAGCAGAGCATATGGAAGATTCTTTTCAAGGTAATACATGGATATTTTTCTTATGGTCTCCATTTTAAAGGCTCCAAATTTCCGTCTAAGGTTCTGGATAACAGCTTTAAACTCCAACCATTTTGTTTCCACCATTCTTTTGTTTCTTTGATACAGTTCCTTAATTTCCATCACCCTTTTATAACTGAACAGTGTTTCGCCAATGATAAATCCAGAAAGCTTGTCGAATATTTCACCCGCCTTTACTTGTAATTTTAGATAAATGTCCTCGAAGGTCATATTTCGGTACAATATAAAAGTGTTGTTGATTTCCATTTTCACATTCTCGACTGTCGTTGCTAGTTTAGTGCGATATTCAGAAATTGCCTGCTTCAGCTTGTTTTGGAACCTTTCCTCCATTTTCACGATTTCTTCCGCCAGATATTTTAAATACGAAATGTCAAAGTCTTTGTTTTTTAATAATTCATACACCTTTGTCATCAGAATTTCTTTCTTCTCCAGCAGATTATCTTTAACTTTCTTCAAATAAATTGATCGCTTTTCGCAGAGATCAACCAACTTCGTTTTGGCCAACTTAACAAACCTAACGATTATTCCTTTTATCTTCAGAAGAACATTCTTGAGTTCACTTGTCATTTTAGGATACAACAAAGTCATATTATTCTTCAATTGGTTCATTGTTGATCGATACAGCTCCACGGCAGATTTGTACGTTTTCCTTGCAGTTTCATCAAGTTTAAGTTTTTTGATTTTATTCATAGCCTGTAATTTCTGTTCTTTCAGATAGTTCATCAACCTCATTGAAAGCAGTTCAAGTTTCTCCTGAGCATCCTGTACAGTCAGGCTTCCATTCATTATATCATTAGCAACGGTATAAATAGTTTTACCAAACTTCTTCACCAGATCAACAATGTCGGAATGACGTTCTAGGCTAGACTCGACCATTTCTGTAACGTTTCTTTTAAGAATTCTCAGGTTCTCTTTCAGCTTCTCGAAGTTAATTTCAGTCTCATTCTTAGCGTATACTTGTAAATCTTCCCAAGACATTCTGTCAAGTTCCTCCAAAAGTTTTCTCAATTTGTGGTAGATGAGCGTAGTTTTCGTCCACAACGAGTCACTGGCTTCGCCAACTTTGTTGAAGAGGTTTGTCTTTACGTTTGTCGCGTACTCCTTAGACTTTTCAATGGTTCTAAAAAGTTCCTTTTGTTGCTCCTTCAGTTTGTTGATGTTCGCGATGTGCTCAATCTTCATTTTTATGGCAAGAGTGGTAGTCTTTAGGAGGTCGAGAACTGGTTGCAGAACTCGCATTGCTCTTTCTCGCAAGCGCTGGTCCTTTATTGTTTTCGACAAATAATTCTCTATTTCTTTGTATGCTAGCGTCATTCGTTCGACAATCTTATTTAAGCGCTCATCAGTCAGGACATGTTTGATATCGTACAGAGAAATTTTACCAGCTAATTTCTTTAGTCGTTCTTGAACATTGCGTTTAGTGCATTCCAGGGTGTAGTTGCAGGTAAACTCTTCTACAGTTTCTTTAACAATTCTTGTGACATTTTCAATTCTCTCGAAAACTGTTGACAATTTTCGACACTCCATCATACCCAACTCAAGATATCTCTGGATATTGTTTCTGACCATCGTGTAGTACAAATGCGTTTTCTCTCTCGTCAAATCAATCATTTCCACAGTAGTCACTCCACAGATGGATACATTCAAATAACGATGGACTGTCCGTAATAACCATTTTCTTAAATCAGCTGTGAACAACTTAGTAGAGGGAGAAAGCTCGAATGAAATATCTTCAATCGACTGCAAGATGTACTTATAAGTATCAATTATTTGAGAACCTTGGAGTTTCATGTCATGGGCAAGCTGAGCTAGAACATCCTCCTTTAATTTCTTCAGTAAATGGGCAGCACGAGCGGAGTACGTTTTGATGGTATTCATCTCCAATGTACGCAAATGGTCTTTCAGGAAAAGTATTTCTTTCTTCACTTTATTCACCAAAGTTAAGAGTTTGTCTCGTCCATCATTACGCAGGAAGTTCACAGTGTAATTTACCAATTCACGAGCCAATTCACCCAATGTGGACAATCTCGCAAGAGTTTTGTTCAAGAGTCTGTCCATGGTGCCATTCATGTTTTTCAACAAGTCTCTTCCCGCTTTAGATTCCCATTGAAGGCGTAATTTGTTTAGATGTTGAAGAGAACTAACTAACAAATCCAAGTCTTCATACATGGTCCCCATGAATTCGTGCTTTAAAACAAGTTGGTATTCATCTTTGTTCAACGCAGTGCCCGTCAACTCAATAGAAAATGCTGAACTTGTTGTCATATTCAACACAAACTGTTTGTTTTCAAACATCTTTCCAAATATTTTAATCGGGATGTTGGGCAGAATATCATAACTTAATTGAAGTTGTTTTGAGGGGTAATCCATGACGAACGTGTTGTTCCAAATCCTATTAAGTGCCATCAATGTATAACCGAAATCGATTCCGTTTTGTCTTCGTAGGTGGCTGGTGAATTCAATCAGTGGACGATCAGAGCCATAAGTCATCTTCAAGGTGAAAAGTCCGTTTTGTTTGCTGTACAAAGCAGAACCATCTATTGGGTAATCCATGATAGTCAAGTTTGATTGCACACTCGTGATTTGATCGTTGTTAATGAATGCCGCGTTGTATGTCATTCCAATACCAGGCAATAACTCATACTTGATAGACAGCTTTCGGTTTGTTTTATGGTACACAATCTTGTTTGTAAGGAATTGTCCAGGAGCAAGCTCCATTTTCGATACGAGGTTGAAGTTTTGGTCGGTGTTGACGAATTGGTAGGTAGATGTGAGGAATTTGTCTTTGGCGTAGTGTAACTTGAAAGTAAGGATATGGTTTGGTTGATCGTTTGTCCCCATGTTACTGTGAGAAACAGAGTATCCGTATTTGTAGTGCGTTGAACGAGCCGTGATAACAACCATGGACGAAAGTTTTCTCTCTAATTTGGATTTTAAGAGAGAAAGATGGTATTCAGCTCCATAATTCATTGCCTTACCACCAATCTTAAATAATTCGTGGTTGGACGATTTCTTATGAAGAAGAGCGAACAATTGACCGATACGTTTGGTTTGATAGATCATGTTCATTTGCACACCTTGCAAAGTTTGCTCACGGACTAACATACTTTCAAACGTTACGAGTTTTCCCTGGACGCTAAGGTCGAGACTAACTGAACGTGCCGATGTTTGATGTTTATACTTGAGCAAGGCTTCGACAGTTTTTTCTTTGACAGTTCCTTTGAGACGTAATCCTGTGTAGGACGGAAGAGTTACAATCCCAGCAAAGAAATCAGAAATTTGAACACGGTTGTAGCTCATCTGAAGTATGGCTCCTTTTGATTCGGTGCTATTGGTCCAACCTGTTTTCATTTCAAATGTTTTCTCAAATCCTTCAAGCACGAAACGTAATGACCTCTCTTGAATATTATTAACAAGCTGGACACATGTTTCCAAACGCCCGACTGGCAAGCCAACGATTGCAGAGCAAAGGTATTTGTCCTGTGGTTTGTAGGTATATACTAAAGAATATGTTTTTTTATTGTAGGTTGCATCAACTCTCAATTCCTTCAAAAGACTATTAGCCGCCCATGTTGATTGTAAGGATAGTTCTTTCTTCATTAATAAAGCAGCAAATTTCACACCAGACACATCCCCAGACAAAATGCTCCATTTAGCTTCTAATTCTCTATTCAGAATATTAGCATAAACGCGCAGTCCTTTTTCGTCGTTGTTTCTGAAAATACCGGTTTGCATCAACACCCGTCTCACTAACAATCCATTCCAATAATGTGCATTCATTTTTAGTCCATTTTCATTGCTTTGACGATAATGAGAGAAGACTAAATGGCATGCCGACTCCCATCCATCAAGTTTAAATGCGACGCTTGTTTCCTGGTCTTTTGTGGCATATTCGAGCCTAACCAATGCCCTCTTCTTGATTTGCGTTTCATTATACGTATGAAGTAAGATTCCCACTTGTTTGTCATTCTCTTCATTCTTATAATGAGCTTCCATTTCGATTGTGTTACGATTCAAATACATACCGATACCTGCCTCTTTCAAAAACATCCCAGCTTTTATGGTATTGTTGTTGAGCGCGCCAGAAAACTCAAGATTACTATTCGACCAAATATTTTTTGAATATTCAATTGATGCGTTAGCCACGTTACCGAATCCTTGAGCGACCCATTCAAGTCTTCTTCCACTGGTAGAACGATGATAACTGGTACGGAATAAGAACGGTCGTTTCATGAATACTCCATTGAACTTCAGTGTATATTCATTCTTCAGTTTCAAAGAACCAAGATAACCATTCAAATATGACGATGAATTAAAATGTGACAGGCGCATGTGATATCCATTTTCTAATAGGTTTGATCTGGGATATGCTTCAAACTGTACCACATTCCAAGATGGTTTCGTTACAATCGTCATGAGTAATTTCTGATTCTTCGCGTTAAGTTTGCCGTCAATTTTCAACTCTTTATTCATGAGATCATTTCCCACCTTGGCATAAAAGCTGCTTCTATCATCTCCAAACTTGCCTGCAAAGAAAAGCCTACTCGTACTGCCGGAATCATCCATTTTCATGAACAAGCTTCTTTTCTCCAACGAAAACTGAGCTTCAGTTGTGATGTGTTTTTCAGGCCAGTATGTCAACTTGCTCTTTACTCCATATCGATCTTTGTGTTTATGGAACGAAAGCACGTCTGTGATGGTAAAGTTATTGTAGGAGGCGTTGATGGAAATTCCGATGTCTTGAATTTTTGTATCGTTGTTTTTAGTGTTAAAGATCTATAATGCATTAATGACACACCGATAAGTTAAGTTCAACCCTCAACACTGCCACACGCGTGGTTTATACATGTATACGATTTTTAATAATTACCTCTGTTTCAACTGTAATTGGTCGTAAAAAGGCCATTTTGGGGGTTGTAAACTTTGTATGGAGTCTGTTTGTTTCATTGTTGTATTTAGCTTCAAATTTACCAAACTTGTAGTCTTGAATACCACCCGATACACTCAGATATTTACCATCGGGCAAGATTTGAAATGAGGAGTTCCCAACCACTTTCCGACCGAATGTTAGACCCGGAACGTGCACATTGAAAATCCAGTCAAAACGATTCTCGTCTTCACTTGTCAACCTGCGTGTTTCCACTTCAAACCTTGCGAGTTTTGGGTTGGTAGTATGGAAGACCATTCCGAATGAGGCATCTCCGCTTAGAGGGAAATATGGTGAATTGTAGTCACGATATGCCATCGGAAGGGAAATGTGTCCACAAAGATTTACACCCAAAAATCTTGTTAGGTTTAGACAGTTCTTGTGCTAAAAAAGGCGAACAGGGGTATTTAAGTCGTATGTCTTGTTAATATTGAACACATGCAATGACTACCCTAAGAATTGCCTCAAATCATACCTCAAATCGCTTTGGAGGACCGGAAATCTTCTCTCTTTTCTCGTTTAAGAAAGTCGCCAAGTTTGACCTGAGGAAAGTCAAATGGAAATCGTCAACAAAATTGTTAAAAAACAATTATTCTTTTCCATATTACCTAAGAATACTTACTTAACATTCACGATGTACATGGGCTTGGACGGCGGTTCAATGCTAAATTTGATTCCTTCCCCTTCCTTGTACGTCGCATTTCCGTTAATTTCAGTTGATGTATAAAGTGATGCATTCACGTGAACACCAGATGTTGCATGAAGTGCGTCCACAGTCATTTTACCCGAAATATCAACAGTTGCGCTGTAAGAGAAGTATTTGAATGGATTTATCCAGTGTCCAATCAATTGTTACTGCATCAATTATTTTCAAAAAGAAAAAATTTACTGCATGGCTTACCTTGGAGTGACAAATCCTCGTACATCAAACTTCTTCTTTCCCCAGAACATATTACGGATATCAAGCTTTCCCTTCAATGTCACCGAACTAACACCCGAGCTATTGACAGCTAACTTGAGCGGAAATCCAAGACCAGTTGGAATCTCATGATCTGCTTCAAGTAACATAAAGCTCTTAGTGTAGGTAACTTTACCACCGCGCGCGATGTTAATTAATGTTTCAATAACGTTGATTTTGTCAGCTTCCCCCTGTAGCCAATCAATGTCCTCAAAATTCAAGAACTGTAACTCATGACCAAATACTTTCAAAGAGAGAGCACCAGTTGGATTTTTTCTTTCAATTTTCATCTAAGTAAGATTGAAACATTTTCAGAAAACGAGGGCCACGTTTGCTTTTCTGTTTCTCAAAAAAGAAATTGATGCACAACAAGCTTGAAGATATCCTTACTAATTATTATACAAATCTGTGATTTGGTAGAAAACGCAGCTCTTATAGATCAATTTTTAGTTTGGAAGTGAGGTTATTTTACTAAAACAGATGAAAATTTTACCTTGTCTTTTAACTGTTCCAGATTTGCCTTAATCTCGTTCATCTCATCTTCAGTAGCACTGCGTTTGTCTCGAGAAATTGCTTCTGTTGGTTTCATCATTAACATTTGCATGAGGCGGTCATCAGGGAAATAGCCTTCGGGTCCAAACATTCGTTCAATTAAAGTTTCAAAACCCTCGAACCTCGCTGACGTCTCGAGCAAATTAACCGACGCTCCCAGCATATCAACTGTGAGGTTTAACTTGGCACTACGTGGGAAATAACTTTCTGGATGGAAAATAACCTGAGCCTGACTTGATCCACCAACATCGTATTTCTCTATAGGGGAAAAGGTATTACTCCAGTTTTAACACTGAGATATGCACAATAGAGATAAACAGAAAATAAAAAGATGAAACTACAAAAAAAAGAATGCAGGAAAAATAAAAGAAGCGGAACTCTAACACCATCATTATTATGACAGCCTATCTCCCCTCATTCGCCTTTCCGCACCAGTATAAAATCTATAGTAAACTCCAGTGAAATTTAAAAACCTACTGTTATAATAGGATGCTGCGTATGCATGAGAAAACCGCAAGTGGTCGAGGTTGAATGGTCGAAGATTTCGTCCTTGGAGTGCTTTGGATATTGCGTCGCGAAGTCTACAAACAAAATCACTGTTTAGCATACAAATGCCAAAAAAAATCACGTTTAATCCTTTCCTTTATCTAAAAGGCATTTTGGCCTTTCACCATGGAACAAATTCGCTATTCCTACAATCACACAATCTTAAATTGATTGCAAGAGGGCATGTTTTTAACAAGATAGCTGACCATTTCAGTTTTAGCTTGCACAAAAAAAGAATTTGGGAAAGTTACTCACGGGATTCCGTATACTGGTTCAGTTGATTTAAGAGCGCTAGTCAAATGTGAATAAACAAACGAGCCAACTTGGTTGTTCTTTTCAGTATCGAGGATATCTGAAATTCTCTGGATGTCGTTCTCTTTGTGGCATCGCATCAATGCTAGGTAACTTTCAATACGAATCTCTGTATCCATTGTTAGATTACTGAAGATATTCGCCAATCCACTAGTCATTTCATCATGGCATGGCATCCGTCGTAGAGCTTGTATAGCATCAATGTTTATGAAAGATGGTCCAGGTTGAACTGCACATTTCAAAATGTTGTCTACTGAAGTGTACGGACGGCCGGCATTACCAATGGCTTTAAGCGCTAAAGTGATTTCCTGAAGTTCTTCTTGAGTTGACGCCTGACAATTTGGAGGAAGCCTTCTTTGCAGAAACCTTTCAGCTCGGTAGATTGCATGATTGTTATTATCCTGAACAAAGGTTGGGAAAAGGTTTCATCGGTTGCAATTATAAATTTGACAGAAGATTATTAGTGCTAACTACGGATGTGTGCTAATATAATGTGTCCAATATTTGTCCTATTTTGAAGTGGCAAGAAAAACGTGAGCTCCGAATTCTAACTTGCAACAGAATACGGAAAAGAAGTGGTAAAACTTACCAGGTTATCACAAGAGTGTTGACTGCAATATTTGTTCATTAACGTGCCCAGGGTAAGGAATGCTGTTCTTGATGGAGATTCTTCACAGAAAAACAGAATGTTTGCAACCATATCTTCACTCGGCATACCAACCAATGCAATACCAGTTAGGAATTGAACTGATACAGGCGTACCAACTTTGCCCTCAGTGATAGTTGTTACCATAAAATTTGCACAATGCAAGGTACCACATTGCGACAATGCTTCGACAATATATTTCCTAGAAAAGGGATCATATCAATTGTCATGATGGAAAATGTTTCCGAATTTATTTATTTATCGAACTTACTGGTTTCTTTCACTTTGTTCCTTGGTACATTTTCCACCCTGCAAACAATCATAATATTCACTCCACATAAAACCCAATCCCTTCAAATTCAATCGTCGGATAGCAAAAATCAGTTTGGTAAACAATCTTGCAGTGTCAGGTTTTACTATCTCCTCTACGTCAAGCTTGGTAAGTATATCCGCTACGTCCTTGATTCTTTTTGTTGTCATTTCAGGATCGTCCACGTGTTCGTACTTCAAACTCGATCTGGTTTCTTGTTATTGTGAAAAAAATTGTGAAGTTACCGGTCGTATAAGCCCTCAACAACAACAACAACAACAACAACAACAACAACAACAACAACAACAATAACAAAAACAACAACCCATTAATTTTAATAGCCCATTAATTTCAAACCTGAATGTTATCTTATTACACCAGCCTACCTGGTACTGATGGGTTTTTACTCGCCTCGCTGTGACCAAGCATTGAAATGCTTTGTCTAAAAACAATTGTCAAGAAAATACGTCAAGATTTTTATGTCATTTTTAAGAGAAATAGATAAATTACATTAAAATAATTATGCAACCTGAAGAAGGTTCTCACTCGCGAAATCTTTCACACGAAGCGAATATTCGCTCAATATTTGCGTTTGCAACTATTAGGAACTCGAGCGATATGGACAAGCAAATAATACAGATTTATGCGCGAAAAAATTGTAGCGGTTGATACAGTAAGAGTAGCAATAGTGGCAATAATAGTTCATTAAAACAACATCAACAAAAAAATTTACAAATCGGTTGCGTCCATTTTTTTCATAGTCTAGAAAATCATAATTCTATGGAGAGTGTAGTAGACACTAGTACCTGACTGTTGTCATTGCTCCTGAAGATGAGTTGTATCCAGCTGAGAAAGGTCGGAACAAGTGCGTTTCTTCACAAAGTACTTTACCAATCTTTTGTTTTGGCGACATTACAAATTTACACAAACTGTTTGATTTCAGTAAACTGAATGGCTAAAATACAGAAGGAAAATTAGCATGCCATTCGTAATCTAAGCCGGTGTTCAAGTTGACAGCATCCATGCAGAGAAAATATATATTCATATACTATATAGCTTAATACATTTGAATTTTAAACTAAATAAACTAGGGGTCAGTAATAGGTCAGTCAGTTTGTATTCTGACTTTGTAGAACTGTGTACTATTGTAATTTAAACTTGTATACGAATGCATGCAAGATTCTCTCTTTGTCAATTGTTTTTTAACTATGCTGCTTCGTGTTTGGTCTTACAAAATTTTCTAACAAAATAACCTTCTGATCAAACATAATTTCTCACAAACCTTGTCGGTGGAATAATGTGTCACTGGGATACCGAGATTGGTTTCAGATCTATCTTTACACAGGCTCAGATCTTTTTGCTTGACAACTATCCTAGTACGACCACTATCGTGGCGAGCTTTGATGTGATAATTTGCGGTGCATTCTCCGTTGACGTCAACCTATGATGAAGAAGCCAAATTAAATCAAAGAATCCACAACAGAAACTTAACTGTGGGCATGTCCGCTACTCACAAAGCGAGCAACCTAGTGTTACTGCTACATGCTATCTTGCACTATTATTTACTCGTGTTGTGGCTACAGGTTACAAATTTCCTCTTTCACCATTCCACACGTTTTATTATGTAAATGGTTGTTTAAGGCCAGTCTGGATATGATTTAGTTAGTTATACACCTTCGGTGTATGCTAAGAAGAATCAAACAGAATTGTCTTGAATAGCATATTTTGCCCGATAGATGCAACTATTTTTCACAGCCTACCACATGGCAGCATCTGTCAATGTTCATCAAAAACCATAGGTCTGAAGACCGAATGCATGCATGGGAAAAGGTCTGCGTTATGAACTGTAATTTACGAACAGTGAATGTTTCTTATGGGCCATCCGGAACACGCATGCTCGAAACTACGTCACAGCTCGAAAATTGTTTATAAAGGTCTTTAATACCAAAGTTACAATACATTAGCAGCGCTTTCTTAAAATTTGTTGTCTCTAAGTTAAACTTTAAGCACGCCTTGAGTTAAACCATGTGCAGCAATTATGATGGAGCTATAGTGCTACTTCGCTGCATGTAGCAATCCAACTGTAATCTACGATTTGTAAAGCTGGTTGCAAAACGAAATGTGAAAGAAATGTGAGAAATAACAGCTTTTCGCTCGAACGCTGTTGGTTTGAAATTTCCTAAGGATATTTTGAAATATAAATCTACCAATGTGATTGTGAGTTGGAGATATATTAACTTATTCTGCCTTACCCTGGATCCTTCACTGTCAGAGTCAAAAAAGTCCTCAAATATACATATAAGTGGTTTTATAGTGAAAGCTTTTATTTCATATGGTTGGAAACAACAGGATGTTATAAGGGGCTACATTTTTGACCTTGAAAGTAGTCTGTTCATACTCAATCATGGTTGCTATACGGGTTTACAATTTAAATCGCTCCCCGAGCCTGTGATCCTGAATAAGATTTCAACTGATTATTCCAATGATTCGGAAGTCAATTTAAAAACGGCGTAAAAATAATATTAGTGTTTGAATGTTTTTAGCGTTTTCACTTTATATTGGGAATACTAATGAGTTATATAGACTCGCTACAACACGTCAACATGCAGTGCTAATATTCCTCCATGCACTTTCCCTGAGCTTCAGTGCTCTGTGCTCCCACCACTAACAATAATTTGTTTGTTAACTAACGTATAAAGTCCTCGTTCGTCGGGAATTGCAAAACCAACTGTTGTTAAAGTTTCAAATTTGTGAAACCTGGAATGAGATTGAAATTCAAAAACGCAAAAATACCCAAATTCTCATTCCGTAGACATAAGTCAAACAGCATTTCCTGACACCCAGGCCATTTTGTGCGCATGCGAGCAGTTTTTTAAATGACGTCTAAACTCTAAAAACGGGTTTCCATAGTTCACCAACAAACAATTTTTTTGTGCAGGAAAAAAATTCCTCAACGAAGCATAAGCATGCGCCTAGAAGACCTATGAGATGCAAAGCTGAAAATTTTCACAAAATAAATAATTTTTTAATCCTCAGACACTTGAGATCTCATCAATAATATAAACCTATGCATTAAATCTCAAAATGCCGAGCAAACAATAACAACTATATTTTAGCCTATTTTTGTTAAGAAAGAAAACTTGCTTTCGAAAGCGGTCTGGGAATAAGTTACATGAAACCGATTCGTTTGATATGAGCGTCAATTGCCAATAGGTATATTTGCGCCTGCGATATATGAAAACGGGCATTGAAACGTTAAGATTAAAATATTCTCATACTTTCGTATAAACAACGTTAAAAAAATTCCAGATATTTCAGCATTTCAAGTGCCTGATATAAACAATGTATCTGGTGCAAGGTCAAAACTAAATATATATCAAGTCATTCAAGTGTCGTCTTCACTCGGCTTTGCAACTTGTATTTCTTCGCCTCTCTCAGGCTTCTCATTAAAAGCTCAAACTCGCTTGTCTCGCCCTCAAGGAGGCGGCCTCTAGCAAGTCTATTGTCGGCCTCGACTGACGACTCTTTCCCGTTTTACCCTTGTGCAACCAATATCACCCGATATACCATAGATTATGAATCAGAATGTTTTATCTCGCTTTGACTGATGGAAGGTTTAGACTTTAGCATGACATTCGGGATGTCCATATAAGGACAATTATTGTCTAATTCGATAATCAGAATGTTTTTCCTTCAAATCATTTGTAACCAAATAGATCGTCATGGGCGACTAATGGAAAAAACTTGACATTTCGTATATATACATAGGTCATCCAACATGAATATATATTGCACTAAAAGTTCTTTACAGCTGTTCAATGTCGCTCATTATGAAAATTCATGATAAGAGCATTAATAACTTTAAGGTCACAAGAACAATGAATCCCTATATCTAGGTTCACAATCTAACGTAAACACCATTATTATTATATACACATACAATAGAGTTTGCTCTTAGAATATACTCAATTTAGTATAGAATTTAAAACATACACTTCATTGAGGACAAGACTGTTACAGTTACAGAAAATACTGGAATTTCTGCGTGCCAAGAGCCGAGTGCCCTTGAATGATACTTGTACATGCCTGTTGATGAGTGGTGACGTATGAAAGAAAACCAGAGTTTTCCCTATCAACGACTCATCAGTATCCTATTAAAAGCAAGGGCGATCTAGGTCGCTCGTGACAGGCGCATGGCATGAGAAACATCTGTTCACTAGTTGGAACAAAAGATTCCTGCTGGAATGAAAATACTTGTTCGCCATAAATAGGCTGAGGATGAAAATAAAACATTGTTTTTAAAAGGAAACGCAGTTTGCAATATATACGTTTTTTTTATATCTTTTTAGGAGCGTATCTATTGCAGGGGAGTGTAACACCTCCGCTTTTCAGGGGAATGATGAAAAATGTGACGCTAAAATTGGGTTAAATTTTTTATCTGTGACTGTACCATTTTTAATAAACAGGATGATTTTGATCAGGTAAAGTAAAAGGCGAGATCAGAATATAAGTTTAGAATTCCACCAACAAAAATTGCAACGTTTTCTTTTTTATAAAATGTTTAATGATATGCGCGCGCACTCCCAGGGTCATTTGAAAACTGACGTCATTTATCTCAACCTGTTGACTTGAAACATTCAGTTGTTCAACATAATCCGTCCGACGTCTAGTAATCTCGTAAATATATCAGACTATTTATAACTTACCTCAGTCAAGTTGCGGTCGTTGGGAACATTAAGTTTCAGTTGAAATGAGCTGAGGATACCACGTTTCATATTCAGAATACGAACTGGTTCTTCAGAATGTGGTCGGATATTTAGAATCAACCCTTCGTGGTTTTCAAAGTACAATTCTCGAGCCTTAAGCTCTCGGCTTAGATCTTCGCTTCCTGAAGAAAGCTTGAAATCTAAAGCATCTTGGTTCTTGCCCTGGCCCTCCAGGAGCTCGGCTTCAAGTATCTAGAATTTGCAAATAAACGCAAAACGAACAGACATTAAAAATCACCAAAAAAACATATTGAATTACATCTAATCAGGAGGGAATCGCATGCACAGGTTCAAGTTCCCCATGTCTACGCTACTGATAATAAAACTGTGTAAATTTGATAAAAGTAACGTGACAAAAAAAAAACTTGATATGCCAGCAAAAGCATTTTAAATTATATTCATGAAACGTGACGTTTCCCTGCGAACAGGACAAGAAAAATATCGAAATGTGAAACCTTTAGATCTTATCAATTCAGGCTCACGGGATAAATCCTTTGATGAATGTTTTGAATTAAATGCGCTTTGGTTTGTGAATACCTAATTAACATGATGTATTTTAATACCTGAAGCATGTACACGCATGGTTGCACGGGTGTTATTTCACATTTTGCTTTCAGTTTGAGCCCAGAACGCACTTCAGAAGTGCCGACTAAACCCGTGATAGTCTCTCCTTCATAGGAGTACATTAGACTCTTTCTCGTGTGAAAATGAGTCGCATCTAAAAATCGAAATACAAACGTGAAAAATAAGTTCCTAAAACAGGAAAGGCGAATTATTAACAGAACTATGTAGTCGTGGAAGGCAAAGTGTCATGTTTCAAATCATATTTATATCAAGTTCAAGGCTAAATTCCTCAGAAAAACGTAAACTTTTTATGCAAATGCAGTGTTTGATAATAATGTTAGCTTTTTTTTGATCGAATACATTAAATTGTCCTAAAAATATGTATAATTCACAATCCAGAGATAGGATTGACATAGTGCAATTTCTTTCCATGGTGCAAGGCGCTGATAATTTGTGACACATGAGCTAAGTCAACGAAGGTCAAAGACTAGCAAAACACAATCTGGTGCGACCAAAGACTGTATAGAAAAAAACACTTACGGCTTCTGCATACTGGTGCGGCTGGTTGATTCAGCACGTTGCTAAACGGCGCTAAAAGAGAAGAAAAGTTTTAACTGGCGTCGTGGATGATTAATGTGTGACAAAAAAAATTTATCCGGTTCAATAAAGGGCGAGGGATACTCAATCCAAAGTCCACTTTAAGTTTTCGCCAGTGATTTTGGACTTTGAAGATGTATATTTTGAAGTTCTTTTATAGAAAAGTTATTATTTCAATATGAAAATGAAAAGCTTGATAATGATTTGATAATTTGGTGAGATCAAGGAATACACAACGCAAGATTTAGCGGTAGACTCAGATTTGTAATTACGATGGTTTATTATTACATGAAATTGAGAATGCACAAATAACGTATAGTCACGTTGCAGAAATGATGCGTGTTTGAAAGGTACAAACTTTTCCGGCATTACATCGCCGACGAAACCGCAGATAAAATGCACTTCATATAGGATAAGCCATAATGTGAATAAATTACGCAAAATAAGTATGTATATTGGGAAGAAATGAGTTAAAATCTTCACCCTACCTGACAGAACACCTGACAAGAAGAAAGTTGCGAAAAGTAATCTCATCTTCGCATTATTTGCTTCTCAGTTCTGAGTTCTCTATTCGTATGAACAAAGTAATGCCTGCCGCCCAATGCGAAAATAATTTTGTCTTGCTTCTAAACAGAGTTTATATCCACATGACCCTAGAAGCTGACATCCAATCAAAATGCTTTCTATATAAAAACCAGTTTAAACAGGTTTTAATTTAATATCCGACGACACGCGGGAACTTGCAAACGTAGGCAAAAACCAAGTCAATATACTAAGGCAATAACAAAATCTTAATTTCATAATTTCACTTTTATGAACTCATGATAAAATTCCCTACAGTATTGCAAATTGATATTAAACAGGTTTTACTTTCTTTCATTTCCCTAAAGTCATTCCCTGGGTCACAATCAATGTAAAAGCATCACTGTGCATGAGCGTAATAAAACGTAGCACTGAGAAGTGAGATGAAATTTTTTTTATTTTATGATATATATTTTTTAGGAAATTTAAGCAAAATTTAATTTTAGGAAATGCTGCTTTATGGGCGCTATTAAAAGACAGGTAAATAGTTCACGTCAAGACAAGTAAATTGTAATAATTTGATATTGATGTGAAATTGTACCTACAAAAGAATCAACAGTATATGTACAGCAACCATGTTTTTAAAAAAACGTGTGGTCACACAATTATTCTTCTATATCGTGTTTCAAACCGGCAGACAATTAAACATCTGTTGAGTAAAATCGCCAGTAACTACGTTCATTTACTATAGATTGCCTCTAAATTTACGAGAATTCCGCCAATAAAAACCAACCAGTGATATTTTTCATTACCAATTTTCCAACATGGTAACTATATGTCCATCATAACAACATGCACAATTGGAATTGAGAATTTTTCGCTTTCACCTAAATTCCTATGCATATGGGGCTGATTATTAAATTTCGCTTCCAGGATGTTTTTAACCATTCATCTGTCCACCATACATATCATATTTAACCGGTATTACTGCGTCTATATTTACATATATACTGATATATGAATTCGCCTATATTTTCATGTCTCAGTCCTAACATTGTAATTTTAGATCGGATCCGTTGCTTCCTTGTTGAAACCGTATTCATGCATAAAATTCGCTGAAGAAAATCTTATACAGAACTCAAACAGATCTCCTGCATGGGTGGTTTTGAATTTATCAGCACATTTTGTCACATGAGATCAAATGCATATAAAGTTTACATACTTTGTCGTTACTTGAGAAGAAAATATAAAACATATATAGCCTCCTACCGAGAATTGATGTTTTTGTATTTCACATGTTAATGTCCTGACGAGCTTAATGGCATATATCAAATTAAATAAATACAAGTCTAAGCCCGTGATTGATATATCTGGGAAAATTGTGCAATTCAGAACTTCAAGCGTATTTTCTTTAAAATTCCTACTCCTATAGCTATTCAATTAGTATGACATTTTGCAGAAGCAATAAAAATGAATCAATTGTATGCACGATAGGATATACACAGGTAAATGTCAGAGGTACATGTCTGTTACTTCAATCTACATGTAATAGGCTTTGTAGAATCAATGGATACATCCACTTGTTCCTATCCTGAACACATTATAAATTGATTAAATTTGGCCGCCTAGTCTCGCATGCAGATACAGCGATTGCGCTACTAAAATATATAAAGTTTGATCATGCGCAAATGGTCACCAGCTGACCCCAAGATTTTGGGATTATTCACACTTGAGTGAACTTGAGAAAACGCCAACAGAACAACGTCACAACTTTCCCTTGACCCCGGGGACTAAGTTGATTATAATGCGTTTGAGAGTGTTGACTGAAGTTTTCTGATTCCGGTTTATGTCACCAGTGGAACCAGGTTATCAAGATGAGGATATTTTTGAAAAATTTAATCAACAAGCTTAAAGAAATTAAATTTAATTCTAATGGAATTTCATAGAGATTTAAAACCTCAAGCTTTATTCATAAAGATCAGTAGAACAACGGAGTGTAAATTCTAACGCCTGCTTTCCATTTAATCGCGAGTGTTGTGAACGTGTCAAGGTGGCTGATGTCACTGCATGTTTCTACGTGTATACATACAGTTAACTAACTATTACTGATTTGAATACAGAAATAAAGACAAATCTACACCCGGACTATTTCTCATTGGTGAAAATCGGACTTGTTCACGACAATAACGACAAAATGGAAAGTAGGTTTGGGAGTTTGTTTTATGCCAAGAACGTCTGACCTCGTTACAACTGTTTTCCTGTTTTTCATACACACCAGTGCACGTATCACGTAACTGGAAGGCGGGTTTATTAAAGCAATTTCTTTCAGCTTATATGCACGCCGCATGCGTTCATGGAAATTATAATACCCTGCGCCTCCTTATCACTGAGGTACTTGGACTTCCACTGATCTATAGTTTTCAGTAAACTGAATATCATGGTAACTGATTGTCATGTTAAAATATTATGTTAAACTACTATACAATTAGATTACGTTCACACGGGAGGGTACGATGGTACGTGCTCGAATTCGTCCGGTTTTCTCGTGTGAACACGTAGAACCGGTCAAATTGTTATTCATTTTCACCATGTGAACACATGAACCGGAGCCGGAGGAATTTGAGTGCGGTCCATGCATCATTCATCCTGTTAGTTTATATGAAAATCAACCTGAAATTACGTTGTCTCGTCTTATAAACCTATTATTTACGTGTATTTATATAGCAGACAATCTTAGCTATATTCATTGTTCACAGTCGAGTTGAATGTGAGGACATATTGGCATTTTCCGGTTTTTGCCAAATTTTAGATCGGTTTTTCGATTTTTGCCCAAATGTGGGTGGTTGATTTTGTACAGTCGGTTTTTGGTTTTTAGAGAAATCTTCTAATGGTTTTGCCTTTGTTTGAGGCACAGTTTGAAGTTAGTATATACCATTTGCCGTGCCACAAAAGCTCTCAAGGTTGCGTTGGTTTGCACCAATATAATTTTCAACGAAATCACGGATGTATGAGACCCGTTTTATTCGCCGCGTATTACACATATGCCATTAAATACATTGAATGACAGTGCATGGTTGATAGCTGTAATGCCTTATTATTTATTGCACACATGCATTGCATTGTTTCGCCAGTTGTGATTTGTGAAATACCGTGGATGAATAGGGGATAACAAACCGTCTAGCGTGACATCATGGCTGACTTTCGGAAATTGATATTCTTATAAACCTTCGTGCATGTTGAAAATAAAAAGGAATGGTTAATTTCAGTAGCATCAGATTTATTGGCATTGCTATAGCCCAAATCATTTTCAATTAACTTCATATCATAATCGCGACATATAAATTCATGCTGATGTAAGCAGCACTGCATGGGTGTGATAAAGCAAATTGTTTCTTACGCAATGACCTAAATATATATTACATAAAGACCACATTTGGCATATGACTCGATTTAGCTCATCCAATATTGATGTTTGAAACAAGTCTTACAGAGTTCCTTCACAGTCAAAGTAATCATTTATTAAATTCATTTTAAATGCGAAACTTTTGCAAAGGAAAAGTAAGCATTGAATTCAAAGAAATTTCTTTAAAAAACTACCTTTTATACATGCACAATTTCACGCAGCGAAACGTTCTCTGTGACTTCAGAGGAAAAAAATTGCGTTTACATGCACTAGGTGCAAGATGACCCGGCGTGTTGAAATGAATTTTCCGGTGGTTATTTGTATAAATACAATCCTTGGACAAGTATAAGCTGGCTCACATTCACGCCTTGTATAATCTATTGCATTTTCTTTATCTTTGTTATACAAAAATATTTCATCATTTCAGTGATGTTTCTTTATCAAGGTTTTGTATAATTCGAGAATTTTATTCCATTAAAGGAATTATCGAGTTTTTTTTCAGACTAAACTAAAATTACTAAATCAGTCGAAATTTTGATAAAAAAAATATTCAATTTCCCGTATATGAACGTCGCAGGAAAGCAACCTCGACAAGTGCCGTAGACTGTCTTATGCCGAACGCATAAAAAACAATAGATGATGCAGTCGAGATCATGTGCTTAGCACATGCATGAGAAGCAAGACGTTTGAAAAGGTATACCTCGTCATATGTTTTATATACAACCTTTACTTTCTGAACCTTCCCAATACAAAAGGATATTTTATTTCGGCAAGTTTTCACTATATTCTATAATTACTTGCGTCTTACAACGCTCCAGGTGTGAATTTGCTAATACAGATTCTTACTGAACAATCTCGTCCGGGCCGGAAGGTCTTTCTTGAAAATATACCACACATTCATCACTTTACTGCATGCAGCGCCAGCGGTTTACGAGTCACGTGGGCACATGCATGACCTTGGATCAGCAAATATACAGTTACAAAGACCAATCAAGGCCACGCATGCAGTCGGGAAAAATAAAGCATGAACGCGTAATCGATATTTGCTTGACACACATGATGACACAGTTGATAAGATAATACTCATAACAATGGAAAATATGCCTTTGTTATCACGACCGAATCGAAACAACAAATTGAATGAATTCTGTCTCTACCCCTTGTCGATATATAAACACGTTTGATGCTTCGTAGTTTAACCTTGAATTGAAATAATATTTAATAATATTTAGACTTCAATCATGCACGCTAAAAAATTAAGAAGATTCTGTCATTTTTAATGAAAAAAATTTCAACGGTGTCAACGAGGATATACCATTAAAAAAAACACACGAAATCGCCGCCAAAAAACATGACCTTCAGAATGACGTTCTGATGACGATTTCAAAACTAAATGCGCTTTTTTTAAGGTTATTGTCAATTGAATATTGTGTCATGTAACGAACGTAAACTACTATAGTGCTTTACTGTATACGCGTATACATCATGGCCATAGGATGAATTACGACAACTGAAAACCAGGCTTTGCGACGTTAAATGTTACAGGTAACATGCATATCATCTATAAATAATTATTGTTCTTAATCTCAGTTTTACAAAAGCTGTAATTCGAAGAATTTTAGTATTAAAATACTGCGAGATCATGGTCGACCTTTATAAGCTTGTTAAACTATGAAAGCAGGAAAATCCCAAAGTTAATGTGGTTTAACCCGATCTCCGATGCGTTCAAAACAACCTCGTACCTCGGGTTTTCGTCCCCGCCCACGAGTAAAGACCCTGGGAACGAGGTTACGTGCAAAACGGGCTGGGGACATTTCCTGTTGTTTAATAACCCCGGATTTTGCTGCGCAGCATTCTGAGTCATAACTGAATAGTATAAAATCAAATCAAAAAAATAAAAACGATGAAGTGAAGTTTTTTATTTCTGCATACGTGGTGATGTCATATAAAGCCTATACTATCTATTTGGGTTATTGTATTGCATGACTATATATTGCAAATGCCTTACATTAACATAAGGTATAAAATATATTTTAAAGTTAACTGGAAAATTTTCAAAATCCATTTTATGCATGGAATAGTATGAATGCTGGTTGAAAATGGTATTGAAATATGATATCAATAAAAAATGTTATTTCCATACTCTAGATATAGAATGAAAACAGTTTGGGCATATCCCCATGAATATCCCCATGAATATTCCCATGCATATCTCCATATCCCCATGAATATCCCCATGAATATCCCCATGAATATCCCCATACCCCAGGCATATTATGGATTTTGAGAAACGGTGTTTCCAGTTGGTGTTTCCCGTCATGCATTCATATATCTATACACTAAAATACTACGAAATTATTTTAATACTAATTACATCCGGTAGCTATGTTACAAATATCGCAACAGGATGTAGAATGTCATTTTGTTACCATATCTAAAACTTAAAATCTTGGTCACGTTTAGATTATAAAACCCAAGATAGCCATATAATACTTCACTAAGCATCGTCTTATATCTTATTACTCGTAAGGACGAGATCTCGCTTCGCTCAGGCGGGATATCTCGGCAGAGCTGGGCTGGCCCAGTTCCATATGAATGCAACTTTACAATCATAGTGATGATATAATATGTGCAGCGACGTCCCGGCACTGCCGTTCTATTCCGGCTCATATGAACAGGTCTTATAAATTAAAGGTTTTAACAAAACATGTTTTATGAACAGGCCTATAAACCGAAACCACGCCCTGTTGATCCGGCGCAATGTTGAACGAGAACATTAACTCACATGAACAAAGTCACAAGCTAAATGGAGTTACATTATATATATTAATATGTATATAGCGAACTCGACGAAGTGGTCTAATATTATTTTCCCTACCTATATATATATAAAATTATGCATCTAATATAAACCACTATAGATGCCATATGTTTCAATTATATGAAATATATATAGATTTATGATTTTTCCACGAAAGCCAGGTGAATGTCATTAGAGTTCTGTCATAGGAGGAACTTGTTTAGAAGAATAGTAGTCTCGCTAAAAAAGACATAATTCCATGAATTTGATAAATTTAAAAATTTAGTAGGCTTCATAAGTTACCGTCGAATAATTTAAAATTTAAATTATGCTTTTAATTGTTATATATTATAAACTACTATATTATTAGTTATTCACAAAGAATCTACTTTGTTAATATATAAAATCGTCAAACCTGATCACTTGATACTGAAATCTTGTCCGAAGGTCTGAAAAATAGGTTTTACCATATCACACTTTTATTCATAGTTATCTAGGTCGAACACTGTAGACAGTATTTTCCGTTAGCTTAGAAAAAGGCTTGTTTGTATGTTACCACACTTTAAATATCTAAACATCTCAGTCATTAGCATCAGCGATTCACTAACATGCGATTGACTAGAAATCTTAACTTCCATACTAAGTTATCGCAGTATGTAGGATATCCTGATTCTGGGATACCCTATAGCCTCTCCTATATTTCACTTTCATGGTGAAGTAATTTATTGGTTCTGTATAGAAATAAAACGCAGGATTACATTGTAATCTAATCCGGTATTTGTAACAGACTATCTATTGGGATTATACACAAAGAAATGGTAAAACATAGTGCTAAAAGGGAATGAAAGTAGTTTCAAAACTATAAACAGCTACTTTAACAATACCTTTGGTTGCGTATAGGAGGGGCAGTTGCATGTTTATTTCTATATCGTTCTTCATCACGAATCACCACAGGTCGCCCAGTATCAACATCGGTAGCAACATCTGACGAGTTCAAAAGTTTATCGAGTGCTGTCCGTCTCTCTGCTGCTGAGGCAGAGTGATGCCGTGGTCCACTGTCATTACGTGGTTTATCATCAACATCAGTGTTCTTGATGCTGGCGATCTTTCGCTCCTCGCTGTAGTTGCCATTATGGTTTCCGCTGTTTGGTGGAGGAGGAGGGGCATGGGAAGGAGGTCTCGATTCACTGTTCTTTTCTAATAGTCTGCGTTCCTTGGCTTTCAGCGGTTTTTCGACAGTCATTGGACGAGCCATCATACTGGTCTCCTTGAATGACTCGACTTTTTTTACTTTATTTCGTAATTTCGCACCTGGACCTAATATAAAGAAGCATGAATTAAAACTACTTGATCTTTTGCAAATCCGAGACCCTCCATGTCTTTACTAATATAGTCAAACTAGATAGAAGTCAGATACTGAAAAGACAACTGTTGTTTAAAACATCGCGATGTATGTACTATAGCGATGTACATATGTTGATTTAACTCCAAAATAGCACCACTCAAATTTCTTTATTTTTGCATGGAGTAGTAAGATAAATGAAATTTTTGTGGTTATGCATCACCGCTAAATCTGATTAAATCACAAGATCTTCAGTTTTTTACAAACCACGATGATAGGTAGAGATATATCATTAAAAACATACCAAAGTAAGTCGGTGGTTTTAATATCCGTAACTGCCTGATGGAATTCCATCCTTTATCTCCATCGTCATAATGGACATAATACTTCTGTCCCTCGATCTTGATGACATTACCAGAGAGGTAAGCAGAGATGGACGACCAATGAGCAATAACTCTCGTATTAATTTGAATATCCTCAGGATTAGGATCCATGTCAAACACAACACAATCATCTGCATCTCTTTCGTGAGCAATTGTGTCTTCATTGTTGAACTTGATGTGAACCTTCTCGCCCAACCCGGTCACAACGCCTTTATAATAATCTCCGTTTAATGCCTTGGCCCAAACTTTGGAACCAACTCGGATATATCCTAAGCAGAATACGAGTCAGTACAAAAGATCACTATATCCAACCATGCAGAATTGCTCTTATTTTTATATCGTTTCATTCTCATCATTTACCTAATACAAATATCTATTCAAAAACTATATTTTGGCTTACCTACAGTTGATCGTTTTGAGTACCTTTCGCTTTGTGTTCTGCACAAAATAAAGTAGGAAAATTTGAACGAATCAAACATTGGTCAGTTCTAAAGTGAGAATTCCTTTGAGGATTTGTGATATAGCTCAGGCATGCAAAGGGTAATAAACTACTGAGTTGAATGTACAAACATGGAAATTCTTTCGCACAATTCTGATGCAATTTTTCACCTCTCAATCCTCATCTGTTTTCTTGCACTTTTCTTTGCCTCGGAATTGACCTGATGTTGGGTTCGTCCACTACATTTTCAAACGTAATATAAGTTAATTCACTCCCCGATGTTTTCTGAGCAAAAATAGAAAAAACTACAAAAACGTAATACCTGAATCTAAACTTGGATCCTCTTCGGAAGAAACTTGCAGTAGATACTGGCCTCTCACCGGTTTTTACCAAACTGCAACAAAAATGAAAATAATGGTAAAATATAATAATGGTTTTTACTACAATATTAGCAGGATCGTTTTACTTTTTACACCTTTCAACATAACATTTTTATATACCAGAGTGGCAAAAGTTCAACTTTCCTCAAAGTTTGGAAAACCTTCCTCAAAACGATTTCACGTTACAGTCTTACTGAGTCAAGTGTCAGCCAGCGTAATGTCATATTGTTTTTTTTTTCGGTACATGCATGTGATTAATTAGAGTGTTCAACTTTGAACCTTCCTCACAAACCTCATTCATAGTAAACCTTCCTCATGGGTAGTACCTGTGTACCCGCAGTTTTTTTTGTATATAAACCAAATTTATAGAGCGGAAGCATAATATTATGCCATGCCTGTTATGCCTTCCTGCTATATAGGCTTACCGGAAGAAAGAATGGTTCTCCACAGCCGCTTTCCACATTTGTTTGCTGGCCTTTGCAGAAGACAACGTGAAGGAAAATGGTTCGTGTACTGATGGAAGCTGAATAGAAAAACGTAGCGATTAAGTTACAGTTACATATTACATCGACAGCAGAGACAATAATCAACAACCCTTTAATTCTTTGTAAAATTTCTATTTTACAAAGTGCACAATGGGACATTAATGTTTGAATTAACCACAAGATATGGTGAAAAATTAGGACGTTATTTGTTACTAACCTCTGCTTTCTCAACGACGATATTAAAACGATTTCTTTTAAAAGACAAACTCGTTATCCTGGGCCTATAAAATAATTCGAAAATACATGTAATTGGTCAATTTAATTGGTATCCTACAAAAAAACTAGTTTCATATTCATTTTCAAGCGCAGAAGACTTCAAAAATCTACTTCAAAAGAGCGTGCATTAAAAGGAATATTTTTTGTCTCACCAAGCATGTGTGGCGGCAACTTGATTATCATCCTGAATAACGATAATTCCTTTGTGCGAAAGACCAATTTTGTATTTGACACGGTTTTTGTCTCCCTATAGAAGGTTTTTCAAAGAAATATTTTATTTTGTATAGTCTTAACGCTTATACTTCCTCCCTTTCTTCCCGAGGAAAGGGAGCCTTGGAGGTCACACGATATGTGGAATTCCAACAAATATTAGATTGGCGTTTGGCTGTGTGTTAGTTTGATCTCAGCAAAAATTACATATAATGTGACTAATAAGGCTGTATGTAGATAGCTTTTATTGTTATGTAGCATTATGTATGCAAATGATGACAAAAAGGTGCGTTGCGTGGTATTTGATCAGTAACTTTTCCCCTGTAAGCAATACCGTAGTCACGTAAATATCTGGGGGATGTAGCTACATATATAATCGACGGTCGTACATATATAAAGCACTGTACGTCTTATATAAAGCATTGTAAACACACGAGCCTTTTATGGTCATAAAAATTGAACATATACTGTATATTGACTACGTAATTCACTGGATTGTTCTGTGGGAATTTAAAAGCTCGCTAAAAGCACTCACCATTACGTCATACTGATGCATGCCATAGGATTCAATAGTTTTTATAATCTTCAAAAAGGCAACTTCACAATCTGCTGGATTCAGTCCACTGAAATTACAGGTATAACAACAGGTCAACATAAGAAAACTAGATTTAAAACTTAAAAAAACGCAATCTCCAAATTTCCAGATATCCACTTAAATATTGAAGCTCGAAAACTTATTTCCCTGGGAACATTAAGGAGCATGCATTATAACTACAACAAACCAGAGCGCTCAAATGGATACGTGAATATTAATTATGCATCCACTTAACCGGAAAAGTACATAACATAATGGAATATAATTAGAAGATCAAAATTTCCAGGAAACTAAAATCTTTTGTGCTTGGAGAACAAAGAAGACATTTTGGGAAATTCCAAAAAAGATTTCTTGCATTTTTTGGAGACGTCTCGTAGTAAAAGCTTATCTAACTCTGCGTAAATATGTGAATAACCGAATGACAATTGGTGCACCTCATTAGTGCATATCATTTGCTTTAATAGCTGCATGATCATACAGCTGTCTGCACGTTTTCATGCAATTGGGTGTTAAATTAGTTAATACGTGACAATATGAAATTACGTACGCGTATTGCCGATGTTTTCGATGTATCTCTTTTTCCAGTTCAGTCGTCTATTTTCAAAAAGAAAAAAAATAAGATCGATCGCCCATTTAAGACTTGCAACGACATATATATTCAGTCCTACAAATCAATATTGCAACCACATATTCACACACACGACTCAACTACGTGATCACAGAGCAACTCGCCATATGTACGTTATATTACATGTACTTACATATGAATTTCTAACAATTTTCGACAAATTATTTTTGCAACTAACAGTACCTGGTCTGGTATGAATTTGAAGTCACTGATGTAATCATGTTCGTGTAATTCCGGATCAAAATCGCCAAGCTCCGCTATATTTTAGAAAAATTCAAATAATCTCAGATATTATTGGTAATATTATAGCTACAATACCATTATCATCATTGCTCTAGTGCTGTAACACATCAAATACATCGCATTTTGCGTCAACAAACTCGATCTTTTTATAAAAAATAAGATTATTACAGCTATAACACTAAGTAGCTTATACACGCAAGTTGCTCAAGAGCTTTATACAGAAGTTATTGCTTACATTGTAAGCTGTATGCTGCCAATTCCACCAATTTCTTTAAAGGAACATTTAACCTTTAATTCGAACATCAAAAGTATTTAAAAAATGAACAAAAAAATAGAGTACAAAAGACAAAGTACGGAAAACTTAGAAGCAAGTGCATGACTTTGGCTATGTGCACACGGTGACGTTTTCAAGCGTTTTCATATTCGTTTTCACGCCAAAACGGTTTCAAACACTGTCAATTTACAATAGAAGTTGAAACTATATGTGGACAGGGCGTTCAAGCAATAAAATAGACAAAAACGATTTTGAAAACGGTCGAAAACGACGCCGGTGTTCACAAAGCTTTTGTATGTAACTTTGAAATTAATAGAGTACAAGTCATACTGTACAGGTAGCAAAGTGCACCAAATACTCAACACAAGTTTCTGCTGACAATGTACTTAGCAAAATACTATAACAACCTGAGCTAGGGGCTGGAATTAATAAAATGACAGTAATGACAATATATATTGACGTGAGGATTGACGAGTGTGTCTTTGAAAGGACACAAAAAACAAAGCAACCGTAATATAACCATTACTGTACGTAGCTGACACATTACATACAATACAGAAACACGCGTGATACCAGTTACGTCAGAAATATGTCACTATTTAGTATTTTATTCATACGTTAGATGATGTTCATGCGACTATATGTTCAATATACCTTTTTGCCAAAATATCTTGCTTTAGTTGTAAAAAGAAATGATATCTACAATTGGAGAGAAACGGTGTAAAATAACGCACAACGAATGTCAGAATGATTCGTTTAATTCTTTAGTATGCCCAAGTCTTCAAATGCAATTCAAACAATAGATAATGTGATAATAAACCTCATTATCATCTCATTATCTATCGTTTGAATTGGTCAACGCGATCGACCAAAATTCCACGTACCCATAACCTAGGCCTTATCTTATACAACTTAGCATCAACTGTGGTATAACAACTGCCTTAAATAGACAAAACACTTCTCTACGTTTCGACCTGAGGGCCTTCGTCAGGGGAGTTAGTATAGTAAACTCCCCTGACGAAGGCCCTCAGGTCGAAACGTCGAGAAGTGTTTTGTCTATTTTAGGCAGTTGTTATACCACATTTGATGCTAAGTTGTTTGAAGACGCTGCCACGCTGCTCCCTGGTTATACTGGAACTTATCTTATTATATAGTATATTATATAATGGCTTATTCAATAAAAACATAATTACACGTTTTTTGATATTATGTAGTTACACACCTTGTTAGTTCCTCACTTAACCCATGAGGTTCTGCAGCATAGAACTTAACACGGAAGTTGAATGTATAAGGCGCATGTCCTAAAATATAAATGGCACTTCAATTCAATAGGATGATCACAGAATTCACATTGAAACTACGATTTTAGAAATGCAGCTATTGGGCTACAAGAATATGACAATTGGTCTCGCAGAAAATTACCAGACACTGAAATGAACTGCGGATGTTTTGCAACTGGTTATCATAGAATGTTATACTTTAGTGAAGAAATACAAGACATGTTTCCATGCATGTACACAATACCTCGCATTTGTTTTTTAATCCTTTTTAATGGATCTAACCAATGCTGCAAAGTTTAAATAAATTGCATTAAACAAAATTAACACTCATCCAACTGACAGGTTGTATGTTAAACACAATGATGTTCCAAGTAGACCAAACTACTAGCAGAGTTTTTCAAAATGATTACATGAAACATTTGGAGGAGTTAAGGAGGATGTAGCAACAATGAATTATTTCAAAAGACAGTGGAGCTTCCATCCAGTTACTGTGATTTCACACTGAAGCACTGAATAAGGCTGGATTTCCTCCACTTTATTTGTATATTTTCTTTTGAAACGAGAACAGTCAAGCTGAATTAATTTATTTATTCTGTCAAAATTCAAAAGAAGATATTCAAATATTTTGTTAGTGAACCATTTCCCTGCAAATTCCACCCTGAAGCACAACAATACAAAAAGTAGCATAACTAATAGGAATGCAGCATTTGGAATATGTCATTTTGCTTATGCTTTTACTAAATATATATAAATTTAACCAAATTAAAACAAACACTTACCGAGACTTTCAGAGAATCAGTAAATTGCAGTCCAAAGTATTCTTTCTCAATTAGATCCAGGTTTTTGTTCACCAGGCTGATTAGCTCTTCCCCAATTGATTTTTTCTTAAAATACATAAATATTTCTTTAGAAGTTATCAAATAAGACTTGGATAAATAAATTGTTCAGATTTCTCAAATATTCATTCCCAGGGAAAGTTGATAAAAATCCTAACACAATATCCAGAGCTTCTCAATCAACTGACAATTGGGAGATTTAAGAGATTTTGATACAGATTGCTGTTGTTTGTCAGGTAAATATAAATTTAAGAAGTGGAAAACAAGAGTATGGCTGCATGTGAGAAATGCAATGATGAACACTTTCATAACACTAGTAACTAGCCATGTTGTATGCTCAAGTAAATGGAATAAAAAATCTAAAATTATTCGTGAGTGCCCCTGTGCCTTGTGGAAGTAGGCTAAAGGGTGATTCTCTGGTCACACATGTGATAATACTATTCTATTTTGTTACATGCAAAATATAAAGCCTGAAAAAACGTGTGTGACCAGATAATAACCCTAAACAGTACTGTACTCAACTACCCACTATTCTTAACTTTAATATAGTTCTTCTCAACTGGTAGTCAGGGGTTAAACACTTTTTCAAGATATATTTGAAATCCATTGATATTTTAAGGTCAGAAAATTTGCAGGAAGGTAATAATTACAAATGCACAATGTCATACAAGTAGCTTGTAAAAGAATTCTTTGTAAGATATCACAACTAAAAATGAATAATAAGTGCAACCTTGGTGAGGCACATAAACAAACGAAAATGGGTAAGTCGTAGTTTCCTTTAGAGGTGGGAGGTTAAGACCTCTTTGTTATTTCTTCACAAAAATAATAATTGAACTCAATTTCACATCTTGAAAACGTTTAACCAATCTATGCCTAACCTTTCCACAGGGATAAATTTGAACCACCCATGGTCATGTTATGGGATTGACCAAAATTTCTATTAGCCTAACAGTAGTTTGAGTCAATGTAATTTTTATCCTACAATAATTTCTAATTTCAAGCAGATGCCTTCAGTCTTCTCATACCAAGTACTGACTAACGCAAACATTGTACAAACAAAAATATTATCATTACTCAATATTCCATTTTCGTTCATAATCATGTTTTATAAGGCGACGAGTGAAATGTTTTTAATCAATGTTGACCTGGGAATTATGTTACATGTTGATCGAGACACAAGCATTTACTATATTGGCTTGTTTTCGTTTACTTTATGCCTGCAACAGGAATTTAGTTAACTCAAGCCCATTACAGTAAAACAGGCATACGGTCATACAGACTAGAATTTGTAAAGATACATGAGCCCTATTTTCTAGTGAGACCTAAAACAAATATAACACTTTCGAAATACTGAAATATTTTGGTGTACGCTATCTTAAACCAGATATTGCGTCGGGAAACTTTTTAGTTGGATAGTTTTGATAAAATAACGGGCAATTCAGAGGCATATTCTGCCACAGCTTTTAAAAACAGATTCTGAAAAGCATTTCAATTTAAAAGGAGGCTAAATTACTAAACAGCATGCAAAATTTTCTTGGAATGTCGTCGGACCATAGCAAATATACTCCCATGTAGACAAACAGATTACAGAAACAATTCACTTGTCTTGCGTTTATCTACATTTTAACAAATATTTTCTTTTAAAACTTACATCTAAATTAAATGATAAAACGTTCCCATCCAACAAATTGACTTTACAAGCAATGCTATCTTTATCCTGACTCTTTCCATCAGAGTAATCCTGTAGTCTTCTTGTCGGCCGACTAGTTCCACGGCGGCTGAACCTTCGACTTAAACGTCGGATTAAAGACATAATAATTAATAAAGAAAGTATTCGTTTATTACTCTGTATTCTGAAGTAAAAGGTTAAAATCTGTTGTTAAATTGGCTTCGAAAAGTCGAGATATCTAAGATATGAAAGCTCTAAAATAAAAACACATGTAAGCTGAGCCCGAGCCGTCTAGTTCTAACTCTAACTATGTGCAATCACAAAATATTTTTATGATCATTTTTGCATTTTTTTGCATTCTAAATTCTGATTTCTAATTATTATAATTTATCGGACGTGTTACGCAGGCGCATAATAAGCATAACATGCGCAGATTTTTTCGGCACTATAAGTAACTATTCAGACTAAGTGCTCAATTGTATTGAGCAAAATAAAAGATGTTTTCGACTTGCTTAGAGTACTGTATGACGGGTTAGATAAAACAATTGAAAGAATAGAATGAATCTTTGGTATGGTTGGGAAGAGAAAAGAAAAATATAATACCGCCTCTGGTGTCATGCAGTGTCATGAGCGGATAGGGGCTCTCTCGCGACAGTTATAAATTACAACTATCGATATGTGTAAACCTTGATTGTTCAAAAACCAAATTTTGAAGGCCGCTTTAATAATTTTGCAGTCCAGTTTTCTCTCATCAGTTTAACTGGACTGGCTATATATCACATTGACCATGGTATATGGAAGATCTACGGTACAGAAAAGTTGCCATTGTAGTATCCCATATTCATTCTAGCCGGGGCCTCATTCAACATATGGACTGAGAGGGGCCCCTCCATGTTGCCCCCAGTTGAGATTGAAGAACCAAAACCCCAGCTCACCCCAAACCCCCATTTCTACAATACGTTTATAGTAATGAAATTGAAGCCCCGTTTACACTACATTCAATTTCTTGGTACAGCACGATTGAAATACCGACCCGTATTAGTATTTTAGCAGTGCCGCATCAATAAATTGACTGTAGTGTAAACGGGGCTTGTGGAGCACAAAAAAGCTCAGATGAAGCGTTGTGCAGGATTCACAAAAAATAAAAAAGCTCAGTTTCAAGTAAAGCGTTGTGCAGGATTAATAAAAGACTGCAGTACGGATTGCTACATTACTACAGCTAAGTTAAAAAAAATCATTATCCGGTAGATAGCGTTATACAGCGTGCGTACAACCGGCCCCTTGAGATGTTCCCACAACCTGGAATTTTTTTGGTTTCTGTACGTTTCAGATTCTTAGCTGTTATGGCCTTAAACAATATGGTCGAAAACTTACTCGTTGTCGGTTGCAATTGTCGAAGTATTGGATGGACTATTAATCGTGTTTGAAACTTTCATTTCTGTATACTGTTGTAAAGAAAAGAGATTGATATCGTAATTAAATATCCACGTACAATCACAGTTAACGCGATCAAGGCGCGAGGCGCGTGGGTGATCGCGCGTGCAGCACGCGCATCACAGCAAGTTGTCATATGTTGCAGTCGAATGTGTAAAAATTAAATATTCAATTTCAATGTGTGATGGAGTGTTAAATTTCACCGCCTACTGTCTAAGTTATGGATTTATGTTGAGTTACTACGCTTCAGCATCGCTCTGGGAATTTTATACAATTCTATACACAATAATATCGTAAACATGTTTAGGTTAATTTAGATACTGAATATGTCTGTTGTAATATCATCACTGAAGCGAAAACGCGACAGTTTCGAAGCAAACGGCGATGTTTCTAGCGGAAAATACGAGGAAGACAACGATGTGCAGGAGCAAACCGGGCTTCTTTCGTCTATCAAAACTTTTTTGTGGTCGAATACACCGTCTAAGGAAAGCAAGAGTCCTCTTCCAGCAGCAAAGAGGCGACGAAAGAGTACTGATGTGAACAACGATTGCATGATTTCTTCATCGCCTCGTATAAACCGACCAAGGAAAATCAAGTGCAACACTAATAGTGATAAATTTGAAAATGACAATGATACTAACGTTGGCGCCTATCCCGAAGACAGTAAAACCGCCGAAACTACAAAACCACGTACCTCCATCCTCGGGACACTCTTCTCGCCCGTCCTGACACTATTCGGCAAAAACGGTGAACTAAAGACCGCTACATCTAGTAGTGGCGAACTTGTTGAATTGCCATCAATAAATGGAGGGAAATTGAACTCAAATTATAACTCTGTTTGCTCATGTGAGTCAACAAACGATGACTGTGAAGTTAATGGCGGGCAAGCGGGAATGAAGGATGAAAATGCCAACATCGAAGAGATCGATTCAAATCACTTGGAAACCGGAGAATGGCCTGACAATGATCCATATTACTTCTTGCGACATTTACCACCTCTCACTGATGCAATTCGTTCTCATTCAACGCCAGTGTTGCCTTTGAGAACACGTAGTACACCGGAGTACACATTGGTCTTGGACCTTGACGAAACGTTAGTGCATTGTAGTCTAAATAGGCTTGAAGATGCAGCCCTAACCTTCCCTGTACTTTATCAAAATATTTCATATCAAGTATTTGTACGTACGAGACCACATCTGCAACAATTTCTCGAGGAAGTCGCCGAATCATTCGAAGTCATTCTTTTCACCGCATCGAAACGGGTTTACGCTGATAAATTGATTAACATTTTGGACCCGAAGAAAAAGATTTTTCGGCATCGATTATTTCGTGAGCACTGCTTGTGTGTACACGGCAATTACATTAAGGATTTGACTATTTTGGGCAGAGATTTGACGAAGACAATGATTGTGGACAATTCACCGCAAGCTTTCGCTTATCAGTTGTTCAACGGCATTCCGATTGAAAGTTGGTTTGCCGATCATTCAGACAGGGAATTACTAGATTTGTTGCCGTTTTTGAATCATTTAGTGGAACAAGGAAGCGACGTACGGCCTGCTATTCGTGATCGTTTTAGGATGCATGAGTTACTTCCCGTGGGCATAGCATGAGGTGAGAAAAAGACAATGTTTATGTAGCTAAAACTGGCGCCAAAATTTACAAACAGTTCACGGAAGCAATGAATATGAAAGTGCTTTGCACTGATGCAAGCACTTGTTTTTATTATATTGATACAGATCTTGACATTAGTTCAGGGAAACCGCCGTTCTTAACAAAATATATGTTCGTATGTTAGTCAAGTTTGGTGGCTCTATGTAAAATAGAAAAGTTGTCCACCTGTTAAAAACAGCATGTTATTCCCGCCATATTATATTTCCATAAAAAGTTGATAATCGCCATGTCACATATTAACAAACGTACTAGATATAATTTAAAAGTAATAACGATATTTTAATGGAGTTTTTAAAGTCACTAACAATGTTAGTTTATATAATCCTTAAATGCATTTAAAGGAATAAATAACCGAAATTATCAACAGAAGTGTCACTCATTTTTAGGAATGGAATATACATAGTTCTGTTTGTCCTGTATCCAACAAGTTTTGAAATTTAGAACCACAAAGATTGCTGTATCATTTCTGGTTTTCTAAACCACTTCTTCCTTGCCCTATTCATCCATGCACAGACCAATCACTTAAATATGATTTTATAAATAACAGGAAAACGGCCATTCTTCATGTCAAATGTGTTTATGGCACATGAAGACAAAAAAAATCCTAATGGTTACAGCATGATATTTGCCCTATTTGACAAATAGCATTGAACAATCTGCCTGATCTTATCACATATTCGATTTCTATGAATGCTGACTGCTGTTCGTACATCAAAAGGCCATTCTTCATTCTGAACCAATTTAAGGTGGCTCTTCTTTTACTGGGTGGCTCACCCAATCAATCTTTCGATAGGAAAATAATTACTTTTTATTGTTGTGAAATATTTATACTTAATGAACATGGTGAGAAAGCAGCCTAAAAGTGTGGCAAATGTACATTTATATATGATGTAGTGCTGGATAGTTATACTTGCCTAAAAATCACATGGAGGTTCAACAGACTGACATACATCAAATTTGGCTAAAAAATTTACTTCATGCATTAGCTTTTTTAAAGATGCCTTATTAAAATTGATATCACATTCTTCCAACTTTGGAATTAATTAATTAAACCTAAGTTTCACCCAATCAATCTTTTTTCACCCATCATGTCATGGGCCAAAGAGAGGACATTTATGTATGAGTCATTTTTAAAAAATTTTTCATTTTTAAAGATTGATCAAGCAATCTCAAATAATCACCTAAGCAGTTCTTTCAAATGGTCAGTTATTTTGTCCTGAATAAAATTCTGCGCGACTGAAAGTGAAAATTCTGCACGAAAGAAGACAATTGGTTTCAAAAGATGCATAGGAATTAGGAAGCACGGTTTTACCCTTTTACAGTCAAAATTACCACCGTGCTCTTAAAACCATAATAAGTTTGCACATTCTCATTGCAGTCTTAATTGAGTTATTTACAATCAACCTCGTTCCCAGATTTACAATTTGGATTAGCAACGTGCTTTTTCACCTTAACTGATTGTCAGTGATTGAAGATTTTTTCCATACAAACGTCGTTCGTGATATTAGGAGGTTCCAAAGCTTAAAGCTAATTTCCAATCGGGTTCCATCAGTTCTGCGCATAATTATGCGGGGTCAAAAACAGGGACGCTAGAGAAGGGGGGCGCGAGGGGGCATTCGTTCCAGTTTCTCTTTGATTTTCACTTCACCAAGTCATGTCCGACATGTCGCCTTTTCGTCTCTGAACGCAAATTTGAAAATTGCCAAAATTTTGCATAGCGTAATATAGCGACACCGCGGAAACTGGTATAGACTTAGCCACAATTCTCAATACTTAGACTTCAAACTTGGTGAGAAAAAGATTTATAAATATTCAAAAAAATATGTCTTGCACAAAAGATTTGAAGCTTGCACCCAGCAAAAACGAATCGTCTGAATTAATAACCTTGTGTATACTTCTCAAAGCTATCAGCCTCACTACTATAAGCCTCAAAATGGCCATTTCACAGCTGTCAGATGTTAATGATAAGCTGTCACAAGATTGCAGAATGCGTATTCAGAAGAAAAATTGAACTTTTGTAAGATATTCAAAAGGTTTCTCTTTGATAGCGGTACAGAAATGCACAATTGTGAACCAGCGATTAGTTTTTCGGGTTGAAACGTCTTCAACAGTCACAATCTCTGCGGTGTCCGTCTGAACAAAGACGTTAGCTCATAGGCATAGCAAACCATATTGTGTGAGATACACAGATATGATAGTTTCAGATATTTCGAGAAATATACCAGTTCAAAATATAAACAAAGCGTTTATTTAAATTACGTCTGGACATCACCTTAAGAATTTTTAAAAATTGTCTCTCGTGAGATTCCTGACTCCCCCCCTCTAGTCATCACCAGCAATATCAATAAAGGTGTTTGTCTTTGGGATTCATTTCATATATTACGCTAGTTTCCTCTTCACTTAGGAAATCGGACTCGATATAGGCAGTGACGTTTTTGTGTATTTAACCTGAAATGATTAGCTGTAAAGGTAAAAGAAACTTTCCTGTTCAAGGGTAATTTGCATGCAGTGAATGTCAGGAATTTATTGAAGTATTTTACCTATATTTTACAGAGTTTACAAACTAGAAACCCCAGATCGAGACATGGACCGCGGAGAAGGGGGTTGGGGGGGGGCGTTTTTTCCAAGCTCCTCACCATTTCCTTGGACAAATAAAATTTTGCGTGGAGTTTAAAATGGCATTAAGTTCTGGTTTTACCCTCCCCCACTTTAAACAAGTTCCTGCATGCTGTAATGCTAGCTAGGCTTGGCGCGGAGATGTGAGAAAATTCCATTCCGTCGTTCTGTCGTAGCCGATCTTTCTCAGAGGTTAAACATTCAAGTGGAAGAAAAATGGACTTGGACTTGTTTATAAATATTTACCTGTGCCTATAGGCATACATTTACATATAACGAAAATGTGTAATATTATGAGTTAATATGGAATATGGGTGATAAAAAGATTGTGATGATAAATGTATGTAATCTGCCATTCAATAAAGATGATCTAAAATGAAAAAAGAGAGAGATTGTAAATTTTTGTTGAACTATAACTTTTTATCTTCTTTCTAAAGCTTTCACCTTCGTTCATTATTCAAATTGTAATTGTTAATTCCGGGCTTCAAGTTAAAGGTTAAATTTTATATTTTGCAATGTTTGAATGCATGACATTTACACGTTTAATCATAATCAACGTTATATAGCTAAAGATGAATCCCGGAATTAACAAATACAATTTGTATAATGTTTTGTAATATACGTATATAAGACTAACTAGAATTAAGGTGGAGCCGAAGTGGAGCTTTCACCAACTAAACCTTTCATCCTTTCTATGGAGGAAAAGACGTTAGGAAAGGATTATCTATATTTACATTCATAATAGTCGTTCGCAGGCCCCCGCGAACAGACTCCTTTATATATGAATTTTATATGTGCTCATTTCTACATAATTTGATTTCTACAATAATATGTATATTTTTACAAAAAAAAACACGAATTTACAATAGCTTATTTTAAAATATTCAGAATGAACATATTGAAGAGTTTCAAATTGCACTAAGAAAATAAAAATGTTGAACCAATGCACGGGGTAAAAAATGGAACAATTCAGTTAAATCAAGTACTCCACCTAAACTGTGCTTAAAAGAAGTACTTTTGCGTGACTGCAGGCACTGGTCAAATGTGGAATCTAAGATTTTTAATATCTTACCTTTTTACAGCCGACGAACTCGGATAGAATTTTTCATCGTTTTCTTCTGTCACTTCTGTTTGTTGACGTGTTGACGTGTTCGTAGGATGATGATGAAATGATGTTGACACTTCGCTCTCCTTTCTACTATTGGATCTTGAGTTTTCAAAATGCTTTTGGCTCTTCTCGGGGTTCATCTTGTATCGTCTAGACCTAAAACATTTTTCGATCAGTATGGCGAACCTAACGTGATTTGTCCAGCATGCTATGCTTGTATTTTTGTGTTCATTGACTGCATGTGAAAACAATGAACTTCTAAAGATTAGAAATGAATATACTTATAGGGACTGTATATGTTGCATGCATGCGGATGTTAATTTCTCAAACATTTCGGTGGCTTTTGCATTTGAAGTAGAATTAATTTAAAAAACTGAAAAGTCAAATTATATTCTTTTAAAAATTGTGAAGTATATTTAATGATTGGCAGTCTTTCCTTTTCAACACCAATTAACCCTAATTTAAAAATTGTCATACATACCTTGGAAGTGTGTCTTTTGCCAAGATATGCCTTGGTTTAAAACCTTTTGACGCCAAAAGATCGATGATGCTCCTTTTTCCCACGAGGTGAGCTAAAAGAAGAGTCTGGGAACTTTAATTAAAGAAAAACAGAAACTACTGCATCTACTGATTTATTTTCCATTAATAAAATGTACATGCCTAGGTAATGACTAATGTAAACATGCGTGCATATATCTTTTACGATTGAGTTATCGATCATCGATCTGTATGATTGCCGGCATGTATGCATGCATGGAGTTCAAAAAAGTATCGCACTATGTCATAGACCTTAAGCGTTTCTTTCGGACTGTTATCTCGCATTTAATCATAATCTTCAATAAAGGCAGTATCTATAGCGTATAATCCAGATCATATTTATTTGTGACTGGACAATATATACTGATGACTATGCATGAAGGCTGTTTTCCACTTACGCGTTTTTTCACACGCACTCGCACGTAGAAGTCTAAATCCTTTTACAAGTTACCTTTGAAAAAACTAAGTGAATAAATCGAAAGAACTTAGTTTTCTGCATATCTTAGTATGCATTAGTTGACCTAGATGTTAAATAATAAAAATTTGAAGGCGTTTAAAATTTTCCATACGTGTACGTGCGTATAAAAAACGCGCGTCAGTGGAGAAGCAGTCTTGAATGAGATAAAATCTGGAGTCGCAGGGAATTGATAAGTTATCAAACTAGTAAAGCAGTGGCTGAATATTTGGTTTGATGATTGATCTGTTTACGTATCACCTTTCCCATTAAATTACCATCTCGTTTGGAAGTTTCAGACTTTAATAGCGGCTCACAAAACAGACATTTTTTGCTCAAAATGTCCAATCGCGGATTCGTGCAGTATTGAATTTAAACGTTGACGCGAATGCCGTCAGGACGTTCGAGATTGGGTTTTGTCCCGCGTCATATATTGAAAGTGGCTAAAAAGCCGCTATAAAAAGAGAGTATAAGGAATTCGCCGGTTTGTGTATTTTGGGAAACCATTTTCTCTGTTGCATTTGATGTGAAATAAATTGGGCAACTTGTTGAATTTTCAATGAGACCCAAATCGCGAACAATGATCAATATGAATCATCTATAAGATATATAGCATACCTGCCCCAATTGTGAAGAATAATCTTCTTTTTTTTCTCTTTCGTTCAAACTTTATTTCTTTGATTATTTTTCTCGCCATTTGTTTATTTCGCCGTAGAAACATTTCTTTTTTCAAGGATTGTTCAAAGTCTTGCAGTGTTTGCCACCGTGACCTTTGCACAGAAGAGGTGTTAATGCTCTCTTTTGAAGAAAACACATATTCGCTGAGGTTTCCGCAGATGTAGTGATATAATAAATCGTTAGTATCTTCTGGTTTATTGTGTTTCTCTTTTTTTTCAATATCATATTTTGTTAATAGTTCGTCCAAATAAACTATTACCTGAAAATAAAAAAAAGAAATTATATTTCATCATGATATATACTGCAAGTAGTATTAGCGAGGTTCAGATTTGACTACCACTACGACTACCACAACCTTTGAGGGAATATAAACCAATCAAATGCGATAGGTCTATCAGACTAACCAATCACGAGCTTAATAGATTAGCAAGAGGTAGCGGTAGTGGTAGTGGTAGTGGAAGCCAAATCTGAACCTCGCTGATCATTGTTTACGATGCGATATGAATTAATGACATTCTCGATAAGTAACATAAGACTAAAGCAAATAGAAAGCGACTAAAGCAAATATTTATGAATACTCAGTGCTGCATGAATTGCGTTTTTTCAATGATACACCCTGTCCCTGTAGATGTATGCAGGCATGCTAAATGTATGTTTGTAGGCCATAGGATATGAATACCATGGTCGAAAATTACAAATAGCTAAGAGGAGCATACCACAAAACGAAACACTCAAAGAGGTGAAGCCCGAGAAAGTTTCTTGTAGGTTTCTAGCCCATTATTATTTTAGAAATTATTTTGTAGTGGTACATAGGGGAATCAATATAATTGCTGCGGAGCGAGCGAGCCTGAAGCGAGCGAGCGTAGCAGCAGTCTAATTTGTGCAGAGAGGGGGTTCTGAACTAAATTTTATTTAGCGCAGGGAATTGTGGTCGTGCGCGTTTTTTATGCGCAGAACACAAATTTTAAACTCGCTCATATCCATGTACTTTTTGATTTCGACGGACAGAATGTCAAATTTTAAATCTTCTGTTCTATTTTGACTATTCAAGGTAAGATATTTTGTCTTTCGTTCATATGTTACGTTTACAGTTGATTACAAATTTAACTTCTATATATTCATGAAACGCTAAAAGCATACAATCGATCGCAGCTAGATTCATACTGTTTATATACGATATACACTATATATACGATATATACTATCCAATGTGCTAACTGCTAATTCGCTTTGCTTGAGCAGTTGAGCCGTCATTGCTGTGCAAATCAAGTCTTACATACAGAAGTCTTTTTATCCATTGGCATTTGTATTCTTTTGCTGATTTCCATATTTTGCATCAAGTGATGTTTCAAGTATGCGGCTTGACGCTTGCGAGTCGTGTTTAATAACATGACACAGTCACAGATAAAATATGCAATTGATCGTCTAAATTGCCTGACTGAATTATTCAGATTCGTGCAATGTTTGACCTATTTTATATTAAAGCATAGGTATATGTTTTTATTCCTATTTTTCAATGAGCTAAATGCCTAAATATTTTTGTTATTTAGTGCTTTTACCGGATCTTCACGTGGTTTCTGATTACACGTCTTCTCGAGCGCGTTCAAAGTTCAAAGTATCAAATGATGTTTTGTTACTCTTCATATGAAGCCAAACATTTACATGGACTCTCACAAGAAGACAAATAGCACATTTCAAAAACAAATATCCATGTTACCAAAAAATGTTCTATTTTGTTAATATTTTACAATATTTTCCGCGCGGAAACTGGAAAGTACAATGCTGTCAACTTTGTTGCGGTGGAAAATGTCGCTACGCGCGCAAAATTCTGCCTAATGTTCCTATTATTCCTATTAATACTGTTGTGATTCGTATATTAAAATATTTTGAAAACTAGCTGCTTCTAAAGACTTTGACTTGAACGAGCCGCAACTCGTATCTCTATCCAACATCGTAGAAGTTGGTATTTATGACATTGAAAAATGGCTATTTCCAGACGATTCGTTTTTGCCGAGTGCAATCTACAAATCCTTTGGGCAGCAAATACTTTGTTGAACATTTATCTTTTTGCTTAGCAAATTTACTCGCGAAATCATAATATAAACCAGCAGCCTATTTCAAAACAATTTCGAGATAAAAGTTCGAACTTGAACAGTTGAACTACACAACGATGTTTTTCATACGAACTACATTACATAGCATATATTGACCTATAATGACGTAATTGACAGAGTGTTCTCGCTAACAGGTATAAATTCATGTACAGCCCCAGCGAGTTAACGCTCAATAGAGGTTCACTTTACGTGTTTTAAACCTGCTATTGCTATTAGTTAAAGCGGATTTAGTTTACTAATATTTCATATAACAATTCACTTGGACCCTAAAATGCTCGCAGCAATCCCTACCTTGCAGGTAACCTAGTATAGTTATGTGCATTGAGTGCAATACTGCCGATACGGATAATGTGGCCTTTCTGGGATGAATATGATATTCTAACAGTCGATATTCTAAGTATCATACCATTAAAGGAACACATCTAAATGAATCATATACGTCATATAAATCAATTAATCATATATCATAGAATAAGGAGATCATCACGTGACCCGGCATTTCGAGAGGAGTTGTTTAAACGCTGAAAAATTGATAATTATCGCGGGTGACATGAGGTAAATAACTGTGAGTAAAGTGGCAGTCAATCATCCCACCATGCAGCCATAGTCAAGTGGATATATAATGGTGACACACAGTATTAGTATTTTTCTACAAGAAATTTGCCCGGACACATGTGGTGTACCATAGATAAGCAAATTAAGAAACGATAAAACTCTTAAGATAAACATTCGGCGCCAATATTTGTAATTAGGTTATTGCTATTTCCTGTTTTAATTCAGATAACCTATGAAATGTCACTAAAAATATTTACGTGACAATTATAAATACCTAAAATATCATTGCTATCACCCAAGTTAATACATTGCTTTATCCATGTTCTATACATACAGTTGTATATATCAGTTATAGCGTTAATTTTCGGTATCAGGAAATGCTGTTTTGATGCCATGAAACATCCCCATTCCCCCCGTCCAACTGCTAGTTCCGGCATTATATTCTCTAATTTCTAAAAACGCACGTCAGAGCAATGATAAGCACAAAAGGTTTGGGTGCACTCTGAAAGGGTGAAGACGCATGTTTCCAGGTAAAATTTAGTCTGAACTTGCATGACATCCGATCCAATGGTTGCATGATCAAACCCCATTTCAAGCAGCAGCTTTTTAATTGTTGCATGTAATCTCTTGAGTGGTTTAACATTATTATTTAATATGATTGGATGAATTTCGCAACTACCACCCAACCCATGGACCTGCATTTCTTTATTTTTTCTGCATGCTTTCTACAAACTGTGGCTTGACTTAGTGCAAGTCAAATAAGATTACACTCTTCACACATCAGATAACACCCATGCACTGAATGCACTGATCTATCTGCTTATCGATAAATCTGTCTTCCGAGAGGATCTATACAAACTTATGAAACGGCTTATCGTCTTCTTTTCGGATTGTTTTAGTATATAATAAAAAATATACCGTATATTGTGCAATGTATAAAGAGCTTTTTGTGAATGCTGTCAGTGTTGTTTCATATTTAGGATTATAGCATTGAGCTATATACAAATATCTTCGTTTAAACTAATTATTATTATACAAAATTAAGCAAAACTAATTGGCTAAACCTGACCTATAGTTTATATCATCTTATAGCGTAAAGTTCGTGCGCGTGCTACTTTATAGACTTAAAATAAATCACACTTTGACTTTGTTCACACATTCGGGAGGTCATGCATTGACGCGTACAATTTTAAAAAAAATCCGTTTTTAATCATCGCCGCCGAGTCGATGCCACAGAAAAAAAGTGACTTTAGTGTATCTGCGTATGTGCAGAACATATATGGAGAACGATCTCCATCATACATAAAGCAATGCGGAAACAACTGCCTGATATAATTTGTTATAAGTAAAGGTTATTAATGTAAAGCTAGCCTCGCAATCAAGACAAAGTTTTCATCAAGCAAGTCATCCTATTTACAACGGTGAAGGAAGAAAACGTTTTCTTCACTTCAGACAAGGTATTTTGTGACTCAACGATCACCAGCTAGGGGCCAGTTGTTTAAAAGACTAGTTAACTTTAACTGCAGTTAAGGACAGAATTGGCAAATCAGAGTTTGTCGGAATTTTGTCCCTGTAGAATAAACAATTTCTTCTTTGTTGATATTAGAGACAACAAAGGCCAACAAAGTCTACAAAGACAATCGTAGAATATTGCCGATTAAATACAACCAGAAGGATTCGTGGTTCTATATTGTCGTCAGTGCGGCATGAGATTTCTAGATATAAAGGCTGCCGCTGGTCTATACAACAATCCTCACTTAAGTGGAAAATCCCAACCACATCATACAACCATTTTAAGATGGTTGACACTCAACAGAACTGAGAGGTCCATTCTGAGTGATTTGCTCAAAAATTTACCACCGCGACTGAGAGAAAGCTCGATAGTTAACAGAAACGGGACACTTTCTCATATGCGCTTGCTTATAGAAATTTAGGAGTTGCATATAATGCATTCTGTCTTATGAAATGTTTCATGTAGTACCTATACAATTGAATGAATTGAAATCATTGAAGTAAGAAGTGGTGCCTTATAATGTGCGAAGTGCATAAGTGTTACATCTGGACATAATTAAATGTCGCCGCCTACTCTGCATTTTTCATGCATGTATGGTTCTTATCATCATCATTATCATTCATACCTCACTTGAATTCAAATTATTCAGTCCACAGTGCTCTTCGGCGCTTTCCAAGTGTCCAATTCTTTTTCCAGCTTTCTCGCCTTTCAAATACATAAACAAATCTAACGAAGGAATGCCTTTCACAAATGATTGTACATATTCTTTCGTAAAAGATGCTAACTGTAAGAGAATCCATATAGGTCGTTTTTCCTGCCAATTTCTGGTCATTCTTTCAAATACATCGTCCGGATTTATGGGTCTCGCTTTGATTTCGTTATCGTTCAACCACTCAGGTATTTGAGATTGAATGTAATTTAAATAGTTTTGCAACTTCCTAAAAACTCGTGATGGTAACACGTCCCGTAGAGTTTGTCTGTTTGGAAGGGATTTACATTTCATCATTGCGATGACATTTTTCGGACTAAACCCAATTTCAAAATATATCTTCCTGCTTGATTTGAAGGCCCTTTTGACATTTCGAGGTATTTTTCGCCAAACTGAGGTATATGGTCGGTGTATGCTACCAAATAAGTACACAGACGGATAGTTTTCGAATGTCCAAAGGTGTGAATTCCTCTCGCCTTCCTGAAGTAATGAAAAATATGGCTCCAATACTCATTTCATAACCATACGGAATCTTATAGGTTATGCAGTTTTAGACCTGCATGCCTTGCCGCAGGAGCAAGACTGGCATAGGCGTACTGGCTTAAATATTGGGGAGCAGGGGGGCAGCGAGCCCGTTAGGGGAGCCCGGGGCATAGCCCCGAAAGCAGGAGAGCAGTAATTAGACTACACTGCTAACACTATTTGAACGGCATTTTTTTGCGGGGGTTTTCGCGTCAAATGTTGTATCACAAAAGCAGTTCTGGGTTTCGAACTATAAGGACCTTCGTCAGAAGGGTTTCTAGGTCCAGAAACGTGGAGAAGTGTTTTTGTTCATTTTATTGGCAAATGTTATACCACATTTGATGCAAAATTGCCGGTTGGAAGATGTTGTCCTACGCTGTCACCCCTTGCATGGTTATATTGGTACGTATCTTTAGGTAGTCTATTTTAAATTATGATGTTACATGAAGTTTTGAAGCGATGCCATACTACCTTCAATGAGGCATTGACAACATAAAATTGACTGAAGTCGGATTATAATGGGGTCTCAAGTATTTTGGGATAATTTTTCAAAGAAGAATAAATCATTCTATCATAGCAATGTTGTCAATGAGATTTCATAACCACGGCTTCCTATATATAACACCGAGCAACATCACTACAGCTAGCTGTTGGAGGCTGCAAGGCTAGACTTCATCGTTTTGCATAAAATCAAGTAGCTACCCTACTATTAGAATATTTCTGAACTAATAGTAGACTAACACTTTCATATGCTATAACTTGGTTGATTTATGGAGACTCCATTTGATTTAGAAGATCATTCGGAGTCCGAGGGAATGATACTAAAGATTCTAAGATCGGAATATGACCAAAAGACTTGACAGAGGAATTTGGATTAAAATAAGCTGGGTCACATTAAAAAAATATTTTCTTGACCTATAATCCGAATGTAAACACCCAATATTATGATATGTTACACAAATTCGATCTTTTAGAATATCTTCTTACGATGAATACGGGGTTCTAAATTGGTCTATATAATCTTTCTTCCGCTAAAACGATATCAGCAACCCGCCTGCCATTAAGAACCTGGTTTTCATTTAGTCTCGTGACTCTCGTCGCTGCCATTGGGCTGTTGTGAGCGAAATACTGTATTGGCATACAACTTGATGAAACTCATTTGCATACAACACGCAAAGGATGAGATAGGTACTCTTTCCCATCGTCGAAAATGACTTGTTCATTACAGACTACAGTAAATGGAAGCAGGCCTAACCGCCTATTTGGGCATGAAATACGTAAAATAATCATTTGACCTGCATATACACCGGTGGTATACTTGAACACTGAACTCAGAAGTCTTTTACTTTCTGTCTATAAAATAGTACGTTTACCTTTGTGTGTCTTGAACAATGTTTCGTCACTGGTTTCTCAGCCTCATTCGATGTCAAATTCAACACAGGTTTAGCAAATAATAAAAGCTGAAATTGAACAAATAGGACTGAAATGAACAATACAACTTCACCTCTATATTTGATAACTATATATCAAAAATGTTTACCAATGACAACGTTACGCAGAGCAGAGCTGATGAAGCCGGTACCATCCTGTCGAAGACCATTGATCAAATGAAGACAAGTTACTCCTGTCAATTGCTCATATGCTCGGTCACTCGGATCATTTTCCCAAACCAATATGACTGAATCATATCTCGAGTCAAATTTCACAGGTGCCAAACAACGATTGTTAGATTGTTATCCCGCGTATGTAGCTTACTTCAACAAACTGTTGAGATGTTTCTTTCATCACTTCAAAACTTTTTTTCTTTTGTGGTGACTCAAAAGGACCACACAAAAATTCGAATCAAGTTTATAAAATAGAATGTTTTCAACTGGATTCAATTTATCGTGTCATTGCCGCGTGCTAACGTGAAGTAGACACTCAAACGTAACGTAAAGGATTCTAATCTTGTCATCAGAATTCCATTTTGTATTCCAGAATGAGGTTAATGGATAGATATTGGACACGGACCATCTGCAGTAATGATTGAATATGTCTCTTACACATCACTTCACTCATATTGACATATCCTTGTAATTACCATCAGCATGTTTTTAATTCGGATTATCTTCAGTTTTATGTATTGCCATGCATGTATTAATCACGCAAATTTGCTTTGTAATTTTAATGATAAAAATTTAAGTTATATATCAGGATACACAAGCTAAACCATCCCCTTGCGTGAACGCTGTTGTAGGAATGTATTATTTATTCTATCCTGTACGTTAAACGAAGAGTACGTTGCAAACGTATAACGTATTTGTAAGCAAAGACCATGCAGACAGATAACAGCAATAATATATAGAGTGTCAAAAACCTTGCCGTTGCCAAAACCCAGAGACGATAAGCACGTAAGTCGATTTCAAAAATTTTTTGTGATGTCAGGTCTAGACCCGAAACATCACGCACTCTTTCATGAGTTATAAGCATTAATGGTCGGTAAAGTTTTCCCATGGTTGATTCAGCATGTGATAGTTATAATTATTTTTAATCGGCCTGACTTAGTTGGCCTTAGGACATTTCCTGTTTGTTCCCGAAGGCGAAACATGGTTTCTAAGCAATCTATATATCACTGTTATAACATTGTCACAGGAAAAATATAGCCTACGTCGTAGAGAAATATAGATAAGTACATATATATATATATAATTATATATTGGGATCGAAATCGTTTGATCAAAGTTATCAATACCATATATGTAGTACGTAAACAATTGCTGAGTGCTTCTGTCGTTTAAAAGTTTTGCTGCTTCGATTGATTCAAGAAAGATTATTTGGAACATTTCCTGAACTGAACATAAGTAAAGTACCCGCAACTTCCTGCAGCTATTTTTCTGTATATGCATATACCGGAATCGTAAACCCGTATTTATTCAGGAAGTGGGAGGAACATTTAAGAAATCTTCATTCGTCGTCATCATCGTCGGCTGGAATGCACTGAAGATAAGTTGTCGAGAGACGGTGAACCACTTACTAATGACATCTTTAAGGGTTTAAAGTGGAGAAATTGGTAAATAATTGCTGGTAGTATGAAAAGGTTAATAGAATATCGACTTATCAAGTGATTTCAATCATGTTTGTTTGTTATTCAGCAGATTATTATTATAAAATCTTTTATTCTGACTTTGCCATTTTCTATTCACGCGCGCGCATGCCCAAACGAAATTGTGCAAGAAAATTTGGAATATCGTGAGTGATTTAATTAGTTGCAAGTTGTTAATTGAACTGACCTGAGATGATTAATGAGCTTTAACAGTACATGAAGTGATTTCAATCACGTTTAAACAATACCGTAATAACCCTACATTGTTAGAAATGAGTCACTGAATAAAAAATAGATGTTGTATTACTAGTACTTGTATATATAATTATATATATAGCATCAAATGTGCATGGTATAACAAGTTAACAACTGAGGAAACGTCGAGAAGTGTTTTGTCTATTTTAGGCAGTTGTTATACCACATATGCATGATGCTAAGTTATTTGAAGACGCTGCCACGCTGCTCCCTGGTTATATTGGATTGTATATATATAGTCGGAAAATACTGATTGATTCACTGATCCAACTCGTCTCGGACTTAAATGAATATCTTACATGTCAAATTAACGGTTAATAATATCCGGTATAGATATGGTTAACTGTTGGAACTTTGAAGTATTACAGAACTATCCTTTCAATCATGATTGTTCTTCCGATCTTTATTATCAATTAAGATTTTGGTAAGCTGGTTGATGTCTTTCACACATTAAAAGGACGATTGTTGCCACAATATTTCGTAACTGACAACAACGCCATGCAGTGGCTATATCCAGTCAATGCAAACCGGAAAAAACTTTTTCAACCTCTCAATAATTTCTTCTGCATTCGTTTTTTAAATCGTCGGTTATCCTGCTTTCAAGGTCAGTGATGTGAAATCTCAAGTTCGATCCAGTGACAGTGAAATTGCCAACGAGAGGCAAACGAAGTAGTGAGGTTGTTGCGGTGCATAAAGCGACTCATGCAGCAATCAATCTTAATTTTATATATGTGGCGCCAATCGGTATATATAACGTGTATGCCGCTTGCACAGCTTGTAAAATTTCAAGTGACAACCGACAATATATACCCACTTCGAATTCTTGAATTTACTTGAGTGCGGTCTGTGCCAACAAAAAGTAGTCGCAAGTGTCTACAGGACGATGATATTACGCCACAAAAGAGAAAGTCTAATCTTAGCGCAACGTTAAACGAAGCGTATTTTCAGGGTTTCTCTCACGAGTTATGGGAAAATGAGAAAACCAATCTCCTTCGAAACATGCGTGAAAAAAATCATCACCATTTTTGACAAATAAACCACAAAAGGAAATAATCTATTCACGAATACGCGGGTCTTATTCGTCATGACTTATGAGCTTCACTTTCGTGTTAAAGCTCATTTTGATAAATACTTATATCAATCGATATAATTTATATAATAAGGAGAAATAGAAAACAGTTTGGATGGCTATTTTCATGGAAAGCGTCGCTAAAAGGTTGCGAAATGCTTAGTAACAATACAAATACTCGTTCGTACGTTCGTAAGGTATCCATAAATATCAATATCACCCACCAAGTGATTTTAACATGCATACATAGCAACTAGAGATTTTGAAAAAACCGATCAAACATATATAAAAATTTCAAGTAGTAAATATTGTTTAGACTATACTTTTTTTTAGTCATAATGAAGAAGTGCATTGACAGCCGAAATATATAACGTAGATAGGTCAAATTCTTTAGGGTTTTAGTGAGCCTTTCAGGATACAAAGTCGCCAGTCTCACTAAAATGTTGACATACAGTGCAAAGTTGATAAATTACGAGTTCTGTTTAGTAGACTGCAAATTTCCCGTGAATATAACTTTGTTGAAAAGTGTACTCAGACAGGCAATATGACGATGATAGGTCAAAATTCCTTTATATCACTCACTAAAATTTTATCGTACTAAAATTTATGGCTTTATCGCTACATATCCATCGTAGTATCACTGTATCCGAAGGAAAAGCAAACACAATTATATAGCATATGAAACAAAATGATAATTATGAGATCAATTTTCCTGTATCGTACACGTTGTTTACCATGAATTTTTTACCATGTATTTTTTACCATGTATTTTATAATTTCCTTGACTAATCAAATTAGCGATATAACGCCCTTATAACGCCGTCTGGTACGAGATACATTTAAATAATGCAATTATAAATTCTCTTCAGATATTCTGCAAATTATCAAATTTGTTTTTTTACTTTCTTATCTCGTTAAACGTGATGTGCAATATTACATTCCAAGAAAAGTAAAATTGACCACAAGACACTTTTATTGCAACAGGTCTCGATCATATGAAACTCTTCAATCAGGTTTGTCTGACACATTCAGCTACTTCCGTGACGGATGGGGTATAGCTCTCAATTTATATAGCTGCATATCTACCGCACGGCACATGCACGTTCTCATGCAATTACTTTAATTAATTAGAACAAATTCAAATTATGCGGTTTTTAAACTTTGACATGCGGACGAGAGATGGGTCTATATTCTCATGAACTATATTCGCGGACAGACGAACAGGGATGGCCAAACTACGGCATGTGGCAGACCGACAAAAATGATGAACGAATATTGACCGTCCGTAATTGACGAACTTTATGGACAAACTAAAAAGAATTGTTAGAGTGTTCACACTTTTATTTACATATAGAATCGTACTGATGTAATCACGGTTGACTTTTTGAAGAAAGACCGCTTATGATGTATGGGAAGTGTTAGCCACATGCATGATCATCCTAAATCTAAAATTTCTAATTTTCTTTCTGACGGGAGTTATTAAAACTATACGATATCGAGCTCATATGCATATAGATCGAGCTCAACCATAGTCAGTTGTTTAACTTCTTTTAAAAAATGACAAAGCGACGTTATTCTTTCGGCTTCAAACTCTAATATATACAAATAAAATATTTTAAATTACTCAGCCATATTCGAGTCTTATTACTGAATTATTTCGCACAAATTAGATGATTAGAATACAGTCTACCATCTTAAACTTCCTCATCACCACCAGTTAAGACAAGATCCAAATGGTTCCAACCTATCAACATTCATTACACATATAGTGAAAATTTCAGTCTGATCGCGATAATAGAGTTTAGTAAAATTTAACGTTTCCAGACAGAGGAACTAATATCAAAACAATAATATTGACAGGAACTGACATGATTGAGCCTGAATTATAAGAAAAGGTCAACATTCCAACATGTATTCAAACCTACTTGGTTGATCTCTTGAGAGGTTAGAAACTAGACTATCCATTGCGTCTCCAACCATACTTGCCGCTGTAAGCAAGTATTGCTGTTGTTCATCTGAGGAGTCAGAGTCTGCTGGTATGAAAAGAAAAAAAATCAAGGACGAATGAACAGTAAATTAGTCATTAGATCGAAGGCAATGCTAATTTGATTTTTTTACCAAAGAATACGGCGTGAATTTCGTGGTTGGGAGGGCTGCTTGAAAAAACTGACGTCTTATAAGCCTAATATTAATTGCGTTTCAGTTACTAAATTCGAAAATCTTTAACGATACGTGATATCTTACCAGCATACGCGGGCAGGGTGCCGGTTTCAGACTCGGCCCTTGAGTCTTTACCAGGACTCTCCCGTTCTAAAAGTTCCTCCATCTGGATTTCAATTGCACGAAGATCCTCGTCCGAGGACATTGAGATACTGGGACGGAGAATCCCATCGTTCGTACCAGATCCAAGTTCATCTTCCGCGCTCTTTGGAACAGCAGATGGTTTAACCGATTTAACCAGATGTGTGGATGGTGGTGGGAGTAATATAGCAGCACGTCCCGTACTCTGTGATTGTCCGCGCAACTCTGGTTTTGGCCGGAGCCTTTCGTAACGGCGTGACGAAGAGTTTAATAACCGCGGCGGGGATGAAACGTGTGAAACATTTTGAGACGTAAAATCATATGTTTGAAGACCACTTGTTTTGTACAAGCTATTGCTGGTGTGAGGTGACTTTTTCTAGAAAAATATTACCGCTTATAATATTGGCAATCAACTTTACATTCAAAATATCTAAAAAAAGTTATGTAACGAATTGAAGTTTATGAGTTCACGGCAACCAGGTATATAATCCATCGTAATTATCGCTATCGTAATAGCGATAATTACGATGGAAAAAGTTATGTTTTTGAATAAAAATATTTGTTTTTCGAAGCTAAACTCACTTCAAATTATATGGTATAATTCATGGGGATGGTTCAACTATAAAATCTGATCCCAATACAATCCAAACCATCATCACAAGATGCCCTTTTATAGTCTTTAAAAATATTTATTAATAGAGTCATTTAATCATTTCTTTTAGTATTTTTCGTCTTCAGCAATATTTTACCTTTAACTATACAATGTTTAAAAATTAAAGCAAAGTTAAGTTTTTTACACCGAATAAAATATCTACACAATATACTGTATTTAGCAACCTCTTTCTCGGATTAATAATTATATAATTATTATTATTATTTAGTACTGCTAAAATTTATATATTATAATATTAAATAAGTTTGAGGTACGTTTAATAATATAATTACAAAACGATTTAAGAATTAACAAATCTAATTATATAACTGACGTCACCGGTCAGGTGATGAAAGTAGAAAGGACTAAGTTTTAAACCTCTGATCCAGAAAGTCTCCTGGAACGATTTTTACGTTTAACGGCTGGTTGACGTGTTATATTCTCTGGAGATAATTCTACCTGGTTTATAAAATGACGTAGTTTTGTAAGCTGTTCTTCAAGACGATTGTTATGGTCTTCTAAAACTTCTTGTCTGGCTTCCAGTCTTTTATTGTATTCCTCTATTACTTCTCGTTCGTCAGACTCAAGAGACTGGTTCAGACGTCTTCCATGCTCTGACGCCTGGATGTCCAAGATCTTTTCTCGTAGATATCTGAGCCATTAATCAACAAAGATTCATGTACTTTAATTATCTTAGTTCTCACTATTTAAATCAAGTCATTATTATTGTCGTACTATAAAATATTTTTATTGCAGAAATTATTATTAAATATAGCAGGCCCAATATCGCAAAGAGAGGAAATTGCAATGAAATTAAAGCTTGCTACAAGCTACTTTTTATATGCATAAATTGGAACGCATCGTTGTTAACACCCAAATTTTTACTTTAACTTTAGAATGAGTTATGAGTACACACCTGTTATCGTCTTCTAAACTCACAATAATTTGTTCCATTTCGCTTACTTGATCTCTCTCCAGTGTGGTCGCCTGCATCGGAGTGCTAGTCTAAAAATATTAACCATATTTCTCTTTGGCGAACTTCACATTCGACAAAATTAACGAAATTGAAGTTACATATAAAAACAGCAAGGCAATTACGTAAAGAGTTGCCCTAGGTCATACCTATACACACTCCTACACATTATATAACACACATTAAACTTACATATATTGAAATACAATGCAAATAGGATAATATCTTTTTCGGGTTGAAATATATTATTTTTGAAATATGTTACAAACGTTCGACTAATAAAACAAGTCTAAGCTTGGCAGGTGTAGATTAACAGTTGAAAAAAAGCTATTTTAAACGAGCTATAAGTTCAGACGATTATGCAAGAAACGCCAGAGGTCACAACGAGATCACGATAAGTGTATCAGGACGAAATAACATTACCGTACTTACCGTTGGTGCTGGAGATTTGTTATTTAAACTGAAATGTGAAAACAATTATATCAATTACAAGCAAACTCGCATCCGTTCAAAACGTTTTGTAGGATGCGAGTTTATATATAATATAAACTTGCATCTTAATATACATGCAAGAGGAAATTGATGTTAATATAGAATCCTAAGGACAAAAAGTAATGACCATGCATAAGAATTAAGATACAAGAGGACAAGAGATGTATAGCACAGTACCGTGAGGTATAGTAAGATATCAATTCGTGTTCATCATCTCTACAAAAATGCAGTACAATACATTACGCGTTTTTAATATACAGAAACGAATGGAATAATAAATAATTAGTTATTGACACTTTCTTGTCACGATGTCAAAAAACCTGTTTGTTGGGAATATCAATATTAGTATGCAACGTGTTGGCTTGTAAAATATACGTATTTTGAGGTAGACGTTTACAAACCGTTTTAATGAAATATTGCAAAACGAAATCAAATTAACAATATAATAAAGTCCGGCCTGGGAAATATGGGAAGATAGAAAAACCCAACGCTTAGTCAGATAATCCACCACTAGTCTGATGTATATGCATGTTAGAAATGTACCAATCAAGATCACTATCTTATGTATTTTGCCGTTAAGTTAGATAAAAACAGCAAAAGTGCTTCCCCACACTAATCCTCAGAGATTTAGGAAGGAAAACGCACTTACACATCAGGACTTGATGTGAGAACCTCTGAGGAAGAATATTGATTATCTTTCTTTGGAATCTCCTTCGCCTCTGATAACCTGTCAAATAAAACAAGACTCAACCCCCACGCATTATTCTCAAGTAAAATTCAAGTCCGAAAAATGAAATTATATACCTTTCTGACTCAATATCGTGGGAATCGAAAGATGTTGTACTTTCATTGTCTGCATAATCAACATTTTCCGTGCTATAAGGAGATAAAACAAGTCCGTGAAATAAAACTGCAGCCGAGAGAAAACATTTAGTCTATACGTTCTTAAACAAGGTGGTTGATAAAAAAATTGTGCCCGAGGTAATTCCTGTTACTAATTTTTAGTGTAAAATTTATACTCGCATGCAAATGGTTAAATGACGTGTAGATGTCGAAGTAATAAAAATAAAAACAAAAACATATTAACTCACTCTTCGTTTGAAGCATAAGTCGTTGCTTCATTCGTGACTGGAAGATATCTTGGTTTCGTTGACTTCTTTTTTTTCTTTCCAACTTTACTTTTTATGACTTTAGCAAAATCTTTTATGTCCTCTTTTTGGGTTGCCTGTGTGATAGGACAGTGAAGAGAGTCAGGCTTTGAATAAGGACCCTGGGTACGACTTGCTTTGGTCGCTGGCCTGATAAACTGAATAAATTTTCTGACATTGATCGATTCCCAAAAAAGGTTTGAGCATATATTGGAAACTCTAATGTTTGTTTCGATCACTGATTACGTTATAGATAACACCTACTGGTAAACAGTATTCTTGCGTTTGGTGACGAAGTTTATGATTTTTTGCCACTCGTCCGGACCAAAAACAATTCTGTGAAAAAGTACAGGAATATCTTTTAGATACTTGGCCCGTGTGGGCCAACTGAATGGCGTTAAAAGCTTACTTAAATCTTTTGACTACAAAACTCTACCTGGCACATGTCAAAATTAAAGCATTTCAAACATCGATACCTTCAAGTAAAACATACTGATCAGTAAGTATATTTTTAAGGACATGAAAAAAAACATACAGGTCAGACCATAGAAATAGTAGACATGTCTATTATACTAAATGAAAAACCATAACGAACGTCACACAAGGGTTCGTCAGTGGACTGCATGGTTAATCTAGTAGATGTCCAGCCATGCCATTTTGGCTTATGTTAGATGTTCAATTGTGGCAAATCGGTAAGTGTAAACGTGAGTCAATCTTTAATTTCTTACCTGAACCCAACGATTGGGAACATCTTACAAATATTGCACTTTCCTTCATGTGTTACTAAAAGATACCATATAATACTGAAAATAATTGTTGCTGTTCCCTCGTGCGGTAATCTTATACAGAATATTATTGAACAGAATAGTTCAGTTACAGTTTCAGTTTGTACCTGTTTCTGACATTGCAAGTCGATGCAAGGTTGGTATCCAAACAAGAGTCTGTGGTTCATCAATCATCCACTCCAAATATTCAAGTTGACTTACTCTGTCGGGGATGAACGCCTTAAAACAGCAATAAATGTTTCATAGTTTTCAAAAGGGATAATAACTGTATCAATCAATGGCTAGCTATTTGCTACTGCAAGTCATGTTACTGCGAAAAATATTTTTTTGTTCTTGTATTTTTACCCGATCAAAGCAACTGTTTACTGTGGGTTCAATACCAGATCTTCCAAACGAATGGTACTCTTTGATATATTTCAAAACCTGAATTGAAATTAATATACCTGATAAATAAACACTGATAAATATATCAAAAAGGCTTGAAGATTGTCTGAGCACTTGTCAATTCATGGTTTTCAGAGACCTCCCACGATGCACGCGTGGAATGCGATGCAGTATCTGTATGGTATAATTATAGTTCTCACCAGTAATGCATCTCTTAAAAACACACGCAGCCGTTTCTTGTCAATAAAACCCTTGCTTGATGAAATCTGATCGAAAAAATCTGAAAATAAGAAATTCAAAATTGCATGATATATAGTTATTCTCGTACTCAGGTTTTACAAAGCGTGGCAGGGTCCTCAGCTTGAAACAAAACCAAATTTCCATTCCATACGTTTCACTTTTCAACCTCGAAAAACTACTCCTTTCAAAGGCAAACCATTTCTTGTTTTATGTGTTGTTATATAACACGTTAACAAAGGCAAATTGATCAATGAATTTACGTTACAGTATCTATGAAATTTTTTATATAATTCTAACTAGGCTCCTACCGCTCGTGCCCTACCAAAGTACGAAAGACCCTGGGTACGAGGTTGCCGCTCGTGGCCGGAATATTTCCCATGATAAGACAGTACATAGGTTTCAGTCTTATCAAGCTGTGAGCACTTACATTTGTACTTTTCCTGAACACTTGCAACTGATAAACAAGCCAGACCAATCTTTGCTGATATAATTCGAATGGATCCACTTCGAGTCCTAACAAACCAAGTATCATTTTGTTGTTTATCATGTTACTACTAATTTCTCACTTTGTCAGATTCAAAACTGGTTGAAGTTAACTTTAACTAGCACTATCCAACAGGAATTTTTCTAAGCTCAATTTTCTAAACTCAAAATGAATCCTGAGGTGTAGAAGTTTTAATATCATATATTATATTTCAGCAACAAAGTTAAATGTTTCTATACGTGTGTACTGTAATAATTAATGCACATGTGACTTCATAGGATGTAAAAGAGAGGTATGGGACAAGCCGCAGATTATTTTGAGACGAAAAACGTTGACGTAATGACGTTGTGACGTCATCTATTCTTACAGTTCTCATTACGCACAGTTCTCAAGCAATTAAATAGTTAGAAATACTTTAGTTGTTATATAAATAGTTATATAGGGACCCTATTCGCCATTTCAGCAAACTTACTGATCGTAAGTATTCAACAGCCAGTTGAGAGTTAGTTCTACACCATTTGCCACGTTCACATCTCCGCCTTTTTCACGTTCGCGAGTAAACATTTCTCTTAATACTTCTTCAAGTTGTTGAACATTAATTTTGTTTTCTGTGAAACCTTCTGCGTATCCAAGATCATTAAATACTGCTCTGATGGTTAGCAAGTTCACTGAATCAACTATAACAAAGTCACAGTTCTGAGTCATAAATACTTCACAAAATCTGCTCAACCACTATATATATAACCTTACCCTGAATTTTCTTTTCAATTGCTCTTAGCTTTACTGCAGTGCGATATGCAGCATACTTTATGTCATCAGCCAATGCTTAAAAAGAAGCAAATTGTGAAAACACCTGTAAAAGCTTTGTTGTTTATGTTTATTATAATTTCATAGAGGTCTATGTCAATGTTGCATTGCCATTAGCTTATAGCAGGACTCGAGCTTGTTATATTGAAACATATTAATACATATAGTAAATGCATCATGAACAATGTCAATGATATAGTGTAATAATGATGATATTAACTGGCTTACACATTTCATTCATCAATAGTGTCATTTCTGGATGGTCCCACTGCGTTGTTTCAGTTGCATGACTGGAAAATATTACAAAGAACATAGTGCATGTAGATCTCCTTTTAGACATTGCTAGCTAGTACATTTCTATTAGGACACTTATGTACAATAACATCTACAGTATATGACACAAGATTTGTCAGTTTGTCATATGCCTTGGACTCCTTGAGAGGAAAGAACCACACTAAGAAACATATCCAGAGAACCAGGGTTTTGGAATTATTCTGACCTCAAAATACTCACAATTGTACTGACAATATTTAATTTAAAACAATTAGTATTACAACAATTCTTCAATCTATTTCACCCAAATCTTCCAGAACTATTTGCAACAAAGTCACTTTATTCAAAAAATGGAAATATTATCTAAATAGTTACTTGACATAATATGGGACGCCAACCAAAGTTTCAGCTCTCTCCCAACCTGATGCAGGGCCTAAAGAAAATAACACAACCACAATTGTTGTCACTACTCACTACACTGTATAAATTCTAAAACTGTCCTGAACACTGTCAGTTACGTTAAATTATTGATTTTGAATTGAACTCAGCACTCATTATCACCATTGCTTGCAACTAAGGATATAGCAATAGTAGTAAAATTTGAGAATAATTGCCTATTTTCAACTGAAATTTCAATGTTTCATGATAATATAAAATCTGCAAATTCTTGTTGGGTGGTATTTTTTTGGACGAACAGTTTCCACGAAATGCACCATGGGAAATTTTTAATAAACAATAGCTTATCTCAGTGACTCGACTTATCGTCATTATTGTGTTATGTGTATATGTAATATAAAATGCTTTCACAGATGGGCCATGTAATGAATGAGAAGTATGGACTCAACCTTCCATCCTTAGTATACTTTTTTATTTCATACAACTATGGTATAGAAAATAAAAAGTAGGACCACTTAGTGATATACTAGTAGACCTCGGTTCACTGGATCAAATTTTGTCATATCTAATTTAATTCCAATGGATTTTTTGTAGCCTCTTGAGTGGTAATGTATATGCAGGGAATCAACTATATAGCAAATTGAGTACTGTCCTATTAATACACAGACATCAGAAGTAAATGGATTCTGACAAAATTGGATTGTGTTAACAGATCGCTATCATATGTCCTCCTTAATATTTTTATGCAATTTACCTCCCAAAACATTGGCAGACAAACCAGTTCATTATGATTTAATATTGACTGTAATTAGCATGTAATTAACTGGCAATGGCCAACAACATAACATTGAGGACACCAACTAGTCAACTACCATCTACCATGTTCTGAAAACTATTGGTTCGTTCTTTATATTCTTCGAGGGTCTTAACTCTTAAGAGTGTCAGAACTATGCTAAATCGACAACCATAAATAGTTTATCGTTATAACTTAAGTTAAGCAAGTCTATATGCTGCTTTATAGTTTATATATAGTACACTATAATATAAAAAATTACAAATTTGATATATAAAAAATGCGTCTCCATCCAACTCTTACCTTTCCTGTCGTTTTCATACATAATCGCTATAAATTCTCACATATTTTAATTATTGTTTAATTGAATTAAAACATTTGCCACTCAACTCAAATGTGTTTCCAAGGACGCTACACGCAATTAAACAATCATGCAAATTGCAGAGTATGATAATTAGCAATTCTGATCTTGCCCGATCTTGACACTGACCTATATATATTTTCTAAATGCTTTCATATAGTGACACTACCTGAAATTTTTACCACTATTTTGTAATATGTAAAATATCACAGGATTTCAAGAGTTTAGAGGCAATACCAAAGATGCTTTTGTTGACGAATCTTCCTCAACTTGGATAGTTTATAATTTTCACCAAGATGAATGAAGTGGTTTTATGAAAAACATGGCAGTGAGGCCATACTTGAATAGAAGTGAGGTTTGGCTGGCTAGTGGGAACTTTCGTGTTGCTTTTAAATTTCCACTTGATTTTCATCCAAGTGCTTTCATTAAGTGGTATCCTGGGCACATGGCGAAAGGTTTGTTGCCTGAAAAGGCTAAAAAATAAACGTCCAAACCATTATGCTTGTTGTAATCCTTGTACCTATCCAGTGTCCCACCTATCAAGTAGCCCCACTGTATGAGGTGTGGTCAGAGAAGGTGAATCTCCAAATTATTCAATTGGCTAAAGCTAGAGTTAAACTAGAAATATTAGTATGTGAGTTGATAATGTACCGGTAGTTAGTTAAATGATAATACCAAAGTTTTCTATCAATAATATATTTAACAGGTAAATCTCTACCTTTAGGGTTACGTATAATGGAAGCAAAAATGGCAAAGTGCGACTGTGTTCTTGAAGTGCATGATGCTAGAGTATGTGTCAGATGCCAATTGCTATTACACTTTAATTTTATGAAAGAAAGATATACAGGATGTTTTAAGGAAACAACACAGATATTGATAAACTGACATTTTTCCAAATTATTTTGTCAATGAATGCAGTTGCCATATAGTGGGAGGAATGAAAAATTTGTGAAGAATTTTGGAGGCCGACCTCATATTCTTGTTTTAAATAAAGCAGATTTGGGTGAAGGAGCAAGAAGAGGGGTAATGTGCCAAAAAAACTCATTGATCTTTGTAAACATAAATTTCTATTTTATGTTTATATTTATGTAAACAAAGTTGTGTCAAAACCACAGCTCAAAACTCTAAAGAATGAGACACTTATTTCTCTTTACAAATTACAATGTTAGCTCAGTAATTCTAGGTACTCTTGCAACATCTGATGTTTTGAATTTTAATATTCTTAGAGTATTTCCAAGTCTTTGGAAAGAAAAGGAATTAGACCAGTATTTTTGAACAGCAAAGACGTTAAACAGAAGCCTATTAAAAAGGTGACAGCAAACCTGGCAACTCACGAAAAAAAAAATTGTTCAATTTTAAAATCAGTTATTCTACTAAAGATATAACTACTACCAGTCAAAAATGATAACAACGTCAAAAGGCAATGAAAATCGTTTTATATATTCATCGTCACATATTTTAGTATGAAACTTTCATGCTAAAATTGTTTGACTGAAAACTCAAAATTATATTTCGCTATTTTAGATAGTCCAGCAGGTTCTTGACTCAATTCAGATTGCTGAATATGAAGGCGTTTTTAGACGCAGGGTTCGTATTACTGTTCCAATACTATATCAATATTATAAAATGCACCCCTATCATCCCTGAATACAGAAGTAAAGTGCAACAAAAGAAATATGTAAGAATGCGCATGTGAAACAGTTAAAAAGCGCTAGTTATTCTATTACTGCTCCGCATCCAGCCCCAGCCAGATAAATCAGGTTTCCCACTGATCTCGTTTTAGAATCCGGACCAGGCTTATCATTTGCTAGTGTGCGGTTTGCCAAACGTCGGAAAATCTTCATTAATAAACGCAATTCGAAGAACTTACCTAAGAAAAGGTATAAAAACGTAAAATCATTTGTGTTTGTGTAATTGATAAAAGAAAATCGAAAGACTGTTAGTAAATCAGAATTTCAAAATGGATGGGAACTAAAAAATCAATCTCTTAATTTTAGGAAAAGCCACGAGAGTAGGCGGTGATCCTGGTATGACTAGATCTGTTATGCAAAAAATTCAGGTATATGTGTATAACTTCAGCCAAACACTGTTACTGCTAACAGGTATAAAACTGGCGTTTATACTGTGACTTAACTGAGATCGAACAAATTTAGATTCAAAATTCACTTAATTCAGCATTCAATTGTGATTTAATTATTCAGATTTGTGACGAACCAAAAATGTATGCACTAGATTCACCAGGTATGTTTGATGTGGTTGCTAAGAGTTCCAGTATACTACCATTTTACCAAAATAATGTCAACTTTAAACGCGTCTATTGCAGGCATTACATCTCATCAAATCGACACGTTTGAGACGGGAATGAAATTGGCTCTTATTGGTACGTCACGTTTGAAATATGCATATGTTAAAAACGAGTTGCAAAATAGCCTTAAGACCTAAGGTGTATCAGAGTTGATGAAATTTTATGTTATAAAGAAACCCTTAGCTGATTTTAATCCGTCACGTCTCTGAATTCTCGTTAATTCTCAGAATAGGTGAATCACGACTGAAACATATAGTGGTCTGAAAATTCGTGGATAAAGGCGTTCATACTGAATAAGCTATGATTTGACTTTTGAGAAGACTACTGCACAAATCTTCCAAAATTTACCTAATGTTATTCCACAGCATAGCAGTCACCCAACGAGATAACGTCCTCACTGACACTGTGCACAAGTTTGTAAATTATAAATAAGATCATACAATGTCTATGATTTTATTAACTACGTTCCCACTTATCCTACAGGTTGTTTTCCAGATCACATGATTGGTCAACATGTTATTGCTGATTACCTTTTATTCACCTTAAATAAATACAATCAGTTCAGGTGAGCGCGTTTAGAATAAACCTTTTGCCGATTAATCACATTCACACTTCCACAAGGAAAACTTGCTTGGCAAATGAAAAATGAGTTGAGGTTAAGATGTGCCGACTATTACCGTATTAAGAGCAATTCTTACGATTATTCATCTACCATTATATTTCTTCAGTTATGTAGATCTTTATGATCTGCCAGACCCGTGCGACGATGTGGATATAGTTCTACGTTATATCGCGTGCAAGATGAAGTACCGAACTGGGGGTACGTCAAAGTATATTCAAAGCAAAATTTTCAAAATTTGTAATTTCTAAGAAATTTTAAGTTCCGTAACTTTTGTGATATTTGTATATAGAAGTTGTTAAGCTTAGAAATCGGCCTTAACCCATCTCTCTAAAAAGTAGCTATATATACTCCTATCACTTTCGGGCTTTAGTTTCTTATTCGCTACTAAGTTTTTTTTTCAAAAAGGAAAAATCCACGTCTCCATATTTTTAAAATATGTAGCTGAATTTTCACAGTATTCTAAATTGTATTGTTCCAGGTGGTTTGCCTGATTATAATGCTGCCGCTGTCAACTTTATCTCAATGTACCGAAAAGGCAAATTAGGAACATTTTATCTTGATCCTTGAGTTGGGCCCTATACGGGGACCATATAGCACACGTTTTTCATACAACTAATGGTCGAAAAACGTCGATATGGCTATTCAATGCAATTCACAATTCTTACATCAATACCATGCATGCTGTGAATTGATTCTGCGTCAATGAAAATTCTCCAAAGACATAGTGAACTTTATCGTCCAACTCGTGCACCGTCATAGTAGCAAAGTTTGCAACTGAGACAGCTATATTAGGGTGCTAATTTTATTTGTAATATTGAAAAAAAAATTGACCTACAAATTACGTATTAAGATGGTGTTATATCTTTTGTGTTCTGTAGTTGTTCCAATGTCGGGAAACTTATTGCAGACTTTTGCAGTACGAACTGAATTTTGGTACTTTTAACCGTACGACAATTTAACTATTTTTCGTCTGATAGATCTGATTGAGAGGAATACGTGTGCCGCATATAGATAGCACAATCCACACGCAGCTACACAGACTCAGGGTACTATGTCGTTGTGATAATTGTGCTGATTAGCTGCACGGGTTGAGCAGCTTCGCACTAAAATCGTTTCTTTGATTATTAAGTATGTGCATCAACCATACTATCTTTGTTAAGTTCCATATAATGAAAGCTAGTTAACCCTGCCACATGTGGCCCTAAAACTGTTGTTGAATTACAAAGTAAGTTTGGTATTAAGTAGCATATTTAAATAACCAGCACAAAAAAACCCCAAAACATTTGTCTTCTTAAACACATTTCTATTCCCAGGCACATTAAAATACACAAGATAGCAAAACTAAGATTAATCCCTTATACAAATTCAGATAAGCTCAATATTTTTTCCAAAAACACCTGAAAACTAAATAATCTAATCATTACTCAAAAATTACATCAAGCCTGATAATCAGTACAGATCTATGAATAGAAACATCAATCTCCTATTATAAAGTAATGTGACTGACACACACCTCATCCTCAAAACTTCTGATTATTCAAATTTCCCATCCTAGGACTTATAGTTGATAATGAAATAAATCAATCTTCAAATTAATCATAAAAGTCTCTTCGGCATTCCTAAATATTGTAAAGCAATGTTTCGCTACAACCTTAGGGCAAATATTTAGATTTGTAATGGTACACATTGGTTCATTAAACAAAAAGACAAGGACTCTGTAAGATTTTATAAGATTCAGTTCTACCAAACATGCCCAGACCAATTTATGTAAGGTTGCTGTTTCTGGAGGGTGATGTTTCTATTTTCTACTATATTCGTATGGTGGCCAAGAATTGGTGAAGTTTTGCTTTTCAAAATCTACATTTAATTATATGTACTGTTCATTCTAGATACTATCTATTTCTATCAGTTTGTCACTCTTTCCTGTTTTTTCTCAATCCAGTAATTACTATTCAGATTTATGTACTTGTACTCTTTGAGCAAAGGCAAAGACGATTCTTGTAATAAGCTGATCAACATGGCATTCAATTTCGTCATACATCTTCTGGTCCTTCCCCATTAGTAATTTCTTTATGAATTTTGATTGAGATGCTCTTTCCGCAATGTGATGTCTGATTTTTTGAAGTGTTTCTTTCAAATCACTGTAGAATTCCGATTGACGAATGAACGCCGAGTCGGCCCCGTTTAAAACTTTGCTGAGACGCTTTGTGATGCTAGAAAATTTCTCTACATACGCTTTATTGTGTTTGGCTTTCACGATGGTGAAATTAATCTCATCGATTATGCCGAGTGGACCAACAGCCGTGTCACTCACATGTGTCGTCTTTGCGTTGCCTTCGTTTGAAGATCTGGCCATCTTTAACGCGTTAAATTTCATTGAAGAACTCTCGTTTCTCATTCTAATACTACCCAATGTAAAGCTAATGTTCTTTCTAAGCTTTCTTTTCACGATTACAACGACAAAATAGCAATATATATATAAAAAAAGTTCGCCTTTCTTAACTTCCTTCGTCGAATACAACTTGCCTCAGTCGGTTTCCAGCTGAACAGAAGGCGTCAAATTTGTAGCCATAAACATCTACCACCAATAAACCATCAAAAGTGTTGATCATAATAGGATTGAGACCAATATGTATGGAAAGCCATAGCTGTCTTAAGTGGTCAATCGTCATTTCAATCGGTGCTTCTAACATTATACGCAGTGCTTCTAGCATTATATGCGGTGCTTCTAACATTATATGCGGTGCTTCTAACATTATATGCGGTGCTTCTAACATTATATGCGGTGCTTCTAACATTATATGTGGTGCTTCTAACATTATATTCTGTGCTTGAAACGTCATACGCGGTGCTTCTAACATTATACCCGGTGCTTCGAGCATTATATGCGGTGCTTCGAACATTATGTGCGGTGCTTCGAACATTATGTGCGGTGCTTTGAACATTATATGCGGTGTTTCGGACATTATACGTGGTGCTTCGAACATATGCTGTGCTTCGAACATTATATGAGGTGCTTCGAACATTATATGCGGTGCTTTTGCATCATTATGTGGTAGTGAGCCAGTATGTTTGGGTAGCGGTGTTAAAACGAAATCCACTATACTTCATGTCTTCTAAAATATATCAATGCTTAGCTCACATGTCCTTTCCGACTCATAGTTCACTGTTCCGACCCGAATTTACATACGGTGCGATAAAAACCTTCATTTTACAAATTACTTATTTTTTAGTAGCGTAATTGTGCTTTAATCTTATATGATGGAAGAGATACTTCGGTCATTAGGTATGGAAACTATTCTTGGTCGTTTTCAAGCGCAAAGAATGGACGCACAAGCTACGTTGGCCGCCTCCGATCAGGAATTAGTTCGTCTCGGAGTGAGTACTATTGGCGATCGCATTCGTCTTCGAGATGCGTGTAAGAGTAAAGTAGACGAAAACTCTGCTTCGACAAGCCAAACTTCAGCAGCTCGCGAAGAACGTCTATCAATTTTTCATCCCCGAAGGCATAACAACCGTAATAGTGCACGTGCTGCGGCCAGAAGTACCACCAGTGGAGCAAGCAAAAGAGCGGTAAAGAGCCATCCATGGACGCCAACGTTTTTCTGTATGGCTGATTCTACAGCGTCAAAAACACCGTCAGCAATGGAGAAGCAAGTTTTGTTTAAAGCTGGTCTGGGCTTGAAAAAAATCAAGTTGGACTTAGAAGATGACGAACAGACAGTGACAAACAAAATTACTTCAGACACCCATGTTGATCGGAATAATCTCATCCAGACAAGCTTTGAAGAGATCGCATTCCTTGGTGAATACAGAAGAACATTGCAAGTTCAATTTTACGGCGAGGTATGTAACAAAGCATTAATAACAAAATGTTAAGCATCCCTTCCACACCACCGGTTTGACACTATTGATTATGTCTTATTAAATACTGTTTTGTGTTGTATGTGACTATTTGTTTATATTACATTTCAATATGCTATCCAAAACTAGGTGGCTGAAGATTATGGAGGACCACGAAAAGAATTCTTTAGATTGATCCTAGGTGAAATTAAAGAGACTTACTTTGACAACGGCCTAAGAGAATTGTTGAGGGAAACATATACAATCATTGGAATAATATTAGGTGAGTTACATACCACAAACTATCAAATTTTATATTTTGATTCAATTACATATTACAAGGACCTTTGGCAGTGAACTAGTTAACTGATTCTTTACATCTTTACATCTTCTGGGGGAGCAAACTAGGGGGAAGACAATAAAATAAGAAAGGGAGACAAATGTCCCACCCCTTGCCACTGATCCCAAGACTTGAATGGCTGCAGGGTTTATGGTATTGCAATGAAAGCTTGTCTTCTCAATAGGATTGAGTATAATTCAAAATGGAAAAATTCCAGTTTTCCTTGGTGAAGACATTGTAAAAAAAGTTTTTTCTGAAACATCATCTGAAGCATGTATTGCTGAACTGCAAGAAGGTTTTAAGAAAGTTGGAATCTACCAGGTGAGTTATCCTATTTTTGTGAATTAATATATTTACCTCCACTATTTTGATTGTTTAGTAAATAATGTTTATAATACTTATATGTGTCTTATAGCTTGGGTGTCTACTACCGACATTTTTGGAAATATTCAAGCGTCCACCATACACTTTGACAGTCAGAAGTTTGGTCAGTTTAATTGAATCCGAGATTTAGTGAGCAAGGTTCTAATCGAAGACGATTTGAGAATGAAGTGTATGCACAATTTATGAAGTATATAAGATTGGTTGCTGGTAAGTGAATACAGTAATGTTTGGTTTCTTATAAGCATGGCCTGAATCACACACAAAATATTGATGATATTTGTTTAATTAAAAAGTGGTCTGGATAATTGGATTATAAGAATGTATAGAAATTAGACAATAGCTGACAAACCTGTTATGGTAGTATTGATTATCAAATTTATGATTTCTTTATTTCTAATTCTAGGTGGAAGGAGGGGTGTGATCAGCTTGGCCCATATTCTCATGTTTGCGACATGTGCTGACGAAGAGCCTATACTAGGCTTTACAGTTAAACCAAGCATCACCTTTGCAGAAGTAGAGAGTATTGGCAAGTTTGTCCCCACTGCAAATACCTGCATATGTTCTTTGGTTATACCTCATGCAACATCCCTTATTCCTTTGCCAGAACCTGACCGACTCTTTAACCTCTTCGATTTTGCATTGCAAATGCCTACTTTGGTAATGCCTAAACTTGAGAGACACTGCAGTGAACATCTGTATAAGTGAAAAAGTCAAAAGTCAGCCGCTCTAACTAATTGTTTTCAAAAATGTTTCATAATATTGTCTTTGTTCTTGACTTTACTGTTATTCATACTGTTTATTTGTTTAAGTGAGATACACTGTGTCTAGAGAAGAATACATGGAATAGCATTAATAGCTCTTTGAAATTATAATACAGCACAACAATGTATCTAAATCTATAAGGCATTTATGAATTGAACTTTTAGACACACAACATAATGTTTACCCAACATAATGTTTACCCAACATAATGGATACCCAGGCATCTCTCCCTTTCCCAATACCCTGTTTAGTGACACATAATGAACTAAGTTTCACTACAATTCTTTCTTGCATTTGGTTAGACATCATGTCTTCTTATAATATTCAACACTTGGACATAGCCATCGATGCCATGATTTGCTGCTGACCAGGTTTGGGAGTTCAGTTCATTCAGACATGCATCTGGCAGTCCAGTCAACAGTGGAAGAAATATAGGCCGATCTCCCTGCAATTGCTCCTCATTCCCATCCTCAAGGTCATTGTCAATATCATTATCATCATCTTGCATTGGGGTAGGAGTGGCGTCAAGCCCCATAGGGTTGTTGATTTGGCCAGTTAACCAAAGTTGTGCAGGTGTCGACCTTGTTGTGCGCATTCGATGGTGAGCCCAAGCTGATTGCCAAAGGTTTAACTTCTTGTTAACAAGTGGCACATAAACAAAATGAAGTGCCATCAGGTGTGACTCATTCAGTATGTCGAGTATACCTTCTTCCTCCATGAAATAGAAAAGTTGGTAGAAAAAGCTTAAAACACCCTCGTAAACATCTCTCCATAAGCGCTCAATTCTCTGATTGTGCGTGCTCTTACCAGCTATCACACTTCCACGATTTGCTCCACGGTTTCGGATCATGAATTCAGCTATACCAACATTTTCCAGACCCTTGTCAGTGCGAACTCTGTTTGGTAGGCCAAACTCATTGACAGCATCCACAAAACATGACAAAACAGTGTCTGCCTTGTTATTGTCAGTGCATTTTAACATGACTGGCAATCGACTGAAGCCATCAATACCACCTATAATAACGAGGTTCCACCGGATTAGTTTGTGATTGGTGTCTATATGCCATAGGTGGTTTGGTCCTTGTACATTATAAACCCTTCTCTGCAAACGCCCTCTCTTTCTTTTGGCAATACCTTCGCTGTCAACTCTATGTAGGCTTTCACGTAACCGCCAGCGTTGAACCTTGATGTTTTTTCCGAGCAGCATCTGCTTTATTAACCCCTCGCCAGAGTGAGGGAATTCCTTGGTAATTTCTCTAACAACTCGATCCAATTCGTCTGCTGAAATACTCGAAAACTCCATCTTACTCAGACCATACTGTCTCATTCGACGATAAATGGTGCTCTCTGAGACTGATAGAATTTTAGAGATATCCTCTATGGTTAGATTTTGCTCAAGGTAACACTCCAAAACAGACCTTGGGATTTCAAACACAGGCGCGCCACATTCGTTTCGCCTATATCTGGGTGGTTTATTCGACCCGTACTTGGAACATTCCATTCGTAATGTCATTATATCATTGCGATTTTGCACTCCCAACTCTTTAAAATCATTTAAAGAAAGCTTTCCAATCAAATCAGGCGTTATTTTCTCACTATTGAATTTTTCTATAAAATAATCCAGTTTTAGCTTGCGTAAAATAGAACCCATTTCGGACGCCATTTTGTAACTCGCGATTGAATGAGAATAAGTTAAATGAAGTAATTGCCTGGACAAAATATTAACCGCTACCCAAACATACTGGCTCACTACCACATAATGATGCAAAAGCACCGCGTATAATGTTCGAAGCACCGCATATGTTCGAAGCACCACGTATAATGTCCGAAACACCGCATATAATGTTCAAAGCACCGCACATAATGTTCGAAGCACCGCACATAATGTTCGAAGCACCACATATAATGCTCGAAGCACCGGGTATAATGTTCGAAGCACCGCGTATAACGTTTCAAGCACAGAATATAATGTTAGAAGCACCGCATATAATGTTAGAAGCACCACATATAATGTTAGAAGCACCGCATATAATGTTAGAAGCACCGCATATAATGCTAGAAGCACCGCATATAATGATAGAAGCACTGCGTATAATGTTAGAAGCACCGATTGAAATGACGATTGATCACTTAAGACAGCTATGGCTTTCCATAAATATGAGAGTTAAAACAGCTAGCTTTTACAAATTAACGAACGATCGATTATAAGAACCTTCTTTTCCGAGTGACCGGTAGAAAGAATGCAATTCGGGGTTGCACCACACGTCATAAATGCATGCAAAGCGCGTCCTTGGATCGAGTTTGAAACCTGCTGAAGCAAGCCAAACCAGAAACCGCATGGAGTATTTGCATATAATATACATGAATAATTTTTTTCAGGCGAAAAATTTGCATACTTACATAGCATAAATTTATCTACGTTCAACCTCAATGATAGACCCCTTATAATCATTGACTTATTAAAGCTAGTTTTATCAGTATAAATGTATAAAAACTAGTCATCTTTCCATCACATCCAATGATCTCATCTGAGTACATCAGGTCAAATCTGGAGCCTTAACTTCACAGATCGTAATACGAAAAATGCACACATTACCGAAACGTATGGTGCATGTCTATTAACTATTATATCTGGTTTTGGCGACAATAAACTGAATAAAGCATTTCAGGTTTCGAGTACACGGCTGCCGTTCCGAACCCAAACAATGCAACAGGTGGGTATATTTACGTCAGTTTCCAGGCAACTGCTGTCTGCAGACACTCTAAACGCTAGAAAAAAATTGAGTTGTATACTTGTGGTGTACCACAGAGTGCAGCACATTACATTGTAATGATTGTATGCATGTTTGAAAAATAGAGCAACATGTGTGTTTGAATGATGAACTTTAATATTATGTTTCCAAGGTAACTTCAGAGTAGTTGGAAAGCAGAAGAAACAAACTCTCGCATACAGCAGCAGTACACACCGTACAGTCAAGTCCACCTACTGGATGTAACAATATATTTTACCGTAATTGTGAGAGATCAGAGATGATTATATTTCTTCTAAGAAAGATACAAATGTTTTTTTGCACATGCATATATATATACAATCATGCAAAACTGCCAAAGATTAAAGATATACGACTATGCATGCAGTAAACAAAATCAGACTAAAATGGACGACCTATAAGGCTGTATATACTACAAGTCTACATTATCACGCATGCATGTACATCTTGCAATAAATTTGTAATGCATTACAATTATACTGTACCACAAAACAATTTAATACGTACAGCAAACATTCTCCTATAGACTATATAGTAGCTATATAGTATAGTTCAGATGGCCTATACGACATACGGCTATGAAACAGTCTGACAAGGAATGTGCTTTTCAAGCTGTACCGAATGGCAAATAAAGCTCAGACATATCATCTATAAAGGTATTTGGAGATTGATCTACAATTGGACAGGTTAGTGTTTAGGATGAGGGAAAAGCGCGAGTCGACTCTGACCCAGCATTTATAACGCAGCTTTCATTCAAACTGCTAAAACACCTTAAAATGATTTGGGTAAAGTCTATACATCGCACCTTTTGACTCATGTGCAGTCACTAGAGATGAGCTGGTGAACTGCAACAGAGCGTAATTAAACATTATTTTAGATACATCTATATGGTACTAATAAAATCCTTCCCGAAAATACCCGTAAATGCATGTATTCCGACAGCAAAACTGTATAATGAATTTTCCCGATCAGAAAAATGTCGAATACTTAAATATGTAATTTACACGGCCTGGTCAAAATTTATCAATATCTGACATACAGTATGTCGTTCGATCTATTACTATGGGATGTACAAATGTATGCACCATTTGTGTGCAACTGTATTCTATGATATAGAAGAGTTCAAAATATATACCGGAGCTGTTTTACGCGGAGCCAGAGGGTATGGTTTGAATCTGTAACTTGGCAATGTTAGCATATATTTTCAGCGCTGGACCTAGTTTGAATTGCAAGGAGGTTACAAGGTCTGTTCGTGACATAAGCATCAAAGAAGGACCATCAATTTCCTGGAAAAAATTATTTTATAAATATATATATATACATACATATATATATATATATATATATATATATATATATATATATATATATATAATATATACGCAGAAACATATAAAAACGAGCACCATGATCGTAAAACAATAAGCACTGTATTTAGCGTATTACACGAGAACGGTATTCGTTCTTACCTGTTCTTCAAATACAGCTGCTTCTTTAGGAAAACCGAGTGATTTAATATATTCAAAAACATCGGTCTTGTTCCAGTTAAATGCACTCTTCGGTCTGTTATAAACTGGCTCTGGTGCGGGTGTAGGAACATCGGTCTTGGCATCTTCTCCTAATAAGAACAATTGAAACCTGTCTTTGTATGTAGAACCTTTCACACATTGAAGTATAGAAAACCTTTTTTATCGTGTCATATATTAAGCCTAAATGCAATTTCCAAGTGCTTTTTTAGAATTTCAATGACAACAACATTTGATCATGCAGTACATGTTGGCAGTCTGTGACATGTTTCATATCAAACCTGAAGCAGTACTAGAAACAATATTTGATTGCTCAACATCACTTTTCACAGGTGAGTTATTTGTGGATGTGTTTGCAGGTATTTGAAGTTGAACATCCTCGATGATCGTCATAGGATCAAGAATTTCACACGAGAGCGGAAAAGTGGAAAGTGGAATTTCAACAGGCTCTGGTTCTGGAAGAAAAACGAAATACATAAATATAGTTCTCTTTAGTTTGTTCTCAGATACACAGTTATTATAATAATTATCACATTAAGAAAAAATATACACTCTTTCAAATCTAAATCTGCAATCTAAATCAATAATAATTCATTTATTTCCTAATATAGTAGATTGAATATCTCTGTAAATTATCATAGCTTGGTTTGCAATATTAATTACCTGTGCCAACAATCTCTGTGGGTGGCTCTGGTAAAATTTCATCACTGCTCAAAGCTACCATATCCATTGGCTCTTCATCATTACAGGCAGAGGTTATTTTTGAAGGAATGAAAGTTGATGGTGCTTGAATACTTGCCATTACTTCCTCTGGGGATAGTGTACTTACACAATTGAAACAAGCCCATTTTCCTAAGCAAAACATACTGGTCATTGGATGCTTTTTATCATTGGTTTCAGACAACCTTCGATGTGGATTAAATGAGATTATCTGTGTCAATTCATACTAAGAGAAATACTTTGTCTTTTGGGAAACCATAATATGTGAATGAAAAATTATACTACACTTAAGGTTTAAGTAAATTACTGTATACCTGTTGGCATTGATTGTAACTTTGGAGTATGACATTGCATATGATAGCCTTTGTCACATGCATCACAAAATAGAAGACTGCTCTAAAAAGTACAGATAAAATGTTGTTTTACAGATGATTTTATAATCCTCTGAAAACAAACAAACAAGTTTTAACAAAGTTTAAATGCTTATAAAAAAATCACAATCTGTTTAGAAAGTTTGTTTACAGATTGTTCAAAATCCAAATCTAAACAAAGTTCACAAAATACTTTTTGTCAAAAGAAAACATCTGTAAAGTTCAATTTACTAGATTATCTACGATGGCTGTGCAGCATCATATGGGAACCATCATGACAACACCAAATATATGTATAAAAAGTGAAAATTGTCTGCAATGAAGAACAGTTGGAGCATATAAATATATTTTGATGACTCACAGGGTCTCCTGAGTCTTGACACATGACACATGCTTTACAATCAATACATTGCCAAGATCCACCATCAGCTCTTATCCTAGCTGTCAACTCTATGGAATAATCCATGCAGGATGGGTGTGCTAAAGTCAATGAGAAAAAATGGGATTGAAATAAACCTCCATAAAATACAATCTAAATGTGCATGTAAGCATTGCCATTCACCCAATTCTAATACACCATACATATCATGTAACCTTGGTATAGAATTATTTCTTTAAGGATTTTTGTTCATGTGAAACAGGCATAAATTTCAACTTCTTTAGATATAAAAAAGGGGGAATGTCATGTGAAAGGTGATGTAACTTGTTTGTTACATATTACATACCTCTGTTTCCACAATCCCTGCATATCAACAAATCCTCAGGTTCACCCTTCCTGTTGCTATCAGCAGTTTGTAGACAAAAGTCACAGACCAAGCTTCTATCAGGAATTTTTCTCTCAGGACTCTTTAAAAAATATATATAGATATTTACCAACAAAAGATTACTGCTGGGCTAGCAATTACACATAATAAAATACAATGTCTTTGCCATATGCCGTACGTACAATATTCTATGAACATTTCCAAAATAGAAATTAACGAAAAACTAAGATAGCTTCATATTATAAAATGACTTTTTAGGAAGATGTGTTGTATTATTGTGCTGTTATGATTCTTTGTACATTTTGTAATGATCAAAATGCAAGAGCATCATGAGTTTGCATGTGATCACTAGATCAGTTTCCTAGAAAAATTTCAGCAAAAATGAAGCAGCTACACAAAAATATAATTGAAAATCTTTAGAAAGCAAAAAGTATTCATTTATTTTGCCATGAACTGATTTTCTTATCATCAATATAATTAGTAGCAAATAGGGGTAAATAAGGTGTTTAAATTTGATCGTTGGCCATGTGCTGTACTATAATTTATGAACAATTAGAAGAACAAACCTCAGCAGTCTCCAAAAGCCGATATTTTCCTTCAGTAATCTGCCAAATCTTGCCTAATTCCAGGTCTTCTTTAAGGGCCCCTTTAATCTTCCCCTTTAAATTGTGATAATACGGGTGACTTGTCATGACCCACTTCTCAATATCCAGCATACATACTCCCTGTCCTGAATCCAACTCTTTTAAAGCTTCATGAATCCATCTTGCCACTCTAGATGATCGTCCTGGTACATGGCTAATACCTCGTCCACTCACATTACGATAAGATATCACTCCTTTGAAAGCTCTACGACTTACTACCCCTTCTTGAACCATTAGTTCTAAATCACTCACAGTATCAGCGTGACTGACCCCATGACACTTGAGCATTATCCTACATATGCGATCTAGGTCTGAGAACGCCGATCTTCGAATTCTAACTAAGTTTATGCACTCGTGTATCCAACTGGCATATTTTGTGCGATTATTGGCCATTATTCTCACATAAAATTATGTTTTTCCACACTTTTTTTAGGCAAACATTGCTGGTTGTTTTTTAAAAACGAGGAAGCCAGCTGTGCTGCTGTGCAGTGTTTCCACATCCAAATTTAAAAAATCCTTCTTTTGATCCCTAAAATTCCTTTTTTTCTGCAGAAATTCCTTGCAGGCACAGATAAAAATTATTGCGCATTTTTCGCTTTTTTACTACACTTTTTACGAATCGGAATCATCCATATTTATGACATGATTAAAATTTAAAATCGTTTGTACTTACAGTGTCAGTGAAGTGGGCAGCGAAAGTGAGTGGACTTTGACCGACCCCCCAACACACTGAACTATATTGAACTATATGCACAATTTGCACACGGGAAAACACGGGAATAATCAGTAAGACCAAGTTAAAGTTACGTGTATTGTGCGTATTAGGATTGTGATTCGTGTTTTTGTTCCGAAAGCCTCTCATATTTACAAAAGCCGGTTTATGTTACTTTACTTTTTTACTATTTTACAAGATATTATGAGTATCCTTGCAATATCCCTAGAGAAGATAATTTTTCCTTGCAAATTCCTTGTGTTTTTCAATTCCTTGCATTTTTCCTTACAAAGGGCTAAAATTCCTTTTGCATGGAAAAATCCATGCAAGTGGAAACGCTGCTGCTGTGGCCTGTGGATCACATATGCGCCCACGGTATTTGGTCTGACTTCCATACTTCATAACTTTTTGCATTTTGGGACAACTCGGAAAACGTTTAGCTGGGAGTTTGCGCCAGCTTTTGGCAATTACAGTCACTTTTATTTGAATTCAGTGGACTTCATAGAAGCAACTACAATAATTTAGTAACGCTCTAAAACTCAGGTACTCTACTTACAAGGTTGTTTTTAACATTGACAACTTTGCGGCGGTCTAAACTATTCCACAAGACGATGTTCAGAACTCGCATATGCATTTTAATATATGCGAAACCTATTCTTCGAAACAACTGCGAGCTTGGGATCAATTTATTGTATCAACCTGATGTGATACAGGGAAGATTGCATGTTGTAAATCATATATATTCTGCGTCAGACGCCCAAAATAACGACGTCTTACCATAATCCAAACGTCATGATAGAGCTGAAATGGTTAACAGATATCTCATTTTGGTGGTCTCATAAACGGCATGAAAATCGATGAAATTGGAAACTGTACGAGTGGCTAGCAAAACTAAAAAAAAATTACCTTCTTTAGTAACTGCAACAGTAGTTCCTCTGTTGGATGAAATAGAGATCACTCGTAATTTTTCTTGAAATTTTACCAAGGTTGGTTCGTGTGTATTATCTTCGCTTCCAGTACCTAGCCTGCCGCGAGCACCTTTTCCCCAGGTATAAATTTCGTTATCTAAATAAAACAAATTTTTTGGAAGTTGTTTATGCAAAGATTCATAAGCAGAAAATGTGCATGTAGCTATAGGACCTGCACGACTTGACATTTTAAGATTATAATTCTCAGGAATTACCTGCAGTTACCGCGACAGTGAAAGCATCACCACAGGCGATGTGACTAACATTCTTCTCTTCAAGTGATTTTACGAGACGCGGGTTTGAATCGGAAACATTCAGTTTTGATAAACCAAGTTGACCAAATGAGTTTGAACCACACGCGTACACTTTCCCTTTTTCTATGAGAAACAAAAGAATCGGTCTATATCTACTCTTAGACAAGGGCGAAGTCAACCTCGTACCCAGGCCCCAATGTGGCGAAGTTCGTTAAATATTTTAAGATCAGTATTTTTCTTACGTAACACCCCGGCTTTAAAACTAGAGCCGAACGTACTGATATAATATACGAGCTATTTAGATGCAGTATAGCCCTGCGTACCTGTTAAGAACGCGGAATGAGATACTCCAAAAGCGACCTCAATGAGAGGCTGCATTTGCACAGGAACTAGATGATCCACTTCGTCAATCTCTGTATCATTATTTGTATTTAATGCAAGCTTATTGAATCTAAGAAAAAAAGAAAAATACATGAACGAGATACAGTTTTTATTATGAAGAACTTTTTTGGCTCAACCGACTTTGAAAACAAATAAAACCATTTTTAGTTTTTTCAATTTTCTTTCAAATACGTATTAAGTGAAACATGCACGAAGAGAATTACTGGATCTTGTTGATCAACAATGAGGAAACCGAATACATACACGCAAAACAATCCAGTGGAACATGTAATTAGTACACACCGAGTAAACTTACCTATTTCCTCCACATGCCAAAACTGTATTTTGACGAGTTAAAACCACTGAGCAATCTGTACCACAGAAACAAGACAGTGCTTCCACATTTTCAGGAAGTGCAACTGCTTCAGGTCTGTTGACCATTTCATTATTACTATGACCAAGTCGTCCTAAATCAATGTTCGATACGTTTTTAAACATATTTAAAAACTGCTGCAGTGCATGTAGTATATAAATAACGAATAATGCAGTACATTATTAGCAAATCGAAATAATGTAACCATATGAAGAATTTCATTTAAATAAAAAAGATGGAGCGTTATCATACCTGAATCTCCTTTTCCCCAAGAAAACACCGAATGATCAGCTAAAATAAGGAATTTAAGAAATAAAAAAGGTAACACGCAAACACATTTATGTGAAATGCTGATACAAGGGATGCTAAAAAACGAGTGCTATACGACAACAAGATGTGTTTTGACCAGGTTAAAAGCAGTTCAGGATGCTAGAACCGAGTTTCTTTTTAACTTCACGTGATTATACATAGTTAGGATAGGTAAATATACCTGTGACAGCCATAACATGCATTGCACCACACGAAACTTTCATCACTTGCTTTCCAATAAGCTTTTCAACTATTTTAGGCTACGAAAATAAATTACATTTACAAAAACAACAGTATTAAACAATGTACACTACACATCACAAAAATAAGAAGAAGCTCTTGGCGGTTGATTTATACCTCTTTTACATCGATTAGATTTCCATGACCAAGACAACCATTTGCACCATTACCGAACGTCATTAGTATGCCAGAATCTAAACCAATGAATTATTAACATAATGAGGAAAACATAAACGAAGTAGAGATGACCCAAAATGTGCCAGCTTATATATAATATCATACATTATATATTATCTTATATATTAGCTTATTATCTTATATATCATTCACATATATACACTAACCAGTAAGACAAGCATTAAACATATCCCCACAGCTAACATGTGAGATAGACACGCCAGTATGGCCATCAATGAATCGTGGGATGGTTGAAATACTGTCTTTACCGTCCTCTTTATGCGCAGCGCTCGGTGCTTCATCACGGCAAACTGATGTCTACATAATCATAGAGGAAAGATTTTGTTTTTAAAAGATTTCATTTTCTGATAGCCAATTCCTCCAGTCTGTCCTCAGCCAGTCCAGTCATTTTCAGAGGAGTTAATTGAAACATTTCGGAGCACACAATAGCCTTCTGAAGTGCTTACGTCACACAGTTTTCTATCTATACAATTTTGTCCCACTTGTTTCCCAGATTGCATTGCAATTCATTGTTCGAGACCGACATGACGTAAGCACCTCAAAGGTCTATTCCCTACAGTTTAACAGAGAAATATCGGGTATGATCAATCGTCACATTTTTCGCCGATTTTTTCGACGGAAAAGACCCACTTATTAACAAATGAACACATGAGAAAGTACACTTAATTTACTAACCTCCCAAACAATAAGGCGACCTTTCGATGTTACTCCAGTTTTATTAGTCCTACCAATCGCAACTTGCGTTACTTCAACGTCAGATTTTCCAGGCAGAGGAAGTGTGGTAGGATTCAACACTCCACCTCCCCATCGATATACAACCGCTGGTAATTCATGTTTAAATACTTCTGCCTCTGGAACAATACATTTTTATTCCGTATTATATGTGCAAGTATGTGGACAGTTGATTCGGTCAAAATTATGCGAACTTGAACAGGGGTCAGTTGTACGAAAGCTGGATAGCGCTAACCAGCCTTCGTAGAACTGGACCCTGTATATATTACCAAGATATGATGATAAAGATGTCAAAGAGGCTTTGCCAGGTCTAGGACGTCCAGGAACTATCGAAGAAACCCCAACACTTGGCGCAGGCACTCTGGAAAGTATTCAAATAAAATATTACTCGCCAAAAAGAGCTCTTGACTGAAATTCACGACTGGTAGTGGTAATTCTAGGGGCGTAAAAACCTAGTAAGTCATTACAGTAACATTCCCAGCCGTCTCCCTATAATAGCTCTGCCTCTGGCCTCAGGAAAAGGTATTTTACGTACAGCGTTTGCCGGGTCTATACCTAATTCCTTTTGGTCTTCCGACGTTCAAAGGTAAATCCATGTGTGTATTGATAAGCAAGGGGTTAGCTAGAACTTCTTTTATTGTTGGTCGCTGTTCGGGATCACGATTCAATAAACTCGTCACCAGTTCTTTGAGATCATCGCTATATTTACCGGTCACTGGAGGAACAGCCGCAGTCAGAATCTTTTTTACCAATGCTGGTAAATTCTGAATTGAAGCATTAATTATTGATTCATTGTCAAAGCCTGCTGCAAAGTGAAAATTGCACTAAAAAGGCGGTAAAAAGCAGGTGTAACAGGACGTTTTAAACTGAGACAAAGTGTATACATACTAGAGCTTCAAAAGCCCTTTTTAGTGTAATCATCTCGTAGAGAATGCAACCTAGTGCCCAAATATCACTTTTCTTATTGTATCTAGATATTGAATGAAGGTAAAAAATGACTTCACAATTGAAAATGCAGACAATGAAGTGATCAGTAAAGAAAAAGGATACGGTTGATTTTCACAAAGTTCAGGAGAAATGTATGATGGGGTACCAATAATCTATAAATAATAGTTTCTCAAATATTATACATGGGAAAACAAATCATAAAGGCCACCAGATGGGGTGGAGGATCTTTTGTGGGCCCTAAATTTTGCAAGACCCCTAAAATACTATGGAAAAAAATTCTTAATTAAACTACATAGCTTCCTATTAAAAAAAAGAAGAAAGGTTGTTGACTTAGCTAGTATATATGAAAAATATGATTTGTGAAAAGTTGACAGCAACTTGGTAGTGTATATTTTCACTCACAGAAAAAGCCTTGCTCTTGTTGGTGTCAAGTATGATGGATATCCCAAAATCTCCAACTTTGACAACATCAAAAGTCTTGTTGAGAAAAATATTTGAGGTTTTCATATCTCTGTGTAAGATACGTTCTGAATGAATAAACCTTAGCGATTCAGCAATTTGTGAGAATAAATGCAGAATTTTCTGAAAAAAGAATAAATTTTTCAATTATTCAAAGGTACACTAGAGATCATCACATGCAACTTTCAGGCTGAAAGAATGGAAGTACTTGACACATTTATCTACCTTTTCATTCATTGTCTTTCCTTTTGCTTTCAATTTTTGAATATAATCCAACAATGTTCCTCCTGCATATCAGTGAATATATTATGAGCAACCTATGGGCTGTATATGCATATTGAAATAAATCTGCAGAACAACTTATCTTTGCAACAGTGGCATTAATTGCCCCCAAATCGTCTTACAATTTACAAAAAACCTGCGTAGAACTTGAAACATGCCTTAACAATAGCTAAAGTTAAAAATTAACACCTGTAGACCAGTACAGGATGAGCTGTGTTTTACAGCATACCTTCAGCATACTCCATAACAATACAGAGTGATGATCCATGAATGAAGCTATCATATAGTGCTATTATGTTTGGGTGGTTTAACTTGTCCAAAATTTTCACTTCTTTCATAGCCGATTCCCTATCATCAGCTTTCATGTCTTCCAGTGGAATCTGCTTCATAATCAGTTCTGCATTGTCGCCATGGCGGTGGCATAGATAAACAGTCCTAAGTTTAATTAAATAATAGAGGTTGATCAATGAGACTAAAATCTAGAGTTTTTCAGGACATCCAGGGGGCGCACATCACATGGCACACCTATAGTGCCCTATATATGCTTTAAAACCCCACTTTTTTACACAAGCTTCTTTGGCAAATTTGCTTTCATATAAAAAATAGCATTTATTTCATAGTTAAATGTATGTGATGTTAAAATGTCTAACAAAATTTGGCAGGGTGGCACATATTCACCACGCAAAATTTATCAAAGAAAATTTGCCCATGAAACCGAGCTTAAACAGGCATAAGTCTCGCATAACAATTTGTTAACAATGCACGTATAACATTTTGAAACAGTTTATAGAGTCAGTGCATTAAACTAAAAAAAACCCATGAAGTATAGAGTATTGCTTTTGAAATAAATTTTATCAACAACTTGGTTTATTGTAGTATAACTAGACAATACACGGTTTTGATAAATAACGTGATTGCGTGCGTTAGTACATAATTATTTTGATATGAATATTATATAATCATGATCATTGTCATGCAAATTTTTTAAATATCAGCTTTTGCATATCATAGTAATCATACCCAAATGCGCCTTGGCCGACAACATGCAACTTGTCATAATCCTCCATTCGACCCGCTTTTACTTGTTCATTCGACATGATACAATATCTGAATTATTCTATCCATATTTCCATTATTTCATTTCAGTCGAGCACAAAAAGTATTAAATTGAAAGCGTTCTGGAATAACATAACTGTTAATTACTCCATCTCGGAATTATAATCCCGGGGATTTTTAAAAAACTTGGATAAATTTCTGGTGGAGAAACCAGTAACTAAAAAAGTAGGAAAAGTTATTTGACAAATGTATATTTCAAAACATCTAAGCCTGGTGGAAAAAAACTTATAATACCAAGTACATGCAGTCAAAAATTTGTGTGCAAATGTGATTCAATGCTGTGTTGTGATCGATGCGAAATACTGAATGCAAATTGAAAATACAAATTTTAGAGCTAAAGAAAATTGCTCTCTGAAAGTGGAAACTTTCTCATAAAGGAAACAAAAACAATCAGCAATCACTTCCAATCACTACCACCAGCAGCAGCAACAACTGGCGGCAAGGTTTGTCTGTATGTTTTGATGGAAAATATCAACATTGGCCTTAAGATTTGCATATTGTAATGTTTAGCTGGAAAGAGAACTTTTCCTTGGTATAGTTGAACAAAATGACTGCAAACCATGCAACACGAATACTTGAGTTACAGAATACAGTCGACTTGGAAAGACAGTTTTTCCGTCTGCAGAAAGGTATCTTTAAAATATTAACCTTTTGCTGCAAGCCGTTTTTATTGAAGCTCTTTTAATATTATACCTGTTCTTTGGTCTTAAATGGGATGCTATATTTCTTATTTTATCGAAGTTTGCTCCTATGTAATTATTGCAAAATATGTCACGTATGTCAGTTACATAAGTTCGTCTAAAACTATTAATGTCTGCATACAAAAAAACTATACCCTCGTCTTCAATGATGCAGTAAAATGTTCTTTTTACCATAAGTTATGTAACAGGACAGATTGTTAACATGCATATTGTTTAACAATTTAATATTGCAAAGGAAGTGACTTGCCTGAAAAGATTATTTAACCCTACACAACGAAAATAAAATTTGAACCTATGAAAATAAAGAAAATTCGTCAATGCACTGAATGCAGCTAGAATATAAATTTAGTGAACTTGAAATGTTTGGTTTTAAACTATTGTAAAAAAAAATTAAATTCCATACATCAGAAGTTAACTCAGTGTGTGAACAGATCTTTAGATATCTAGTTCTCTTAATGCAATATCTAATTATATGAACACTTACATTTCAGTAGTTATAGTTACATAAGAAACACTTGCTGCATCTATCCATCTGTCATTCTGTCTAAAGTCATTCCCACTCCCAACTCTAATATCCTGCCCCAAAACTAACTGCCTAATACCAACTGCATTAATTATATACTCTGGCACTAAAAAGATTGCCTGCCCATAAAGTTAATGGTTATATTTCAGCAAGAACTCTAAATTGCTTTGGGGATTAGTGAAACATATAGTTTTATTTCAATTTAGGTCTGAAGCTCAGGTTCACTTTGAGCCCTTTACTCCAACCTTATCATGGCAAACTGTTCTGTAATCATCCAGATAAAGGAAAGGGATTTAAGCGTAGCCGATATCAGGAATTAGAATGGCAGAGATCTTCCAAGTGCAAGTGTGATGATGGCGACCGTTTTGCAGAACTTGAGACCCATATCCCAGGATCATTTCATTTCTATTTCAAATACTCTAAGGACGGGGGAAAGTAGGTTATGTTTCTTGTAAAGTTGTATTTGGAAATAGCTCAAGATCTCAGTTTATATCAAGAAAATGTTCCCAAAATATCTATTAAACTTACCTCCTTTTGAGGTTGCTCATCTCTTTCACAGACTGTTGTGGTACAGGTTGACACACAGTTTTATTTCTTCCACCACATTTTAAGCACGGTCAGTTATCTCCTCTATATATGGTACAGTGTTGGTTATAGGGTAATAATGACAGACTGATGTGCAAGTAGCCAAGCATTTCATGTGATCTGTTTGTGGTAACTAGGTGTTTACAGCACAGCATTGGTTGTAACCTGATGGAATCACTCTACATGTGCACAGTACATCTACATATGTACATTTCTCCACAATTGAAGAAATGCTTGATTGAAACCATCCAGTTTTTAGTTTTGACTTAATTGTTCTTTTGAGTGCATATATATTTTATTCATCATCGTTACTCCAAACTCGTTGAAGGTTCTTTCTTGAATGTCTCTAAAATAATGGAAGCTTCCAAAATGAGGCACGAACATGATTAGAGAAAAACCCAAGTAATTTCAGGCCAAGCGATCATAAGGCTCACCAGCGACCTGAAATATAAAGATATTATGAGTCACACAGATTAAGAAAGAACAATATATTGTTGGTGAACATTATTCACTTGAAATATGACAGAAATACTGAGAGAAAGTTGAACGGGTGAAAATATATTCACTCACATGCATGCGGTCCAAATGGGACAAAAAAACGATATATGAAATACCAATTTGTTCTTAGATACGGCGTTGACCAACGTTTACTTCAAAGAGCGTATTTAAGCTAAAATAAGATCTAAACCAAACATCTTTTCAAATACTTTTACTCGCTTCTTTGACTGCAGAGGGCTTTGCCCCGAAGTGGCGTTTTCACTTCTTCTACGATTTGCATACCTAACCCTTGCCACGTGCGCTAATTGGCTGCCTATGAAAAAATGCTTTGTTTTGATTGGCTATTTCTAAATGCAACTATTGGTTAGAAAATCCTTTGGGAATTGAATATACCGTGTGTCCTCTCTGACGTACTGTACTGTATGTATATCACAATACCTTGAAATGCTAATTCATTTTTCAAGATTACCATATAAAAGCAAAGCATGCTTCAGGACCATTATTTGTCTGCAGACTACGTCATAGCACAGACTTTTTATAAAGATCTTTAAGTTAAGCTTGGCTTATATTATACAGGGTGAGTCAAAAAAAAGTCCCCCCTATTGAAATGAAGCCTTTGTTGATTTGAATGCATGATCAACGCAGTAGTGTGTAAATAGCATAGTTATTAGGTTGAGGCATTCAAATAAAGCGTCTTGCTTTCAATTGGGTTTATCATAATATTAAGGCAATCAGATTCTAACAAAGGCTTGATTTCAAATAGAGGGGACTTTTTTCTGACTCACCCTGTATATACAGGGTGTCGCGAAAAAACTCTAGTCTTTGAAATTCAAATAAGCCATGTTGCAATGTTCTGGTCGCATATCATTGACTCAACGCATTTTAGAACAATTAGTCCTTAAAATGCGCGGAGTTAATTAATGGTAATTACTAAAACAATGCAATAATAATGTCTTCAATATTTGAATTTGAAAGAGCAGCGAGTTTTTACCCTGTACAGGGTGTCCCAAAAAAATGTCCCCTCTATTGAAATCAAGCCTTTGTTAGAATTTGATTGCCTTAATATTATGATAAACCCAATTGAAAGCAAGACGACCCTTTATTTGAATGCCTCAACCTAATCTATGCTATTTACACACTACTGCGTTGATCATGCATTCAAATTCCAACAAAAGCTTCATTTCAATAGGGGGACTTTTTTTTTGGGACACCCTGTAGATATCCATGCATAAGTCTTTTAAGCCGCGTAATACAAAACCTAATTTTTCTAATTAGAAATGCTGTAACAAAGATTTGCTGACTCTACGTTTTAAAGGCAGAGTTGGGGTTGAAAACCTACAGTATTTGCGAGGAAGGGGGGGGGGCGTATTTTTTCAGTCAGGACGGTTAATAAGTAGTTAGTTAGGCCGGTTGATTGCCTGTTTTAGAAAAGATATAAATTTGATTTTGGGTATCTTTTTTTAGAAAGACCGAAAAAGTTTCGGGATATTTTGTTGTTGATCCAACATTGCGTTTGTCCGATGAAGAGCAATTACCATTGGACTGTGTAGCTTTACAAACGTATTTGGCAAAATGCCTGGGTCCTCTATCAGAGTGGGAAGCACGACTGCGTGTGGCCTACGAAGCAGGGTATAATATGATACATCTAACGCCAGTACAGGAGCTTGGTGGATCAAACTCTTCCTACTCACTACACGATCAACTGAAGCTAAACAGTTCCTTCAATGAACCCAAAATCAAATATGATTTTGATGATCTTAAAAAGAAAATTGAATTCTTTCATAAACAATGGAAGATGTTCTTTATCTGTGACATAGTCCTTAACCACACTGCAAACTGCACACCTTGGTTAAAAGATCATCCAGAATCCGCATACAATCTTTCCAACTCTCCGCATTTACGACCTGCTTATGTCGTCGATGATGCATTATGGAAATTTTCCAGTGATATCGCACGGGGAGCGTATGATTCGCAGGGAATTCCCGTTTTTATTAATCACGAGGAGCAACTTGGTGCTTTGCATAGAATTCTCAGGTAAATCGTGATAATGGTGTTGAATATCAGGTAGTTGTAGCGGGGTGGGTTGGGGGCTGGTAGGCGGGGTGGATTGGGGGCTGGTAGGCTGGGTGAGTTGGGGTTGGTAGGCGGGTGGGTTGGGGTTTGGTAGGCGGGGTGGTTCGGGTGGGTTGGGGTTTGGTAGGCGGGTGAGGGGGTTGGTAGACGGGTGGGTTGGGGTTTGGTAGACGGGTGGGTTGGGGGTTGGTAGGCGGGTGGGTTGGTAGACGGGTGGGTTGGGGGCTGGTAGACGGGTGGGTTGGGGGTTGGTAGGCGGGTGGGTTGGGGTTTGGTAGGCGGGGTGGGTTCAGGGTTGGTAGGTAGGTTGCGAGACCGAAAAATATATGGCCATGCAGTTACAATTATATAGATAGTTTATTACGTAAATTCAAAAGGATTAAATCGTTTCCTCGGTGTGAAGTGTAGACTCTCTCGCTGTTAACGAGCTTGCCAATTAATAAAACCGAGAATTATATTCACAACACTGGCTGTTCAATATTATATTGCGTTGAACTAATAACTTACAGCTTTTATTTTCTCTTTGCAGTGAGCAAATCTTACCTTCGCTGAATTTGTGGGAGTTTTATGGAGTTGATGTTAACAAAGTTGTTGAAGAGCTTAAAGCTGCTTTAGTGGAGAAAGCGAAGGCTTCCAAGAATTCTCAGTCCGCACTTAGCGATTCAAATGTTTCACCTGAGGTTATGATTGTACAGGATCCTGAGTATAGGCGTCTAGGAAGTACAATTGATCTGAAGAAGGCTGTGAACTGGTATATATCATCAAGGTATTGAACTTTGAGACGTTGAAGTTTTTAAACTTAGATAACCATTGGTATTTCAATATAGGAATAACCAGTAGTAGTGTATTACTTTCTTATTCTTCTGTGGACGATGATTTCATTTATATATAAATTTTTCACATAGCTATTGTATGCTGTCTGAGGTTCTCAACAAAGGGGAATTCAGTTATTTTAAGAACGAATCGATTGCTTTTATGTTCTCTATTATATCACTATATGCAGCACCTCCTGATATCTCTGCCAGGTTTGAGTGTCGTATAACATTTCATCCAACATAAACGTTTTGTTATATCCGTGAATTAGAGACACATCACATAATGAAACAGAGTGGATCAATCATTGTTGTTCCTCACTCCGCGTCATTCTGGAAAGTTTAAACAACAAAATAATTCACGAAGTGATTCCTGGTCATATCAGAACTATAACTCATAATATTGTATCAACTGTACGTTATGAACGCCTTGATGAGAAGGGACCGCGTCTTGGATATCTGACGAGAGAACATCCTCTTGTTATTCGGTATGTGTCCTTATAATAAATAAGATCTTAAATAACTTAGCAGCGAGCGCCTGGGCCAGGAACCGTGAACAAATTCAGATTTTGTATTCTTTGTATTGAACTGAAAAGCTGATTGTTAACTTCATGATATGATTAAAGTATTTAAAAAGCAAGACACTATTTCAAACCAACAGCTTTTTCATGTAGCTACGTGTGTTCACTCGACAGGAAAACCGAGGAAATTCGAGCACTGTCCGAAATTCTTCCCGTGCTAATTGCAACCAGATATATGCAAGTCCTTACACTATGTACTTTCAATGCAACACCATGTGTGCGTGGTTTTTAGATATTTTATTGATCTAAGTGAAGAGGAAGAAGATTCAACGGAGTTTAAGGAATCGATAATGTACACATCTCATAGCAAGTACATAGCTGCTCACCCGGGTTGGATCATGGGGGGAAGTGCATTAGATGATTTCGCAGCCCCAGGTTCTTTCGCGTATTTGAGAAGAGAAGTGATTGCCTGGGGCGACAGTGTTAAACTACGTTATGGACAGAGACCTGAGGATTCGCCGTTTCTGTGGGCTCATATGTTGGAATATGTCAAACTTACTGCAAGGTACAGGAAATAAAATAGGGAAAGAGAGGGGTGCTTGAATATGGTTTGCATTTTGATTAAGCCTAACAAGATATGACCATACTTCTCCTACATTAATGGCTGGATAATACCTCGAGATCTACTGTGTATGAAGCAACCAATATGCATGTGCAGTTCTTTCTTTTTAGAATCTTTCATGGTATTCGTTTGGATAACTGTCACAGCACCCCTATACATGTTGCTGAGGTGAGAAAACGAATTATGCTTTTCACTGTAACGCAAAGCCTTTTTTTATAGTTTTTTTATCATCGCGCTTTTCTTTCTTTTTCCAGTACTTCATAGATGAAGCTCGTCAAGTGCGTCCTGATCTCTATGTCATTGCTGAACTATTCACAGAATCTGAATTCACTGATAATGTGTTCGTAAATCGTCTTGGCTTGACCTCACTTATTCGAGGTAGGATTTCACCAGTTAACCTGTGACTTTTTCATGGGACACACCCCAATCTACTGTGCGAGTCACAAGCAAAATAACTCTCTAGTAGACCTAACTATGATCACAATCTATATTCTAACCCCATATTTTATGGTCAACTCCCAGCCACCAGGCTGTCAAACAAAAACAGTCACAGTATGGATACCTTCTTTCACAATTCTTTCAGAGGCAATGTCTGCTCACGACTCGCATGAACAAGGTCGTCTTGTTTATCGTTATGGTGGTGAACCTGTTGGTGCATTCTTTCACCTTTCTGGTAAACCAATGGTAAACGGTGTTGCTCACGCTCTGTACATGGATGTCACACATGATAATCCAAACCCTACTGAGGTTTGTGCGCATCGCCTTAAAAGGATTTTTTTTCAGGCTTTCTTCCTGGGTATAATTTTGAGATATCGTATCAGCACATATAGTGGATCCAGGGAACATACAGAGATCAGAGATATGTAGCTATATTGTACTAATGGAGCCAATCGGTCTAATGCCAGCCAACCCAAAATTGGCAGGACGTTGAAGAATTGAAGGTTTGGTTCAGCTGATCTTTCAATGCTGTTGCACTTTGTCATTTTGTTATAGGTCCGCTCCGTGTTTGACTCGTTCCCCACAGCAGCTTTGGTAAATATGGCTTGCTGTGCAACTGGAAGTACCCGGGGAAATGACGAGTTTGTGCCACATCATGTAAGTAGTAACGCTTGTCAAGTAATGCTTGCACTTGTTGAACACACGTGTAAGAAGGTTATCAACCGATTTGTTGATTTACGAGAATAACTCATCTCATGTCCAACAGGTCCTTTATATTTTGGGATGATATTCTTATGTTCTGTATTCCCTTGTAACAATGACGTTCCTGCATGGTCATCCCTTGTTCATTTCGATCGTTTGTATACATTTGATGTGTTTCTAGGTGAATGTTGTGACAGATAACAGGAAATATTTATCTTGGAAAGATGCTGGTAAAACCTCACCAAGTTCCCTTTCATATTTACCTCTGGACTCTGGCATGGTGTTTGCAAGACGAGCGTTGAATAAACTTCATCGTATGCTGGCAAAAGATGGCTATAGTCAGGTATATGTTTACCACTTAATTTATATAGTCTAAGGAACTTAACACTACATAGACACCATTCCACACAAAACTCCAGAAGCAATATCTGTCTAGCTGAAAGATAGCAATGTTCATGGATTACTTCGTATTTTTGTTGTCTCTAAATTTTTGTGCTCGTCCTTGCCGATCGCAACTATCCATCTTCATGTTAATCAATTATTATTCAGGTTTATGTTGATCAAATGAGTTATGATATTGTGGCTGTGACACGTCATTGTCCTGAAAACCATTCGACAGTTGTTCTCGTTGCTCACACGGCGTTCTCAGCTCCTCCTGGTGACAAAGTTCCTACCACAGAAAATAAACATCTGCAGACATTTGGCATTAAGCCGCTGCACGTGGAAGGTCTGTGTCACTGTTTTAGCAGAAATGGGTGGCACTAACGCTGTGCACCTGTTTTCTCATTAAAAATCTCATAATATAACACATTAAAAATCGTAGCCGAAATGTAAATTTCGAACCTCGATTGGACCCTCCCCACAAGAAGAAGGATTCCCGTTTGATGTCACAGTCTGCCATGTTGGGCATTACCTTAATTTTGAACTAGAGATTGTGACAATTGCATGCAATACAATGTAGTGATTGTGTTTTCCATCAAGTGATGACAATGTGATGTGACTTATCTAAGTCTGGTGTGCTTATCCGTTTAGGAACGATTGATGAGATAATTTTAGAAGGTCGAACTTTAGTGAAAGTTGGTACCGAGGAATATGTTAAAAGTTCAGATTTTATAAATGGGCTTGAGAGTCATGCTGTGGAAATACATGAACATTTACCAGTTGAACAGTCGCAGGTATCATTCAGCCTTTATATTGTATTGTAAAAAACATTAATCGAATATAGCTAGGATCACTCAGAGCCTCTTTTATTGTCCTGTTTTCAGTAGTGTATTCATAAAATAGCATTTGAAGTAGTCTAAATACTGTACTACAAATAACTAATAATATTCTTGTACGTTGGTAGTTTGTACGTGTTGAGCATACTGAAGGAAGCAGAGAGGTTTATTTTGATTCTTTTCCACCTGGAAGTGTTATCGCTTTCAAGATTTCCTTATTTCCACACGTCAAAGAAGCAGTGGATTCTGTGAGGTAATTTTTATTGTCCGTTGTTTTCAGTGCACCGTTTGAAAGCAGACCTCCAACTTCGAACGTGCAATAATTTCTTTCGCGTGCAGGCCTGGTTGCCTGGCCATGAAGATGTCCTGTTTAATTTTGTATGATCATTCATCTTTGTATATTTTATTCAAATAATGAATTAATATCAGGAATGTGATCAGCAATTGTTGTGGTGATGAGGCTAGAGAGTGTGATTCAATATTGGAAACATTAAACCTCGGTGATATGAATCGTATATTATATCGTTGCGATGCTGAAGAAAGAGCCGACGGCTTTGGAGGAGGAGCTTATCACATCCCAAACTACGGGCCTTTTGTTTACTGTGGCATTCAAGGTGATCATAAACTACAACTAACATTGCGACTGCGCGTTTAAGATAAGTATAGATATTTGGACGTTCCATTGATGAATTAGGTGTTTGACAATTGCAATAATGCGTTGAGAAGGGAATAATCGATTTTTGAAACTGGTGAAACCTTTGCATGATTGTGATAATTATTTTTTTTTTCAATTTCCAAAATAGGCTTTATGTCAATGATTTCTCCAATACGTACAAACAATGATCTTGGTCATCCACTGTGTCATAACCTAAGAGAAGGCGACTGGTTAATGGGCTATACCGCACAACGTTTAATGCGCTTTGAGGGTACAAAAAAGGTCCGTTTTATCATCAGTGAAAATACACGATCAAAACACTGGCTAAACACCGAATATTAAAAATATTACATCATCATCGTAACAAACATTTTTCACGCATCGCATTTGCTTTAACCTTTGGGTTCTAAGCGAGTATTTCACATCCACTCCAGCACGCCCACAGGTAGTTCGTTTGAAACATGCCAAGGGGAGTTTTATTTCTACATCTTGTCACAATCGGTCAATAGAAACATCCCAAAGAGTTGCAGTTATTATCATGGTATGCGTGGCATATACAAGCAGTAGACCTATAGACGTGCCATCATAGACACATATGCAGACAGTTAGTTTTTATCTAGTATGCGTGTCACGTGAGGACAGTACAAAAACGGTATATCTAAAAATGCCACAAACCGATACGTATTTGCAATGTTCAGCATTATAACTTCTATCTTAGACCTTGAAGATCTTTCTGCTTGCCTAATGTTATGTGTGTTTGTATAGTTTGCTGTCTGGCTTCAAAGTGTCATTGATCACATTTCAAAGCTTCCTCGCTTTATGGTACCAGGATATTTTGATGTTTTTATATCTGTAGTATACATGCGTCTTACAGAACATGTTTTGGCGCAAATGAACAGGTAGGAACTGCCACGCGGTAAGCAATTATTCCGTTTCAACACGATATTAAGATATAGAGATGTTTCAACAAAACGTTTCGACACTGTATTCACCGGATATTACATTCAACTGATGCTTCTTATTGTACCAACATTTTGTCTTCTATTATTATTCAGCTTCATTCAAAATGGTTCTGTTTTTATACGATCCTTGGCCATGGGTTCTGTACAGCTAGTTGGTTCAACAACTTCTGCTCCACTGCCTGGACTCTCTCCCAAACTCACTAATCAAAAATCCTCTGAAGACTCCTTGCTTCTTACTATATCTGCTGGATTACCGCACTTTTCGGTTGGTCTGTGGAGAAGTTGGGGAAGAGATACATTTATTTCATTACGGGGACTATTACTCGTTACCGGACGTTTTCAAGATGCCAGGTACTTGTTTATAATATCCATCGTTATTGTCGCGACTATCTTCATATCTGGACATCCAGTTGTTTTAGATTTCTAACTTGTTTCTGTATTTCTGTAATGCGCCATGTTCGTGCTCAGTTCTCACAAAGCATCCGCTATTAGTTTACCACTGATAACCCTATTTGTCCCCTTTTCTTCACTCATAGGGACTTGATTCTTGCTTATGGTGGTTGTGTTCGTCATGGTTTAATACCAAACTTACTGAATGGTGGTACTGGTGCTAGATATAACTGTCGTGATGCTACATGGTGGTGGTTGCAAGCTATACAAGATTACTGTAGTATGGCACCAAATGGTCATGAGATATTGAACTGTCCGGTCACCAGAATGTATCCTGACGATGACTCGCCTGCTTTATCTCCTGGGGAAGTCGTAAGTTAGCAAGATAATCTTAGGCCCTAATCCTAACCCTAACCCTTAGGCCCTAAGTAGTACAACTGCAGAATGGTAACCCAATTTCTTCCACGTTCATTCAGGAGCAACCTTTGCATGACGTAATTCAAGAAGTTATGCAGCGTCATTTCTGTGGTATTGAATTCCGGGAACGAAACGCTGGTCCAGATCTCGAGAGAAACTCGCCAGATGAAGCTTTCAATGTGAAAATTGGAGTCGATCGTACCACAGGATTTGTTTTCGGAGGTAATAAATTGAACAACGGCACATGGATGGACAAGGTTGGTGAATCACATACAGCTGGTAATGCTGGTGTACCTGCCACCCCAAGGTAAATCAGCGCTGTTGTTGTTCATCTTTTACCAATTTACCTATAACTAGGATCACAGTCCTTTATTTCGTATCTCGTCTTAATATATTTTCTAGGGATGGAAGTTCAGTTGAGATTGTTGGTCTTTCAAAGTCAACTGTTAGATGGCTTGCCTCCGTGGCTAAAAAGAAAATGTTTCCATATAATGGAGTGAAAGACGATAACACTGGAGGTTAGACACAATTGCAACCTTCATTAAGTGGCTTCGCACATTTGCTGAAGTATATTTATGAACCCTTATTGTTAAAATCGACACATTCCATTAGTTTAGGCTATACGAATTGCTATTTCACCCGAGTTACCTAGCCTTAGAGAATTCCAAATCTCTGACAATGAAAGAACAAAAGTGTGAAAACTTCAGCAATTACCACACATTGATATGTGGGTCCCCCAGTAACTTGTTTTTTGTGCCATCATTTTCACAGAAACCTGGTCGTATGGTGATTGGGAGAAAAAGATACAAAATGCTTTCGAAGAAAAATTTTGGATTTCTGAAAAAGCGAATTTGGACATCGAGGGAGAGGAGACGGGGCTTGTACATAAGAGAGGGATTTATAAAGATTGTTATAAAGCAACACATCGATTTACCGATTATCAACTTAGACCCAATTTTCCCATGGCAATGGCTGTAGTATGTATATTAATTATCTCTTGTCAAGTTGTCAAATATCTTAGACTTTAATCAAATTGACACCTTGCATTTAATCCTATAATTATCCATACTGTAACTGGCTACGGCCCTTGTGTATAAACGTCGTGCCAAAAGAACTGCATGGGGAAATATATTCTTCTCCAATTGCTTTATAGTGACACAGCTATTAATTACCCGCATTAGAACAAAAACCGCATTACCCGCATTAGAACAAAAAAATTACAATAGAACATTAGAACTATGTGTTACATACAGGCACCCGAAATGTTCTCTCCCAAGAACGCTTGGACTGCTCTGGAGATGATAAGAAAACTTTTACTTGGTCCACTTGGAATTGGAACTTTAGATTCCGAGTAAGATTTTTTTCATTGTTGCATGGCCTATTATCTATCACCATAAGCGTCCCGCAGCTGTTATCAGTTTGCATGGCTAGCTTCAAAATAGCGGAAAATATAATGGAAACATGGTATTTGCGGTGCACATTTATATACAAAGGTTTTTAAAACTGCGTTGCTATACATACATGCATCTATGTAATGGATCACGTACCCTAAACCAGATATCTCACACTTGCCACAGATCACTCAAAACAAGTTATTCAAGCCTGACAAATTCTAAACCTGTTTTAATTTTAAGTGAAAAACGGAAGTGTCCCGATTGATATTTTTAGTGACTGGGCCTACGATGGTATGTATGATAATTCACAAGATTCTGACAACTATAAGAATGCTCGGGGATTCAACTATCATCAAGGACCAGTAAGTAGTTTTTCATTATCTCTGCATGCTGGGAGATCAAAGTTTAGGAGCCAATAACCAATATTTAAATAGTCTTAGAAGTGCTTATGCACCAGCAGTGTGAATAATGGAGATTCTTAAATTCCCTTTAATCAAATATGAGATACTGGGAAGTATCAGCTGATGATGTATGTTAGACGTTCGCTTAAGGGATCATAATCTTTATTTTAGGAATGGCTCTGGGTTTTGGGACCATACCTTCGAGCTAGATTACATTTCTCAAAGATGATTGGTGGCAGTAGACAGTTTGGTGTAACATGTGACGAAGTAAAAATAATTCTCTCGAAGCACCATCAACATCTCATCAATTCACCATGGCTTGGTCTGCCAGAGTTGACCAACGTCAATGGCTCCTACTGTAAGGACAGTTGTGAAGATCAAGCTTGGTCCATGAGTTGTCTTTTAGATGTATTTTATGACATGGAGAAAATGATGGAATGAGTTGCTAAATAGGGTTGATTGTTTGTATTCTCACGATATATAATTATATCAAAGAGTGGAGTGCTAACATTTTGGAAACAGTCATGCAAATATTTTGTTAATCAGGGACACGTACATAAGTCATTGGAGGAGGGTGGGATTTCGAGCCAAATTATCCAAAAGGAAGACTTATGAAAGTTTTACGCGCATAAGCACGTTTTCAAATATTGCATAAGATGCATGGCGTCCCACCCCATTCAATACGGCCCTGTTCAGAATATCTGCAAGATCTATATTCTTTCAATCATGTAGACGTTTTAAAGGTTGCTATAGGCCAGTGTTTGATGAGTTTATAGAATTAAGACTTTGATTTTTTAGTATGATTGTAATTTAAACTATTTAAGGAACTTATTGTTCTTAATAAACATATTCTTGTTACAAGAAGTAATTTTATGAATTGCATTGTGTATGATTAGTATAAATTATATAATTTTTACAATCCGTTGGAGTTATTGCTAAACTTTAATAGGGATTTTGTTGTTCCTGATATCATAATACTACGTCTATGTTATAATATGCTTTGTTCACTGCATCACACATGCAATAAAAGCATATTTATCTGAGAACGGTCTCCATTCAGTCTACTTTTATACCTACATATTCAGTAAAATATACACAATTGTAATGGGAGCTTCCTAGGAGTCCTCGTGAATTATATGTTGCATGCAAGACCTAAATTTCTACAAACTATTTTTTTGCTGTTAAGGCCCTTGGTTGAGGACTATGGACTAGACTTTAATATTGCGAGAAATCAATTGATTCAATTCTCAGCCTGTCTCTCCTTCAAAATGAAAAGGCGGGAAATTCTCTTTGTATATATATTTTTGCCGTTTGTCCTGCATGTTGTTATGAAACACATTTTAAATACATCAAAATGTCTTTGACTTTATATTTTGTTTAAATATAAGATTTGGGTTAAATATTTCAACTATTTTACAGTACTTACATGGCGTGGTACACTATTGCGCACATCTGTATACTCTTTGTGTGTGTACAAGGTCTGAAACTATACATACAATAAATAATATACATGTCAATGAATATTTACACAGTTTTCATCAACTCCCATAAAGTTTTGACTAGTTCATCAATAACAACATCGTGAGTATTTGGAATAGTACAACTTTGGGCGATTTCAAGCACTTTGTCTTCTGGAAAGTGCAAGTTGTATATTAAATTATAGTTATTCACAATACGAAGAACATCTCGTGCTTTTAAGGTACCTAAACAATAGAAATATTAAAAGTATTATAATCGTAGGACACAAATGTAAATAAGCAGGCAATCTAATATTCAGGTGTATTTGTGATCGATATATGCATATGTATACACAGAATCGGTTTCAAGTCAATATTTACCTCCACTTAAAAGTTAAAACCCCCTTCCTTTACATACTAGCATAAGTTTAGAGTTAAGTTTATCAGTAATTTTTAGCAGTTTTCATTGTCAAAGAAATGCATATTGGCCAGACTGTGTTACCTCGGACTATCATATATACCATCATCAACAAATCTAGGAAATTCTTTATTATAAAACATAAATCTATCTGTGGAAAACAGCCCTAACTGAGTGTAGTGTATGTACGTACCATCTTTGTCAATATCAGATCTCAACAATGAGGCGGTCAGGTGAGAAAATCTCTCTAACTTTTCATCTAGTGTTTCAGCAGCTTTATCGCTGTCCATCGAGTCAGGTTTCTCACCAGCGTCTGGATGGTTTAAATGCATCACATGTACCGTACCAGCGCTGTCAGAACCTTTTCCACGACCAACTTTCAGCATGTCATAAGATCTGAAAAAATTTCACGATGACATAAAGTATGACATAATTTATTTCAATACACTTTGCGGAGGACATTGAAAACATTACTGATGCACTTTTATTCCAGACTTCACATTATGTATATCCCAGTATCAACTATCAACAATAACGCTACACTCGCTGTTAGACCAAGGTTGGGACAGGTATGTATGATGAATACTTTGCTTCACGTGCACACCCCGGCAGTGAAGAGCAAACAACGGAAAATATAAATTGCTTTTGTCGAAAACATCTAAACCAACTATTTGTCTAACTATAATCTTCATACTTTTCTGAATTGTGTGATGGTTTGACATCAGCATTCAATGTACCAACAGGAACTTCCCACTTCTTTCTCTCGTGCTTCATGACATCATTGTCACGAAATTCTTCTTTGGCCTCTGAATAACGTATATAATATATATATATATATATATATATATATATATATATATATATATATATATATATATATATAGTAGGCACATTTATCAAACAATCTGTTTGCAGTAAAGCCAAAAGGCAAGCTAAGGCTGGGTTAACCTCATCAATCGCTTCCAAAGTCAACAACGTGCATGACGCATTGCAAAATATAAACAGAAATCAGTCAGAAAAAAATAATTGCAGACTTACCAACAAATTCAGATGTCTTTTCTGCGTGTTTTCTCGGTGACACAGAAGCAAGTGGAGCTTTATTTTCCCAAAAAGGCAATGATGACGTTGCACTCATTTTATTAGAATCATCAAAAGAGTTTTGTTGAAGAGACAATGGAATACCCTTTTCCAAGAATTTTGTAAATTCTAAATAGCTGTAAGAGTTGAAATAACTGGTTAACTTCAGTGAAAGCATCTTTTATCATTTGACAAGGTATTTTAAACTTAAACACGTGTTTGTCAATGATGTTGCAGTAATGGAGCAACTAAATTGCTTCTATTACCAACACCTATTACCACACATATTTGCAAGACTGTTATAGAGTAAGTCATTATACAGACTCTGGTCGCAAGTTAACTGTATGTAATTGTTCCTAAACCTAGAACTGACTAACTAAATTGTCTTAATTAACCTAGACAATCCTTCAGCTATAGCAGAGCAATTAACATATTGGGGAGCATTTACTTGAAAATTACTGAATTATTCTACCATGTTTTTTAAAAAGGGCTGTGTATGCATGTATATAATGTATGTAATTGTACTAGCTGTGCTGGTACCAATTAGGAGAAGAATACCATAACAGTAAAGTCCCGCTACTTACTTTATTTTACCATTCTTTTTCACATTAAATCTGTTGATAATTTTTCCCATCAGTGAATGATGCAGAGGAATATGCAGCCAGGAACATGTCCTCTCAATCTTAGAAAATGCAGATATTCTTAATGCGACTAACAACCATATAATGTGAGTAACAACAATAACATAATAAGTAAGATTGTAGAAATTAGCCTAAAATTTACTCAGAGGCTTAGTGTTTGACAACATTGACTTAAATCGAGTATGACATGTGTTTTTTTTTCATGTGTTTTGCTCATTATAGTAGTGTAGTCTGTGGATAAAACTAGCTCAATATATGGATAAATGAATGATCTACTTGGTATATATATTTTTATCAAATTTTAATACCTAAAAATATAATTTAGACAAAGGTAGCACTGAAAAGTGAATTCAGCAAATACCTGATCAGCTTTGACATATTCTGTGCCATTGGCAAGCTGTACAAGATCACTATGGAGCTTTTTTAAAGTTAGCAAAATTTGTGGTCCATTCGTCTTAAATGCTTGCTCAATTTGAACCAATAAATATGCCTCCTCTCTATCATCCATTGCTTTCTTCACTAGACTTCGAGGTGAGACATATGAGGACTGCTCTGATCTAGGACTTGTTGTGTCACTATCGAGGACAGAACGTGGACTGACATGTGGACTGACATGTGGATTGACACGTGGACTGACAGCACCACTGTCACTACCAAGTGTTGAATTATGTTGCACAGTCTTGAGTGAGCTCCCTTTAAGGCTGTATGAAAACAAGTATTTGATGAGATTTTCATAGTTTATCATATTTGTGTTAGACTCGGCTGCAAACTTGTCTGAAAGTTGTTTCAGTAAATTTGAAGGGATTGGTACTTTATGTCTCTTCAATGTCATATCAACTTGATGCTCAGTTATATAACTTGTCAATCGAGGATCAAAGCCAGCCATTTCAGTGTAGATTTCTTTAAATTTTGACGCAGGGAACTGAGATAACAAGCGTGATAGCATAAAATCAACAGCCTCCGTTTCTGATGGGTCGTCTTGTATAATTCTTTTCTTTACTGACTTCTCTTCAACAATTTGGTCTGTTTTTGACCCAGCTTCTTTTTTATGCGATCTATTCGATGATAAACTCGAAATTGATGCTAAATAAGGCTTGTTCGACTTTTTAGTTTCGCCGGGAAAGTCGTCCAAAAACCATGGAGGTCTGCTGGAGTATTTATAAGGTGTCTTTGACAAGTTGTCATAATGTCCTCCATTTGGCCCCTTCACTTCAAGAGCTTTCCCTCCGACGATTTTAACATTTACACTTGGCTGTTCGTCCGTCCCAAATGGAGCTTGTAAAGCCATTTTTAACATGGAAATAAGATACTTCCCCTAATCCAGTTATTTGATCTAGTAGCTTTTAACGAAACATACAATGTATAAACTTCAAAATAAAAACATTCTTGGACGTAATTGACAACACGTCATTACACTTTAAATGTATGTATAAAGCACTATTCCGTAAAAACAAGCTGTTGGAATTATCAACGAAATGTTTGTTAAGCCATTTAGCTTGTTAGTTATCGTTCAAATCCATAGTTACATTGTTTTCCTCGTGAAACTTTAAATATTTAATGAACAGATGCCATAGAGACATTTGTTGCTAAGCAACGTACAAGCTTGTCACGCTGGCTTGTGTCATGTCCACTAATTTGAGGTGCCAAGCCAAGGTCATTATATAACTATATACCTGTTCCAGTAATTAGTACTCAATACTATACAAGAAATGAGGTCATGAACGGGTTTTTTGTAACCTTAATCGAATAAATAACAAATACAAATGTAGTTTCAGCTTTTGTTAATTAAAATCACATCATAATACTTTTTCCAGTCCACAATATGGCTATAGAACCACGCAGAACTAGGTGTCCTCGGCCAAGCCAAATGCATGAGCACAGCCATGGCAAAATGTACTATGTAATTCGCACTTAGCCGGCTGGAAATCTGCCTAAACTATATTGAGAAATTGTAGGGGTATTAAAAGCTTCTAGTTACTAATTGTTTTCACTCTTTGTTTTGGGAAAAATCGTAGTAGATGGAAATGATGGAAAATAGAAAAACATACTTAAGAAAAAGTGTCTATTTTCAGCTGGCAATAAATCTATTTAATAGGGCCTCATTATAGCCTTCATACACTGATTTCCTCGAGATTGATACCGGTCGACTGACTTGGATAAATAGGCTAAATATATTCCCCATCACCTTCGAATTCTAGACTTCTGGACGGTTAGACATGTGATTAGATGATGGCCCATATTTCTTGGAAACTAGGCTGTCATAGATTTTATCATCCAGGATGAGTTTAAAAGCGCCAATACAACTAATCTTAAAATATCCATAGCCAAAACCAGTGAAGCAATTTTATTACCTAATTTTCTATAAAAACCTTCCATATTTTTTTTAATAGATAATACATTGAAACAATGCCTTCAAAATGAAAAATCGCTCTTCTAGCTTTGAAAACATTTCCTCAAACGATATTGACATATACAGTGATAAAAAGAACCTTTATTGTATAAAATGCATGTATTAACTAGACAGGGCCGGGCTCTTGTGGTCTCATGAGTGCACGACTATGCAGTCTTTGATCTCTACCGCATTATATTCATCTTGTGACCGTGCAGGAAAGAAGGATCTCGGGATGATTTGGGATAAAAAAGGCTATCATGAGATAGTTGGGGAGGGATTGACTGGGCACTGTTGCCTGTCTTTTTGGTCTGTTGTCTATGTCTGGAACGGACTTCGCGCAAGTCATCTCATCAATGCGTCAAAAAACACTGTTTTAATTCGTTACTAACAGTAGACGCAGCTTGTTTTACCTTTTATTATGTTCAGCGACGAGTATAAATATGTTTACCTTTTACTATTTTTATTATTTACCGTTCGGGCGAGAGCGAACAATACTAGTACTTCAGAGACATATCAAAGCTCAGGTAAGCATAGCCTTCTGCTTTGCGCATGTATTTCTATACTATATAACTCCGTTAGCGTTTTATTCAAATGAAACAATTTGGACTGTTCAATTTGGAATTTAACGCATAAAACGTTTTAGACATGCTGTGAATTTTAGTCGAAATTTTACACAGTTTATCATAAAATTAAGGAAGCGTGACCCAGGTAATTTTTATATAGCGTGTTTGCTGCTGAAAAATAGAATTAATTCCGTACTTAAAATAGCGCCACCAAAAGTTGCAAGTTGCAAGAAAGATTAGGACAAGAGATCAAACTGTGTACACTTAACCTTAGTTCAGTTACAACTCCGCATTAACAATTTTCACATGGTATTTACATATAGACTTGCATATTATAAATCATACAGGTTAGGTAGATTATTCTTTCCTAATTGCAGTGCCGATAATTTCATAACCAATAAAATTTTGTAGTGTAGTTTCCTTGAAAGTTGCAGCAGGATGTGTCATCTCTTTATGCACAAAGAACATACTAAGCTGTCATTGTTGATTTATTCAATTCTCAGGAAGTGCAGGATATAAATACATGCCATGCCAATACCAGATAACATTAATGTGTCAAAATATGTGTCTTTATATGTCAAAAGGGTGTTATTCAGCCTTCTCCACAGAAATCAACCTGAGCAATTTTAGAAAAAATCTGTGGGCAAAAAATTCATTTTCAGTAATCAAAAATGGCAACTGAGATAACCTTGAATGAGGCAAGGGGATATTGAGATCCAGGTTTATTTTTTTTAGACCAATTTTGGCATTCCTAATGTTTCTAGTGCATGCAGTTATGACACATGTACTTCTTTTCTGCATCAAAAATTAACATTTAATCATTTATTTTTTAGCAACCAAGTTTCAGATGACATCAACACAGCCAATAATGTCAAAAACATATTCACAAATACAATCAAGTAGCCCTTCTGTGTCATCAAAAAGAATCACAAGTAGCCAATCTATTACACAAAGTAATTCACAAACTACACAAGGAATATCAAACAATGATGAAGACAAAATAGAACCCTGGGTCATTGTTGTAATCTCAGCATCAGCTGCTGTAGTTTTGGTTGTTATTTTCATTTTATCTCTTCTTTTCATTTGTAGAAGGTATGTTTCAACTAGTTTAACTTTGGCATGTAATTTTTCACCAGAATGAAAGTTCAACATGTTTATCTAGGTATAATTGTCCTTTGTTTTCAGACGACGTATACAAAGACTTGAAAGAGAGCGAAATTTATCATATACCAATGCAAATTATGAAAGGTAAATTATAATCTATAGATAATACACATATACTGTGGATAAACATATGTTTTTTGATAAATAATTTAATATGTTTTTATTTTGTTCACGAAGTACGGTGAAGTTCAGAGCAGATATGGCTGAACTTGATGATGGTACAACCTTAGAAAGGTAAATAATATGCTCTCAACAAATTGTTGTCTCTCAATACAGAATATATATCATGATCTGCAGAAATTCTTTAAGGAAATGTCCTACACTGATAAGGGGATTATGATTCAACTGAGTATCTACTTGACATCAGAGACTTAGTAATATTTCTTTTTAAGTGACCCATGTCCACAAAGCGCAAACAACAACCCACGCCGGGACGCTGGTTATGAATGTGTTGAACTTCCTAATGAAAAAAGGCCACAATATGAAAATGTCTCTCCACAACATCATCCCAAGATGGATAATGCATCAAGCCCAAATCCACAATATGAAAATGTCACGCCTATGGTTTCATCAGGCAATGATAAAGCTAATGCTCCTGTAGGTCCATATGAGGAGGTCCTTTTAGATTCTCCATTGGAAACAAATGGTAATAAGAAGAACAAAAAGCATTATGAAAATATCGAACTCAAAATCTGATATTTCACTGAATGGACGATTGCAAGACTAAGAGCAGCGTTTGTAGATGGTGATAAGATGATGGTGGTGCGCATGGCATATACTTTGAAAACTATATTTCCATACATTCATCCTACATAATGAGTAAGATGAATTTTTTTGTGGCAAGTGTTTGCTACTTGGACTGTTGGAAAACAACAACTGAATTCTGTAATTAATTGAAAATTATCATCATAATCCTTTGCTATTGCATAAAATATTTAACAACAAAATTGGAAAAGAGAGGAAAAGATAACTAGCTTTAGAAACATTACATTTTCTTGTGGATATAATGTCATCATCTGACTAAATAGTGAATAACACACGAATCATAGGATTTTATTAATTTCATCACATTGACATTACGAGTAGCTACTCTGTTAAAAGTTTTTCTCCTTGAAATCTCAATTAGCTTTCAACTCAGTGCATTTCTATTAGTTATCTCGGAGCTCTGGGCGTCTCGCATTCCGTTGATGTTGTTAAAATTATATGATATCATTGATATGGTAAGGGAACAAGAAAAAGTATTACTATCAGTATGTTTAATATTATGTATGTATATATAATGTTTATAACTCGTAAAGAGGGTAGAATGCAAATTAAACGTTTAAAGGGAACATTTTAAGAGACCATTGCCAGTTAGGTAAAAATTTCACATTTACTGCAGACTACAATAGTCCTGACTTTCACAGTTCGAAATGATTAGCTATGCCTATATTCTTGATTTTAGCTAAAAGTTTAATTAAATAGGTATTCTATACCTCAAAACAATGCTAATGCATTGAATGCACTCAAAATAATGACGTAATTACGACGTACAAACAGGCCTCTCAGATCAAGAGAAAAGGCCAAAAAGGTCAAATATTTTGCGAAAAAACTCATTCGTTATAAAATCGACACCACTGATCAACACTGCGAAAAACGTTTGACAATACGAGTACCGTATCACTGGTTCAATAGTTTTCGTTCAATACTGGTTCACGGCTGATTTTAACCCGTAGGCCGTACTAACAATTTTTTGCTTTCCCGGTTTTTTTACACCAAAAGTTCGCCTCTAGAGAAAATATTAAATCGAACCGTTTCCACTAGACATACATGTAAGCCCCAAGGCTTAACGGGGTTTCGCAACTGAATGATCTCATAGCCCATAGGCATAGGAACTTAGGTTCATAGGAACATAGGTTGCCTTTTAATGATAACCGAATACCGGCGCAATTTATCAAGAGTTATGACTGAATCACACCAAGCTTTGTAATTGATATACTGACAGTCTGACACCAAGATTGACTATGAAAGATTAATATATATGAATCACTCACCAGTCAGTAGGCTTAAACCAGAATGATGGAACATGTTTCAAGAGGAACACGTAGAACGGAATTTGCGATAGCAAAAGTGTAATTAGTTGCACTGTTGTTGCATTGTTGTATTTCAACCAAACATATGTTCAATTTGACTTTTACGAATCTCTCCTATTAAACACCAGGTAAAAAAGTTAATAGCGAACCAATAAAACATTTTAAAGTGGTTGGGCCTCGTGAAAACGATAGAAATCATTAATATGAGCTTACTCTCGAGTCTTGTTGTCCGACGAAGTGTCTTTAAAGTACAGCTAGAATGCTAGATTACAAATTCAGATAATCAGATTAGCTGATTTTTCAAACGTCGCACCTATCATGTACTACCTGTAATAGGTAATGAGGCATTTTCAACTGATAATTCATTGTTCTTAATGAGAAGAACGACAATTGAAATAGCCCTTGGATTATCTAAGAGTTGGCCGTAGGGGATTCAAATGAGATTTGTGAGCGTGGTGATAAAATCTCAACTGAAGTATTTAACATTCAAACTAAATTATAAAGTAGGCTTATCATATAATAATATCTATTGCTTATTTGCATTCGACGCGTCGGAAATGCAACGAAATAGTTGTTACAGCTGTCAAATGATTGACAGCTGTTTAATTAAGAATATATTTGAATTTGACACAGCACACCACACCCTGTGTCCGTCTGACTCGAACATTCTAAGTCTGAGTGGCAGGAAAACATAATTCGTCTGATAATCCATCCTGGTATTCTTCGATGTCCGTATTTTGTTTTTTCAAAGGGATGAACGGTGTCCAGACAGTCCAGTATAAAATGATTGAGCTGTTAATGGTATATAATTATTAGAATAAGGACGCTTGCATGAAGAACTATGGTCAAGACTAAAGTTTTTATAGAGTTTGTCTTCTTCCGGGGTATAATTTGATTTGCGAGGGAGGTTATTTTTAGTTCTATAAGCAAAGTATTTTGTTTTTAATAAGGAGGTTCGCTTAGCAACCAGAGCTTGGCAACCAGGCTAAACCAGCACACAAATGGTCACGCAGGGTAAACCAACCCCGTTGTGAGGTATTTGTCCCTAGAATTAGACGAATGAAGCATAATATAAAACAATGTAAAATACAAAAGATATTATAAAAAGAGCAAATGAACGAGTAAATAAAACTGACTTAAACCTCATAAAATTGTTCATTCATATAAAAGCCTGGACAGTCCATATATTGCTGTATTCTTTTACGGTTGAAAAATGAGCCTAAATATAACAAATTCCGTATTCCCTAATACACGCGGTGCAGTAAAAGCATGCATAATAAGGATAATTTACATACAAATTCATCAAACAAAGAACTTCGTGCAGGAATATTGTCACTTAAATTAAAGGATGTACTTAAAAGGCAATCTTGACTCGCCCCATTTATTAATGGTAATAGAAGATAATCCCATTTACTTGTTGTCACTCAAGAGTCGTCATTCCCACAATTGCGAGAGTTGTTTCACTTTTTTTTCATTTCTTTATTAGTTTGAAACTATATCGGATAATTTTATAAAGTGAAATTTGAGGAGGGCAAAGGGCATGGTGTTGTGGGTTTTCCCAGCGTTTCTGGTACTTGCGGTTTCTCATTTGGCAAATGGAGAAGGTATACACAGCTACTTTACTTTTAGATACGGTTAGTTGTATCAGTCCCGCTGATTGACTATTGATTGGCTGGCGATACTATACAAGTGTAATGGAACATTCGCCCAGCGAATTCCACTACACCGCCCTGGGCGAAACAAGCAGACATCGTGACAACTGGCTAGCTTAAGAAAAAGTTAACGTTTTTATTAAAGTATATTGAGTATTTGCTACGTTCGTTAACAGTAGTAGTTGATTTTGATATAATCGAAGTCCGAAGACTATGCATGCATCATACTCAAACATTATACTCTACCATTTGTACCGTACGGTATAGACGGACATCATGAATCCTGTTTTTACAATGTCCGTTTGCCCGGAAGTTCTTACCCGTCTTCTTTGTAGAAAACCCGCTTTGAGTAAAATTATGGTAGCTCCGTTATGTAATAATTTAAATTTTACCAACATCAATATTGCCTAATGTTAGGCAACTATAAGTAGTCATATATTTTTAATGGTAATAAATAATACTGTTGTTCCGAAATAAGCGTCAAATGCATTCAGATCACAATACTTTTTTCATTACTCTACTGAGGTGTATTAATTGATGGCACTTAAAAAATATCAAAGACTTGTTAAAAGTTTTCTTTTTTATAAGCCGGAAAGCGTTTGGATAAAAGTGGCAAAAATTTAATAAAAGTGGCCAAAGTTTAATTTGGTATGCATGATAAATAAAAAAGCTATTAGGAATTATTGCTAAGGCCTTCATAAGTCTCCATAGATATCAATAGGCAGTTCCATAGACATCCATGCATACGCGGCCATACGCCTTTATAAGGCCTCCATAGACATTCATAGATCGGAGTAGGCTTCCATATAGATCGAATTAGCCATTTCCCAATCGAGCAGGGTACTGCATGGGTCAAGTCGCCCACCGCAAACGGAAAATATGTACGGTTCGCGACTAGACCTAGTACCCTGCTCGATTGGGGAAATGGCTAATATACCATGTCGAATATACCACTTTCCGGTATATCAGTCGACCGTGGTCGAGAATACTGGTAAACAATAGAAATCATTCTCCTGTTTCATGCGTAATGTTTATTTTTACTTAATTACATTTCGTCCTTTCGTACTTCATGAGTATAATATGGAACTTGCATTCAACTTTTATTTCAGTAATCTGGCCGTATGGTACGTACGGTATGCCCAAACCTAAAACAGGATGTCCAGATAAAAATACATGGAAAGAAGGATGGAGACAACAGGATTTAGAGAAAGAAACAAATACTTCATCTTTTATTCATATGGATGTACAACTTCAGGGTTTTGGTAACATTAACAGAAGTTTTTGTATGAAAACCGTCCCAGATACTGGGAAAACCAAATGGCCACGAGGTGAGTGATGTGCGACTAAGCATTTAGAGTTATATGACCATGTTTACAACTCAGAGGGCGGTTGTATAAAAGTCTTTAACTACATTTTGTCGCATAGTTAAATCCTGGTTAATTCAAAAATACACGACTCTGATTGGTCAATTCTGTCCCCAACTACAGTTTCAAGTTAACTAGTCTTTTATACAACTGGCCCCTGCTGTTATTTGCACATGGAATTGTAATACTGTAGTCTGTATGTCTGGTTGATCAGCAATATATGCTGTTTCTATTCATATAGGGTTCTACTGTATATATAAACAAAGAAACAGTTTCTGTCCCTCAGGAATGATCCAAGGTGATGTAACATGGGACGATGTAAATATATTTAACGTCAATAAACACGGTGGAACATTACCGGACGGTGTTTATGACTCTAACACCAAGATATACTCTTGTTGTCAAAATATGGGAAAATGGTTTGAATCAATTGAGCTGCCAATACATCGTCCATTCTACCTCCTACCCCATAACAATTTTTCAACACCCCGTCCAAGATGCCAGCTTGTTAAGTGGGCAACAAGTTTGATGGAGTACATTGATTATGACTCAGTGGAGATAAAACCAGATGCATTCAATGGTAATCACGTGTTTCTTCAAACCATTCGTTCCAAATCTGGGAACCAGTTACTTCGAGTGCATTATTGTTATTATGAAGGTATTTAAAGTGATCTTAAGCATTTAGATAAATAGATGACAAAATATAGTCAGAAGGATGCATGGAAGACTTCCATCAGAAAACTAACTGAGAGAAAATTATTAACTGAAACCAAAATAAAAAGAATAAACTTCACGATGTGAAATCGCAAATTGAGAAAAAAACTCAATTCCGCAAGTCCGAGCACTATGGCACATTTGAGGGACCGGGACAACTTATATGCATGCATGCACCTTCCCGCTCCTATTTAATAGAAGTTTATAACTTGGATTTCGTCTGGATAGGTACTAGGTAGACACCCTACGGGTTTCCCTACGATTTTCCCTGCAGAATTATTGCTTCTTATAGGGGGGGGGGTAGAGGATACCTATGAGTATTTTGTAGGGGTACGTAGGGAGTTTCTTCCATTTTCTTCGGTAACCTTATACCAAGAACAAATATACCATATTCCGGTATATTGGACCTTAACAAAGTCGAATATACTATATTCCAGTATAGTTGATTCTACCAAGGTAGCCAAGTATATGTGTAACGAATTTGCTTGAGACGTAGGGGAAGTGAGGAATTTTTGGGCGCATTATAGTGAAATTAGGTACGTTATTCACTCTCTAAAGTCTTGCGGGTTGTTCCACGTCAGTCAAGTCGCCAAATTTAATTCGAAGGCTTCTCGACAAAACCAGAGCGACACGGCGACGCAACTTCTGCTTCTGGCCTGTTCTTAATCCCATACTAATAGAATCTACTTTGTTATACGAAACTTTCTTTCCAGATATATAAAACGCCGGAATTTTTCAAATAACGTCATCAATGAGCATAAAAACACAATACAAAAGGCATGATTCGGAAGGTGCGTGCCCTAAGTCAGGTTCGATTTAATCGTTCGTTTCATGGGTGTTTACACAATTCTTGGGCACGTTTTTTAAGCATTATTATCACGCCACCTTAAATTCCTGTTAGTTACAAATAGTCTTTTCGGCTCGAGCGACTTTTTAATAGAAAAGTTTCCTATAGTGTTTTATGCCATGTATTTTAGGTTGTCGTTACGAAATTAATGGTAACAGAGGTGTGTTTGCGGGCACAATAAATGGCAGTATGCAGTTTGACAAATGCTCATGGTTGATTGAAGTGGAGAAACCTCAAGTGATTTCAATTAAATTTAGCCAACTTCTGCTACCAGAATGCAAAGAAAGTTATTTGGCCGTCTATGATGGCTCTAATGAGGAGGCAGTATTGCTAGCCAAATATTGTGGCTCTAGAACTGAAACAAACATGATTGTTTCATCTGGAAACCAGCTCATTATAATCCTTAAATCTCTTACACCAAAAGAAGGGTTTAGTAGAAAACCAAAGTTTGAAGTGATTTACGCACAGAAGACTGATACAAGTGAGTATAAATTCTATGTGATTGACTTTGATCGTAACGATTAAAGAATTTTCACTAAGATCTAGGAATTAATGTCACTTAATGAAGAACTTAACTTAATCATGATTCATGCATGATGCATATGATTAGAAAGTAAGTGTTTTGTTTTCCTTCCGTTTCTCTTTCACCTTATACTAAACCGCTATAGGTTCCAGCGGGATATTTGCACCAAAAAACAAAATAAAACAATACTTTTTAACTCTATAACCACAGGCCATTCCTTAAGCTTTGGCTTCATTTCTGTTCTCTTTCTCTTTTGTGCATTATGTTCGATTGAATCCAACTGACTCCTATAATTCATTTTCAGTTTGAAATCATTCTCGTTTTTCATTGAGATTCTGAGTTTTCCATCCTGAACATATATCGCTGTATTTCTCAATCATACAATTTCTTATTTATATTTTAACGTAGATTTTACTTTGACCACGAGACCAAAGATGAGACCGTCGCAAAGTGCGACACACTCTTCAAACACTACAACCGATCCTGACACCAAAACTAGTTTGATACTTTCTCTCGTGTTTGCCCTGACTTTCGTCCTTATTATTGTACTGCTTCTCGTTATATTTCGGGCAAAAATCACTTGTGTGGAAAAGCTTTGCAACAAAGCTAATGAACAAACTGAAGAACAAACAGTGGAGCAAAATGAACATGCAGTCGTAATTGTTCCCATCTACGTTAACGATATCAATGCAACAGAACAGAACATAAATGAAAACATCTATACAGAATTAAATGTTGTTAATCCTGAACCTGAGAACATTTATCAGCCGTTGAAACACAACACAAGAGAGAAAGAAACAGGAACAGATCAATATATGGACGGGATATATGAAGATGTGAATTGACTGAACCCGAAATAAACCCAGTCACCCTGTTTTAATAGTTTCATCTCATAAATTAAGATATTTTAATAAATAGGATTTGGATACATAGTTGAACGTTGTTTTTTAGATAACATAGAGTTTGGTCCTGTTTTCATAGTAGGAAGCCTGACTTCTCGGTGATATTTCTTTCTCCTGAATTAGGTTTCATGCAGTGAAAGTGGCTATTCACTGTTTAAATTTTAAAATGCTCTCACTAGCAAATGTGAACTTTCAACATCTTGGTTCAATAATAATAATTGTACTTTGGCAATCCTCGTAGCCAGCAACAGAGAATGAGGAAACTCGCTGGAAAATAAGAAAAAAACATGTAGAAATGGGAACCGAGACAGAAACAGGAAGAACTGACTAGAATCGATTCGTTAAAACTGGGAATATGAAAGCCGAAACTAGTAAACTTTACTTCCTTGATGCCACCGATGACTACCTAGTTACATTTCTCCTGATGCAAGCACCGTGTAGCTTCGATCTTAAGTAAAATTTTATGTGATGAAACTCGTCGTCAGCTGCAGTATGAAAATAACAAATATGTAATGACAAGCAGGTAACTTGAGATGGCAAAACGTCCGTATGTAATAAGATATTTATATTTTAAGTGTTCGATATTAGTGACCTCATTAATAATCCCAGCATTCTTTTAAGATCAGATAGAGCAATGGCGTTAAAATCTTGGTGTAACTCTTCCTTCCTGCCCTTTTCTCGCAGAATGTCAATATAATCATCAATATGTTGTCGATAGTTTTACTGTTTGGTTTTATCGAGACTGTTTCTGGAAATAGCACAATAATTCACCCAAGTAAGTACATCTTCATTCTAATATACATGTTGTTCTACATAATATAGACTGTTTGGTATATAGTTATAAATAATCTCGATGTGTTCCGATCTTTCTGTATTATTTATAAAACGTTTAAAATTGAAACCATTCTTAACGGTATGTATACTGTCACTTATACCTTATATAGTATTTTCTGTTATTGTTTCAAAACCAGCGGATACAAATAATTGACTGTACTTTGTGCGTTTTATATGCCACAATGTATGAGTCATGACTCTATAGATATCGACTTATCGCACGGAGCTTAGTCTTAGACTTATTGTTTAAAAATTATTTTCGGAGCCTGGCTGAACGGAACCTTTTTGATTTAGCCCGCGACTGTTTCTGTGTTTAATTTTTGCGATGATTTTATGTGCAAAATAGAGTGATAGAAATATTTATTAAACGCGTTTTTTTAATGCGGAACAGGAGCATGTATTGTTTTTACATTCCTCATTCCTAAATTCATTTTACAAAATAGAAGACTTCGCGAGATTGGAATATCATATATATTATATATATAGCCAATATAGGTATCCAGCAGTTAATCTATGAGAAGATATCATTACGTAGCTTTCTTGGATCAATGCTTTTAGTAATTTACTTTTCAAAATCTAAAATTCTTCGATGTTTAATTCCTTCGTTTCAAAGCCTTCCTGTGGTTCAACCTTCATGACATGTTAACTGTAATTTGTGTACTTTGTACTTGCGTATTTTGTACTTCAGTGCGGCGAAGCATGTCTGCACAATTACAAAAACGTTTATTTTGGTAGATTAATCGTTTCATGAATGTCGCAGAGTTTCTATATGATAATTTTCTATTTTATTTCACTATATCCGTCAGCTATTTACATACTTTTAATACTTGTGATTCGAAAGGCATAGTCATAAGAATTTTGTTTCGTATATTTTTAAAATTTCTTTTATACAGATAGCATTATGTCTCCTCTCGGAGGGTAATGTCGGCACTTCAATGTGACGACATACGATTATCGCAATACATTCCATTTGCATTGTCGACTGTTTTGAAAATAAGTACTTAGTCAAGCCTTAGCAACGATGCCATGTGATTCGCGTGTGCTTCAGGCTAGAATGGTGTAGAAGCCTCTATGAAAATTCAATATTTAAAAAATTGCTAACTTTCGGCAAGGAATCTTGCCCTCGCTTCTTGGATGTGGCTGGCATGTCAAGCATTTTAATTTTCTCTGTGTTACTGAATCATATTTTCTTAGGTGTGGCTGCGAGATCAAAGTCATCATCAAGTTTAACCTTTATATATATCACCAGAGTAACGACGAGCACAAGTTTTATCAATTCGTCTGTTATAAACCAACTTGAAGGTAATGGGAGTCGGATCCAGCAGGCGAAAAATACCTCAATGACGACGCAATTCTTATCTCCTACCACCTCAACACAAATACAGAAGACAGAAACAATGACAAGAACATCGGACAAATATAACAGTCGTAGTGCAATTATTGCAGCACAAATTTCTCGCCATTCATCATCAGCAAAGATGACTAAAAAAATGACCATTTCATCAGATCCTACCAATTTCATTCCATCATCAACAGCCGCTGAAAAATCTCGTCACACTGTCACATCAATTGTTCCTGGTTCATCAAGAGCAAGGTTGAAAACGACACCAACAGCAAAAACATGTACAAACAAAGAAAAAGTTTTTGGGTTGCATGTAAAACCTGGTATGTCGGATATAGTGGTGGCTCAACAACCACACACACTTGATTCATGGACCACGGGCAGGGGGGGGGGGCTACCAACATCTCTCTACTTTTTCCTCGGAAAAAATTATAGGATAAAATTATGCGTGGGGTGCGGGGTCCTGACACCGCCAATTTGGCGTTGTCTCGCAAACATAGGATTCGAGCTCTTTGAACTTATACGAGTCAGTTAGACAAACTGCTCAATACCCCAGAGAAATTAGAAATACTAACGGCAATTAATGTGTTTCTCTGCAAATCAACTAATCATTACGTCTTGAGATGAAATGTCTTTGAAAAATTTAGCCATCATATTTTTAGCATTGAAAATTCAGTAAAAAATCGACCTGCAAGTTTTTTTTAGTTTTTTATTAATTTTTTAACAAGTGCTCACGTGGTCATTCAATTTTTTTTAACAACAAAACTTCCGTAGCAACGCTAGGAAATTTGTAATATTGAATATAGTTTACGATTTTGGGGAAAAGGAAAATCGGTTCAATAGAAAATTTCATTGCTGCTTGAAAAAAAGCTGCCAATCAGTGTGAAGAACACCGTGGACTGGTTTTTGGAAACCAAACGCCTGTTGTTATAGTTTGATTTGTATATTTGCATGCATTAACACAGGGTTATTCAGAATGTCTGCATGGCTTACCACTGGAATCAATCGATGAGCGGGCAATTTTTTAGTCCGGGCATTTCAAGGAAAAAACACAATTCAGGGGGAAACTATAACGTACTCTCATAGTGAATGTTAGCTTGTAGTCTGTATATAATTTTATAGTTTCTGTCAGTTGGGGATTAATTGTAAATTTGTCTTCAGAATACTTTGTGCCCTGAACAAAGTACATGTGCCCAGGCCCCATTTTACTACCCCGTTCCCCCACCCTCTCGACGCTACTGATTCTAACTAGCGTAATCCTTGGGCAGCTAGTTTTATCAATTAAATTTTTGAACAGAATTCTACACGTTATAATTACACGTTTTAATCAAATGAAGTCGGAAGATCTTCTTTCCCTCAGTGGCTGTACGTTGTTATATTAACGACGATAGCTGTCTTAATACTTGAAATGCCTGATTCTATGAAATGATTTTTATTCTTAGCGACATTGGTAGATGTGTTTTATGGAACTTTTGCAGTAGCACTATCGTGCATTATCATCCTTATCATTGTCTGTTGCTGTTGGAAAAGACAAATGAAAACGCAGAAACAAAGGCAAAACACAACGTTGTTTAACCCGTATGCGAATCACGTCGTAGGTTTTCCTTCGCCACTTCAACTCGACACGTTTAAACCTGAATCACCTTACGACACACCGGAGCTCCTGGACTCCCTTCCGGATGTTTCCTATGTCACTGTGGTGGATGGAAACGAGTCAGACCCCCAATATGCAGCAGTAAAAAACGGAACCGTTCAAAGTCTTGGGGATGGTGAGTCACGTGATGAACCACAACCATCACCAGCTTACACAAATGCTAGTGTGTTTCAAATAGAACCGTACCAAGAACTAATGGCAAATAATCGCGTCAATGAAGACCACTACACTTCGTTAATCAAAACAGACAAAAATGAAAAAAATGAAGACGACGTATCTGTTTAAAACACATGATTTTAGAAAAGCGAACAATATTGATACATAAATTGATACATATTTGCTCTAGTTAACGTCAAGACTAAAAGACGTCTTAGAAAGTTCCTTGCGAATACTGTAAATAATCGGTTCGGCCACAACAGTTGTTGATGAACGGGAAGGTCGATTTCACTGCCGGTCTACCAATATGAGAAAATACAAACTTACAAAATTTTTGCTTGTTTGGTGCATTCATGCGTGATGTATCGAGAGGTGTTCATAATCGTTAATGATGATCAGCGATAATCAATATTATATATAAAGAAAAGTCGGAATTATAATATTCTTGAGGTATTTTTATGCGAATTCTACAGCGTAATTTTTGGCACAGAGTCGTGTTAGTTAAAGAATATATTATGACAAATTATGAGCAAGATTAAAGTTATACTTCGACGATATTATTCTTTTCTAAGGCAAGATGAACGGTGAAATATTATACTGATCTAGTTTTCCTCGTATTCAATACGAACATTTAGTGATACGGTCCACGCAAGATTTTACTACGGAGAAATGAATTGTATTGTAAGTGCAAAACATTAATTAAATAATATGAAATACGATAATAAATGTATTCTTCATTTATCGATAAAAGAACGGGTGAAGGAAGGCAAATAGTTCACAAGAGTAATTTTATTGGTTAAATATTCAAGTAAATTCTTTCGGTTTTAAGGACGATAAATCTGGTTTTAACTTCTTATATGCAATTCAAATGCTCTGCACGGCTGTGGAATTACTTGTACGGAATATAGCTACTCCTTTATTTTTTGCCGGTTTTGGCTTTTTTGCGTGCAAATTTTATATTAATTGTGGGTTCCATCGATATTAGGTTAACTTTGATCCACAACCATGTCCTTTAATTTGTATTACTTTATCGCCTAGCGGTAAAATATTCGGTATAATTTGTTTTTTATACCAACTTTTCTGACAAGTGCAGCGGGGACAGCATAGAATTACATTATATAGCGAAATTCTGATCAGGCACCAGAAAAAATGCAGTTCATGCATGCACTTGCTATACAGTCAAGTAATTTTTACATTATAACACTGTCGGTATATCCAGTTAGGCGGATTCTATAGCAGGCTGCTGTCGTTCTTTCCAGTTGGTGGGTTAGCAGGGAAATATGCTGACATCAGGGGGATCACAGGTGGTACATGTGAAGGATTTTTGGGGAGAGATTTTGTTTGTAATGGGGGTCTTGGTGGATCTGTTTTCTTGCTTGGTTTAGTTAAATATTTTGGGTCAATCAAAGGATTATTATTTTCTTTCCCAGTTTGTGAAGGAGCTGACACAATATTCGGTGATGTTGTCTTCAATCTTTCCTCAGGAATACTTGGAGTATTTGCATCAATTCTATGGCCCGGTCGATACACGACCTGAGAAAATTTATAATGCATTTTTATGTTATAGAAATATCATAATTCAAGACTAGAAAAATTAGGTTTACGAGACGTGGCAGATTTTAATACTTCATTTATTCCCCCATGATGAACAAATCAAACTTAATTCAACTATTTATTTTCTTAATAAAAAGTGGAACAATTATGAATTAATCTTACCTGTGCTTGTGAGGTGTACCGGGGAATATATGCATGGATAGGATGAGCCGCAGAACCAACAGAAAGCGGAGTGCTGTGAGGCTGTATCATTTTCAAATATAACATTTACAAAAATCTCTTACGACACAGGATATAATTATTCTTACGTTTGCATTATTGGAATTTCATTAAAAAATAACTTACCATTGCGAGATTACTGTAACTCGAACGAGATCCGATATTTGAACTTGCAGAATTAACGTTTGCTGTTCCAAACTTTGGCTGGTTTAAACACTGGTCATTGATTTGCTTGTTCAACCAGTTGATAACTATAACAAATAATGTAAGAAAACAGGATTTGGATAGGCTTATCAATGTGGCATTTGGATCATTATTGATCATTGATCATTGTTGGTTGATCATCGTCGTTATTGGTTAACCTAATAGAGATATCGTATTTGATTAGTTAATCTAATAGAGATATCGTATTTGATTGGTTAATCTAATAGAGATATCGTATTTGATTAGTTAATCTAATAGAGATATCGTATTTGATTAGTTAATCTAATAGAGATATCGTATTTGATTAGTTAATCTAATAGAGATATCGTATTTGATTAGTTAATCTAATAGAGATATCGTATTTGATTAGTTAATCTAATAGAGATATCGTATTTGATTGGTTAATCTAATAGAGATATCGTATTTGATTAGTTAATCTAATAGAGATATCGTATTTGATTAGTTAATCTAATAGAGATATCGTATTTGATTAGTTAATCTAATAGAGATATCGTATTTGATTGGTTAATCTAATAGAGATATCGTATTTGATTGGTTAATCTAATAGAGATATCGTATTTGATTGGTTAATCTAATAGAGATATCGTATTTGATTGGTTAATCTAATAGAGATATCGTATTTGATTGGTTAATCTAATAGAGATATCGTATTTGATTGGTTAATCTAATAGAGATATCGTATTTGATTGGTTAATCTAATAGAGATATCGTATTTGATTGGTTAATCTAATAGAGATATCGTATTTGATTGGTTTCCTTACTGGCGGAAGTAGTAGTGCTATATATTTACCGACCACTATATACGCACCGTTTTCATTTGTTTTTAACAATTGTTTATTTTCTTCCAACTTTTCATTTGCCGATGCTAACGATTCGGTCAATGTTTTGATCTAAATCACCAGGAGTAAGAAGGACAAAATAAATGGAAGTTTGAAAATAAAATAATCGATCGACCATGTGCAAATCATATGCTTGCTATCTGAAATAACTTGCTATCTGAAAAACTGAAGTTAGCTGAGGTTACTTCAGTGTCTTTGTTTTTTGCATCCGTTGATATCGTCTTTAATTCTTCATTTTGTTTCTCGAGAGTTGAAATCTATATGAAAAACAATCATAATTTGAACATTTTATGCGATCATGATATTTTAAAGGCCATCATGCTAATAATCTTCACAGAGTGAAGAGAAAAGTATCAATATCACTTTAGACTCAAGCGAAACCTTTATTATTGATAGTGATATATATATCAAACCCCAGTATATATCAACTGTATTTAGATCTGTTACATTACGTCATTCACCTTTTCTGCAAGGACCTTCTCTTGTTGCGTAATAACAGTCGCATTCAATTTGCTCTGAACAAAAATGTTATATCGCAGTAACACTAAGCGACGGTTAATGGTAAGAGTACTTGGTGTAGTATCGACATGTCAACTGCGCAATTGTCGCAGAGAGGGAGGGGAGGGGGGGGGAGGGGGTATGGTGACAGTGAGGTTTACAGTATTTTACCTTGGCTTTAGCATTTCGCAATTCCTTTTGAAGTCTGTGAATAATTTCATTTCCCTATAGTTAAAACAAATAACTAAATGCTAAAAACTCGAGTTGTTTTCTTCAATCGAAGCCGTTGATATTATACATATATACCTTAATCAATTCATCTGAAATTGATTTGACGGTTTTTTCGGACTTGTTCAGTTGTTGCTGACGTTCTACAATCGTTTCTTCGCATTTTCTCTTTTGTTCATTAGCAGCCTCCAACAGTTCTCTCGTTCTTGTAATCACCTTCCGGTAAGATTGGGATTAAAGCAAAGATTTAATAGATTTACAGATGAAAAATAGGATATAGAGTTGAGATTAAGGGCTACTAAACCGCATGAATTCGGATTATACACTGGTTATGATATGGTTACAATGGTTTCTGTGAAAGATTTGTGGATCAGGGTCTGAGTGTATAAGTTGAACTAGCTGCAATTAATTAGAGTTTGGATTAGAGGGCGTGAAAATGACCGACTTTTCCCAACCACTTTTTAAAAAACATTCATCCTACCTCCTGATTATCTTTGTTTTCTTGTTCAAGAACAGCGATCCTCGTTCGAAGATGATTTAAAGTTTTATCTCTTTCATGTCGTTCAACATCCAAGCTTGTGTTATCTCTTCGCAGCTTCGTAACTTCCACTTTCGAGCGCTGTAACGCCTTCGACAAATACGAATAAAAGCATATTTATTGTGTTCTATTAAATGTTTAGTTTTCAGCACGTACAAAGTAGGGCTCTTTTTAATTCTCTCGATTGGGCGCTTCACACAATGATATATACAGCAAGACAAATGTAATTGTTGTTACATAGCTATTCGTGGGTAGGACCAGTCTAGTAATTTCATCAGGTTATAAAAATATAACTTCCGGTGAGTCTACTGTACAGGTGTTGTCTACTCTCGATCTTTATGGTAAAGCAAAGTAATCACCTCTTCAACAAAGGACAGTTTGTTCTTTAGATCACCACAACTTGATTCTGACCGAAACTTTCCTTCACTTAATTCCTGAAGGGAAATGTCTTAAAACCATTAACATTGAAACTCATTGTAACATACAATTGTTATCCCACATCCAACAATTGACCCTCACCGTGACGCACGTTAAAGCTGGATGAACTCATTGAACTGTACGTTCATGATGAGGTGTTCATGCAGGGTGAATTAATGTTTTAAAATCTTTTTCCATAAAAGCAAGGTGGTGCATCAACGGGATGCATTGAGAGATTGACACAAGCGAGTTTAAAAATCACTCACGTTATTTGCAGCTGTGAGTTTGGAAAGCTTATTTTGCATCTCAAGAACAAATGCTTTATGCGATGATTCTAACTCCTTCTTTTCCTCGTCGAATCTTTTCTGTGAAGACGTTTGCATCTAAAGACATGCACCACGAACCTGATGAATAATCATTCATTTCTCGATCTCTGTTTAACGAAAGAAAAGCAAATAGGATGCTGTACCTGCAACGCTTTCTCCCTTTCCGTCGCCAAATCATGGGAATGTTTACTGATGATTGAGGAGGATTTCGCACTGAATTCATCTCTAAGTTGACTCAATTCTTTATTTCTAGCAGCAAGAGCCTGAATACATAAAAATTGTTAACCATTTTCAGCAATAAGTTTTGGTTAGCGAAAACAATTTTTTGAGAACTTTTCCATCAACTACGTCACAGCCGTAGAAATACTAAAACAAATATCAAATGCAAGCATCGTCTCGTTTTAAAACTATCATATTCAGGGCATTACAATATCCCAGTAGATGGCTGGTTATAATGTGGTTGACAATGCATCGAGTGTCTGTTTTGGGGAAGTTAACAATAAACTCGTCCTAAAAAGCAGCCACCTAATGCATTGTCAATATTGTTATTGTACAAGTTTTAATTGTAATCTTAATCACCTCTTGTGATCTTGCCAGCCGACTGGTAAGTTCTGTTTCCGTTGTCTCCAATTCCTTCTTCAAGCTACGATTTTCATCCTAACATAACAGGAAAGTGAACACAATGTCTTCTTTTCGTAGCCTTGATTACAGTAAAATATAAATAATTCTATTTCTGTCAATAATTGCATACCTTTAATGACGTGAGACAACCAGCCAAATATTTCTTCACGTCAACATCATTGCCCAGCAGAAATTTTAATGATAAATGCGTCAGATGTTTAAAAGAATTTGTCTCGACAATATTAAGATGGGATACTCCACAATCATGTTCTGATATAGTAAACGTCAATAAAAACCTATAACGATAATTTATAATGTACATTGAGTGCTGGTCATTGAAATAAATTTGTATTTCTTAACTAGTCCCAGTTCTTTTCTGTAATTTAAAATAATATGGAAATTATAAACCCCTTACAAAGACAGTTATGATTGGTTGCATTAATTCAATAAAAATAGTAAGCACTGTACATATATCTTACACATAATACAGTATATATCAGTCTTACTTTGGGAAATCTTTGGATTCTTCTTCAAGGCAAAAGCCAAAGAGATCCATCAAGTTTTGAGGAAATGCTCCAAAATCAACCAGTAATCCTTGTTGACTTTTTAAACTAGATTCATTTTGGATTAAAAAAATGTATAAGAATTAGTACATTTTTTGGTATATATCTTTCCCGCTAAAAATATACTACCTATTATTTGTTGGAAATAGTTCAGCAGTTCTAAAACTGCTGTTCCGCAGTTCAGTAGGTGCAAAACAATACCTTACTGTCTACTATAATGGCACCTATACTCTAGGAGACAAATGCCTAAAGTTCTAAATGATAATTCATATTAGGCAATTACCCTTGGAAATCATCTTCACCAAGTTGTAAAGTGAAAAGAAAGAAAGGATCTTCATCATCTGTCAGTTGTACGTGTAACTCCTTCAATAATAGGTATTGTTTCAGCTCAATACATTAAACACATTATAATTAATTAGTTAGGGTTTATTATAGAAAATGCATGGCCAAGGCCATAGTGTGGACACCAATTACCAATACAATATGCATACAATTAGTTTCCAAACACTAGTATGGGCATTGCCAGACATTTCCTCTTCAGTGTTCTGGAGAAGATGGTACAGCATGGAGTTATACAATTAATTTTTTTGTATTTATCATCACCAAGTCTGGAAAGTGTGGTCACAACGACTGTGGGTCACAATTTGCATACTTTCCAGTCTGATGTCTCACCACGTACATGGAGTTGTTATATTTAATATGATTGTATTATTATATATTCATATATTTATATAAGCTCCTTTCATCATAGATATTGCATGACAAGTAACACAACACCTTTCCTCTCGCTTGCTTTGACTGAATAGCAACTGAAACTCTTAGCCGAACACGTCTATTAAAATGTGAAATAAAATAAACGTTAGCAAGTGAACAGTAATTCAAAAAGAGGCACATACAATGTTTATTATTATTTCCCTTTTTCGCACGAACCTTTCCTCGCGCGATGAGTTTCGTAGTGATACAAGAAGCAATTTATTGAAGAGTTCCTCCATCCTTCGTTTGTTCACAGTTTAATGATATACAGTTATGGAACTCGCGGCGGAACCCTTTGATGTTGCTGTCCCTCTGCCTACGCCATTCCACGCGCCACGCAAATTGCTCTGGCAAGTGTATTTTGACTCTGAAGTAAGGGAAAAAGGTGTTCGAAAGACGAAAAATGTTAATATTTTAAAGCTGGCTCTATCGATCTCCATTTTTGCGCCTAAATTTTAAAAACAAACGGTAAATGGTTGTTTTTTTGTAAAAAAATATATGCGTTAGGTTAAAGAAGTAAGAAATACAAGCCCGAATGATTTTCTTTATAAATATCAAGTTGATTGCCAACATCGTCGCCGATTATAAATTAGGCAGTTATTTTTCCATCCAGAAAACATCTGAGCTGATCTTAAACAAGCATGATTGATGTGTCATTTCTACAATTCAAAACACACGAAAAAATTTCTTTAAAAATAATTTATTTTGCCATAAAACTAGCAAAAACTACATGTTTTTTATTCGAATCTTGAACTTGAATTCAAAGGATTTACAATAAACAAATACAACTTTTACCTATATAATTATACAATACTTTTTACACGAGTATAAATCCAACTTTACACACAAATGGTAAATGCTAACAGATATTAATTTCAGTTCATACATGATTGTAATATTCATGAAGGACATGCAAATCAATTTCCAATCTAATCTATGCAATTCTGTGTGGCTTCTATGAGAAGATTGAAAGCTATTTTCCAATTTTTAGATGTGAATATAATGAAAAATATAAATATTTTTGCTCTGAAACTATAATATGGTGATGAACTCAATGTGTCCTAACCTTCCCTTAATCCCTTTTACATTTTCCATTGCATGGATAGATTCAAAAACAAGGCTTTTTGTTGAGATTAATTACATGAATGAATTTAGACCAAGCCTATATAATTTGAGCAGTTAATGCATAAGAATGGTAATATAAAAGCTTACCTATATATGAATAACATAAATTTCTTATACTAATATGCAAGCTATAATTCTATAACCATTGTCTAACCTTGCTGCTGCTGCTAGATAATTCAGTACTAGAATTTCCATTGGTGCCAGCCCAAAGAGGGCCGAAGAGTCCAAAGTGAAATAATAATACACATAGGAGATATAATAGGGTTCATAAATATCAGTAAACTGCGTATACGTTGTAAACCTTTTTTAATAGCTATCTAACTTGCTATCTTCTTGAACAGTAGAAGTCAGTGTCTGTATATGTCGTCTGCTCAAAAGTTAACTGACTTTGAGAAGATTGTTTCGCCATCTTGAAAAAAATACGACTGCATGTTGGCGAAATATTGTCAGATAGACCTACATTTATTAGATGAAATACAAAACTTTGAATTTTTACCTGGCAGTTCTAGAAGCTTCGTGTGAAAATCGCACTCCTCGTAGTTGTATTTCCCGTTTTTTCCCGTTTTAATTCGTATTATCGCAGTCATTTTTAATCCAAAAGGAGCAATGTCGGATGGATAAATAAAATTTGTCAAAAAAACGAAGAGCAAAAGATCCTTGGCTTTAAAATTGCATTTTTTCTGCTAAAAAATCGAATTTTCCTTATTAAAAAGTTCAAAAACACTTGCCAGAGCCTAGCGCATGCGCATTAAAAACAGGGGGACAAGATTTGCCGCGAGTTCCACCTCTGTGTAGTACTCTGTGGTTTGTTGCTTTCAAAAAATGGCGCTTATCTTCATCTTGCGAGCCCGCATCAACCAGGTGCGTGCGGTCGTGTCAATTGTGTTTATCATCTTCTAGCGCTTTCAGCGCGAAGAAATCCTGAAATTTGAAAAAAAGACAATTTTATCATATTTTTTCTGGAGGAAATTGATATTAGCAGCGAAATCTAATGGCGCTGGAGGAAGAATCGTATTTCATGTGGGGGGAGAGAAGTTTGGAAGACAGTACGAACAATAAATCAAAGCGACGCTCAAGATCGGAAAAATGTATCACCAAGTACTCGTGAGTACATATACGTACAATTATTTTATTGTAATTCGTCAGTTTGTTGTTGTGATTATTTTAGTTGTATTTCCAACATCTAGATCACATAGTATAGGTTCTTGGCTGCGTGGATTAGTGTTCATATGTCAAATTATTGACGTAAAGTTTATGTGTAAAGTTTGAAGTCATATGATCGAAATTTTCCACAGTGGTAGTTACTGCATGTACTACTCTCCTGCTCGTATAAGATTATCTCTACTTCTACTTCAAATTTATCGTGGTGCTTTTTCCATGGACATGTTAACTTCATGATGAAATATTTTATTCAGGACTTGTTATATCAACAATAAATTAATATCAATTGGAGATGATGTCATTATTGATATTGAAAATGAAATGGATGCTGTGGGTCTGATACAAGAGCTTTACAATGATACTTCTCAGGAAGAACCTTGTAGAGCTGTCATTCATTGGTACTTTAAAAAACATGAATTACCTACAAAAGTGCAGGAAAAAATTGGCACATTCCTGTCTGAAGATTACGAGTTATTCTGGCCGGAAGATAAAAGTGGTAATTTACGAGGATGTGTTGAAGACATTGATGCTGAAACCATTCGAGAAAAGTGTTGGGTGGTTTTGCTACCATCTTGTAAAAGTAATCACGAAACATTTGGTGGGAAATTTTGTATCCGTTATGGTTTCACTTTTGATAATAAATTGATTTCAGACTCAGAACTTTCTGTCTATATTTCAAATTTTGGTAAGTCACACCCAGTAGGAAAACAAGAATTGACTCAAGGTATTATAGAATCTGGGTTACTGTAGATTGGCCAGGTATTATAAGCATGCATGCAGGAATGATTACCTGTTCACTAATATTATCCTGGCACATCCCATAACAGGCTTCGTGGAAGCCTGTAAACATACAGTAACCTGCATTAGGAGCACAGCAAGCTATGCCACACACAATATATATTTCCCCTGACAAATTCATAGCTGTTTTTATTTACAATGTATCTGAAACCTGAAGAGTACGCAGAAGAGTATGCAATATGCAATTTCTTTCTGTATATAGCCGCTTGAAACATGCGTTTATTCATATTGTCATTAAAATCAGCGTAAATTGCTTGACAGCTATTGCCATGGCTTACAAAATGTGATACAGGGGGAGCAACCCAGCCCAGCTCATGCGATATGCGTGTTGTGTATAGTGAAATTCATCTTCTATCATTTTAGTTAAAAAGAACAACATGCTTTTGAGGTCCGCTTCAAAGCGTAAAGCAAGTAAGAGTATTCCTGACGAGACTGAAGTTAAAAGCAAATTTAAAAGATGTTTAGCTGATTCAAGGAAATATGGACAATTTGGTAATAAATTAAGAATATTGTGCGCATGCATGGGAAGGATATCTGAAATTTAAGTAATCCTTTACCGTTCTCATGCTGTGTAGTATGTTTAACTGTTCTTTACTTTCTTCACTCCAGCAACAACTGAAGTGATTCAAATTATATCAGATGACAATGTGTTTCAAGACGATAATAAATCTGAAGCATCTTCGCATGTCAGCAGTATCAATGAGGAACAGAATTCAGATGGTGGTACAAAAGTGTTGAAGAGCAACAAAAGAACGTCTCGGGGTAACCGGCTTTGCTGAGTTCACATCCAGTTACCGTATCAGTGAGTATTCATTAGTTTGCCTTTTGTCATGGGAAGTACTGCTTCCTTTTTTTCAGGAAACCGTAAGCAATCTGAAGAGAGGTTGAATAGAAGATCTACAAGAAATAAAGGCGATAAAGCAAATGAAAACAAGAGCAGGGAATGTATTGAGATCGAAGATGATGATTTTGAAGAGAAAAACAACGTCCGTAGAAGTACTAGGAAAACGCCAAAATCAAAACCTCGAGTAACCCGGGAGACACCGAAGAATGAAGTTAAAACACCTGGGAAAATACCACAAAGAGGTGGGTTGCTAATTATAAGGTTAATTACATGATTTACATCCACTTAAAATTTGGTTTTCCTTGTAAACTGGATCTACACAATGCTTCACCGTAAGGGTCGGTTGTACATACGACGCAAATTGGTTAGCCTAAAAATTGCATAGGGACTTCCAAGTTTCATATTATTTCGCCTTTTTCAGCCTAAACCACCGTAGTACAGCCTGACTCAAGTATTTCTTCAATAAATACTCGAGCATACAGTAGATTGTTGTCATTACTCATTCAGCAGATTTTGTTTCAATGTTTTCACTTTAACCATATCGATTAACCGAGGGAGCTTATGGCCCTCGATGTAAACTTGTCGTGGAAACCAACCAACTGAGAAACGTTCCTTGCGTTTTAACAGAAAAGAAAACAAGTAAAAAAGAAACGCAATCGACGCAGAAGAAATCTATAAGCATCGCCACCGAAAAGAAAAACAAAAAGAATAAAAAGAAAAATAACAAGAGCGACAGTGATAGTGGAGAGAATTATAATCCAGCCGTAGAGGAAGAAAGTGAGACGGAAGATGAAGATGAATCAGGTGGAAGTGAAGACGAAGTGTCTGAGGAAGAGGAATATAGTATGATATAAATGATATTCCAGTTTTATTTTGAGACCGTTGGTTCTTTATTTTCTTTATGCTTTATTGTCAATTATTTGTCTTGTGTGATCTGCCACTCGTTAGATCGAAGCGATTCTGGACGAAACTCGACAAGGAAATCAAAGAAAACCCCGATTCGTTCGGTTAAAAGTAGCACAACCAAGCGAAAACAACAAGCAAATACGCCAAAAAGAAGGAATATGTCTTCCCCGAAAACTCCCAAATCTAGAAGAAAAAGTCGACTGTCTTTTGCAACACCATGTATTCCAGTGAGGGCTAAGAGCTGTAAAACACCAGTTACACCACTAGAGAAAACTAGAGCTAGGTATCTGTCTTGTCAGCCATAAATCCCCTTTATTAAGCTTCATTCTTTTAACAATCTCCTTCATTGACTTGATTCTCAATTCTTACCTTCCCCACACCTCACAGGAAGATAACCATTAAGCCCTTATCCTTGTGTGCTTAGTAGAATTATTATTTCCTAAAAGTTCATTTTTTTAACCAAACGATTTGTTAAGCTATCTTAGTAATCTTTTTTATCGATCTTTCAGCTTACATGTTTCAGCGGTTCCTTCATCCCTACCATGTCGAGAACAGCAGTTTGAGGATATCTGCTCCTTTGTTGAAGGAAAATTGTCAGATGACACAGGAGGGTAATATTAGTAACATAAATGAGTGAACATTTCTTTACGGTCTAGTTTGAATTAATATTTAATCATTTATTCCCAGTTGTATGTATATATCTGGCGTGCCAGGCACTGGGAAAACAGCAACAGTTCATGAAGTCATGCGATCTTTGGAGGAAATGAGAAGCAATGAGCAGGTTGAAGATTTCAAATTTTACGAAATAAATGGCATGAAAGTCACTCAACCTAATCAAGTTTATGTTATGTTCTACAAGGTATGTTGAATATTTTGTTGACTGTGCCCGTGACACACTTATGAAATAGATCAGCCCCCCATGCAGTTTTAAATTTATACATTCTAGTCCTGTAAATCTATCATTCTAGTATACTTTTTTGTTGTGTTCTAGTTTCTAACGGCAGAAAAAGTGACTGCAGACCATGCATCGTCTTTGCTCGACAAGTATTTTAACAATTCTGCTAAAAGAAAAGAACATATTATCCTGCTGGTTGACGAGGTTGGTCATTCATCGGTTAATTTTGAGTTCAACCGTCTTCGTCCCCTGTCGACCCGAAAGCTATGTTATTTCGCTACATGCCGGTGTTACACAGAATGTAGCATGTATAGCTATGTATTAATTGTTTATGTTTAAAACTCATCTCATTTATTCTTCCAAATGCTTGAAAGCTTGATCAACTCTGGACAAGAAAACAAGATGTGATGTATCATTTATTTGACTGGCCGACACGTCGTCGTTCCAAATTGATCGTCATTGCTATTGCTAATACTATGGACTTGCCCGAGAGAATGATGATTAACCGAGTGTCCAGTAGACTGGTAAGATGCATGGTCAAATCAATTCATATACCAAAAAGCCAAAAATAATTGACCTTTTTATGCACATAAAAATTTCTTCCAAATGGATGTAGAAATGCACGCACATGCAGCCGTTTGCTTTAGTAAAGTGTTCTAAACCATATTAAACCTTTCACATTTCAGTCTTTTTTCGTGGTTATATGATAAATGAACACCGATCTTCTATAAACCATATTTTAGGGCCTGACGCGAATGACATTTCAACCATACACGTATTCACAACTACAGGAGATAGTGACGTCACGAATTAGAGAATTGGACGCTTTTGAACAAGAAGCTGCTCAACTTGTTGCAAGAAAGGTGTGTAGCAAACTCATGCATAAGTACATTTTCGTTTCTAGAAATAGGTATCGATTTGCCTTTAAACGTGATGGAAGACGCAGCTATCATAAGTCAGAAACAATCGATGCTTTCTGAAAAGTATTGACGGGTATTTATACTTCATAAACTACCACTGCATGATTTACCACAAGGTTGCTGCATTATCTGGAGACGCCAGAAGGTGTTTAGATATTTGCCGTCGTGCTGTTGAAATCGCAGAACAAGAAGCTATAAGTTCAAAGACGAAACAACAATTGGTTGGCATGCCTCATGTTGAGAAAGCTTTGAATGAAATGTTTTCATCTCCAAAAATATTGGCTATGAAGTAAGTGACATCCGGGTGTGTTGTTGATAAGGTTGAATGCCATTTCTTCATTGGCGCTGCAGAATTGGTATAGACAATTTAATTCACAGAGGTTTACGCGCACATGCTCAATTCTGCTACAGTTCTACAGTAATTCAGTTTGTGAAAATACACTTTTAGGAATTTGTCCATGATGGAAGGATATTTATTAAAATCAGTTCTAGCAGAATTCAGAAGAACTGGGTTGGAAGAAGCATCGTTTTCTGGCGTAAGTAATTCGCCCAAGGTCATGTGGGCTTTTATTATGCTTGACATGCGTGTTTAGACTATTTAGCTTTTTATAGGGGCGGGGATATATATATATAAAAAGGCATCGACCACAGTGAAAAATCAGCTTTTCGAAAAATCGGCAATCTTGTTTTGCAAATCTGTCCACGGATTTTCGGTTTGAGAGCATTCAAATGAGAGCATTCAAATGCATGCGTGATCATATATATGACACTCTTTTCGACGCTTGCTTGTCATCGTGAGATGTTAATATAGTTAAGCCGGTCCGTACATCCATATATTCTTGTTTTAACATACACTAATATATTGCCCATGCACACTCGATTGTGTGCACTTTTCATCTTTACAGGTTTATTCCCAGCTGGTTGAATTATGCCGACTTGAAGGTATATAAATTTATGGAATAGTACTTGAAGTGCTTTAGGTCTCGAACGTGCATGCACGACTGCACGTAAATGACGTTTTGGCATCACGAATACGATTCAAGCCACTATTAAAAAAACGAAATATACTTTGAGATGCGATTTGAAATCTTTTTGTATGATTTGTATGATTTTAATTTGTATAGGAGTTTCCACGCCATTATCATCTCTTGCATCAGCCATTTGCAGTCGTCTGGGAGCCACAAGACTTCTCCTTGTCGACTCTGGAAAATGTGACATAAAACAACGGATACGATTGAACGTCAACAAGGACGATATTTTATTTGCTCTCAAAGCAGCTAAGAAAGAAACCAGTAAATGACCATATTAGAACACTGACTTAGAAGTAGATTGAGATGCTTACTCAGATTGAAATTTCCTGGCAAGTTCACGGAGGAGATGTTTCATGCCTTATATTCTATTAGGTCAACAAAACAGTCATTCGCCGTTCATGTATGCACCATTGATTTTCGTGGTGCATGTACGTAATTTATTGTACAAAATGTATAAATGTGAAATTTGTAATATTATATACAGACTAGCTATATACAGAAGTGGATGCGCCTTTGTGAATATTAGATGAGATGATACAAAACTAAACTGAAGTTTCAACGAAGGTTTCCATTCAGAGGCATGTTATTTCCCAAACTTAACTAGAGTTCCACAAACTAACAATCTCTTGTGAACAGTATTTTTGAAATATAACCTTATAGTTTTTCAATCATTTTTTCACTTTTCTGTCTTCACTATATTCTCTACTAAACTCTACGAATTCATCTTCTCAATACTGCACAGTATAGTAAAAATTCAGTTCCAGTTATTGCTTTCATAACTATAAAGGTATAGTAACGTTCACAAAAAACAAAAGCCAAGGACTTTCTGCGTTTTTTAACATAATACAAATTATGCTAAGAAAATTTGTCGGATTCTCCAGATACAAACACCACCAGTAAAGTATAAAAAACCGGCGTCGTTTACAGCGCAGTAATGAACCAGGCAAAAAGTGTTGTCACAGCTGCAAACAGCTGTTTAACAGCTGTTTATACTTTGAATAGCGGAAGTATTTACTATCTGGTTGAAGGAAGGTTATTAAAATACAAATGTTACATTTAGCAATTAAAATTCAACTTTACAAAACTTGAATGAAAAGCCCCGAAACCTTGCGTTATATATTACCGAGGGTCTGCGTGAATGATCTAAAGTAAAGCTAAATTGCATGAGAATATATCGGTCATGCAAAAATGGTTCGTACCATTTTAGTCAACAAATCAACTTGAAATTTTTCAGGAGTATAAAGCGCACAGTAATTCCAAAAGGGTTAAAACTATAAAATATAAATTTATAATATAAGAAAGAAAGCTGTACAAACCACTATTTTATGTGGTTAGATGCTATTTCAAATTACAGAATGCTCTAATATGTAAATATGTTTTTTTTTGCTTTGTTTGGTATAGTCTAACGACATGAAATTTAAAGCTCATTGGCAAATATTGGTAATTTCGTAATGTTGACTCGTTTTTTCATAAACGCGTAATAAGATCACTGAATGTGTTCAGCTGCTACATTTTAGTGCTTTTGTGTCCTGTTTTAACTTATATAGCTCATGTCTTAGATCGGCAAGATTTCTTTGTTTATCCGAGTGTGGTTTGTTATGCATGCATGGCCAAGCATAACTTGCATGGTCGACAATAGCACACATTGATATGACATGGCGTATAATCGTAGTTCAAGGTACCCAAAAGGCATTTACGTTTAACCACAGACTGACTGTTTAATGGGAAGTTTATTGGGAAGAAAAAATATACATTAAATTCAATATTTAGCACGGCGATATGTTAAATCAATATTAGTTTAGTTACTTATTACATGAAAAAACGTGCCTGCATTGCAATAAATCAGTTATACCGTGCGCAAACCTAATAACTTGTCTAAACCTCTAATAATTTCTCCATGCACGCCCATTAGTTGCAGTTAAGAGCAATTGTATTATTCTTACATCTATAGATACAAAATCAGAATTTAGGTCGTGAGGAATAGACACCGTTCATACCATGGAGGGAAAGATATATATATAATTTATATATATATATATATATATATATATATATATATATATATATATATATATATATATCTTCTTTCATTATAGAAAAAAGCTGGCAACTTTGTGTCGCATGCAAATTAATCGTACTTCGTACTGTAACACAGATATCAACAATCTGTTACATCGCGGTCAACGTTACATGTGTCGAATTAGCGAAGAGTGTCGAAAGCTAATAAGTCCACATGTAGCTTTTTATGTATTTTTACATCCATGTAATGGCTAGATATAACTTGCTGATATATATTGCTTGGCTTCAGGCAAGTTAGCCTTAACCGAAACAGTCGTGCATGCACGCAAAATAATTGCTTTTTTTTCATTTAAGCCGGGAGATTTTGAAGGCATCTGTTGTTATTTTCTCTCATTCACAAGAATTCTTCAGAACTTTCCTGACAAGTGACAATGTAGCATTATTTAACCCTGGTAAAACATCTCCGGCGTGAAAAACGCTTTGGCCGTTTGGGATATGCAAGAACGCACTGCGAGTTGAACATTCTGTGGATTCTTTTAAACAATTTTTTTGAGCAATTTTTTAATACATGTTAAAAACTCAATATTTCTTTTCTCCACCCAAAGGACATTACAGTATGCTTCCCAAGCAACCGAAAATGCTCGCATGCTTGTCCTGCATGACAAAAATGCCCGCCGACTGAGTATAAATTGCTCCAATTTTAATATTTTTGGGTTTGCTCATTAAATGTTGCCATGCAGCGAGAGTTATTTACAACCAAAATGTTTACCAAAAACCAACGCAATAAAATTGTGTTGGATTCAGCTGGTTTTAGTTTACATTTCCAATTACCAACACAGTTTATGAGCATTTCATGCAGGGTATAAAAGAGGGCTGTCGCCGCTATCAACTTCACAAAATACTTTGCGAGTATAACAAGACTATATGAATATGAGGACTTTAGCGTTGTTAATTCTCTTGGTTGGATTCTGTGCTTTTGTAAGCGCAGAAGAAGACTACGAATTCAGTCTCGATGAAGTTGAGGAGGAATTTGATGAAGAGTACGAAGATGCGAAAAATCCCAAAAAAAAGGTACGGTAAATAAATGTTGTACATTTGCACATGCAGCCTCACAAAGCCACATTGCACCACCTTAAAACGGAACAAATTCTCTTCAAATTGTATTTTCATCTAAACTCTAACTTGTAACATTTTACAGCTGGTACGTCTTGCAATAAAGAAAGCTATCAAAAAGGTAAATATAGTACCCTCGAAGCCCTTCTCGCCCATTCTTGCAGCATTGTCTGTATGTGAATAAACTTATATAGAAATCTAACAATTCATACATCATTGCAGATCTGTGGCGGAGATGATAAACCTGACGTCTGCGAAAAGATCAAGCAGGTAATAGACAGGCCGCGCAACTCGCAAGTGTGATTTCTATCAATGGCTCTAAAGTTGCATTGCAAGAAGTTGCCCATTTCACTGAGACCTTGACTTTATGCATGCAATATTGAAATTGCCATATTGAAACGTCAGCGGGTAAATCAGCAAACCGTTTTGACACAATGCATGTCGGTAAATGGCAATCTTCTCGATCTTAAACTGAGGGGTTTTTTCAGGGGGGAGCGATATTCTATATTCATGTTCTGCATTATCAATTTCTTTTGTATTAATATACCCCCCCCCCAATTATCGATGCTAGCTACGCCACTGCAGAGATTAGGTTTTTCGTGCAATAACAGCATTTTCACTGACTTTTTCTAGTGCAAACGCCACCCTAAATGTGCAAAAAAACTTTTGGTAAGTTAAAGAATACCTTATTAAAAAGATATGCAAGTAAAATATACACGAACTGCGGGCACGCATTCATAGCAAAATGTTTGTGTAACACACAAGGTTTTCCGCGTTTGATTTCAGTATGGGAAGAAAGGTCTAAACTTTTTGCACTAGCCGTATAAAAAGATGTTTTGATAGCAGTTTGGTACAATTCGCTTGCATGGTTAAATAAATTCATATTCTTCTATTTTTAGTGCAAATTTAAACCGGATTTGAAGATATGCAAGGCCAAGGTAGAAAGAAATTTTTATTCTGAGGAGAAATCTGTGCCATCTCAAAATTTTAGCCACAATTTAGCAATTTCCCTGAACCCTGGTAACTAAATGATATTAGGTAGATATTTAACCCAGTACTGCCCGGGTAATTCATTTAATTCCAAATTAAGCCAGGTGACATCATCAGAATATTTAGGGTTTGCCTTCCTTGGAAAATTAACCTCAGTCCTAAAACAGGAAGGTTTCTTTCCTAGAACAGAAAGGTCTACCAGTGACCAGTAAATGCCAGAGGGGTTTCGGTTAGGGAACTATCGGCCTCCGGCGAGAATTCTCTACGTTACGTTACGGAGAATCACGCAGGAACTGCCAAAACCGAGCGTGAGAGTCTTGTAAATAAAATACAAAAGTGATTCATGACGATGGCTGATAGTTGCTCTGATATTTTCTAACACTCAAATGATGTTTAATTTTTTTCGCGGACCCTGAATAGAAGGAAAGTGCCAAGGAGGAAGACGAAGAACAAACAGCCACTGAAACACCCAGTCGAGGACCAAGACCCAGTGGAAGACCAAGACCCAGTGGAAAACCCTGTCGAAGACCAAGACCCAGTGGACGACCAAGACCCAGTGGACGACCAAGACCCAGTTGGCGACCAAGACCCAGTGGACGACCAAGACCCAGTGGACGACCAAGACCCACTGGAGAACCAAGACCTACTGGAGAACCAAGAACAAACCCTTCTGAAGACTAGTTCAGTATCAATGGTATCCCCAATTAAACAGGTTTGTGCACATATATAGCCATATTATACACATCTTGAAAAAATCATCGTAGGCAAAGCAAATTCCTATTTTACAAAGCAGCGCCAAAACTATTTTTAAATTACTTTTATTTTATTTGTCTTGACACAAAATGGAATATCGCACAGTTAATTAGATCGGTTGATAAATGTTTTGGTTATGTAAAACGTGTTACATTTGGAGATCTAGTGCTATCGTCAGCGTCATACGAGCAAAAATTGCTCGTGTATGCATGAATATAAGCTACTCACTTTGTATTCCGTTTAAATGGACCACTTGCATAATAGACTTACTTTTGATTTAGGCGACAAAAAGGGAATTTCAAAATTGCCTAGTTTAGCTGCAAAATATTGTAAAGTACCGAAAATATATCCAAGCGTTCAGAGAAAAGTTTAACAAATATTCAAGTTCATCTTTGTACATGAAATTATTCTCTTTCTACAGGCAAAGAAATAATAAAGACGAAAAATATCAAAGAGAAGCATAGAAAATAACAAAAAAAATGTAGTTGAAAAAGAAATAAATCTTACTGAGCATTAAATACATTGTCATCGACTTTTGTGATTCACTTAAGATATATTGGCGTCATTTCATCCACACACTTACTGTATATTTTTAGTGCAGGACATGTGTGTTAAAAATGTCATGGGTGTAATTATACTGGACAATATGTTTACCTTAAGGTCTGAATTTAGTCCGCGGCGATGGAAATCCACCCAAAAAAACACAAAAGCCGTTTCTAACAAGTTTTAAAGACCATTTTTCAAAACTGTTGATTTTTCAAAACGGTATTTCCTCCGGCATGCCATCCATTTATACCTGGGGTTGGTGACCAAAGATTGTGAAGTTTCACCAGACCATGCATATCACCTTACTTATTTACCTTAAGGTGGATTATTAAAGAGCTTATTATCATTATGACATTTAATAGCATATTTAATACTTCTACTAGGACCATGACGCTTTACCAGAATCATGGCTAATTGCAGGATAATACTTGCATAAGGGTTGAATCTAATGGAACTACCCAACGGGAGAAGTTTATTCTACAATTTTAACTTTTGAAAATGAATTACCTTATATTACCTGCTTATACATTACCTTCCCATTTTCAAACGCACCTAGCTATAGCTCTTCGTTTTATCCTCAGAAAATTAGCCATGACAACATATGACAGAATTTTCAAGATTCTACAAATAAAAAATAAATATAATTTTGGTACAATGAAAATATTTCGATTTATGCATGTGACCGTTTTGACCATTTGGACTTAGGGTCACCAAGAAGACCCTGGGGATCAGGTTGGAAAAGCGGCCTTTGATGAAGAAAATTTGAGGCCTGATTGGGGCAATCTCAAACGCTGGGCTAGCAATTCCCTGGGAGGCAATCCCCTGGATTGCTTAGTCAACACATTTTGGCGAATGGTGCCAAATCAATAAACGGCTCATATACTAGTGTCTAAAGTTGCATATATATGCATTGCTCGTTATTCAGTCAGGTATAACATTTTGTACATATATATTTGACCGTTCCTATAATATAGACCAGTTCATTCTAGCAAAGTTCGACTTTCTATTTCAATAAAATGTCCATCTCTCTCCCTCGCTGCCCTTGGCTAAGTTGGCGTTGTGATTCCATGCATACACTGGTAACAACGCTTGTTCCCTAGATTCAACAATTTGTGTTAAACCCACTGCATGGTCTCCACAAACATGGATGCCAATATTGTTACAGCTTGTATTGAAAAAAACATGCCTGCATGTTTTAGGTGCAGCAATTAACATCGCTCATAAACGGTCTCTTCGTTCCATTAGCCACAAACAACTCAAGCGTTTTTAAAAGAAACTACAAAATTATGTTTCTCTTTTCCTCACCGCCGACTGAATCAATTTACTGGTTGTGGGAGGTTGTTAACATACATCAGACGAATATATTGAACGGGAACAGTATGGGAGAACTTTTGAATGCGCGCTTACAAATTTTTGTAGCAAACTTTGAAATATATCTGAAATATTTCGCTTGTGAAAAGCCATCTTGACAAGCGGGTATATTTGCCGGCACTGTTTCGCGTGCATAGCTATATGCAGCGTATACTCATTCACCGAAACTTGCCGGAACATATTTCCTTGACCAAGCCCAAGCCATACTAGTTAATGACAAAGTAAAGAAAGCCAGCAAATGCTATTTAAGCTATAAACGTAGAGATTGAGACCGCTAAATTTGAACATCGACAATTTGTTTTAGAAGAGTTTTAGGACTAACCAACTATTGGTAAACAGGTTTAGGGGCTTCAAAAGTTTTACTAATTTACAGAGGTACGTATCTTCCTTTTTTTTTCCATTCAAGAAGCTATGTTTACGCTCCACTATGTGCGATCATATTTTCCTAATAGATAAATAGACCTTTTGCATTATAGACTACTTTTTGATCAATGGAAGGTAATGCAATCAAATCACAAAAGGTCTATTGCGCAACACTTTGGGTAAATGTGATCAAGGCTTTATGTAGAAATATATCTCTTACCGGCAACATGACGGAATCCCTTTTCTTCGCATTGCCATGCAGCATATATTTGTGTATACGAGACTTCATAAATTCTGTCTAATCTTTTACCAAACAAAATATATTAAGGTCTTTTCCACATCGCTTGTTTTGATGCAGATGCAAAAGTTTTTTAACAATTTTTTTTCTGTTCCAATTTACTTTTATTGCAATGTTAGAAAAGCTTGTGACGGACTAATATAGAGTGCGTAACGTGCAAAAGTGATACTATAAGTTCATGGGCAAACACAAGTGCTATTTTTTTTATTATAACTTCTAGAACAAGTGCTATTCTTTCATTAATATCATTTTAGTGAACATTTAATGGCAGCCAAATGTCAACCCACGGTGTTCGTGTTTTAAAAAACATGCAAAGTGACTTTTTTTATGATGCGTGACCGACACGGCTCCTCGAGGACATGCAGGACAGTGTGCAATTGAGAAAAACAGTTTTTGCCCAATGAGAATCGAGAAAAACCGTCGATATTCATGTTCAATAATAATGGACATGCATGAAAAAATGGCACATTCACTAAAGAAGTGTAGCCAATGGAAATAGCGAATTTGAAGCACCAAAATGGCGGCGAATATAGTTACCAGGACATGTTCTGATTCTGCTGGCAGCATAGGTACACTCCAACGAAATCGTTACCAAGGTCTATACTTGCATTGTTTTTTAGGTCAATCATTAAAGAGGGTTAGGCAGAACACCAGAAGATAATTTCATCAGATGTAATGCAACTATATACGTGCATACTTAAGATCAGTCTATATTTAAAACACCATCAAATAATTTCTTGATGATGTAAAAGCTAAACACGCCAATTATATTCTTGCACGATTCTTCTAACAGTTGTCATGCCGAACGATGGATTCAGAGATCCTTAGAATGCAAGCAATGATTGCATGGTAAATACAATGATAAATAACCATTCTTTAATAAGAAAGCCATCTTCCATGCAAAGATGCTAGGTTGGAGGTTACCCATATTCTCCTCCTCCACCTTGATGGCCAATGACGCCATTTCTCGAGCACAGCAACGATAAACACTGCATGGACATGGTAGAGAAAGTAGAAAGAGTCATTGAGAATATAAATGCGGAGAATCGACTGCCAACTAGGTCGCATAATGTACTTTCTTCTAATCAAAGTACGGCGAAGTAAAGGTTAAAGTCATTCTTGTGTCAATTTTAAGAGAACCATTTGTTTTTTTTACTATAACGCAAGATTGGTCTATTTATAAGCGTTTGAAAATTGCAGACAGGACAAAAAATACTCAAGATCTTACCTTTTAATAGCACGACACGGGATATTCTCATTTAAAATGGAGCACACTCTCGATCATGTGTATAAGAAGGCTGGCTGCATCAGCGACATTATTTAACTTGTTTATTCATTTTAAAGCAAAAGAGGGATCCTTTAGAACTGAATCCTGAGAGAGGTGGGTGCTTTCACGAATAACCATATGCCTATTATATTTGAACTGCCTGTACTTAAATTCGTCCGTTTGCCTTCATATTTAAAAAGCATCAAATTTTTCAACGGTAAACTTGTTTCAGAACGAATGGGATCTTGGTCACGATTTAAATGCTAAAGGACTCAAACAATAGATAATGAGATGTTAATAAGGTTACTATCTTATTATCTATTGTTTGATTTGCATTCGACGCGACCAAAATGCGACGTATAACCTTGGCCAAAGGCCCTTAATTCGTTAGAGAAAATTCAGCAGTTACTTCGAAAATCGCAAAGTAAAAGCGTTTATTATATTCAATATTACGTGAACTTCTGTCGTGTTGGTCGAAACAAAACTAAACGCGTGGAAACAATTTAAAATCGATCTATTAATCGGATATTACATCAATTATGAAAATTATACGAAATCGCAAAACCTTGCAAAATTGATTTACCATTTTCTAAAACGTATAATGCACATGAATGACAAATAAAATTCACGATACTATTGTATCACGCTTTACAAGATATATAGAAATCTCTTTAGCTAAAAGTAACCAAATACATGGCTAATAAAATAAAATGACGCTCAAACATTTGTTGTATTCGTCGGAACATTGTCAAATGGAATATATGAAAAGGGAAAACTCAATAATACTCTAAACACAACGACAACTAGAGCTAGTCAGAGTTGATCAGTTTCTCTGTACACAAAGAATTTGGTTAAGAAAGAGCTTGTATCCTAGTATCGCGGACGCTTACTCTGAGGTCCCTCCATGGGGTAACGTGCAGGCTCACGCGGCGGCAAATCACGTCCATAACGAGAATCTTGCTCTCCTCGATATGGTGGATAATCACCTCTTGAATCATGTGGCCCTGGTCCCATTGATCTTTCAAAACGGGCTCGGTCCAACGCCTCTCGTGAGGAGGACTGGTAACGAGATGGGGAATTATCGTACGGAAAAGGTTCACGTTGGTTGTCAAGATCACGAATATAGGGATCACGTGCTGATCTATCATCACGTGGGGGCATACCACGTGGGGGGAAATCGTGTGAAGAAACATCATGAGGAAAATCACGCGGTGGAAAGTTACGGGGTGATGCATCACGTGGTGGAAAGTTACGGGGTGATGCATCACGTGGTGGAAAGTTACGGGGTGATGCATCACGTGGTGGGAAGTTACGGGGTGATGCATCACGTGGTGGAAAGTTACGGGGTGATGCGTCACGTGGTGGCAAGTTACGCGGTGATGCGTCACGTGGTGGCAAGTTACGAGGTAATATATCGTGAGGTGGCAAATTGCGGGAGGAGACGTCACGTGGAGGTAAATCACGTTGCAAGTGGTCACGTGGTGGTCTGTCACGTGGTGGTAAGTTCTCACGCACGTTTGGAGAATTATCACGTGGTGGCAATATATCACGAAGAGATGCCACATTACGTGGGGGAACTGTGTCACGGGTTGAACGCATTTCACGATGAGAGTCTCGTGATTCTACTGGACCACGCGACTGAAAAGTATCATACGGAGCTTTCATATCTCTCTGAGGTGGAGCATCCTGTCTAGGATGTAAATCAGAACGCGGTCTTGGATATGTTTGTTTTTGGTTCTTCTTGTTGCTGCTGCTGCTTCATCATTTCCTCGTGCATGTGGTAACCGTTCAGGTAAAGTGTACCGCGACCGCAGGTTGCTTTGTGATGGAGCCTGATTTTCTCTCACATTGACAGGCGAACGTTTTAATTCATAATCTCGACCATCTGTATTCTGATATTGCTGCGTGGAAAATTTGTCAGATAATATAGTTATGAATATGCGTGTAGTGGCGGCAAAACGTTTTACGTCTTGGTGTTCCCGCCTTGCACTCTGGGAATTTTAAATTTGTAGGAATACTTTGGTTAGTATAATCATGATTTAAAATGGTTGTTTATGAACATTGACTACATTTTGAAATGGGATGACTCAGAGAACACGGCTGTTTTGAAGCAACAAAGTAATTCAAAAAGTTACAACATTTGTTGTCCTGAAGTACTTAATCATAACTGCAATCAATTTGCAAAAATAGCGAGATGATAATTGCTTAAAAATAAAAACATGCGAAACGTCAGTTCGAGTTTCTGGAGCTGGAATAATTAAATCTTATTGATGTATGGTGATATTGTTTTAAATATTTTTTGACTTATTGTTAATATATTTGATAGAACATATCAAGACATTGACTATATCGTAACGTTACCAGAGGGACTCTAGAATATTAAATTCACCATATGAGGTTTGTTTTTTAATGAATGATACAGTATCTGCCTTAATGTCTCGCTATCATGTTATACATTTTTGTGTAAACAATATTGACAATATTGAAATTAATAATGGCGAGTTTGCCCCCAAAACCAGACGTTTATAGCCTTGCCTAAAATTCTATCCAAACTGCCATTGGGTGTATATTTATTAAGCGAACTTTGACGAAACTGATTTTCATCCTTTCCTTTGTAAAATGCCTTTCACGAAAGCCTTTACATGCACAATTGCAGTTGCATGATTGTTATCAATAGTTGTATCTAAAAATCTATATAATATAACATCTATATTGACCAGTATGTACTTAAAACCAAGCGATATTCTATGCAAAACCAATAATAGTTATGCGAACATATTCATGTATTCATACATTATGCAACTGTGGAGAAAATTGGGATGTCATTGCATGTTTGGAATCATGCAAATCATTCAAGTAAACTTACAAAACAAAATTCAAGTGGCACACTTGAAAGAAATGCTCAAAGTAACTACATAATTCACTGTATAATACTAATAAATCAGCTATAATATCTATTTTGTGAAATGCTTTATAAAGTTTTAGAAAAGACTTCAACTTAACCATGGATAGTTAAAAGACTTCAGTTAGAAGTGATTTTATAATCAATGACTTAACTTAATAGTTAAACATTAAATCTACAGAACAATTAAATTAATAACCAACATTTATTTCACGTAGTACAAGAAATTGATCTTGTGGCAATACATTTTTGCATGAATCAAGCAGTTCAAGGAAAAATCTGAATGTCTGTAACGGAACGTGAAAGATAAGATGGTATACATTGTTACCGATTTTACTACCATTGTCACTCACACGCTAATATAAAAAAATATATTAAGTGGATGACCAGCTTAATTGCAGCTCGTGCAGTCATCCTAATATTGCATGTATCTATTCACTGACAATATGTGATGCTTAAATTGAACCACTATATAGGCACTTTTAAGTTGAATTCAAGAGTAAACGCATGTAACTCTTCGACTTACGATGCTTTTTTTATATATATAGTAGTCGCAAAAGAACATAAATACGCGGTATTAAATGGAAGTCAAGAAACAATATGTAATACATTGTCACTGCAATTTGGGACTAAGAACTAGAACACAAGGACGGTCAATGAGAGTTGACGAACGAGGATATTAACGAATATTCACAAAACATTCACCATGCACTTAAACCAACAAGGATAAAGAAACACACAAAATAAACAAATGCAGAAATACATCATGAAGACAGCATAAAGAATCCACGATTACTATATAAAATCCGCTTCAACCAATGAAAACGGTTCCGTTAAACTGCAGCGTTACCCTGAAGAAGGTACAAAGATGCCTACATAAAGGTACACATAGGTATACACGTAGGTACATAAGACCAAATTCATCCGCATGAAGTAAATAGATTTTCTGGAATATGTTGAGTAATTTAACTTTGTAGTAATGTAACTTTACAGTCGATCACATAACGTTATGAAGTTTCCAAGTACTTTCTCCCCAAGTACCTTCTACATTATTGAAGATCACCAGAGAACTGAATGTCAGACGAAACGTTATAACAAAGCTTCCACGTGTTGTGAGATATATAGAAGATGTACGACTTACATGATTGTACAACTTACATAATTGAGTATCATGCATCATGTCTGGAGTAGAACGGACATTTTCACACTTGAATATGGTGTGTTATTACTACATGAGATGTTAGTTTGTTTGTAAGTATTAATGGTAACGTGTTTTGATTGGTAGCTACGCGTTGTCACTTTTGAGGTAAAATGTTTCGTCTAAGCATTGCAAACAAGTGACATTTTTAAATAATATAATTATGTTAGGACAATACGTGTAATTAAGAGAGATTATTAGAACGTTTTTCACGGAATGTAGCTATATGTATGAGCCTATGGAATTATTTTTCAAAAAATGTTTTTGAATTTTCATACTCTGCCTACTCTCAGGAGAATTAATTTTTGAGAGGATTTGATGCCTTTTGGTTCCTTAAATACAACTAAATACAAAAAAAAGAGAACGTATCTCCATGATATGAGTTTGGAAATGAAAAAAGGAAAAGTGAAAAGAACATTTTAACGGGAAAGTGAAAGGTACATGCGATAAGAATACTGTACATTTTTTGACTGAGTTGCAGTTTGATGGTAGAATCACATATGTGTGTAAGAAAAGAAGCAAAACGAGTATCTCGTTCATTAAATCAAACTTATCTTTGAGATATTAGCACCAAATGTGGTATAACAACTGCCTAAAATAGACAAAACCACTTCCCAACGTTTCGACCCGAGGGTTTTCGTCAGGAGAGTTAGATGTGCTAATTTGTTTGAAGACGCTGCCACGCTGCCTATCTTTGGGATATTTTAGTAAGGATGAACTTGAAGAATTGAAGGATATGAAGGATACGACTACAGTGAATATGCTATGTCTTATACAAATGAATAATCATCGATAGATACTGTAAGTAATATAAGTGTCGGGATGAAAGAATATAAGAGACAGCGTGGACTATGGAGTGTTTTCAAAAACGTCCATCCGTGATATATTGAGAAACAACACTGAGAGATATATCATTCTTTCTATTCTTCTCTGGGCGATTAGAGTTCAAGCTTGTGGTATAATGAAAATTTATTATTCTTAACAAGAATAAACTTATAAGTATTGCAATCTACTATCGTGAAAACCTTGACCTAGACATGATATAGTACATTTATACTGTATCACAGAATTCTTCTCGTGTCTCGTGAAAATCAAACATGAATATTCCAGTGATCATTTTGTGCTCTGGTACATCCAGATTTATATATAGTGCTATACCTGCCATGCTTTATTGTCATCAAAACCCTATTGGTGTATATTCTAACGTCTAAAATCTAAAATTTAACTATGGATTGCTGAAACTATATGAACACATACGTAAAAAAAACGAGTTGCAGGCTGGAGGCTTGGTTTGCTTAAAAAACGTCTATGAAGTTAATAAGTTTACTTATATATCTTTGTTCTTTTTAAATGATATCATGACTTAATTGCCTTCAAATCTAATTGCTTTGCTAGGATGAATTCTAATTCATGTAATCGTAACGTACATAGTTGCTATGCATAAATTAACCCCCCAAAAAGCTTATATCAAGTATCGCTGCGTAGACAATATAGAAAATACATATCCGCATCTAAAAAAGCGGACGGTGAGCAGACAGTAAAATGCAGTTCTGTGGTTGAGAGCTGGGAGTCGTACTTCAGCTAAATGCACCATATGTAAGTCAACATTACCTGTGGTCCGAACCTCGGTAAATGTATTGATTGTAAAATGACATAAATATTTCATCGAGCTTGCATGCGTACATTTTTGTTTTAAACGGCAACACAGTAATACAAGATCATTTTCCAAAGAAATAATATTGACAACTCGCTAAAACAAAGATAAAAGCATACCTTATCGTAACCATACTTGGAATGCTGACGTGGCGATTGTGCATCACGGGACATTTCACTGGAAGATGAATTCGATTTTCCACCAATTTGATAAGAACTTTCATGAGGACTGCGAGAGTCGGCCTGGAATTAGAAATATTAACGACGGGCTTTAGATAAATACGTCAAAGCATTCATAACAATTAAACAAAGTAGTGAAATTTTGTTTTAAAAATTCATGAAAAGTCTACAAGTGGCTAATGCTCTTGCAGCTATATGAGAAAAAATGTTACAATTAAAATATACAGTGAATCACAAATCTCTCCTACCTTGCTTGTGTTAGTTTGTTGTCCACCTCCATGGTTGTCTAAAGATAAACATTTGAAGGGTTTAGTTAGAAATTTGATAGTTCGGGCATATTTTAATGAATGTCAACTGCATGCATGTTAAATCCAACATAGCTACTGCGTGTACCTTGTGCGCTGGGGAATTTTCCACCAAATAGTTTTTGTAAAAGGTTTGCAGCAATTGAAGGTTTTGGTGGCAGTGGAAGATGAACCGGTGATGACGACGGGCTATCATTTCGTGACACAGAGGAAGCCTAGATGTGAATACAGACAATGATTAATAAATCTACGTATCTTGTACTCGCATAGTCGTACTCGTAGTCACTGCTAAAGCTTCTTATTAAGAGTATACTTACGGTCTTTGAATCCTGGTAAGAGTTCCGGTCATTATGGTTCTTCTCCTCCCGTTCATAAGACCCGGCAGATTTTATGGACTTTTGGTTCTCCGCTTGGAATCTTTGTTGAGGCTGAGAAGGCCGTTGATAGGAATTGTGGGGTGGTTTTGTTGGTCTTTCTTGACGCTGGGCTGGTTGCTGGGTTGATTGTGTTGGTCTTGCTGACGTTTTGGTTGTCACTGGTGATGATTTGGATACAACCGAAGTAGATTTTGATGCTCCCGAGAAAGGTTTGAATGTCGGTGAAGAATGTTTGTCCGATACAGACGACGACATGCCGAACGAGGAAGACAGCTTAATGGGGGCGGGCGACGGCTTCACGGATAGCGGTTTATTGAGTGCCGGCTGAATGGGCGACGGCTTTACTGCCGCTGTTGACAAGGGTGAAGCTTTGGAGGAGGGGGAAAGAAACTTGCTAGCTGCTGAAGACAGTTTTGTTTCTGGTTCTGATTGTCCGGATAATTGTTTAGACACCACTCCTTGTTTCTGTGGTTTTGAGGGATCATGTGACTGCTTTGACTCCACTGAAGACTTGGAAGACTCACTTGACTGTGATGCTGTCTTCTGGTTTTCTTCATTTGCTACCTTTACAAGGTTTTCCACAGAAACTGGCTTTGAATCTCCTGATTTCTAATTTAAACAAAGCAATAAATAGTTCAATCATTCAGCGGTTACGTCCTGTATTTGGCAATGTAGCGAGTGTGTGGTTCCACTTCAAAGAAATTGTATCAGATTTTATCCGAGTTTCAAGAAACAAAATACCCGTGTTACCTCGGCCTCTTTTTGTTTTTTCATAAGCTCTTGAAATTGTCTGAATTGTTTTAACTGTTCTGTATCCATAAACACCACAGGTTGAAGATCTAAAACATTTCAATTGATAATGAAGAATAAGGATAAAATCAATATCGTCAATCCAGTAAAGTTGGAGTTCTTCAAACTACAAATGCGTCGTCGGGTAGCCCGTTCACAAGACACATGTTAGATAAGCTTGACTACCTTTAAACAGATCTCATTATTTAGCAAAAAATCCAATATAAGACATCAACTACATTTCAGTCTATATTGATACCTTTCTCAGCATCTTCCGAAGGCTGAGTCGTCGTTGCTGTGACGGCGCTTTCACTACGTTTCTGTTCCGCACTTTCTGAATCAGGAATGGAGATTTTGGGCTGTTCAAATGAATAGGACAATTATTAGTTCAATGTTTATGCCGGTACCTTCAAATTCCTGTACCGTAAGTGAACAATAAATAACGTAATCACAAAGCGATGCTGCACATTTTGTAAACAAAAAAGAGTGCGTTTATCAAACGCGAGTATTTTTGAAACTCATTCTATATAGACTTCCGCATTATTATTTAGTTAAAAGCCACAAATAATAATTTCTTAACTGAAATAACTATAGCATCGGAATATAAAGACTTTAGTTGCCTTGCCTTTTTTTCAGCTAATTTATACATAAATAAAGAAGAACTCGCGGACAACGTACCTTTTCCTCTTGTTTTGTTTGTCCATCTTCAGCTTTCTTTGCTTCTGGTTGTTGATTCCCAGAAACTTTCTCAGAAACTTTCGACGTCTCTTTGGTAACATTCTTCTCTACAGCAGGATCTTTCTTTTTATCGTTTGTGACTTCTTTTTCTTTTGTGGCTGACTGGCCTGTTTTACTACCAGGCTTTTTACCAGGCCGAGGTGTGGCCAAACCAGGTCTAGTGTTAGGCCGGTTCTTTCTCACTCCTTGTCCAGGCTTAAATGTTAAACAAGTTATTTCAGTTTATCACCTCAATAAAACCTTATGACTAGCTCAAAAATAAATGGCTGCATCTTTATAGGAGTAAAAATCTAATACGATGGATCGATAAAACAAGACGAGCAAGTTCCATACAACGCACTGGGAAGCGTGTAAAACGACATCTTTCAAGAATAACAAAAAAATCCACTGACCTACATATACTAGGCACATAATAATGATAATATATGCTTGTATAGGTCAGTGAAAATGTTTCCTTCATTGGGTTTAGTGGAAATTTCATGGTGTGCAATAGACGAAGACGAAGATGCTTTCACAAACATCCGTAAGGAAATTGACGGGCAATTTTTACTTCTGTATGAGTACTCACCTTTACACCTGGATGCCCGTTACGAATACCCGGGCCACGCAGGAGTGACTGACCAAGAGGAACTCTGAGTTGTGGGCCTGGACCTGCATAAAAATAGACGTTACGTCCCATTGCATCACGTGAGGCACGAGTGATGCCATTAAAAACGTTCAAAGATTAATATAATGATTAGTTTGTCATCTAAGAGGTCAAACAGTCTTTTTGATTATCTTTTATATTTAAACTGCGAAAAAGGACAGTAGCTAGCATTCAACGATGTCATTTATTTAACGAATAAGCATGTATGGTAAAAAACGTACCCAACAACAGAGGTCTTGGTCGCATTAGTTGCATTCTTGGCATGCCAGGTAGACCGCCAATACCAAAAGGTGTACGTAAAGGTCCCTGGCAAAAGATAATCCATCAAAATTTATTATTATCCTGAAACTGAACTGAACAAATAAACGCTGAAATTATCTTCCGTCTTTGTAAATTCGCTGCAGACAAATTCCTAACTACATGGGCTTAACACGCGTTTGCCAAAGAGCATTGGGACTGATCGGCAACATACCGGTGGTGGAAATCCGGGTCTTCCGCCGACACCTCCCATGTTTAGGAAAGGTGCTGGGTTTCTAGGAATTAAACTTGGCAATCTAGGACCACGAGGACCACCCATTCCTGGTCGAACTGGGTGTAACTGACCACGGCCACCGCCAGAATGACGATTGTTCTAACAAAAATATTTCAGAAATATCTTGATTTATAGTTTAAGATTTAGATATGAAGGAATCACTACCACTTGGAACTTGTTCAAAGTTTCTTGTTAGAAAACAGAATTCTTCCAAGCAACATCATAAGAGATGAAAATTGTCATCTTCCAACACATTTTATTTGAAAGAAATCCATTTCAGGGTAGATGTATTTGATATTATCAAGTCTATGACAGCAGCTTACCGGAGTATCAAATTTAGAAAATTTTTCTTCAGCAGTTTTTCCAGGAGGACAAAAAGAGACACGTATATTTGAATCACCAACTTTAGCTCCATCAAGTTGCTCTTGACCTTTTTCCGCATCCACAACAGTCTTGTAATCTACCAAAGCATATCCACGAGGCTGTCCTTCCTTGGACCTTGCAATCTGAAATTATTATCACAACATGCACATGATAAGTACACAATCAATTGCCAGCATGTATTGTAAATTATTACTACACCATGTGATAAGTATGCAATTGCCTGTGTTTTATTCTTGCAAACTTCATGACTTTAAAACTAAAATACTAGAAAGTAGAAAAGCCTGGCTTGCAAAGTTAGAGCAAATGTCTGTGTAGTTACTGGACTATTCCAATTAATTATGAATTTTCTTTATTTTTTGACAAAACCTGCAGTGTTAGCCTGTTGCATTAGAAAGGCCATTCTAGCCGTGCATAATAAAATGGGCAATCCACGCTCCAATTTTACTCTATTTACTAATTCATGTTCCAACTGAGTAGCTCTGTCTAGACATTTGCTCTTACAATTCCAAAGGTTAAACTTAATTTTGAAATACTTGCCTTACAATAAGTGACATTGCCTGCTGTACTGAATAGATTCATAATTTCTTCATCATCGCCAAATGACTTTGGTAGTTTATCAACAAAGAGAGAGCGCGAATGTTTAGCCTCACCAGTAGTTACATTTGCTGATACTGATTCAATACGTATCGCCCTTCCATCAATATATTTTGCATCCGTTTTCTTAAAATGTTCTCTTGCACGAGTAGCGCTTGCCATCTGAGTAAATTCAACAAATCCATATCCTTTACTTTTCTTTGATATTTTACCCCGAACAAGGAATGCATTCTTAATTTCACCATGTGGTTTCATTAAGTCTTTAAACTGCTTTTCAGTGAAGTCAAATGAAAGATTTCCAACCAAGAGAAAAGGAGTAAGGGAACCTGATGATGGGGCTGGTTTTTGAGAAGGCGGAGCTTCAATAACTGAGATTCTTATGCCTCGAAATAATTGTCCATTGATGAGTTTAGCAGCCCTCTTTGCCTCGTTTGCATTTGCCAATGTTACAATGGCTTTAAAGAATAAGATTAATATAAATCATTTACACCTCATAAAAAATGTCCTCTTTTATGTTAATGCTGACAGTACTGCAGAAGTATCAAGCATATTTTGAGTAAGGTTCCTTCATATTAGAGAAGTTCCATTTTATAGTTACAGTATTCCTCAACTAGATTCACATGCCATTTAAATGATTTATAAAAATACTCTCTGTAGATTCACATAGTTTTTCAAAAAATTATGGAAGACACCGATCTTAAATTATATATTTATATGCACTTGGATAGTTATATTAACACTGCTGAACCACATGTGGGTATATTTTTGAGTTGTTACACAATAGCATATGTGATTGTGTGTGGATAGAAATTAGGTAACTCTACAATTACAAGAACACAATTGTAATAGATTAGGTAAATACCTGATGATCCATGAAAATCTATATCATTGTACTTAAAATTCTGGGATTTGAAAAGCTCTTGAATAATTTCCTAATAAAAAAATAATTGTAGAACACATTTCACATTAGGATCAAGACATAAATAACCAAGGAGCAGGATTGCATATTTTTCAAAAAAAGTCCTCATCAGATGTCACCTCAAACATCCCAAAGGTCATCATTTGGACCAAAGGGTTTCTGAATAACAACCATCCTGACAAAGCCCAAAAGGTTAAAACATTGAGAGTTTTTTGTATATTAAACCCACATTCACAATTACATTTATATGTTTACTAGCAGTCTAGGTTATCAAATGAGATATTATTTAGCAGATTTTTCAATGTTGCAATGTTTGTAGATGAAGTCAAGTGGGAACAGCTGCAAAAAAATTCAATTCTGTACTAATTCAATTCGGTGCAACTTCCATTAGCATGTTACTCAATGGATGAGAAATTGAAATGGTGGGAATTTTCAATGATACATAATGAAATGGTGGAAATTTTCAATAATAAATTATGAAATGGTGGAAATTTCCTGACCAAATTGGGAAACCCCTGCAAAAAATGCTTGTTAAAATTGCAGGGCTACTTCATTCAACAAATACTGAGCATTATAACTTTTAGGGATAAGAAATATCCTATCATTCAGACAGCTATTTACGTTGTATGGAAATTTTCAATTTTGCACGTAATATAGCGATTAAACTAACACAGGTATAAACGTAAATCCAGAATACTTACATTAGAAGTAGTGTTTTGAGGTAGATTCGATATTAGCACTTTTCGACTGTTAGCTATGTTATTCGATGCCATTTTTCGTAGTAGCAGAAGTGGACAAAAGTGGCAAAATTTGCTCTCCAGATATGACTAAATGTTAGCATACATCGACGGGTACGACGATAGATTTTCACAGGGGTTGTTTTCGTGCGGTGTAGTTAAGGTTTTTCCTTCTAAAAGCCAGCCGTAAAATACCTTTTTTCTCCCAGAAAGCTTTGAAGAAGCACGCGGTGAAAAACTCTTATCTTGTCAAGAAGGTACTGTTTGTAAACTGGAATCCGAAATGCGAGCAGGCGGTAAAACTGACCTGCGGATGTCCCTTCCTTCACAACTTATACTTTATATAACAAAATAAATTTGAAATTTGAATTTTGAAAACTAAAACATGGATCAACCACGGTGATCAACAAGTTTGTTTTATTCTTCTAAATTTAATATACTACAATAAGAAATTAATTCAATAAAATAAAATAAATTAATTTATTACTACGTATGTATTGTCACAATAAATATATTTATGGCTTATAAATCTATAATGTTATTTCATCCTCCTCTACAAATGACATTTTAAAATAATCCTTATAGGCTCATAAACAGCACTGATTAAAATAAAAATTGAAATAAAATAATGTAATTCATTATTATGAATGTATTGTCACAAAAACCAATCTATAAAAATACCTCTTATAAATCTATAATAATGTTATTATTTCATTCCCCCTCCCCCATATTTTTGGTAAACTTCAATAGATCCAACTGTCATGGACATCTATATTTTAGCACCAAAATAATCCTTGAGTGACACCTCATGAGCAGGCCCAAATGTGTCAAGGACATGGATGTTACTTATTACAAGTTTTGCAAAAAAGAACTCTAAAAAGTAAAGTACCAAGATTAACAAGATTTAGCTCCTATGTTCCTCAATTAAACTCAGCTAAGCAATCCATATAACATTACAAAATTGTCAATAAAGAAGTCCCAACAGAGTTAAAAAGATTTGGTGTAAACAATCTTGTGTATTTGACATACAATTGCACGCTTGCATGCATCTCTCACTAATAAAATTGAAGCCCCTAAAGTACAAATATTCTGAACAGAACTATTTATTATAATCACATTCTTCTGTTCTTTATTCACAACATATCAATTATAACATTCAACAATTAAACTTACTATGAGAGGGTGGCCAATATTTCATGACTGGATGTCTAGAGAACAACGCTTCTTTTGCAAATGGGATTTCATCTGCTGTAAGTTTCACAACCTGCAACAAATTTTTTGAGCAAGATTTTTTTACATTTTTCAAATTTTGGCAGGCCAGCTAAGCTACATAGACCAGTGGCTAGACGCCAGAGATACTACCTTGCCAAGTAAAACCAATCGTGCGCATCTCGGATCTTCTGGGTCATAAGAATTTCTTGAACAATAATCACTCATTGCTTCAGAAAAAGTAAATGATGATGATCCATTCTTTTTGAGATCACTGGCTGATGGGGCTGCAGGCGCTATATAAATATATGGCACGCCTGTACTGTTATTAACTGGACCATCTGAAATGGAGATTGGAACTCCAAAAGGAATGCCATGGTACTGGATAGAAATTGTTGACATTACACACCAGTCCATGTAATGTGCAATGTAACGAGCTAAATAAATATGAGAAGATTATTAGAAAAGATTGTGTATAACAATGAAAATGGAGTAAAGCATTGCAAAATAACATAGCTATACCATAGGCAGCCCAGAAATCTGTTTATACTCAGTCTTTGACTGCAATGTTTACGCACGCAGTCAGCTTCTACTGTCTGAACTAATTACTGTAATATATATTGATATCAATATATAATACAGTAATTAGTACAGACAATAGAAGCTGACCGTGCGTGTAAACAATGCAGTCAAAGACTGAGTATAAACAGATTTCTGGGCTGCCTATGGCTATACCTGTCTTTGCAAGGTCAGCACGAGGTGGTGGATTAAATGAAGGTTTGTTGTTGTTGTATTTTGTGTTTTGCAACTCTACAAAAATGGGAATATATCAAGAAATTCAACAGGAACAGAACATAGGTCCCAATTGAGATTGTATTACTAATATATTTTTGAAGAGAGTGTAGACTACTATATTGTATTATAAAAATATTTATTTAACAATTCAAAAAAAAAGTATTCAGCATGTATGGGCATGCATGGGCAACATGCAGCATTTGCTTTAGCAACATGCAAAACAACCCCAAAATTTTGGTGTTCATTGACTGTGGAAACAATTAAATTTCCAAAAAAAAAGAATAATTAAAATATAAACAATGTCACTGATCTCTTTATTATTCACACAATTCCATGAGACAGTTGTTGGAAAATTGAAAAATTTCATATTAGATGATAAACAGACCCCACACACAAAAAAGATTAGTGACTGTTGTTTTTGTGGTCTTGTCCTGACATTTGTGTCATGCCAGCACAGTGTCATGTGACAACATGCTTTGGACTTCACAAAAATTTACTTCAGATTTTTTTATCCATATACACATACATTACATATATATACATATAGAATGGTTCTGAAACAATTTCCAAGTAAGTTAAGGTTACTGTAAATATTAAATTAATTTACCAAATGTCTGTTGTGAAACGAATATTGGGACATAGTTTTACTTACTCCATGACAAATATGCGCAACCTGTGGCAACCACCACGATCAAAATCACAAAGACAAAAATTACAAACGATGACTGCTTTTTCTCAAGTCTCGCTTTTGTTGTTTTGATGTACGCTGTCTCCGCTTCGACAAGCGGAAGTTTCTCACTTCGCGAAGCCATTCTATTTGCGCGCAGGTTGTTTTGCGCAAGTCATTTGTGTCGTTCGTGTGTGTTGTTTACGTCTATTGCTATCAAATTTCAGTCAATCAAGGTTAATTAAACTTAATAGTCTTGTAAACAACGGTGTGTTGAAAGGACAAGCTCAGTTTGGTAGCTGCGAAATTATCTATGTTAGTAAAGTTGCTGATGTTCTTCAAGACACATCTAATAGTTTAATGATGAGTATGGTATTCCTCAGACCGTCAATGTAAACTCTACCTCTACTGACAAAGGCCACCGGCCGAAACGTCGATAAGTGCAAAAGAATTTGTCAGAGAACGCTGGTGCTATCACGCTGCTCCGTGCCCTTGGACCTGGGTTATGTTGGAACGTATCATATTACAGCAGATGCGTCATGTCGTTTATATGCAGTTCTCACAACATGATATATGAAGTAGTATAGGAAAGTTGTTACTATCTTAGTGATATAAATTTACTTATATTGGGGGACTTTTCACTTACTGCATATCCAATATGCACCTGTTGTAATCAACACGATCAAAAGTGAAAAGAAAACAACGATTGTAATTGATGTTTTTCTCCCTTCACATTTTCTCTTAGTTGTGGTTGTTTTCGTGCCAATCGTGCGATCTGCTTCAACAAGCGGAAAATCATCACTTTGGGAATCCATTTATATTTACAATTTTGTTTATATTTGAATACTGAACAGTGCCGTTTCTTGTTTTTACCAGTTCAATGGTTTACACTCATGAGTCATGACTGCTCATGACATAGATGAACACAGATGTGCTCATGAGATCAGTGCTTGCAATCTCACTATTTTCCATCTTTCACACTGACGTAATTTTTCGACGTGTAATACGAAAACAATTTACAAAAGGTCTTGTAAAGTGAATTCCACATTTGCTATTACCTCAACTTTACCGTATCACCTTTCGTTAGCCTAATACTAATACTATAATAATATAATAAGAAAAGTAGGTAACTTTATGGATCCACAGTTAATAGAAGAGAGATCGTATTGCAGGAAGCTGACACCGTGGTGCAACGTCGTACCCAGGAATGATTTTTATTGTCGGTTTGATAGATGGAAAAATCTTGCAGAAGTTCGTCCCAGTATAAATAGGTATAACAAAAAATATCTTAATCTTTTGGAAAATATGGATGATACACAGACACATCAAACTGATCTAGCGCAAAACAATTCTGCTTCATCTAGTGCAGAAAATGAAACGGGTCTATTTAGTTTTCCTCAGAGTCAGACCGAAGAGGAAATGAGGTTTTGCAAACACTGTCAATATCAAGCTGAAGATTGGCCTGTAAGTTCTTTAGCTCTAGTTTTCAACATTTATTAACTCTAGTTTTCAACAAAAATTACTAGGTACATGTATAATGATATGAGGATTACTACCCTCTATTTCAGCAATCTTAGTGTAAACTTTCAACCACAATAAACTATTAAAATCTGTATTCATTTGCAGATCTTGAAGGAAGGAGAGCATGTATATAATTGCCAGATCAGTTGAAATCAAATGAAGCTTGAAAAGCCCCCAAATAACTCTAATTATTATTATTATTTAATTAATCAACATTTTATTTATGTACTATTGTATATACCATATGTCCATGGTTATGTATGTATGTAACATGGTATACATTTTTGTCCATTAAATAGGCTTTTTCAAAGCATGCATTTACATCAAGTCATCTCCAGAAAATTGCAGAAGCGTATAGAATTCGGCTGTCCGCAGACCCTGTTTCAAATACTTTTACTTGTGATGTAAGTGTCGTCCATATGACATATGTAAATTAATATACATCATAAAACATCCAAACTTAACATTTATTTAGCAGATAATAATGTATTCACATCTTTGTGTCTACTCCTGAATCATACATGCAGTGCAATATGTCTATACAATGTTAATGCTGATGGTTTCTAATTTGAGAATTTTTTTTCTTGATGCCAACCATAGGAGCACCTTTCATACATGTTGGTGTCTCTGAGGTAGTTTTACCATATGTAGCACCACTAGTCACCTTGTACCAAAAGTTTGTTCTGTGGCTCGCTGTGCCTTTTGATGGCTTGACCAATAATATGAAGTAATTATTAACCTTACTATGTTCTTATTTAGACCTGTGTTGTTGAATGCATTGGACGCCAAAGTTGGGTTACGCACTTGTTAGGGATAAAGCATAGGAAGGTTGATTTTATTATTTTATGTTAGATGTTGAGTGGGGTCCAGAGTGTTTCTAACATGGGATGGACTCAAAACATATGTAAAAGTAAATACAAGTCCAGTCTAGATATTTTTTGCAATGCTAAACCAGGACGTACTAAATATTGAACCAGCCAGAAACGATCATGAATGGCTGCAAGAATACTACAACAGTACAAAGAATTTTTTTCTTAATTTGAAACATTAAAAATTTTGAACTTAAGCACAATTATCTATAGAAATTAGTCCTAACTCAATAACATCTTACCGATTCTCACCGATTTTTTTTCCTCTGTAGGCTTTAGAACAGATATCTATTGCCAAAGCAGAAGTGAAATCTGAAATGGAAAAGTCAGCAGGTAGTGAATGGTTGAGTTGCAAAACTTTTTTACAATGGGGGAAAAGGGCTAAAAAATGTATTGTGATAATGTCATATATTGCTGAGTATTGGACAGCAGGTTTTTTTTACTTAGTACACTGTATACATGAAGTACTTTTGTATACATGAAGCTTTTGTTAAACAAATCATATGCATTTTCTCCTTTTTTAATAAATGTTAAAAAACACAGATGGAACACAGACGTTATGCAGCATTCATCTTTTTATAATTTTTTTTCTTAGCAGGTCCAATGAGGAATATTAACCAGTTTGGAAATATGAGATATAACCAGTTTGAAAACAGGAAACCATATGATAGGATGCAAAGACCCAGTTTTGTTCCTTCAGTTGCAGCACAAGATTTTGCCCGATACCCAGAACCACTCATAGGTATGGTAGCACAACTGTTATGGACAGTTTTTTTCTTTAAAGAGTAGCATTGCTGTCCAGATCTTGATATTGTTAGATTATGATTTTGATATTTATTGTTGCTGCTATTGTCATGCAGTTCATGTCAGTTTTACATCATGCACTAAAATCATTAACATTAATAAATAATAAGTGAACTATTAATAATAGGGTGAAACATTTGGTGCCATGCAACCCTTTGAATGGGCATGCAGTTAACAGGAGAATATAAGAAAGAAGGTTGCCAGGAAGCTTGCATATCCTTCACTCTCCATTGCAGGGCAGGATTCTGGCCCTGGGTACGAGGTTGGATCTGGCAAGCCAATCATATTTTCAAAGAGAAAATATGATACTTGTGTTTATTCCATGACATAGTTGCCATTTCAATAGCCTAACATTGTAGTTTTGCCATGTAAATACTGCTGTGATTTTCAAACAAAAATGGCAAGATTCATGCATTAACACATCAATCAGGAAGTCCGCAAATCATGGGATTTTACAACAGCACACACTAGAGTGTTTTAAAGGCAACTTACAGAGTTCCCAGGATTATATATATTAGGCTCATGCAAAATTCAGCATGTGCGTCATAATTTTTACTCGTAAAATGCTGTGACTTGTGGACTTCTAAACCTTGCAAGAACACATTACGTTCATCGTTTTTGCAATTTCTTTTTTAACCATTAATGGTGAAAATTCATTTTTAATTGTTATAACATGCCATCTTTTGATGCAAAAGTTCACTAGATATTTTGGACGTTTTGCAGACATCCAAAAGTCTGCAGAATGTCTGTGAAATATGAACTTTTTATTTGTAAATTTCCTATTATACACGTTCAAAATTCATCATCAATTCATCATTGATGAAGCCATCTTTCATCCCTGCACTCCTTTCTCGTGCAGTCCACGCACTGAGCTATATGGAATTATAATATAGCTCAGTGAGTCAACGCAAAAACGTAATTTTCATCTTCCTGTGTCGGTTACAGTGTGGTTACAGCGAAAATAAATGAAATAATTTTCACCTGAACTGTGGTGAAAATAAAATATTTGTTTTCCAGTAAAATGTGATCATTGCTATAATTTAAACCTAAAAACAGGCCTGGAATACCTGACAGAGATCCAGGTTGCTGGACAAAATCCGCGCTATGAATGCTCTCTTTGTTACGCGAAATTTGATCATAATCTCAAGTTCCCTCACTTGGTTGGACAGAAACATCGGCTAAATGTTTTGGTAAGTATTGGTTCATCTTCATGCTTTGACATGTATGTGTTTCAAAGTATAAAGATGCTTTCTTCTTCTGTTAATTGTTTGTAAGTAACAATTAACAGTTGTTATAATAGTGAAAAATAACAATAATTTGCAAAAACTCTTCTAATGATAGAAGTAATTGTTTGGAACAAAACTATATCCGAAGCCAAGAACGTTTTAATTGTTGCCATTTCTAACTCTATTGTGCATACTCAACATTTGAAAAAGCCTTCAAAGAATGGCTATCCTAAGAATGTTATTAACATTTTTACAAGGAACGTTGCAACAACTTTAATTGAGAACTTTTTAAATGGAGGTATGAAATGATTGTTTTCCAACAATATTCGGCAAGGTTTACAACAAATTACAAACCTTGTATTAAAACCAATGCAACATGTTTTTTTCGAATGTTGTATATATAATGTGCAGTTTTGTAAATTATTGCATGTGACAAGTTTTGATACAATGTTATTGATCATAAACCTCAACTACTTTTCAACTACACGTTCGCAGTTAAATTGTAGTTACCTCGAATCACCCGATTGTTGATTGTTTTTAAAGCTAATTGCCAAATTATTTTTTTATGCAACTGACGGTTCGCGTAACAACATTGTAACGAATCTTTAACATTGTAGCAAATCTTGAAACAAATCTATGCCGCGTATATATCAATAAAATACGCATGCAACATGTTAAAATGTTCATTTAATACTGAAAGACAATAATTCGTTCGATTTATTTTAACAAACGTTAGAATTTGTCGATATTCTTGCAAACTTATATCATAATGCTGTAACAAATCTATGATAAAAACTTGCTTTCACTCGCTCATCTCACGTCGGGTGATGCTCCCTACGCGTAGTTTTTCTGCTAAAACCTCGAAAAACTACAAGGCATGAGCTCCACTTTCTCTTCACTAATTCCAGGTTTCCAAGTTGACTGCTCTGATATTGCGAGATCAGTGTTGCAATAAACCTGTATAACAAATATTTCAACTGTGTTTTCAGAAACGAAAGAGACCTGGTGCTATTAAGGGAGTAGCGAGTAAGAAACGCTCTGAAATCACTTCAATACTCATCCGGGAATCAACTAGTTTGGAGCGCGAGGAAGGACGACAGCAAGTGAAAACCAAAGTTCAACAGCCATCTCCTAATGCACACAGTACTCTTTCAGGTTGGTTGTTGTGACATTCTATATACATGCAAAAAAAGATGCTGTTTGAAGACATGCAACTAACTTGACGATGTATTAATATACGGCAAGAATAATATAGTTGTAGTTTCCTTCCGTTATTGTATTTCGTTACTATATATATATAATAGAGAACATGCCGTACAATGTTAGCAGTATAGCTGAGGCTAAAATTTACTTTTATTCAAGGTCAGAGCCGCAATACTAGAGGAGTTACTCTAAGCGAGACATGGAACAATCGAGGAGCATCAAGAGGAGGAAAGGTCGGTCGAGGAAACGCAAGTTATGCATCCAGAGGAGCTTGGAACAAGAGAGCAGTGTCACATCCTAGAGGAGGATATAACAGCGGACGGGTAGAATCATTGGAAGCACATTCTCATTCATATACGGGGCCTAGTGGCCCGTATAATCACAATACATTTCATGATTCTTATGCCTACCAGTCCTATGGTATGAACAGCTCCAGTTTTACCAACACCTCCAATTTTAACAACACCTCCAGTTTTAACAACACCTCCAGTTTTAACAACACCTCCAGTTTTACCAATCCTGGTTTTGATCGTTCCAGTCACAGCGGAGGTTATAGTCAAAGGTTTGTCTATTGAATATATCGCGCGTGGATCTAATGATTTTTGAAATTATTTAGTAGGTGCCCAGGTTTTCGAGAGTTTCTTTTGTACGTATATGCGTTTTCCGTTAAGCAGAACAGAATATTTGAATATTCACCCCCCTCCCATAAATTATAGCTCTACTTTAGGCCCCTTAGAAGCGTCCTGATAATGATTTTTTGGTGGACATATTGTGTCAATGTAAAGCATGAGAGTGGAATAGAGTGAGAGTCCTTTATGACCATCATGTTTTTTTCTGTCTCAGCAGTGTCCAAACACATTCAGGACAAGCATACTCTGACAATGCCCCTCAGTATCCCGGCACTGGGTTTGGTTATTCGGCACCCCCACCTCCAGAGAATCCACAGTTAGAAAGTAAAAGCACGCCTCCTAAGCAGGGAGTTGAAACTCCCAAGAAGGTAACGTGGAAGCTTTATTCCTAACATTCACTGCATGTCTTGATATATAGTTCAATCGTTGGCTTTGAGTGATTTTTTTATACAAGAAAGTTAACAGCATTTTGTGTAACAATATTGTAGGAAGGAATATCCACGGGTTTAGCTGGTGTTCTTGGTGATTTGGTAAGATTTTCCTGAAATTATCGATGGTGGTGTAATATTAAAACAACGCCAGCACTAACTGATAACATCCGTATAAAAATAAGAAAATCCTTGCAAATTTAACCTTTTCATGCATATACGTTGTAAATTATTACTTTATCATTTATGAATATAATATTGATGTTCACTTTTCACCAGTCAAAACTTGTCCAAAATGAGGACGATGCCTCCGTGGCTCTCCACGTCTCAAACGCTTTGACGCAAGCACTGTTGCAGTATAGAATGGGAAATGAAGATAAGGTAAAAGAAATAAATTTGGTAATTTACAATAATTTATTTAGACAATATGGTAGTGTGGATCAAGCTGAATACAAGTATTTTTCAAGCCTTCCTCCCCCCGACATCTGCGCCAACTTAACTTCTTCAACGCTCGAAATAAATTCCTTATTTCCAAGCAACCATGTAATATTCTGTATTTCTTTTATACACTTTTAGGGCGAAAATTAATCTTTTCAACAGAAATTGTTGCGTGAACATTTGTTTGTCTTTATAACCAAAACATCTACCAATGTAGTTATACTTAGTTTTGTAAATATTTTAATAAATGCTATACATTTTCGAAACGTTTTTACACATTTTTTTATTCATGCAAATGTCGAACGAGTCGCTGGAAATTAAATTCGAGCATTTGTTATGGCCTTAAGCTTGTTAACTTTTGTGACATATGTATTTTATTTATTATTTTGATGTAATTGTTCCATTGTCAATCACATGCAGTTCTTTCATGAATGTATTTCTATTCATGATTTATATGCAGGGCAGAGCTACATGATCCTCCCCATCTGCCTTGCCATATGAAACTCCTTTTGCTATATGTGTGAGAAAACTATACATGTGAGAAATAGTTGCATAGTGGAAATAACGATTGGTCTCTATATCCAGAACTCCTGTTGCAAATATCGTATATAGTCACAAGTTACAGAGTTGCAGCAGCGGGTTCATCGGCCAGTGGCGATTGCGGCAATGTACGAAAGGCGTATAGATGCATGAAAAAGACTATATATAAAGTTAATTGGTTCTATAATAAACAAATGCAGGAAGCTTTTTTGAGCTTTAATTACACAAATACATCGTAAGTAAATTGCGTAGGAACGATATTTATTGTCTCAGATCCCTAGGCATTATAACCCTTTGTTGTAATGATGTAAAAGATAATGCCATTGTTTCATTGCAAAATAGAAAAGTACCCAACTTACTCCTACATGATATATTTCATGTCAGAAATACTTAAAAGCTGTCACAATGAATTATTGTTTACTGTATATGTGGATAATATAAAAGCAAACGCTTAATACCTAGACTGGAAGTATAGACAAGTCATTTTTGAGGTAAAGTTATCAACTCGAGAGTCCCAAAGATAAGGAAAGATGAAGTCTTTGCTGTTTTTTGCCTTGGTTTTCCAAGCTCTTTATGGTGGGTAAAAACCTGTTATATACTCTACGCTAAACAATCAAATAACATACATGATTCAGCATAGTTTGCAGATATCTTTCGTCGAAATGCATGTAGCGTATACATCCGGAAAGAAATTTATTACACATGACATGTCAGTAGATTTTCATGAGATCTTCCAGCCCGTTAAATCCCTGGGCAAGCTGATTTCCATTCTGACACATGTTGAAATTATTATAGTAATATATTCGAAATCGTTTTGTTTCATATAGCATTCAGTTCTGCTGCGATTCCCAGCTTGTGTTCGGAGAAACCTGAATCAGGGATTTGTATGGCTTATTTCCCGAGATACTTCTACAACTCCACGTCAGGGGAGTGCGAACATTTCGTTTATGGTGGTTGCCAAGGAAATGAAAACAACTTTCAAACCCTTAACGAATGCGAGCAAACCTGCACAGGTAGCTATATATATATACTCTGGTTTCTGTGCAATATTCAGGATGCAAAATAAAAACGTTTTCATCCACATCAAAATAATTTTGCATGCATCAAAATCTTTTCATACCATAACAACTTCACCTTCCCTGTTCTAAAGCCACTTTTCCTCTCCTTATCCTAGCTCTGCTAGAAACATCTCTTGAAATATTATTAGAACCGATGACGTTTCGCGTTGTTTGTGAAACCATGTCTTTGCAATCGAAAACGCTCAGCCCATGCAAGCAGAAACACGAACCAAAATCATTCCTTTGTTCCTGTAAATTTTCCTCCGGATTCTTTTTTTAGATATCTGCTTACTTCCCAAAGAACCAGGCTTATGTTTGGGTTACTTCCAAAACTATTACTACAACGCTGAATCTGGATCATGCGAAATGTTCGTGTACGGAGGCTGTATGGGAAACAGAAACAACTTTGAAACTCTCGAGGACTGCGAAACTCACTGCCCGTGACATTGACATGGTTGGTCTGGCATTGACACACTCACACTAAATATATACTCACTCCCACTTATATATAGTGCGATTGTAGCACCTCTTTTCACACATGAATTTTTATTTCTACACAAAGTTATACTGATTCAGTTTCATGCACATCTTCCAGTAAAATAAGGCTTGAATGCGCGATTGCTTAAGAAACCACATATTTAAATTAATACATCATAATTCATATATTTTATTTTATATTATGCATTTATTTTAAATTTATATATTTTTATTTTATTTTCTCTCTATAGTTTAACGGACTTGTCCTATGTATAACCAGGTCAAAGCCAAGGAAACGAAAAAAACCCCAATATAGACTGATGATTAGTGTTGATTTTTTGAAAATGTTGTTAGCCATTTACTTTCTTAGGTTTCATAAGCTAGAAATATCGCAGTTTTTATTGTTCAATCAATCGAAATAAAGAGGTCACAAATAAACAATGTTATCGAGTCATATATATTCATTGTGAAAGTACTAAAACAGTGATATTAATTATGCAGTGATTATGTCATGGGTTTTTCTTCGTGAACTTTCTCTGCTGCCACCAACATCGATCCTTATTAATATTCAAAACAATGACTCCGTGTTATTTTTGTGGTATTTAAACTGCGACGACACAAAACTGCAGTCGCGCAAAGAGGACCTAGTTAACTCATTGCATGTGAAAGTATATTATTCTGTGTCTCTGAGTTTTCTGTCAAGTCAGTTCAAATTGCAGTAGGCTGTAGTATACTAAACAGATTGCCAACAGATTATACTCAAAAGAGTTGTGTTAAAGCTGTATTAGGGCTGGTTCAAAGTGTATCGCGAAACAGCAAGCGAGAGGTCTGGGATTTGGAATTAAGTTGTAAAGTTATTCCTTCATGCATTGCTCCTTTAATCTAGGAAGAAATCAATGATCAGACTGCGGCGTTGAAATCTCTGTCTAAAAGCAAAAGGCTTAAAATTCTTTGGGAAACTCAAATGAAAATCAAAATTTTCATCCTCAAACTACTAAATGTGACCTTAGGCGCCTAATATATCAATGAATTCCAAAATGTTCGTTCATTTGTGTCCTAATTGCCTTCAATAAATCACCTCGTTTAAAAGGCGTTCCCAATTGGAGATCACATTAAATATTGGTAAAACTGAATTTCACTAAAGATATAATCATCTTTGACGCATTAAAATAATAAAATGTCATCTTACCTTGATTTATTATTGGTCAATGTTTAAATTTGGTGTGTTGAAATGGTTCATCAAACGACAAAAGCTAATGCATGTTTGATGAAACAGATTCAGCTAGAAGACATATTTCCGGCAGACCAAATTATCATGCAGAATCAAGGCGTCAGTTTGTGGGAAGAAGCATGCCTCCTTTCTTGATTGTGTTCGGGATGAAGTTTGATTCATTCCTACTTATTTCCGCTCTCGGCATTCTTTACCCGCGCGTGGCTAAGACACAGCATTTCCCCGTTAAATCTATATATATGTTGTAAAGATTACGCAACTTGTGCGTCTGCCCACGTTGTGGATTAAGAGGATCAGAGATTTATTTGCAGGTTCGATTGAATATAGTCAAATTTATATGCAACTATTGTTTAAGTTTACGATTGCTCAACTATTTATAGAAATTGGCTGTGCTTGTTGATTTTATCGAGCTTTTTTCTTGTTTGGTTTTGCAAAGCTCTTTAATCGTGTTGTCAACGGCTAAAGTTTAAATAAATCAATAGACAATACTCGTTTTTTGCTAGAATATTGGTTTAATATATTTAAATGCTAATGTTTTTCGTTGTTTTAAAATAAAAATTAAAAAAAAGATGATAATCGTAAACCTAAACCTATAAAGTCGACTTTAACACGATCATACCTGATCACTTGTGTCGTATCTGCGCTAAATCCGCTCTTAAATTCAGCTCCAGCCTTCAGGGAAACGCTTCGTATAATTTCTTTTAAATCGAACGTCGTCGTCTTATTTTTTGACACCTCACTGGTTCACGAACTGTGAATTGCTAAATCAACATGCATCTCACTTGATTTACAAAAGGCTGTTTTATAGGTTTAGGCAAAACCCCAGCTGAAGACACCAGGCTTAACGTAATCGCAAACATAGTTAATATCCATTGTTATATTCAGGCGTGGGTTGAGATACATCAAGTTTATAAGTTTGTTTAATTTGTGCATATTATTTTTGCTTGAAAACTAAATATTGGCTTTTTTTGCTTAAAAACAATTATGTCTTAATCTCTGTATGAAAAAGCATTGCCTACGCATATGCATGTAGCTAGATATGTTATTTCGTAACAAAAATTATATCCTTTTTTACGTGATAATTGATTATGAATATATATATTTCCGTACTAACTCTCCTGACGAAGGCCCTCAGGTCGAAACGTCGAGAAAAGCGTTTGGTCTATTTTAGGCAGTTGTTATTCCACATTTGATGCTAAGTTATTTCCATATACGCTATAGTTATAGCTAAACTTTAGTACACATATATAGGGATCATTATTCCACTATATCTTTTTCTGGGTCATGCCATCAATCAAGATTGTCCTTCCGCGGAACCGTAAAACCTAACTGCGCAAGGAATGACTCGTGATTTATTGTTTACCTATATAGTATACAGAAGGCATGCATGCATACTTGCTCCAAAGATAGTTCGGACTTTAAAAGCTTAAAGTTCAGTATCGCTGGTAAATTGTTTAAAAAACGATCGCTGCAAAAACGTGTTCACATTCAAAGGGCATAATTCCCTCTTTTGTCCGTCTTTGTAAAAGGCGAGGAGGGAGGGAGGGGGCGTGCCCTTAGTTACGAGGTCTCTGGAAATTTTCAAGTGAGCGTAAGATGACTTTGACTGAACGGGAATTAAGTTTATATTTGTGCAATCCTCATTGTATACGCAACTTATTCCTCTCTGGCCTCTGCATGCTTCCGTCGTCGATGACAGAGTTTATAGTCATTTTGTCTTTGTTGGGCTGACATTTTCCCGACAACATTCGGTCGAATGGACTAATTGACAAACTGTTCTTTGCTGAACGCGCAATTGGCAGAAAAGAATCCCCACTAACCACGTGAAATTTTTTTTTAAATCCTAACATATCAATTCTCTTTGCATACAATTGATTAGCTAGGAACATCAACTCAGAAAATATTCAATAACCGAAAATAATTAGTACTCAAAATACAATTATGAATACAAACACGGACGAACACTCTCAAAAATTGTTGTTTATCAAATAAATACTTGTCGCGGAAATAAATGCTTTGATCCGTTAGAAAGGCATTAATGTCAACATGATTAATGTTTTGTGTTAAGCAACACATTAGCTTTCTTATATAAGCGAGATCCATCTTCAGTTATTGATACATCCAGTTTTCACAAGAGATAATAAGGAGGGAAAAATAACTGAAGAAACTGAAGATAACTTGTTACTAGGATTCTCAGCACCAAGAACAAAATGAACGTTTGTTTGATATTAGTCTTGTTAGTGCACAGCTTGTATGGTACGTAGTCCGCATCCTTTTTTGTATAATTACGACGTTTCTTAATCTTTCAAGTGCTGTAGCTTGTACATGTATGTAGCTAAACTATCATACATTACTCATTATTATATACATCATACATAATAATAATTGTATTTAGGAAATACAAGAGAATTTTTTCATGCCACATATAATATGCATATCTCTTATCATATATTTCATGCATGAATATGACATAAACGATATGAGCGGCTTGCTGCACGACGTCAAGATCCAAAACGTCAGAATAGTCACCAAAACCCCAAAACGTTTGTTTAAAAGTGTTAATTAAAAAGAGACTTTTTTCAGTTCAAGTTAAATTCTGAATTGAAATACAATAATATACATGCAGTTATACTACTTGTACGCCCAGATTCTCTCTACCAAAACATTTTTAAGTTAGCTATATCTAGGATATTTCTCTCTTTCATGACAATTAACACTTTCAGCAACAAGCAGTGCAAGAAGCCTTGAACCTTCAGTGTGCAAGTTGCAGAAGATGACCGGACCATGCCGAGCAAGGATACAAATGTATTATTATGATCAACATGCTGGAAAGTGTCTGTCGTTCTTTTATGGTGGTTGTAGAGGAAACAAGAATCGATTTCAGACACTTGAAGACTGTAAGAAACAATGTGGTAAGTATTTTGAACAGGAAATTGCTTTCTTCGAAAACTCTATGACTAAGTATCAATTTTTTGCCAGCTATACTCTACCATATGGTCCCAAGCTCGCTGTTTCTTATTAAGTACATCTGTGTAATCAGGTATACCGTTATAGGCCTGGAGAAGCAACTGCATATCGGATAGGTAATTAAGCCCTAGACCTAGGGCTCTGGCACCGGGCACTTTTTAAACGGAGAAATTTAAACTGGACAGGAAAGCGCACTTCTAGTACTCGTAGATCATACTGGGCAAAGGGCGTATGATGTTTCTTTCCAGCTACATTTAAAAATTCTAACTGTGTTACAACCGCTGCTAAATTTGAAATAGAAAGAAGTTGTGACCGTCCTTGCCCTTTCATATACATGCCGGTGTGTGGAACTGATGGTGAAACATATCCTAATGAATGCGTGTTGGATATCGCTGCTTGTAAGAGCAATGGAAAAACCAAGAGAGATCATGATGGAGAATGTGGTTAGTAAAGTCATCTATCTCTAACATTGTCATCATATATTGACTCGTATAATGCAAATGATGCCGTAATACTTAGTAATTTCTACATGGATTCCTTTTTCTATAATTGATCATTCATACACACGGACTAACAAGGGGGAGGGGGGAGGGGTGATATTATATTTAAATAAAGACATGTTCAGGTAATTTACTCATGCGGTGACAATTAACAAAGCACGTGTATAGTCATTTCTATACAATAAAAATCAAACTCTTTCTCCAGAGCCAAAGTGTCCGAAGGTATGCACAATGGAATACAATCCACAATGTGGTTCAGACGACAAGACATACAGTAATCCATGCGAATTGAAGATTGCTTCTTGCGAAAGTAGCAATAAAATAACCCTGGCGCATGAAGGAAAGTGTGGTAAGAAAAGTTAGTTGTCCTACATACGCTTATTGAAAGTCCCTCGCTGAAATGATGCTGCTCGTCAGACGTTATTTAAACACAAATTATCGTGCTTTACTGTATTCACTGTACAACTCTTTCTCTAGAGCCAAAGTGTCCGAAGGTATGCACAATGGAATACAATCCACAATGTGGTTCAGACGGCAAAACATACAGTAATCCATGCGAACTGAAGATTGCTTCTTGTGAAAATAACAATAAAATAACCCTGGCGCATGAAGGAAAGTGTGGTAAGAAAAGTTAGTTGTCCTACATACGCTTATTGAAAGTCCCTCGCTGAATTGATGCCGCTCGTCAGACGTTATTTAAACCCTAATTATCCTGCTTTGCTGTATTCACTGTAAGTTTGTAACCATATTAGCATGGTAGTATGTTGCAATATGTTCGCACTGCATACCTGTTTCTTACGTTCTCGCTACTCCAAGACACCAGCAGCAAAATCCAAGTCCCTCATTCCATCCAATAAATTATAAATCATAAATTATTATAAATTATATACAATTAGAAAAGGATTGTATCCGACCTTGTCCTATGATATACCAACCAACGTGTGGATCAGACGGGAAGACATACTCCAGTGTGTGTGATTTGCAAGTGGCTTCTTGTATCGCTAGAAAAACTATTAAGAAGGTTCATGATGGAGAATGCGGTAAGTAATTTCTACCAGGACTACTTTTTTCAACAAGCACAACTGCTCACTATTTCTTGCTGATTAATTTCTGAATGAATTCAGATGTTTGTTCGATGGAAAAAATCGTGGGGCCGTGCCGTGCGGCTTTTCCGAGATACTATTACAACAGTGTCTCCAAAAAATGCGAAAGTTTCATTTATGGAGGATGTCACGGAAATAGGAACAATTTTGTGAAAATTGAAGACTGCCAAAAGAAATGTGGTAAGCTTGAAAAAAGTTATGTTAAAACAATTGCGTTACCGGAAGTAACTAGACTGATCTCATTCATGTAGTTTTGTTTTTGAACACGAAAAGCATCTTAAAACCTACAAATGTGGCTGACTTCCTTCTATTTAGATGTTTGTTCTTTAAAGCAAGATCCAGGATTCTGCAGAGGATACTTCCCGCGATATTTCTACAACTCTAAGTCACGAGCTTGCGAGAAGTTCATATATGGAGGTTGTCAAGGAAACGGGAACAACTTTGAGACTCTCGAGGCTTGTCAAGACAAATGTCATTGACATGGTACGATGTTTGTTTGAGTCCTAACAATGAATACAAGTTCAGTCGTAACTACCACGTCTCCTGTAAACTTCATGCAAGACAATTATATATACGTTTTGTTTTTTTAGACCATTTTTTTGGGACCATCATGCTTTCTGGCGACGAAAAAACAAGAAGTGATTGATGTTATGATTATTTAGTGTGATTTCATGTCCATGCTGTATACGTTTTCGAATAATAAATGAGGATTTTCTTATCTAAATATTACCGATGTTTTCTGATTTCTGTGTGCAATCCAATCTTGTTTACAAATATATTCTTAACTGTATAATCAACACGAAAATACATGCTTGCAAAATACCCTCACTTAATTAATTCTGCGCACCAAACGTTATCGTGCTTTGCTGCATGTGTTCGCTGTATATACATTGCAATATGTTCGCTATCGTGCCTACTTTTACGTTCTAACTATTCCAAAGGCAAAATTTAAATTTCTCATTGCATCCAATATTCTTTCAATCTTTCCACAGTTGACTGTTGAAATTCGTTAACGTTTAAACTTATTATGCTTATTACTCGTTATAACGGTCATGCAGTACTAGTGAAGAGGGCATGAATGAGGGCATTGTTTTTTGTCCGCTTGGTCAGTCAGACAAACCACTCGGAACTCGTGATTATAACAATATCATTTGCGACATACATTTACAATTGGCCTTTTCTCGTTACCAATATAAATACTTGATATAAATACTTGATGATTTTATTCAAATACAGCCTAATGGTTTGATTCCGTTGAAAATAGCTTTGTGGAATTCAAACTGTCTTAGAGAACATTTGCCATTCCACGCAATACTATAGAAGCGAGGTACTGATTGCTCAACAACTAGGACTAGAACCATGATGCTTCGCCGAAAGTTGCAAAAATAGGATCTCATAACGTTTGCTATACTGTACATTGCCAGGAATTTTGATCATTAATTATTCAAATCCATTGTGGCCTTGCCATGGAATAACAAGAGGACTACATGCAGGGTGTCTAAAAAAACCCGAAAACTTTTGAATGCCAAAGAACTCTGTTGGGACCCACAAGTGTATAAATGTTTGCCATAAGCATTTTTATGCATGATACAGTAAAATTTGTGCGTACCCAAAAACTATTTATTAGCAATATCTACAATTTGTCTTGGTCGACCTTTGTCGAAAGGCGTTTCTTACGCGTATAATTTATCACGATAAACACTCGTTGTTCCGCGGTCAGCTGCACCATTTTCTTTGGAAGCAATAACGCAATAACAAGGCTAATTTAAATTCAATCATATTCACAATTTCAAAATTTTCGTATTTAGCATTTTATAAGTTGCATTAAATCGCCACGGGCTAAAATTCATGAACACGGCATTCAAATTTTGACAACGAGTGATTTCAATAGTTTTCATTTTTTTCAGACACGCTGTAGAAGGGCCATTTGAGTCGGGAACCATTATATGCATGTATGGTCACATTTTTGTACCGGGAAACGAGGACACTTTGTTGGTAAAAATTCTACTTCATTAAATGAAAAGGAATCAAAATCGGACTGACATATGTCCAACTATAAATTTCAAGTCTATTTACAAGCCTATATACAGTAGGTAAATAGAACCATGCACAAATTTGCATAAATAAAATCACAAAGTGTACGTTTACTGCCGTAAAATGCATCACGAGCCTTGCACTTCGAGTCTGCTTTAAGAATGAGGTAAATTAGCCTTTCTCACGATGACGTTTTTGGGGTACTACAAAAATACATCAGCTGTTTGTATTGAACTATATAGGATCCATCTCTGATGACCATTTATATACTCGGGAAATAATAACTTGTTATCATTGTTCAATCATGACACATGTGTCACTAAACTGCTCTAATCATACAGATGGATTGGTGTAGGTAGTATTAAGTGAACTAGTGCATTTCTTCCAACAAATTTTATGTGATTATTGGGACAACCTTGCTACAAGGCTTAATGTGTATTTTACTGATATAACAGTGCGATGCGTGTGAACTTTATATTGACGTCGGTGATTTTTCATTTTCAGCTAACAGGTTAGACTGGCAAAAATTATGATAAATGAATTCATCATTTCTTTAGAAGGTTCCACTGTGATACATTTGACATTTGGCGTTTTGAACCGCCGGAAGTTAAACGAATTACACAAGGCTTTTTTTTGGCTAAAGCCCAAGCCCTTTCAGGCATTTAGGTCACATCTTGTTAGGAATATCCCATTGTGGACTGCGCATGCATGGGTACGTCGAATGATTTCATGAGTGTAGGACGCACACACTTGGGTACGCTTCTTGATTTGATCCATGTTTTAAGTACGTATGACACGGATCTTGAAATTCAGGAGTTGTTTTTGCCAACAATGTACTCCTTCGTGCGTAACACGCGCAGTTATAACGGAGCGGAAAGTCGGTTGATCATCATTAACGGATGAAACTCGCTAAGAGAAGTAACAGAATGGATATCGCTTTCACAATACTATTCTTGTTTCTATCATCGTGGATCGTTTCTGGCGACAGTAAGCTTAAAAATACTACGTTCTCATGTGATAAATCATATACTTTTAAAATTATTTTACATTCTGACTATTGTACATAGCTAGTTTCTTACTTGTTCGTTCCATTTTAGGAAGGTCTAGTAAAAAAGAATCAGACATATGCTTCAGGAGGTGCGCAAAAATTTTTTCTCCTGTTTGCGGATCAAATGACAGGACTTACCCGAATGAATGTCTTCTGAAAGTGGATATCTGTAGAAGTGGAGGAACAATATCCAAAGCATACTATGGACCATGTTGTAAGTTCACATGAGTTTTTCGAGTATCATAATTTTTTAATATTCCTTTGATATAGTTATGCATGTTCGTTTAGAATATACTCATACATGCATATGATGACTTCGTAAAAAGGATTTTGTAATTAATCAAAGCATTTTGAGTCCGCGCCCGTGCCTGTGGTAATTCGTTAATGCATTGTAATGCATGTTGATGCAACACAGCATGATTTAGAACGTGACTTTTCTCTTTCTAGTGAAAAACACAGCGTGTCCAGCATTCTGTCCTTCAGAATATAATCCAGTATGTGGATCAAATGGAAAAACTTATGCTAATTATTGCAGCTTACGCTTTGCTGATTGTGAATTTGAGACCGACGAGGAAATAACATTAAAACATAACGGAACATGTAAAGGTAAATTCCCTATAGAATTTCAAACTTGTATAGTTATATGTGAATCTCTAAAATTTATCAGACGATTGAAATGGTATATGGTGCTAGAACAGTTTCTATTTTTCTATAGTTTATAGTCTATAATAGGTGTGCGACCTTATGTACTATATAGACTTATGTTGCACCAGATGACATTACTACTCATTTCTATACAAAGAAAAGTGTCGAGAATTTTGCTATCTTCTCGACGCTCCAGTATGTGGATCAGATGGCAAAACATACTCCAATAAATGCGAGCTAAGAGCGACTGCTTGTAATGCATGTTGATGCAACACAGCATGATTTAGGACGTGACTTTTTTCTTTCTAGTGGAAAACACATCGTGTCCAGCATTCTGTTCTTCAGAATATAATCCAGTATGTGGATCAAATGGAAAAACCTATGCTAATTATTGCAGCCTACGCTTTGCTGATTGTGAATTTGAGACCGACGAGGAAATAACATTAAAACATAACGGAACATGTAAAGGTGAATTCCCCTATAGAATTTCAAACTTGTAGTTATATGTGAATCTCTAAAATTTATCAGACGATTGAAATAGTATGGTGCTAGAACAGTTTCTATTTTTCTATAGTTTATAGTCTATAATAGGTGTACGACCATATGTACTATATATAGACTTACGTTGCGCCAGATGACATTATTATTCATTTTTATACAAAGAAAAGTGTCAAGAATTTTGCTATCTACTCTACGCTCCAGTATGTGGATCAGATGGCAAAACATATTCCAATGAATGTGAGCTAAGACGAACTGCTTGTAAGAATGAAGAAAATATAACAGTGGTCCACCATGGACGGTGCAGTAAGTGAAGTGTCTGTAACTTGTTTTAAAAATGTCAGCTGATGTATCTAAAACTAAGTTGTTGTATAATTTATTTTGACGCTAAATCCGCCACTCTGACTCTAGTTCTATAATCTACATTAGAAGTATAGGATTATTTGTACTATATGGACCTATGAGAGTTGCGCTATATGACATTATTATTTATTTTTTATAAAAAAGAACCAAATTGTCCAGATGTCTGCTTTCTAATATACGCTCCAGTATGTGGATCAGATGGAAAAACATATTCTAATTTATGTCATCTGAGGGTTGCTGCTTGTAAGAATGAAGAAAATATCACGGCAGTCCACGATGGACCGTGCAGTGAGTTAATATAGTTTTTGTAGAGTGATTTCTCATCTTCTTAGTTTTAAGAAGAGCCGTGAACTCTTCATATAGCCTTTCATTTTATCATTGTTTTATGCAATAGAACCCAGTTGTCCATCAATATGCCCTGCAGTATACGCTCCAGTGTGTGGCTCAGATGGAGAAACATATCCCAATGAATGTGTGTTGCACGTGACTGCTTGTAAGAATGAAGAAAATATCACTGTAGTTCACGCCGGAATGTGCAGTGAGTAAATCTATAGTTTATAGTGAAAAAGTTTAACTTTATTGCGAAATGTTTTGCATTTGATAAATAGTTCCTTGTTAAAGTTCTGTCATGTCCACCAGTACAGTCGGCCGTACGAAAGTTGGATAACTTTATCAAGCTTTGTACAATCGACGCCATTCATGCATTTCAAACTTTTTTTTTTATCTCAGACAACTTTTATTCTATCATTATTCTATACAAAAGAACCGAAGTGTCAAGAAATTTGTCCAGAAATATACACTCCAGTATGTGGTTCAGATGGAAAAACATATTCCAATGAATGTGAGCTAAAGTTGGCTGCCTGTAAGAACCAAGAAAATATCACGATTCTCCACGACGGACCATGCAGTAAGTGGAAACAATGCAAAGGGTAAAAATGCAACATGTATATATATGTTGATTTACATAAAGATTTACTTTTTTACTGTCCTCGAAGAAGTGTATATCGATTTTTCATTTCACAGCAATTAACGATTTAAAAATTCTATTCAAATTTTTCATTGTTTTGATTTGAAAGAACCAGAGTGCCCAGAAATTTGTCCTGTAATACTCGCTCCAGTATGTGGTTCAGATGGGGAAACATATCCCAATGAATGCATTTTGAGCGTGACCGCTTGTAAGAATGATGAGAATCTCAGAATTGTTCACCGAGGACCTTGCAGTAAGTCGAGAAATCTATGTATATTCAACTGTTCAAACAATTATTATTAATTTTTTCTAGAAGTTGTGAAAAGTCGATCGAGTTCACACAGTGTGTTTATAATAGTTTAGTTTAAGTATTGTGTTGATTATAATAACGATATATATTCTACTTAGAATAATAATTTAATAACGATATCCTATTTATAACCCACTCGACATTGACTCTTCTATCCGCAGGGTGCACTCTCTCACTCACTCCCCTAATCTCTCCCGGAATTAGCCTCTTCGGGTAAATAGTGTGAGGTCGAAGTGTGGTCGTTAAGTGATTACATCAGCGATGTCTATCTGAATCTCATTTTCTTTTTATATCGTGTTTAAAGGACCAGAATGCCCAAAGCTTTGCCCTCTGATATACGCTCCAGTATGTGGATCAGATGGGAAGACGTACTCAAATAAATGCCAGTTTAATGCAACGGCTTGTAAAAGTGAGGCCGACATTTTCATTGCTTACCCGGGAGCTTGCAGTGAGTAAAGTTGCTTTGTTTCCATGTCAGTTCATGTCTTTTTAGATCTTACCTGCATGGTGAAATGAAACAGACCATTTTATTTACAAATATTTGCCATTACATTTAAGGGCCCAACGAGTGTCCAGAGTCTTGCGAATTAAAATTCTCGCCCGTGTGTGGCTCAGATGGAAATACTTATCCTAATGAATGTGTGTTGGAATCAACTGCTTGTAAAAGGGGAGAAGATATTACCTTCGTTCGTAATGGGACTTGTAGTAAGTCATGATAGATCATTGTTAACCTCTTCACTAGAAATATTTTATCATAAACAATTATTGCTTCAGCTGAGTAAAGATAATTATTTATGGACCTTTTATTTCTCGCAGAGTAACCAAGGAATGAAAATTTAGTTACTGCATGCAATTTGCAATTCTGTCTGAGATCGTTTTATAAAACATCAGTTTTGCATTTTGATGTGTGGAATAATTCGTTTAGAGTAATATTTTTATTTCATTTAGGTCCTTTATAGAGTGGGAAAACGACGTGATGACTGATAAAGATCATAAAGTCTTGACAAATGCAATTGGTACATTCATTTTTGTAATAATATACTGCATGTAGACAATCGTATAGCTAAATAGTTTTTGTTATACAACAAACTTTAATGTCCATAAGATGCGGAAATTTAGTGATGTGATGTGGTTTTGTGGTTATGTAAAATATCATTAGCATTTAGCATGCATGCCCATTGGAGCATGGTAATTGTTAAATAAAATGTTGCTACCATGCACATGCAGGATGTTGTGTGATTTGTGTGATTGAATCCTTTGCGTCAATTACAAAGTGCAAGTCTCCATATCACGTACGTTGCTGTATCTGTTTGTTTCTCGTAGTTTCTACTTTGAAAAACTGCTACACATGCACAATCATTCGATCAACCATGCATACGCGGATATAGCTATAGATATGCGAAAATGGTTGAAAAATGCCAAGAATTAGCTCTAATTTCAAATATTTTTTCAAAACATTAAAAATATGTCATACACACGTATACGTTGCCATGCAATGCGTTTGTTGTAGTTTATTACATATTAAGCGAATTAGCTTCGCATATGGTTCATTTGTTTAGCGGGTGGGTTTTAATATAAATGCAAAATATTGTTAACATAGCCGTGATTAACTGACGCAAATTATTACGCTCAAGCTATATGACTAAATGATGCAGTAAAAATAAAATTACCAGGTTAAAATGGTCAAATTTTATTTTACTTCAACCTAAATACATTGATGGATGACTTGCACAATAACCTCGCAATTTGTTTTTTCCAGTCCATCATTATAGCCTAATAAAAGTTAATTGTGTTACTATAGTTATACACCCGTGTGCATGTAGCAACCAGCATTAATTTTTTCGATCAGTGTTAGCTGGAGGTCTATTCAGTAAAAAGTAAAGCCTTTAAACTCGCTCTTTGATTTTGAAAAATATGTTAAAATAATTGTTCTGTTGATTCCTTGTCAACATTTCATAAATTATATCGCCTAGGCGGTTATTAAAAATTTTTAAAAAAACATTTGGTTAATATGTTTGGGTTAATCATGTTGACAAATCTGCCTGGTCGATCTGAGTTATTAAAATTGACAGAACCGTCGTATATAAAGACAAAATTACGTCCAAAGAAATATAGATTGAAGTGTTAACTTTGACGTACATTTGGACATTGTATCTTCGTACGGTGAACCTGAGACCTCTGAACAGAAAAAAATGAATCAGTTACTGATATTCTTGTCGTTAGTGGTGGCTGGGTTTGCAGGTGAATTAAACTTTTAACAGTCTCTAGTCATGCATGTGTCCTTATCGTGTCATCGTCTGACGAAATTCAACATTTTCTACTTTTTCTACATTTTCAACAAGCTACTTATAGTGTAAAATCCATGCAGTGGCCTTTCATTTTGGTTGAAGCCAAAAGTGCAGCAAATATGACGGCTTCAAAAATAGCGCAGTTGCTTGACGTCCAATTATTAGAAATCCCCAGACATTAAAATCATCTACAAAGATAAAACACGATGAGATTGTGCATGCTATATACCTATGCAAATTTAGTTAATAATTTTATACAATTAATGAACGTTTCTATTTCTACGTTAGCTATGGACGACTGCCCAAAAATCTGTACCCTGATCTATAATCCAGTCTGTGGTTCCGACGGAAAAACATATCCTAGCCCATGCAATCTCAAGGCGAAGGCGTGTGCTGCTGGGAAGAAAATTACCATTGAACATAGAGGAAAGTGTAACGACAAGGGTAAGTAAAATCCCAAATTCATGTACCACTGTTGTCAGCCATTGTATAATAACACAGCGTAAGATTTTGTCTTCCTTGAAAATACAGTTATATAATTTCAGTTATAACTCCAGAGGAAAAATGTCTTAAGCCTTGCCCAAGGAATTATCACACAGTTTTGAGTTTAACTCTATGATGGTCGTTATACAGCGTTACTATAGCTATGGCCCGCTAAATGGCTAATGCAATTATCAATATTTTATAAAAAATATAAAGACATGCTAGCATCAAAATTAAGAGGCAGCATTTTTCAATTTTAGGTTGCACAAAAGTGTGTCCTTATATTTATAAATCAGTGTGTGCAATTAACGTTATATTTCTACGTTAGCTGTGGATGACTGCCCAAAAATCTGTCCCCTGATCTATAGTCCAGTCTGTGGTTCCGACGGTAAAACATATCCTAGCCCATGCAATCTGAAGGCGAGTGCGTGTGCTGCTGGGAAGAAAATTACCATTGAACATAGAGGAAAGTGTAAGGACAAGGGTAAGTAAAATCCGCAAATTCATGTACAACTGTTGTCAGCCATTGTGTGTTTTTTGACATCCCTAATAACACAGCGTAAGATTTTGTCTTCCTTGAAAATACGGTTTTATAATTTCAGTTATAACTCCGGAGAAAAAATGTTTTAAGCCTTGCCCAAGGAATTATCAACCAGTCTGTGGTTCCGATGGTAATACTTACAGTAACACTTGTGTGATGGAAGTGGAAGCATGTCTCCAGGATAAAGATATTTCCGTGGCATATGAAGGAAGATGTGGTAAGTTAAGGTGGAAGGTTTGGGATTGCGTATCAATCAATGGTATTATTGCATTTTGCATATGTGTGTATCATTTTATAATATTTTTTACTAATTATACAATTAACGCTTAATTACCTCAGCTAATAAAAATTAGTAAAAATGTTTAACATAAGAATAGACAACGTTTTATTGCGACTATTTGCGTTTTAAATAATGAGAATAGGTAATGTTTTGGCCTAACTTCCTTCACCACCGGAAATTGATCGCAAAGCTTTTGAATTATTGAAATGTGGCTTTTGAAATGATTACCATTTCGGATGCATTGTGGCCCATAGTCCGACAATTTTTATTATAAGGTTAAGAAAATTGGGGAAAGGTTAATACAATTGTCTTTTAAGAATAGTGTTCTATATCAATATGAAAAATAAAGTGGACAGCAAACATAGGAATCACAGCCTCATCCACTCACCAATTTTCTAAAAGTCACGGCCGCAAGTCAGGTTGGTCGAGGGACTAAGCCTTCACACCTCTTCCCTGACACGTTTCTAATGGTCGTCGCTTATTTTCAATGAACATAAAATTATTTTCTTACATATAGATTATTTGATATTATTTAATATATTTGATATACAAATTATTTGAAGACGTAAAGCCGTAAAGGAAATGTTTGTCCTATATATTCAGTTAGTATACGTCATTCGATATATGCGCACGCCGTGCTCTCTTTTCCACCCGCTCGCAGTTGAGCTAAAGCTCCCTATTACGCCTGTGGCGGAGGTAGGATAGCAGCGGATAGCACCTGCATGCCCATATTAATACAATTATTCTATTGCAGCTGATTAAATTGCCTTGCAGATCATCGGTGTAAAAACGACGCAAACACTATCCCATATACCGTCTTTTGTGATATTTATTTCTTTTTATAGAAGATGAAAAGAACTAATAAGAAAAGACACATGTATCCAAGCTTCAGGAACTTAATTAATTAGTTACTGTTGCTGTTTGATTAGTAAGAATGAAATAAAATGCTCCAGTCGGCTTGCATTATAATTATCATGTGCAGTGTTTTTGTGTCTGATTCTATGACCTGTTCCAAGAAGATTTTTTATTGCTGCATGTTTATCTTATGAACTTCCAATGAAAAATGGCGTATTCGACCATGGTCGAGTCCGCCGGAAAACGGGGTATTCGACTATGGTCGAGTGTACCAACAACATTTTTTAAGGTGCTTTAATTTTAGGTTCTTTCAGTTGGGGGCCCCTTCAGGTTTGGGGCCCGGGGCAAAATACCCCCCTGCCCCCCCCTCTCAGCGGCCCAGTGTACAATGCTTCTTGCTGTCCTCGCTTTGAGCGAACACAACGCTATATATATAGAACTTATTCATTGAGTTGTTATTGTTGTACCCAAACTAACACCTAAAAAGGGTATCAAGTTAACGGAAAATTAATTTTGAAGCAATTTTTTGTGATATACGATTTACGTCAACTCTATGACAATCTAAACCCCTTGCCTCTGTTATATGTTGTATAGCCACCTGACGCTCTTTTTTTAATTAAAACTATGGGTATGGCATGGCAATGTGAAGAGAATAAAAATCTTTATGTTTTTCTTTTTTACCTTTATTGATTCATTATTGAATTTTGGCGGTTTTATTTTCCGAACCGTATCTCAGTTCTATACTCATTATATTTCATTAAATCTGCATTCTCAATATATTTTACTAAGTCACAATTAAAAAATTATAGCGTCAGTCAAATGTGGCTTTTGTCTTTGTGTTCCTTAATTTAAACGTTTGTTATGTCTGCAACTGCAACTTATTTGTTTGGTTCATGAAAACAGCTGATGCTTTATTTGCAGGATCAGTTAACTTTTTAACAACTAAAACCGCGCAATAAATACATGTGTTATCATATCATGAAAATCCTTGCTGGGTTTCTCCATGTAAAATACGAAATATTTTTCTAGTTAACTCCATAAGCGAGTGTCCATAATGTGTCAGAAACTGTGCTAATTGCATGACTCGCCGTGCAATTTGGTACGCATTAGTTTGGACAAAATTTGACCGTTTCCTTTAAAATCATCGTTATTTATAGAAAAGAAAATGTATAATATACCATGCATAGTGTCGGTTAATGCCCATCCGTTGATGATTAAAAAAGTCGGTTTGTCCAAAGCTAAGTTTTGTCTAATTGTTTTTTTCTAATGATGCAATTGTCAAAATTTAATTTACAAATCGTGACATAGCCGCGAATTTTATTGAGACTCAATTTTTTTACGAAATTGAGTAAATAGCATTATTGTCAATACAATAGCTATACCGCCTATACGTATACTGATTGTTTTCTATAAAAGGCGATAAAAGGCAAAGTTTGGAGAAAGTTTCATCTATAATCAGACGCGTCTGAACAATCTTTGGCTTGAGTTGTTTTTGCTACGATTATGAAGATGAACTTAAATGTTTCCTTTTCGTTATTTCTTGCAGTTATTTTAGGTAAGTAAAAAATTATTTCTGAAGCAACTAAAGGAAACATGGTGTGTTTTCGTTTACAACATACTGTGACACCAATAAGGGGGGTATTTATACTGTTGAATTAGTTCAGTTGCTGGAAAGGACTTGTACATGTTTGATGTGAATCGTTCGATCGCAAAATACCTGAAATGTTTTAGAGACTAAATGTTAAACAGTTGCTTCCATATACCCTCGCTCCTCCCTAGCCCATAGACCCAGAGAAAAAAGTTTGGCAACCGTAAATTACTAACAATGACTGCATGACTGCACTTTGTAGTTAGTTGCTGACGAACATCAATCACCAAAAGAAACAGGATCCTCCTCATATTTTGAAGGAGGAAAATGATTTCAAACTATGTTATTTAATTATTTATCTTTAGTTATTGGCGATGCAAGATGGGTTCCAGATTCAGACATTTGCTTGCTGCCGGGGAGAACAGGATCTTGTCGTGCCGGATTTCCACGTTATTATTACAACGCCGAGCAACAAAGATGTCTCATGTTTACTTATGGAGGTTGTGGCGGCAACAGAAATAATTTCAGAAATGTAGCAGAATGTAAACGAGCTTGTGGTAAGTCTATGATGGTCGTTATACAGCATTATATGGCCCGCTAGATGGCTAATGTAATTATCAGTATTTTATAAAGACATGCTAGCTAGTACTCAAAATTAAGAGGCAGCATTTTTCAATTTTAGGTTGCACAAAAGTGTGTCCTTATATTTATAAACCAGTGTGTGCAACCAACGGGGAAACATATTCCAACCAGTGTTCTTTGGATATTGCTACTTGTAAAACTAATGGTCAAGTGTCATTTGGTTACAATGGAGAGTGTGGTAAGTTATAGTGGAGCGGTGTAGCAAGAAAGTACGTGTTCGACTGGGTGAATTAGGGTCGGACTATTGGAGCTTTGTTGGATTTCTTCAAACTTCCAAGCTGTGATCGGGGTTTACTTCGCTTTGTCAATAAAACTTTATCATTTTTAGATTAAATAGAAACGTTCCAGGCAAGTACGCAGGAAAACAACTCGGTGTGGAATTATCAATTCACTCATTTTAGATGTTCTTTGTAAATCGTTTTGATGTTTTGATTCGTGTATTAATTTAGCTTACTAAAAGGTCCAATAATACAATATACTGTTATGCACAACAACTGTTATACTAGTATTAAGTATTGCTACTGCTGCCATTACTTCCACTAGCCCCATATACCACAAACTCTAAAACTGTCCCTGTCATTATATCTTCCCACCGCCCTCCTATCACGGCCAGGTTTCATTTAAAAGGCTACACAAGTTCACGTAAACTACGTTTAGAAGGCTACACAAATTCACTATGATTTATTTGTTTAAAAAATCCACTACAACAATTATATATGCGATTTTTCTTTCCGATAATATATATAAGCTACCGAGTCTATCTCAGTCTGAGTGTTATTTATCATCGTTATCCTCCTCTTGTTCGTCTGATGACGATTCCTTGGGTGCACTGGAATAGACCAACTCGGTACAACGCCATGTTGGCTCCTGTTCAGTTTCTAACATGCCATTTTTCCTCACAAAAACATCAGTCAAAACATATTCCCCATGTTGCTGACATCCATTGAACGACATGGTGCCCGGTCCATAGGGATTGTTGTTTTTGAAATATCCATGATAGGTGAAATGATTGTTCATCATACCTCCATAACCTTCCCGTATTCCCGCTGACCACATTCCTATAAAAATAGGCAGCGAAAATTGCAACTTGGCAATGGCAAACCTGAAAGGTTCAACTTGCGTCGTAACACTAAACCGGAAAAGTTTATTCGGAGAATTTTATTTTTTTCACCTGGTCAACTGCTTCTTAGACGCTTTACTCAGACTTGTTAGATAATAGCCCAGTATGTCACTGACTTATCAGGCCTATATTTAACCACGCTGCTTGTAGGTACTGCGCTCTTTACTCAATAAATTTTTCTGCCAATTTTATCTGGCCGGCAACTATTTGGATTGCTTTTCTGCAATTCAGGTCCTAGTCTTAGGCAAACAAGTGTTCACTAACGAAATGCTGTCGGATCAACGAGGGCTTTATAACGTTATGGGAAAATTGGTTCACTAAATGAAAGTACATAGTAATTTTCTGTTAGAAATCAATTCAAAAGTTGTCATTGTCATATCTTAGACTAGGAAATATGGGTGTATTTTAAAATCTAGTATATCAATGAATTAATTAGATATGTATGAGTATCATTTGAATAGAAAACTATAGACACCTGTATATTTGGCCTCAGTTTCGCTATGATAATACACCCCATGTCCTTCTTTAGTGTTGTGTTTCCATGATCCATCATACCAATCACCATTCACGTAGGTATACTTTCCCAACCCGTCTCGAATACCTGCCTTCCATTCTCCTTCGTATTTTGAACCATCTGGGTAGATAAATGTTCCCATTCCGTCCTTCACACCTTTACAATATTCACCTTCAAACCTTTGAATTTAGATAAACAATAACGCAGGTAGGATATCCACAAGTTGTTATACAGTAACTGTTTTCAAATTTCAATTCGTAAAAGCAGAAAAAAGGTCAGAAAAAAGCAGGACGATCGTTTACTGATAGTTCAGAAGCTTCTTTCTCATGCATGTATTAGTTTATTTTAATATTACTGTTATTTAATAGTGGCGCGTTTTTTACTTACCTTGCTTTATTCCTAAACTTGTACTTTCCAAAGCCATGTCGCTTGCCAGTTTCGTACCCACCACAATATTTATCTCCATTTTTATGCGATGCTTCCCCATAGCCCTGTCTTTGGCCCTCAGAATCCCGACCTCCTTCGTACCATCCTTTACGTTCTTTACCCAACTCTTCTAAATCGCCTTCAATGCTATCATAATCCGACATCTTCTCGCAATTAAAGCAGTTTCTCAAATGCGTTAAAATAGATTGTGACGTTACAATTAATTAATTTAGTTAATTAGTGATCGCGTGAACACGCGTGCTATACACACAATGGATCTCTGTGAAAGACCTCTATGACAACACGTTGAGTAGCTCGTTTAAAGCCAACGAACGGGACAAGAAACGACATTACAACCAACAGATTGTTGAAGTCGAGGATGGATTTTATTCCAAGAATCCATAGTATTACATCGGATGATTTTTATTGGACAGAAATTATCATTAGTCTGATCCCCATCTGAAGAGATGAAACGTTTTCAGTCTAAAAAGATTTTTCAAGGAAGCGCTTCTAAACAAAAACATAGCGAATTCTTCGCTCGAGGAAGTGTGGTAGGGCAAATGCAAGCAAGCAAAGCACGTTTTAATTCACACTGAAGTCCAAGAATGATGAATGATATTTGATCTATCATCCATTGTACTGATGGGCGTCGTCGTCGCGCACCAATAAACGTAAAAGCACTGTACTTAGGGCTGCCACTCTGAATAACCTATTTTCACCTATAGAGGGCTGTGGGTATGAGGGTATCCCTACGCCCTACAAGAAGTAATAGTGCAGCCCTGACTGTACTGTCTGCATTTTTGACATTAATAACATTAATAACATAAAGTATTGGTCCATAATTGATCGCAGACACGAATATTTCCAAGATGGCGGAACTATTGTATAATTTTCATTTTATAAACAAAGTTGTTTTACCTGGAAGTATTGTTGGGGAGAAGATAAAGAATAGGCAAGATGTCGATAAAAAGATAAAGCTAAAGCTTGGACCTGGACTGAAAGTAGACAAGGATAATATAATAGCTTATAAATGTGGTGTGTTAAGAGAAAAGGAAAACACAACGTTTTGGATTGATACGGACCAGAAAAGAGTAATTATTCCATTTTATTCTATTCTCTGTGTGTAGTATAAGAAATTATACTGAGAACGAAAACGTGCATGTTCAAATATAAATTATTACATTAAATATGGAATAATCAGATATAATTAACTGTAGAGATCAGAATTATGAATTCAAATAACTCTCTTCCCCTTTTCACGTGTCATTCATTCAAAAAATTACAAATATAATCGATGTTTTTAGTACATTCCTGTGAAGAACGAGAAAGTTGTTGGAATAATAACTAACAGAGGTAGCGAAAGTTATCAAGTTGATGTAGGAAGTAGTATGGCAGCTTCTTTGCCATTTCTAGCATTTGAAGGAGCAACAAAGAAAAACAGACCTCAACTAAAGGTAGCATAATATATTTGATTTAGATCATCTAAAAAAATCTCTATAAGTATTTTAGTCATTGAGATTGTATTAAAAGTCTTATTTTTGGATAATGTATAATCATAATGCATTTTTATAATTAATGAAATTAAGTTGTCATGTTATCTATGTCTTAGATTGGAGATTTAGTGTATGGTCGTTTAGCTGTTGCCAATAAAGATATGGAAGCTGAAATGGTATGCACAGATGGAAATGGTAAATCCAATGGAATGGGTCCTTTAGAGAATGGGTTTCTTTTTTCACATTCATTGGGATTAAGTAGAAAGTAAGGATTAATAATAAACCACGTCACTGTTCTTCCTTTTCTTACCTGAGTCACAAACACCCTGATACATCTAATTTACACATGAATAAAAAATCCATTCTCCTCTTAGATTGGTCTGTGTCAAGTCTCCTTTATAAAAGACAAGTACTTGTATACGTACTTGTTTTTGAAACTTCTTTTTTATCATTTAGATTGCTCAATCCAGATGGTGCTATTCTTAAAACTCTTGGAAAAGTATTTCCTTTTGAATCAACAATAGGAATGAATGGAAGAACGTGGGTGAACTCTAAAAGTATTGATCATACGATTCTTATAGTGAATGCAATTGAACAGTCAGAGTATATGACACTATCACAAATCAAACAGAATATACATAAGCTAGCAAATGAAATGCGTGAGTGAACACTTATACATCAATAATAATTTGATACATCTTATACGTGGGTAATATTTCCATCATACTAAAGACTTTGTAGATCAAAACCTTCCTTAAGGCTCGAGGCAATACACACAAAGCCAATGGCAATCGGTCTTCATTGAAGACCTTCACTTCAACTGTGTCACTAGCATTTTTTCTCTACTTAAGGCCCTGTTACACGATGCAATTTTTCTTACAACTTGCAATGCAATTCTACTTTAAATAGATTTAATTAGAGAAGAGTGTTCAAAATGTAAGTGTAAGAAACGTCCATGGAGTGTAAAATCACAAAAGTTCGGTAGTTGCCAAATTTTCATCTCTCAAAAGTGAAATTGCATCGCGAGTTGCAAGTAGATTGCACTGTGTAACAGGGCCAGTTTTTGCTTGTTGAGAACTTCAATGAATATGAACCTCTTGCGCTATATGAATTAGGCTTAAGAATTCGAGTCGCCCATCATACTACATGTTGCTATCTTGTAGTGAATTATATCTATGACCATTCTTGTGCCTTATCAGTGACAGCGTGTATGTCCTGGTATGTCCTCACTAACCCAAGATGGTGGATTAAAGGAATACCAAATGATTTTCCGTGCAGGATTGCGTGATCCATGCACGCGGGATGTTGCGAGACTTTCGGAAAGCGTGAAAATACACGAGCCGTAGGCGAGTGTATTTTCACGCTTTCCGAAAGTCGAGCAACATCCCAAGTGCATGGATCACGCAATCCTGCACGGAAAATCATTTGGTAATTGTTTTATAAAATAACTGTAGTGAAACAACGGTTAACTTTATTAAAATTAAATTTCGCGTGCAGGATTGTCTAAAACGCGTGCAGGATTGTCTGATCCTGCACGGCTATTGACCAATCACATTGCGTGTTTCACTATAGTTATTATATAAACGTTATTGCTTTTCAGTCAAAATGATAGAAAAACGTAGCAAGATTTTAGAGATCAGTTTAAACTATTGCTTGAACGAGATAAATCTTCTGCCCCAATTTTCTTTTAATATAACATAGGACAAAATTGTCAGCAAGTGTAAACAAGCGATGTTGCTCACTAATTTGGTGAAATATTGAAAGAATCAGAATTCCAGAAAGTCTGTGTATGTGCGTTGCTAGGGCGAATAATAATAAAATAATTTCCTATTGTGTCAGGTTAACAATATATAAAGGGCCTTTTGTTTTTCCCTGCTGTGCATAACGATATGACACAAAAATAACGAAGCCTTTGTCAGGGGTTGCCATGCAAGTTTTATTATTTACAATTTGTCAAGTGTGATAAAAAAAGATGATGCAACACGGGGTGCATCAAACAAAGTTGTCCTCAAGAAATGTCTATAAGCACAAGTTTCTCACTTTCACTTTTCCTCTTTTACAGTGGAAATTTGACCCGGATGTATAACTTAGCTTTTAGCTCTCAAACGGAACACAATGTGTTACATAACGCCCTGCTCTCAACAAATAAAAATACGCAAACCACCTTGATGACCATATATATATACATTTGTGACAACGGGGATTTCCCCATGCATACCACTGCAAACAACTTATTACGTATCGAGTCATCACGTATCCAAGCATTAAAGTCCTGGTCTCGTTCACCGAAACATTGTTATTTTATAACTCCGTATTTCAATTGAAAATCTCACGTTTTACAATGGCAAATCAATTTCGACTACTACTAAACCAGATCAGTTCCCAACTAAGTGAAAACGAATTACGAAATTTGGTGCATATGTGGGATATTCCTGAAGGATTGCGGTCTGGTATGAAAGATGGAATAAGTCTGTTTGATAATCTCATAAAAAGAGACATTATTAATGATCACAAACTAGACAAGCTCAAAATGATGTTTAAAAGTCTAAGTCCCAAACGACGAGATATAATCAAAGAAATTGAAAACTTCGAGAACGGAACATACTCACAAGATGATAAATCTTCTACAATGACGAGTGCTTGGTCCGTGAAATCTACTCTGACGGCTCTCGCTCATCCCAGATCTGATATCGGGAAACCGACCAAAATTTGTTGTAAACTTGACTGTCCGTGTTTGACGATAATCTTTAAGAAGTTTCGCTGCAAAATACCTTGTTCATATATCGTTCTGACGACATTATTTCTCCTTAACTTGTTAATCGTCACTCTATTTTGGTATGCTAGAGTACCCCAAATTACCGAGTTCATCGAATCTCATAAACATTTAAAAGAAGCCGGTCCATTCATACTTATTGGTATCATTGTCGTGTATGTTATCTGCTTGTTTCCAACGCGATATTGGAGAAAACGTAGAAGCCGTCGATCCAATCAAAGGGCTAAACTTGAAGATGGAATGAAGGAATTTCGAACAAAACGCTCCGGCAAACACCCATGGAACAGCGCTGGTTCAGCCAAAGTTGAAAACAATTGCCCTTCCGCTAGTACAAACTTTGGATTTTCGATCGATGAGAACACATCTATTGTTGATTTTGATACTAACACCAAAAATGAAGATGCTGTGCCGCGCACATCTTAATTACGTTTAGATTAAAGCTACCATTATTATTCCTGGTCATTATTTGATGTAGTAAACTCTATAAAAGTTTAAACAATTTTAAGTAATATAGACAGTTGAAACAATCATCACGCAGTTATGTCAATTTGTATCGCAAGCAGTGCCAAGTACGTCACTTGCTGTGCTGTAAGTTTATGAATTTCTTGCATTGCGAATCAAGTACTAGTGTTCATTCAAAGTCGTTAATGAACTTTCAACCGACACCGTCTGTAATATAAGCGTTCGCTATTGCCATTGACATTGGGCAAGTGAAACATTTCAACATACGCTGAAGGGGAAAAATATATAATCAGACGTTAAGACATAATCAGTTATTGGGAGACATATAAGTTATTGGGAGAAATAATGTACAATACATGTGACAACTGTGAATTTGTATCATCATTATGGCATATTAAAAGCATATTATAAGCACACTAAAATATCGATATAAGAAATATAGCGAATTTAGTCTGCAATCACGAAAATTACAATCACGATGATATTCTTGTATTTTTTGATGGCATAATACGATATAATTGGCCATATACAGGGTGTCTCAAAAAATACGAAAACTATTGAAATCACCCATAACAATGTAATTGTTAGAGTTTGAATGCCTAAGCACTCTGTTGGGATGATATCACAAAAAACACTCGTTCCGCAGTCAGCTGTACCATTTTCTTTCGAAGGAATAACAAGGCTAATTCAAATTTATGCGTATTCACTATTTCAAATTTTTCGTATTTAGCATTTTATAAGTTGCATTAAATCCCCACGGGCTGAAATTCGTGAACACGGCATTCAAATTTAACAATGAGTGATTTCAATAGTTTTCGTTTTTTTTGAGACACCCTGTAGACCTTGCATTATTTACAAAAGTCTTTTTTGGGTGTTTCTAATTGCCAAAAACGTTTAAAGCAATAGTTAATCAATGCGGATGCCTCTTTATTTATTGTTGTTTATGCGTTCTGGACATGAGAAGCACGACGTTTGAAATAGACCTCACTGTTAAGTGTCATGGATGCCTACGTGCATTGTCGTTGGAATGTTTTTTCCAGGTAATAAAAAGCGGTTGAATTTGAGAAGAAAGTCAGACTTACTGTGGTTTTGAAAAAGGAAGAACTATCACTAGAAGAAGTATAGGGAAAAGTTGGGAGAATCTTTGCTGAGATACATGGTCATGGTTCATGGTTGGTTGAGAGAATCTGTTGGATTGATTTTTGACTGTGCAAATAATTAATCCATCGCTGTGTTGATTTAAATACCCAAAAGACATTAGGTCATTAGCGACTTGAGGCATGTCCTTGCTGATTTTCTCTGCTATATCTTATGTATATTTCGGTTGAAAATATGAAATTTGAAATGCAATTGAACTGATAACTTGATTAGGTTTTTCCTTGCTTTTTTCATTTTAGAACGAACTACGGCGCCGAAAGATCGAGAAAGCTTGCTCGCAGCAAATAACAAGTATTGTTCTATTAATACGTATAATTTATGCATGTATCTTGCATTTGTGACTTGAAACAACACGTTTATACACGGTGGCCGAAACTAGAAATAGTTAGTTTAATAGAACTTTTTTGAGACTTTATCCTAATTTTTCCCGAGAAATGGTTACCCGACTGGTGCAACGCGTTTCAGTCAGACACGTACTGTTGTGTCCGTCCGTATAATCGTCCGTCAGCACCTTATGTTGGTTTAGACCGGTAAATTGGTATATGTACGTAATTTATACTTGACTTGACATGTGCTGAGTTATTTCAGCCTGTCTATTGTAGTTTTTTACTTTCGAAGTATCTTATCGTGCTGTTGTGGATTCCTTTGCGTCCCATGTCAATTAGTTTGACCAAATACCCGGAAAGCAAGTCACTTTAACTAGCCCTCATATGCCCGTGAATTTTTCTGTTTTACCGAGGTTTTCTAATTTCTTTTTTTAGAAAGAATCGTCGGAGTCAATAGATATCGAAGCCTGCCTTGGGACATTTATGCACGCAAATACAAAACTCGATTTCGATGAAAATATGCGTAAAATATGCATGGGATTTCGCTTTTAGCTGAGATATGCTGAACACTCATCTGTTTCCCTCCTTAAATTTTCAACTTTTCGGATTGTAGTTTTTGCATGAGTTAACCTGGTCGTGTCAAGCGCATGTGGAGTTAATACAAGTGATTCTGGGGCCCCAATCACTTGTATTTTCTCCATCTTGAACGACAATAGTCCGGACAACTAAAAAAATACAATAATGCATGAGAAATTGTATTTTTAAAAGGAGATAACAGTCGAGTGTTCTAGTCTTCTCGAAAAAAACGATGATTATTTCCTACAAAACCTGCATAATATTTTGTATTCGCGTGCGCAATGCGAAGACCTTGGACGAGTGGCGTAGGAGATATTGTAGGTCTATAGTCTGGTTTTGAGTGCTTATCTTGAATACTTTATACATAAGTGATATTTCTCTTTTGAAAATAATGATATCATATTTTTGTATCAGACTAAGGGATCAGACTCATGATGAAGGATCGTCACATGACCAGATGATAAAGGATCGTCGCTGGATCAGGTGTCGAAGGATTGTGGCAGGATCAGATGATGGACTACGAGAAGGGTGTACAAGTGAAAGCTAGTTAAGGTACATACTATTATTATATATAGGCATACTAATTAGAGCAATGCATAGTTAAAGTTGCGTGTGAACGACTTAACAGCTGCGGAAGATGCATGATGGCTTTAAAGCGTTGAAATGAAACTAAGAAAATGTAATTATCATGGCTGACGCGCACGCAAGGAGAAAATATTATTGAATTCGTATTGGCCTAATTTTAGATCAATACGAATCAAGGTAATCCAGAGTACTTATATGATTATATAAGTTCTCTATTTAGCCTGTTATAATGCGACCGTTTCGAAGTACTGTCTGTCAGTGGCATCAAAAATTATACTTCAGTCTTTGAACATGTAAGTTCGAATTATTAAACTTTGAAATGAACAGCAAATGGCTTTGGATGTTTCGACATTAACACCTTCTGTTTCCCCAGCTTGTTGGTATTAATTTTTCGGATTGCTCGATAAGCTCTGAAAATCCACTTAATCTCAAACATGGAGGAAATAAACGTAATCTAATTTTGACCAACTTGATGTGAACAAAAAGAAAAATACACTTCCTCTATTACATGATATGTTACATCGCATGATAACTGGACTTGTATAATGGGGTTATCTGGGGTATAGTAGTGATTCAATTGTAGGTTAATACTGTTAATATACTAGTACCCTCTTGTCTGAAAAGCTAACGTTTAAAAAAAACCCTTTGCATTTTGACACACTTACTATGATTTTAACTTTCTTGCACGCCCACCGTCGAGAATCGAGATGTTGTTGGAGAAGAACACAACTGTTTGGAATGGAGCAGTGACGCAAATGCACATGGAATTCGGTACATTGTTTACCGTAAGGTAATGATTATACGGTGCCAAAGGTAAGAGTCATTGATTAGCCATATTGCATGAGTGAGTTGCATGTTGAGCCCGATTACGTTTATTTCCTCCATTTTCGGTCAGCCATAAGAGTATAAAAAGAGATAAAAGGATGCATACGAGGTACATGTATTAAGAAGGGGTAGTAGAAGAGTGTTGTTGTCTACATCGGTTTGAGATAAAAAAATTGCATGCAAGTCGTGTATTTCTTTATTAGAAATGAACATTTGAATAATTGAAATAATTTTTGTTGCCATTGTCAGACAAAGCGCCGTTAATTTCTAAGAGCTCGCGTTTTGCAGCGGACAATATGCGCACGTGTTAGACCACCAGCAGGTTCGAATTAACGAAGCTCAAGAATTGCATGGCAACTCCTGGGACTCGGTTCGGATGAGCGGAACTGAAACGGTGAACTATATATAGATAAAAACTGAACTGTCATTGAGGCTATTTCTAACGAAATACCAAAATTCAGACCGCTGATCAGGTAACCTGAAATTCAGGTTACCTTTGGAGGGTTTTTCTCCGGGCACTCCGGTTTCCCTCCTTTTCGTTTGGCTTTAAAAAACAGTGTCCATGCCTGGGGCCAAACCAAAACGTGTTTGTTGAAAGTGATGAAAATGCGTGCGTGGCTTCTGGGTTCGATTCCCAGAACACTGTCGTAAAAGAATTTTAAAAACGTAATTGTGGACTCATTACGTATATTTAGCTACTTCTCCATGTTTAGAAATTTCTAGCAATCAGATTTAGCATGCAATATGGGGCAGAGGCGTAGCCAGCCTGACGATTTTGTCCCGCTATGTAAATTTCGAGTTATTATAATCATTCGTGTCTTTAGAAATCTATTGTTTTCACGATCAGTGAACACGAAAATATTAGCATAGCGGGACAAATCGACAGGCTGGCTACGCTACTGATATGGGGTTAACCTCGTGAATGGTCCTCCTGCAAGAACATTGGTCACTTTACTTTTCCAACAATTTCCATAAGAGAAAGGCACTTCGTTAAATTACATAAAATACCTAAAAGCGAGTTCCCCCAGTTGCCCCGCAGCCCTGATGATGACTAGAAGGTTTTATAAGAAGGTAAATGGCTTTGTATAGTGGGACTTGGGTGTTTTTTTGCCGCTCTCTTTGGAGCGAGTTATCCCGGCTTAGCGAGGTGAAAACTGCATATGAAAGACTAATCAGGTTGAGCCTTTGATGTGATGCGCTTTTTACCTCGCCTAGCTGTGACAACTCGCTCCATTTGAGCCATTTGACTGAATTAGTAATTAGTATTGCTGTATCAACAACAGACTACATTCCATACGTGGACCGTATGAACAGACTTTTATGCTAAAGCCACCCTCAAATTCCTGGCTGGCCAGTTGCCATTGACTCAGATTGAAGTTTGCTCGTCCACAATACCAGGTTGGGTCTTCGTCGAGTAGTTCCGCGCCCCGTGAACACAGAAGACCCTGGGTACGAGGTTGCAATCCAGGTTGCAGGCTAAGCCAGTGAACTCAAATAAAACTGGAACGCTCTCACTCTATGACTTTCCCTCATTGATGAGTGAAGCCAAGATGGCGGATCATGATGCCTTTCTTGTAGGTATGATCCAGGCCTCTGGCGCGGAAACTTCAAAGGAAAAATCAGAATTCCCGACAAAATTTCCGCGTGGAGGCCTAGATCATACCTACAAGAAAGGCTTCATGATCCGCCATCTTGGCTTCAAACTTCCGGCAGAGTGAGCGTTCCAGTTTTATTTCAGTTCACTGGGCTAAGCTCTGTGGTCCAGGTCTAGTGTTGGGTCAGTGGGGACTACCAAGAAGGACACTAATTTCGTTAATGAAGTTATAAAACTCGACTCTAAAGATTTTGGATTTCGGTATTTTTACATATGCTTCAATAGCTTCATTCTGCAATTTGTTTCGTTACTAGTATTAAATAACTATTTACAAGTTAGATGGATAGCTTTGTCACACGTAGACCGAGAAGTCCACGGGATAAAAAGCCCACCAAACGAAAAGAATCAAAATTAAAACAAGTTACCATTGAGTCACTTTCAGTAAGTATGTTTTAATGAAAGAAATATGTGGTGGAATTGGTTAGTCAATTTATTCTAAGCTGTCAGTTTTCAGTACTACCTGGTGCCTTTGTAGTTGTGTTAGGGGGGGAGGAGGGATGCAGCATAATTACCTAGATATTGTACTATAAATGAATGGTATAAAATATACCATAAAAATTTTAATAGTAATACAATATATGTTGTATGATATTGAACTAGGTTATTTGAATTATTTCATTCTAGAGAGTAGTTGTTATAGAAGACATTCTACATTTAAAATCAGCATTAGAAAACCATAAGGATGATGTATTTGAAGATAAACTATTAGAAATTTTACAAAAACTAAAGTCTATGAACCCATCAACAAAAGTATTAAAGGACACAAAGATTGGTCAATCTGTGAATAAGCTTCGGAAATCAGAACATAAATCAGTTAAAGAATTAGCAAGATGTATTGTAAGAAGTTGGAAGAGAATAGTTATAGAGGAAAACACTAAAAGGGAATGTGTTGATGTACAATGTGATGCCAAGACTGAAATATTGAGATGTAAAGCAAGGAAATTGATCAGTGATGGTTTAAATACCACTGTAAGTTAATTTGCCAATTTATTTTTCAGCAGAATCAAATGAGATGCAAGTCAATCACAAATTTTGACTGTGTTGTTGACTATGACTATGTTGCATTAATTTTAATATGCTGTTTGTAAGCTTATGATCGAATGATGCATTGCAGCAATTATATTAAAATATCACCTAATACTTGCAAAGCATTATGCATTATTTGTCTTAAAGTAGAGATAGATCATGTCATAATCTCTTAACAACTTTATTACTTTAATATCTTCTCTAGTATAGGATGGTAGTACATGCTAATTTGCAGAGGTTTTAATACACACTTCAAATTCAAACTAGGAACAGTTGATGGAAAAATGAGTCAACTATAGGTCCTCCAGTAGGAATCAAACCTATGCTTTTGCGATGCCGGTGCAATGCTCTTGCCACTGAGCTACAGAGGTAGCTGACAAAAGCGAGCGTGGTTAATGTGTATAGGTTGGTAATGCTGGGAATAGGTGAGGGTAAAAGCGTAGGTTTGATTCCTGTCAGAGGACCTATAGTTGACTCATTTTTCCATCAACTGTTCCTGGCTTGTGTATAATTCCTAATTCCACTCGAAATTAAGACCATTTAAAACCTCTAGGATTTACCTGCATGGAGTGAAGTGCCAAAAATCATAATCGATTTACCCATGCTAATTTCCTATTAATTTTAATCTTTAATGCCAAAAGGAAGTTATAATAACTTATTATCTCCATAAGATATGAATAATCTTTATGATATTATGGTATATCATGACTTGTAAAACTGGTCATAGTTCCTAAAGCTTGTGGTATTAGGTCAGTATGTTATATGTAGGAGAGAATTGACATACATCAGTCAGTGCAACCTCATACCCAGAGCATTTCCCTTTTTGTCATTGGGAAAAATGCCCTGGAAACGAGGTTGCAGTCAGTGAAGCATATTAGGGACCTTAAGCATGTAGGACGGCAACACGACGACGACGCGGTTGAAATACTCCTTTAAATAAATGCTATATGGCAAAGTTGTTGTTGTATATTATTAATTGTACCGATTTAGTGAGTATAAGGCGTTAAGAACATTGTGTTTATGTTCAAGGACAATTCTGTAGAGCGGAATTCGAGGTAGCGCTCCCTGGGTCATGAAATGCACCCGTTCTAGGCAAGACGTAAAAAACCACGTTTTCCCGTTGTAAACAGAACGAAGACGACTTCTAAAACCCATCATGGGTCTTTAATTATTCATTTCTTTTCAATGACGCATTGTATTGATAGCCGTCGTCGTCGCATTTGCGTCATACTTGCTTAAGGTCGCTATTAGTGTAATTACCACAGAGCTTTCAACCTGCTGCATCTGCCAATATCTCCATGCTTTTAGTGAAGACTTGCATCTCATTTTATCCCATGTTGAAGATTAGATCTAAGGTTAAATGGAAAAGACTAAAAATCATTTTTCACTCATTAATTTTATTGCTACTCGTTCTCCCACAGTTAACTGACCCTACGACGGAAGTGCTTGAGAAAAGGTTATTCGAAAAATGCGAACGGAGGGTTGACAACAGATACAAACGGAGTGTGCGTTCAATTGTTTTTTGTATAAAAAGTGACAAAAATGTACAAAAGAACGTTAGACAGGGGACAATGACACCTGACCATATCCTTTCAAAATGTCTATACACAGAAAGTAAAAAGTAACATAACAATTATGAACTTCTATATGTAGTTCTATAACGATTTACCAGAACGATGTGTTTCAAGCAAAAGAACTGAAAAAAAATGATAAGAACTGAACAAATTGATAAGCTATGTTTCGTGATCTGTGATCGTTTTTAGCGTGGTTTCAGTTTTGAATTTTTGTTCGCAATCGTTGTGCAGGACATAGTTGTGACCAGGCCCACCTGTCCCGATGATAGATCGTGAAGAGAAACGACTATAATCTTGTAATAAAAATTATGTAATTCAATTTTATTAAAAACCTGTTATTTTTGTAGAGATGTGGTTGTGGTTGGATGAAATAATTATTTGTACTTCCCCAGCTGCTAATAGATCGTTTATAGTAATTCTATACTTCTGATAAAGGCCTGTGATTAAACGCGGCAAGAAAGTTTCTTGTGACTTGTCTATTTTAGCTAGCTGTTAAAACTATTTCGTGATTTCATTTAGGCAAAGGCATAATGTTACCTGTTCTCACTGAATGGAATTAGTTTAGATTACATTAGAGTATTTTAATTACAGAAATTCCCACATCATTTGGTATTTGTATAGATAACAGTATAGAATATAGTATAGACATAGTTTCGGATCCCTATTGTCTTTGTCTTTGTCTTTGTCAAATTGTCTTTGAAGATGTTTGATGTTTATGAATGATTTCTGGTATTGTACTATTGTTTAATTCATAGACTCAGCCATGCAGAGACTGGGGAGAGTATTCAGGGGTTAATTAAGGTGGTTTTTAGTCGATGTTAATTTTTTTTTCAAACCCTATCCGTTCTATATATGTTTAATAACAGTATTTTTTTGTATGTAAAAGAAAAATTTGGAAAGTTTGCCAAAAAAAAAAATTGGGGAAAAACACCCAAAAGAGATCATCCAGCCTATGCCACAATCTAACCTGGTTATACAACCGGCTGCAATATTCAGCATAGTTACAACTACGAAAGGTGCAGGGCGGTTGCTATAGGAAGAACTCCCCCCCATAACTCACATCTTAACGGCCGTCTAAGGGGGAGATGCACTACGGCCCCCAGACCATGATGTATGTGCACCTAACCGTTACGTCTCAGTGAGAAACAGAGTATGCATCGCCACAAGCGTAGCGCGTCATAGACGAATCAGCTACAGTGGCTAGCCCTGAGAGCGAAGGTAAATTTAACGTATTTAAGCTTTTCCTGGTCTCGGGGGGGCGGTCCCTAACAAGTATATGCTGCATAAAACGACTAATAAGGCACACGCTTGGAAATGACAAGATTTAAACGCCTAAACGTTTTTAAGTGTTTTTAGCGAGAAATTTTAGTGTTTTGAATCTTTTAGTGTTTTGAAACAATGGGGTTTTTTAACGTTAGAATAATCGTCATTCTCAAAAAGGAAACTCAATATAAGTGACTGAACGGCTTAGGTTGCTGAAATGTTTTGTTAATTTCGTGTTTAGTGAGTCGCCGGTACACTTTGGCCTAAATTGTATGTATTTATTTCACAAGTTTTTATTGTTTATCTTCGCTGATTCTGTTCTTTTCGGGGAATATTTAAGTCCGATCTTTCTTCTTTATTTCTTTACTGACTATCCATGATATGACGGTGTTGGGCTTTTGGTTGGATCTCTCCCTGGCCTGGCCTCCCCCCAGCCTCCCCTTTCAAAGGAAAAGTGCTGACTCAGTTGTCCCAATTCAAGATGGGGCAAAGTGCAATTCCATCTTCCAACAGCTAGTGTCAGAATTGAAGTTGTCGTTTGTGGAACATTTGAGCAAGAACCGACTTCAAAGAGCAGGGAAACAGGGTCAACAGTAAATATCGATAGAAGATCTGTTCAATTGATCTTTAATCCGTTATGTTTGCGCTCTTTATATCTTCTTAAATTGTCTTTGAAAAGTCTCAAGAGATCTGAAAACTTAACACGAGTTCCGTGATGGATCTGAGCGTGAAAGATCATAAAATCATCAAGACTGTTATCCAGTTTATAGTAGCATTGGGTATTTGTCCCAGCCTTTTCGAAGGAGTAGTTGCAGCCTTTAAACAAAGAACTGGTTTCGGTGATGCTTTGTGTGCTGAGCAAGACATCAAGCGTCCAAAATGTTTGTATAAGTGTGTATAATGGTCTTGGTTAATTGTCTTGACAAGCCTTCATTAAGCGGAGAGATGTTGAAAAGCACCCCCATGTGCTGATGTCAAGTTTGGCTAACTCTGGCTTCAGTGTATAATACCTGCGTGGTTCGATTCATTGTGGCAAGGAATAAAATGGTCGCAGTACGTTTGTCCACTTTCTCTACGAGTGCCGTCCCACACTTCGAAGTTATGTATTTGAAATTAAATCAAAGTTGGATTTTATATGCAGTCAATTGGGAATAACAATTGAATGTGCTCCTAAAATGGCCATAAACATGCTGTGTTTCTTGTTGTGGAATGAAAATTTAGCTACAGAAGAATTCAGGGTGATTCATTGAGATTATGGTCTACCATTGGGATATAACCTGGATTACCATACTGCACTGGTATACCCAACAATGGTGAAGTCTTTGTTCAAACTATCTCAGGATCAGTATTAATGAAAAAAACGAAGTACACAATTATTAGAAAACCTTGAGTTGTTTTCAATGTCAGATATTTTGAAATATGAATTTGATAACTCACAGGGAAAGCCAGGTGATTTATCCAGACTTTTGATTGACACTTCCCGGGCTGAAAGCACTAACGAGAACGCAGAGTTGACTTTCTGAATGTCTTTGTCGCTGTTTTACTGCTGGAAGGTTGATGAAGATGTTTGATGTTTATGAATGATTTCTGGTATTGTACTATTGTTTAATTCAGAGACTCAGCCATGCAGAGACTGGGGAGAGTATTCAGGGGTTAATTAAGGTGGTTTTTAGTCGATGTTAATTTTTTTTTCAAACCCTATCCGTTCTATATATGTTTAATAACAGTATTTTTTTGTATGTAAAAGAAAAATTTGGAAAGTTTGCCAAAAAAAAAATTGGGGGAAAAACACCCAAAAGAGATCATCCAGCCTATGCCACAATCTAACCTGGTTATACAACCGGCTGCAATATTCAGCATAGTTACAACTACGAAAGGTGCAGGGCGGTTGCTATAGGAAGAACTCCCCCCCATAACTCACATCTTAACGGCCGTCTAAGGGGGAGATGCACTACGGCCCCCAGACCATGATGTATGTGCACCTAACCGTTACGTCTCAGTGAGAAACAGAGTATGCATCGCCACAAGCGTAGCGCGTCATAGACGAATCAGCTACAGTGGCTAGCCCTGAGAGCCAAGGTAAATTTAACGTATTTAAGCTTTTCCTGGTCTCGGGGGGGCGGTCCCTAACAAGTATATGCATAGAAAACGACTAATAAGGCACACGCTTGGAAATGACAAGATTTAAACGCCTAAACGTTTTTTAAGTGTTTTTAGCGAGAAATTTTAGTGTTTTGATATTCTTTTAGTGTTTTGAAACAATCCTTGTTGGTTTTTAACGTTAGAATAATCGTCATTCTCAAAAGGAAACTCAATATAAGTGACTGAACGGCTTAGTTTGCTGAAATGTTTTGTTAATTTCGTGTTTAGTATAGTCGCCGGTACACTTTGGGCCTAAATTGTATGTATTTATTTCACAAGTTTTTATTGTTTATCTTCGCTGATTCTGTTCTGTTTTCGGGGAATATTTAAGTCCGATCTTTCTTCTTTATTTCTTTTACTGACTATCCATGATATGACGGTGTTGGTTTTGGTTGGATCTCTCCCTGGCCTGGCCTCCCCTCCCAGCCTCCCCTTTCAAAGGAAAAGTGCTGACTCAGTTGTCCCAATTCAAGATGGCGGACAAAGTGCAATTCCATCTTCCAACAGCTAGTGTCAGGAATTGAAGTTGTCGTTTTGTGGAACATTTGAGCAAGAACCGACTTCAAAGAGCAGGGAAACAGGGTCAACAGTAAATATCGATAGAAGATCTGTTCAATTGATCTTTAATCGGTTATGTTTGCGCTCTTTATATCTTCTTAAATTGTCTTTGAAAAGTCTCAAGAGATCTGAAAACTTAACACGAGTTTCCGTGATGGATCTGAGCGTGAAAGATCATAAAATCATCAAGACTGTTATCCAGTTTATTGTAGCATTGGGTATTTGTCCCAGCCTTTTCGAAGGAGTAGTTGCAGCCTTTAAACAAAGAACTGGTTTCGGTGATGCTTTGTGTGCTGAGCAAGACATCAAGCGTCCAAAATGTTTGTATAAGTGTGTATAATGGTCTTGGTTAATTGTCTTGACAAGCCTTCATTTAGCGGAGAGATGTTGAAAAGCACCCCCATGTGCTGATGTTAAGTTTGGCTAACTCTGGCTTCAGTGTATAATACCTGCGTGGTTCGATTCATTGTGGCGAGGAATAAAATGGTCGCAGTACGTTTGTCCACTTTCTCTACGAGTGCCGTCCCACACTTCGAAGTTATGTATTTGAAATTAAATCAAAGTTGGATTTTATATGCAGTCAATTGGAAATAACAATTGAATGTGCTCCTAAAATGGCCATAAACATGCTGTGTTTCTTGTTGTGGAATGAAAATTTAGCTACAGAAGAATTCAGGGTGATTCATTGAGATTATGGTCTACCATTGGGATATAACCTGGATTACCATACTGCACTGGTATACCCAACTATGGTGAAGTCTTTGTTCAAACTATCTCAGGATCAGTATTAATGAAAAAAACGAAGTACACAATTATTAGAAAATCTTGAGTTGTTTTCAATGTCAGATATTTTGAAATATGAATTTGAAAACTCGCAGGGAAAGCCAGGTGATTTATCCAGACTTTTGATTGACACTTCCCGGGCTGAAAGCACTAACGAGAACGCAGAGTTGACTTTCTGAATGTCTTTGTCGCTGTTTTACTGCTGGAAGGTTGATGAAGATGTTTGATGTTTATGAATGATTTCTGGTATTGTACTATTGTTTAATTCAGAGACTCAGCCATGCAGAGACTGGGGAGAGTATTCAGGGGTTAATTAAGGTGGTTTTTAGTCGATGTTAATTTTTTTTTCAAACCCTATCCGTTCTATATATGTTTAATAACAGTATTTTTTTGTATGTAAAAGAAAAATTTGGAAAGTTTGCCAAAAAAAAAATTGGGGGAAAAACACCCAAAAGAGATCATCCAGCCTATGCCACAATCTAACCTGGTTATACAACCGGCTGCAATATTCAGCATAGTTACAACTACGAAAGGTGCAGGGCGGTTGCTATAGGAAGAACTCCCCCCCATAACTCACATCTTAACGGCCGTCTAAGGGGGAGATGCACTACGGCCCCCAGACCATGATGTATGTGCACCTAACCGTTACGTCTCAGTGAGAAACAGAGTATGCATCGCCACAAGCGTAGCGCGTCATAGACGAATCAGCTACAGTGGCTAGCCCTGAGAGCCAAGGTAAATTTAACGTATTTAAGCTTTTCCTGGTCTCGGGGGGGCGGTCCCTAACAAGTATATGCATAGAAAACGACTAATAAGGCACACGCTTGGAAATGACAAGATTTAAACGCCTAAACGTTTTTTAAGTGTTTTTAGCGAGAAATTTTAGTGTTTTGATATTCTTTTAGTGTTTTGAAACAATCCTTGTTGGTTTTCAACGTTAGAATAATCGTCATTCTCAAAAGGAAACTCAATATAAGTGACTGAACGGCTTAGTTTGCTGAAATGTTTTGTTAATTTCGTGTTTAGTATAGCCGCTTTATTCGCCGGTACACTTTGGGCCTAAATTGTATGTATTTATTTCACAAGGTTTTATTGTTTATCTTCGCTTATTCTGCTCTATTTTCGGGGAATATTTAAGTCCGATCTTTCTTCTTTATGGATCCCTCCCTGGTCTGGCCTCCCCTCTCAGCCTCCCCTTTCAAAGGAAAAGTGCTGACTCAGTTCAGTTGTCCCAATTCAATACGGCGGAAAAAGTGCAATTCCATCTTCCAACTGCTAGTAGTGGGGATTGGGAATCTGGATTTGAAGGGAATAATTTCAATATTCCAGATTTTATCCAACACCAATCGAAGTAAAGCTACAGGCATGCACTGACCGCAACCAAGTCTAATGATTTGTTAGCGTTGAATGTATGTTTGCGTTTAATGGCGAGCTTTAGAAACGGAGGAACATTGGAGATCATTGATAAACTTACACGACAGTGTTAACTCGTCACGAGTGAAGTAAACCTACACGATAAACGAAGAGCAACGGATAAACCTACACGATGCCAGTGACATATATATATACCGAAAGTACCAATGACTCATATATATGCACACAAAGTACGCGGAGTGCATGTATAAAATACTCTCAAGTGCTTTTATTTGGCTTCTATGTCCCCTGAAAAATTGATTTAAATCTTACAGACCCGCAAATATATATAAAAATAAATTTCGGACCTTAATTTTCATGTTTCTATAAGACGAAATTTGAAACAAAAAATCACACTTTCGAAATTTTCTTTTATTATGGTTGCAGATTTTCACCATTTTTTAATTTATTCTATAAACGGTGTTTGTACAAAATTAAAAATGCAATCAATTTTCAATTTGTGTTTTCGCGGAAAAAAATCGAAAATTGATTGCACTTCTGGTAGCAAACTTGACACTGAAATTGAATGCAATTGAAATTGAATGCAATTTTCAATTTTCAACGCCCAGAAAAATTAACTCAATACTTGTATATCAGAAAACTAACCCTTTTAAAACTAATTCAGTAATTGTATAATACAGCTATGATTTCAGCTCGTTCTGACAAATATAAATATAAATTTATATTCTAAGAGAATAGACTATAATACAGTTTTGAAATAGTTCTTTGTAATACCGATTACCGACGGAAAAGCCTGTGTAGTTCTCTTATCTCGTGCCAAGGTTTTCAGCCAATAGTATTCTAGCATTTATCACGTGGAGTGTTTGTGATTATGTTGTGTATATAATGTATTATGTATATTTGATATATTGACGGAATCACGAATGTATCCAGGTCTAGTGCGTAGCAGCGTTTATAGACGTGAAACTTCATAACGAAATAATTGTAAAATAAAGTGTACTTTCCGTAACAATGTTCGACCAGACATTGTGGTATTCATTCAAGTATTCACTGTTGAATAATTTTGAATATTAGTGGTCTGGTGATGACTTTACATTACTCTGTGACTGCACTGGCTAGCTGAGTCCGACAGTTGTGTTTCTACAAACTATAATAGACATCCAACCAAGATGATAATATCCAACGGGTTTCGTATATTAATCGTGGGAATCCTCGTCATTTATCTCTCCGCAGCCGTAAACTCATCAGGTAAGTGAAATTTTGAATTTCCTGTGGCTTTTATAGGCATGCGATATAGTAAATGGTGGCTTGCAAATATGCCTAAACGTTCGCCTGATTGGGCTTTGTTGATAAACAATATTGTGCGAAAGTTTCAAACTATATTTAAGAATTAAAAGAACGGAAACAGGTGATTTAAGAACACTTTAGTTGTGCCTAAAAGTGCTTAGACTTGTTGAGAAAAACCACAAATTATGAAAGCTAATTCTGTGTTGCCTTCGGCCGCCTAAGCCGGGTACGCTTAAATTTTGAAAAACTTATTGTTTGGACAAAGCCTCGCGAATTCATGTGGCAAGCCATAATAGTATTGTTGGCAGGCAGTCAACCGTATGCTTTGAAGTAATGATATTTGATCGAACAATTTTACTCCCGAAGCAACACTTGTTTGATAGAATTACAATAAAAATGCTCCCAATTAAACCCTTGTTCGCTATTCACGTCATAATCGTCATTTTAATAGCAGATAATTTTGGTTTTATCTATAATTTAACATGCGGCAACCACTAAGAGCATGCGAATTCTAGATGCATTGATATTACTAGTAAAGTTCCTTCATAGATACAAGCATTAAGATTCTTGCGATAACCTGATTGTGAAGCTTTTATAAGGTCGTGTTTATTTAATGCAAATCTTTTGGAGATCACATTGCCTTTTAGCTGTCAATAATTTGCTTTTACAATTTGCGCTCCCATGTTCTCGGTTTTATAACAACTGAAATTCAGTGTATGATATACGAATCGGATTTGCATCCCACCGGATTTGCATCCCACCTTGTTACATTTTGATAAAGTTGCTGTTTTGTTTTTAATTCTGGGCTTGGGGGCGGAAACATAATTTGCTATATCTCTGGCGAAATATAACCCGAGTATACTATCGCGTTCCCGTGCGGTTATTCCACCTGCAGATAGTTTGCATAGCGTTAGAAATTTGCATACAAATAGTCGTTGAGATAATGGCACAAACATGATTTTACTTTAGAGGTCCGTCACTGTAATCAGGAATTTATAATTTATACTGCGTTCTACGTGTACAATATGCACCATGATGTTACCATGATGTACAACGAATACTCTGCGAGTGCAGCCCGCTGTTTTAATCATGCTTTTTTAAAATAGAATTATTTATAAGCATAGACCAAATATTGTTTAATACTAAAGAATTGTATCCATATTATCAGCTTAAAACCGTTTCTTTTTGAAACATCGCTAACTTTACGCGCACAATATTGCATGGATTTTATTGCATTTTATAGGTACCTACTGGTGTTAGCATTGTGCACATATTGTGCACATATCTATGACATATTGTGCGTAAACCCACGAAACTGTTAGGAAACTGGGACTGAATGTTTTAAATTTTAATGCCACTAAATTTAGAAATGAACTAACAGTGAACAGTGACTCACAACTGTTAACAATAACAGGGATTGCAGAGCAACATTTTGACAGGGGCAGAGGGTGGAGCTTCCTGGGGAAAATCCTAGTGAGAAAATTTTGAAATCTTCAGTATGTAAAAGTCCCAGAAATGCAATGAGAATTTATTCATTATTTCCTATTTAAATGCTTTTCACAATTTGGCCACCTAAGGCTCTCTTTTTCGCACTGCTCCACAGTCTCTGTGTAAAAAATAATTGTCTGAGTGCGATATGGTTTTTTCAAAGAGATACTTATACCAAAAATGTGAATGATTACCATGATTCTTAATTAAAAAAAATAAAAATATGCAAATATTTTGCTATCGAACTATTTCTCTGCAAGTGGAAAACCAGCCCAAGTATCTGCCCAATGACGAATCCTGACTTTACAGCCATTAGCGGTTTAAAAATGGATTTTTTGGCACTTCAATTAATGTTATGAAAGTAGCAAGGGTAACTTTTAACAGTTATTCTGCGAACTCGAGTCGTATATGAGCTGATAGCCTGATTATATAAACAAGTATAGAAATCAGGGCCTTTTTTAACTTTGTAACCATATGTGTCTGTATTTCTTGACAGGTCTGAGTGTAAGAGTTTCACCCAAGAAATTAACCCAGTATAGGAGTCAACATGTCGTTTTTCGTTGTTTCGTTACTGGAAATCCAGTGCCAATAGTTTCATGGTATAATGGCAAAGGAGAGAACATGGCCAAAGATTCTAGAGCTAAGATTGGTAAAATCCCAGGAGGGTATATTATAAGATTAGGTCCAGTAATTTCCTTGTTCGATAATGGCACGCTGGAATGTCGAGCTAACAATGGGGTGGATCCTCCTGTTACTGACGTTGCCAATCTTCATGTGTTGGGCAATTTTTTTGGTAAGTTTTCTAATATGAACGATATGCAGTGCCTGTTAATTGCAGTATGTCAAAGTTCGGTTGTCAATATTACTGTTTTACCTGATACAGTATACTTAAAAAAAAAATTGTCTATAAAACAATAGAAACTCCCTTAGTTGAATATTCAGATCTTTCGAAGCTTTTGTTTCATAGATAAGAGTTTTATACTATTTATTATGACAAACCTTTGCTTCATCTTAGCAATAGTGTAGTTGAAATATAAAAATTTTATGGCGTGTCTATTGTTCTATATTTTTACAAAATGCCTCCTCTTTCCTTTCAGTTCCAACAGACCCCACCCTGCCAACTGGAATTCCCAAACCTTTAGCACGTTATAATCCCAATCTTAATGTTGACGTCGGCACAAATCTTACCTTGCTTGTGAATGTAAGTGGAAATCCTGCGCCCAAGATTACGTGGTTTAAAGATGGAAAATTGCTTGATTGGAGCAATCCCAGATTCACTCTGTTGAAAAATAACAGTTTAAGAATCACCAATGCTCAGGTCGCAGACGAAGGGGGGTATGATTTCATGGCTGAAAATGACAAAGGGCAAATCTTCCCAAGAGCCTGGGTTGTGATACCGAGCTGTGAGTAGAGAAAGATTTTCATCACAATAAAATATCGTCGGTTCCAAACTGTATTTGTCAAGTGTATTATATATAAAGAACATATTTGTCAAATATAGTCGTGGTTAAATTGTTTGCTAAATACATTTTAGGGCTTCAAACAGTGGGTTTAGTTTTAACCAACTAGATCACGTTTTTGAACACACTGTACTCGTAATACTTATGTCGTATTCTACTGTAGATATTAAAACGAAACCCGGGTTCCTTCCACGGCTAAAAAACAAAGTTGTTGACCCGGAAACCGACGTTGTATTGAACTGCTCCGCTACTGGTTATCCTAAACCGTATATCCATTGGGAGGATAGCAAGCATCGTAGATTAGAGGAAAATGGACATCTTCTGATTAAAAACGTAAGAAAATCTGAAACATATCGATGTATCGCAGTGAATGATTTGGGTAACGCAACAATGTCTGTCAACGTGACTCTTAGTGGATTACCATTCGCGCCAAAAAACGTCAGAGCCAAATCTAAAAAAGGCTATTCTCTCACCGTATCCTGGCAGGATGGTGGATCCGGGACAACGATTGATTACCATAGTATTAAATATCGTAAGAAAGGTAATTTGTATTGGGAGAATGTGGCTGAGATACAAGGGAACGTGAGGGAGTACAAACTGAATAATTTGGATACTTACGCTGACTATGAAGTGCAGGTCTTTTCTCGCAATAATGTTGGAAGAAGCAAGGGAAGTAAAATTGTTACCATGAAAACTGAAGAAACTGGTGAGTGGAATATATCTTTTAACAGTTTATGATTATGTTAGTTTCCAATTTATGAGTATATTGTATACAGTGTACTATATGAGTAATATTGTTCGCGTTGACTGAGTAGATTAATTTCTTCGACCGTACGTTTTTGAATTACCTGTGTGTATTTCGCGAGTTTTATCTTTCATAAGTTATAACGTCGGTGGGTGGGCACACATTTTTAATCTTTAGCTGATTTATCATCTTATCTCTTTTTTGGTTTTCTCAAATATATCTTTCATGCAAAGCTTGCTGTACAGATAAGCTGCTTGCATGCAAAGATACTGTACTTTCCGCCCATTGTATACTGTACCTTGGTGAATTTATACGGTCTACATCTTTGGTCTTTGATGAATAATGAGTGTTTGTCTTAGACATATGAACTCGCAGGACGATACAAAACGCATTCGTGATCGACGCTCTTGATATGCAATGGTGCGTCCCACTTGTTACATTTAGAGCGTGAAGAAATTGACCCAGCCTATAGTAACTTCGAATGTAATAAGTCGCGATCCTGATAGATCGCCCAATTGGATCAGTCTTTAGAATTTCTTTATTTTCAACGAGTCTTTAGTTAAACTGTGGATCACACCATAAATATCCATGAATATAAAGAATTCCGTAAAAAAGGAGTATATTTTGTTTCATGTGTATTGTCGTTCCTGATTGGTCAGGAAGCACCGGTTAATTCTCAATATTCTGTATTTAATACATAATTTCAGCTGCTGACGTGCTCAGCGTCCAATAATTTTTTCTTTGGATCGAACTTGCATCCAAAAAACAATTATTGGACTCTCGTGCCCAGACGCTGGCGCGCTAGCAACTTGAACCAAAAAGAGCGCGAAAATAAAATAAGCATTTATGAAATAGAATAAGCATTTTAAAATAAACTTCGTTTAATCGTTTCTGCTGTCTTTAAATGTATAACATTGACCTTGTTCTGAATAATTCTTGATATCATGCTCAGCCTCATCCAATAATTGTTTATTTTTGTTTCAATATGAATAACTTGATACATCGTGCAAATCAAAATATTTTCACATGAAAATTCCTGCTTAGGTTGTATAACAATATTGGTCGTAAGTTAATAAATATAACACAGAAGACATAAATATAATAAGTGTTCACAGGACATTCTCCATGGCAATTAATAAATGACTCTTTATTATAAGTATTTTTCCTGTTGTTGTTAAAATACTTTCTGTCGATGTTTAATCCAACTCAGTTTTGGTCAGAACTCACTTACATTATCATGACTTCTTTCACGATTTCTCTGTAGTTTTGTTTAACAATTGCTTTGCATGTCATTCTTGTTTTCAACGTAAGTTCATTAACTGTGTTCTTGCAACTGCTTCCACTGACACAAGGACATTGATCACCCATGATCTGTAGGAACACGTTACATTTATTTCCTTCAGGAATAAAACGTTTACATCTGTTTCTTGACGTACAACATTCTCCAACGCCACAATCTGAACTTGATTCACAACGTTTGTGTACTTTGCTTTCAACGATAGACACAGTTACGACAATTATGAAAAATATATAACATCGTTTTTCGTGGGAACATATTCTGTTTAGATCAGATCAAACGTACCTTAATACAACCTCACTTCTTAAGTGTTTATATGATGATGTCTGTTGTTGAGAGACTCTCATCCTTTACGCTTCAAGTGAATATCAAAACAAAGTATCTTTCTCGCCTCGGGTAATGAAAATGCATTGTTTTCCGAATTGTCAGCACGCTTTTCATCTGCACGGATGACGGATCCCTTGATGTAATTTTTGGTGTAGGGTGAACAATATTTAATAAACAATTTATACCGCACGTGAATAAGGAGGGTGATCAACATCGTAGAGCAGTGTGCATGCATGTGTTTACCGCTAGGGGCAATAGAGTTGTTTTGTTTTGATATTTCCCTGAAGTATAAAAGATGGGAATGTTGACAACAGACATCATTCAATGCAAAACCTTGACCAGTGATCATTAGAATTACATTTGATCTAATCTGAACAAAATGAATATGTCCATACAGAAAATGATTTTATTTTTCATTATTGTCGTAACTGTGTCTATCGTTGAAAGCAAAGTACACAAACGTTGTGAATCAAGTTCTGATTGTGGCGTTGGAGAATGTTGTACGTCGAGAAACAGATGTAAACGTTTCATTCCTGAAGGGAATAAATGTAACGTGTTCCGACAGATCATGGGTGATCAATGTCCTTGTGTCAGTGGAAGCAGTTGCAAGAACACAGTTAATGAACTTACGTTGAAAACAAGAATGACATGCAAAGCAATTGTTAAACAAAACTACAAAGAAATCGTGGAAGAAGTCATGCTGATGTAAGAAAAAACCTGGCGTTGTCTAAGATCGTTTGTCGTCATGCATGCAAGGGTGAACAATGAAGCCAATGATACATCAAAGATTGGGGCGATCAACCCTTCTGAACAATCGTTATTTATTTCTATATTTATGAACTTAGATCTTGTCAAATTGTTATACAATAGTCAAGTATTTTTATATAAAAATCTTTCTCTAACATATATTATATACACCAAGTAGTTCACATTGGAACAAAAATAAATATTGTGCAAAGACTATATCATTGTTGCTTTTTTTTTTAAAATCATCGTTATATATATATTCGTAATGAAAACTTATACATTTGTATGAAGCATTACTAGAATGGCGGTATTTTTCTCAATAGTTCCATTCACAAAATTTGAAATTTATCACGCGTAAAGCAGGAATAGTTTGTATATAAACAAGGAAGACGAGATTGAAAGAAGTCTGGATGCATAGCAGACGCGAAATATTGGTTGCGCTAACATCGCCTAATTTTTGCCGCCATATAGACCGTTAATATAAGTGTGGTGTGAGAAAATGTTTTTTTTGAACACATCTATAAAAGATTTAGGAAAACACCGTTTGTTATATTTTAGTATTTATAAGAACAATATATTTTCAAGAGTCAAGCTGCAAGTTCTAATGATCATTACCTCCAAATACGCTTTATTTGAAACTTGCAACAAACAGTTAAAATGAAATATTGGAAAATAACATGCCCCGGAAAGCTTGTGAAATGATGGCGAGTTATATATATAAAACAAGAAAACAATTTGTGGTGATATTTCGACTTCATTTCAAAGTCATATATTCTCAAACCAACTACAAAACACAACCAGTTTTCGGAACTTTCTATAGATCTCTGTATGATAGAAACATTAAATAAATTATGCTATCGGATGTATTATTTTGTAATGCGCAGGCTTAAATTTATATACAGCATGGTTTCATTAGGACAGAAAAGACAATCAGTAGTTAGATTATATCATGTATTAGACTTAATGTTCGGGAATATGGAAATTTATAAATGGCCAAATAAACCTGTGTATAACCGATGTAAAAGTCAGTGCGGCTTTAACTTTTTAAATTCACTTTAATGTTAGACGTACATTATGCGAATGAGTAAAATGAAGCCAATTTTTTTATTCGTCAAGTAAAATTTCTTTTCCGGGATATTAAAAACAATTTGACCAGTTTAGGACAAATCATCCTTAGATTTCGCTTTCGTCACCTGAACAATGTTTCTTCCTTAGCTTCCCCCGTTATTTCTCTCCTTCACCAGGATAGAGTGTCGCTCTAACTCTAGTGCATGTGCTATCTCTAGGATAGAGTGCTGCGTCGCTGCACTTCTGATATTTTACGATCGTCAGATAGACAAAAAAAAGAAATGGGCGTGTCCTGAGATAATAATCTCGTTTGTCTGAACTATAAGTGGTCAGTAAATGCAGACAACAGGCTACTTAATGTCGTAGTATTCTTTCATTTGAAACGATCAACCACATGATCTTTATTAGTGCAAAGTTTACAAGAAAGAGTCAGTCAGTCAGTCATAGTGTAATATTTCCGGGGGGTATGTTGATTTATGCTTATAATAATTTTTTGTCCATGATCAGTAATGTAAAGTTTATAAATCAGTTTATTATTAACTTGTTTTATTTATAATTTCTCTATCCCTTTTGCTAAGTTCACAGAAATATTGAGGAAAATATGATTGTCTGGCCCGTTACGGTAAATTTTGAAGCATTGCTTTTCCGTGTTCTGGGTTTTGTTTTAAAGGAATTTACCCCCTGGAACACCCGATTTTTTCTTATACGTCGCAACTGCGCATGTGCCACCGGGCCTTGATCAATATTCACGATATAAAGAAACGAGGAGCGACGAGTGTTGCTTGAAACATTCCGGGCGCAAAAATCGAGCAATTCTTTGAGAATCGATGCAATTCATAAGCTTATGTTATGAATTACGATAATTCAATTAAACACAAATATTATTTGGACGGTTTATTAGCTAAGAGCTTAGTTAGAAACGACGCTGGGTTGTTTATGTATTGATAAATCTCTTACGTGAATATATATTATGTCGAACACAAATATTATTTGGATGGTTTATTCCATATGAGCTAAGAGCTTACGTAGAAACGACCCTGGGTTGTTTATTTATTGATAGATCTCTTACGTAAATATATGTTCTGCATACAGTACATAATTAATACTATACAAAACAGACATTTTGTTCAGTAATCAAATAATTTTGGCGGTGTAAAGTATTGATTATAAGTATATTGTTTCGTATCGATTCACGCGTCGAAGTATCCACATCATAGACATAATTTTCACCGCTGTTTATTTACATTATTTACAACGCAAGTATTTTGGTTATTCTTTTGAAATTACTGATAAATTGTTGCCATCATACACATGTAGTTCATGTAGTCACAGTTGTTTTACAAAGAGAAGAGACATGGTATTTTTTGCTGAACCCAGTAAATTGAGAAAATTGCGTCCGCTTTGCATGAGCAACTAAAATTATAATTTAATATGACAATATTGCGGCTAACGTAATTTGAGTATTGGCATGGAAACTTTGCACTTTCCTTGAATTCCTAGTTTCTTCATTTACTCATAATGGCGTTGTTTGAGATTCATTATCACGATTTCCCCACTGACCTGGGTTTCCCTCATGTTAAGCTGTCATTTCCCAGTTTTCCCTCATGTTATGCCGCTATTATACTTTTGTTCTGTATTTACGACTTACTAAACTTTTACAACGACGGTTCGTAATATGTTTTCGAAGTTGAGAAAATAATGATCGAGTTGTCTAGACTTCATTCCTCTTGACTTCAATCCTAAAGATTGAGCTTGAATATTGCTGGGTGGGTGTATATGGTCATAAGCTCTCTACAGAGGCATGCCCGTGAATCAAATAATATCGTTGCATATAGCTATTGATAGCAATATATTCAAATGTGTTCAAATCCCTACAGGTTTAACTGTCGATGGTAAATTCGACTGCAAAATAATGTCAATGCATGCGATTTGTAAAAGGATATTCTCAAAATAGGAAGGCCTTCTTACAGCTGGTTCACATTTGAACCCTATATTCAACTCTAATGATTGTTATAAGGCTAGCCATATTGTAGAATGGTCTGTTTTGGGGACTTCGTTCCTTTTGGTCGTCCTTTGTCAAATTTTTGGCGGCAAAAAAAATGGACAAAAAGCCGCTCGGCGTGTTAACTCTAGGACCTTTATCAAGGGATTTCCTGACGAAGGTGGAAACGTCAGAGAACCTGTCCGGACGTTTTTTTCATTTTTTGTAATTCTTTTTCGACAGGAGATAAAAATTTCGTTAAATAAGGTTTAAAAATATTCTCAAACAAACGAGCAATTTCTGAGAGGTGTTGTGAAGGCAGTATAATTTTAGGAGATAAAAATTTAAAAACATTCGGTGGCGGAAAACAGTGTTTTTGCATGCGCTTTTATGCAAAACACAAGTCACTAGGTAAAACTTCTTTCCTGGTATGATGGAGACTTAGGATGGAAATAAAATTATAAAATTATAGATTATAAAAGTACCTGAATGCTGTATTGGTTCTGCATTCCGAAATAATATTAAAGCCTTTTTACATTCGCCCAAAAAATAATAATTATTATAATAATTATATTATATAATAATTATATCATAGTTATAATATTTTCTCTGAGGAAAACAAAAAATCACCTGAATGCATCTTAAGCATGTGATGGCTGCCTGCATGGGTTTGGGCCCATGCAGATATATATGTTTTTAGTTTCTTTGGTTGTAATAAATCAACACGATTGCGTAAGCTGCTGGTCATGCATGGACATTGTTTTGATGTAAATAGTTTGTTGATGCTTTTGTCAATTGTCAGAACTTTTAATTTTAAATGTAAATAGTAAACAAGCTACCGCACGAGGAGCCACACGTGCCGTAGATTGAAACTTGTTTACTATTTACACTTAAAATTGCGCTAGGGGCAATAAAGATGTTTTGTTTTGATATTTCCCTGAAGTATAAAAGATGGGAATTTTGACAAAAGACATCATTCAATCCAAGACCTTGACCAGTGATCATTAAAATTACATTTAATCTGATCTGAACAAAATGAATATGTCCATACAGAAAATGATTTTATTTTTCATTATTGTCTTAACTGTGTCTATCGTTGAAAGCAAAGTACACAAACGTTGTGAATCAAGTTCTGATTGTGGCGTTGGAGAATGTTGTACGTCGAGAAACAGATGTAAACGTTTCATTCCTGAAGGAAATAAATGTAACGTGTTCCGACAGATCATGGGTGATCAATGTCCTTGTGTCAGTGGAAGCAGTTGCAAGAACACAGACACAGTTAATGAACTTACGTTGAAAACAAGAATGACATGCAAAGCAATTGTTAAACAAAACTTCAAAGAAATCGTGGAAGAAGTCATGCTGATGTGAGAAAAAAACCTGGCTTGTCTAAGATCGCTTGTCGTCATGCGCGTGCAAGGGTGAACAGTGAAGCCAATGATACATCGAAGATTGGGGCAATCAACCCTTCTGAACAATCGTTATTTATTTCTATATTTATGAACTTAGATCTTGTCAAATTGTTATACAATGGTCAAGTATTTTTATATAAAAATCCTTCTCTAACATGTATTATATACACCAAAACAAAACTACAGAGAAATCGTTGAAGAAGTCATGCTGACGCATTAACGGCGCAAAAAAATGGAACTAAATAGAACAGGCTTTGAAAGCTTAAAAAACTCTCGCCGTAAAATATTTTGTAAATATCTATATGCTATACTTAGCTCTACGTATCCTTATTTATGAAAATATTTATTATTTAATTACTACTGTTAGTAATCTCACATGGAAGTTGTAACAACAGATGTATCGTGTAGCCTCATATTGAAGCAAAATAAATATTCTTTAAAAAACATCTTTCAATTCAATTTTTTCGTATGCAAGTTTTAGCGACTACCTGCATGTAATGATGTATTGTAGGTTGTACTAGATTTGTCAAATCATTGTTCTTTTTAATGATCTACGTAATCACTAATCACTAATGTATTCACAAGCCAGCTTGTAATCTGAAAGTAATCAAAGTGTAATCTGAAACCGCGTTTCAGCTGTGCACGAATTTCGTCATAAAACATAAGTGTGCCACGTGCAGTCTCCCAGTATTTTCGAAAATTAACATCTCGGGCCAGTTGTTCAAAGCTGAGTTAACGCTAACCCTGGAATAGATTTTAATCCACTGTTTTAGTTTATATGCTTCCGAACCACTTTTCGTTTTAAAACTATTAAAAATATTACTTTTATCGGCCCAGAAAATATTTACGAGAAAATATATTCAACTTCGGAAACAAGCGAGTAAAAAATAATGTAAAGATTTGCTTTAACCCAAGGTTAAGCTAACCGGCTTTTAAACAACCGGCCCCCGGTGATCAGTAATACAGCGCAAACGTTCCAAAAGGTGACTAGGAGTCATGCTTGTGGTGATTTTTTGTGCTTGGTCAATATTCCGACAGATTCTGTCATTAAGCTAATTAAGAAGCATACTTGATTTACCAGTGTTAAAAAATATATGATATTTTAAAATAAAGTATACTAATCGCAGTATTCATTTCAGCTCCTGGAAGCGCACCACGTTCTGTCACTGTAAAGTCGACTGAAACTGGAAGTTTTGAAGTATCATGGCTGCCACCCGAACATCCAAATGGCAGGATCATTTTTTATAGAATATATTACAGTGAAGAAATTGAGAAATCTTGGGATAGTTGGCAAAGTACAACCGCAATATCTTCTCCGAAAAAGATTAGTAGTGGTGTTAAGAAAGATCACCGGTATGCCGTGAGAGTATCATCTAGCACTGGATCCGGGGCGGGTCCAATAACTGAACCTTATCTTGTTCAGTCTTTGAAGGGAGGTAAGTTGAATATAACAAGCGAAGGTTTCTTAAATCCCATCCTCTATATCCTTGCATCATCATCTTCGAAGATGTTGTACATCCCATTTACACTACGCGCAATTTTAGATTTGGTACGGATGGAATTTTGATCATCAATTTAGGCACTCCAAATTTCATCATTCTCAATTTTATCCTTACTAAAACTGAAATTGAACATAGTGTAAACGGATTAAATTGCCACGGTTGAAATTTGACGATTTATTTGGGAGTTTACCATTTTTTTGGTACCGTAACAAAAATTGTGCCTGGTGTAAATGGGGCTTCAATCTAATTAATTCTAAGTCCTGTTGGCGCTATGGAAAAGCCTTTATTTAATGCATGCCTCTTGCATGATTAAGGTTGAGCAAGTGTTTTGTATAGATACAAATAACACGCGGTGTATTAATTGTTGTTTTTTATTTAGCCCCTAGCAACCCACAAGATCTAAAAACCAAAGTTATATCTTCAACAAAAGTTAAGGTAACGTGGAAAAAGCCTAGTTATGAGGGAAGTGGTCAAGGCATTGTGGGATATGATATTTACTACAATAATTCCTTGGACGGACCTCGTAAAAAGCTGAGAGTTCAATCACCGGATGATTTTGTCCTAGTAGTAACTGGATTAAGAGCTGCCACGACGTATAAATTTGATGCCGCTGCCAGAACTGATGTCGGCTCTGGGCCATCATCATTCCCTGTGTTTGTAACAACATGGGAGGATGGTAAGTGATGTCATGATGATTGTCAATACAACAAGGTTGCTAATATTGTAACGCACTCATTCTGTTGCCGTAAAGCGAAGGGTCATAACTGGCAAACTGCCCCCATAAAATAGTGTCTTTCAGGGGTACTTTTGACATCTTTGAACTTAGAGTGTTCTCGTAATGTAGTAGAATCCTAGTTTTCTAGTATTTTTGTTTGCTTTTTTAATGTAGTTCCCTCAGCTCCTCCAACCAACTTCAGTTGCAGTGCTATTGATGAGAGTCGTATCCGGTGTTCATGGCGCCCGCCGCCGCTCAAAGACAGGAATGGCGCGATCACTGGCTATGAAGTCCAATACAAAATCGCCGACGTAGATTCATCAGTGAAGAAATCTTTCAATAATTCAGTACTATCCATCACTCTTACCCACTTACAAGCATATACTGTCTATCATATCGACGTTGTTGCGAGCACGTCAAAAGGACAAGGACCATATACAAGTTCTGCTGTAGTGACAACGCACGAAACAAGTAAGTTAGCACGAAACTCGAAATATTGTGATAATAATCCAACGAATTTTCCAGCCTATTTTCTTGCAACTGAGCTACTAGGGTAAGACGGTTCGAACGTGTGATATCTGATATGTGTGTATAACTCAGGTGAATTAGTATTCTGATGGTGCTATACTCTGAGTTACCAACCAGCAAGCCTGACCACGGAGGGAATCGCACCAACAATCTTTGGTTTTCTAGTCCAATGCTCTTCTCACTAAGCTACTAGGCCAAGACGGTTCGAACGTGTGATATTTTAGTACTGAATCTAGTCTCTTTTTCAGCCTTGCCCAGTAACTCAGATTAGCCTCACCTGAGTCCAACTGTTTAAATCAAAATAACTATGCGTTTAAAAGAGCAGAATTAAAGGTTTTAAAGATGACTCGGATATAATAGTGGAAAGTATAAAAAGAGCTCACTATAGGTTTATTAAAATTTTATTATCAATTGACATTTTCACCTCGTCATTTACCTTTACATACTTTTTACTTTCATTTTCAGTACCTTCTAAAACTCCTGAAAATTTGACAGCAACAGCCATCAATTCGACCGCAATAATCGTTAAATGGAAGGCTCCTTCTCCTCCGTTTGGTGCTAAATTAACTGGTTACCTCTTTTTCTACCGACGGAAACCGCAAGATCGGAAATATACAAGTATTGATATTGCTGCAAATAGAAATGTACGTATTAAACATGTAATAATAATCTCAGGAATCGTTATGGTTTAAAATTTATTGTTTTTAAAGCAGCGAGGGGAACGAAGGTCTGCGTGTGTTCAGGCTACGAGGAGACGTATGCAAACACTTCTCGTTACTATAAAATTGGTTTATGTGTATTGTTATTAGTGAGCTTAAGCAAGCGACGTTTTTGACAACACAAACGGCATGAGTAACGCCAAAAGACTGGGTCAAGGATTGTGATTGGTGAAAAATAAAAACTTTACTTCCGGTCAACGTACGCGTTGTCAAAAACGTCACTTGCTTAAGCTCGCTATTAACGAGTTTACAACCTCGCATCCAGGATTTTTCCTGGGTGCACGTGCGCGCGGCCGAAAAGTTTATTCGTATATTATCCGAATATTGGTAGGATGAAATAGGGTGTTTCGCGACATTTTTATGGCACATTCGCATCATCCCTGTTGCCTCGTAGAAAAAGCATTAAATAACTTTGAATAATAGCCATTTCCCAATTGAGCGGGGTATTGGGTCTGCTTAGGAACCACAAAGTAGCTATTTTACTATAGATTGTTTCATGGATTGTTTCGAAAAAAGCGCAATGCATAAAAGCATATTAACATCCTCTTGATCTTTTTATTTATTTCTTTTTTCTGCAGCATATCGTCTTAAATCAATTGCTGCCTGAGCAAGACTACGAATTCCTAATCGCCTTAAAATCGGTTAAAGGAAATAGTGAATTTACCGTTCCTGTTTTGTGCAAGACGAAGCAACCACCTCCGTTTCCACCAATTTTAGTCTCAAAGAAACTTCCAGCTCCACAACTGGGAGTGACTCTGAATTGGACAAGCAAAGCTCAAGCTATTGAACAGTTTAAATTGAGATACGCGAAGGAGATTGAAAAAATTACCAATAAGACTTTGCTTAAGAAACTAAATTATGTTAAGAAGATTTTTCCATCATCAGTTACTACATATAGCGCCACTAATTTAGGTATGTATCATAGGTTACTCGGTTCTTGTTAAGCTTCTGATCGTAATATGAAGTAAATATTTCTTAAATGTGATTGATTCTCGACAGTGCGGTGATTGGTGAATCACAAATACAACTACATCAGTGTATACTACATTGGGTATAGGTGGATCTACCTCTCTTTCAGATTCCTGCATATTTCTAAAAACTATATTACTTCTTCATTATTACTTTTTCTATGTTACGAATATAACTTCTACAATTTCAGATCCCGGTGTTTGGTATGTTTTTAAAATATCGGTAAGGAATGTCGGTGGCTGGTCAACGGAACGTGAAGCGTGGCATCGTATGGATGATGCTAAACCAACAGGCCCACCCCTAAATTTCAGAGTCCTGAATTTCACATCCACATCTGTTGAACTCACGTGGGACATGCCAGAGAAATGGAAACGAAATGGCAAAATAATTGGTTATAAATTGAGCTACTTACAAACCGGTTTAACAGGCTCAAAAAAAGTTAAGAATCTTGATGATAGAACAATGTTTGACTTACGAGGTTTAGCGAAATTCACGTCATATCAATTTTGGATTCTGGCTAAAACAGTGGCTGGAGCAGGTCCTTCTACGAGGGTCGTTCACAAAACAAAGGAAGCCGGTAGGATGACTCATTCTCATACAATGTTTTGATTTTACACCACTTAAGTGAATTATATAGCTTGTAGGTTCATCAAGTATTTAATACTGCAACGCTTTCGGTCCGTTAACCCGGGCCTTCATCTTCATCAGTGCAACAGGTTAAAGGTTAAACAGCAGTAGTGTGTTAACGTTTAGAAGTTACGATTAGCTACTACGACGAAGGGGCTTGCTCGAATCGTCAAAGTTTTCTAAAATTTTGTATATTATTCCCGAGCTTGGCTCTCAAACGACATATGCATTTATCACATCTCTAACAATACTGATTTTTTCCGCTATCAAAACAGCTCCATCCGACTCACCAACTTTGACGGAGGCAAAGGGAATGGGTACGAGAGTTGTGCGCTTGAAGTTTAGTCCTCCGTCAATACCGAATGGCCGTATCATTGGATACAGAGTAGAAGTTTACCTCAGTAACCCAACGTATTCAGCAGTATGGAAGGTGAAGGAAATACGTGAAAATGTAAATGAAATGTATGTGGACAAACTTCTCACCACCCAGTCTCGTTTTTGGTTTACTATTACTGCGACAACTATTGCGGGATATGGTCCATTGTCTAAACCGATTTTGGGAAAAACGCTGGATTACGACCGTAAGTGATGCGGAAAAGATTGATATACTAATTTCTGAAAGAAAGAACTTATTATTGAAAGAAAAAAGCCTTTTTGTCTATGATGTGATCTGTTATTTATCGTAATCAGTATCAGATCATATCTCATGTGAACAAATACTAACATTATAGTAAAACCAGTTTAATTATAGTTAAAAACGCGTTGATACATTTCTAAAATGTCTTGTCCTATAATCGATGGTCAGATCACAGCCATCCGATTTAGCTAAGTCATGTGATATAATTATGTTTTTAGTTCCCTTACCAGTAAGCAAATTTTCTGTTGACGTGGAAAGCTCAAGTGCGGTCAAGCTACAATGGAAGAATCCTGTGGACACATCCGCCGTAAGCAGTTACAAGGTACACGACTAAATTTTTCATCATTCTGATATCGTAAAAGAACTTCGGATCTCTTTTAGCCTCTGGTTATGAATTACAAATGACAAAAACGGAATGCATATTTTAATTTTATTTAGTTTTATTTAACAATTCATTATTTGCATTACAAAGCTTTCCGTCCGTTATTTTGTATGCAAGCCTCATATCGGGCTCATTTATAACTTTTGCAGATCTCGTATCGTGGCGAGAAAAGCTTCAATAACACTGATAAGAAAATGGTTAAAATTGAGTTTTCTGAAAAAGTCGAGACAGTCAAATGCTGCAGTCGAAACTCTGCCAGCTTACAGAGACTAGAACCCAATACCATATATATCATAACCATCGTGTCCGTCAGTCAATCGAGCACGATAAGTGAATCCCAAGAGGTGAAAATTAAAACCAAAGTTTTTTCATCACCGGTATTTACTAAGCCAAACATCTCAAAACATGATATTACTGATGAATACATACCAATTTTTATACATCCCGCCTCGGAGAGAAACGGACCAATCAGGTATGTATTACATAATTCTCTTACATCAGTCCCAATAGAAAAGTTGAAGTTTTCCTCTCCATCAGGCGGTCTCTGTAATCCCATTTAAAAGCTTTTTCCATCTACATTATCATGCAGCTAGATGATATCAAAGTTTTTTTTTTGTTATTTCGTTTATAGTTTTTACTTGATTTATGTTGCACGTCTTGGTAAATCATTATTGGAAGCACGGGAAAAGCTGAAAACTATCAAGAAATCAAGGCCACGTCGCGCTATTAATCCCAACGATAATGTCTACATTGCCGGAAAATTAGATGCAAGTGTTGTGCCGACCTCCTATAAAATTGGTCGAGGAGAGATTAAAAATGGTTATACAAACGAACGATTAACCTTGGGCAATTTTTATGCGTTTTCTATCCAATCTTGCGTGCTTGACGAAAACTCGGTATGTATTTTTTCAAGAAGGCACAACCCTTTAAAAGAGCAAATACGTAACAATACGTATCATTTCTAAAAAAATAAATGCATGAATATTTTCTCAAATGAATTTCTATATGCTCTCCTCTTTTCTGAGATGTTTGAATATTATATTACAGCTTTGTCTTAAAACATCAACAGCATTTACTGAACCTGTCGAGTTCACAGGTATGTATATTTGTATATTCTTTTAATTTTTTTGAAAGCAATTCCATCCCATACAATGTATGGCACACTCGTGTATGCAACTCTAATCATCCCTATGCATGAATTGTGAATATTAACTAATTTATATCTCGACGAGGGTCAACCAATCAGTTTTGGGGGTTAATCATGCAGTTAGACCAATCAAGGTGAATCAATAGCAACAAATATGACCAACGCGATTCCACTCTGCTGGATATTCACGTACTGACATAATTGCATTTTTCACAGCCGTGCAATCAGCTCATACTTCAGGTGCTGGTAACGAGACGCCAGCGAACAATATATTGTTGATCGCTGTAGTTGGTGGTGTTGTGGTGCTGGTCATAGTTATTGTGGTCATATGTTTTTTTTCAAGAAGGTGAGAAAATGACTTCTATGCGGTTGTATGTAAGCTTCACTTCTTACCAGGAATATTTGAGCCAAGGTGACGCTTATTGTCTAACTAATTCTACCAGGCGTCGAGCGAAGAGAACGTAAGCCAAATTCCCCGAAGATCATGATCCATGAGGAACAACTTCCCATGATGACGTCACCATGTGATCCGGTTGAAATGCAGCGGTTGAATCTGGAAACTGCAGGTACAGTTTAACGGATAGTTCTATTCTCAACTATACATGTCAAATTAAACTGGGATTGCTGAAAAAACGTTTTGTTTTTTTTGCTGAAAAAACGTGTGTTTTTTTTAAGGAATGCGAGAACATCCTCCAATTCACACATCTGAGCTTGGTTCACATATTGAACAATTACGCTCCAATAATAATTTCACAAGAGAGTACGAGGTTTGTCCGGCAAATTATCTATATCTTCGACCTGCATGCAGCTTGGACGAACTTTATCGTCTCCTTTGCAAAAACACCCTATTTAACAATACACCAGCTCCTGCGAAATATTTGTCATGATTGCCGTTTTTATTAACTGTCTCTGATTGTTTTCAATTTAGTCAATAGATCCCGCCATGACATTCATTTCAGAAGTATCTGCACATCATTTAAATCAATCTAAAAATCGTTATCCCAACATTGTACCATGTAAGTGTTCACTTGTACTAATCAGGGTACTAACGATAAACGAATTCGTTCATGTATATAAGACTAAAATGGCTGAACTCACGCATCTCATGATTTCATTGCTGCATATTTTAGATGATCATACCAGAGTTGTTTTAGAAAAAACAAACGGATTTCTGGATTCAGATTATATTAATGCTAATTACATGGCCGTGAGTATTTTACGTATCTCGAAGCCTTACTTCAAGTTCAGTATAATGTCGTTTTGATTACGAAACATGTGCCTCTGCCTTATTTCAAACGCAAATAAAACACATTATATACGAGCATGACCTTCATCCGCCAGCACCTGAGAGGGTTTGGCACTAGACTAGGATTTTTACTGACTGTTGGTCATTTAATGGCCGTTTTTATATCAATAAGTGTCTCACTAGCTTTGACATTTCCCTAATTACTTCGCAAATCCTGGAACTATGTCTTCAAGAATCTTCAAGTCTAAATATGCTTTTTTAAATGCAAAAGATGACACATAAACTACCCTGTATCTGGATCCTTAAATTTCGCTTATTTTTTCGTTTTTAGGGATATAGAAAACCTAACGCATACATAGCTACACAAGGTTTGTTTGTAAAAAACGTTTTTCTCTTTTTTTATGTACATAAAAAGAAATTGTAAAACAACGAGGCCCTCATTTGTGGAATTTCTTCATTTGTATTTAAATAACTTTTTTTCTAGCCCCACTAACCAACACAATAAATGACTTCTGGCAAATGATATGGGAACAAAATACCCGGACAATAGTCATGATGACTAATTTACAAGAGAAGGGAAGGGTAAGTATTTAATGACAACTTATAACATTCTGCAAGGGCAACACGTGTGCAATGACCCATTGGGCATTACATGACATTTTGGGCATACGAATTTGGGTTATCAGCATCGTATTATTTGTTGCTCCAAATCATAGTCATTTGATTTTCAGATAAAATGTGACCAATATTGGCCCAACCAATCTTCCGAGAAATTTGGGAATATATCCGTTCTCGTGTTGGAGACAGTGGAGTTGGCTCATTACACAGTTCGTACGTTTAGATTATACAAGGTAAATATAGTCATTTCAAAAATAATTATTATGCATGAAACATGTCATTATTATGGCTCATCGCTTGTTATATCTGGCTGGTAGCATTGCTGGTACCACTTATGGCGAAATATATACGTAAACATTCACATCCCAGAAGAAAAATTTGGGTTGTTCCTAAACTCTCAAAATATTTTTAAGGACGGTCAAACCGACAAGTGTAAGGAGATTAAGCAGTATCAATATACGGCGTGGCCAGATCATGGAGTGCCATATTATTCAACGTCGTTATTGTGTTTTATAAGAAAAGTTCGTTTAGCAAATCCACCAGACGCTGGACCAGTTGTTGTTCATTGCAGGTGAGATTTTGATTGAAACTGAACAACTCGAGACAATATTGTTCACTGACGTTTTATGAATACAGCAACCTTTCACGCTCTGATATATTTTCTTACTCGTAGTGCTGGTGTTGGCAGAACTGGAGTGTTTATCGTCATCGATTCCATGCTTGAACGAATACGACGAGAACAAACCGTTGACGTGTATGGTCACGTGACCCTCTTGCGATCCCAGAGAAATCACATGGTTCAAACAGAGGTAACGTAATGTAATGTCACATGGAGGATAATTTAACAGTAAAGTTTTTAATTTAGTGTTGATAGGCACTCTACTCTTTACTCGCGGAACAATCTGAATCTGCGGTCGATATGCACATGCAGTTATTTGGGATTGTAGACAAGAGAGGTCTTCAAGATGTTTCAAAACAACATACAAAAACCTTTCTTAAAAGTATTTATCTTTTGGCAGTTAGACGTCGGTAGGACCGTAGGAGTGACGTTTAAAGTTATTTCTTGGCATGAAATATAGAAGGAGACTGATCTACTTTACTAAACCTAACGTCACTCCGCTAATAAGTAAACAGGGATGAAGAGCACAAACTTATTTCTAGGACAACGTGTTGCACATCTTTTTCAAATTGCATATATAAAATTCTCCAACACTGATCAAAAAAATCGAGGATATATACTTTATCTCGTGTTTTTAGGAACAATATATATTTATTCATGAGACATTAATGGAGGCAGTATTATTTGGAAATACTGAAATCCATGCCTCTGATCTATCACAATATTACAAGAAACTTAATGAAATTGGCGAAAACGAAACAACGGGCTTAGAGGAGCATTTCAAGGTATTGTGGATTCTGAGTCGCTTTTCTTTAAAAACTATCGTATCCTGGTTGAAAAAACCTGATTTCATTTAGTATTGCGTTTGTAAGAAGACGCACACGAAAATTAGAGTCATAGTTTCCCGTTATTTATCACTAAAGCTATAAGAAAGTCAACGTAGATGTAACAATTTCATCTTCCCGTTAACTTCATGTACTTTTTTCCAACAGCATTTGAGTGTATTCACCCATACACATCGCTTTATCACTGCAATTCTTGCTGCCAACAAATCAAAGAATAGATACGCAAAGATCCTACCATGTAAGTGGTTTTTATTTCTAACTTGAGTAAACTAGAACATTATTGAATAACCTTGCCATTTCCAACAACCTCTATTGTTGAAATCGAGTTCGCTGGAAAATGTCCCAGTCCCTGATTGAAGCAGATATTTACTCGCAATTTTTCATTAAACGTGATATACGTCATGTTCCTAGATGAACATTCAAGAGTTGATCTTGTCCCAGTTCGTGGTGTTGATGGATCAAATTATATTAATGCTAGTTATATTGATGTAAGTTTCAACCTAATTATTGGTACTCATTGAAGCATGTTGTTACGGTCGCAAAACGATGCGATTAACATGCGCAAAACGATTTGATTAAAAACAACAAAATACTAATTTTCGTAGGCGCTAGATAGTTATTATTGTATTCTGTGATGTTATTCGTTATCTTGTTATCTTAAAGGCCCATTTACACTATGCGATTTGTCGTATACGATTCGTACCCTGGCGTATGTGAACGTATGAACACACGTACAAACAATATGAATGAAGATTGTGGCATAGGCCCTCTTTTGCATCCGTCCGAATGATAATTGCATGTAATTTATCGTGTAGTCTAAATAGGCCTTAAGTTATACCTGATATATCCCAGGGTTATAAACAACGTCGAACGTATATTGCTGCACAAAGTCCTCTTGAAGAGACTGTCAAAGACTTTTGGCGAATGATTATGGAGAAGAAGTCAAACATCGTGGTTATGCTTTCTGGAACGGAGGAAAATGAAGAGGTACAGTCTTCTGATTCTTTTGATTCACAACATCTCTCCTGGTGTATTTTAAAATTTTTTTTTATAATTTGTTCAGGAGATGTCTGCGAAGTACTGGCCGTGCGACCAATCAGCCAAATATCATTTCTATATTGTCGACCCAGTCTCCGTGGAAGAAACACCAAACTTTACTCTAAGACAGTTCAAAGTGAACGACATGATGGTAAGTCATATTGACTTTTGAGAAAATATTTTTTGAAACACCACATAAAAATTTAAACAAAAATTTAAGGTCCAATTAACATGACTGGTTTTTTATTTAAAATAGAGCTCGTGTCCAAGTCTAATCAAGTTATTCCAGCTGCGGAAATGGCCGGACCGCGGGAAACCTCAGAGCTATAAAGCAATCTTAGATCTGATTGGTCAGGTTCATACAGCGCGGAATAATGATGAAACCAGAGGCCCTGTTGTTGTTCATTGCAGGTAAGTTGAACCCAATTTCCTTTTCACGAGGAAAGTAATTATTTCATATAAATACATATGTTGAATGTACAAATGGTTCTTTTGTAGATTTGTATTAGAAATTATATTAAATAATAAATATCCATCACATTTATTAGACAAATGTATCGGGAAGCTAACAAACGTAGATTGCAAGGGTCGGTTGCACGCCTGGTTATACGAAGGCTGGATAACGCTATCTACCGAATAGGAGATATTCAACCGTTGTAAAAGAACAGTAAAAGGCACTAAAACTACAGATTTTGAGCTAAAAATTTTTAAAGATTATCATCAATTTATCATTTCAAAAGGTTCGAGTCAGGTTATACCGAACAACGGGCAATTTTTGAGAGACTTTATTAGCCCTATCCTGCTTTCGTACAACCGGCACCAGTATATCAAACTACTCCATCTACCCGCAAATTTCAGGTTTTTTTGAAAAATGCTCTCTGTAAGCTTCTCGCAACTTTCTTTTAACAGTTCTGGCTCTGGACGCTCTGGCGTGTTCTGTGCCCTCAGTATTGTCGTAGAGCGCATGCGCGCTGAAGGTGTTGTAGATTTGCTGCAAACTGCCAGACAGCTTCGTGAACAACGACCTCAAATGGTGGAAACTTTGGAAGAATACGCATTTTGTTATGAGGCTGCTTTACAGTACCTATCATCGTTTGATCATATTACGGCATAATGTCAATATACGGAAGAATAATCTATGGAATTGTGTTTAAGGTGAATCACCTAGCCGGAACAATTAGATGCTTTAGCAAAATATGTAAGAATAAAAATTATTTCTCTGACATTCCTCATACATACGTTAGAAAAGCTTAATAATCATTTTTATGTAAATAAATTGCTTTTTAAAATGCTTAAATGTTGGGTTACCGATGACCATATTAAATATAATATATAAGGGTCAATGCAAATCAATGCATGTTTTAAACGTTTAGTTGTATCATGGTTTTATGTAATTGTATATAGTGATCCATTCGCTGTATTATTATTATTAAAATTTGCTGATAGGCACTTTTAACAAGCACCTTGGGCGTATTCTTGTGAGTTCTGAACAAAAAGGCTTGGGCTTTAAAAGTGTGCTTTCACTGTTTCACTAAATGTTTAGCGGCAAATTGTCCAATCGGTAAATACTATTCGAAAAGTACCTTAGGTCAAAATATCCGAGTTACCAGCCGGTTGTGCCTACATGCGAAGACTGCATTGCATGAAGAAACGGTCTTGTTTCAGATGTGTGAATATTATTGTAAAGTAATAAAAACATGTTGAGTTACGTGGAGTTCTTTTCTAAAATCAGTAACAAAAATGGCGATAAGTGGTAGGTCGTGGTGTTTTGCACTCGAGACTTAATTTTTAATCCAATAGTTCATCCCTCACCTCGCCAAATTCGTCCGTGTGTGTTCGGGGGGGGGGGGTGTTCGCTTGCCCAAGGGCAAGGTATCAATTACCAAAAAATACTACGTGACAATGTGACATCTCCACTTTGGTAACACGGAACGACCTGGGCACTAGGTAGACGTCGACACGACACTGAGTGACACAGTATCAGCTGTGTTTTAATATAATAATGGTATTTCGATATAAGATCTTAAAATCTAAAACCTTTGTTTTACCAATACGTGTATCAGGGAAAATATGTTCTTATAATGTGTCTTAAAAGCCAATGGTGTCCGTAAACTTGTCGCTCTGGTCTATAAAACACACTGATAAAACATGACAACTATGTTGGATGATGAAGACATTAGCAGTGTAAATAGAATATCACCGTCTACATCCCGTCGTTTTGAAAAAACTACGGTTTCGAAATTCAGGAGACAAACATCTGAGGAAAATGGTAAAAGGTCAGACGGTAACGAAAGGAGTGATGGGGATACAGTAAAGAGACGATTATTGTCTGCTTGGAACAATGTAAAATTTGGTAGGTAATATTAATAGGCTTCCTGGAATGTTACGTAATGTTTTCTTTTCAAATGACAAATTGAATGCTGTATAGTGATTATTTTATGCCTTTTGGCTTTTTCACTGATTGGAAATTAACCTGAAATCATCCAGTGTAACAGGGTTGTAACCATAACAAGATATTTAGGGCAGGGGGGAGATGATATATATTTGTGTCTACCCATGTCACATAAAAAGATTATATATGCTAGTATAACTTGCTTTTTTGTCCAAAGACAATCAAATACAACTATTTGCGTTGTTTAAATGTGTCTTGATGTTATTCCCACCTGTTCAGCAGAAAAAAAGGTGCTGGTAGTCATTCCCATGTACCAAAATAAGATTCTAACTATAGCTAATGGTATCAACCACAGGTCCCTGTTTCAACAGTAGATATATATGGTATCAAACATTCAGAATTGTAGCAACCTCATCCAGGTGACCAGGAAATTGCATATAGCTAAGTTAGTGAGAAAATAGTCTTTTTTGCAATGCATTAAATTCTTACGGTAGTATAACTAAATTTTGAATGTCTACAGTAAAGCAAAATTTTTTGTGAACATATTAGAATCCTCTCCGCAACTCTTAGTGTGACAGTTTCTATGTTTTGAAATAAATTGGCAATTACCAAACATTTCTTTCAGGTTTGACCTCACCAAGCACAACAACATTTGCTGAAAACCATCCTGCATGGATTTTGGGAAAGTGCTACACATTTAATTCAGATATTGAAGGTAAATAATATTTATATAATATTATTTATATAATAATATATTGTATTTTAATTTCACTGTCAAACCTAACCTTGCTAGTGTTGAATTTAAACATAAGTATTAATATGTTTGTGTATTTATTTGCCATGTATATTTTAGAAAACAGCCGGTTGCAGAAGACTCATCTAAATCCACCACTTCCTACCAGTGAATTTTATAGACATTTTTCATCACTCATGTGGTTCACATACCGTAAAGACTTTCCACAAGTTGGTGATTCAGTTTATACAACAGACACAGGGTGGGGATGTATGATACGAAGCGCTCAGATGATGTTAGCGACAGGATTGTCTTATTATCTGCTAGGAAGAGGTGAGGCAGTAAACACATGTTATTTAGTTTGTGGCAATGAATGTATAAATGAGATAACTTTGGCTGCCTTAATATGTTCAACAACCTTAATTAGGCTTAAATAAATTAGCTTGTAGGTACCTTGTAGACAATGTAAGTATCCACCAGCTAATTTACTTATATTGTGATATTACCATGCAAGAATAACCATAGGTTTACTGTATTGTTTCACATGGAGATAGAAATCCTATCTTAATAGCTTCAACAGTATAGCCCATATCTCATGTCATACATTGTCCTCTTTAGTACTATCAGTTCAGATATTTTTTAGATATCTGGAAAATCCGTTATTTGGCCAGATAGCAAAAATCCCTAGGGTCTAATGACCCCTACTTGTCTCTCTTATCATAAAACAAGTGTCCATGAAAGAACTCTTTCATTTTAGATTTCAGAACAAGTGGAAGGTGTCACAGTAGAGCCCAAAGATTCTTCTATAAAGCGGTAAGCTTCACTCTTCACTCCATTAATTTGCCATAATTTACCATATTTTTGGTAAATTTAATTTACCATATTCACCATAGATTAATTTACCATAATTTTGAATACTGTTTTAGATCTTAAGATTTTTTAATGACTCACCAGCAGACCTCAGTCCATTTTCATTGCACAAACTTGTTAAACTCAGTGAGTCATTTGGTAAACAAGCTGGGGACTGGTTCGGTCCCTCTCTTGTTGCTCATGTCATAAAGTAAGTTATCCTGGGAAGTTTATAGAAAAGAATCAATCTTTGAACCTTCAGTCGTCATCATCAAATTTTGCATCCTGAATGTTGATGGTGTAATACGATTTGGCTTATTTTTACTGATAGATATATCTTAATTTTTGTATAAGGAAAGCGTTAGAAGAATCTAACCATCAAGTTCTTCAAAATAGTCAAGGACTTCGTGTTTATGTTTCTCAAGACTGCACAAGTAAGTCAGCAAAATGCTTTCCTATAACATCTGCTATAGACTATAGTTGGTGTTTGCCAAGCAGTTGGTTGTTAGGTGTCAGTCTGAGCGTTGAGAACGTTCTCTTTTTGTCACCATGTGCAGGATAATAATAAGGGCTGGGTAATAAGTAATGCCGTACATTAATAGGGTGTGTGTGAAATTCCCACAGAGGTCAAACTCTGTGGCTCTGCTGTTCCAGTGCGGGTGGTCATGATAAGGTCTCAAATATTCGATACAAGACTGTAGTCTCTAGTCTTTTAATTTTAATTTAGACGTAATTTTTTATAGATTAGACCCGTGAGTACATCTACTACTAGTTAGGCTACACCCTACCCAGCTGGGGATAAGGTTGTAGTGTGTATCTGTCGTAGTGTCTCTTACAGTATTTTGTTTAATAAACGAAATTATAAGTTATTCTAATCTTAATTATAAGTTTTTCAATACATTCAATCTAGTCTACAGAGACGATGTCATTCGACTATGTCAGGAGTGTGGAAGTTGTAACAAGCAATGTTCTGAAGATCACTGGAGGTCTTTAATTATCTTAGTGCCTGTTCGACTAGGCGGGGAAAATCTAAACCCAATCTATCAGCCTTGTGTGAAGGTACGCATGTTCAATTGCAGATTAGCCAAGTTGATAATTTAGCAACATTGGTACAATATGCGTCTGTATGAGTAGCAACACTTTCTTTTTTGAGAATCTGTTTCTTCTTGTAGGCTCTTTTGACACTGGATTGCTGTATTGGGATAATTGGAGGTCGTCCAAAGCATTCTCTTTATTTCGTTGGATTTCAAGGTAAATTACCAAATAATCAACTTCTCAACTGGTTTAAAGGAATTGATATATATTTTTAGAGTATACCTTTAAAAGCACTGTAAATTCAAAAGGGTCAAAACTACCACAAAAGAGTAGTTCTGGGGTCTAATGAACCTCAGTGAAAAAATTGCCGGCAAAGCATGTTTTGTTTGGTGAACTGGGCGCAACTAGCTTTTTTCCGCCAGCTACATCATAGCCGCAGACTTTCCGTGAAGGTTACGCTTTCTCTTATGCTGTCTCTCAGGTACAACCGGCTGTTCTTGATAGCTTCAAATGGCCGGTTGCGTAGGGAGCTCTGCGATCGAATTGACGTCAAATTGCGTATTGGGATTATAAGGGTTGAATTTGGGAACACAGTATGTATATCACTTTGCTAATCTTCGTTTTGCTTCTCTATTTTAACTCCTTTTTTGTAGAGGACAACCTAATTTACCTTGATCCTCATTTTTGTCAACCAGCAGTGGATATGACATCAGAAGCCTTCCCTCCAGAAGTAAGATTTCTCAAATGGCTTCTAAATTAAGAAAAGCTAATCTAACTAAAGATTTTGGTTACATTTTTCAAACCATCGTATCCTTTATGTTATCTAGAGCTTCCACTGTGACTCACCACGAAAGATTCCTATACGAAAAATGGATCCTTCATGTACAATTGGATTTTACTGTGCCACTAGGGAAGACTTTGAAACATTCTGTACCAAGGCCACCGAGGTAATACATTATTTCAAAAAAACACAGCAGGGTGGATATAAAGAGAGAAACCTTGTCTGTCTTAGACAGAATCTCCGCTGTCCTCTCCCTGTACGTACGTCATTTATGACTACTTACGTCACTTGTTGTTTCGCCCAAATTTAATATCGTTTGTGCTTTTATTCTTCGTCAGGTCGTCAGTCCTCCGATGCAAAAGGGCAGTTACCCGATGTTCATTGTTGCCTCGGGAAATTGTGATAAACTCATGTCGACACCGCATCTCGAGTCTTCATTGTCGTTCTCAGACACTAAAGATATTCCCACTTCAGATTTATTTGAATACGAGACTGGTATTTATAGAAATGGTGAAAAATACCGAGTACACGAGGTTGGAGGTGAGAATCTCGCGCTTGGTGATCGACCCGCTGAGGACTACGTTGTTTTAGGCTCAGTCAAGAACAACGAATCGTTTGATTTTGGAGATTTTTAACACAAATTTTAATGAGCAATTAACACATAGTTTATAAACTTTATTATAGAAAAGGTATTGGCAAAAATAGAGGTACAAGTTTAGATCATATTACATCCATCACAAGCTATATTCTACTGAATTGACTGGTTAAGCTCGTGTCATGTTGTGTTGTCGTGTTATATTAAAGAAAAATTATTGTTTGAATCGCGGAATTCTTCTAATTCACTGAATAAAAATTGAGTGTAGTGATTATATGTCAATACCTTCTCTATAATCACGAAATTAGACCGTAATTTATTGTAAATAAATATTGTATTATTATTCGCTTTATTATGTATATAAATAAAACGAAAATTCTTAATTGTTTCAGTTGAACTGCAAGAAAAATATAACGCCAGACAATAATTGTTCGCTTTGTATATGACGTGATAACTTGATCTGCTATAAATGCCACGTTTACGTATTTGATTGATCATATCAACATAATTTTTCGTTGTTTTTGGGAGAGATCAATCAACATGGTAGGAATTGCACCACCCTTTACGGAAAAACTAAATTATTAGGAGAGGGAAGTAAGAAGAAACGCTTCCAGCTTATACATTAGCCTGGTTCCTTTTGATGACCCTACCCTTCTGTTTCAGCTTACTGCCATGAAGTCAGAGGAACAACAACGGGGTATTCATAGGAACTGAAGTTAGTTTTTTTCACTTATTAATTTCCACTCTATAAGTGCTCTTCAAGTCTCTTTTCAGTTCCATCATTCCCATGCCTTCCTGCAACCGGGCTACTACTGCACTGTGCTGCAATGGAATAAAAAATCAATAAAACGGATTACGTAACAAAAAAATTGTTTTTGTATAAAACCATATCTGGTAGTGGCAGTTCAGAATATAAAATATCAATCATGAAACGCAAAACTAAAAATGACAGTGATGCTGTTTTTCATTTGCTATAAGAGCCTATAATAATTAGTTTGTAATGCGTAATCAGCGTGAATTTGTCTCTACAGCTCAACTCGCTCCCTTGCGTTCTAAATACAGCTTTAATGAATAGGTGTAATGTAATATGATAAAGAGAATTGATTTAGATGTGATCCGTTAACCTGGGTATTACGCATTTGAAACATCGAGTGAGTTGGAATTTGATATCCCTTGTTGGTGAGACGCGCGCCAATGTTTCCCGCCTCACGTGGAAGTTTCCACCAATGAGATGCGAGCGAGGTGAGACCGCTTTTGGAAGAGCCTGCGCTGTTAGTTCTTGTGTCTCACATCATATACCCTGACGAACAAGAAGGTGAGAGAAGATTTGCTCTGCTTTAGCACGTGGAGATTTTTATTTTATGATTTAAAGAAACAGCAAAGCCTTTTTCTTAGTCTTAGCGTTTTGCTTTATAGAAAATAGCTTGTGAGAAAATATCAGAAGTTCGTTTGCATACCGAAAGAGGTTGTTAAACAATATGTCAGACGATTGGGAAGAAGAAACTGGTGGTTCTAGTTTCGACAGTAAAGTAAGAGATTCAGTCCGGTTTAGTATAAACGCCCTATTAAGATGCAAAGTAATATCATTTCTTTATGTTGTGTGGTATTTGATTAGAATTACTGGATATTTGTGGTTTTAAATATTTATAAGATCGTCAAGGTTAACAATTTAAACAAGCATGCTTTATTTTAATAGCTGGTACAATATTAAAATGACAAATTGAGATAATTATATAAGACTTGAGTGCACGCAAGGATAGTATTTAGTTCACGGGGCTGCAGTGAATTAGAACCCTTGCTTTCTTAAAAAACAGCGCAACCGTTCTTCAGAAAACAAAGTTGAACAAGAGTAAATCTCCAATTAATTGCTAACTGTTAGGTTAAATTTTCCCAAGTAACATTGCACATTTTTATCCTAGTCTTAATAAAGCCTGGTTAACAATAAATAACAACAGTTTTTACTGCTAAACATAACCAAAACCATATTTTACTTTACTTGAATTTTACTTTACTTTGAATCCTTGCAATTTCAACAAAAAGCTATGATTTGTAGGTGCAATGGTGCATGGCCAAGAAAAAAAAAATCTGTTTGGTTGACATGATACATTTAGGTTTCAAAGATTTTATGTTTGCTTCAATATTACCATTTTACCTGTTATTTCATGACAATATTCATAATCATAAAATATAAGAAGTTGAAGTGATTTCTGTAAATAATGCAAAAAATATTGCAAAATGTGATAAGTTAAAGTTATTCAGTGAATATGCAAATTTTTATGGTGCACACTTTGAAAATATCATGAAGCTGTATTGTTAGTATCTTACTGACAATCTTGACATAAATAGTTTTAATGGGGTTTTCATAATTATTGCCATATCATTTATATTTAGTTGACATAATGTTTTCAAATCTTTTTGGGGAAAGAATAATTTGTCACTGACTGTACTTTGTAGTAGTTTTGACTGTTCTAATTTTCAAATAACCCTTATTTTAGTGGCCCTCCTTAGCAAGGACAGACTGTCTTTAGTGCAGTGAGCGAGAGTTAAATAAATGGATACTACTTATTAGTCCACTTTTCTTTGCATGCCTAATACTGTATTTAGCAGCCATGTCTGGTCACAAAGCTTATTATAGAGAGGTCTGACTTCTCTCAGATATAATGTTTGAACAAGTGAAACCAAAATTTAGAAGCATAAATTTTACTAAATAATTTTTTTTTCATTTTCAGCCATCTAGTAATGGATTTGAAAGTTTTGGTAGCAAATCGTCCTCTGGAGGTTTTGGAAAAAGTAACAGGTTTGATGATGACTCTGGAGGAGGTTTTGGAAGTGGCCGAGGTAGAGGCAGTGGTGGTGGATTTGGTAATCGAAGCGAGGAAAATGGGTTTGGTAATGATTCTGGAGGTGGGTTTGGTGGTGGCCGTGGTAAGCGTAGCTTTGGTGGTGGGTTTGGTGATAGTTCAGGCCAAAATGAGTTTGGTGATTCAGATAGTGGGGGTTTCAGGGGTGGAAGAGGTCGTGGCAGAGGTGGAGGATTTGGTCGGCGTGATGGAGACTCAGAAGAAAATGGTTTTGATGATGGTGGCAGTCGTAGAGGTGGTTTTGGTGGTGGACGAGGACGTTCTAGAGGTGGTGGTTTTTCTGGAGGTGCTGATCTGAATGATGGAGGTGGAGGGTTCTCAGGTGGACGACGTGAAAGACGAGGAAGTGATAGAAATGATGGTGGTGAAAGCTTTGGTAAGTATGTTGTCAATCATATTTTATATTTGTGTTAATACAGTTTGCTAGTGAATTAATGTGTAGCATGCAGTTTCATAATAGTAATTAGGCTATATAGTAATTTAGTAAGTTCTAAATATAGTAATTTCTGGACTAATAAGATATGAAATTTTTTTACAGGTGATGGTGAAGGAGGTGAAGAGAAACCTCAGCGAGTTGTTTATATCCCACCAGCACCTCCTGAGGAGGAGGAAGAAATCTTTAAAACAATACAACAAGGCATAAACTTTGACAATTATGACAACATTGCTGTTGAAGTAACTGGAAGAGATCCTGTTAAACCCATATCCACTTTCCAAGAAGCTGCTTTGTATGAAACATTTAAGGCCAATGTGGAGAAAGCAAAATATGTGAAACCAACTCCAGTGCAAAAATATTCCATTCCAGCAATTTTAGCTGGAAGAGATTTGATGGCCTGTGCCCAAACTGGTTCAGGAAAAACGGTAAGGATTAGATGAAACTGATTTTATGGTTGGATAACTTGTATGCAATGTATTGTGGTCAGATTTTGTACCAAAAACTTCATTAATTTATCATTAACACAAAGCAGTAAGAACTCTCTGACAACGTCCCTTAACTTAGTTCTGTGCAGAGCAACCAGTATCACAACATTCTGGATTGTTTTATACCATTTTTAGGCAGCATTTGTTTTGCCAGTCATGACTGGTATGATCAATAATGGATTGAGTGGTAGTGCAATGAGTGATATGCAAGCACCACAAGCGCTGGTGATTGCTCCTACTCGAGAACTGGCTAATCAAATATACTACGAGGCTAGGAAATTTGCACATGGGACTATGTTGAAAGCTTGTGTTTGCTATGGTGGTGTTTCTGTTGGCCATCAGCTGTCAATGATTGAACGAGGCTGTCACCTGCTTGTTGCAACACCTGGGAGACTTATGGACTTCATCAATAGAAGAAAGGTCGGTAACAAATTGCACCTGTTTTTTTTCAACTATTGATTGTTGATACAAGTGTTCAAATTGTAGCAGTTGTGATCTGTGTTTCGTGAGACAATATTTCGCCAAAAGCGAGTCCTGACATTATATCCCAAAAACTAGTTGATCATAATTCCTAGCTGTACATATCCTTGATTATAAGAATCTATCAGTTGAATGCAAAGCAAGAGTTTGTCAAATAAAACGTATTGCAAGTGTTTAGTATGTTTTTATCTTATACTAACAGATTGCACTTGATGGTCTGAAGTATTTGATTCTTGATGAGGCAGACAGGATGTTGGATATGGGCTTTGAACCGAAGATTCGCGAGCTTGCTGAACACAGTGACTTCCCTTCCAAAACAGAACGTCAGACGCTTATGTTCAGTGCCACATTCCCAGAGGAAATTCAAAGACTTGCTGGCGAATTTTTAAATGATTATCTTTTCCTTACGGTTGGTCGGGTAGGAAGCGCTACATCGGACATTGAACAAAAAATTTGTCAAGTATCTGAGTTCGAGAAACGAGATAAGCTTGTTGAACTTCTTAATAATGCAGGTAGGTTTTTGCTAGTAGAGAATTGGTTATGATGGCTATTATTTGGCTATGTTGTTGTTGATCTTAAAAAAAACTCGTGAAATAATGAACCACACAGCTTTTTGGCCTTTGAGGGAAAGATAGATTTGCTGCATTTAGCGGTTGCAATCATTTTTACGCGATTCTGTCTAATAGGAAGTGACAGAATGTTGGTGTTTGTTGAAACAAAAAGAATGGCAGATTTTTTGGCAAGCTATCTCTCTCAGACAGGATTTCCTACAACAAGTATTCATGGGTAAGATAATTAAGTATTGTCCATCTCCACTATAAAACTATGTGATATATCATGTCATATATTTACTGTTAAAAAATTGGCAGCATTGAAGTACTCTTTTATTTACCATCCTTATAAACCGTTTTCATTACTGGTTTTTGCATACGATATGTCTGTATGAATCCTAATCCAATAATCCACGCGAATCCTAATCCAACATACGGTATAATCCACACGAATCCTGATCCAGCATACGATATAATCCAACATACGATATAATCCACACGAATCCTAATCCAACATACGATATAGTCCACACGAATCCTAATCCAACAGCCTTTGAACTTGTTTCTATAGTGACAGGCAACAAAGAGAGCGGGAAGAAGCTTTGGCAGACTTTAAGAAAGGGCGTACTCCAGTTATGGTTGCAACGTCAGTAGCAGCACGGGGCTTAGATATCCCGGATGTTAAGCACGTGATCAATTATGATCTTCCTAAGGAGATTGAGGAATATGTGCATAGGATAGGACGAACTGGAAGAATCGGAAACAAGGGGAAAGCAACATCTTTTTTCCAATCCGACAAAGATGGAAACATCGCGAGATCCTTGGTAAAAGTGCTTGGAGATGTAAGTTTAATATTTTCCTATAGTTGTTTTGACTGCGTACAGTATAGATTAACATTGAAGAATCCTTGTAAAGCACGTTTATAATATTGCATTTAACCAGTTAGTTGAGAACATTTCTTGTGAGCAAAGGAAAATTTTTACTTACACTGTATGTTTGCCTGCTTAAATGATCTGCCCGTTAATTTCCAGGCTGAACAAGAAGTCCCAAATTGGTTGGAAGATCAAGCGGAGAACGCGGTCGGTACTAACTACGGGCCTGCAGGTGGTCGCTTTGGAGGGCGAGATACGAGAAAAGTAGGTTTTTTATCAAATGTTTCCGAGGTTATTTTGTGAATAACGTCGTACTGTTCACTATCTTTCATAAATAAATGCCGCAATATAGACCTCTATTATTTCTCCAACCCCCCCCTCCTCTTTTTAATAGAGACAACTTCAGAGACAAAGATTATTAAGCAATAATAACTGTACTAAAATGCAGTTATTTGCATTAATAAAAGATAGTTTTCATCTTTCTAGGAAAAAATTTCTTCTGCCCGGGCGGTAGGATATTAGAACATGACAAATTATCTAAACTCTCTTTAACTTTCCTTATGTTAAATGTGGATCTAACTTAGCTTCAATCTCTATAATAGCACGTTTACCACCCTTAAATTTGTGACAAAAGTTTGGATGTTTTTCTTCCAATATTCAACCCAGAAATTTTTTAAAATCGAATTCTATCGATTTTAGAACTTAACAATAGCAAATTACAACATGGCGATGTATAACGATTTAAATTAAACATATTTCCTGTAGTTTGACAAGGTTGATAACTTTGGTGGAGGCAATAATAATGAGTTTGGCGGTAATAGTGGTGGAGGAGACGATGATTGGGGTGTCAATGACTCCGGTAACGCTGACGGCGGTGGGGATGTTTGGAACACCAATACTGGTGGCGATGAGGCATGGGAATGATAACTATTGCAGAACTTCTATCATTTTTGGTTATTTAAAGACATTCAGTTTAGTTGGAAGTACGTCGATATCCGCATTATAAAAGTTTTGATGTTATGTTAGGTCTAGGTTAAACTAGGACATTTTGGAAGTTTTAGTAATGGTCGAGTGATAAATAATATATATATATACGCATGAACACTTTATCAGCAGTGCGTTTTGTTCAAATGACAAGTATATTTTATATAATATCATGTAAATTAAAAATAGTCTAATCCTGTTAACTGCGTAGAATCAATTATGTGCAGTTTATATGAGGTTTTACTATAATGAACTACATTGACTTCAACAAGAGTTTATTGTAATGTGCAAATGTACAAAGGGTTAATGTGTGCGAAAAACGTTGCTTCAGAGTTTATTTAGACATAAATGATAAATTGTACAGTTTGTTTTTATTAAAGCAATTCCGTTGGCTCAAGTCTGTAGTTATTCTAGTCATTAAACTAGAAAGTTTTTTTACTATTTAAAAAAGTAACTGATCATCGTTCAGCCGAACCACAAGAGGAATGATTAGGAAGTGTTTGCTAAACATTGAATTAGAGTTTCAAACATCGTGTCTCCTCCAATCATCTTAGTCACTCTTTACAGCCACTGATCTCTACATTAGTGCTGAAAGGATCTTTTGTAACGATGAAAACGGTGTTTTAAAGCGCCCGGGAATCCCTAAAACGCAAGGCACTATGGGCTTCACTACATTAGCTCATGAGTGCCAATGTGCCATCAAAAATTTAGCATTGCGTTGTTGCCATGTATACTCGAGGATATTAAGAACAAAGTGCATGTGACATGTAACGGGTGAAAGAGTTCGATTCAAAGTTTTTTTCTCGTCCAACTTCAAAGGCAAAAGACAAAACGTACACATTAAGTTCCTTTCGATGTTTCATTTTTTTCTGTGTATGTTTCGTTTCTTTCTCAATGCCAAAGAACGGCGGTTGAAAAATCCAACAATACCTGTTGAAAGAGCAGGTCAGCACAGCCAGAATTTCACTTTCCATCCAAGCGATTAAAACCTGTAGCATACGGAGAACATCATTTTGTTGTATAGCTGTAGTTGTTCAAAATATAGCCTGTTGATGATTGAACAGAATCTCTGATAGAAGTATCAAGCCTACGAATTATATCAGAATGATATAATATGGCTTTCAGACGTTGATAGTCAAAACAGTTGTAAGCATGTTCAGTTTACAAATAATCAACAATATGATAAATTTACAGAGTTATGTCAAACGCCGTTTTTCTCGAATTAATCGAAACCCGGTCGTAATAATCTTGTTTCTTTTAATGATTTCAATCATAATTTGGAAGATTCACGATGAGGGTGAGAAGAATAATGGAAATAGCGAACTTCTGTTAAATGCTTTTGGGAATGAACGAATTTCTCACGAAGACAAGCGAAGCAAACCGAAGAAGTATATATCCTATCAGCCTCCGGGAGGTGGCTGGAACAATCAAAGAATTGCTTTTGAGAACGCCGTGATTATGGCCGCTATGTTGAAACGAACGCTCCTTGTACATCCATTAGCTCCTCACGATTATATCTTGGAACTGAAGACGCGATTCAACCAGTCAGCGGGGTATACCATTTACAATATGCTCAGAACAGAAGAATTAATTCCCATTTCAAAGCTTATCGATCTCAACCGACTGTCATCATTACTGCCTCTGCAGGAAATAACTTCAAGCCACAATGAATTTAAGAAGAAATTCAGAAATAGTTCGTGGTACAAAGTCTGCCATAATGGCCTAGCTTACGCTTGGGTAGATAAAATTCCCCCCGGGTTCGATACGAGCAGTTTAAAACTGGAGAAGTATAGTAAATATTTCAGAAAGGCTCAAAAAATTGCAAAATACCGTCAAGTGTGCTCAGAGAAAAGTGAAATTGAGCTATTGGGAATTTGGGAATTTCTTCGCGAACTGCGTAAACGAAAAGAAGACATAATTTATTTTGACAAAGGATCGCTTTTCGTCCGACATATTTTATTCACAGATTACAAGAGGGCCTTAGACGCACAAAGGGCACTTATTGATTATATCCATCCAACATTTGAAGTTTTACATAATGCTGAACAAATAACATCCTTGATTGGAAAACCGTTTAACGCTATCCATGTACGCCGAAACGATCATAAAACTGGTAGACGGCTGGATATTCACTACTGGATCTCACGATTAGCTAAGGCAAATGCATTAAAATACTCGAACAAACTTTACATCGCTACAGACGAAACTGATTTCACTTGGTTTTCTGCACTAAAAGAAGCAGGATACAAAATTTTCTTTGCAAAAGATTTTGATGTTTTTCGTGAAATTAACCAAGCTAATCCGGTAAAAGGCAAGGATATTGTAGGCTTTCATGAGCAGGTGATTTGCTCTTATGCAAAGATTTTTGTCAAATCTTATTATTCCACATTTTCACGAGTAATTGAACGATATAGAGAAGTTGAACATTGGGACAAGAATCGTTTTAGAAATCTTGTATTTTCTCCTGTGAAATGGTTAAATATTTATCGACCTTAAAATTAAAAGAACACCAGGACCTAGATGAAAGTCCTACCCTACTACATTTAGTTTAGTCCCATAACGACTTACTCCCATGAAAATGCAATTTCTTTAAAAAGATCCTGAGTTCTATAATCAATGTTTTGCCATACGAACATATATTAGAAAATGCTTTTTATACGACGGAATTTATATTTTAGAGATCCATAGAAATCCATTTTTGTGTTTTATTTATTCTATAATATTTGCAATATATGTCTGTTTTGTGGTATACTAGTTTGCATGTTACACTCAAGATAATTTATTTCTTCATGTCTATTTTAATCTCAACGACAAGCGATGACGTAACATGAAGTCTTACACTAAAATGCTATGACTATATGTTTATCGCTCTTCGACAATATTTTTTCCTAAAATCACATGGATTCGGGTATAAATGTTGTTCTGTTTTTCGTTGAACTTTTGCTTTTATTTGTTCTTGCTATTCTTCGTGCTTATTATCGCGGTTGGCTGCCTATCCTGCTGGTTTGATCATTTCACATCCACCGCTCTGGAAAGGAATAGAGATCAGGAAAGTTGGTAAGCCTAAATTTCAACTGATTCTTTTACACTAATTAAGTCATTTCAATAAGACAGATATTCACTTGTCATCGTTAGACTATTGTAAGCCAACAATAAAGTAGTGAAAGAGGATTATTATCAGGCATGAATTATTAATCAGTATATATACAATTATATTATGTCTATCAATATTTCACAATGAAGTATTGTATTCAAACCTAAAAAGATTAAGTCAAGACTGAAGTTAGATGAAGGATTAATCGTAAAAGAAAATATTGTCATTAATTTTAGTCTTATTCTGATCAATGACACTCATCCTTGATTTTTGTCCATCGCGGAAACAAAGATCTGAAAATCTCTGGCGGGACGGCAAACCAACAGGTAATGTTTAGCATAACTCGCGGGTACCCAGCATAATGCGTTTAGGCTGAGTTCACACTATCTCCAGAGTGCAGAGGTAGCACTCAACAAGGGCACTGTGCTCAGCATGTTTTATTAGCCAGTTTTGACTTTGGGTACCAGTGCCGGGCACTCTGAACGCGGCCTTATTTTCAATTTTTGGGTCCTGGTTTCAGTAGAGTAAGAATGCCAATGTATAGAAGTCAAGGGTTTGTCATGGATGCCAGCCTTAGTCATGTTTGCTTATGTGTCAAATGATTGATCTCTCATATTTAAACAACAACTTGATATTTAAACAACGATTTGCTTACAAGGTTCGATGTTTGATCCATTCGAAGTAAATAATGTCTAAGACTAAGGATTTTTTTCTAGTGTTATGCAACGTTTGCCGGAGGGGACAACAAACATGTGGCTGGATATTTTTCCTTTATCTCTTTATTTGGTGTTGTGCTTCAGCACATGCCCGGCATTGGATCCCGACCAAGGACGATATGGTACATCATGTGCCCAGTGGGTCTGTCCTGTCCGCTCGTACTCTGTCCCCGACACAAAACATGCGCTTTCACGTGACATTCGACTCAAGTCTTCATAATTTAGGCAACGCCAGGAGAAATTTAATAATTCAAAAGCTAATCCCAGAAGCTTTGGATTATTTCCACAGAACTCTTAAAGTAAGACCATCAAAACGACCGATTCGTCTTCAGCACATGTGCCATAAACGCTCATATTTCCTGAAAGATAAAGCGGGAAATGCTAAAGGAAATACAATATTTTGTAAGAAAGCATGTGTAAAAACATACTGTGGCCCAGTTATAATACCACGTCAGCATTTGGATAAATGCAGAACATGTAACGAACATGGTTCACAGTGTCAGTCTGAGAAGAAGCAGAATATAGAAGGCATTAAACATAAAGACTTTATACTGTACGTGTCGTCTTTGCAGACACAGCATTGCAACGAGACAAAAGCTGTTGCTTATGCATCTTATTGTCAACAAGAGCATTCGTTGGATAGACCTATAGCGGGCTTTGCAAATATCTGCCCTGGTGAAGTCCAAACTGATCCACGTCATTACCCCGGTCTCTTAGCGACAACTAAGCACGAAATTTTTCATGCACTTGGTTTTAGTGCGGGACTTTATGCTTTCTATAGAGATGCTCTGGGTCGACCACTGACACAAAGGGACGCATTTGGTCTTCCAAGTTATAATAATTACACTAACTTGTATGAATGGAGTAGAAAAAAGTAGTGAGAAAAATAACACGAAAGGACTGGGAAACAGCGGATGGTTTGGTACAACATGAAGTGCAAATGATTGTGGCCCCAAAAGTTAAAAGAGAAGTAAGAAGGCACTTTCGATGTGGTTCTTTAGAAGGGGCAGAAATTGAGAACCAAGGAAGTGCAGGAACAAGATGGACCCATTGGGAAAAGCGGGTGTTCGAAAACGAGGCAATGACTGGAACGTACACTCAAAATCCTGTATTTTCCCGGATGACACTGGCATTGATGGAGGATTCAGGGTGGTATGGGGTCAACTATAGGATGGCAGAGAATTTGGATTGGGGGAGAAATCTTGGTTGTATTTTTGCCAAACGTAGCTGCAGAACTTGGATGAGAACTCAACTGAAGAACAATGACTCCCCATCGCCATTTTGTTTTCAGACCAAACAAACACCATTACACACTCGTTGTACTCATAGTAACGACGCTGTAGCACTTTGTAATCTCGAAAAATACTCAAGATCACTACCAAAGGAATATCAATACTTCAACCGCCTTTCAAAAAACAACGCTATTAAGTCTCTTATTACAGACACACGGGCGTTTGGTGGATCTGTTGGCCTTGCAGACTATTGTCCATTTTACCAAAAGTTTAGCCTGACAAAATCCGATCAAGAAGCAAGAGAAACAGCGTGTCATATGGAAGGCAACAGTCCAGACTATTTTGAAAATTACGCGTTAGAAACGTACGGACCTCAATCGAAGTGCGTGGAGCAAGCAAACCAGTGGACCGCAAAGAAAGGACGTCTAACCCGCACAATGTTAGACTGGGGTAGTGGTTGTTATAAATACTTATGTTCAGGCGGGGTTTTATACCTTGTCGTCGCTGGGAAGAAGTATAAATGTACTAAAAGAGGGAATGTTTTACATATCAACAGCACTTTAGGGAAATGGTCTATATTAGGAACATTACGTTGTCCTGACTGTGACAGGTTTTGTCCAGGAAAATGCACACAGAAAGGAAGGCATTATATTTCAATAAATAGAGACTCGCAATACGAACAGACTGTTACTAATGGTAGCAGTTTTGCAAAACATTTCGCAATTTTGCATTTAATCTTACTAACCATTGTATTAGAGTTCTCTGTGATTACATCTGTATAATTACGATAATTAATAATTTTTTATATTCTTTCACAGCAATTATTTTACCGAAGACTTATCGTCTCATATCATAGGCAGCCAAAAATAAGCGTGCGCTTCATACAATGAAACAATTTGGCGAAAACCAAAGAAAACCATAGAAATAATAGACATCAACGTCTACTTTTTCTATGAAAAAACCCGGAAGAACCACCTGACTCTTTCGTGACAAAATTGACAGCGCAGTCGGAAATCTAAGAAAAAATCATTATTCGGCGAGAGGTCAGAGAATGATTCTCTAACGGGGTCTCACCAAGGCGTCTTTTTGTTTTATTTTCATAAATAAAAAAGCAGCCAGAAACGAGTAATATGTTTATTGCATTAAATATATATTTCGTCATTTATATCATAATACAAAGCAATTTTACTCATACCCACTTGCTACTGATTACTTTTTATTTTTATTTTTAGACTGTTTAAGTTTATCTAGTCCATTAATATATTTCGCTGCTATCTCATAATCATCTAAAAAGAAATAATATCGCACATGAATTCGCTTCAGTACACATGCATGGCAAGATAAACTTTGAAAATGCTGCATGGTAATTTACCTTGTAACGTTCGAGCCACGTGCAACATTTGATTTCCCTGAATTAGAACTTGTTGACCTGGATTAGTCTTTCCTGGTAATTGTGAAACTATAAAGAAATATAAAAGATTAATATTCCAAGTAACTCTCCCACAGAGATCATCTCCTCTTTGACTTTGAAGCCACGACAGTTGTGCAAACGTGTACAAAATTCATCACTGAAGACACTGATTACCTGAGGTGCTTGAAGCAGCTTTAAGTTGCAATTTATGAGAAAATTCTCCGGGATCTATGCCGTAATATTCCAGATTATGTACGAGAGTTACCTAAAATATTTAAATGCACAAAGATTCGATGTTTTTCTCATCATTCTTTTAGTTGTTTTTAAGTTGATTAACTAATCAGATTAGAGTGAAACAATTACTGTAATTGGATATCTAAAGCGATTTATATATAAACATGATTACGAAACCATGCCTTGCGTTTTGCGAGCAATTAAAAGTGGGAACTATGCTCTTCTTCCCTAGTCCTTACCTTTTTATTGCCCATACGTTGCTCCAGTTTGATTTCAATAAGTTCAAGTTTGCCTTTCCTAGAACAGGACCAAATGTAAACAATTACAGTCATCAAGTCTGTTCTTCATTTCGTAAGCGTCGCGTGCATGATCACATGTCACGAGTCACGAGTGTCGACAGACCATATATAGCAGAGACAGACCTAAAGTCACCGGAATGATTTGAACACAAAAAGTGTTCACATATGACCATGTATATGAATTTCTCTCACCTGGTAATTGGTGTTTGTCCGTTGAATGTTACAGTATGACAGGGATTCATTCTATCGATTATTCTATGGTGCATGGTGTGAAGAAAATAACATTAGATTATTAATGTGAACGCAGTTTCTTTCTTCCCGCATGCATGCAATTGCAAAGTTTAATTGAAGTGCGAGACCAGCTAAATATTTCATGATATTTACATAGACCATAATTTAATCAACAATTCTGGATTGGTTTAAAATTTAACAGACCTTTTAAAAACTTCATCCCATGAAAGAGTATCATAATTATCTTCTCCTTTTCTGTGAACTGCGGAAAACAATACTGGATCAAGTTTCACCATTCTGAAAAAGTGCGATACAAAAGTGCAAATAAATTTTAGCTATTAATGCATTTAATCTGCAGAGGCCGAATGAGTAAATTAGTCTGTTTCTGTTTCGACCTCCTTTTACCTTTTATTTTGTGTAGAAGCAAGTTCTTGAGACTTGATATAATCGGTGATCACTTGTCGCACTTCTTTAGCTGTTAATATTGCACCTTTGCTGCACGACAAATATATTATGAAATTAAACTAAGTTTGTATTTACCAAAGGTACGCATCCTGAAATATGTCCGTCCAGATTTTTTACGTTTTTACATGGAAAAGAATCTCATCCTATATCTACCGATTCAATGCGATGAATTTCTCATGACAACATTTCTTATCTGTGCATCATTCTGTATGCACTGCAGTGACGCACTTCAGCACCCAATGCAGAGTATAAAAGTAAAACGTGGACAGAAATGACTGCAGAGAGGAATGATTTCTTCAAAAGGTTATTGCCTTTGGGAACTGCATTATTTGAGAACTGCATGGCCACCACTTGCAATGCAATAACCGTACCTGTAACCAAGACTTTCAAAAAGAGTGCGCGTAGATCCTGACACGGCAAAAACATCTTCAATTTCTGGCGGCTAAAAACGTATAGCATGCAACGATTACATTATTGAGTGAATTGTTTGCCAATAACAAAGCGAAAGATTAGAAAGAATATGTTGATTTGCCAACCAAACAGTGTTAAATACAACGGGAAATTAGGCTTCATGCTAAGGGCTTTTCCGATTGCTCCGATTTTTCAAAAGCAGGTGAAGCTATCCCATATAAGATTACCAATTATATAGACTGACCCTTATAAATTTATTACCTTATATTTATTACTGACAGTGTTCGATTCTTTCAAATCGTTCTGACGGTTTTCGTTAATCTTTTCTGAATTTTCTTTCTTGAAGTTTTTTAAACTACAAAATATGATATCATGAGGGTAAAAAATATACATTTTCATGAAAATAAACTAAACAAAATTGGGCGCTGTGGAAACACAAGACATCATGAGTTGAAGACCAAAGATGCGGTATAAATGAGCTTATATCGTGCAATGCATCGCCTCTTATAAGGATAAAGAGCATAATTGACCAAGAGAGAACGAATATAGCTACGTCTTTACTGATGTGTATTGCTGTTTGACATAATGACATTGGTTGAATACAGAGACCCGCGCAGCTGAGGGCCTGTTTTGTGAGGAGCAGTTGTTGTTTTGGTTGTGTAATAATATTTAACGTCATTACGACATTGTTAGGTGTTTTCTTTTTCGTTTTCTTTTCAGACATTTATATTTCATGCTTGTAATGAACTGTGGTACATGCATGCTGCTATAGTGATTTCCTTTGTTGCATGTCTACTGCGTAATACTTAAAATCTTACTCTTCGTTGGCCCAGTTGATACTGTCGATACAATGCACGCCCTTAGACTGCTCTTTCATTGCGATGAAATTTCTGTTTTCCATCACTTGAAGGAATTTCGTTAACTATAAAATTAATTTTCCTCTTGTATTGAATATATAGGTGCATGCATGAGGAATAATGTGTTAATTCAAAAAAAACTTTTAAGTTAATTTAGTTTTATAATTATTACAGATTATTCACCTTTTTGTAACTGGACTTTTTAATATCCAATATTTGACTTTCTGGGCTGAAAAGTCAGTAAAATGACAAACGTAATATCTTTGCAAAACGTAGCTAATTGAAATTTGAAGTAGCTTTAATTATATTCTTTTTTAGTTATAAAGTAAGTAAAGATATTAAGTTTGCATCTCTTACCAGCATGGAAGTAAATGATTTTTATAAAATGTGCTGGTCAAAATTGGTAAATCATGGTTCTTGACACAAAATAAAGCATACATAAACGATTTCTCCAACAACTCATCCATAGAATCTAAAATTAAGATAGAAATTAGTTTCCTGCTGCAACGTTTTCTAGTACATCATAATCATTATATAATTAGTTGCCAAATACTGACAATTATTAGGACATACATATTTACAGATATTTTCCAAACTGATTCTACAGATATGCACGTACAAATAACAGGCTAAATAATATCACTCAGCAGCAAAAATCATCATGACCGTTCCCAGGTATACTTTTTAATTCCATACGTTCGGACTTCCACATTGTCCCACTGACTTATATACATGAATGGTTTCTGGCACTTTGACTTTCTGCAACTTACCAACAGGACAAATTTCTTGAACTTCATCCTCTAACGTCGTATGTGTATCTTCAGAACAACATTCCTCTGATTCCCTATTCAAACTTGAAATCATTTCACTGCTTGCTGCCTCTGGATTCAAAGATGATAACTCTGTTGTGACATACTCTGTTATTTCTACGTCCTTCAAATTTTCACTCAGCGTTTCATTGCTCTCACTATCGGTAGGTTCAGTTATTGCAGCTTCTGCTGTATCACTTTTACCCGAGTCCGTTACTGTTAAGTCTTGATTTACTGAACACTCGTCATTAGTTGTGTCTTTACTCTCTTGCAGTTGTGATAAATTTGGAGCGATCACAGGAATATCACATTTGGAACCTTGCGACCTGGAATTTACCAGCATATAAGTGTACATTTCAAAACATGAAAATATCACGTTTAGAACATGAATAGACTCCATGGGGTAAACAAACTCATCAACCTTCCATAAAATGCCGACGAAGTACAGGATTAGATTGAGCAGGTTTAAAAAGGGTCAATTCCAACGACAAGAGTGGAATAGTGCAGGATGCGAATTAGGTTACGATGAACTTACCATAATTGATCAAGATATGAATGAAGTATAATCACTCCTTTTCCCCGCATACCTTGTTCCCTTGCCTCGCTAGACGACACTATTGTGTAACCAACAGCTACTGGAGCTCTGTTTTAAAAATGTTACACAAGATATTGCAACAAAATACTAGTCAGTCTAACACTCTTAGTTTTTGGGTTAACTCAAAAATTTTTTTTATGAAATGTCAAATGACGAATGTACCTATTTCCAAGCAAGGCAACCGAACACACTTGTTCTTTTGGAAACTCCTGTTCATCAGTGTCTACTTGTATAATACCTGGTAGCATTAGGTCTAAGAATAAAGTCAGGCTGAATTTACTCCCACGATTTCCCACAATAACTATCGTATTTCGCTGAGTCAACGCCAAAAATATGATTAAATTCTTTTTTAGATTCTTAGATTTTAATTAACTATTGAATAATAAAATCAGATGAACGAAACAAAAAATGGGTGAAGGTTTTCCCTATTTTATGATCGATAAAAAGAAACTAAATAACAAAATGTATTTAAAATAACAGGGCACATATCTCCAGCGATTCCCGACGATAGTCATTGCCGACTGTCGGTGACCTGTGCGAATCACGCTTTAATTATAAAAAGTTGCTAGCTGATGTACTGTTTTTTGAGATTGTTGTATTTTAAAGCTGAGCTTAGTTTTTTAGACCCTTCCCTTCCAAGCTAAGTTCCAACCAATATGCAAAGAACATATTACGTGTCCTTTTAAAAATATGTGCACTGCATGCAGTATTTACTGGAGCGTTATTACCTGCACCTCCACGTAATTTCTCGAAAACATTTGGCCATGTTACAAACGTTGGTATCATATCCGGATACTCCCACAATAAGTAAACTGAAAATGATTTTATTAATATTGAAATAAGATTAAAGAAGCTGAATTGTGAAGTCAGTGCATTTCAATGATTTCATCATCATTCTTCAATCTCCGTCGCTTAGCTTAGTGGTAATTACGAACATTACTCCGGAATGCAGAAGATCAGGTTTAATTTGAACCAAAAGGTTGAATAACTTGCATTGTAAAAACACTAATGGTTTGTTTCTAAATGTTGTAATATTCTGATCCTTTGTTTTCTCAACAAAACACCAAATTCTTTTGAATACCGGTAATTTCAATTTGCAATGTGGCAAAACCAACCTGTAGGATATAGTTTTGTTTCTATTTGGAAGAGAATTGGAGATCCATTCACAGTATAAGCTGTGACATTTTGACCAGAATGTGTCATAATTTTCATGACAGACATATCATCTTTGTTTGGAATAATTGCAGAGGCAATCTCTTGTGTGATGTAAGGAAATGCTCTCAAGATATCATTTCTCAATTTTCTCCTTTGTAATGAAAAATAAATAGAAACCAAATACAATATATTGCAGAACTAAGAAAAGGTAAAGAAAAGGAGCCTGTATCAACAATAATTCTTGCACTATAATATGTTAGCTTCCATATTCTAATTTTTGTGGGTATTTGAAAGTGTTTGCCCACTTTTGGGTCTTGCAATAGTATTCAGTACTTAAGATTTCTTACTTGGCCACACCCAAGATATTGTTGCAATTGCTCAAAGGTGGGGGGTAGGAGTGATGTAAGTTGAGATCCAAACAGATTGTGGAAAAAACAAGTCAGGTAAGACTGTCAACTATGAAATGCCCTTGAAAAATATATTGGCTAGTACACCTATGTGCCCAACACAAGCATCTCAGCAACATGTTTCTTGATCACTCCTGTTCTGCCCCCTGTACTCCCCCATTTCAATTTTTCCATTCAGAACCAACTTCCTATTTTGAAGTGGTTGATCCTACTATTTATAAAATATAACAATACCTATCAGATCCTCGAATGGCAGTATTGGACTTAACACGAAAGTTCTTTAGAAACATATTTTCTAATCTTTTTGCAATTTTAGCACTATAAAATTAAAATATATTTGATAATATAATTACATAATTAAAATATAAATAACAGTAACATTTATACACAATGAAATGTATTTAAAAATATATTTCAACGTAGTGAAATAACTCAAATAAATAATATTTCTGAACTGTACTTACACATAGTTGCTTAAATTAAGGTTTTTTTAATGGTCAATAGACTCGATACAATCACAGCTCTACACTATTGTTCTACCCTTAGTTCTACTTCTACCAGGCTAACATGACGTATTCCTTCACATTGAGAATGAAGTATAATCTCGGACCTTTTACGGCAGTCTAATTTTAAATTCAAAGCATAAAATATAAATAATTTCATTTATAAAAAGAAAGCTAATAACATGTTCCAAATTATGCATAAACGATTTTAAATACGAGAATGGAAAATGAAAAAAAACCGGATTGTTTTTGTTTTTTGTGAGCAGTTTAAATTTTCCCACATAAGAAAATTACCCAGTGTTCAGTGCGTGCATGCAGGTTTATTGGCGACGATCCTAGGAAAGCATGATAGGAAATAGCTTCCTGTCCTTTATGACATTTGAAACAGCAGGCATAAAACATGTGGGTCTGCTTGGCAATGTCAAGCAAAATATTCACTTGGAATAAACGAATCACACATTAGACATTCTAAAGGGTCGCTGTGTACGTTATCTATCGACCAACACTTTCATCTTCAGCTGTAACGGCCCGAAAGAGTGTTGAGAATTCGTGTGCTTGTCTTGAACTTAAATTTGCCTAGATGCCGGCTGCTTGGAACTATTGTGCTGTATTTCGTCTTTGATAAATTATATGGCGTAGTAATAAGAACGCCGATTATTGTTCTGGAAGGTAAGTCTTTTGTTGGGATTTTAATATTAGTTCGAAATGCACGCACGTAGGACTGATTTGGCCATCCTCACATGTTGCCCACGAAAAGTTATCCCCCGTTAAACTTAATTTGGTATTTCAAAGTTCAGTTAACTAACACCGGTGTAGCCATTTGATGTACAAAAATGACATTCTCGGTCAGGTGTTGATATAAATAGCAAGTATTCCTCTTGAAAAGTTGTAGCTTATATACGGCGCTGACACCGTCCTACGCATTTTACTAACAAATATTGTTTGCCCACTGAATGTAAATAGCGGATCGTTTCAAGGCGTGGGTGATCGCTCTTTTTAGACGTCAATGTTATAATGTCCTGTTATCGGCTATACGTTTTTCGTTAATAACATAGAATTCCAGTTATTATATTTCAACAGGCAATGTAAGATGGCAAGGTACGGTGTTTTTGAATGTAGCAACGGCTTGCTTGCAATTTCGCATCATTAAAAATCTTACGACTTGCCTTTGCATAATATATGAAGTCAAACATTTATCCGTGAAGGGGATTTTGCTTTTGATATCTTGTAAAAACTGTGTTAAATCTTGTCGTTTTTAAGGTGCCATGTAATGGGGTTGAAATTGAGTTTATTTCTTTGTGCAGGCGATGATAAAAGCATGGGAAAATATTCGTAAAGGTGGAGCTAGGCAGAGCTCGCCACAGCACCTGCGTCAACAGATTGTCTTGGTTTTGCAATCAGGCAATGTTCCTATATTAAGCTACGCCGCAGTCATCAAGATATTTATAGCAATAGACATGTAATATGCAAGTTGTTTTTTCAACATAATTCAAAGGTAGGAGATTTTCTATAATTCCTAAATATGATAATCCCCAAGCCTTAATTATACAACTGTTCATGAGTTAATTCCAACTGAATATTCAAAACATGCTTTTAGGCAATTGAGTTTGTATATTAGCAAGCAACTGTTAGATTGTTGTTACATACATTAGATTGGTGTCTATTAAATCTGTTTCGGTAAATTTAGAACATGTTTGATTGACCAATCTGAATTTAATGTTGCAAATAGTGCCTTTTCCTGTTTTTGAAGTAATATAAGACAGATGTATGTTGTTACTATGGAAATTAGTTTAGCCTTCTGACACCTTTGGGAAAAGGTTCCTTACTATTTATCAGCATCTGTCCTAGGTTAGATGATGCTCAATGAATAATCCTAGTATCCTCGTCATAGAGATTCTCAAAATAATGTAGCCATTCATTTTCATAGATGGGAAAATAGAATGAAAGGGGACAGTTCTTTAATCATGTTTTACAGTATGTGTGATAGTGTATAGTCTGTGATCGGTATGAGATCTAAAATAGGATTGTTTTGTTTGTTTTTATCTGTGAGAACCGAGCTCGATGCATCTAATGATGCAGCTAAATTGGCATTTAAACTACAAAGAGTATAGTGTAGATTATAGCAATTGACAATTTGGTGATTGATTATTTGCCAACCCAAGGCAACATTAAGCTGAAGATATTCCTGCTGGACATTTTGACTATTTAATTATAAACAAATATTCCATTACTAAGATTTTATCAGTTGATTACTACCTTTGTATGTTTCTATATATACAGAAAATCTCTTACTGTATTGTACTGTACAACTTTAACTGTACTGTACAACATTTTTTAAAACAAAGTGAATTTGTTATACTGCACAATCAGGATCGAGTAGGCCTAGGCTGGGTTAAAGCTTGCAATTTATATAAACATTTCCTAATACTGAACTACAGAATAAGATGTCCTATTCCATAGAAGGAAAAACTGTATTCTTTAATCAGTATATGAAAAATTAAAATTGGTGTGATCTTTTGTTGCACATATGTATGCATGTAATGGTGTAATAAAAGCAATATATAAGTGAATTGCAACATTTTTCTGGCTGTGAAACTCTAATTTAGGTGTTTCTCAGTTTTAGTGATGAAATGCAAACTATAGTGATAAAAAGAATGGATGAAAAAGAATTGGAAAAGAAAACTGAATCAGATGTTGATCGTAGTGATCAAGAGGTGCAGTGTATACTTTGCTATTCCTTGTTAAAGCTATGTGAAGTAGTGATCTTGAAAAAACTGATTGATCAATATATCATGTCAGATGGTCTTTTTTCTTGAATCAATAGCATTTCTTGTTTTCTTGCAAAATGTAGCAACTTTGTCATTTCATTTAATGTGCTCTTAGATTGAAAGACTGATTTAGATGTCAAACATTTTTAACATTGGCCAGCTATTAAATTTAGGTTTCTTTTACTCTCAGGCCTTTTTATAACAGACTGTGTGATAATATTGATTACAATTAGATTTTGCAAGTAAACATTCCCTTTGCAGTCACAACACTGGCCATTGTAGATGCTACTCTAAGACTAATGAAATGCTATTCAACTCCTTATTAATCTAGATAAATGATGCGTTGGATTCAAATCAAGGATGTGATCCTGAAAAACAGGTGTCAAGCAGTTTGCCAAGCACACCTGTGAAAAATACTGTTCATGTTCAACCTTTACAAACTACAGTTTTTCCACGGACCTTATCCGAGGTATGATTCTAAATGCACAAAGTGAATAAAGTTATTGAATTTTCTGAATTTTTCATAGAAGTAATTCCATGACTCAATTCAAAAGTGCATTAGCTTGAAATATAGAAGTTCTCATGATGCCTTTCCAGTTACTAGTCTTTTAGTCACCCAATATTGTTTGCAAAGATTAGTGAGCTTCATTGACCCTAACTCTTGACCAAGTTTAGGAGAATGATAAGCACCCAAATAACAGCATTTTCAGTGGAGTTTCTGCTTTATAGTTGATTTTGTTAATTTATATTGTTGATAAAAGGAAATTGTTTAAAATTTCAGCCGTCAAGATTAAGAATCTTAACACGTGTCCCTGCTGTTCATAGCATGTCCTCAACTCCATCAGAAGAATCAAATGAGGTACAAATTTCTGTAATGATTCTCCAGCTTTGTACCCAGATATGATCTCATGCATCGATCATTCATCTATCTGTTTATTTGTCTTTGTAAAAAACCGGAGAACAATCAGTTTGATCTGTTTGAGTCAGTATTTAATATTTTCCTCTTGATAAAAGTAGACCAACTACTGCATTTTTCATCTTTGCCCAAGTTTATAAAGCCAATTTAGCATATACAGTACTGTACAGTATATATTTAACAATATTTATTTTATATTGAAATTTATATTATATTAAATTCTTTGTCAGGACTTGTCACTAGAAAGTTACAGTGAAACAACCCGAATTCTCAAACATCAGACCTCAAGCAAGGATGCTGATTCAGAATCTGGTTCACCCAGCTTACCATCTTCCAGAGGTTAGTTATGAAATTCAAACAACTGACTCAATAATGCAGTAGCATGTTTGAAGGTCATTGTGTCTGCCTGCCAAATTGCCTCCAAATTATCCGATTTAAAATATTGAAATTCGCACGAGCCTTCGTTCATTCAAACCTTTCCTTGACAGTGAATGTAGGTATAGTGGCCGTATTGCATGGTCGTTGACGGATCCTAGATCCTGACGCTTGCTGAACCATTCGTTTTTCCTCGGCCCTACAGTGTACGTGAGCCGAAATTTTTTCAGCAACTGAAGTCGCGGTTCCGTTCTCCAGGGAAAATATTCATTGTTCGTAGTTACTGCTATTATTTTGCAATTTTTTCGAATTCTTTATCTTGGAAACACTCGTCTACAAATTTAACGAAATAAAAAACACGATAGAAAAACTAACTAGTTTTGTAAAATTCCAAAATTGTCCGGCGTCCCAACTGTCCCAACTATACAGAAAAGCTCTAGTTTAATTATACTTTCTATGTTGGCAAAGTATTTTCTGTTCAAGGCTAAGCTCTACACCGAAGCGCATTTACAGTAACTTGCGTCGGCCGTTGATGGCAAAAAAGAGTGTGAATTAAAAAAGTCCTGAACGGACTTGAACTCATCATGTGCACAATACGTTGCACACTACGTTAGCTACCGGTACTCAGCTGGTTGCAGCTGCCCAAATAAACTATATGTACATATGGCTAGTGGTAAAAGGATTTTAAATTACGGTAACGACCATCAAAGATGCTACCGACCGTCTACGATTTCTACAAAAAAACGCACAACGTCGAAGGAATTAGAATAAATAACGAGCTTCTTAACTATAATTATATCCATTGTTTCGAATGCGTTTGATGCATAAAAGGCGCGCTTGACCCTGGTATTAGGTTGTTGGCTGATGCTACGAAGGCTCCCCTTTCATCTATAAGAACTTCTAAAGATCTTACATGCATGCGAGTCTGTAGCTGTAGTTAATACTTTTTCCAATAAGTATAGCTGTGCTATAAATATATGTTTATTCGTGTTTCAGACAGCTCCTTTGATTACACTGACTCAACTGGAACAGACTTGAATGAATTCATCATAAAAACGTTAAGGAATCAAAGGTGAGAATATGTGTGCTCTGCTAACTGGGATATTATCCATGAAAGTACATAGTTTAATAAATATCTTGAATTATGGTTTTTTGTCTTTGCTAGGGACAAGAAAATGCTTTTGAAACTTGAAAAGGATTTTCTCGGTTTCATATCGGATCCAAGGTACGTACATTGTATTCTGTCACTGTATATGGTAAATTCTGGTCAAATCAATTGAGAGGTTTCTCCAATCCTTATTCTGATCTTATGTTTACTGTTATAGGAAAGTTATACTTCAGTATCCACCAATGACATCATACCACAGAATGATTGTCCACAGAGTGGCTGCATATTTTGGACTGGATCATAATGTGGATTCCTCAGGGAAATGCATCATCGTCAACAAATGTCCCAACACTAGATAGTAAGTGCTCTAATATATCTAAGAATTCTAATAATTGCAGAATCCTATCTTTGAAATATAGCCGTACACATAAAGTACTTTACAAACTGTCTATCAGAGTATTCTACCATCAGAACAAGCATTACGAGTCACTGCAAGACAATATCTCACCATTTTGCAGTAACTGAATTGTTATGTACCATATAATATAAGCAAACCTCCGAGCTGCTTCTAAATTGCTTTTTGTCTGTGTTTCTTTCCTTCAGTCCCGAGCATAGATTTTCGGACCTAGTGCGCGAAGATTCAGAGGAGGACCCTTTACCAAAGTTAATATTAAAAAGACAAAATTCGCTTAGTGACGAATCTGGACCACCAGAGGTATGTTTCGTTAAGACACTGTATTAAGCCATTTCCCATGCATGACGCACCAGCTGAGTTTTGACGTGGAATTTTTGTTTCAAATATTCTGATGGCTTCAGAAAATAGCTTGGAGTGAAGAATATTATATATTTGGACTGATGCAAATACTAAAATTTAGACGTTTTGAGCAGAGGTTATTTGCGTGGAAGCCATGCACTGCATTTTTCACATGAGATTCTTTGTCTTATTTCATTTACCATATTGCTGAATTCAGTGCGTTTTTTACTATTTTTATCCCTTAATCAGAGTTTCTTCGATCCGCTGTATTTGAGACCATATATCAAAGCTACTACCGTGTAAAGATTGTATTGACTTCAGTCGTCATCTTATCATTTAAGTTATTATTTTTTACGTATTTCAGAGACACAATTCTCATTCCCGACGCTCTATGGAAGGAAAGAAGTCGAAATCAATCGAAGAACGAGAAGAGGAATATAAGAAAGCTCGTTCGAGAATATTTAATCACGGATCATTATCATCACAATCCTCGGCATCATCTAAAGATGGAGAGTCTCTATTTCCTGGGTTAACTGATGGGTGTGTATGAGTTTATGTCCAATAATATGAAAAATCTACTTGTCAGCTCAAAATACATACATTTCCCTCCGAACAAATCATTCCTTCTTTATGAAAACAAATTATTAACTGTTGAAATATTTCCTGTTCCTCAGGGACAGTGAAAATGAGAAAGTGAAAAGTAGCGAGTATTCCGAAAGTGTTGGTAATAAGACGGTGGATATTCCGCAGCCAGGTTAGTAGCTACAAAGCGTAGACTGGGATAAATATCTGGTTAACTTTTAACTATAGTTAGTGGCAAAATTGCCTGATCAGAATCGTGTATTTTGGAGTTAACTACGATTCAACCGCAAAATATAGTTACGAGTTTTATACCAACGGCTGCCTCAGGTTGATAAAGACAGTTTACTTCTCTGTTGTTGGATTATCTGATTACTTAGGAACGGAGCCACCTCGTAATTTAAGGGTCTGCAGAAAGAAGCATATTATTGACGCTGCCCTAAATTATCGTTTGTTTTACTTTCAAAGTTAGTTTTCTATACATCTTGCTATTTTTTTTCATCCAGCTGTTAGAGTATTGACAAACAGGTCAAGATCGCCGGATGATATTCCGCAACTAACGCTGGACGTTAGCTTGAACACAGACGCTAGTTCGTCCCCATCTTCAGCACCTCTAACTACGACTGGAACTGACTCGAACTTTGACTCCAGTGTTCTTAGTCAGTCAGTGGATACCAGTACTATTGCTTCAGTTGAAGGAGCTCCATATTTAGCGAGAAATATTCCTGTAGGTGATGTTTCAGCAACATCTATGGTAGGAATGATTCCACAACTGTCTCCGAATCAAACAGGTAATCAACTAATGGAAACTTTTGTATTTCCCTAAATTATAATTTGACAGCCTGAATCAAGATGGACAGTAAAATCGCCCGAAGTATTATGATTTATAAGTCCTTATAACGTGATTAATGAAAATAGCTGCACAGTTACATTATGTAACAGTGAAATACTCGATATTGTTGGGTGCATGCGGGCATCGTATGATGCAGATACTGTAATGCTGTCTTTGGCATTCAATTAGTAAGAATAATATAAGATTGTCATTTTAGGAGGTGTTGTATGGACTCTACCAGACAACAAGACGGCCTACCCTCCAGGTCAAGCCCCGATCTTTCCTGGACACGAAGCTAGTATGTTTTTTTAAATTGATATACTCTATAAGAATGGACAAAAATTCACTTATAATTTACTCAAAACTTAATATTTTAAATTTTAGATTTTAAAGATATTATCTACATTTAATGTTTCTTCCATAGACCGACCAATGATGGTTTCTGACGGTTTTCAACCAACTGCAGTGGGATTGCAACCGAATGTTGGTCCAACGTTTTTCTTTCCAAATCAAGGTTCCCCAGCAGGACCCGCATATCAAGGTCAACCCGCGCCAAGACAACCGACACCGCCTGTGCAACAACCTCAAGGTGGATTTTCTTCTCAGGTGTTTCCTCAACAGTTTGTAGGCCAAACGAATTTTCCTGTCTTTCAAGCTCCGAGAATGTTTAACCAACAGGTAATGTAATCAACGTCTAAGAGTGCTGATTTTTTCTTTTGATAAAAGCAAAGGATCGACTAGTCCGTGAATGTTTGGTAAAAGTTCCCTTGTTTTAACACTTTAACTTTAACCACTTGATCACATCTTTCAAAAGATCGATCGCAGCAAAACATTGGCATCTTAATACGTGACACTACACTTTATTACAACACAGAATGGGTAGTGAAACATATATACTCTCTACTCGATCAACTAATTGAAACTTCCTTCTAAATTCCTTCTTTCCTTCCTACGAATAACGACGTGATACTATTTGAATGCATAGGATTTGGAGATGTTACCTGGACAACAAACAGCTGGAGCGACTGGTACGCAAGGTGTCATCAATCCAAACGCAGGAAATCCAAACTACCAAGAGTTGAACAATCGGTTCGCCGCAGTTTCAATCAATTCTTTGGAACAGCACGAGAATCCCGGATTAACGAAGCAACGTCCGTCCACATTCCCCCCGGGTTCCACGCAAACATTTCCCACTGGTCAACCAGTGCAGTTTATGGTTTATCGCAACATCTCGGGTACTATGGCAGTTATGACCCCAGTATCTAATCCTGGTCAAGTTAACCCTGCGTATATGTATCCATCGTCGACACCCCAAACCTTTACCCCACAAGGGTACAACCCTCAAGTGTATAACCAGGTGTACCCGCAACAAAATTTTAATCAGGGATTTCCTTTAGGAGAGCAAACTCTATTGCCGCAAGGAAGCGGTTCTCACACCCCTCCGACGCCTCCTCAGAGTGCATCTCCACTAAATACAAATCAAGCATTTATTCAACATGTGCAAACAATTCCAGGGGCTCCCACCCGGCCACAAATGCCTACTCCGGTGATGAACCCTGGTGTGGCACATTTGCAAACTCGCCTTATGAACCCTTACGGATTACCAGGTCAGCAGGTTGTTCAGATTCCTGCAGGACAACAATTGTATGGTTATTCACAGGCTCCGTATGCTGTTGGTCAGAACAGACCAAACTTACCGCAGTCTGCAAGATATAAGGCGTATACAGAGAAGGGAGGTAGTAAATCCAATGATGTATATACTCCTGAATCAAGTAGCTTAAGACAGCCATCACCCAGTGATTCCCCGCGAGGTCATATCACACCGCCTGGTCAGAGCAGAAGATCAAGCAGTGGCTCAGGAAAAGGACATGGCAAAAGCGAAGGTCAAAGGTATGTTGCTACGTGTACGGACAAATCGTAACGTAGAGGTGTCTAAAATAGCTTCTAGATAGTTCTTTCTACCGTAGATCATATTTTTTTTACCGTAGACGTGTCTACAGTAGCTTCTAGGCATCAAATTTTAAAATCAAAATTCGTGCCTTTTTTGAAACTTAAATATTTTAAAACTCCATATAAAGTGGTAGTTGTTGCCACAATGATATCTTTTAGTGTGGAATGGTGAGGATGTAAACTTGTGGCGAGGTGTAATCAATCATGTGATTTCAACTTGGCACAGGATTTCAAGATATTGGCTTTAGGTTTTAGAAGAGTTCTAACAATTTAATTTCTGCTCAATACTTGCAAATGACGCAGTGGCGTAGCCAGCTCGATTATTTGGGGGGGGGGCATATTCATATATTCGTGATACGCAGGATTATTTTCTTCAAATCAATTGTCTTTACAGTCTGTTAACATGAATATATGAATATGCCCCCCCCCCCAATTATCGATGCTGACTACGCCACTGAAATGACGTTACATGCACCTCCTAATCTTTATTGGAAATACGTCGCTTTTCGGGTATACTTGCTATGTTTCTTTTATACGCTGTTAAGGTTATAAAACTGCTTTTGTTATATGTTAGAAGTCATCACCAACAAGGAAAAAGTAAGCAAAAACATCGAAAGAACCAACACAAACACGGTGGTGATTCAAGTCGTAAACAGTTTCATAGCGGATCATATCACAGCGGATCGTCGAGTCTTGAAATGGAACACGCCACAGGTATGTTCAGCCTTCCCGAGTGTTTTTTATGACTTACGCATCACGTAATCATGACATTTTAAAGAACGGCTGATATGAAAGATGACCTTTTTCCTGACATACTATATACTGTGCATGTATGTTGCTTGGAGCTACATTGCTGTTTTCACAAAGACGGTCGAAAACGATGACCCTTTAAAAGTCAACGACTCCAATTTCTAGGGGCTGATCCTCCACCTCCTGCAAAATGGCGTCGTTGAGCTTGCAAGAGTCTATTCATCCCCAAATATATACGTATCAGTAAAGAGGCGGGGCGGGGGGTGCGGTTCGTTTCTAAAGTTATCGCACACTTAAGAGCACCTCGATTAAAAATCGACGTTTTTACTGTATGTATTTTTCAGGTTCCCGATCTTATTAGCCATCACCCCACATTTGTAATATTTGTCCATGTAGATGTCTACATACGGTACTCTATTTCTTCCAGATCACGGCTCTTGTGTACTGGAAGTGTATGACGTCATAGTTAGTTCACGTGATCAGCATCAGGTAGTTGATGACTTACTCCAAGCTGGGGCAAAAATAAGTTGGAATCAAAAAACAAAACAGTCAGGAAAGACGCTGACTGCTAAAGCGACATTTCACTCGTTTGAACAAGCCGAGCAGACATTACAGACGCACACTAATCCAAATTATAAATTGCGTCGGTGCCCTCCCGATATTCCGTTCTTGGAAAGCCAAAATTATTAGGATTTTATGTGTTTATGATTTTTAAGGTTTTTAGTTAGGGCATTGACGCGTTAGTTTTAACAAAATTATGTTAGAAGTAATGAATAATATTGATTCAATAGAGTAGTAAAATTTACCCTAGTAACCAATCAGATTTTGTTTTATTCCTACGTTGAGATACGTTTGCGAACTCATAGTAAATTATATCCTATTCTAAATATACCGTTTCGAAATGAGTAACTTGGTTGCGTGAACGAGAGATCGTAGTGCGTTACGACGATCACGTGATTATAAAATGACTTGTTTGCCCCATCGGGGAATCAGATTTGTCATATGAAACCATATTTTGGACCAATGATTTTGCGACAGAAAGAAATCTGTGAAAATTTTCCGATAACCCTCCGGGTAGTCGAAATAATTAGCGTTGAAATTGAAAACCGAGTCGTGCATTTGCTTCCACCTAAAAATTCTACCTAAATTCTTCTACCTAAAATCATTCCAACGCGATTTCAAGGATGCACAGGAGTAGATACCTTGTCGATAACCCTGTCGATAATATTTAAAGTTAAATATTTTATCGTAGAACACAATCTCCATCGGTGAATAAGAGAAGTATGTTGCTTTCGAATAAAAAATGTCAAGAATGTATGTTAGTTTTTTTTAAATGACATAATTTTCCCCGCAACTTTCAGACGACTGACTGTCCACTCGCAACATCAAATGTGTAATCCGATGTATTAAATGTAGCTGAATTTTACTTGGGTCGTGGTGATCAGAATTCGGCCGCGTCGTTCCACTCGAGGAGACAAAAACATAATAATAAACTTCCATTAATTATCTATGTAAGACATTTCTGCAGGCTATTGACAGCGGCTCTTTGTGGTAATCCTGTGTAAAGTATACTGTCGAGGCATAGAAACCAATCACTAGGCATATTGCGCAATCTCCAAATGGCTAACCAATAGGAAGGCTTCGGATCAATATCGTGCCGGAAACATTTTTGTTATACCAATGCACGTGCTGAATACATTCGTGCACCACCAACTGCATGTCATTACAGACTGATCTTCATTCGTGGTGGGATTTCAAGTATTTAAAAATTGCATTAATGAAGATTTGTGCTTTTTAAAGGCAAGAGAGATCTTGTGTTGTATTTAATGTACCTATGAGGTTTGTTAGTAGGCTATGAATAAAGGAAACTTGTGTTTATCGCCATGTTTATATGTTGGCCCACCGGCGTGGTCTTGCATATGTCTTGAATTTTACTTAAGATATGCAAAATATGAAACTAAAATTTCATCCGCATTTAAGGGTTTAGATTGGATTCGCACATTTCATCATGAAATGAATCATTTTATAGGGAAAGGTAACAGATATATAGTTACGAAGCACTGTTTGGCTACAACGAGAAATCGATTTTAAGTCACGATGCTACCATGCCGAGGAGGTTGAAATTTGTCCGTGTTTTGACATAGAATCAGCTAGATATTGGTGGTCAACTCTCCATATATGAACAGATTTAGTCATGTCTCTCTGAGTCTGTCTATTTTTGTCAAATGGCAGTCCAGCCAGGCAAATACGAAGAAGTTGGCGAGATTGGCACTGGGGCTTATGGCACTGTTTACAAAGCCAAGGATTTGTTGAACAACAATCGTTATGTAGCCTTGAAAAGAGTGAGGATTACAAATACGACGGAGGAAGGACTGCCAGTATCGACATTACGGGAAATAGCCTTGCTTAAACAAGTTAATAAAATTGGTCATAAAAACATTGTCAGGTAAGGCATGTTTGAAGGAGTTATAACAAACTCATGCTGTGTACTTGGAATCAATGTGCGTAAAATTCCTTTTACTAATTAAAATTTAAGATTTTGTTCCTCATCGTATTACCTGAGAGATAATTTCATTTACTAACTACTGTGGATTTAGCTTCTTGGTTTAGTTTCGTTTATGGACTATTTTACAATTTTTTTCATATTTTTAAAATTGTTTTGTTTATTTTCATCTTCCTCTGTCCACATGGAGATGGAAATTTGATCGTTCCTCAGCACATTGTAAGCTGTCATTAAATTCAATAATCCAGTTAATTATCTTCTCTCGTCAAAAGTCTTCATCCCACACACATGTGTTATTGATTTAAGTTATTGAAAAACATCAGTTTGGCTGCATTTTCGCTTGTCATGATATCAGATGTAAAATGATGAATGAAGGTGTGAGTGCATGATGGTGCATGTATGTACCCTAACTATTGCCCCTGACAAACTAGTTTTATCAAGTATTGAATAATCAATTAGATTAGCGTCTGTGTAGATTAAGCCACCACCCTTTTCATTTCATTGCAAGAGATTTTAGTCTGTGAGGTAAATATACTGTTTTCGAATGCAGTGGTTGTAGTAAATAGAAATTGTCTGCCACTCTCCAATAAATATTTAATTAAAATTCCAATGCTTGCTCATTTCAATAAAAAGTCAAGATTTGTCTAAAGAATTTCACTCATGATTGACAGCTTTGTGATGTGCAGTCATGTTGAGTTCAATGTCTTCAGTGCAACTACCATGGGATGGATGACTGCACCAAATGTTTTAAATTCATTTTCATGATAATTGCTTTCCTGTTTTTAAACCATTGATGTTTTGTTGTAACTACTGTAACCTTACGAAGAGTCCTATTTGATACTAAGATACTCGCAATATCAAATTATGCATTTATTGATAACTAGCGATTGTATAGTTACCTGAAAATGCGTATTGCACATTTGAGACCTGCAATAGCATGCATGACATAATTACTATTGACATACTTGGCTAAGTGCAGTTCAAATAAAGCAGACCATTTCAAAGTAAGGCAAAGATGCCAGCATGATGTTCAGCTTTGCTTGCATACCATTTGCTCAACAGATAATTTACTAATAGGAGTTGGATATGTAGCATCATCTGCCAAAAACAAATATAGTTAGATGATTTTGGGGTACATATCTTTGAGAACTAGTGATTTTCGTTTGAGTAATCAATCTAGCCTATCTTTTAGACTACAGCCACCCTATTATTATGTAAAAGTGCAAATTAAAAGTGATACTATATCTATGATCTTTAATAATTTTAGATGAGAAGAAAACTAATGACGATATGTTGTTATTCCATTTAGCATAAGTATGCATTGTCTATGATTTTTGAAAGATCTGCGGTAAATCCGCGCTAAGCCCTTCAGGAAACGAACCACCAAAGTAATTGAATAGTTGCAAAACCGAAAGGAACATCGCAGTTGCAAAATCCTTTGATCAACTACTGCTATTATTGTTGAAGCTGTTAGCTCTTAGCAAATATTAGACTTCACCAATGCAAGAGATTTTGACCACTGTTAGTTTATATGATACGAAGAAATTGATCCGTTCGAAAATAAAACCTTTCCTAGAAAAGACCATCATGCAGTTCTGATGCAAACCATCGCACGTTTAGTGTGAACTGCGTAATATTCATCCGCGCAATAATTGACTGGTGATACATAAAAAATGCGAATCTTGGATCAGGGGAATATATATTTATATATTTTAAAACCGATACTGGCGATCGAGTATTCACTAGTCAGTGTATCTTTTGTGTCAACGAAACAGTGCTGTCATTGTAGTTTTTCCGAGCGAATGTTCGCTAATTTTTCTGTTAAGTATACTAAAGTATGGAGTGAGGCACGTCTTTGATGGTCGGGCACATCCTTAACACCAATCCACCAGACGCCCACACTCTTATTAACGACAAATACACAGAAAATAAACCAGACCCTCAAATAACCCAACCAAAAGGTATTGTCACTGGTTCAATTTGGGAGTTTTCAAATATCGAAATATATAAAAATTGGAAACAAAGTGGTACCAGGCAGTATTCGAACACAGGCATCCCGCACAAGAACACACCCCTTGACCACGGGACTGCCACGTATCGATGGAAAGCCCACTAGTTTAACGTTGTATATATTGGAAATGAAAGATGTGCCCGACCATCAAAGATACATTTCCCAATTATTTTTTCTGTCCTTTGCCCTCATACGCCAACTGGTCGCCTCACGTTCGTCGTCCTTTGACAACAGCCAAGTTGAACAAATTTATTTACTCTAAAAATTCCAATTCTCTGCAAGTGAGAATCCACCCTAAGTATCAACTTTGTCATTTAAATTTCTGTAGTCTACTGGATGTTTTTCATACTCCCCATAATGCAATGCAAAGAGAGATATGGTTAACGTTGGTGTTTGAACATGTTGAGCAAGATCTTACGACTTTTCTTGAGAACTGTCCACCTCCGGGACTGAGTCCATGGACGATCAAGGTACTGTCAAAACTACTCGAGCTTTCGACGTATGAAATAAATATAGATTCCTAATGATAATCCAGGAAATAACGAGACTGGTATCTGGAAACCTGTTGATTTAGGTAGTTTAGGCGTTTTAAAGGGTAAAGTAAAAGTTTATGAATTATCTGACCTCTGATATTGTTTCTAACAATTTAGAGTATAATGCATCAAATGTTGGAAGGAATTGATTTTTTACACACCCATCGTGTCGTCCATCGAGATTTAAAACCACAAAATATCCTCATTACCAATGATGGCAGACTAAAAATTGCTGATTTTGGTCTTGCTAGAATATATGGCTTCTCAATGCTACTAACTTCTGTTGTAAGTAACCTATTATACCGTCTATATTTTTTGTATACATTACAAACCATACTTGTATTTACCACGGTGCAATCAAGTCTAGGTAACTCTAGTTGTGGTGCATGTAAATATATTTCATTTTTTCGTTGGAGGAATCTGGTCAGAAACTTGAAAATCCACGATAACGTGTATTCACATGATAGCTATAATTTCCCTCGAGGCTGGCGCCCTCCACATAAAATCCGTCCGTGTTACAGGAGTTATACTCGTATTTTCCATTCAGGTTGTAACATTATGGTATCGGTCACCTGAAGTGCTTCTTCATTCGGAATATGCTACTCCTGTTGATATGTGGAGTATAGGATGTATTTTTGCTGAACTGTTTAACCGTAGACCGCTATTTGAAGGAAAGAATGAGTGTAATCAACTTCATAAGATATTCTGGTAAGTAATGAATTTCCAATCAAATTTCTCATCTTAAACGACGAAATAATAGTTATTCAGACGCAGTTAAACGATAATAGCCCAGCTGATAGTTCGTTCGCCAAAATTCGGGGTTCATTTTTTGATGAAATAGCCGCAGTATTGCGCCTGAGCAGTCATTCATTACACATAATACGATTATAGATTTAATTTTATATGATAACCAATGCTACTGCCGTTTAAGGCATCAGTAATATCTAGATTCGTGTTAAAAATTATTTGATTCGTGTCAATATCAGATGAATGATCATCTCTGGTGTATTAGGATAATAGGTTCACCCCCTGAAGATGATTGGCCGGAATATTGCTCACTACCGTGGGGTCAGTTCATGGGATATATCCACGTTCCTTTAAAGAATCTTATTCCAGAGTTGTGTAGCGAAGGAGAGGATTTACTTAAGGTAGAGTCATCCTTTCAGTAGTTGATTACCTTGCAGCGAACCAGTTTAACTGGTCATAGTCAAACACTCACATGACACCTTAATTTGTCTTTCCTAATTTTTTGACAGAAATTAATCAAGTACAATCCACATGATAGAATCAAAGCTCGGGTAGCATTAAACCATCCTTACTTTCAAGACTTTGCTGAGGTGACTGAGAACAAGGAGAATTGCAATGGTGAGACTTATCACTCGGGTTATCACACGAAGGAAACAAATGGTGATATGACTGCGCTCAAGGATTCCACAAATGATGACAGTTCAAGAAAATTAAGATGTTCAAATGAAGCAGACTGCAATAACGATCCAAAACATCCATGACGCGAACGTGCATACGATACGCCAAACACGGAATTCCTGTTCAAATATACTCCACATGCATAAAGCACTGCCAATTTCTTTATTTCTTGTATTTATAAAGTTTAAACATTTAGACCATCGTTCGACACTGATGGTAGAATTTTAATATATGCACTAACAGACTGTGACTAGGCAGCCACATACATTTTTTTGTTTTGTTTTGGAAGCCACCATTTAATGTCAAGTCGTTTTTCTAATACTCCGAAATACTTTTTACATCGTTATCGAAGTTGGTAAGAAATAGTTCTGTTTTCTTTGCAAAATGTGCAAATGCAAAAGTATTCCTTGTAGAGCAAATTTACATACTTTATTTAAACCTCTCATTTAACATTCTTTAAAAAATTTTAATATATTTGCTAATGTCTCACGTTCAGTTTCGTGAGTGAGTGAAATTGAACAAAACGAACTAAGAGTAAGGGCACCCAATGCTTTCATTAGGAGTGGTAGGGAACAATGCTATTAACACTATAGAAGTTGATCTTCAATCTACCTTTTGCATCAAAAGTAAAAATGTATTAGAAACATGCAGCGTTCATTAGTATTTGAAAATCATGCCACTTATAGGCAATTAGTTTTATATATATACATTCAATTTTACTTTAATAAACTTTTGTAATAAAAGTATTTTTATACCGCGTATATCAATATTGTATACTACCGGGTTTTTTTTGTCCAGGAATCGGAAACCACTGTTGTGAGTCTGTAAAACGCGATTGCATTTAGAGCACCGAGTTCAATAGCTGATTGTTATTATATGATCCCACTTTCTTGGCATACACAGTCACAAACCAGAACGAACATCATTTTTTTATCGTTTCTGATAATTGAACGAAGTGATCATTAAGACTCCTGGCATATTCCAATGCATGCGTTTTCCCTGCCAAAAAAGCAAGTGCAGGGTGTACGAGGAAACGTCCAGACTTTGTAATATCATTCTTCACAACTGAAAACTTCAACTTTGCCTTATGAACTAACATTGTCATTGACTTTTGCGATGCTTTTTGTGTTGTCTTCTTCATTCGAAACTTCGGTTTGGTTCTTTTTTTCGTTTGCAATTTGATGGAGGTTGTACCTCTTGAAACGAAAGAAGTCTTGAAGAGTATTCATGAGGCAAAGACCCTAGAAATTCAATTAGGTAGGAAACGACTGGTTGAAGAATTTCGGGACAATGTTATTTGACTAAAAAGTAGTAAACTGTTAGTTGAGAAGATAAACATAGAAATGTAAATTTTAGAAATTTAGGTATCAACTATTGCTACGTACCTTCATAACTTCAACAATCACAACAATATCTGGATTTTTCAAGTCAACTTTATGTCCAGAGTTTAAAAATATTGAAGATACTTGAGATATGACGTCGTCCTTTATGAGACTGCTGTTAAATCTCGACTTGTACTGAACACACATCTTGGGGACAAAAAAATGAAAATACAGAAAATAAGGCTTTTCGTCCGTTCGTCCGTTTTACGAACGTAAACCCACAATACTCACACTAAGACAATCTTTACTATCTTTTTCCGGTAGAAAATGTTTCAAAACAGTATCATTGATAGACTCAAGATCAGCTGCACAAATTTCAGTGATTGGCACAAGTCTTTGAAAGTTTCTAAATAAAGTAACGAAGTTAAAAATGGTATTGACAACAGAGGCAGGGGAATGTGTTAATCATATTTATCATGAAGGAATATGGAGCAGCAGATTGTTGCAGTTTCTGATTAACAAAATTAGTTCTTGGGAAGAAACAGATCTGTACCATTGACTGGTATCATGATTCCCTGCTGAACTTGTATTTTATTCCTATCCGTTTTTTCTTCAAGTCCCCATATTTTCATCCTTGATGAATTATGCCAATTATGTAGGGCAGGAGATTGTGAATGCATTAATTGAGCTTGCATTGCAGTGATTTTAGCTTGGAGAACAGTGCTCTTACCACTTAGCTATGGAAACCTAATTCTTATATGTACATAGAACCATGCAGCAGCAGAAAGTAAGATTACCTTGTTTTATTTTGTCCTGTCTTAGCAATATCAGAAAGAATACATTGTATGAGTTTATTCAGGTCTTTCTTCGACAGTGTTGTTTTAATAAATAATATAGCATTTACACCAGTGGGTATCTCTTGAAATCTTCTTGATTCTTTCAGACTTTTGATTTCTTTAATTTCTTTCGCTATAGTTTTTTCAATGTCATTCTCATCGCTTTCATTTTCAGAACATGATTGATCTTCTACATGCTCAATAATTTTTTCACCATCTCCATGCTGGTAATTAATAACAAGTCTCTTTTTGTTTTGATTGTCTTTGCAATTGGTGTCTGTGTCTACATCATGATTGAAATCCTCCCTGAATTCTGCACCGAACAATTCATCTGCATACTATAGTTCAACAATACCCAGCGTTTAGATGAAAAGTCTCATATATTTAGGGTTCTATTCTCACTATTGGTAGGTAAATCATTCTATGTAAAGTGAACATTTGTGATTCACACAACTAGCAAAAATATTTATAGAAGCTATAACTGTTGATGATGTATGTCATGAATTACAAAAACAAAAAAAAAAGAGTTAGATTGAATTAGGTTCCTCATCGATATCTTCAACATTGTCTTGTACCTCATGCGCATCTGTCATATAGCAAGTAAGGAAGGTTGATAGCACTTTTATACTACGTAAATTGAAATTGTCTCGCATTGCTATAAATATAGAAATCGGCATTTTATTATTTGGCATGTTTCATTGAAGAAACGTGCAACGATCGTGGTGAGCAGAGCACGAGTCTCATGAGCCAGGTATGTCAGCTGTCAGGTATATATGCCGCTTGCTATAGGGAGCAATAAGAATCCGTTGAATGAATATCCCGAATGCCAGCAACTATGTGGCTGAAATATGATGTACGCAGTTTGTGTGTAATATTGCTTTTATAAATCACCTCGTTTAACAGGTTATATGCCTCCCTTTTCGCCTTCGCTTCGTTGTCAGCTCCAAACACAAGAACACCTCTCATTCCTACTTTGATAACCTTCTCGTATTTCTAGTTAAAATATTGTTTTGAAAAGAGTAAATATGCGTAAAATATCCGAAAAGTAAAATTGAAAACAATTACCCCCTTCTTGGCTCCACCATAAAACCTTTTCGACTTCTTTTTACGTTTCCCTTGGCTGGAGGTTTTAGAAGATTCTGCCATATTGTCAAGGATGAAAAAATTAAAATAACATGAAGTATCGCACATCCTTCATTATCAGTACAAATAGGTACGCAATGCGTACGGTTAGGCAATGTTTTTCAGGCCCGTCACGATCGCATGCGCAGATTTCCAAAAGCCGCTTCTGCTTTGCCCGCGCGGATGAAGCGGACTGTAATGCAGAATCGCCTTTACACTTACACGTGCTAAGCGTTCTCATTTCTTTATGCAGAATTATGCAAAAAACTGGCAGCAGGCGAAGCAGCCATCCACTACAAAACAGAATGCTATATTGCGACCATGCCTATTGCGAAATGTGAAATGCGCGATTGCATTCACATAAAAAGGATCCGACTCAAGTGGCCCTTCTAGTCCCTCTCATTGACTTGGAATGACTCGTGTCGATTGTTTCTATATAATATAAAATAGGGGCAGGCTCAATGCTGCAGTTCCTTCCAGATTGGACAGAATTACTGATAGTCGTCTTCCTCCCAAATCGTTAGGCACACGAGCCCGGTTATCCGAGATTTAACGAAGCGTAAAATGACTTAAAATGAGTGAATAGGCCTTCATAACTACAGGGTGATTAAAAAAGGCGATGCCTAATTAATATTCAATACCTAATATTCACTCTGTTTAACCATAGTTAACTATGGTTTAGCAACACTAAAGACGTTTGCACATTGGTCCTTGAGGCTGTAATCGTATTCTAGTGGCACAATTGTCTAAATGAAGTCTGGTGCGCACACAAAAGACATTTATTTACCAGAGATCTAAAATAAGTGGTTGCCTTTTATACACCTTGTATAAGCGTGTGCTTGTTTGGTTTCAGAAAGACGTATTTTAATACAGTCATCTTTAGCCTCAAAATTATCTCTAGCCTACGTCGCAGTCGGATAAACACGAAGATCTCACGCTTCGCTAAATCTTGGGTAACAGGGCTCATGTGAACAACCAGGGAATTTACATGGTTTAATACACGTGTAGGAGAACTGAATTGAGGTATCGATTCGAGCGTGTTTTCATACAGAAAGCTATTCTTACATTCCTTGATGGGGTGAAATGTTTAGCTAAAGAAACAAAGGCTAAATGAAGCGAAATTTTCGTGATCAATTAAAAGATGTCCCCACAAGTTGATCGAAAGCAACTGATGAATATGCATTACCCGTACTCCATGTATATGGACCGATTATGCTCATAATCGTTCTTCAGTGGCTAAAATGGACTTGCTTTGCTATCGTACGTTTCTTGTAACTCGTACTTGTTTTATTTATTATTTTAGAAGGAAACTTCTGTAAGAAAAAGCACAGAATTCTGAAGTGACATGAACGCGTGTAAGTAACCAGGCTTGTCTTGCCAATTTCAGTTAAAGCTGTTTTAGGTAGATCTCTGTGGGCATGTAATTAATTTGCGAATTTCTAAATGGGGCGATAAAACGGTCACGTGATAAAGCCAGGGAACATTTTAGGGCCATTTACACTGTCAAATTTCCGTGATCACAGTTGGCATTTTAAAACGGAAAATCCTAAATCCTTTGGTCAGCGTTTTTTAACTGTACCAAATAAAGAAAACTGAGGTTCGTTTAATGTCAAATGAAAGAAATATTTGTTGTTCTTTTTATAGCAGCTGATTTAACTTTTTAATAAAATTTTTAATCAGAGAATGGCGTTGTCGTTTGGCTTCAAGTTTAATTAGAATTTCGTCTGTTATGCTATCAGTATGTATGCCGTTGCTGCTTTCCCGGGCTAAACGCTTGGTATATGAATATTTCATCATGTTTCCTTTCAATCATTCGTGTGGACTGATTCAAACTAACTCCTAATAATTGGGTATCCATTGTATTATTTTCCGATAGACGAAGCATTTTTCGCACTAGTAAATTCAAACAACGGAATCCCCGATCCTTAGGACAAGTGTGAAACTGGCTTAAGCCGCTAAAAATATTTTAATTTTCGGTGGCCATTTCTGTCTGCTTTGGATCCGGACTTTTGAACTGCATGAAAAAACGTACGCCAGATGTAACCCCAGAGTATTGGATGCTTACATATTTAATACGGTGAGGAGAAAACCACTTTGATGGATATATGATATATGCTAAGTTTCTTTACCAAACGCAGGTGCAAAGAATCACTTACTTTGCTTAATCATCAATGTAAACCAATAGAAAGAGAGTAGGTCAATAACGAGAAGAAATTTTAACAAAGGTCTACAACAAAACATGGAATGAAGGATGCGATGGATACTGAATGTTGGACTCGAAAAACTCTTTACCCTACCGTCTTTGATAATTGTTTTGCTCCCGTTCCAGGTAGTAGCCGTTCTTTGAAAAATCGGTACTGGTAAATTTTTAATATGGGACCAGGGAGCATCGTTGCAGCGAAGAGATTACGACTAAGGTCTATACTCATGCATTTTAATCGTTTGGCAAAACAGTGTGTTTTCAAATATCGACAATTTCACGATTGATTTATTCTCCTTCCAGATCTTGTAATCCAGTTCAAGTAATTGGCCAACAGTCCAGTCTATTGTTAGTGGCTCCTCAATCATAAATATTATCATTTCGTCGGTAACGTGTGAGTAATATCTAGAAAATACACCTTCCACGCTGGAGTTGAAAAATTACAGGTATATTCGACATATAAGCAATGCCATTGCTTATAGATGCAATAAAACAAAGAAGATATAAAAAGATTCAACTGGGTTTACATTTAGGTTGGGATTTAAATCAAAGGGATCCAGAGCAATTGCGGACACCTTTAATAGAATTAACGTTTCTTGAAAATGAAGCCATCGCTGCATGTTTATGTAAGCGATTTCTACTTGCCGGCGCACGGCCGGATTATAAAGATATAACCGGAAAAAATGCGCTTCATTGGGCTTGTGAAAAAAGTCGGGAGAAACTTGTAGAAATTCTCCTCAGAGAATGGAATGAATATGATATAAATGCGCAGGATCGTGAAGGCAACACCGCTCTTTCTCTGGCTGTAATATCAAACAATGAAAAGATTGTTAGAAAATTGATAGAAATGTTGTTGCGCTATAATCTGAGTGTAGATTTGCCGAACAAAAACGGAGAGACACCGTTGATTCTTGCAAGTAAATGTCGGTGCTATTTTCTTTGTGAGATACTTAGAAATGTCGGAAGAGCGTCAACAGAAATGAGAGACAACGTAAAACAGCTGAATGCGAAGGAGTGGGCTTCGTTAAAAGCGCCTGTGGAACGGCCGGTCAGTTCATCGTGTGATAATAGTGCAGTGAGGGCAGAACCTTGGCAGAATAAATGCTCAAGTCGTCGACCAGAATCAGTAAGAAAAAACTATAAAAGCGAAATGTACAAAATATTTAGTCTTTATTATGATGAAATTAGCTCGTCATTTCGCCAATCCGCCATTCCACCTCCCAAAGAAGAAGAGAATTCTGATTCAGCGACTTGCTACGAAAATGGAGATGATTATTTGGACTTTTCGGTTAATGATCTTGCGACCTGTTCTGTGACGTCAACACGGTCAGGTAGAAAGCGGTTTTCTATTTCCAGAGCAGCACAGGTACCCATCACTGTTAATAGAATGCGCAGGACTAAGAATACTTGGGAAGAAGGTAAAAGTCAAAATTTATGGATGGGAAAACAAGAAAACTGCAAGCTTAATGCAAGCCGAAAATCGATCATTCCTAAGCCAGAAGCAACTACAACTGTTCCAGTCATCAAACGAAACTCGTGTCCCATTTTACGACGAAGAAGGACAGTGAACAATAAGGACGAAATGTTCAGACTAGAATCATTGCCTGAGAGTATTGAACAAGAGTGACGAAGACAGATTGAGGGAATGTTAGACTTATGAAGATTCGCAGAATATGGCAATACCTAGTGTACAAAAACCACAAATATAATCCTTAATCTAATACATTAATCCCTGTATAAACTTTAATATAAGCGGCTTATAGGAACAAAGTAAGGATTACATTTGTGGATTCTGGACATGAAATTACTACCAAAATCATTTTCCTAATACGTTTCTGCGCCCGCAGCCCACACCGCTGATGTCCTGTAGATTTCTGACCTATCCCACACTCACCTAATTTCTGGTATGCAGCAATAAAAAGTAATTATCCGGATCGACAAGTTATACGCGGAAATTCAACTTATACTTTTCGATCTTCCTTCGACTTAACATTTAAGACGCTTGCTGGTCATGACCTGTTACAGGTACTTCCTCTATGAATACTTATTTGTTCCTATGCCTTTCCTATATGATCATTTGGCTCGTGTGGGTCTGTGTTGTAGGCAAAACTTCATTATTTAAGCAATTACCACGAAAATCTTTGCATCAGTTTGATCTGCCATATAAGTAAGTGAGTATAAATAAATTATTGCATGTATTTTGCACGCCTAAAGTCTAAATTGGATAACAACATTCATTTCCTTTCCCGCCCAATTGATCACCGATATTAAATTTGTTCATTTTTTTGCGTGAAGTCTACAGGCACGCAAGTCATGTATAAAAAAGAATAAAAAGGCAACCTGCTAGGACAGACTTGACACTAAGATACAGAAGACAACGACGTTTCGCTTTCATGCTGAGACTTATATTTTTTGGGTCGCTTGCGTGAGCGTATAAAAAAACCGGTATGTCCGTTCTGTTTAAGCTAGTCCTGAGTAAAAGCCATTTTTCTTTTCACCGTAGGGTCAATTTATCAGTGAAAAACGTCTGTACAGATTAAATGAAAATTTTTAGACTAAAGAAACTGAAATATATATAGCGGTCAGTTCAATTGTGCCCATTCATTCAAAAAATGTTCGAGAAATTGGAATACTGTCGAACATATGAGTGAATCCATATGAGAAGATATTGAATACTGCATGTAAATACCTGAGCTCTGGCTCCGCACTCATGCAAACAGTAGAACTGAGTCGAACCAATTTCTTGTGTGATAAGATCCCTTTCTCATCAACAAGGACAATAAAGATGTCTTAATTCCGAAGACCACTTTTCTTCATCAATATTTTTAAACAACTGTGGTTTACAATAAGACTGAAGCAGGCATTCAAATTTGAGGAACAGTGAATTTTGGTTTTCTGTAAGACACTGCCTTGCTTATACTGTCAGATAATGGCGTCTAAATATTGGGCGGTTTTCGTATTCGTATTCGTAACCATGCATGCATCAACCACATCATTACTTTGAATACAGAAATAAGAAAAAGTTTAACTGCATAATAAGACGCTCAAACTGTTCCAACCAGATATACGTAAACCAAGGTATCTCGTAAATAGATCACGACTCAGTCAATATACTGTAGGTTTTTTCTTATTCATCAAGATGAAACAAAACCTCGCGGAACATAATAATTTTACCAACGAATTTGATGTTTTGTTTATAATATTTCACAAATTATCACTTGTGTGTTTCCAATAAATTAAATTCTGCATATATATATTACATATTATATAAATTACAAAATCTTTCATATTTGTTAGTTATCTCACTATTTTCTTATAATTACAATTGTTTTTATTTTATAAGTTACAATAATAACACCACTGATGGATAATATACGATGGAGGAATACATATTGTCTTTTAGTCCTATAAAGGAGTTGTTGTATTACTGTATCGGCAGTTTCACGGATGAAAATGCTAGGATATAAATATTTTGCCTTTATACCTCCCAATAGTGATGATCATGGGATACTCTTTGTATTTAGTGAAACAATTTCGTGCTTTCTTTTATCTGTTGGGTTGAACTATCGCAGACCAACAGTGCTTCCAGAGTTGTATTTTCAACAAAAACATGGCCAACTATGGTTTCATGTGGTCTGTGATCGTCAGGAGGTCAGGACACGAACAACACAACAAATTCTTTTAGTTCCTGCTTCCATGCATGCATGGGGTTGAGTTTTTAAATTTTTTTATACTTGCGACGCAAAGCGGCTTCGTTTTTTTTCAATCCGATACGAAGTTCATTCTGTAGACCGAGCTACACTCTCCTATATTAGATACTGCGGTCCAAATATTAATTACAATTCGTTCAATTTAATTTTAAAATGCCAAAATAGAAGGGATTGAATTAAAAGAAATTGGGTTATGATTGAACACGAATCTTTGAGTGAATGACTATAAGAAAATACGTGTCCTCATTTAACTATATTGATAATTATGGTAGATCCTGGTTTGTCAAGAGAGCGAAGGTAAAAGAAATTTTAAAACCAAGTCAGGGGCGAACTCCATCAGCATCGCAACGTTCCTGATTTGAATTTTAAATCATATTCTAATCTTTCCTTCTCCTGCATTAACCAGCATCTACATATTATAATTCAGTCGCACAACACTCGCTATGCAACTATATAATTTACTTATAAATGACAGGCTTGCGGCGCTTGCTGGATTTATAAGTTAAATTTTAGGTGACGCCATTAGATCTATAATAGCCACACGATTTATATAATCGATAAATTTTGATATGCGCCGAACTATTGCTACAATTTTACTTTTGCGTGCGCCTAATTTGCATATATAATTCGGTGTTAACACAAAATACTCTAATATCATATTCCTATATGGAATTCCGTATGCTTTTTGCTTAAATCGCATAGTTTAGTAAAGATGGAAAGATTTTAACACAATGAACGGCTATATTTGCTGCATGTCCATCACGCCCTGTGTATACATGGTCAGTGTGAAATATCAGTCACTTACGGTCTTGCCAACGTAACGCCATGAATGTTCATACTGTTGAATGACATCAAACAATTTTGTTTTGTCCGATAATACTTTCAATTGAAAATTTCAACGGTTGTGCCGTAGAAGTGGGTTGTCGGGAAGGGCATCCTTCGCAATATGTACATGAACATGAAGTAGTTGTTCGTTTCAATTGCATCAAACTTCTGTACGGAATGCTGCTTGTGTAGTTATTTAAAAAAGTTCGGTAGGAATAGGTCAACGCCGGCAGATGATATCCATGTGGTGACATCATCATTCCATGAGCAGGGTAACTAGGAATGCTTGAAGTTACACGACTGTATGGTGAATAATTGAATGTAATTGTTTTTGGTCGTTTGAACCTCTTTCGTCTTCTAAGAAAGCTACCATTATCAAACATGCCCTCACTCGCTGGATCTAGTGTCCAATAATTGCCCTTACCAGGCTGGCCAGGTTCTCGAGGGATTTTAACAAAACAATCATTCAGCGAGAGATTATGTCTGATTGAATTCTGCCATTGTGGATATTTTTCTTTGTAGTAAGGAAATCTGTTCATAATATATTCACAGATCTCGCTGAGTGTGAGTTTCTTTTGTGAAGACTGAGCAATAGCCATGGTTATGAGGGCGATGTAAGAATACGGAGGTTTCACTAATTTTCTTTGAGCACGAGTAGTGTCTAATATGCTCTCACCCTCGGATATTTCTTCATTTTCATCATCTTTGTCATCAAGTTCTGTTTCGGGATATACTGGAAGTCCTGAAATATCGTGCAACTGTTCCTCGTTTTCGAAATCCAAGATATGAACAGATGTAGAAGCTTGCATCGTTGTTCTTGATGAGTTCGTTTCTTTTTCTCCGTTTAAAGAATTCCCTGTTTCAAAGCTCCCTTCAACGTGGTAGTTTTCCACCACATTGTACGTTTTGTACATTTTAAGCTTTTAGTCCAAGACGTTTTATATCAGCCCAGACTGGATGACTTTACCCACCAACTCTGAAATAGTGCGATAATATGATACCCTTTTAGTTCGGAGAAGTTGTCTATTCGACAGTATGCAAACAATGAGTTGCATGTTGAAGTATTAAACAAAATATATAACTCACCTCCCGTGAAGTTCAATGTTACAGTCGAGCAAAATTTATCACTTCCCACCCAGGCACTGCGTTATGTTCCTACGTTGAACAGACAGTTTATAAACACAGTAAATCATTTATTTTAGATTACAGTTGATCGGATTAGCTTTCGCTTGTTATTCTTACGACTTGTGCACCAAATGTGTCTTGATTTCCTGGCTATTGTCCCACAGGAAGCTCCTACACGCTTCTGAAGTTTAGTGCTTCATTTGTATGGATTTATTGCTTATTTATTCCAGGTGATGTAACAACTTTCTAACATCTACTCACGGCCACTGTCATAAAGGAACTTACATTCAACTGTAAAAGAACGTTTATGAATAGCGATTGTGATACTGATAACTGCTGGGAACGTTGTTGATAAAGTATTATACATTTGATTAATGCAGCAGAAACACATACCTTCTGCTTTTTAATATTAAGCACTTACGCATATAATCAAACCTTCAGTTCGGTCATTCCTGAATTTCATTCTTTGCAGTCTGATGGTATCATTTAAACAGATTATTGTTTATCCAATATTTTATATAACTGAGAATTTTTATTCGTCTAAATGTTTTAGCTGTTTTTTTGCACGCATTTGACGCATAAACACATCATGTGTTTCCTTTCAGATCCAACCACCCGCAACGGTCTTAACTGCGAAGGTAAATAAGAGAAAATATGACCCAGCAGGTTAACCATAATATTTGTGTGATCTATATATGTTTGGAAAACTAGCCAAATGAATTGGGGTATTGCTTTCATTTCAGCTTTGATTGTTTTCGGAAGGTGAGATACCTTGTTTTTCTGAACCTTGTTAGTTTGAGCTTAAGTTTTAAGCAGTTTTAAGCTGTTTTTCTTCCGGGTCATAATATATCGAGAAGGAAAGAGGATAAATTTTGATCGTATAAGTTTATCGAGATTTCCGTGTTGCGGAAAAGTTATTACCCGTTGAACTGCGTGTTGTAACAGTTGCCCAGAACATATATCTGTCTCAGCGTGACACTTTATCAATTTGTACGGTAGGCAGGTATTGTTGTTATTGATATTAAAAACGAACTCGCAAATTTAACATATTACGCATTCCTTAATCGATTATTAGCACATCGCAGAATCACACGACCTCTAATTTGTGTTGATTTAGCTTTCTAAAAACTTCATTAAACGACTGGCTGCGTTTTAACAAGGGTTTGCTTCACATATTCTAACAAAGCAAGATAGCGTCCTTCGTATTCAGATCCTGTGGTGACCTAATGTTTAAAATAATGATGTGCTAATTTTGAGAGAGATTTATTCACACTACACTCCCGGTGATGAAACGTAAACTATCTAAAGCTAGCAGGATATCGGAAATGGGGACCACGGGAGGACATATATCTAGCTCTATCTCCTTGGTCCCGCTAAGTGATTGGGGAAAGAATAGCAACTCCGCCCAGTCATTAACAGAAACTCGTTACTGACACTCTTAGGGTTTGATTAAGATGCTGTTATTAAGAATGGCATTTAATAACAATCGCGCCATTGGTCTTTTTTCAAGGCGTGTTGCTTGAAAAGACTTGGTATTTTAGATCATACCGTAATATAAATGTTTAATTTTGTAGATAATGCGAATTATGTCGACCGTTTTAGCCTATATTTTACCTTTTTCATCATTGAACTGACACAATTTACAAGTTCAATTGCATTTTAAGGTACCCCATCACTTGTCGTTGCGTCTGTACATAGCAGCTTGCGGTGCGCTAACTGATTATGGCAGAAGGATGACAAAATAATTCAATACGATAAATTTATTCCTTTTTTGAACCTATCACTTCACTACCTGAACTGGTGTATCGGCCATCATGATATGCGTCACAGATACAGCCAGGGGCAAGCCATTAATGGCATTAGCTGAAATATTTTGTTGATGAAGACACAAGAAAAGGAACCGCAAATTGTGCATGTTGTATTTCTGCGACTGTGTGCCAAACAAAAATTTACACCTCTTGTGTGGGCTTGTCGTGTTCGGTAAATAAACAAATTTCGGAAATTCGTAGTAAATATGCAAAACATGTCAAAAAACAGCTCAGGCATTTTGAGCTTGCTCGACCAAATTTACATATCAATGCACGAAGAGAATCATCCGCGTACTTATAGAGACTGGATTCAAATGCTATGCTCATATATTTGAATATTTTTTACTCAATTCAGTAAGCCGCTTAGTCCTATTCTTCACGGCCTCTGACCGCGCTCAGCTGGACCACAAGTCTTACGAGTTACGAAGCTCCCAAAACCAAACGATTCGCTCTAACTGAGTGACTGTTTTATGTATAGAGTAAAAAAGCGATCTTACTTCAGACTTCAGTACGTTATTAATCAGAACATTATAGTTGACTGGCATGGTTTCCGGAAACAGCTAGGTTTGTAAGTAAGTTTGCATACACGGATGCATATGCATCGGTTTTAACTTTGTGGCTGAGAAAGTAATCTTTGCTTTTTGAATTTATAAACGGTTTTCAGTGATGTTTTCAATTATATCTCTCACTTATTTTTTGTTTTTGCCCGATTGTTGGCAGATGCTCCGCCACGCAATATATATAGCAATGCGCTCTGTCCATGATCGATGTAGGTTATCTCAAAAGTATAACTCAGTTCACTGTCAATAGAATGAATATAATACCATCAATATTTCTGAAAAACTTTCATTTCATAAGGGTCCTTACTTCTCCATCAATAAGCTTAGGGAAAAACTGCATGTATATTAAGTATGTATATTAGGCATGTATATTATAGCTTACAATTGGCACTGCAGGCCAGGTATAGTTAGTTACTTTTAACTGTATCGTTGGTGACAAGTTGACTAATCAAAATCGTACATGCGTGTTACACTTCTGATGAAGGCCTTTAGGTCGAAATGTCGAGAGGTGCCATTTTTGTCTATGAAGTTGTTAGAAGTTGCTGCCACACACTGCTCCTTATAGTTAAATTGGAACGTAAACTATCTAAATCAAGAACACTGTATATCATAAGACTCATGCAGTGCCCTTCTATACCATTTCTGCAGCGTTACTGGCTGCTGTGTGTCACCGTATGTTACAATAAAACTTAAAAAATATTACGATCTATTTATGTTAGGATGCTGGGAGAAGCGAATTGCTTTTCATTTGTGGTATTTGTATTGACGGTTGTTGGTCAGAATCACGCTAAGTTGATAATCAATTCTTGACACGAGATCTTACTATGATATGAGAAGACCAGTGTGATCATTCCAAACGTTATATCCCTGCTATATATATCTTTATTTGGGGGCATAAACAGTTCTTCATTAATAATATATGCTGGGAAAATAAAGCTTAAGAAAGATTTATGTTTATAATTATATAAATGGGTCAAGTTCAAGTCAAATCACAAAGAAAATTAAAAGTCATCTTTTTTATGACTTGTTACTACTTGTTACTGACAATCTAGATGATCCGTTTCTATTAACCCATGGCAATGGTAGCTATATGCAATTAAAATCATGATTTTATAGTAGAGATTTAGATGTATAGTGAATAGCTGGAACTATATACACCCCATTTTGATTTTGATATTTTCGACCGGAATTTTATCAATTGGCAAATGCCGGCATTGATAAGAGAGATTCCGATGCTGGGTTTTGTAATAAGTTCAGTGATTCCATCAATGACAATCACGAAATGGCTGCTGAGCATGCGGTTAGACTGATCGATCTTCAGGCAACGGGTATAGTGAAGATGGATACATATTTCAGTGCTAACATGCATTCATCGACGTTGAGTATGTTAACATCACGCAGTTAACCCATTCATTTACTGACATTAGATCGATCAATGACATATCAATAGCTATATTAGGAAATGCTATTAATAAGGAGGATTACACTCAGTTACGCAATGAAATCAGTTTAAATGATGACATCGATGAATATAGGACTGAAATCATTCAGCCTTTCTAACATATATTCACATTGGACATCATGCAATATTAATAATTTTATGCCTCCTGCTTGCTACCCGCGAACGGGCATACTCTGCGAATCTTAAAATTAGAGCTATCATAATTCTTTTTATTTCTGCTCAATATGCGAGTCCAGTGATTTTGTGATGTGATAATGCAGAAGTGAGATGTTTTTAGAACCTTTTCCAATGATTGTTTCAGACGCGAGGTGTGGCACTGTTAACTGACTAGAATAAAACACAAAAAAACTAAATGACATTGGGATAGTTTGCATTGTTCACTTTTCTCTATTCTCTCCCTGTTTCAATTGATTCCATTAGTCTTCTTTTTTTATTTTATTACAAAAAGGAACGACTATCATTATAACTTCAAACAAAGGGCCTTTCAAAGAGGCGGGTTGGGAGGGACTCAGTGCTATAGTATATCCAGTCAATAATGTATTCTCAACCATCAAAATAACGAGTCTCAAGTGGTTACTCAGAGTAGTAAGTGCGCATGTACTATGAACCCCAATCTTTGAGAGTTGAGACCAGCTAGTGAGCTAGAGCAGATTGTGTACCATGGATTGACGAACACCGCACATTGATATACGGTACGAAATGGACAGCAATCTCTCAGTTATTACCGCTGACATTATTACCGAGGGAATCTATCATGGTGCCGAAAACATATGTGCTGTTTTTTATGGAAAGTTACGATTGATGTGAAATGCCAACTCAACAATGGTAATGTTGACTAATTTCGAAATCGTGTAATTTTGTGTTTAAGAATGTCCATGCTGATTAAACGCGATTGCTTCCCAGTGAGTTTATCCGAGATTCGTTTATTAAGCACATATTATCACATCGCTAGGGGGCACTGTTGTTTTCGTCAAAATATTTGCCACCAAACTTGCTCAAATCTAATGATACCTTTAGACGCAGGCGGCGACATTCTCCCATTTAGCCCGCATTACCATATTTGGCAGGGTTGACATGGTTTTTCCTTATCCTAATATGGTTGGACGACCTACTATGGTTTTATGTACACACCTACCACACTGGCAGTATGCATAAGAAACATAACAATGCAATGGTAATAGAAATATAATTAGTTGTAATAAAAGATAATAACAAATAAAATGCAGCCAAGCCATGCTAAGGTTTCTTTGTGTCTATGTAAATAAGATAACCACAAGAAATGGACTTGATGACAAATCCAGGATGCGTTAAGGGAGAATATTTTTAAATCCGTGCAGAAACAACGAATGAAGTCCAACAAACCCTAAAGGCTAAGTAAACACGTATCAAACTTGAAGTTTATAACCTCAAGGTTAAAAAGACCTTTCACCCACGACGCCCATGACGTTCGTCTCGGCTTGTTCATCGGAAAATCCACAGCACTTTTTAGTGCACTGTCTTCATTATATGAATGAAAGCATTTAAGTTTAGGAGGGGTTGAATTAGTGCGTTTCAAGATTAGTAACCCATTTTTAGTAAGAACACAATTAATAGTCAAACTGAACCATTAAACTGAACAAATAAAGTTTTTTAAAAATAATTATTTCAAGTGATAACATTTCGCTATGGATTGGATATTTTTCTTCCTAGTTAATTTTATTTGGAACAAATGGTTATAGAGTAAATTCAGGGGTTGTGTGTTTTAAAATAAAACGCTTAATTGATGGAAATAATAAAAGTTTAGTATTTCCATTATTGGATCAGTGTTGTTGGAGTGAATGGGGTGAATGATGATGTCTATAAAACGCTGAACTCCTCTTAAATTTCAGTTTTCGATCAATACTTCTTTTCTTCAATAACCTATTGTATTTTAGACTTCAATCTATAGTTAAGCTTAGATAATCCAATAGTATAGCCACGATTGTTGACAAACAATGAATCTGAGGTTTTTATCATGAATTAAAAAAGCCTATGAGTACTATTTAGCGTTTTTATTTATACTTCAACGAGAGTGTGAGCTTGAGAAACTGATGGGGTGACCCTATAGGGTTTAGGCGAATATATAGGTTAAGTGCTGTCACTCCATGAAAACTGAGAAATGATTCTCAAGTTAAATGTTAACTGAGCTTCACAAGCCTTCATAGTCCCCTTGAATGGTCAATAGAAGCTAAATTCCATACTAAAGTAATTAGTTGATACGTCTATAGACACTATCTATAGAATTATCTAAATCCTACTTGCAGTTTTATTGCTTCAATCTCTGAATCTCCATTTTATTAAGCCCTAAGATTGCGATCGCTTATTTCCTCTTGAAATAGATTAATGAAATAGATTAATAGATTATCATTGCAGTAGAAATAAGCAGATTTTGTCAGATTACACGATTGTTTTCTTTACTTTGTCAACAAAGTTAGAAGGTCAAATTATTTAAGAACTTCCTTATTTCAACCACACCAAATGCAATTCTGTCAGACCACCCAAAATAATTCGTCTCGCATGTACGATGTACGCACGCGCGTTGCTTAATACTTTTTCACGATCTTGAAGCATTAAAGCGGAAAGACCTTGAAGGAAGTATATTTTACGAGCCTTCTATATTGTTTCATAAGTATTCTTGCAAAGCCAGGTTTTAAATTCAGGAGTCTAAATAAGCAACAACATATCATCATCACCTGCGTCCTGCGCCCCCAGACGGTATTTATGCTAACTTCATTTCTGATGTCTGAACGAAACATTGTTCAGGCTTCCGATATGCTCGTGTTTCAGGTAAAAATGAACTATGTTCATGATCACATAGGTAAGGTACCTAGCCGTCGTTTTAGGTAAGGGGCTCCTTGTGATTTGATGCCTTTAATCAATCATTTAAGTTAAAACTCTAATTATCTAGAAGACTAGAACTATTTAATGTTTTGTGTATGCAAACTACTTTAATTTACCAAAATAAAACAAGTATTTTTGCTTATATGTGCCGTTGTACTGGTACGTCAAATTTTTCTCGAATTTTCGTTCATGCCGGCCGGCACGTTTTTGTTTATCATTTTGTGGATTATTTTTTTAAATTGAATAATCATTTCTTGTGGATTTAACTTTCCCTATGAAGTTGATCCCGTCAAAGCCGAAGTATTTTATTAGGGCTATAGCAAGATCTCAATTACTAAATAAACTATTTGCCAGAATAAACTAAAGAAACATATAAAGATGTCATACTGTGTTTATATTAATAACTCACCCCCTCATAGATATTGATATGATATCATGAATGTACTTGATGATTTAATCGTTTCCTGGATGTATTTGTATTTTTTTATTATATTTCAAACTATGAAACAATGGAAACTTCCATGCTAATGCTAGACATAATCTGTTTTCTGTCATTCTCAAACTGAAACTTGATGATTGCTCTGGACTCTATTACTCTCATACTCAGTGCTCATACTCTGTAGATTTGTCAAAGTGAAGAAACTGACAATTAAATTAACACATTTTATTAAGATGTGAACTCGATGATTGCATCACACGTCACTAATCACTATGCCAGAAATTGCAGACCTCCCGCCCCACAAGACTTGAAAACAAGATCAGGATTTGAAGATAAAAGAACTCCATTGTTTTTGAAAAAGTTTTAAAACTTTCAGTATGTTATTTTTACATTCTCAACAAAATAAAACACTAGCGTGAAATTATGTTTCAACAGACCGGACCCGTTATTGAGATTTCATCTCAATATAATGAACTGAGTATACATACATGAGCTTTTATGTTTTAATAAGACTACACGACGAACTTCATAGAAGCAGGCGGACAGACCGTAGCTCAATTGAGAAGGGGTGCACATTCATATATTCATGTTTACATATCATTTCTTTCAAAAGCAATTATGAGATGGACAAAATAGCTTTTAGGTGTAATGGAAATAAGAATTGACGTCATTTTATATCATTGTCTTTCTAGCCTGAATAGTCCACAATGCATTGCGTTAAACGTGGGCCGGTTGTTCGAAAATTGGATAAAGTTATCCACTAAACAGTGATTATTTCAAACATTAAAAAAACGAAGTTAAAATTTAATATAAGTAGCTTTATCGTTTTTCAAAGCTTTTTTACGACGGTTGAGAAAGTCACTACCCAGTATCCAGTGCATAACTTTATCCACCTTTCGAACAACCGGCCCCTGCCTCCCTGCCCCTGGTACTTTGTCATCGTTGTCAGTGTTGGTTTGTTTTTTAATTGTTCTTAATTGAAGTATTGGACATTTAATTGATATTTGAAAACGCGGGCGCAAACGAAAGCAAAACAATCAAATAACAAATAAAAACAAATACTGAAATACAGCAAATACAGATCCCAGAAGAAATCGTTTATATCAACTTCGATTAGAATGAGTTGGGAAGACAGTTTTTCTATCATGGTAAAAGAGAGTAGTGCCAAAATAAACGAAGCTAAAGTATGAATTGAATTTTTTGTTTTCCCCTTGCTTGAGCTGCAAATTATATGTCAATTGTCAAATAGTCAATGATTGGCATAAATCATTACTTGCAGCTGCAGCAGCCTTTATTCCATAATAGTGTTGATTTTTCCCTGATTCCCCAGCTGCCTGTAGGTTATTATGCATGGCATTGTATGTATGACTTTAATTAAAAAGGCTTCAGGTAAGTAAATCATATAGTAGTAGTGGACCATCCACTCCATCCAGAAAGTAGTTTGTGTTTTCAGTCTTTTTCAGAGGCATTGATTTTTCAATTAAATAGAGACGGCTTCATAGCTTTGACAATAGCAGAATGGCAATGAATACCACAAACAAAACTTCAGGTATATACCATTTAATAGTTTGGTACAGTAGCTGGGGCTTACATTTTTTAAGTAAATAGGTTATTTCCAAGTTATCATATTTCCTTTTGTTTTATGGAGAGAGTGTCTGCCAATTTATGCATGTTAAGATCAGTAGATTGCATTTTTGCTATATATATTTTGGAATTTTGCATGTGCAGATCTTACTACCATTCCAAGATAGAGCAATCTGACTACTTGGCCATTTATAGTAAAACTGAGCCATGGGTTGATTGATTCTCAATTTTCTTTAATTACATTTTTTAGCCTTTTCTCCACCTGCTTTTCAAATCCATCCCAACACCACAGTAAGCCAAACAGCATCATTTCATCCAATCAAAACAAATGGCTTAGATGATCCTTTGTTTACATCACATGAGTCTTCATCAGTGGCATTACTTCATAGCCTGCATGAGAGGATTAAACAACAAACTGAGGTATACACTTGTCTGACACCTGCATAACAATCAATAGGCTTTTCTTTTACTTGTTTAAAAGTTTGATTTTTCATTCCTGCTTTTTACTTTGGTTTTGAAATCCGGCAAACAGCTAGTGGTCAGCATGTTTATATTACTGTTACATGTTACAACAGAGTTTTGATCTGCTCAAGTCTAAAGTGGAAACATTGGAAACAACCCTGAAAAACCAACAGAAAGAAGTTCAGCATTATAAAGGTGAATGAATATACCTGCATCAAACATAATGCCATATGTAAGGCTGGTTATTCTACAGAATGTGGGGTTTTATTAACAAATTGTTAAAAGGTTTTTATAAGGTAATATTGATTATATCTGCATTTCGTACAGATGACCTTTCTTTTCTTGTACAAAAAATTGAAAATATTTCACCTGAAGCTTCATTAGAGGAGGTAGGAGAGTGCATTTTCTATCTGTAATGACTGCTATACTTCTATTGTTATATATACTTGTATTTCCAGTGTATTATTTTTTTAAGGAAATTTTATATGACTTTATTTTTTCCAGTTTAAGGCAGAAATAAGATATGAACTTAATAGAATCAAAGATTGTGAATCAAGTTGCAGAAGAGATGATAATGAAAGACAATATGCAACATCTGAGAGGTTATTTTATCATGGAAAGGAAAGTGAACAAGTTTTAGACTCACTACAAGAGATTAAAAATAGACTTGGTAATGCAACTATCTTTGCTGCTGACAACTTGAAATGAAATGTCCAGAAGGATATATATAGATTTCAGCTCAGAAATTTAAATATTATAAAAAAATAACAACAAAAAAAATAACAACAATTGATTTATATGCAATTAATTCACTGTATCCTCCCACAAATGTTGTAGCAGTAACCAATGCAGTGCATTGCATCTTCTTTCTTATATTTTTTGTTGCAGATAAAATAGAAGAAGATTTATCCAGTAGTCAACATAATGTAGAAAATAATAGTAAAATGGTTGAAAAGGTACTTGAAATATTTATGGATCTCCACCCTTATTCTTACGTTCAATTCAAATTATCTCGCAAATTTGGGTTGTCTATGATTGGAATTGGAGTGCAATGTTCTGTATTATTCAGACCAGCAGTTATCCTCATATATACGACTTGCTGAAAACCAATGCCAATTTAGAAGCAATTCCAGAACACTTCCATGCATGGTTTTTTTTAGAATGTGACTTTATTAGCAGACTGGAAGAATGAAAACATAGAATCAATGAACCGACTTTGCAAGTTGCAAAATTTATCCGTTGATGAAGTTAAACATTTAAGGTGATTTTTCCCGCGTTATTTTTTATTTTTCAAGCGTTATAAGGTACGTAAAATGTTCTATGGTATTTCTGCTTAAATAATATTATCAAAACAAGATTGGGCAGTCAGGTTAGCAAGGCAAAATATGAAGGTTTATTTAGACGGCTGGACAAACGTTTAAGCCAAAGGCTTAGGCTTGATTGTTTGGATTAATTTTTACTGTTTTTCAGATCAAAACTTTACAATGTTCAAGATAGAGTTCACGAACTTGAGACAAGTGTTAACGGCGTTCCCGGACACAGCGAGTCTTCAAACAGGCGAAAATCAGAGAGTTTCCTTGGTAATAAGCGTATTATAATATACACGCGATGCAGACAAATCAAATATAACGAGAACTTTGCTTTAAGCAAATAACGTTCGTAGAAAATAAGCAGTGAAGGACGGTAGCAGGGGCGCCGTGGCCGGGGGGGCCAGGGGGGGCCATGGCCCCCTCCAGGATTAAAACCTGTCGGAAATTTACGAACATTGCATGTTGTCGGAGTATATCAATCATAACAGAGACTAAGCTATTTTTGCATTTGTGACTGTGTTATGCTGAATAACCTAAAAGTATTTGAACGATCAGAAAATAGACGCGGTTATTTCTAATATTATACGGTACGACACTACCCCAATTTTTTATTATGTTGTCGCGCAGGCTAAACTAGCTGTTTCTTCCGAACGTTTCCGGTTTCCGATAAACATAGTTTCTATTAATATAACATTTAATACATAGTTTCTATTAATATAACAACGCAAGGAATGTAATTTTCGGAGATTGGCGCGATAAAATCATGAATGGCGATGTATCTTCGACCGCATTTATTGTTCAGTGAGTTTATACAGTTTATTGCATTATATGGTGACCGTCTAAAGAAACACCAGCATGTTCCGTATCAGAATGCTGGAATAACAGCAAATCCTTTTCAAGTTAGTACTTTTAGTCAAACGGTTCCCGAAGTTTATACAAAGATAAGGTACCACGATAGTACAGCGGAAGAACTAAACTGATGAGAGGATTGAAGCAATTGCGAATTTGTTTATATTTTAGTTATAAACAAATGTTGCGTATAGAATACCCTGTATGCTCCTCCACTAAGTCTAAGATTACAAAGCTATATAATAGAGTATCGTGAAATAACGTATATTATTTCTTAATGCTTGTGGATTAGAAATCTCTGTAATAAAGTTTTGTAATAAAGCGTATGTAAAACGTGAATATTTATCGGTCATATTCAGTGTGCATGAAGCGTCAATTTAAATTAGTAGACGTAGCTCGTGATCTTTGTCATAGCAAATGCATGCGCGTCCTTGCCCAACCCCCCCTGTCAGTTTTATAAATATTCGTTACTTTTTTCTTATAAAGATGTCGGGAAAAAAACGTGCCGGTCGGAATAATGTTGCCTTTGGCCACCCCTACATTAGCACACCCACGGCGCCCCTGGACGGTAGTGCAAAATATATCAAGAATCAAATTTTTAACACGTGGAAAATCACATTTTGTTTAGATAATGAGAATATCCCAAATGCACATCACAGGAATAGTTACGTCTCAATATCAAGCGATGAGGAGGAAAGATCTAGTCTGACAAATTCATCCGTCGATTTAGACGCAAGTGATGATAATGTAGATTTATCCCTCGAGATTGATGGTATGTATATTATTTCATTCACAATTTTTCTGGATTCCTCGAAAACCTTGCCCTTAGCTATAGACGTGCATCTTTTTCCAGAACTCAACCTTAACGACAATAGACAGAAAAGAAAATCTCAAAGCTCTGGTACGGATTCACTTCATTCATCGTTAAACCCACTAACTGATTCTGAGGACTCGTTTAGCGAGATATGATAGATACTTGCTTTTTTTTGCACTTTTCACTGATTTATATAAAAACACATTGAAGTTCTCCAGTCAAAAACACACGGTCTTTAAAGGTACCTGAGCATAAACAAACATCGAGCAGGGAAATTTTTTCTCATCATTAAAGTATAATATAGGTATAAACGTGCAGCATTTGATGCTAGCGGTCAGTAATGCTAGCCCAGTATTCGACATTACGGTAACAAGACTTTAAACTACAGGGAACTCTCCAAATTCAACACTAAACCAAATTGAACAACGCATTCAAAACGAAAAAACAAGTACCTGAGTCAATGATATATTCTAAGAATAGCAAATAGTATTTTTAATAGGTAATTTGGTGATTATTTTTTTACATAAGTTTGGTAAACATCAATTAATTCATGATTTGTAAATATCTGTTGAAATTCTAGTAAACTTGTACATTCAATTATCTGAAATCCTGGTGCAATCCTGTAATAAAAAGATAGGAAAGTTAAAACCACCTCGCTATTGACTATTGTACTAAGTAAGAAGTGAACTGTTAAATGGTATATGAAAGTACTCTCCACCATATAAGGCAGCAATTTTAAATACATTTTTTGAAAGCAAATAAACATAGGATGCACTGAACTGAACTTTGAAGAAACAACGTCTGGAAGCAGACGTCAATCACGTCATATTTCAAGACCTTTTTTATTATTAAGAGCTCACCTCTGAGAAGTGATTTCTATCTGACACAAAACATTCATCATTCTTTCCTTGCAAGGTCTTCCGGCTGAATCAACGTCAACTGTACACGTCCTCGCACGTTTTAAGTATTTATTGATACCTAATCTCACTCCTTCAATTATTGCAAAAATATGCTTTTCCCAGAACAAAATAATACAGTTCAGATGGAATTCTTTGATCCAATTTGAAATCACCTTTAAATATTTCTTACGTGATCTCATGTGGTCAAACCTCAACACACAAATACACATCGTGTCATCTTTTAATTTTGTACTTTTGATGGCGACGGGAAGTTCAGTTTCATCCACACAGTCACGGATCTGCGATATTTCATCTTCAGCCTTTCAACAAGTTTTAAAATTATTGGTTCTGAAAGTTTCGCCAAATATTCATTGCCGTAAGCTCGCAATAAGTTCTGTATTTCAGCTGTCTTCTTTTTCATTATCTGCGTAGACGATATTGATATTTCTGGCATAAAATTTGGGTAATTTTTGCTTAGTGAGACATTGAGCTTCGTTTCAGTATGGGGAATCTTGATAGACAATTGCAAGGTTTCAACTTTACCCTCAACTAAACTACGGCAAAATGAATCAATATTTGCATCGAGTTGACTTCCGTTTACAAGAAACTCGTTCTTGCCACAAAAAATTGAATTGAGCACGGAAAGCTCGTCGAAAATAAGCTGAACCCGCTCCTCGATGTCCGCCATTTTACATTTTCTCAAACTTGAAAATAATTCAGCACAAACACATACTTCAAAAAATGGTAGCGGTCATTTCCGATTGATGGTAATAACTGGTAATAACGTGTAGAAATTGTAAAAACGTAGTCTGGAGTATGGCAAGTTTGCTTATATACATTTTGTTTGGAACTGGAAGTGTGCATGACAACAAAAAATATGAAAAAATAGTGATTATGCTTTGTTTTGTTCAAACTATCTAAAAATATAATTACAATGTCTGAAAAAAGGTAGCAAATAATATTTTTTTCTTGCAAATTTATTTAGTTTTATTCTGCGCAATGATGGATAGTTATATATATTTTGATATTTATTAGTGTATTTTAACTTTTAGATCCGAAAGATCCTTGTGGGATATTGCCATTGACATAAGCAATGAAATTAAAAAGAGTATGTTTATGTAATTTGTAAAATATATGACTGTAAAGCCTTCAGTCAGAGCATAGCCAGAGTTCTCAGTCATTATTGACATGGTGCATTCAGCCAGCATTCCAGGATAGATTCACTGGTATAATCATCTGTGGCTGAGTATGTGAGATGCAGGACTAGGCGACTAGCTAGAAAACTCATCCCAAGGAGAAGCAAAATTTGATTTGAAGTTGATTAAGTAGTTAACTGGTCATGACTCAATGGTAAAAGTAATATATAATCTGCTTTTGATGATTTAGGTGAAAATGGTGAAAAGGTCTCCAATCAACAATCAGAAGAGTCAAGTATTTTAATTATTGGCAGTAAAAAATCAGTAAGAAGTTTATATATGAAATATTCTTTTTGACATTTGACAGATATAATCTATTGAAAATTGCAATTGCTGCATTTATTTGAGTTTCACATTTTATTGACAGCTTTGACTTTTATGATCATGCAAGCAAGTTTATCAAGTCTCTACGTAGAAAAACCAGAAATAGAATTATTGAACATGGGATATTATCACTTGCTTGTTATCCAAAATAATTTCTAATTATTAAATTTAAATATTATATATATTTGGTAGGGAAAATCTACAATTGTCCTGAGATTTCTAGACAAGTAAGATATTATGTTCAACTTGTTCCTATTCATTGCATTCAGTCAAAGTTATTGTAACTGTTAGTGCTGCTGTTCAACGTCCAATTTTGAACATGATTTATTACATCACACTACTGTAAGTATTAGGTACCGTATTGAAAGATACAAAAATATTTTTAGAGATGAAAATCCTAAACCCACAGTTGCCCTAGATTACACCTTTGGAAGAAGAGGAAAAGGCCATAACATGGTAATTTTGGTTTGAAGCAATTTCCCTACCCCATAAAAAATTTCTGAATGTGTTGATGATCATTTGATTATAAATGCAACTTGCAAATGAATTTTATTGGCATGCAAGCACGATGAAATTGCAAGTTTTTCAAAATATAAAAAATTGGTAGAAATCGTTGTGTATAAAATCAATTGGTCTAAAGCAAGACCATTTCTTGTTTTCAGCAACGAGATATTGGTCATATTTGGGAGCTTGGTGGAGGTGCATTTCTTTCCAAGCTCACCCAGATTCCCTTGAAAGCTGCAACAATCAGGTAAAATACAGTCATCTTCTTCCATCTCTTTTTTGAGACCATTAATATATGATGTTGCTTTTAATATTCCCAGCTCAACATCAGTACTCCTTGTTGTCGACTTATCCAAACCAAATGAACTTTGGCACACAATAGAAGTCCTCTTAAAAACCGTAAGTTCCTCACTTCAATTTCTCCCCTGCGTTCATATCTTAAAAAGAAGTCTTAACATGAGTTGGTTGCTTTTCTGTCTCGTACCGTTTTAAATTGGTTGAAAATGACAAGATGTGATGACATTAAAGAAATACTTTCCTTTAGACAAGAGCTACCGTGGACAAGATGCTGACAGATTTAAAAACGGCAAATTCCAGGTTGTTACAATACATGTATAACTGTATTTCTCTCCCTCTGTACAGTCTGATTTTACTGTAGCTTATCATATTTGCCATGTTGAGTAAAGTCAGTAAACAAAGATCTACAGGAGAGATTGGACGTTATACTGCGATATTTCAATGGTTATTTACGTTGAACCGTTATCGAAGTGACTTAGATAACGTCGTACGTTGGGTGGGACATCCCCTTGCCTCACTTGCAGAACATGTTATACCTTAACAATTTTCTCCTATGCATTTTGGATGTATTGTGATGCAAACGCCTAGGTGCAGTCTGTGCAGATGTAAGAATCATTTAGGTAAAATGATTTCTGGTCAAATGCTTCTCAAAGGAAAACCGGTGCCTGAACATGCCAGACCAGGGGCAACTACGTATACCACTCCCAAACAACTTGCATCCCATACTTATCTTATATTAAGAATTACGTACTCTTAATGTTTTTCTTTAATATATTTTGGTTGCGTTATTAGAGGTAATCTTGTAGAAATTGTAAAGCTTTTAGAATTAATCGTTCTTATATGATCGTTATAATTCATGTGATGTTTTATTTGGAACAGTTTGGTTCAGCAGATCCAAGACGAAGCCTGGAAACGATTTGGAGAAAATCATGCGGTGAGTGAAACAATGGTGGGATGATTTTGCATGGTGACTTGCGAGCTTTAATATAGCAGTTTACGTCTGGTGGTTGCAGCTCTAGGTCACAGGTAGTAGTACCATAGTCAATGGTTCAAAATTTTAGCTCCTTCGTTTCTTGATCAATGTATCCTTCCTAAGGCAGAGCTTTTGTTTATGGGGGAGGGGGGGGAGGGGATAGCAAATACACAGGTATGACCTGGACTATTTTCTATGAATTGAAGTTTCTTATAGGAGCCAAAACTTCATCAGGGGAACGGCCCCCGTCAGCTCTTAGCCCATCTCAATATAATAGCTGAATATTTTTTACTAAAACGCCTCCAGGGTACGAGGCTGGCCCCCGCCCTTGGTATATGAATTCAGCAACGAATAATTATTATTCTCATGCTTATTTTCAGGATAAATCTTTCCTTAATCCATTTCCAATTCCACTTGGTATCGTGGGCACCAAGTACGATATCTACCAAGTAAGACTATAAGAATCTTTTATTTCTTTTGCAATATCTCTTTAGTTATTTTACTACGTTGTACGTGTGTTGTGTAGGATTTTGATCCAGAGAAAAGAAAGATGATCAGCCGTACACTTCGTTTTATTGCCCATAGCAACGGCGCACACCTGCAGGTATTGGATCAACGCTTATTGTAAACACAGATTATTAATAGCTATATCCTCATCAGTATAATTAAAAAGAAAACATTATCCGCTAGCTATGTTCATGAAGAAACACATTAATTTTTGATGTCACTCTCAAAAGCCAACAAAATCTAATTTTTTAAAAACGAATCTTTTCGATCTCCCTATTATTACCTACAGTAAAATGATCAGGATTTTCACAGCCTTTTTTTTCTAAAGTATTTCAGCTCCAAGGCGGAAGGTTTGATAACAAGAACAAGAACTTTGTTTGGCAGTTTATTATTCCGGGCTGCAGCAAGGTTGTACGCTCATTTCATTTCTATCTGTACTCTTACCATTCTTCTCACAATACGTGCTGACTACGAGAAGGCATTCTCTTGTATAATCTAACCCTCTCACATGTCTTCATTTATAGTAAAGTTGTTTCGACTGACCACAACAAGCCAATCATCGTGCCAGCTGGTCAGGACTCCTTTGCAAATATCGGTAAGGTATACCTCGCTCATCCGTCGTTACGTATATAACTCCCAATGTATTGTTCTAGACAGAAACCTCTTCACTAGAAAACTGGTTGTACCTAGTCTCAAGACCACTGACGCGTTCTTCGGCAAAGATGAAAAAATGTAAGAACCCATGTTTAACCAACTTTTTTCTTCCCAGGTGCACCGCCGGTATCTACAGAGGATTTAGCTAAATTAACTGGGAGGTATATCACGATTCAAACATTATTTAAGCATTATTTAAGGATATCTTCCCTTTAAAGTTATATTCTTATTTAGACGTCCATATGACTTGTGGAAAGCAGCTTATGCGTCTGTTTTCCCACCGGAAGTAAGTAGATTTCTATCATTTCTTGCATTATAAATCCTGTGAGCTGGAATGATATATGTGAATGATATATAGAGCATCCTTTAGCCCACAGTTCTGCCTAGATACAAGGTATATACTGGCTTAGATACAGGGTATATACAAACGGCTTAGATAGTTAGATACAGGGTATATACAAACGGCTTAGATAGATACAGAAATACTCTAAATGGCTTAGATAAAAGGTATATACAAACAGTAGATAGATACAGAGTAGGTATATAAATATGGAGTCGGAAAATTTTAGGTTTGTGTCTCCATGCATGTCGCATTACGCATCATTGTCCGGTCAGTGGCACCTGAATTAACTTTCTGGCCAATAAACTGGTTGAACTGAATTTTCCTATTTTCTCAGAATCCGCAAGAAACACTGAAGAACGAAGATATTACCCACAATCCTCAGTATTCTGAAGCAGCAATCGATTCAATGCGCGCACAAAAGGACGAGGTAGAACTTAGAACACTTGTAAAAATTTAAAGTTGTATTTTTCAAACAAGATCACAGTCATCCTCGTTCCCAGACTGTTCAAATCGATAGCTTTAATTTTTATCGCCGAACTCTGCGATGTTTGCTGTCAAGCTATCTTTACGGTGGAAAACTGAGTAAAACCAAATTCTACCTTCTTGAATGTTCCCCTACCCTGAGTTGTTGTTCCAGTCTGTATATAGAGTTCATTAGCCGCACTATCATGTTTTTTCCCCTCATATTTCTGTGATTTTCTGCAGGAGCTCGAGAGATATAAAAGACAAGCAGAAAGGAATGCTGCTCATGGCAAAACAACACAACCTCGAGAATAATGAATCGAGGAAATGTTTCAAAACCTTCAGTATTTAATCCTTAAGAAACTGAAGCAGGCGATTCCGTCATTTCCATGCATTACATATTTTCTCGCATACAATGATAAAATGAATCATCAAATGAACAAATATCGATGCTGTGCACTCATGTGAGCAGCAGCAGGAAAAAGGAGAACACTAAATGCTGAAAACGAAAAGGAGATGCAACTTTAAATTGTTTTTTCATGGCAAGTTGCTATGCACTAACCGTGTTGCTACGTATATATGCACATTGAAAATTGCCGAATGGATACTCAAATTTGTCGGTACTTTGTCTTTGTCTTTGTTCATATTAATATGTCTTATATACATATAAACATTCGTGTATTTTGTTGACATGGTTACTACCCGCATAAGTAAGCATTTTTTGCCTAAACTTTCGCTGAATTGTGCCCAGGTATTACATAAAAACTACAGTAAATGCGTTAAGGTTTCCTGTTTAAAGAAACTTTCCTGCAATGTCAGCTTGCAAGAGTACTTCAATCTCGTACCCAGGGTCTTTACATCTTTGTGTTTAGCTCGGAAGGAACTTAACGAAGCTGAAAGACGTACTATTATATAGAATACTGACATTCATAATGCAAAGAATATTATTTAAACCTATGCATTATTTATTCAGATCACGTATATATACCTGCAGCATGGTAATTAGCGTTTAAATAAATATATCATATTTGTCAGTAACAAGTGTTGTGTAGGAGGAATTGTCACGAAATTATTGTGCAGTTTATATTGAGTGCGACAGTTTCGCAAATATAGCCAACTTCCACGTTTCTTGTATTGTTTACTTATACGAAAAAATGCGCTCACATGCAGCAACGGTGAAAGCAAACTCTTGTAACGACGGTGGACTAAAACAGGACAGCTGCCAGCCTGCATGCCCTTCTCGCTGGTCAGTACTACTGATAAAACGAATCGGCAGCGGTATAAACATACATGAGATTTTGCACAGCGTTTTTTTACATATCCTAAACTATTTGCCATTATGCTCTGATTATTTGCCTGAGTTTTCAATCGATTTAAAATATATTCATGTAGACGCTTATTTTTACTATAAATATTTATGTTCTCGAGCACTCGTCGGTTTCCTGTTTGCACAGAAGGTCTGGTTCGCTATATTGCATAGCCTATGCATTGTTTTATTGATGATTGCTTCCAAACTTCCTAAACATCTATTTGAATATACTTTGAGCCATTTTCTTATTCAATCAAGCGTTTGCTGCTTATAGCGTCTTCCGTTTGCAAGTTTCCATAATTGATAAAAATATTCATGTTGAAGCAGCTGGTTGCTGATTGGAAGTAGTGACAAATGATGGACAAACGCGTAATTTAAAATTCTGTTTTGATTGTATTATGTTAAACCATGTTTTTACGTTAAACTTTGAAAAACCATAAATAATTACAGAGAAATGGGTGAAATATTAGTTCATGTGCTTGTCATTATTCACAAAGAAACATGAATGTTTAATTCCGATGACGGATATTGAGAAATATACCCCGCATCTCACGATCAATCAGATATATTACGTGTTAATTTTTTAGCTGTCTATATTTTAGCAGTAACGCTATACAATAAGGCGTATAAAGATCTATGTTATTAGATATAAATTTATTCTTGGGAATCGAGTGATATGTTATTTTGTTGCTTTTTGAAAAGCCGCATCCGCAATTTGTGCTGATCGCCATGGCGACGTGTTTGTTAATAATTGAAGGACCGTCGGACAGTAACATGGCGACATGATGTTCCTCGCTATGTGCTGGGAAATAGTCGCGATTTCACCAGAAAATGACAACAGATTCGTCTACAACACCACCACAGGCCAAGAAAAATGATGCGGATAAGGAGAAAAAGCTGACCCCATACGAGAAAGTCTGCAACGATGTGAACAACGATGAACGATATCTAAAGGAAATAGCTCTGGGGAAACGGATAGGGTTGTATCGGTTACGCGGGGATTTGGGAAGCGGGAATTTTTCCCGCGTAAAAATGGGACTTCACTGTCTCACCAGAGGTACATTTGTTCAGATTTTAGTGAGATAATTTGATGTTTTAACATGCAGTTATAAAAGAATATTTTATCTTTAGATAAAGTGGCAATTAAAATTTACGACAAAACTAAACTGGATGGCAAAACACAACGGCTTCTTTCTAGGGAGATATCTTCGATGGAACATCTACACCATCCAAATATAGTAAGATTGTACGAGGTTATAGAGACTCTTACGAAACTACATCTTGTTATGGAGTTTGCCAACGGCGGAGAATTGTTTACAAAAATATCTACCGAAGGCAAACTTGCAGAGAAAACAACTAAACGAATTTTTTCTCAGATAGTTGCCGCATTAGATCATATGGTAAGTTGTATGTAAGGTAGATGTGTTGTATCATTCCTTATGTGTACTAGATCGCTAAATTTATTGCCGTAAGCAACCGCTTCGTAACCGATGTCAGAATAACTTATCGTCTTATGCAAAGTACTCTTGGTTTCCATAGCCGTTTATTGTAATGTATACATTAAAATGAACGAATAACCAACGCTAATTCGAATTTTCTTATTGCAATAAATAACAAATGTTAGACTAGAGATTTTACACCTAGCGATATTAATTGTTACATTTGATTTTTCTAACGCAAATTTCTAAAAGATTTCCTTATTAATTAAATGCCTAATGACTTTTCTCAACACAATTGCGACTTGTGTGCTTTATTAGATGCTCCAAGCCAAGTGTCTGAGTTTTTATAAAATAGTCTATATGGACCATATATGAAACATCGCCATGGCACTGAATCTGCATCCCTGTCCCGTATACGAATATCTACGAATCTTCAATTTAATTCACAAACACAGAAAGCACTTAAAGCCGATATATAGTTTCCTATATTGTATTGCCGACGGTTTGCGTTTGTTAACTATAAAGTCGTCCAATATCCCACACAAGGTTTCATTTGCATATAAAAAGGTACCTAGGGCTAGGCTGACTTGGTTTCTTTCGTAACTTAAGTTAGCTTTATGAGTCGAGTGAAATTAGATTGCATTATGAATCGCTTTTCTTATAAATTCACTGTTGAGATAAATGAGAGATTTTCGTATAAGAGAGATTTTCATTCTGGGAGATATTAGGCCGCGTTGTCGTTGACGGTATGAACTGATTAAGAAGCCGCGTGTCGCCGCATAAAAGCTATTCTTTTCATATCTTATTGTAACCATTTTGTAACTGTAATTCTACCAAATAACTGTAATTCTACCCAGCCGACACTGACGGTGTTAAAGTTTAAATTTATCATTTCTTGTTTTGTATGCAAATCAGTCTTTACTAACCTATGAGAAACATTCTATTACACCCGCCACCTGTCAAGACAATGACGGGCAACGACCAAGTTTGAAACGAAAGGCTTAACTCCAGCTAAGAAGAATTTCGGAAACGAATATCCATATAGGCATAGACAATAGTAAACTGACAATATTCAGTTATGTTTCTACATGCAGTCGCTCTGATGTACAACTACAGAAATAATATAGAAAAAAATGTCTTATGCACGTTATGAAAGTTATGCCAGCTGCTAGTTCCTGGCAATGCAAAATTTCGTCAGGTCGATCTATATATAAGCGCTCTGGTTTGACGTTATTTGCAGTGCGTGCTATCGCGAAGTCTTATACCTGTATCATGCGACATCTGCCTTGCCCATTTTACTGACATTCCATTGTTCACACCGATTTTATTCATTTTGCCTTTAGCACAGAAAAAATATCATTCATCGTGATTTGAAGGCCGAGAATGTGTTTATATCAGGTACTTGTGTGGTTAAAGTTGGTGACTTTGGTTTCAGTACATCTGCCTCCGCAGAGGCAGCCTTAAACACGTTCTGTGGTTCACCACCTTATGCCGCACCAGAACTGTTTAAAGATGAGTTTTATTTTGGACCGTGTGTTGACATATGGGCGTTGGGAATTCTACTGTATTTCATGGTCACTGGAGTCATGCCATTCCGTGCTGAAACAGTTGGCAAACTGAAAAAATCCATTTTAGATGGCATGTACTTCATGCCAGACTTTTTAACAGACAGTTGCAAATATTTAATAAGGAAAATCTTACAATTGATTCCTAAGGATAGACTGACAATTCAACAGATTAAGAATTCGAGATGGCTGCAAGGTGAAACGTTTCCGTTAGAAGATGAGAAATACAATAAACATGCTCCTGCACTTGACACGTGCAATGAAGAAGAACGAGAGGCAAGATGCTCTTTAGAGGAACTAGGGATGGCTTTTGAGGATAGTTCTGATACTAATATGGATGTCAGAAGCAACGTGACTGGAACCTATCGGGTAGTTCTGCACAGAATTCAGAAACGGAAATCAGAGCTCGAAAATCCGTTAAACCAGAACGCTTTGACGAAAATTGACGATGACGAGTGTATCACACCAAAACAGCGAAAGTCAAAAGTTTGTGTAATTCTGTAGGTAGACATAAACTGAAGTTTTCAAAACCCAGGCACGATGCAACAAACAGAAAATATTACTTGTTTAGAATAAGGCAATTTTGTACATGTAATCATGCAGTAATAAGGTTGCGACTTGTTTTTGTGGAACAGATGTGGAACATGCCATGAATGTAAGATATACAGTGAAAAAACCTTTGGAATCAAAGGGTGGATGAGTACATATGGTTTGTTGGGTCTAGGACGCGACAAATGAAAAATTGAAATGGGTTTAAAAATCCCTAAATAATAACAATGAGTCCAAGATCAGCTGATCAGGAGACGGACTGGTGCCTAAATGCACAGATAATTAATGATGAAGTGTCCATAGTTGAATGCGATAGAATCAAATGAAGCATCATGCAGTTTTTAATTCTAAATCTGAGTTTTAAATTTATATTTTAATTATTTAAATTTGCAAGTCTTCGTTTTGATTCATTCATGACGAATATATGATTGCAGTGCACATCATGCAAGAAAGCGTAGAGCTTGTGATATAAATCAGTCTTTTTCTCAGTAGATTTGGTTCAATGATAACATGAACCTCAATAACTAGAATATTGTGATACCATAGTTGATGCCATGAAGAATTGTATCCATGCTTGATGTGAATTGCGATTAATCGTTATTATAATTGTCTATGACAATGTATATTTGTATACTTATCCAATTTATTAGTGACTGTATATATATTTATTAACACCCAATTTATTTATGACGAAAAAAATTGTTAATTTTCGCTATAGTAACTTTGGTGGTATATGGTATACTTTACTATAATAATGCTATACTCGCATGATATATATGACGACTATAATAATGATACTGATATTAGCAGTTTTGAATTCCGGCACTATGCCACCGCTACTTCGAGGAAGCTTGAACAAATCAAATGCGATGATTCAATCAGAATAACCACTGCATGAGGGGGCTCTTCGCCATTCATCACTCGCAGAAACGAAAATTATTAAAATGAAGAAACGTCGCCCAAAATGTTATTTAGTGAATACTGCGATAGTTCTAATGAGAATCCACGAGCTATGCTCTTTTGATCTCACAGGATCAACTTCAATTTTGATACAACAAATTGCGGCGCTGGTTATTTTTCTTCCAGTTATTTCGACACTCGGTTCCTCTAATTTAACCAGAGCTTGAAATTTTCCTGTCTTTTGACATAATTGTAAATCATCGTTGGTCCCATCTTTGAATATAACTGACACTACTCCACCTGGAAAAACGTCCTCATACAGATAACCTCCTGTTTTGATTAACACTCTTTTTACTTGGACAAAAGCCGTAAATTTAATTAATATATAGTCTCCTTGTTTGGGTGTCCGTGCCCAGAAATAACCTTTGCGATAGTCGTAGAAATCTTGAAGCTTCACTTTGCCTCCCTGGGTAAGTGAAGTCGTCAGCAGTGCAGCAGGATTGTCAGCGTTAAAGAGAAAATTACGACGGATTGGTAATTTTATCCGAAATACGCCACGTGATGTACGTAAATTATTAGCGTAGACTTCCAATATAAGATTGATTGGAAGATAACTTCCAAATATGTCAAGAACTTCAATAAGCTCAATAAAGCTCTTCGTTTTATATATTCTACCTGGTAAAAGTCCATTAAAAGTTTCGGCCCACATCCAATGACTTGCAGTCCAGTTTCCCTGAAAGGTCTGTAGGGGAGACAGGATATCACCTTCAACCTTTACGTCTTTTGTGAATTGAATGAAGTAATCCGATTGGATGGAAGAAACTGTCCACATGAATGCCATATCTCTGATGAGAGTTTTTGCTTTTTTAATATACGCTTGACTATGAGAAGTGAGTTTTTCCCAGTACTGGCTTTTGTCGTTCGTATTGATTGTAAAACACTCCGGTGTTTTAACAACCTGAAAAACTTTGTTTTCGATCCAATATTTGTATCTTGTGTACATTTTATCAACAAAGCGTGTCGTTTCTGCTTCAGGGCAATCTTGCAAGAGAACTACAACTGATATTGCATTTTCATGTGTCTTTTTTATGTTTGAAAATAAAGATCCAAGAGAATTTTCTAAACTGTCTGAATTTTTACAATTTCCTGTATGTATGTAGCCAACTGTGAGGTAACCTGCAAGTAAGATTGATAAATTCGTATTATAAAATAACATACTATACAACGCGTGTTCTGATTGGTTGAAGCCCGTGTTTGGATGAAGTCATCCAAACACGAAAACCATGCTTTTACTTTTTTACCACCATGTATCATATAAAATCTCCTGAAAATGAAGGTATTAAGGTTGGTTATATATATATAGTGGAATCTTGCGTCGAATATATGAACCTTAACACTACAATATACTATAGGGGTTTAAAGGGTCTTAATTTCGAGTGGAATTATACACACTTCAAATTCAAGCCAGGAACAGTTGATGGAAAATCGCAGGAATCGAACCGCGCTTTTTGCGATGCCGGTGCAATGCTCTTGGCACTCATTAAGATGGTTTAAACCCCTAGAATTTACATGCATCGAGTGAAGTGCTAAAAATCACAATTTACAATATACTATACTTCAACAAAATATATAATGGTTTAAAATCCTTACTTTTATTTTGTTTAAATTTGCCGAGAACAAGATCATTTTCCAAGTGTGACTTCTGTGTTGTAGCGTCGCTTTTCTTGCAGTTGCGCTTTATGATGTCTTCACAGTCTTCAACTGTGCTTTCTGATGTTTGGTTTTCTTTTATTAAAAAGTTTTTGCATCCATTAAACGGCTCGTTTATGGCTAGTTAAAAAGAGTATACTACAAGTTTAGTCTTGGTCTCGTATTCTCGTTGGGGCAATTAAAGCTTAAATAAATGAAATTGTTCAGTAGCCTACGTATCACCACTCAACTATCATACTCTATAGCCTATAGGTTTATCCAATTTTTTTGATATATGAATTTAGATACCTGGTTGATATTATCACGTCAATACGACAAAAGGTTTCTGGACAAAATTTAACTTGGTATTTTTAGGCCTGATTAGATACCAAAATCGGATAGTTTGTGTGCTAACCATGCATAATACCAAAAGTAGACAAAGTTGTATATCATGGGGTAGATTACAATTAGATTTCAGTCTCATCATCGCGGCAGTCTCATCACTCAAGTCTTAACTCGCACGCCACGAGAGAGCGTCTCACCTGTAAACGTGTAGAAAATGTTGACAATGAGGGACAAAAATATTGTCAATGTGTAGATCTTTCGGTGCCGTCCTTTGCGAACCATTTCAGTATGTTTCCTTTTACAGCATTCACACAATAATTGTAGGCGGGAGATATCCTCGTGGATACTCGTGATAAAATTTTTTTGCAGGATCACAATCAATAGCACAATCAATATCACTACAAAAAAAGCTAAAGAATAATATGTAGGCCTATCAATCAGAATTAATGGTTGCCAGGTAGAAAATGTTTGATAACTCGCGGAATGCCACGTTTTTATGTAATTACATGCATTGTTCATAGCGCAGGACGTGTAGTAAGAGCTTATGTCTGTGAAGAATGAAAATGGGCTATTTGTTATTTATTTACAACTCAACCATACTGATAGCATTTTATGATTTTTATCGCCCAAATTTACTGAATTCAGTGTTCATAGCGTTCATAGGTACACGGTAATGTTTTCGTGCGTTTGTTCGTTTTCATATCAAAATGGTTTACAATAAAAATTTAAGCTAATTCAACATATTAAGCAAATATTTCCCTAGGATCGTCTGGACTGGCGTCTAAACAACAAAATAGGCAAAAATGACTTTGAAAACGCTCGAAAACAACGCCCGTGTGCACAGAGGTTAGTCTACTAACCAACACTATTAATCGGCTATGTATCGTGTATCCGTGAGTCGTCTCATTGAGACCTTTGATTATAAATTTGAAAACGCGAAGGTGCCGTAGTCCAGAAAGCTTTAGGGGACCGATTTGAAAACTCTTTAAACTGTTTGAATACAACGCAACGTCCTTTGAAAATCTGCTCATGTGGGCGTGACCGGGCTTCAAAAGCAAAGCCCTAATTTATTTTTAAAGGTGCTGTTACACTATGCAATTTTCTTTGCAACTTGCAATGCAACTCTAATTTTAAGAGATGTTAACTTGCATGGTGTAACACGGCCTTTAGGAAGAATATGTTCTTCTGACAAGACTCCCACTGTGGTCAAAGCCTTTTTTCATTGATTTTTAAATTTTCACCGTCATCTTTGGTAACGTAATGCTAAATAAATGTTCCCCATCATCCCAATTTGTCATACATTATCCAACGGGTTTCCATATTCATGTTGTTCTTTTGTTGTTCGATTTTGGGTCAATGTTTTGAAACGTTTTGCTTCATGCGCCCGGTAGACTAAATGTTTTTTACGTGGTAATAATGATATATTTTGCAACGTTGATACGAGTAAACGATGGTCTTGCCCTTTCAGCTTCAACAGACCTTGATACAACATTCGAGGTGAAAGAAAGTAAAAAACGTCTGAAGTTACTATCAAGAAAGGTCGGTCAACTTCCAGCAAGATGTACCACTAAGATTGGTACATATTGCATACAGTAAGTCTTTGTGTAATTGTACACTAACATAGAAATTATTTGAGCCATGATTTATATGATATCATGTGAATTTAAGATTTTTTTTGGGAGTTGTGAAGCAGTAAATGAGATTTTTATTTTAGAATTCAAAATTTGCTGCTATGCCTGATTTTACGTACCAGATAAAAATTTTTACATTTATACCAGACTGCAGAGTATGGTAGTTTTTGATGAGATCTCAGGCATACAAAGCAAACTTTGAGTTGTGCATGCAAGTTTGTGGTTGCCTATGAAGTAATGCATTGTGAACTTAACATTGTTAGTTTGATTAGGAAATTATATGTGACTCATGATTATCAGTGGTGGCCCTTGCAGAGTTATTGATATTTTGATCAGAATACTTTAATTCAGTAACTTACAGCATACAATAATTTGATTTTTACTCAAGTGCGCAATCAACTTGCATGAAAACATTCTTAGCCTCTTGGGTGTGCATTTGCCATTTCATACTCTTTTGCCTGGTTTGTGAGAAAACAAGATTCTAAAAATGTCAGTCTCCAAATGGTATTAAATATAGAAGAGTATAGAATCAATATATCATGTATATGAAAACTATAATCTTGTTTTATAGTTTTATACGAACTGGATCATTATGTACCATGATGATATGTAGCAGTCAATATCCAGAAATACTGGCATTCAGTTTCCTAACTGAATTACAGAGAGAATTTCTTCTTCAGTACAAAAATGAAGATATTCAGAGAGCTAAACGGCCTTACACATTTGTTGAGTTTGGTATGCTATTGTTGCGTACATGTTTTTAGTATATATATATATATATATATATATATTAATATATATATATATATATATATATATATTGGCAATTTTGCAAAATGGATGAGATAAAATTTTAGGAAAAAGCATAATTATAGAAATTATATTTTTTGGACAGATATGTTCATTCAAAAGTTGAAGCAAAGATATTCAAATACAAACAGCTTAACAAGCAGGATCAATGTGAATGACATTAGTGAAGATCTGAAGCAAAGCCCACCTTATGAAATAAAAAGTTCTGAATTGATGCAAACTAATGGAGTTACAGAAACTAAATATAAGAGCAGTGGTATTATATTATTATTTTATTTGTTTGTAATATGTAAAGTATTGTTACAAGGAGTTTAATTCTAAATAACCTTGAAACAATAAGTTGGTTAAATTAAGCATAAAGGACATGGAATTAAAAATATGTTATTTTTTAGGTAAAGTTCACATGGTTGTGCCTCTTACATGGCTGGGGTATCTATCTGGAGCACTTTGTCTTGTTTGTGCTTTTTTAAATATTCTCAGATTTTTTCCACTTTTTGCCTATTATGGAGCTGAAACTGAGGTAAACTTGTTATTTGATTATTTAAGTCAACCGTTTGCAAAGTTTAACATGGACATAGTGTGTGCCATGGTTCACATAATTTCAAACTGGATGGGACTATTTATTAGGCTTATCTCTGTAATTTAAAGCTGGACTATATAAGATTAATTTCAAGCAACAGATATGAACATACAACTTCCAAAAAAAGTATTTTTTTCTCTTTTTTTCACAGGATCATAGTGTTATAGCAGCATTAGCATTTCTTCTTGGTGCATTAATTGATGTTTTGCTGGTATGTATTATTAGTGAAAACTGGATTTCATCATTAGTTTCCTTCAATGTACCTACTATGCTTTTCTTGGTTGCTCCAGGATGTCCCCGCTAAGGGTCTCTCTAATTAAAGAAATTTGCTCTCCAATGTTTACTCTCTGGCTACGTATTCTCTATTGTTCTCTTCTTGGATGCTGTTTAATATTTTTCTTCATTATTTCTCTCTCCCTCTTTCTAATGTTCCTTCTGGATATTCTCTCTCTAATGTTCGTTCTGGATATTCTCTTTCTTTCTAATGTTCCTTCTGGATACTCTCTCTCTAATGTTCTTCTGGATACTCTCTTTCTCTCTAATGTTCCTTCCAGACGCTCTCTTTCTAATGTCCCCCTGTTCTCCATCTAGTGTTGCTCTGGATTTCTAAAAAATAAACGTAATTTATTTGTTGGTTCCCTCAAAAGTGTTAACTATTCATTCCACATTTAAAAAATGCTTCTTTTTTCTAGTTTTACCTGTTATTGTTACCTCTGAAGTTAAAGGTGTTCGTAGCATATACATTGGGCGGTCTTCTTCTCGTTATTATTTATTATCTGCGAAACTATAGAAACATATTTCAAGTCCTTTTCCACTGTTCAGTCACATTACTTGCTTTATACCAAATACGCCAAAGACAGATCGCTGTTAAGCCTCCGGATTATAATGTTTAATCAGTGTCTGTGTAGAATAAAAAAACTGTTAAAATTACGCATAAAACTCTTGGCAATTTTTTTACATCTTGACCATGTCCATCTGAATTATATTTAGCTGTAATCTTGGCTTAATATTTAGACCTATTTAAGATGGCTACGGCACCAACTCAGTGCAAATACACAGCTAAGCTAGACGTAAAGAGAAATAGATGCCTTTGAGAAAGTAGAAATACATAACGTAATATATCATGTTTTTATTATAACAAAAATACAAAATATAATAGTTAAAAATAGACTGATGCATAAGTAGCGACGAGGGTATGGCATAGTAAATGAAGAAACTGAAATCCATAATTTCGTGATGTTTGTTCTGCAATTTTTGCTGAAATAAGTGATAAGTCGGGCAATTTATGCTTGTGACTTTTGCTGAAACATTTGCCTGTTCTGAAGTCGAGAAGTGCTTTCAACTATTTCAGTCACTTCTTACTTTAAAAATATTAATTTCTAGTGTAAAAATAGTCAAGTTAGTGTCGGCGGATGTGAAGTTTCCAGGATATTATGTATATAACATAATATAAAAGCGCCTTGGAAGTTTCACTTTCTGAAATCAAATCATTAGTGGTGGGCGATATTTCTTTAAAATATCGATACTTCCGATACTAAGAATTTGGTTGTTGGTATCGATACTATTTTTCAGTATCGATGATTTCGATATTAGGTTACGTGAGGATTACATGGAGTGTTATAGACCTTTGAAGCATTCTTCAGTGTTCTTCACGCTGCCCACCGATTGAGATCGACTGGGAACCCGAGAACAGGAGGCTGCGAGGAAGACCCACTGACAGTGGGAAGACCACGATCTGCATAAATTAGGTGAAAAGTGCCAGTATCGATATCGGTATCGTATCGAAAATATCGATAAAAAAATATCGATATCGTATCGAATCATAAAATCCCAGTATCGCCCACCACTACAAATCATTCCCAAATCCCAAGATGCACCGTTTCCCCTCATTTCAGGGCCTGGACACGAATCAGTAAAACTGATTTTCGTTCAAAACGTGTCATTCTTGTCATTCTTGCAACGTCGTATTTGTACGTATTTGTAGTAATTTTCTGAGTGCACTGCATAGTATTTAGACGTGAATGGTTTTATGTAATCCTCTTGTATTGATTGACAGGAGTTGTGTGTGAATGGAGTGAACGGATATGAATTAAAACACGTTTTATCTAAACGCCATTACGGCGTACGCCACGTTTTTAGTCCCGCGAGAAATAAGTTGACGTGGCATAAAGTTATGACCCGACAATAATGGTAATGTTGTATTGAAATATATTCATACAACATGACATGCGAAAATGGTGAGAGAATGGAATGAAAAGATACGAATAGGTCTCTTATGTTTAACATGGTACTCAATAAGTTCTCTCAACAATATTATCAACAAGAAATTGCTAACTCAGTTTCCACACCCGATTTCGTTGTCCTTAATACATCTTTTTTCGTCTGCTGTCTATCTCGGCCCGCTTCTTGATGTTTGGAAGGTTCCTGGGCAGCAAAAGATACCATCCAGGACGTTTTTTCAACTAATTGTTCCCTTGGGTTTGGGCAGAGTATTCGGATCTGTGTCAGCCCATGTTACAATATGGAAAGTTCCTGTCTCATATGCTCATACAGGTATGGTATTATAACATCTTTCTAACCCGTGTAGTTTGATGATTTGGTAGAGAAAAGACACAAATTTCACTCGTTGAGATATTGAATCTGACAGCAGGACTGGTACATGTTTCCATATACCAATATATAGTATGTGTGTAGTTGTAGTGGTTGGTGTAATTGCATAAATCTACCATACATGTCAAGGGAAATGAGAAATCCCTATCACCAGTTAATTGGTCATTGTTAAAAATTGCTGGGTTAAGTATCATTCACAACCAAAGTTCCTGCATTTAAACATCTACCAGTAATCCTCTTTATCCCAAGAGTCAGAGTACAATAAAATAAGACTATAGTTTAAATAAAGCAAAAAGAAGGGGCAACGAAAGGGTGACATAACATTTTCATAAATAACATGTCTGGGAAAATTACATGCCAGGCAACCCCTTGTATTTTTATTGCTGTATAATTGCTAATTATTTTTTATTTTTTTCAAATTAAAACATTGGTTTGGCTGATTTGAAATTTTTACTTCATGCTTCAACAGTAAAGGTAATTCGCTACTACATATCTCTTAAATGTAATGCACTGGTTGTTAAATTTAATATACACTAAAATTGTTTCTAAATGGATGAGAAAACTTTACCACTGCATTAATTTGGTAGGGAATGATGCCAATTTTCACTGTGATATTATCCAGAATAATAATTGGAGAGAAGCATTCATGGAAGGTATGTAAGCACAGCAAACTTTCTACTCCTAACTTTTCTTTCTGTTACTGCAGTGAATATCTGCACTTGTCTTGCTTGGTAATGTTTTTTACTTTTATAGTTTTTTTCCTAACCAATTATCAATGTCTCTTGCCATTTTTCAAACAGTATATTCCTTTAATATTTTAAGGTTTATCTTTCCCTCATCCCAATTATATGTGGTGTTGCAATTGCAACAATGACAGAAATCTCCTTTCATATTGTTGGACTTATAAGTGCTTTGATGTCAACTATTTGTTTTGCTTTACAAAATATTTATTCAAAAAAGGTAATTACAATATTATGTATACTGTATATTATTTTGGAATGCATGGCTATTTTTCCAGGTTCTCTGAGTCCAGTAACTTGACTATTGATTTTATTTTTCTCAGGTTCTAGAAACTTTAGAAATGAATCACCTCAGATTATTAGTAGAAATATCAAAAGTTTCTGTTATAACTATTATTCCATTCTGGATTTATTATGACTATGTCCATGTCATGAAGTTAACAAATTTAGTAAGTACACAGTTTTGGTTTCAATGTAATTTTGCTTTCAGTGTTTATTCATAATGTGAAGATAAATAGTGATTTCAACTGGCTGTTAATTCATTGACAAAAAATAACATGGCAAAACTGTCAAGTTGTTTCCAGTTGATAAAACAGGATTGAACAATGTTGTGTTGCAGCCTAATAATAAGAACATGATTGTTATCAAGTTGTGGTATCGTTTTAGGCTTTAACGAATTACTGTAGCTTAATAACAACCGTGTTTTATGGTTGCATGGCAGCAGAAGATTGTTCTGTACTGTTTTCATTAACTGGGTGCAACCTGATCAATTCCTGATCAATTTTTATGTGTAAACATTATACACAATTGAATTATATTGTGATTATTATTCAAAGGTTTTAGTGCGATACTATCTAATTGAAATGAAAACCTATTACAGTCATTAGTAACATGCTTTGTAACACACCACTTAGCATTTGTGATCAATTTAGAATGATGAAAAGAATGATGCATTTTGGATTTTGGTCTCGCTGCTGGTCAGTGGTCTCCTGAATTTTGCCCAAAGTATGGTGTCGTTTACAGTTCTTAGTCTTGTCTCACCGCTAAGTTATTCAGTTTGTACAGCTGCAAAGAGGATTTTAGTTATTACAATTTCATTGCTGGTTCTTAAGAATCCAGTCACTATTGTGAATGTTTATGGAATGATGATAGCAATTCTTGGTGTGTTATTTTATAATAAGGTAAGTAGATTATTTGATATCTTAATTAAGACAAGTATACAAAGCAATATTTAAATAATAAACCCAAACACATATAGTCTTTCATTCCAAATGAAAAAATTGAAAAAATTTGGAAAACGATTCTAAATGAATATTATTGGTTATTAGGTAAAACTTGATGCACGAAAAGCGAAGGGATTGCTATTGCCAGTGACCGCAAGGAAGCGATCTAATTTATATTTAAATTACAATGGAAATGTTCACGAGTATTGATATATATACCTTAGTCCTTAGACTTAGTGTAGTAATGTAGTATATTCTTTATAAATAAATAAATAAATAAAGTTCTATTTACGTTGTCGACGTATGTAAGTGTATAAACAGATATTTTCTCGGAGCGGGAATGATAATTGAGCCTTTTGAGGTAAATTTATAGTAAGTTAGTTGCATAAACAGACAAACTTCTTTATTTTGTTTTTCTCTTCACTTTATAAACTATAAAGAATGACTTTCTTACATGAAAGGGGCAATTAAATTAATAAGGACATATCATCCGGCATTGGCAGCGCGTTAGGAGTCTTCATGCATGTATGCTGGCCCAGGTGTGAAGCCAGGAAGCGAATAACATAATGAAAGTAATTTTTTCTAGTAATCTTTCCATCATATTGAATAAAAGGCAAGTCATGTTTGTTGTTTTATATCTTTATATTATACTTTAATACATGGTTGTACTGGTGCAAAGTTATTCGAGAGAGGAAAATGTACTGTACATAATCACCATAAATATTTATGGTGCTAAATTGAATAAATAACTTCTGACACAAATCAATCTTCTTATTGATACATTTCCAGTTTTTCGCGAAGTTGTTCTTTATTTCCCCCAGTTACTTGGTCGATCTAAAAATGAAAATTACGACTTGTTAATGCTAGAGAAAATGTTGCATGATTGCTTGACCAGTCAGTAGGTGGTTTTCTTTTAGTATATCATAATCATAGTGCTATGTTGCTACAGCTTTACTTTGATTTGAAAAAAAATTAACGATTTTCTTCCTACCTTTTTTCCGTGTTTGTAAAATCTAAAAACAGGCATCACAGTCACTTCTTCCCTTTCCGCTATATCCTAAATTAACGAATGTAAATGCTTAGTTTTTTTAAAATACGGTTTTACAGTAAACATTTTTTAGATATCACTGATGCTGTTTATCGGCCCTTTAAATACGTATATATAGGTTTGCACATGCCGCATAATTTATCAGGACGATTCGACTTTAGCATTGATGATACTGATCAGTGTTTCTGACCATGTCTGTGGTCATCTGTGCGCATATATACAAAGTAATCTTAGCCTGCGTTTAAATTGTTCCAACCGCAAAAAATAATTTTGTAACTGAACCAGAACACTGTCAGTTCAATTAGCCATGCCTATACCTCGTGTTCATCCACATCAACAGAAGCAAACGTGACCTTTTTAAATTCTTTTGAAAGGCGCTAGAAATCAAATAAAGTTAATCAAGTTGCCTCCTTATTTGACCGAAGATCAAGCTTACTGCTTACTTCAAATTCTTATGCTATAATATGACATTGTTACAGTTTTCGATTCAGAAATCCATATTTTTAAGTCTAGTCTAATCCATAGGTTAGCAGAATACTATAGTTCAGACCGGAAACAATAAAGTGTTGTAGGATCGGTGCTCTCATTATGGCAAACGTTGCTGTCAGAAGCAAGCAAATATATATTCACGTGAATATATATTCACGTTGTAATAATCGAGTATTGCGGGTCTTTCAAGCTATGAAGGCAACATTAGACCTTGGTTATTTCAACTCAATGTAAATGAGGCTCAAACCATCGAACTTCGCACGACGTAATTTGCATTGATTGCGAGCCAATGGTAAGAGTTGTTTCTTGTAACATGCCCACAAAACAATAGAACCAGAGGCGGGAAGATCGCTAAGCGCCGGTTGGGGGATATTTATATATTATTCACGTTCAACATTATTTGTTTTTTTGAAATTGATTGTCTTTACCGTCTGCTAACATGAATATATGAATATGAATCTGCACCCCCTTCCCCCACGGCCCCTGTCTAATACGGCCCAGCATGCCGCCGCCAAAATGCAGAAAACAGTTTGTATACTCACCTTGTATGTAGGTGCTATTTGTCTGCATGGACCACACCAGTCGGCGGAGAAATCAACCACTATCAGACCCTTTGTTGATCTGCCCGAAGTCAGATCGTCATATTCTTCCTATTTATGTAGGTTTTCACGAGTTACTAAAGTATTTAGATAATAAACTACAGGGTGTCCCAAAAAAAACGAAAACTATTGAAATCACCCATAACAATGTAATTGTTAGAGTTTGAATGCCTAAGCACTCTGTTGGGACCCACAAGTGTGTAAATGTTTGCCATAAGCATTTTTATGCATGCATATGATGCAGTAAAATTTGCTCGTACGCGAAAATGATATTTATCAACAATATTTAAATGTGCATCTCAATCACCATGACCTTCCACATGTCCCCTTTCTGTAGCAACACAAAGCATTTAGCATTTTACTGAGTTGCATTAAATCCCCATGGGCTAAAATTCGTGCACACGGCATTTAAATTTTAACAATGAGTGATTTCAATAGTTTTCGTTTTTTTTGGGACACCCTGTATAGTGGCGAGGGGGGGATTGGTATTCAGGACCGGCATTATATTAAGTTGACCGGTTTGTCTAGAGTATAAAAAGGGTTGTTTGTTCTTCATAAGACATCTCAGATTATTTGAATGTGTTCGAAACATATCGTAACGACGTAAGCATGGCTTTTAGAAAGGCCTTATAGCCATGCATATATTAAACGGATTAAAAAGTTAATTGACTAGGATTTCTTTGAAGTTTACTATAAAAATGATCAGTTAAGTTTGTAGCCGATAGTGGTTTTTTTAAGTTTGAGTGTTAAGACAAAAAAATAAGCTTCCCATTGCCCCTCGTCATCGACACCGGTATGCACGATGGCCAAAGCCTAGCAAAACGGATAATTTACATTCATAGGTAAATAATGAACGGATAATTTATAAACCTACTACAAAGTAAGTCAAAAGCCTAAAATAAACTGCTAGAATTCAATTGAGCACGTTTTTAATAATACAAAAACAAATCAAATTATTTTACGGGTTTTTTATTTATTCAGTTTCTTTAACTTCTGTAAACTCATGTTTCAAAATATACAGTTAAAAGTTTGGATATACATTTAAAGTAAAACAACAAACCGCAGGTGGTGATGTTATCAGTTTGGAGCGATGGAAAGCGTCGTTTCTTTCCAACAATCATTCATTTATGCCCTGATATAATACTGATATGAAATTCCCACAAGCAAACACCTCAATGTTGAATGCAATTCAAGTAAGGCATTGAATTAAAATGAATAATCCACTGTACCTCTTTCTACTTGCTAATATGTATAGCTATGGCTATTGTCTAGTACTTAGTATTGTAAAGATTCTAACCTTTGAATTGATGATCGTAATTTGTCCCTCAGACATTTCTTTCATTCAATTGACTAAATCAGTTCATCCAGGAGATATTAGGTACGGAGTTAACTTAGGTTTAATATGATTATATAATCTTTTACGCTCGGTTAACAACGACAAGGAAATTTGCTGTTTACAAGCGAGTGGCATGGGCGGAATTTAATAACTCTTAAGATTTGTTTCCGGACTGTTATTTGCATAAATTCGTTCAATAGCACTTTTAGGTGTCCACGGCAGCTTATCTTAAATTTAACACTGCAATTCTCAACATGTAATCACTATATTGGTATATTATTGGACACGACAATGATAACATATTATGCCAGAATCATTCAAAGCTGCATTCAAACGTTTATGTACATTAAACTTCAAGTCATTCAACCAGTTTAAAGAATTATGAAGAATAATGACAAGAGAAAAATTCGGCAGGTGAGAATTGACAGACATTGCAAATACCTAAGTCGGTAAAAAGTGTAAAATAAGGTATTAGGCACGTTAAACAACATAAAAAATACGTATTGTTTTCGTAACTTGAACATATTATTGACTCTTTCTTGGCATGAATTCGTGCTTTGCATGCAATACAACTTTTATTGCCGGATTAATTGCCGGAAAGAGCGTTCCCAACAAGCATCATGGGATCAAAATATGGGGCCGGTTGTATGAAAGCCGGATAGCGCTATCCATCGGATAGTGATTTTTCAACTGTTCTAAAAATGCTTGAAGAGCAATAAAAATTTCAGCGTTGGAACCAACAATTGTTGAAGAAGATCCTCAATTTAGTGATACTAAGATTTAATCAAAGTTATACCCAACAACGAGCGATTTTAAAGCGATTGAAAAACCACTATCCGGTGGATGGCGCTATCCGGCTTTCATACAACCGGCCCATGCATGGTAATAATAGGAAAAGCGAGACGGACAGTTTATCCGGCGCAATTTTTTTACTTTATATAGAGGAGATTACTAAACTTCTGGACTGATGGCTGTGTAGTAACTTTATTCATTTTTACCGTCCCCGATTTTTTATAGCATATTTTTGTGACTCTAGTCTCTAGCCTCTAGGCTCTACTTAATAAAACTTAATAATGTATCGAGTATTCTTTTGGTTCTATACAGAAAGAGAAAATTAAAAAAATAAATATGAAATGATTATATATTAACTTTTACCGATCACGAGGTGGTATACTTACAGTGTTTCCTTTAAAAATTAAGAACATCGACTTGACCCATGTCTCTCTTAGCTGAGAAAAGTTAGAAAAACGGAGTTCATGCATGCATGATATATATATATATATATATATATATATATATATATATATATATATATATATATATATATATATATATATATATATATACGTATAATCATTTTAAATTCTATCCAAAAAGAGTGCAAGGGCTCATGCATAATCATTTTAAATTTTATCCAAAAGAGTGCAAGGGCTCATGTGCAAGGAGTGAGGAAAGTAAACTTAGTAGTAGGGTGAAGTGTAGTACAGATAATCAAGTCAAAAATATTTATAAGTCACTATAGTAAGTAGAATGTAGCTGCAGACTGCAGTGTTTATTATACCTGTTTCACTTTCGTCCCACAGATTCAAACAAGTCGCATTACGAACATCGTGGGTGTAATGACATGGCTTCTCACAATAATCTGCCTATAATTCCATAACACATAATATATTCATGTGCAAGTCGTTCTATCCGGGTTGAAAAATTTATAACACCAATATTTGATACGACAACACACTAAAATAGCGGTGTAGTGCAGGTGGAGGTTTGTACTAATCTCACGTCTCTAACAATCAAAATAGAACCGAGTTGCATGCAAAATGGATATCATAGTTTTGTAATCACTATACATACAAAGGTACGCTACTATGACACAACATGAAAACTTACAATAATTCTGTTATGGAAATAATTGTCGTCAATATAGCACGCATTAGGACCAGTCCAGCCCCACCAACATAAGCATCGGCCAGTTCTCATACACCACCCCTTACCATGATTTGGAGCTATACAGGAAATTATGCATTGCCATTAGTTGTATTTTTATAGACGTTTCAAGAAATATTGTGTACTTGCAAAAATGATGCAAAATATTAAATGCAAAAGGTTTCAGGTACGCGACTCTTCATGCTGCTATATAAAAGAGACACTTTAAGGATGTTTCATTTAGTATAGGTTTCCATGTACTTTTACTTGTTTTTCATTTTTGAACATCAACTACAACTTTTTGAAAAGATTTGAAACCTTCATGCAGTATTAACATGTTAGGATTTATGATTGGAACTTACGATTTCCACATCTTTGATCACATGGTACTTTTGGATCAGACTTGGTGGGCAATACACATTCATGTTTTGTGTGATTGTAGTTCACACATTCAGGGTTTGCATAGTCGTGCGTATAATGACAAGGTATACGACAATAATCAGCCTAAAAACGTTTCATTTAAAACACTATAAATGCATGTCAGTTTGACGCTGGCTGTGTACGACTCTACTGACGCTACTCGAAAATATACTTACCAAAATTTTATTGTTCGTCGTATATTTAGCGTTGGGTCCAGTCCATCCCCAGAAACATAGACATCTCCCATCGTTCTGACATGATCCTGCATGATGATAGACTCCAGTGCCACATTTGGGATCACATTTCACTGAAAAGATAGTAAATAGAAAATAAAACCATAGTCAAGAGACTGCAGGAACTGGGTTTCAATTTAACTATTCTTCAGTATTGAATTGAGAAATAACCTTTTTTGGCTACTTTAATTGTAGCAGTGTTCCTAGAAGTTTTTGATCTTGAACCAGACAACCAAGTACCGTTCAAACAAGTTGCATTTCTAACAACAGGTGTGTAATGACATGCTGCTACACAGTAATCTGCCTGTACAAAACAATTCAAGTGTCAGTACTGTATTTTTTAAACTTTGTTGTTACTTAATTGTTCTTGGTTGCAAAACAGCAAGTTTTTCGTCTTCGGTGCGTAACCGTATCGGAACAGCATCACATCGTACCGCGCTCAAATTTTGGTCAATCACATTTATTAATATCTTTTTTAATACTTGATCTCATTCTTTGTGCCCCCTTTTGGTACCACATATATAGATCAGTGGCACCCGCGCAGCTTTCAATATTTATTGACAGTCACTGTGGATGGATTCCTATATGATTGAATACTTACAATAAGTCTATTCTTGTAGCTACCATTTTCAACATAACAAGCATTTGGTCCAGTCCAACCCCACCAACAAAGACATCGGCCATTGTAAAGGCATTGTCCTTTTCCATAATATGGTGCTGAACGGGAAAATGAGATCAATAAACAGTACCAAAAATTATCATTTCACACATAAATTCACACTTATACATTTGAGTGCATTGTTAAAACTGTCTTTGATATTTGAACGTTTACTCACGGTTTCCACATCGTGGGTCGCAAGGTTTTGTGGGTCTTGGAAAATCGGGTATCTCACATTCATCAACAGTGTGATTCGAATTAACACATTCAGGATTTTCATAATCATGAGTGTAGTGACATGGAACACGACAGTAGTCAGCCTAAGAATGTTTAGTGGGACCGACCTTTAGTATAGTTTTTCAACCCTAAGTCCCTAATCTTAAAAAATTAAAAGTATATAAATGGGTATATATTGTATTCACGCGAAGAAGATGTATCGGAGTTAAAGGCCAAACCTCACTTCCTCTCATATTCAAGTACAAAATATGCTAGGATAAGTACCAGTTGATTTAGTGTTATAGTAAGACTAAAACGTTTTCCTATATAACTAACCAGAATCCTATTACTAGCTGCATATTGGGCGTGTGGTCCAGTCCAACCATAGGCACACAAACATCTTCCGTCTGCCATACAGGTTCCTGCGTGTGTATAAACACCAGTGCCACATAGTGGATCACATGAAACTGAACATAAACGATAAGAGTGGTTAGTTTCTGGCTTTCTGCTGTTAGTGCCTAACATGCATGCGGGCAGAATCTTCATTACCAAAATATTTTTTACTCAGTTACTAAAATATATATAGTGCTGTACATATATATAGCGTGATTTTAATGTAAACTTGTAGAGATGTAAGTCCCATGCACGCCGAAGGCCGAACGTGTTTACATGCAGGTCTGGTAGGTTTTATAAATGCATGTTTTCGTTATAATATACCTGTAGAGCAAATTGTTGAGATTCAGCCATACTGGAAATAATCAACTTTAATCATAATATTCTTATTCTTACTACAACATTGCACTGATATCCTGACTATAGTGAACTATTTTTCACTACGCTCACCTTTCACGGTTGTTTGAACTTTTGTTGGTGTTTTTTCGGTTGTTTTAGTGGTTTCATCTCCGTCCCAAGACCCGTTTAGACATTTTGGATTTCGCACATAGGGCGTAAAATGGCACGCCCTTGCACAATAGTCTGCCTGTAATGGAAATAAGAAATAAAGAAAGATATTTTTACATTCTAGTCCAATTTGACGCCCTTATCGAGACTGTATGCATGGGGGGAAATTTAACAAGAAAGGCTTAGCAGGAGCTAATATAGTTAATATCCACATGCAGAATAGTTTTAAATCATTTACAATGATCCTGTTCTTGTATGATCCGTTTTCAACATAGCAAGCGTTAGGTCCAGTCCACCCCCACCAGCAGAGACAACGACCGTCACTCAGGCATCGACCTCGGCCATGGTAGGGAGCTGTGTGAAAAATGACATAGAATATGGATCCCTTAATAGGCATGCGGTAGTTAATATGTATGAAGGCGTTGGAGGTCGCAAGATAAATAACAACTAAAATACAGTTTGTCTTACAATTTCCACATTTAGGATCACAGGGCTTCGTTGGGGTGGTTGATGTCGGTACTTTACATTCTCCTCCGGTATGATTAGAGTTTACACAGTTTGGGTTTTTATAATCAGGAGTGTAATGACATGGAATACGACAGTAGTCAGCCTAGGAAAAATGGAAGTTAATAGCTATTAATATAACTGATGAATTGATGGTCCACGTATAAAGTGGTGTTTACTAAAGCGCAACAATGTACGGTCTATACTCCTCCCTATACTGATACAAATACATCGACAAGGCAATCGGGTGAATAAAGATTACTTTCTTTCAATTCCGATGTTTTTTAGTATTTCTATTTCTGGCTGAGTCGGACTTTTAGAAAATCATCATAATATAATCACAGTCCTAAATTTATAGTCAGGTGTTACTCGGTGACAATAATACGGTGACACTCTCGTAGTCGATGCATGATAAATTACTGGAAAAACCGTAAAATTACCGACGTACCAAGATTCTATTATTAGTAGTGTACTGTGCGTTGGGTCCAGTCCACCCCCAGAAACAGAGACATTTTCCACTCGGCTGACATGTTCCTGCGTGTGTATACACCCCAGTACCGCACAGTGGGTTGCAATTAGAGCCTTTTGAAATAAAGGAAAGTCAGAATATATTTATTTTATTGTTTTTTAGTAGATTATGATGAAAGAAAAGAAAGGTTAATGACATTTCAAAACTAGTTCTTTTCTGGAATTAGCTTGATTCACTACAGCCATTATTTTATTTTGCTGCAACATTGCACTGATATCCTGACTATAGTGAAGTGACTTTTAATCACTAAGCTCACCTTTCACGGTTGTTTGAACTTTTGTTGGTGTTTTTTCAGTTGTCTTGGTGGTTTCATCTCCGTCCCAAGACCCGTTTAGACATTTTGGATTTCGCACATAGGGCGTAAAATGGCACGCCTTTGCACAATAGTCTGCCTTTAACGGAAATAAGGAATAAAGAAATAAATACTCATTTTTAATAATTTGACCCTTTTGAAACAGAACAGGTTTCTGCGGATGGAATCAAAGATCTTTTTTATCCGGACTGCATGTTTGGAAATTTGAGAAGAAAGGCTTAGCAGGAGCTAATATAGTTAATATCCACATGCAGAATAGTTTTAAATCACTTACAATGATCCTGTTCTTGTATGATCCGTTTTCAACATAGCAAGCGTTAGGTCCAGTCCACCCCCACCAGCAGAGACAACGACCGTCACTCAGACATCGACCTCGGCCATGGTAGGGAGCTGTGTGTAAAATGACATAGAATATGGATCGCTCAATAGGCATGCGGTAGTTAATATATATGAAGGCGTCGGAGGTCGCAAGGTAAATAAAATGCAATTTGTCTTACGATTTCCACATTTAGGATCACAAGGCTTCGTTGGACTGGCTGATGTCGGTACTTTACATTCTCCTCCGGTATGATTAGAGTTTACACAGTTTGGGTTTTTATAATCAGGAGTGTAATGACATGGAATACGACAGTAGTCAGCCTAGGAAGATTATGAAGTTTAAAGGTTTCTTAAACAATACAGTTTCGCCAACGAAGATAATAAACCGCCCCCCTTTTTTAAGCTAGTTACACAACTCAAGAGACCATATCTTTGAATAAAAGAAAGTTGGAAACGTATTTTACTTCTTGGAAAACAGGCCCTTCGGATATTGTTTATTAACAATTTGGTTATGACATACCAAAATTCGATTATTAGTAGTGTACTGTGCGTTGGGTCCAGTCCACCCCCAGAAACAGAGACATTTTCCACTCGGCTGACATGTTCCTGCGTGTGTATACACCCCAGTACCGCACAGTGGGTTGCACTTTCCTGGAATCCGAGAAACATCCAAAAACATTATACTTAATTTAAGCCGTTTTAATCAACGAACTGTGAACTCAAACTGTGTAATGATAAGGGTCGCAATTTCGTGTTTTCACGTATTTTTGTTCACCTACCTTGAACACCATTAGCAAAAACGGATGCAAAAAGAACTGAGAATACGAAGAAATTCGTCATCGCAATGGCTATTATTATTCAACTAAAAGTAAAAGTATCGATTCAGCACAATATAGCTACCAAACCTTATTTTTACAAACAGTTTTAACCGGCTCTTTGGTATAGCTGTTTAAACACTAAAACATGGATAAAAGCATTGAATAAATGTATACACAACTGATGTCAACATTCACCCGGTATTTCAAAGGTAGAAAAACTAAAAAATATCGAGTGCAACAAAGATGTTGATTCATTTGCTAATTAATGTTATTATATAATTAAATGTTATTAATTTTACACGGATTTTGCTATTGATTTAGTCTTACTGCAGAAATAGGCGGCAAGTTGTGAGAAATCACGCTAAGAAAGCAACAAACGTATTGTTCAGTAAAAATGCGATACGCAGCAATTTTTGATTTTCCTGTAAAGTGCAAATATTGCAACATTACCAGGAAATGAAAACCAACAATCAATATTTTTTTAAAAGAGAAGAATATGTCTGCTATAATATAGCACCGAAACTTTAAAGCCGTTCTAACAGAGGAAGAAGCTTATTGCGGATATTTTCAAATCAACACCGATACAAGAATGGCTTAATTATATAGATTATACCAAGCGGTCAGCCAATCAGACTGATCGATCATTTAGACCGAAATCTCGAATAACCTGCATATTATAATATTGGTTGTATACAGTCATGTCAATGGTAGGTTTAATGGTTGTATCTATAATTACTTACCTTTCGTAGGTGTTTGTGGGGACTTTCACGCACTTTACGTATAATTTTTAGCTCTATTTTAAACAAGTTTGCGTTGCAGCATAAACACGTCTGTCCTTTAAAATGATATCGTCGTGACTAAAGGCTGATATGGATTTCCTGGTATAAATGTGTTTAAAAACACTTGTCGTCAGTCATGTGAGTCAAGTTCGATTCCAGGTATAATGACATGGATACGATGAAACAAAGGAACATGCCGTGACAGATCTACTAAATGTTTTTTCAGTCTCGTACTGCACTTAAGATTGATGATTATAATGTGTCTGTGAAAAATTAGTCTACGTATAACAGAAACCTGCATTGTATAACATATATGCATAAGTGTATACGTAACCAATATTAGCTGCAGCTAAACATATTAGCATTTATTATAGCAGGCGATTGCAACGCGGAAGGAAATTTCATCTTCTAGAACTGTGTTCTGACATATGTTATATGAACAATAAACATACGGCTATTCACTTTATAATCATTTTATGAGTTTGCGATAGTTGCCGACCGAGAAAACGAACCTGTTAATTTGGTGACTTTACTGAACTAGTATAGATCGTGCCAGAGTGGACGGCACGACATGAACAAAGATTATTACGAAACAGAAAATTTTCTCACGTTGTCGCAGCATATCATATTTCGCGAGAAAATTAACACGAAGTGTGTCTACACTGATAAACGTGTATATATGCATTTTAGCTATTCCTTAATTCCTGTTAGATCAGCGGATAGGTCTGTGTGCAGGCTTGGACCCGAAACATCTCGAGGATTATCCGAAACATCTCGAGAGCCCCGAAGACGTGATTCACGCGGTTTTAGAATTCTATTGTGAAGCTTTAATTTTTTATCGTTAAATAAAAGGTTCTATTTATGCAAGTGCCACTAGTGATTCCCACCAAAACTAAATTCATTCCTGCCCTACTTGACAATTACAGAAAAATATTATTTTTCAACTAGCTTCGTAAAGTTCATTAAAGTGAGTAAGGCCATCCGTGTCATTGAACGCCAGGGAATTTTTAGGACTATCACTGTTCGACATCATCTCATCACATGGAGTACTATATTCATGATTGGTGGTACATGAAGTGCTATTCTGTGAATTTTCCAGCTCTTGATAGACATGGCCTGGTTGCAATGTTTGCTGTTCTTCGTTGCTTTTGACATCAAGATCATTATCAACGGATTCGTAGATTGGATTGTTTGATTCTTCTGTCAATCTGTAGCTAAACGCGGACAAATAATAAGTTTCATATCAGTGATTCGTTACTGACAACCGGTCAGCGAAACACATAACTCCCGCAGCAGAAAATGTCACAAATTTTATCAAACCTGTTCATCTCATGTTCATTCTCTTTCTCTTCTCTTTTTACATTCATCTTCCTTCTGTCAAGAAAGTTTTTTTTCATTATTGCTCATATATATAGTAGATGGTTAAAAATGCCTGGGCAACCAGTTTAGTTCCGGCAAGTATTTTTGGCAATCCTGGACTAACCAAGACAAATTTGGAAGATACAATTAAACATAAAAATACGGGATGGAAATTTCACTCTTTCTAAATCTTGGCATATCTCGCTTTTCACATTTATTTGAGTAAATTATGGGTGCATAAATGATGCACAACTGACTTACCTGAAAGAAGCAATAATTATTGATTAAAAAATCAAGTGTGTTTGCTCAGATTGCTCGGCATTATATTAATATTTAAGCCTACCTTCTGAAAAGGATCATCATTGTAAAGGCTATCAACATTACAAAAATTATTCCTCCACCAATGCCACATCCTAATATAATGTACATCTTTTTTTTCCTGGATTCCTTTTCACTTTCATTGTGCGGAAGGATCGTGGTGGGTGAAGGTGGGCGAGAATAAGAACTAAGATTGGATGGATAGCTTTTAATTTTGCGTGATGAAGGAGTGATAGAAACAGAAACACGGATATACGTGCCTCTCGCGTTTGAAGATGTAGGTAACGGTGATGGTGGCTTTGATGCGGTTTTGTCTGTTGTACGTTTTGATGTTGAGGGTGTAGATGTTTTATACATATAAAGGGGTTCTAAAAGCATGGAAATAACTATTGGAATTAGTACACAAATATGTTATAATGCGTAAAAGCTTCCCTTATACTGAAAAATCTGATTAGGGCCGGGATCACCCAACTTTCATCTCTCACTCACTAAGCACTCCTGCCGGAGAACAGTAATAATTGTATTTTTTCTCCCAAGGAATGTAGAAACAACAACCCACCATCCTATATATGCAATGAGATTTTACGGTTGAATTGATTGAACAAACCGAGACTTTTCGCTCTTAATTTGTTACCTTTGCATTTGTCATATTCCTTGTCACCATCACCATAATAACACCAAAAATACTTTCCTACTCCCCAAAAACCACTGTCATAGTTTGTACATGCATTGTACGTTATTCCCTTGTAAACGAATGGAAACTTGCAGCAGTATTCTTCCTCTGTTCTTTGAACACAACTGTCGTTACCTGAAACTCAGCACAAATTTGATCAGTTTAAAGTTAAAGAGAGATATTATTGAGAAACATCATCAGCAGTGGCGGATCTAGAAGTGTGCACAATAAATTACTACAGCTTAAAATCGCAATTGCATTGGCAGATTTTAATGTAAAAATATTTTTTCAAATCTATAACCATGCAATAACGTTGTAATTAAGGTGTAATTTATTCCGCACACCCCTATATCCGCCACTGGTATAGAGAGATGAGAGGACACATGTGGCCAGAGTGTGGGGGACTAATATCAAATAATCCCTTATGATTTAACACGTTTAACGAAATCATTTCATTTTTCCTCTCAAGAAACCAAACAAACCCGGCTTTCTTACAGAACCGCGGCGGGAAAAGAAAATTCGTACCACTGGGCGCAGAATAGTTTAAGTATAAATCAAGTGAAACATATGTGAAAGCAGCCCCTCCCTCGAATATATTTCAGATATGATTTTAAATTCTAGCTACCCTTGCAAAAAAATACTGCGTGCGTGGCCGCATGGCGCACCCGTTTGTTCGCGGCGAACTTGTTCCTTATATTGTCAATAGGCAGCGGCCTCCGAAGTTTGTTAAACCACTTGTCACGTGATAATAAAATAACGAATAGAAGTTATCCATTTATTGTAAGTGATCTGAAAAAACTGATTTACTGCAAGCTGAGGATGTCTATTACATATCAACATCAACTCGCGATGCAACAATAAGCAAAAATCTAAACAACAATGTTGTGTGGAATAAAAACAGTGCATAAATTTCAACTTGTTTCCAAAACAATTTCTGTGTTACAAACTAGCTCATATATATCACATTCGACGCGTAAACCTTTTTCAAAATATTGTTGCGTTGCGAGTTGATGTTGAAAGTTGTTTCGTGTAACATTACCTAAAGACTTTACTCGCCCGTGAGGTTATACTGAGTTATTCTTTTATTATCTTATATAACCGCGGGTTCAGACAACTATAGATGACCTTTCTGTTTTGTTTGCTAAAGAACTTCCGCTTTCTTCTGTTTTTCGGTGCGAAGTCTAATATTTCATGCAAAATATCGTACCCCACCGCGATCATGAAATATTAAGCATTGTCATTCCGACATAAATATATTGACTATAGTTTTTTGAACTTGGACGAAAAACCCAACTAACTGAAATTTGTATTAAATAAATTACCCAGTTTATCTAAATTCAAAACATATCCTGCTATGTTGGCAATAAAAAAGATGCCATTAACTTTCCACGTTCTTTCACATGGCTGCATCTCAAGGGACAAGAATTCAGACAAGCATGCATGTTATCTCTTTACTTAATTTAGACTATAGTTGCCATCAACTTTCCCCTCACTCCTTACTCAGTCTCCTTTTGTTCGTCAGAGTAGCCATAATTCTCATATACAGCTCACTTGCATTGCCAGCATTGGGTTATAGTCTTTTGGAATGTATAAAAATTATATTTGTTTCGCTTTAAGGTCTGAAACGTACCGCTAAAGTTGCTCCAGTTTAATCGCATTCTTTTGAGACACGAGATTGAGACATTTTATTCAATTACGTATAATTTACTCCGCTGACGGTGAAGTTAATTTTACGTGTTCGAGTGAAGTTTCAAGACTGAATTTGACTAGATGAACATAGATATGTCATTTGTTTTCAACAAAATTTCTCTTTGTTCTATCGTACGTATATTGTCCTTCATTAGCTAACAATTTTATAAGCCTACCTGTAGCACTATTTGACCAGACCATCACTGGACAGGTGAGAATACTCAAGCAAATAAACCATCCCGCCATATAAAGATTCTGATACATTTCTGAATCGTCACAGAATGTAGTGAATTGCACTGCGGATTTTTGTTTTCATTTAACGATTGTTCAAACACTTAAAACGGTTGGTGATTGTCATGCTGGGTCGAAAAAATAGCACAAAACTCGTGCAGCTTTTAAAAGCCCCATGCTGAGGAAAATTAATTGAGAATATAATGCAGTTAGGTATGAGACCAATATTTTAATATAAATGTGGGGTGGTTATGATATAAATTTATCATTATAGAATAAAATTAGATTATGTTGTGCATAGTAAAGCACTATTGGTAAATATTTTTGCAATACTTGTCTATGTTCCAGGGAATAACTTGTGACACTTTTACACTTTATGTAAATTACTGTATTTTCCCATGGACTATTTAGCATTAAAATCAAAACACTTTATCATTCGGGTGTTAAAAAAGGAAGCATAGCCATAGCGTGCCTTTTAAACCTGAACTGGATCTTGATCAATATCATTTAATATCTTTATTGGCGTAAGATTTAGCAACAGATTTTTATTGGATTTTGTGTGGCTTCCCTGTATACAGCCTACAGAATACTTCAATATAATTTGTTTGTTCATCCTTTTGTTATCACGTGCACACCACGAGAAACTGCAATACGAATCCCCCCTAATAAGATCGTTTAACAAAAGAATGAGACAATCCGGGTGGTAAGAAAGTGGTGTCAACTAACTCAACTTGGGAGATCTTCTATGACCTCTATGACTATATACCGTATATGACGTCACAGTAGTCAAATGGAGGGAAAATTGACGTAGCATAAATCCTCAGCAATGACGTAATTTTTTTGTAAAAATACAGAAATATTAACCAGTAAATCGGGAAACTTCGCTTTGTTAATTGTTTTAACTGTCGTTTGTTTTTCGTATAAACTTTATACGTGACATGGCGATCTTGTCCTTAATTTTGCGGATGTCCACTGATGTCCACTTCGTCTATTGTTTCGTATACTGGAACATTGTTTCGTTCATCAGCTGATCTGTTGTGGCTGAATGAACAAATAATGAAGAATATTTACACTGCAATGACAATGGCATTGAGAGCAGGGGTCGCTTGCAATAGTTAGGATATTAAACGACGTGACCTTTACTTAAACATCTCACAAAAAGTTTCTACTAGTTGTTGGGCTTATGAAGTTGATAACATGGAATTGACAACTTTATGCGCGTGGTCATCACGCAACCTCTCACATTTGCATCGCTAACTATTTTTTTATATGACCTGCATTTTATTACATCTATATATATGATTATATTTTCTTTTTATTACTTTTGTTCTGAGCCTGGAGAGTGCCTTAGCTCGACCGCTTAATTGGGGCATGTATATTTCTACTTGTGAGCGGTTTTCCACCTGGCGGAATTCTTCCATTGAACGAAAGTTTTGTCTGATGTTGCTGGATCCCTCTAAACCTCCACAACTGAAAAGAAAATCCTTGTTCAACCAGTTCATGTCTAACCTGTTTAGCTCAAGTTCATCCGTTACTTTCACCTTTTCTCTCTTCAATCCATTTCTTTTAAAAGAGAAAGAATCGCGTAGAATTCACTTTCGTACCTGTAAATAAGGTTGCATAATGAATCTCTCTACATGTAATTATGTTAGTTACCTTTTCAATACTTTTTTTACTGCCAAAGCGATAACCATTACAAGGATAAGTCCAGCAGCACAACCGTAAGCCAAGAATATGTAGTCTTCTTTGTTTTTACTACATTCACTTCCACTTTCGTTTCGCGGATTAGTCGCTGTGGGTAAAGATGATGATGAGGAAGCACTAAGAGTGGACGAATGAGAGGGAGTAATGACAAGCAATGCGGCAGTGGTGCTGGTTATAGATTGTTTTGGCGATGAAGTTGTATTATGAATATACACAGGTTCTAAAGGATAGATAAGGAACAATTTGACATGTTAGGATAGATAAGGAACATTTTGCATCACCTGACAGGGTATTGTGTGTATCTACATAGGTTATAATGGACCTTTCCGGTTGGAATTACACTATTTTTAACCTAGAACCACAATGCCGCATCCTAATATAATGTACATCTTTTTTTCCCTGGATTCCTTTTCACTTTCAATGTGCGAAAGGATCGTGGTGGGTGAAGGTGAGCGAGAATAAAAACTAAGATTGGATGGATAGCTTTTAATGTTGTGTGATGAAGGAGTGATAGAAACAGAAACAGGGGTATGCGTACCTCTCACGCTTGAAGATGTAGGTAACAGTGATGGTGGCTTTGATGGGGTTTTGTCTGTTGTACGTTTTGATTTTGAGGGTGTTGTAGGGTTATGTATATAAAGGGGTTCTAAAACATGGAAATAATCGTATATGAATTATAGTACACAAATGTATTATAATGCGAAAAAGCTTCCTTTATAATAGGAATCTGATTAGGACTGGGGTCACCCAACTCTCATCTCTCATTCACTAAGCACTCCTCCGGCATCGGAGAGGTGAGGGTTCGCTTCCTGATGGAGAACCTAAGTTGCATTTTTTTGCAAAGTTCCGCAGGTTTAGTGTTGGTAATCGTATTTTTTCTCCCAAGGAATGTTTGAAACAACAACCCACCATCCTATATATGAAATGAGATTTTACGGTTGAACTGATCAAAAACAGGCCAAAACTTTTCGCCCTTAATTTGTTACCTTTGCATATGTCATATTCGTTGTGACCATCACCATAATAACACCAAAAAAGGTTTTTCTCCCAGACCCAACCTCTGTTTGTACATGCATGGTACGTTATTCCCTTGAAAACGAATGGAAATATGCAGCAGTGTCCTCCCTCTGTTCTTTGAACACAACTGTCGCCGTTACCTGAAATTCAGCACAAATTAATTTGATCAGTTTAAAGTTAAAGAGAAATATTATCGAGAAACATTATCGTTACTGTATGGAGAGGAGGGGAGGACACGTGTGGCGAGAGTAATATCAAATAATCCCTTATAATTTAACATGTTTAGTATAGGTAATAGCATGGTTTCGAGTGCAATTTGGATGTAACATGCACGAGCGAGTTTTTCATGCAAAGACCTCAAAATGTATTTGAGGTCTTTGAAAAACTCACGAGTGCATGTTGTATCAAAATTTCACGAGAAACCATGCTAACCATGCTGCCAACTAACTTAAATGGACCTTTCCGGTTGGAATTACACTATTTTTAACCTAGAACCACAATGCCGCATCCTAATATAATGTACATCTTTTTTTTCCAGGATTCCTTTTCACTTTCACTGTGCGAAAGGATCGCGATCGTGGTGGGTGAAGATGAGCGAGAATAAAAACTAAGATTGGATGGATAGCTTTTAATGTTGCGTGATGAAGGAGTGATGGAAACAGAAACAGGGGTATGCGTACCTCTCACGTTTGAAGATGTAGGTAACGGCGATGGTGGCTTTGATGGTGTTTTGTCTGTTGTACGTTTTAATGTTGAGGGTGATGTTGGATTATATACATAAAGGGGTTCTAAAACATGGAAATAACCGTATATCAATTAGTACACAAATATATTATAATGCGAAAAAGCTTCCTTTATAATAGGACTCTGATTTGGACTGGGGTCACCCAACTCTCATCTCTCATTCACTAAGCACTTCTCCGGTATTGGAGAGGTGAGGGTTCGTTTCCTGACGGAGAACCTAAGTTTTTTTTGCAAAGTTCCGCAATTTTAGTGTTGATAATCGTAATTTTTCTCCCAAGGTATGTAGAAACAACAACCCACCATCCTATATACGCAATGAGATTTTACGGTTGAACTGATGAAAAACAAGCCGAAACCTTTCGCCCTTAAATTGTTACCTTTGCATCTGTCATATTCCCAATTACTGTCACCATAATAACACCAAAAATAGTCCCAGAGATCTCTGTTTACACATGCATGATACGTTTTTCCCTTGTAAACAAATGGAAACTTGCAGCAGTGTCCTTTCTCTGTTCTCTGAACACAACTGTCGCCGTTACCTGAAATTCAGCTCAAATTAATTTGATCAGTTTAAAGTTAAAGAGAAATATTATCGAGAAACATTATCATTACTGTATGGAGAGGATGGGAGGACACGTGTGGCCAGAGTAATATATCAAATAAACTCTTATGATTTAACATGTTTAGTATAAGTAATAGCATGGTTTCGAGTGCAATTTGGATGTAATATGCACGAGCGAGTAATATTATTATATTATTTAAATATATATATATATATATATATATATATATATATATATAAAATATATATATATATATATATATATATATATATATATATATATATATATATATATAAACCTTTTTCGAAACATTGTTGCGTTGCGAGTTGATGTTGAAAGTTGTTACCTAAAAACTTTACTCGCCCGTGAGGTTACTGAGTTATTCTTTTAGTATATATCTTATATAACCGCGGGTTCAGAGGCTATGACGTAAGCTAGTTTTAGACAACTATAGGTGACCTTTCTGTTTTGTTTGCTACAGAAGATCCGCCTTCTTCTGTTTTTCTGCGCAAAGTCTAATATTCATGGAAAATATCGTACCCCACCGCGATCATGAAATATTAAGCATTGTCAGTTCGACATAAATATATTGACCAAGGTTTTTGAGCTTGGACAAAAAACCCAACTAACAAAAATTTGATTTAAATAAAATTACCCAGTTAATCTAAATTCAAAACATATCTTGCTATGTTGGCACTAAACAAGATGCCATTATTGCCATTTACCTTTCCTCGTTCTTTGACATTGCAGTATGGGCTCTCGAGGATTCAGCCAAGCATGCATGTTATCTCTTTACTTAATTTAGACTATAGTTGCCATCAACTTTCCCCTCACTCCTTACCTAGTCTCCTTTTTGTTCGTCAGAGTAGCCATAATTCTCATATACAGCTCAATGAATCGCCTGTATTGCCAGCATTGGGTTATAGTCACTGAGGTTATAGTCTTTTGGAATGTGTAAAAATTATATTTGTTTCGCTTTAAGGTCTGAAAACGTACCGCTAAAGTTGCTGCAGTTTAATCGCAACTTTTTTGAGACACGAGATTGAGACATTTTATTTAATTACGTATAATCTACTCCGCTGACGGTGAAGTTAATTTCGCGTGTTCGAGTGAAGACTGAATCAGACTAGATGGACATAGAGACGTCATTTGTTTTCAACAAAATTTCTCTTTGTTCTATCGTACGTATATTGTCCTCCATTAGCTAACAATTTTATGAGCCTACCTGTAGCACTATTTGACCAGACCATCACTGAACAGGTGAGAACACTCAAGCAAATAAACCATCCCGCCATATAAAGATTCTGATACATTTCTGAAGGTTAGTTTCCACTCAGGAAAATTCTCCTTTGGATCGGACAGGACAAGAAAGTTTCCTTTGTATAAACGCCGCCTGAGAACTCACCGACAAAGGAAATTTTCCTGTCCGTTCCGATCCAAAGGAGATTTTTCCTGAGTGGAGACTAGCCTTAACTCAACTTGGGAGGAGATCTTCTATGACCTCTATGACTATATACCGTATATGACGTCACAGTAGTCAAATAATGGAGGAAAAATTGAGGTAGCATAAATCCTCAGCAATGACGTAATTTTTTTGTAAAAATACATAAATTTTAATCATCGATGAGCCCTCTGTCCCGTAGAGAAAAGGCATTGATAACGTTATGCGGGTTTTTCGATATGACCTGCATTAATTTGACCTGCATCTATGTGATTTTAATTTCATTTCTTTGACGATGGGGGTAGCCATAATTTTCATTTTAGTGAACTATAGCCCCGTTTACACGGTACGAACTTAAACCGGTTTAAATTGAACTCGTTTAACTGGCACCATAGCTGCGTTTACATGACCAGAAATTTAGTAATCCCGCTTAATTTACACCGACTCGAAAAATCAAAGATCAAGTTAAACCAGATTAACTGTGACCGTGTAAACGGGGCTTATGAGTTACTATTTCATATCGTGATACTGATTCCTTTATAATGTATTTAAATAAGGCTAATATATATTTTATATATTATAATAATGAAGGTTTTTGTCATGAATGAAACTTTGAGAAGGCTTTAAAAAGAAGATTCACCATACAAGTTTTTTTATGCTGTTGCAGTGTTACAGTGTTTCTCTGCAAGTACGTGGAAATCCAGTCTTAGAGAGATGACTGCAGGGAGGCAAACACCGCGGTACCACTGACGGTGCAATCTCTGGTCCTAGCTGTCTGAGTCTTCAAACTTTATGCCTTGACTGCTGCGTCATTCTGATTGTTGTGGGCGCATGCGCATGCTCCATTTCATCATAATTAAACTGAAACAACATGGCGGAACTCGGAGATCGTGAGATGATTTTAGCCAATTTTCAGGTAACCGAAATAACAAATATTTTGAAATGCAGGAATATATCTGTATGATATACTTCCCACAATTTAATATCTGTTTATTTTAGGCTGTAACAGGGATTGATAATCTTGATGAGTGTATTTCACTACTTGATAATCATGACTGGGATTTAATGGTACGTGATGTGATGTTGGATGTAGTTGTGCTTCTTGCCTGAGTTGCCTGCGATTAATTGTCTTAACTACAATTTTTATTGAAAATTGATACTAAAATCAATGTGTGGTTAGTCAGGTTTCGTTAAACGTTAATGTTGGAGCGATGTTGCCTACAGATATATGTTGTTAATGGATATTAAATGTCTATCAGTCTATGAATTGTAGATTTTAAGATGTTGACAACTTTAGAGTGATTAACTTTATAAAACTGTTGTTATCTAGCCATGAGAATTTGGGTACTATTTTGAAATTTCTAATTTTTGTATAATAACCAATTATTGACCAAGCGTGAGGCTTGTCCTGTGAAATATCAGACCGAGGCTTTTTAGTATTCGAAAAACCTTGGTCTGATATTTCACAGTACAGATTGAACAAGTGAGGTCAATAATCTGTTTATCATATGGTTGACTGCATGAGACATCCGGGATACCGATCCAGATACAGGATATACTGATATGGGTTTTACAGAACTCTTGTCAACTAATCAGAATAGAGGATTTTGAAAAGCCAGATTATAATATATATATTAATATATATAATATATATAATATATTATTCATTATTTTATTTTTGCATAATCTATTGTATTGACTCATGACAACTATTATACATGTATACACTTTGAGATATGTAGGTGATCACAAGTTCTACTGTACTATATATAATATATTAACATAGTCTCAACTCAAATATCCTTTATTTATAAGCTGTTTACCTCATTAATTAGAAAAGGAATTATGCAACTATTTGTTGAAAGGTGAAACAGAATGCTGAGTAGATATTAAAAGTCAATAAATCCTTTTCAGCATCTACTTGTTACTAAGAAATGGATTGTTTGAATTATTTTTAGTCATGTGTCAATGCTGTTTTCGCTAATCGCTCAGCAGAGCAGTTGGAAGTGGAGGACAGTGTTGGTGAATCCTTAACAACTAGGAGGTGTAATTATTGATAGATTCCTATCAGAATAGAAACTATAGTCAATTTGATTTATTTACCATTGTGGAAATTCTTAAATTAAACTTTTGCTCTATATGTTGTCTGCTGTACAATACACATATTAATGTACTGAATATATGTTCTGTATTTTCAGTGTTAAACTTCAAACTCATTTACCGGTTGCAACTTTAACTCACAGTTCTGGAAATCAAAATTCTGCAAGTGGTAGTTCGGCTGAAAGAGTACTGCAATTTAATGTTGAATGGAGAGATAAAACTATACCTGTATCTTTACCTGAAAGTTCATCAGTTGGTTAGTTTTACTCATCACAGTCAATAATAATTTATTTTTTCTATGTGAAACTGCAAGCGACCAGCTATTTAGCAACGTTTTTTCAAGTTATATGTGTTTATCCACTCCATGTAAGGCCAGCTGTTGTTCAATGTCTAAATAGTGTTAACCTTGGTTTAATTTAACCAAATTTCCTGTATGAAACTTAATAACTCCTTGAACAGGATTATGTTGAACAAGTCAGACCATTGCAGCAATTTTGGTCATTTTGTGCACCAAATTCTGAATGCCATTATATGAAAGCTGTGAGGAAAGGCTGACTGATGTTACATATTTTGTAGCAACTCTGAAAAAAGAACTGGAGATACAGATTGGGGTCCCAACAGCTTTGCAAACGTTAACTCAGTGGCCTAAAGATATCTCTGTGATTGACAGAGTAAGTATATAGAAAAAGACAGTACATTATATTTATAACTGTCTGGAGTAAGAAATCATGCCAGAAAAAAGTCCCATGACAGCTGTTCTTACTCTTGCTGTTTCCATTGGTCTTGTTTCCAGGTCCTCTATATGCAGGTAGCTTTTAATGCATAGATATTAAAATAAATGTCAAGAGTTTTACTCAATGAACATTCCACAACATATCATCTCCAAGCTAGACTTTCATACGAAGATGACGGGTAGTTAAGAACCTCTCAAGAACTCCACAGCATTGTGTATCAGCTTAGTATAAATGTAATTTTTCAATTTATTCAGACCATTTTATCAACACTAAAGTTGGAAGATGAGACGTCATTAGTATTGTTAACTCAATCGACAACTAACAGTTTTGCTGGATCTAGTTCTCAGTGTTTGTCAACAGTCAATAATGGATTAATTAAATCCAGGTACACTCCAATGCAGCCAATATTCTATGCAATTTATTTAATCTCCGTAACCTTTTTAGTCGGACTGGTATTTTTGGTTTTTTATTTTTTGTTATAAAGCTAATAGAAAGCTAATGTGTATAAAATACTGTTGAGTTTTTTTAGTGAAATCTATTTGTTTTTTCAATAGTCAAGCAGCGAGTGTACCTGACGTTAAGTTGAGAATACGATATACGAATAAACGACATGAACTCTCGTTTCCTGGAACGAAAACAATAGGAGAGGTAGGTTTAGGAGTTTTATAAATCTTAGCGTTCACTGATCTAAATATAAAATCTTGACGTGGCATTGCAATATATACGTAATGTTAAATCCGAGGTAGCCCAGAAGTATGTGTGTCTAGTTTCATATATTGCAGTCAGTGACACAATCTCGCAAGCCGTCACTGTTGCAAGCTGAAGTGTATGAAAGTGGACACAAATACTTGGGCATCCTAGCCTGGGTGTAATGCGAAGTTACTAGCTAGAAGTATTAGGGCGAATTTGGCATGGAAATGTTTTCATCTTACGTCGTGTGGTATGCGTCATAATATCCTACATCTTAACTGACTCAACAGGTGAAAACAGATGTAAGCGATCTCACGCACGTTGAGCCACGTCATCAGGAATGGACTGGCTGGCCTGAAGAAGCCAATGACCAGGTAATTTTTATGCTTCCCCCTTATTATTGAGTCGACTCATATGTGAAATGGAATTCTTTTTTCTTTCCATGTAGACGAAACTTAGTGATTTGAACAAACCATTTCACTTGTTAACTTTAAGACGACGACCAAGTCCGAGAAATCGATCTCCGCCAAAAGTAAGTATCAGCTATCTTTCAACTGTTCATGCATTTCGCGAAAAACGTGGTGACGTCTATCAGCTGTACTGTCATTACAACAAAAGTAAAAAAAAGTTGCTATAATGTAGACTAAGGCATGAAATCTAGGCTACTAGCTTTCAGATTTTTAGGGGTATATACATGTGGCTAAAAAGTGGGCGTATGCATACATGTATTGTTTTATGTTATCTGAAACATCTTCATGGTTTGTTGTGATTCTTTAGGTCAAACCTGTTATTCACGTCGAAAGTGACGATGATGAAGAGGCGATGGATATTTGCGATTCTAATGGAAGTACATCCAGTGGTAATTCAGTCGAAATAGAAGTTGATGATGATGATGACGATGATGACTTGATTTTGACCGAAGTTCCCATCAGAAAAAGAATCAAAGAGTTGAGTGAGTGATATATGTTGTTCGTTACTGATATTGTTATTCGTTACAGCATGTATGGATACAAACAATACCTGATCCTTAGTGGACACTGAAAGTTTCAAAACTGATGTGATTATATTATGTATACGAACAATTAAATAGCCAAAAAATCTGTTTACATGCCACTACAGTGTATTGGGTATAAAAAATATATCAGAAACGAGGTCTTACCAGCAGCCTTCATGTAAGCTATTCTAGAGAAGTATGTGTAAAATACCCAAATTTATAATAAACTCGCTCAAAAGACTTTGAAAGTCGAATTAGTACAGCATCAAGATAGTACTTTTCAATCATTTTATTTCCATCTGCTTTTTCTTGTCCTTCAGACAAATATTTTGTACTGTACCACCCTTTTACATATTATGTAAACACATTCAGTTTTGTGACTGAACTATTCTTCGTATATATTTCAGTGCCGCCTCACAGCAAGGATACACAAGAAACGTTGACAACATTTGTCAGTAACTTTGAAGAGAGGTAAGACTAGTGTTAATGATGATGCTGTTTATGCTTGTCAGAAAATGTTTTCAAAAAGAAATGTTTCAGAGGAATGAGTTTGCAGCCATAGGACGCATTTGTGGTGGCCGTCACTAGAAACCTCCGGAGTTAAATCTCCGGCAATCAAAACAACCCTAGGAAAGATTACATAATATTGTCTGCACACTGGAACAAATTCAGTAGAATAGAATGAAGAAGGTATTGTATACATGGAAATACCTGTATAGGAAATTGCATTTTGTTGGTAATTCATTGTAGATATGGACATTGTCATCCACATTTTTACATCGGCTCATTTAACGAAGCTTTAGAGGAAGCCAATGCCAAGACAGCGAAGGATGTAAGTCATGCTTCATGCGCCATGTTTTCTGTGTGGCGCAATATGCGTAAAATAAAAAGCATTCGATTTTATTTGTATAAAAATCCTGTAAATATTAATGGTTGAGTCTTCATTTCCATTATAGAGATGGCCGCTATTGTTATATTTGCATCATGACTCCAGTATACTGACCAACGTGTTTTGCAGGTGGGTAAAGTTATGTAGAGCTCGCAGAAGTTTGTGAAATGTGTGATGCAGCTGTGTATTGCTAGGGAGGGGAGGAAGGGGATTCGTAACGACCCTTAATTTTCTTTTTTCTTTGTTTTAGTCAAACTCTATGCGTAGAAAACGTTGTATCATACATTAGTGAAAACTTTATCAGTTGGGCGTGGGATATGTCACATGACACCAACAGAACGTTGTACGTATTGCAAAGTATTGCATCGTCCCTGCACATCATCCCGGACCTATAGTGGCTAATTTGAAATAATTCGTATATATTTGTTATTAGATTATATGATATTATAACTCAGAAGTGCGGAAGTGGAGCAGCGGATACTGTGCGTGGATTTCGTGCTGAACAATATCCATTGGTGGTGGTTATAATGAAGAACAGATCGTCATTGGAGGTTTCTGCGGTGCTTCAAGGTAATAATAACAATATTATAGCTGCTTTTCAGGGACTTTCCTCAAAACAAATCCTCGTGACCGCATTTTATACTTTATTCATTTGCTATATACTGCATACCTGCGTAACAACAAGCAAGTCATCATGTCAATGAACATGATGGATTTAGATGTGAATGAATACTGGGATTCTTCACTCATGAATTACTTTCCACGCTGTTTAAGGACATTCCACGATGAATGAAGTTATGACAACTTTACTGAATGCTCATGAAGTGTTTGAAGAGAGCAGAAGTATTGATATCAGAGAAGAGGTTAGTTTTAATAGGTGCGCATGCGCATCTCCCCACACTTCCCCTTATTAATACGGTCCAGCTATAGTAATACTGCGAGTAGAAGTTGATTATGCAGAGTATGCAAAGTTTGTTTCTGGTTGTAGATTGAACGTGAAGCACGCGAGCTAGTAAAACGTGAACAAGATGAAGCATATCAAGAATCTCTCAGAGCTGATCAAGCAAAGGTAAAATATTCGTCTTTGTTTATGCGCCTTATCATACATTAATGTTCGCTCAGTTCTCTTAAAAATGGCTATTGTAAGGCTTTAAGTATGATCACGTTAACTCTATGGAATGTTTGTTGAATGGCATTGTTCGTGCTTATTGGTGTAATCATCATCACTATAAACTATGTCGAATATGTACGAACTATAGATACGTACATATATACGGCCTAATATAGTTTGTGACGGAAGGACGCTCATATTTAGGCAGAAGAACGAGAAAGACAGGAGAGTGAAGCCCTAAGAGTGAAGAAAGAAACAGAAGAAAAAGCTTTCCTGGACGCGCAAACAAAACAGGTATATATCAATATGAATGCTTTTTAGAATATATTAATAATCTTTTTTTAATTTTTTAACAGTTGAAGCAAAACGTGACTTCAAATAATGTTAACTCTCTTAATTTTTAGGCGCAGATCAATTCATTAGAAGATCAACTCCCGGATGAACCAGGTCCTGATTGTCTGGAACCTATCTCAATACTACGATTTCGCATGCCAAACAGTGAGCCTATTACCAGACGATTTCTTGCTAACAGCCCGTTGAAGGTAAGAAATGAAACACCGATTACTGCATTCAAAATCAAGTGTACGCTGTCTTTTTATTTACTTGTAGGTGGAAGTAAAACTAAATAATATTCTTCAATTATTTCATTTTAGGTTGTTCTTATATTTGTTCAATCCAAGGGTTATTTAGAAGATCAATATACTGTCGTAACGAATTTTCCAAGAAAACAGGTAAGCGTGGGGGCTTAAATATTTTCAATATTATACTGCTTCATGAGCATCATATTGTTCATGCAACTTTGATGAAATATGCATATATGTATATTGTCAAGTCTCTCATCTGCACTGTACGTAGCTAACCTGTGTTTCATTTATGCTAGCTGTCAAATATGGATCCAAGACAAAGCTTACAATCACTTGGACTATATCCTCAAGAGACACTTTTTGTGGAAGAAATATGAACGAATGCCGCTTTTAAGACAATCAACAGCCACCATACAGAGACAGAGAGAGAGAGAGGGTATAATTTGTATTCTCTAATTTTTCATCACCATGATGTACGAATTTGAAAAGACAAAAGTAAATATAAATATTAATATCGATCGAAGAATCGATGAATTATAAACAATACCAATTTATAAATATTTTATAGTGCTCAGCCTAGGTACGAAATCTTAGGAATGCTGGAGCCGAAATAATATATTTCTACTGTATCCCTTTTTCGAAACTGTCAACACAAACTAAAACCTGTTTTAGCAGATCACGTTAAAGGTAACGATAACCATATAATTAATATCTGCTACTGCAACCTTGCCCCTGTTATTGTCTCCTCAGTCATACGATGACTACCTTAGAAAAGCAGTACCGAGCCGATGCAAGGCTTGCTTTATTGTCGTGTGCTATAGTGGAAACCAACTACACTGCCCCAACATTAATGCCTAATTTTTCTGCAGTATGGATGTCGCTGTTCACACTGATAATTATTCAAATTATTTCTAATATAGTTATACGATTATCATGTAATGTATTTATTTTATATTGGACGATAAAAAAGACAAAAATATATATATAGCGAAGAGAAGTATTAGATAATGTATTTTACTGTTAGCATATTGAATAAACATAATGAAAAAATATAAAACTTATTTTTCGTTTGCATGCATGTGATGTCATAATTTGTTAATTGTAATGTGGCACGAAAAAGGTGGTAGACTATAGCATGGACATATTCAACTGCGTTGCTGCGGCATTACGGTTGTATGTAATACCATAGACAATCCAGAAGATAATCCAATGTCTTCTGGATTGTCTATGGTAATACTGCATAGTGGGGAAAGTGAAGTTCTTTCACTGTGGCTGAATATAATAATATGCAGAGAAAGACTGTCAATTTTATTTCACACAAATGTAATAACGACTGACCTATGTCCTATGCGGCCTGAGATTAGTCATCCATATTCATATATACGGCTTTACTGATTCCTTTTAAATTAACTTTCACGATATAGAAAACGTATAATTTGTCTAACGCTCTGCAAATGTCGACAATGTTATCTCCTCCCCTCCATCCTTTCTTCTTTTTAGGCTTGGTAAATCCGCTGATCTGGTCACACTGTTGGCGCATATCGACCAAAATTCAGTTTATAAAATGGCCATGTGTGATCTTTGTTGATAAACGAGGGGGAAGAAAGGGCGTCAATTTCACTGCAATGATATTATTTTATACAACTTTGCAGTCTTGAGAATAAAGTATTCAGTATCCTCTTTCGTTCGCTTTCAAAATGACCACAGGAGAGATACCCAGCGCAGCAACCAAGGTCATTCAAGTCACGAATGTCGCCAAAACAGCCACATACGAACAACTAAAGACATTTTTTGATTTTCTTGGAGAAATTGAAGAAATGAAAATTTATCCTACACAGTGAGTATGAAGGAAAGCGTTGTGTATACTTTGTTGTATGATAATAACTGGTCACAGTTTAGAATACAAGCATTACTGGGACAAACCATGCTTGCATTGTAGTGATTGTACAGTATATTAACTACCCCTACCACTGGTTTCTAGGAAACAGAATAACCTGCTAGGTGAATTTGCCATTTGAAATAGATCATGTTTTCCCCATTTAATCATTCAACCACAATGTTTGAGATGATTTTTCTAACCAATACCAAAAGTTAGGGCTTTGATTACCCTCATATTTGTTAATTTTAAACAATTTATTATAATTGCTTACTTCTATTTTTCATTTCCAGGGATCTAACATCATTTGGTGCCCAGGTTGTGTATGTTAAATATCAAGATCCATCCAGTGTCCTTGTTGCTCAGCATTTGACAAACACTGTGTTCATAGATAAAGCACTCATTGTTGTTCCAATTGGAGATGGTAAGTTCATATTATGCTGCCACTTGTGAAATCCACATGGTAAACTCATTGTTAAAATATTTCTACTATGGACCTAACAGGAATCATCCCTGAGGAACATCAAGCTTTGCAAGTGGTTGCACCATCACCAGATGTAATGGGAAACTATGCTGGTGGATTGATCAATCAGGTTAAACTTCTATTGTGTAACTTCTATTGTATATGGTTGACATATTAGAGTTAGAAAACTGTTTATTTTAATTTTTGTTTAGCATTACGTAGATGGAATGTTAATGTACTAGGCATTGAATGCACCTTCCATATCTATCTACAGTTTGTATATTTTAGTGCATACCTGGTATTGTTCAAGCAGTAGTTGGAACTGACCAACCAGTAAGTTTATTCCTCTTCCCCATACATTACCTATGGTGATAGGAAGTATGAAGTTTTGTTGATGGCCAGAAATATCACTATGAGCATACATAATGTAAATATTAAGTGCGTAAAACAGATTTTTATCACTCCAGGTTGTCCGAATGCAACTGACATGCCCACAACCACCACCCCTTCCTGATGTTGAACCATTAAAACTGGATGAAATTAGGAGAACTGCTTATGTGCAACATTTACCAAAAGATGTATGTGTCAATGTGTGAATTTAATTAATGCACCGGGAAATTCTTTTAGTGGTGAAAATTGTTTAATAAACTGATGATGTGACTTAGAAATATTTATAATATTTTAGATTAATGCTGAACAGTTGATGTCATTTTTCTCAGCCTGTGGAGATATCCGATATGCTCGCATTGTTGGTGATGATGAGGAAACAACAAGGTTTGAGCCTATCTTGTATCAGTGATCTGCATCTATTTGCAATCCTTTAAATATGGGGTACCTGTAAATTTTGATGTATGATTAATATTCATACATACCACATAATATGGTTGTTTCTGTAGACTAATTATTTTTTAGATGTGGTGAATAATTCACCACTTTCTGTAATGTTACTGCCATTGTTAATATAATATATATTGAACAACCCAATTGCGAAGGTAGACTATAGCAGTCGAACTAGAGCAGTGCGCCATTTGTGTGTTGGAACTTGCTATGAATGATAACTGGTGTGTACTCCAGATACATTATTTGGGGATATTTTTGTTGTGTTTTCTATAATGCAGTACTTTTGGACTCATCTTTTTGTTCCTTTTTCAAAGATATGCATTTATTGAATTCCAAGAAGCCAGTTGTGTTGCAAGAGCTCTTCAGTACAATGGAGCAATGTTTGGTGGTGAACCTTTGAAGTAAGAATTTAAAAATAAAATAGACACAGTTGTGAAGAAAGTTTTTGTCTACTTTCAGTGTCTGCAAAATTGATATCTATTTCAATTTCCCTTACAACCAACGCTATGCAAGTTGTTTAACCGCATGTTTCAACATAATTCCTGCAAACAAGATTAGGTTGTTTAACAAAGTAGATTTAGGAGTTTGAGTAAATTGCAATGTGACTCTTTATGGTAACTTTTGTGATTCCCTTTTCTGAGGCTTATCCATTTGTTGATATTTTCTGGTAAAACATTTCCCGCTTGTTTAATTTTACTTTAGGGTCAGTTTTGCCAAAACTAATATCTTTAAACCTGAGAAAGAGATTGCTCGCATGAAAAGTGGTATGGATAAAACTATGAAGAAAGTTACTGAAGCTTCAAAGCTTGTCAGTGAAGAACTTGATGGTAAGTGAATGTTTTTATTTGATAACATAATAAAGATCATGAAATAAAAGAGTCGTTTGAATTCAACAAGGGGTTGTTAGAACAATATTCTTGGCCCCCTTGATATATTGGGGAGCACATCCCCCTTGCCCCCACCCCACCCCTGCATCCTACATTCAAAGCAATTTGTTTGCAGTGCGAGGCTGAGAGCTCACTGTTTGTTTCTTGTATGTCATGTGACTGTCATGCAACAGACCTAATAGTAAGAGATCTGGGTGTATATAGTGAGATGGCTTGTGCTTTCTCGATTGTTATCATTCCTCAATACCTTACATGTATAGCGAGTAAATTTCCCTGACCATATGACTACTTATGTTGACATCATAAAAGTGTTATAAGAGGCTTTGCTAAAAAGAGTTTCTTATTGTGTCTTGACATATTCAGATGATCCAAAATCTCGGAGAAGTTCACGAAGTCGGTATGTAGATGTTAATTCATTCACACGCTGTTCTCCAAACATAAAGGCTACTTAGAAATCTGTAAATGTGACCACTGACTATTGTTGGTGAAAATGACTCCCTTTCCTGTTAATTTACGGTTGGTAACCAGTAAACGTTCTTACCATTTGAGTGCCCTGTGTAGTTTTGATTTTATTCGAGTCATTTTGAATACTACAATATGTATTACTTTTACGGTTACTGGAGTACAAAATCAAAGGATGGCTAGGAGTATATAGGGTTGTTAGGGGTTCCTTCCTTGCTCGTACAGTTGTCAAATGAACGAGGTATCATGGTGGAGCTCTACTGAGCGGTTTTGTTTCTTCCATGTAGTTCACCATCACGGAGACGATCTCGTTCTCGTTCACCATCAAGATCTAGAAGACGACGTAGCAGATCGAGATCGGGGTATTATTTTTGTTTCGTTTTAGATGTGGTTTTATGTGAGACCTTTTCTTGTGATATGAATGTAAATATATATCAAATATCCATCATTGAATTAAGTATATTATTAAATTAGTACATATACTACATGTTAAAGTTTAATCTCTGAACCCAATCGTTGCTTATATGATGGAAAAATACACCTGCATGCGATGATTTTGGTTGTAATCACGTTCTCGTGAATTTACAGTGATCGTTATGGAGCCAGACGTCGCCGTTCATTGTCACGTGACAGATACAAAAGACGTCGGAGTCCCAGCAGGTAAGCAAAGTAAATTAAACTATATTTCGAAAAGTGAAGAGCCCTATATCCATTCAATGATTAACGCTACAAGCCATCGTTAAGTTTACTATACTCTACTTTATCATTTGTTGATCAATCGAAAGCGAACGTTTAGCCATTGCCTGTCTAAATTTACATTCATATTAGTTATCGACAAGTTATTAACAGACATAATTTTTCTGTATTGTTCAAAAAGATAACATAGAGTAGATAACAATATTACCCTCGTTTACTGTATGTCGTTTTAATGTCGTGCGTGGTTTGTTCCCAGGTCCCGCTCTCCATCACGACGATCTCAGCGTTCTGATTCCAAGTCTCGAAGACGGCGCAGATCAACAAGTCGACCTCGTAGATCACGAAGTCCTAGCAGGTAAGAAACTATTATCAACTATTATCGTCTGACTTCCATGATATGACAGCATCGTACAGTAACGATGAATCTAACTCAAGTATAACTGACGCCTTTACCCTGACCGCCTGACCTTGCCTACTTCATGTAACACTTGTCATCCTGACCAGTACAACTCAGACTTTGTAACTACCATAACTCTTCTTCATCCAGAATGTCGTGAATTGGTGTCTAAATAGATAACTCTGACTTAAACTTTCCCATTACTAGTTTTTACTATTCATTCTCAGGGTTTCATATTATGTCTATACAGTAGCTATAAACCTAACGATAGAAGATATACAGATGGATAGACCGATAACGAGTTTCATGTATTCTAAACAGGGACCGGAAACGTCGTCGTTCATCATCTCGTGGCCGGTCCAAAGAAAAGAGTCGACGTAAATCACGTGATCGTTCCGGAGAACGCACGCGTGACAGGTCACGTGACCGTGGAAAAGATAAATCAAAGTCTGAAAGCTCACGAAAAAAGAGTGAGAAAAAAGATGAAGGGAAATCGCCCGAGAAGAAGAAAGACAGCGAAGAGGATAAAGGTATTTTTATTGATTGATTATGAAAGAGGTGTGTGATAAAGTACATCGTCTTCTGTATATTAGGCAGGAGATAATAGGGAGTTTAAGATGTTGACAATGGGCTACCGACCATGGTTTAATGGTTTTTGAAATGCTAAATGCATTTCAAATTCATCCCGGGTGATTTTATACGCAAAGCTTCGTGTTTAGCTGGTAAATGTAAAACCTATGCAATCTCCTCCTTTGCTAACAATATCATTCTGCTATAAGTAATGTCGCAGTACGTCGTGTAGTATACCTCAAGACTTAAGCGTGGTCCGCTTATCCGTCTTAAACTCACTATTAAATTAACTCCCTATTTTTACAACTATTTATGTAGGTCGTGATAAGGAAATGGAAGGAAAAGAGAAGGAAGATCAGAAAGAAAATGAAAACGAGAAGGAAAAGGAGGGTGTAAATGATGATGGAGGAGAGAAAAAAGGAGAGAAAAAAGGAAGAGAGGGAGAGAAGGAATTAGAAGAAGAAAAGAAAGACGAGGAAATGGAAAAGGATGCTGATGACAGGGAAAAAGAAAAAGATACAGAAAAGGATCGGATAAAAGGAAAATCTCGGGAAAAAGAGAGAGGAAAGAATCGTGAAAAGGAGAAAGATCGTGAACGAGAAAAAGATCGCGACAAAGAGAAAGAAAAGGTTCGTGACAGAGAAAAAGATCGCAGCAGAGATAAAGATCGGGACAAAGAAAAAGATAGGGAAAAGGAAAGGGACAGAGAGAAAGATCGGGATAGAGAGAAAGATAGAGAGAAAGAAAAAGATAGAGATAAGGAAAGGGATAGAGAAAAAGATCGGGACAAAGAAAAAGTTAGAGAGAAAGATCGGGACAAAGAGAAAGATCGGGATAGAGAGAAAGATAGAGAGAAAGATCGGGACAAAGAGAAAGATCGAGATAGAGATAAGGAAAGGGATAGAGAGTCAACTAGAAAGAGAAGAGAGAGATCAAGAGAAAGATCTCGTTCGCGAAGTAAAGGACGAGAGAGGAAGAGAACTAAGGATAAATCTCCAAGTAAATCTCCATCAAAGTCACCGAGAAGATCGAGCTCGAGGTGTGTATACTTCTTGATCCAAATATTTTAATGAGTTGTTTTACCATATCTTCAAATATTGCATTTCTGTCAATTTACACCTACGTTCATTGTGTTCATTGTATTTATACTGTACGTGCTAAATTCATTTTAGGAAAAAAATACAATTTTTTGTTGCATCAGACGACTTTACACAAACATCTCAAGCAAGCACTCTTACATCGTGTTTGCATGCTTCTGCAGTTTCCATGATATTTATCAATACTTACTTTATGCCTTGTTTTTCCAGCCGGCACAAAAAGAAAAAAGATAAGCGTGATAAACGAGATGATAATGATGGTATGTTTTCTTTTACTTGTTCAATTGAAATTAGGGAGTTTTCGAGTTCTGAAAATGGCTGGTAATTAGCAACTTTTTATGAAACATGCTACTGTATATGAATTGCCTACAGAAGTTATCTTTGTTCAGGTAAAAAACATGCACGAGAAAGTGATGGGGAAACGGAAGAACGCCCGAAAGCAAACCGAAGCGATGATTCGGATGAGGATCGGAAGAAATCGCGCCGAAAACGTAGCGATTACGAATCTGATGGTGACGATGGCAAAAAAAGAAAACGACATTATAAGAAGAAGCCTATCTCAGCTGACCATTATGATAGTGCTAGTGACTAAGATATACTAGTAGCCCCAGACGATAATGATAGCCTAGGTGTTGTTGTTATGCAAATGCTGATTATGGCTTTCATCTAGATACGTGTTTTTATATATGGTGTTCAAACTTTCAATTTTAGCGACGCAATCATGCTTCTGGTTGGATAAAACACATTTTGCAGCGCTTACAAAAGCCGCATATATAATGCAATTCAGCAAACTCGATAACTTTGGGTCTGGGAGATGATGAATTATTGCTTTTTCACTTCTGTAAACAGATATTTCGATTTACAAAAAGACAATGTAAAGGAATTACATTAGAAAACATACTTCGCTTCATAGGAAATTTCGAATTTTAAAGGATTCCCTCGCGCGCTCAAAGTTCTGGTTTAAAAGCACAACCTTAAGGCCTAACAAAAAATAAAGTGGAACTGCAAGATCTACTGCTACGCTAATAGACCACGCTCCCCTAAAAGATAAACCCATACATATGTGTAATTGTATATTAAATGCGTTGCCTGTCAAGCAAACACCATATGACACTTGCTTAATTGTCGATTCTTATGCAATTCAAATATCTTTCATTTTTAATTGTTAAATTTTCGTGTCACCAATTCGATTGAGGGCCAATTAAATTGTTTCGCCCTAACAGGGAAATTTTCATTCAAAACCCAATAACGTTTCCTGTCTGTAGGTAACCTCAAGAGTCACGTTAGTGTAAAACATATCTTTATTTCACTTCCATCTCTGTGGTTCTCTTACGTCTCCGTCGTCTTCTAGTTTTCTCTGAAGAATTTCTATGTATGTCTTTGGTATTTTCCTTCTTGCAGTGTCCCGTGATATCGGGTAGTTTTTGCTTCGTATTGTCTTGTGAAGGATCGTTTTCCTTGGCCTTGCAGTTATCTTTCACCTTTACGCTAGTTTTTGAACGGTGATACTTTGTTTGGGGTTTTTGACGCTCCTTGTACTCCGTGATTGCACCGTGTTGATGTTCCACTGAGGCATGAACCTTGAAGCCAAACAATTTGGGCACATAGTGCCCTAGTGTTGGAACTGGATGAAGTGTTGGGTAAGCCATAAAGAACATCTGTGGTACGTTTGTCCCAAAACATGCTCCGTCTGCAAGTTCGCTTCCAGGTAGTCCTGAGTTATATACGTCCTCGCAACTTGGACAATATATTTTTACATCACTTTGTCCAAGTTTATCTGACATACCAATTGGTAAAACTTTCGTCTTTTCACAATAGAATCTTGGACACAGGCCATAAAGCCCTTGCTTGTATTTATGACAAACTTTTTCAAGTCCCTTGCTTGTAAGCATATATCGTGCATGCACTAAACTGTATAACTTCTCAGCTGCTTCGAGATGCTTCCCTTCGGTCTTTGTACGAATATTACTGTTTCCGTTGCAATCTAAGTATAATCCATCGCTCAGGATGATATGAAGTCCATGCGATAGGTAGCATATCTCTTCGTCTAGTCCTGTAAGATTAGTATAATCTCGCAGAAAGTCTCGATCTATTTCTTCTAACCATTCGTTTCCAGGTCGTTTACAAAATTTTGTTATCCAACTTTTTGCTGGAACACTGTGTTCCTTCTTTTTCTCGTCTTTTCCCTTTTTCCCATTTGCATCTTTCGTTGATCGCAGGTCCGCTACATCGTCATTTTTGAACGCTTTTTCCGTTTTAATCATGACGCCAACGTTATCCTACCTCAGATGCCGACATGTATGTTATAACTTCATGTTAGTTTACTATTTTTGTTGCTAGGTTTATTAATTATTGATGTATCAAACGTATTCAAGTGAAGTTGTTTGACTGATTTTTATGTCGCATACATTTCATGACACCAAATTTTACATGACTCTGAAACCGTACTGTTGTGGTATCAACTTCATTTTAACACTTTCTAGTTCACGGATTTAGCAGTACCGGTTAAATGCATATTTTCTCGTTTGCATCCATTTGTTTTACCGCAAGCAGTCTTAATCGTGTAAGGGACGCTTAATTATAAAACCATTCATGTCGCAATAAATCTATATCTTAAGGGCATCTGCATTTTTTCATAAGACTATAACAGTAAATACTTGTTCATATCTGGCTATACCATATAGAAGCATCACGGAGAAAACTGACATTATTCCATATATTACACCAACATAGCTACTACTTTGCCAAAAAGAATATTTGCCATTTCGGAAAACGCAGAGGTGTAGTGACCCTGACCTCGATGTATAAACAAGGTTCTTAACGTAAACAAATTGTCTATCGCATCAATATGAATCACATGAATACCGCGTATACGAAATAAACGTACACAGAGGTAAAACCTGCTGAAATGAGAACTTGTTCTTAATTCCAATAATGACTCTGCATGGAAAATTTTTCCAGCTTTCTAACAAACGAAATTTTAATGCGATATATGTCCTGTCTTTACATGCATTAAATAGTACCTGTATCTGCGGTGAAATATTTTACATGTTAAGACGTCCCAACTGACATTATCTCTATAAACAAAGCTTTATTTATAGCGTCCTGTCACAAAATGTGCGACATGCGATCTGCCTCGTTTTTGTTGCGAGGCGACCAATTGCGCTCGAAGTGGTTTTTGAAATCGAATTTTAGCATGTGTAAATTTTGATTGGTTTTCCTTTTTATAGATAGCATTTTTGCTTTTGCATGCAACCGCGCTCTCGATTTATTTAGATACCGAGTATTAGCGTTACTCTATAGGCTATAAAATGACCGTAATCGGAGAATTTCTTTAGTAATTAGAAGAGAGAATCGCCAAAGATAAGTCCTATACTCGTCTATAAGGTTTTGGATAGATGGATGAATGAAATTTATTTGCAAATAATTGTGTTTTTAGATCACGTCTATACTTAGAAATCAACAGCTTATCATTTCAATCTTTCAAAATCTGCTTATTCTGTTGTGTACTCTCCTACCTATTCTACCATGTCTATATTCCATGTACTACCACCTGCAAGCCTAAAAGTCTAATTAACGTTTATTGTTGTACAAAGTATTATTAACCTTGTCTCGTCTATTCTTGCATTCACCAAAATCATAAAATATATGTATCGTGCTTACCATCTGTGATTATATAACTACCTTTGAAATATTAGTTTATAATTCTCGTCCGTTGTAATCAATGGGTACATCCGGGGGAACGCATTGAGAACCGTGAGGTCTACCAAATCTATCAACCTTTGAACCGTCATCAGTTGGTGTGATCAAAACACTATCTCTTGACGATATTGAGGGATCTTCATCGAAGTAATTAAAAGGTCGAAGAAAAAATCCAGCATGGTTGCCAGGTGTTGCTGTGTTAGGAATATCTTCAGAATGTGGGATATGCATGACAGCTACAGTTATCCACGAGACTAAATCTTCATCCACAATGCTCTCGTTATCCAAAATAAACTTTTTAAAGTCTACAACTGGATTGTACATGTCCCTTTGGTTATAAATAGATGAACTTCTCTCTTCATTTTTCTTGTATTTTGTTACTGCAAGTTGATAATGTGACCAACTGAAACCATTTGTAAATTGCCAGTTTTCTGGATACAATTGATGAAGTATTCCATTGAGTTGAACCCGATATCCTCGTCGAACACCATAAGCGTTCTTCTTTGCTGAGTTATAGAAATTCAGATAAGATGGATGTTGAAAATCAAATTTATAAGCAGCGTCGACTTCAGTTTTCTTTAGATCACGTATTAATCTTTTCTGGACATGACGTTTGTTTGGAAACCACGATGAAGAAATATTCTCGATTTTTGTTGTTATTGTTTCATATCTGTTATTTCTTCCTGCAATATCTAGATCAACTTTGTAATGGATCATATGATCATGCAGTGAGCCAGCGACATTTTTATACACTTGATTACCATATTCGTCTTCTTCAGGGGTCCAAAAAGTAGTCAACAAGTAGCCCGTTGTGGAAACTTTCGATTCAATGACTCCGTTGGGGTAAAATATGAAATCATATATATAGTCGTAGTTATATGGTGTGGATATTGTTCTTAAAACAAGTCCTGTACCTTGCATTCCTCCATAGAAAGTATAACCACCTTCAAAGTCGTTCTCAAAATGGCGGCGAAGCGGAATTCCTAGATTGTGTTCAAAGACGCAAACAGCATTGCGACGTTTTCCTGGTTTTGACGAGTCGACAAAATATACAACATCGAAGTATCTAGCAGATTTGGGACAGTCAACACCTTTCACAAGCTCAAAATTAGCGCCAAGTGCCCAGGCACTGTCAAGATAGTTGCCATTAGCTCTTACAGGAGAATAGGCGCTGTAAAATGATGCAGGCTCTTGTAAGCTTAGTTCGTACACGATTCTTTCTCCATTAAATCTGATATCAAACAATTGTAGACCTGATGTTGTACGAACACGAAAATCAAAACTCCATCCCATGTATTCGATATGATTGTTTTCTGCTGTGTAACGTTTACCATCCGGTTCAAATTGTTCAGGTTCACGTAATGGTAGAGAAGGTTGAAGATTTGTTCCTCGCCTGTTTAGAGTGGAAAATGTAAGATCTTTTCCTTTAGGAGCAGGAAGTTTAACTTTTGTGACGTTTCCAAGTTTATATAACTTGACGAATTCATCAACTGAATCAAAGATTCGTTTATTGTAGTAGACCTAAAACGAATCAATTATACATGTTGTTATTTCGCGAATAAACTTAATATGTCAGTCTGTATGGCGTACGGGATAGGGGGGGGGTTGGTTAGGGGTAGAGGGGCACCTGCTCCCCCCAAAAATTGACAATTATTCTATTTTACCAATTTTAATACATTTTTCGCCTCCTTCGTTGATTTAGTCGCAAGTCGCAACGTTTTCTTTCACAAAATTCTTATTTTTTCATCTGCATAGGTGATTTCCTATGATAATCCCGGGGTCACTTGACCTCGGAGAGTGACATCAGAGGCTTGTAATAATACCAAAACGGGTTGTATAAAAAGGTAGCTAACTTTTACCTATATAGGTAGAAAAAAAACTACCCAAAGATTTATACAACTGGCTCCAGGATTAATAAAAATTGAATTAATAATGATGACCATATCTAGACAATATGAATAATAATGTAAGCAGGTGCATTTAACGAAGGAATTTTTATATTTTAATCTCACCCTAATCTTTAATTTGGTGGCATTAACTCCTTGAGAATTTTGTATCAAAAGCAGTTGTAAATCAACTGGTTGCAGTATTGTTCCAGGCACGTTTCTCGTAAACCAAATCCAAGCTATCGTCTCGTCTGAATCTGGCAATGCATCAAATCCAGTGTCGAAATGTGTTAAACATTGATCTGTACAGTTGACGATCGAGTAATCTCCGAAGGATTCCTTCAGAATATGATGTGCTTTTGTACCAAAGTTTATCACGATCTCGTGTATGATAGCTGACCATTGTTTATTTGCAGGACGTGTGTGAAATGGGATTGTGCGTTTAGTAAGAAGAGTGTTGGGTTCATGTCTCATCGGTTCATCCAAATAAACCAGTATTTCCTCCACAACTGGTGGAGACGCCGCTCCTTTGAATATTATAACATTTGCCGCTCTGTTTGGTTTTCGTCCGTTGCGGTCAAGATATGCAACAGCTTCGTCTTTGATAGGATTCTGTAGTTCAATCAAGAAAATGTAGTTCGAGTCAACCGCAGCTTTCTCAAAAGGGGTGACATTCAGTGAGGCATTGTTCACGATGTAGTCGCGCACTTCAAGAAGCTCATCTTCAGTTAAATCTCGAAACAGATCCTGAGATTTTGTGAACTTCGGTGTCATAGTTGATCTTTGTGAGCAAGTCTTCGTGTCGTCTTGATCGTCAGATTGATTAACAGAAACTGCAATAAGAGCAACAATAAGACCTACAATAATTAACACCAGAATACAGATGGCGATTTTCAATCTTGTCGGGATAGAAGCATTGTCTTTCTTCTTCGATTTTCCCATTGTTTATATACTTGCTCTGTGCCAATGTATGATATAAGCAAAGATATAACTCAGTTCAGTCAGACCCCCGGGAGCGTGAAATGTTTCTTTTGCAGATGTGGATTGTTTTGTGATATATGATTGGAATATTGAACGTATCATCTTTCATTTCTTGATTCAAGCATCACCTTACATTCCCTTAGTCCTATGAGGTTTTATTTTTTTAATTTGTTGGTTGATTTTGTATACGAAAGTGATGTATAGTCCACATATTTCTGGACGATGAAGCATTCCGAAGAACAAGAAAAGGAAATGGTTCCGAAATCGAGTTAATTCATGAATATATAACTGCGCGTTGTCCAAGACCATGAAAAATATAGAATCGCGTACACGCTCATACCTTTGTCGTATCCATTTTCTACACTTATATATACTATGTTTGATTGATTCTATACAAGATATCACTATTCTCGTCCCGTCAATTACCAGTATTCATTATTTAATAAAACTATAAATTAATGTTGTTGTTTTTTATGAATTTAAGCCTGTAACTACCTTTGAAAATATCACTATTGGCTGAAATAACTGTTGTAATCAATCGCTACGTCCAGGGACGCCGGAACGATGCAAGGGCAAAGGGCGCAGATTTGTTGAAAGGGCACTCCTGTAGCGGCGCATTAATAAAGCATCGTCAGTTGAACCTCGTATCGTCGTATTTTCTCTTTCCAAGATAATTTCTTTGTAGAATAACACAATCGTGACGATTGTGTTATTCTTGAAGCTCGTTTGTGGCACTTCTATACTTCGGATATAGAATCTAATTCATAGGCATTTTTGCCCTCTTTCCCCTGCTGGTAAAAGGCAAGGGGGGGCAGCTCCTCGTCATCAGTTGGCGTGATCAAAACACTATCTCTTGACGATATTGAGGGATCTTCACCAAAGTAATTGAAAGATCGAAGAAAAAATCCAGCATGGTTGCCAGGTGTTGCTGTGTTGGGAATATCTTCAGAATGTGGGATGTGCATGACAGCTACAGTTATCCACGAGACTAAATCTTCATCCACAATGCTCTCGTTATCCAAAATAAACTTTTTAAAGTCTACAACTGAATTGTACACGTCATTTTGGTTATAAATAGATGAACTTCTCTCTTCATTTTTCTTGTATTTTGTTACTGCGAGTTGATAATGTGACCAACTGAAACCATTTGTAAATTGCCAGTTTTCTGGATACAATTGATGAAGTATTCCATTGAGTTGAACCCGATATCCTCGTCGAACACCATAAGCGTTCTTCTTTGCTGAAATAATCTTAGCCCATTTTTCGCCTCATTCGCGTTTTTTGTACAGCATTTTCTTTAAAATTACTTTTTCTGTCATCTGTCGCTTTGACCTTAACAAACCGCCGCCATTTTGAAAAATGTGCTCGCGTGATAACCCGAGCTCGCTTGACTAGTCGACAACAAGAAGCCAGTTGCATTAATTAAAAAAAAGAATCTGCCTATAGCCGCGCAGTTAAAGCTTTTAAGTTAAAGCTTTCCAGTACAACCAGCTGTAACATTTTTCCAGCACTAAGAAATACTTCATTTGAATAGAACAAATTAACACGTGAAAGAATTAATAATGATGACCATATCTAGACAATATGAATAAGACTCGTATAGCTTCATAATGTACTGTGATGTAGCCTGTAGGCAAATGTAAGCAGGCGTATATGTAACAAATAAATCTTTATATTTAATCTCACCCTAGTCTTTAATTTGGTGGTATTAACTCCTTTTACATCTTGTGTCAACAGCAGTTGTAAATCAACTGGTTGTAATATTGTTCCAGGCACGTTTCTCATAAACCAAATCCAAGCTATCGTCTCATCTGAATCTGGCAATGCATCAAATCCAGTCGCTATATATGTTAAACATCGATCTGTACAGTTGACGATCGAGTAATCGCCATACGATTCCTTCAGAATATGATGTGCTTTTGTACCAAAGTTTATCACGATCTCGTGTATGATAGCTGACGACTGTTTTATATTTGCAGGACGTGTGTGAAATGGGATTGTGCGTTTAGTAAAAAGAGTGTTGGGTTCATGCCTTATCGAATTACCCAAATAAACCAGTATTTCCTCCACAACTGGTGGAGACTCCGCTCCTTTGAATATTATAACATTTGCCGCTCTGGTTGGTTTTCGTCCGTTTCGATCAAGATATTCAACAGCTTCGTCTTTGATAGGGTTTTGTAGTTCAATTAAGAAAATGTAGTTCGAGTCAACCGTGGCTTTCTCGAAAGGGGTGACATTCAGTGAGGCATTGTTCACGATGTAGTCGCGCACTTTAAGAAGTTCATCTTCAGTTAAATCTCGAAACAGATCCTGAGATTTTGTGAAGTTCGGTGTCATAGTTGATTTTTGTGAGCAAGTCTTCGTGTCGTCTTGATCCTCGTCAGATAGTTTAACATAAACTGCAATAAGAGCAACAATAAGACCTACAATAATTAACACCAGAATGCAGATGGCGATTTTGAATCTTGTCGGGATACTAGCATTGTCTTTCTTCTTCGAATCAGTTGCCATTATATATTTACACTGTATTTGATGTGTTTGAAGAGGAAAGGTTTGTATGAATTCTTTATCAGGCAGAACTGAACTACCAGTACGGAATGTTGTTAGTTACGGAATGTTTTGTGAATGTAAATGATGTATTATTGGATTTATCTCCTTTAATTTCTTGACACATGTTTTTTCGGTACTTATAAGTTTTATTTTTTACCTTTGACGGTTGGTCAGTCTTTAAACTGTTAACGATATGCAAGTGGAGTACAGTCACTTCTTGGTAGGTCTGTTGCACAGTGAAAGACTGAAAGTCACTATTTAGATAATTAGATAGTCATAACCGAACACACAGTACATTACAGTACACTACACTCTCCGGCACTTCATGGTTTAAAAGATAAGTGATCAATCAGAATAAAATGCGATTTTTTATATGCCATTGTTAACTGAGCTGCGATTGGTCAGATCAATAAGTAAATGTTTCCAAATATGGTATAACTCAGGAAATCCTTTTCAGCCCGCTGATCTAAGCCAATCAGAAGAATGACCATAAAGGTGTTTACAAAAATTGCCCTTTAAGGTTAGTGTAATATGCACACATATATAGTTGTTTTCGAAATTCTGTTTCTTTTTATCGACTCAAAAGGTGCAATTTACTCTACTGTAGCCTATATACACCTTGACAGACGGCTACTGCACGTTTGTCACGAGACAAGTGGCCTACGTTGAATTAACCGAGCAAACTGAATATTTAAACTCTGTACCATCTTAAATTGGTCCACTTATCAAATTCCATCAACTTATATTGCAAGCTATAAAGGGGCCTTAAACGTGTGGTTTAGCTTGGGCGGGGGACTGGGGTGCCGTGTCTTATATTTCTATCGAGATTACCCGTCTGTTTGGATCAATTGGACGGGTGAGTTAGACGTTAAAGTTCGGGCGAAAAACTTGCCTGTGATCGGCTTTACAAGCTTCCGTTTCTGATTTGAATTTGCCATACGCCACACGGGGATGGGCTTCTTCACAAAAACTTCACTACATTCCCACCATATTTTACTATCCTACAAATCAATTATGTACTGGATGTACTTTTTTAAAATTTATTTCTCGTGTTTGTTGTTTTTGTTCTAAATAAGGCAACGAGAATCAAGTTGCTTGCTAGTTGTTATTGTCATGGTGCTACTCAAAGTTACCACCAGTGCAGTGGGAAAGTCGCAAAGTGGTCAAGCTAATTTTTCAAGTTGCCTGTCCGGTTGGTAATTCCATAGTAGAACCATCATAACAATAGTTCACTGATATGCACCATCGCTTTTTACTTCTTGAGAACAAAGTATGCGTGTTTACCACTAGAGGAAACGAATTATTAATTTCACTTATAAGAGATTACCTGAGGTCGAGGCCGCCGAATTTTCTCAGCCTTCAGGTCGCGAAACTGTTATTCTGCAACTGCTCGCAAAATCCCCGACACAATAACGCATTGGATATTATTAACTCGTTAATATCTGAGTAACCGTGCCAACAAGCAGTCGGCTGTATCAAAAGGTTGATATTAAAGGAGATTCAATAATTATATTAAAGCCTAAAGGTGATTAAAAAAAGGCAATGCAACATTTAATATGCGTGAATAATCTCTTTGGTTAACAACGCAAAACTGGGCAAAAGATGTTTGGCTCCAGTATTTAAGGCTTGTAATCGTATTCTAGCAGCACAGTTGTCTAAATAAACTTATCTTTTCTTGATACTATTTTTGAAGCACGTACGCGACTGCGAGAAAATAATTTCAATTATACCATATAACCTCACTTACCCTTGTCCTAAATTTGGTGGCATTAACTTCTTTTAACATCTTGTATTAACAGCAGTTGTAAATCAAATGGTTGCAGTATTGTTCCAGACACGTTTCTCGTAAACCAAATCCAAGCTATCGTCTCATCTGAATCTGGCAATGCATCAAATCCAGTCGCTATATATGTTAAACATCGATCTGTACAGTTGACGATCGAGTAATCTCCGTAAATACCATTGACGGTACTGTGATATGGGATTCCAATTTCTATTCATTTTTTCAATGTATCATGTGTTTTGCCGCCATACAAAACATGTGTTCTGAATATCCCCAATTTAGGCTACTTTCATCTTTCTATATAACTATATATCTATTACTTTGCTACCCTCGCTACCTGTATTTATCTATATCTCTGTATAACTATATGTGTATGTATATATGTATACATCAAATGTTAACTCTCCTGACGAAGGCCCTCAGGTCGAAACATCGAGAAGTGTTTTGTTTATTTAGGCAGTTGTTATACCACATTTGATGCTAAGTTGTTCGAAGACGCTGCTACGCTGCTCCTTGGTTATATATGTATATATGATACAAATTGAACTTTGTGGCATCAAGTGACATATGACGTAATAGGAAATGGGGAATATCAAAACCATGTGTCAGTTCGAAATTCGGTTTCTTTTATCGACTCAAGAGGTGCAATGGAAATGTTCTCTGCTAAACACGTTGACAGAGCTACTGCATGTTTGTTGCTTTGCGCGCCTTCACGAGACAAAAGTTTTTATTTCTTTGTCGGTTGATTTTGTCTGCGAGTAAAGTGTTTCTCTAAGACTAAGAATAAAGGTGAAAACAATGACAAGTTTAGCTTATCTATTTTTTTCATTTTATCTATCTATTGTTTGCCTCAGACCAATATCTATAATCGTAATATCTTCTACAACTTTTGTTCACTTCAGTGCATATATATGAAGTGCATGGCAATCACGCCGGCGAACCTCTGCCCGATTCTTAGCTACATAATAATTTTCCCGTGTATGATATGTTTATGTTTTAAACCTGGAACTGCCCTTAAGATGGTCCCTTAGTTTCTATACTATTTTCCCTTGTGTAATCTTGAACCTACTCATAACCTGACCTTAAACTACAACCCTAAAAATTAAAAGTTTATATTATTACCCTTCGCTAGTCTGTTCTTCATTGACAAAAATCATAAAATATATGTATCGTGATTATCCTCTATGATTCTACAATTCGATTCTACTATATGTGCTTATCGTCTATGATTCTACAATTATCTTTGAAATGTTAGTTTATAATTCTCGTCCGTTGTAATCAATGGGTACATCCGGGGGAACGCATTGAGAACCATGAGGTCTACCAAATCTATCAACCTTTGAACCATCATCAGTTGGCGTGATCAAAACACTATCTCTTGACGATATTGAGGGATCTTCATCGAAGTAATTGAAAGGTCGAAGAAAGAATCCAAGGTGGGTACCAGCTGTTGCTGTGTTGGGAATATCTTCAGAATGTGGGATATGCAAAAGACCTACAGTTATCCACGAGACTAAATCTTCATCCACAATGCTCTCGTTATCCAAAATGAACTTTTTAAAGTCTACAACTGGATTGTACATGTCCTTTTCGTTATAAACAGATGAACTTCTCTCTTCATTTTTCTTGTATTTTGTTACTGCAAGTTGATAATGTGACCAACTGAAACCATTTGTAAATTCCCAGTTTTCTGGATACAATTGATGAAGTATTCCATTGAGTTGAACCCGATATCCTCGTCGAACACCATAAGCGTTCTTCTTTGCTGAGTTATAGAAATTCAGATAAGATGGATGTTGGAATTTAAATTTATAAGCAGCGTCGACCTCAGTTTTCTTTAAATCACGCGTTAATTTTTTCTGAATATGACGTTTGTTTGGAAACCACAATGAAGAAATGTTCTCGATTTTTGTTGTTATTGTTTCATATCTGTTGTTTCTTCCTGCAATATCTAGATCAACTTTGTAATGGACCATATGATCATGCAGTGAGCCAGCGACATTTTTATACACTTGATTGCCATATTGGTCTTCTTCAGGGGTCCAAAATGTTGTTTGTAAGTAGCCCGTTAGGGAAATCTTCGTTTCAATTATTCCATTAGGATAAAATATGAAATCATTTACATAGTCGTAGTTATATGGTGTGGACATTGTTCTTAAAACAAGTCCTGTACTTTGCATTCCTCCATAGAAAGTATAACTACCTTCAAAGTCGTTCTCAAAATGGCGGCGAAGCGGTATTTGTAAATTGTGTTCAAAGACGCAAACGGCATTACGACGTTTTCGTGGTTTTGACGAGTCGACAAAATATACAATATCAAAGTATCTAGCAGATTTGGGACAGTCAACACCTTTTACAAGTTCAAAATTAGCTGCAAGTGCCCAGCCACTGTCAAGATAATTAACATTAGCTCGTACGGGAGAATAGGCGCTGTAAAATGCTGCAGGTTCTTGTAAGCTTAGTTCGTACACGATTCTTTCTCCATTAAATCTGATATCAAACAATTGTAGACCTGATGTTGTACGAACACGAAAATCAAAACTCCATCCCATGTATTCGATATGATTGTTTTCTGCTGTGTAACGTTTACCATCCGGTTCAAATTGTTCAGGTTCACGTAATGGTAGAGAAGGTTGAAGATTTGTTCCTCGTCTGTTAACACTGGAAAATGTAAGATCTTTTCCTGTAGGAGGGTGTTTAACTTTTGTGACGTTTCCAAGTTTATATAACTCGATGAATTCATCGACTGAATCAAAGATTCGTTTATTGTAGTAGACCTGAAACGAATCAATTATGCATGCATGTTGTTATATTTCTATCGAGGTTAGGGGGCATTCACAAAGGATGTGCGGGCAAATGATGGAGTTTCACACACCTCTCCCCCTTGTCCGGTGTTGTCCCAATAGGTGACCCCCCCCCCCCCCCCCCTGGACATCCGCGATTTTTATATCACTTCTACAAGGAAATATTTGTAAAACAGACTTGTATCAAACAAAATGTCTCTTAATAAAATACGCTTATTAGATATATCGGGAGTTCAGAATTACAGGTATTATCAAGTTTACATTTATATTTTGCTTTTAGGAAAGTTCAAAATAGAGGCAAAAAGAAATTTGTTTTTTGAATTTTTTAAAATTCGGACGTCCTGGGAAATGTCTTCTAGACGTACGCGCACCGGCGCACGCAGGGAAATACTTTGGTGTGTGTAGGTAGTTTGAGCCCTTCAGACACCTCAGCGGTACAGAAAGTTTGTAAAAAATTGTGTTTTTGCAAGTAAAGAATCGTATTTTTAGCAGTCAACTTAAAACGGCTCGCACACAAAAATAGGTTACTGAAAATACAGTTTAACTTGACAGGCCTAAAATATGGAATATGTTTCATATGTTTTATAATGTTTTATATGTTATTAAAGTTTCAGATAATTTGGTGCAAGCGGAAGCGAGCGCGCGAAAGATTGGGTGTTTTTCCGTTTTAACTTTTAAATCTGATTTGCATACGTTATAAAATTAGCAACGTCAAGGAATTTAGACGTTACTTCACAAACTAAATTTCTGTAAATCTCAAACACTGCTCTTCTTTAGTAATTGGTTGTCACTTGCAACGAAGAGCAGAACTAAACGAAACTAACGAAACAGGAGTCTTCAACATTCTAAAGGTCTGTTCTAGACGATCCAATATTGTTGGATCCAATTCACTTCTGATGGATGTTCTATAGACTATAGTCTGTTGTCTTATGATGTTTATGGGCAGCAAATACACTGAAGCAAATGCAGTACTGCTTTATCAATAACAGACTAAGCTCCATACGTCATAAGTGAATTGGATCCAACAAAATTGGATAGTGTGAAAAGATCTTAATTAAGACCAATATTAACTTTGTTTGTGAAGTGTGAACCAACGTCTAAAACCTTTGTCCTTAGCTCTTGGAATTACAACTGAAACGGCGATGTATTGTTTGTGGCTGGTGACAAAGGAAATTTATAGAAAATAACAAAGCACTTTATTCTCCAATGATCACCGACAATAGTCATCGCCGACCATCACTGACATCACTGACATATGAGAAACAGGCTTAAGTGCTTTGTTATTTTGAATAAATTTTCTTCGTCAATGGCTACAGACAATACGTCGCCGACTGTCAGTGACATATGAGAAACAGACATCAGCCTTCTGGTCGCGCAACGTGTTATAAATTATATAGAATTAAAGTAATTCCGAAAAATGAAAGCATAATACAAATTTTATTCTGTATATTTCAAAACAAGATCGATTCATCTTCAGCAGAATCGTTTACGTTTACAACATTTGCGAAACTATAAAGCGTGTAAATCGTTTTTATAAAGCGTGTAGATCGTGATTTGCGTAACTATAAAGCGTGTAAATCGTGATTTGCGTAACTATAAAGCGTGTAGATCGTGATTTGCGTAACTATAAAGCGAGTAAATCGTGATTTGCGTAACTATCAGCTGGTAAAGGATTCCGTAACGTGTTATATTCTGCAACAAAATCGTGACCACAAAATTCCCGACACACACAATACTTATTTGAAAAGACGTTTGATTGATGTATTTGAGGCTTGTAATCGTATTCTAGCGGCACAATTAACTTGATACACCTTTTTTAATAAAGCACGTACGTGCGAGAAAATAATTTCACTGATTATACCATAATCTCACTTACCCTTGGCTTCAATTTGCTGGCATCAACGTCTTGGACATCTTGTACCAACAGTTGTAAATCAACTGCTTGTAATATTGATCCAGGCATATTTCTCGTGAACCAAATATAAGCTATCTTCTCATCTGAATCTGGCAATGCATTGAATCCAATGTAGAAATGTGTTAGACATCGATCTGTACAGTTGACGATCGAGTAATCTCCGAAGGATTCCTTCAGAATATGGTGTGCTTTTGTACCAAAGTTTGTGGCGATCTCATTTATGATAGCTGACAAATGTTTATTTGCAGGACGTGTGTGAAATGGGATTGTGCGTTTAGTAAGAAGAGTGTTGGGTTCATGTCTCATCGGTTCATCCAAATAAACCAGTATTTCCTCCACAACTGGTGGAGACTCCGCTCCTTTGAATATTATAACATTTGCCGCTCTTGTTGGTTTTTGTCCATTGCCGTCAAGATATGCAACAGCTTCATCTTTGATAGGATTCTGTAGTTCAATCAAGAAAATGTAATTCGAGTCAATCGTGGCTTTGTCAAAAGGGGTGACATCTATTGCGGCATTGTCCAAGATGTAGTCGCGCACTTTACGAAGCTCCTCTTCATTTAAATCTCGAAACAGATCCTGAGATTTTGTGAACTTTGGTTTTATAGTTGATCTTTGTGAGCAAGTCTTCGTGTCGTCTTGATCGTCGTTAGATTGACTGACAGAAACTGCAATAAGAGCAACAATAAGACCTACAATAATTAACACCAGAATACAGATGGCGATTTTGAATCTTGTCGGGACAGAAGCATTGTCTTTCTTCTTGGATTCGGTTGCTATTACTGTTGTCGGGACAGAAGAATAATCGTCTTTCCTCTTCGATTCGGTTGCCATTACTCATTTACTTGCTCAGTACCAATATTGGTTCGATACGAGGGAAGATTATTACGTTGAAACGTCTCTCTCACTGTACCACTGTTCGATATGAGAGAAGATGCAATGGAGCTCAGGCACGTTTGATATGAGCAAAGATATGATGAAAATAAGTCGCGCTGCACGAGAACAAAATTTTTCTTTCTAAGCGAACGAGCGGAATCAGCGGATACACCCAGCAAGGAATGAAGGGAGTGACTGAAATCACAGAATGTTGCAGAATGTTTTGTAAATAAATTTTACCATATAGCTTTTCAAAATTCTCTATTTTGATTGGTTGACGAGTGATCCGTAAAAAACTATATAAGGAGTGATATTAAGTACCGTTGTCCGTATATTTCGCACCTGTACCAGTATCCCGGATGTCTCACGCAGTTCAGCAGTTGATGCCTCGTACCCAGGGTCCCTGGTTACGAGGTTGTCCAGACATATATAATAAACAGATTATTGATCTCGCTTTTTCGGTACTGTAAAATATCAGACCACGGTGATCAGACCGAGCTTTTTTGCATGAACCTCGCTCCGATCTTTCGTCGCTCGGTCCAAGCTAAAAAGCCTTGCTCTAATATTTCATATTACAGACCGAAAAAGCGAGGTCAATAATGCCGTCGCCCTATACTATTGCGTCCACGCCGCTCTTGACCTAAATGTCCTAAATCCTAATATGTTAACCTTGGGCTTGCTTGTATGCATGTAAGTTGATGTAACCAGATTAGATTTTTTTAGTTCTATTTGCACGCGTAAACTTGGGAGTCAGTTTGGCTTTGTACAGTTGCAGTAATCAAATACCCTATCATCACTTAAGGCTAATTTCCACTCCGGAAAACGAGCAGCGGATCGGATCGGATCGGAACGAAAGATAATCCACGCGTGCGCCGTCTGTTGAAATTTTTGGCTTATATTGATCCGAAAGCGTCCGAGACCGGATAAAAAAAAGTTAAAAAAGTTTTAACTTTTTTTGATCCGATCCGAAATCACTTCATTGATTGGACCAGCTCGGAAAAAAATCCGATTCGATCCGATCCGCTGCTCGTTTTCCGGAGTGGAAATTAGCCTTAACGCGCTCAGAATTCAGGCTTCGTTCACTGAAGCTTTTGACAGGACAAGTATGCGCTTTATTTCGATGAATTAGTAGACACGTAATCGTATAGTTTTGACTTTTGATTGTTTATTAACACTGATACTATTCGATCTATTTATACAATGAATTATAAGTAAAGTAATAATGTAAATGAGTAAAGAAAATTAATCGTTGCTCCTTACTTCTTTGGCGTGTCCTCAGGGCTACAAAATTTATCTGGTTAGCAAATTAACTGAATATTCTACAATACATGTTAGCTTTTCCTTTTAGATACTTTCGATAGGATTTCAGTTGGGTTTAACTTAACATGCAATCTACTTTGTCGTGTCAAACCATCTATAATTGTTTCCTGAGCGCCTCACAAACCATTAGGGTTTGTTCACATGAGCCCGGTTACCGAGATTGAAGTAGAACGAAGCGTAATATAGACTTTGAGGTATTAAAATCAGTAAATAACATGATTCTGGTGGTCGTGTGATCATCCTAACAACAGCATGTGATTGCTGTGTTTCAAAAAGACCCGGTAACCGGGCTCATGTGAACAACCTCCTTAGGGTGGATTTCCACTTGCAGAGAAACAGTTCGCTAGGCTGGGTTGCCACATTAAGGCGGATTTCCACTTACTATACAGCGAAATCGTTCGCTAGCGAAATATTAAGTAGCATATTTTCTTTTGAATTTAAACAGCATAAATAAATTAGTGCGACTTGGGTGTTCTCAATTCAAAAGAAAATATGCAAATATTTCGCCAGCGAACGATTTCGCTGTAAGTGGAAATCCGCCTTTACTGAAAAAAAAGCCAAACATTGTTTTAGTCGCCCCTTTAATAGCTTGATTTCTTTGTTTAAACCAAAGAAAACAACGATTATGGTAATAATATTTGGTAATTTATTCAGTAATCTGGCAACACTGCAACGCTAGCTACCTCCTCCTCCGCGAAATATTTACTCAGCGTGACTGCTCCCATTTCAAAAGAAATTTATTTACGCAGTGGGAAATAGTGCAAGGTTTCATGTTTCACTATCCAAACTTGGGTAGAGCGCTGCCGCTGGTAAACGTTAGGATTTTGCTAAAAGAAGCGTTCCATAACTTCCATTATTACGCGGCCTTCTCTCACATCAAACAGTGAAATAAAAAATGGCAACTGAATCAAAGAAGAATAACAATGCTTCTATTCCGACAAGATTCAAAATCGCAATCTGTATTCTGGTGCTAATTATTGTAGGTCTTATTGTTGCTCTTATTGCAGTTTCTGTTAAACAATCTGACGACGATCAAGACGACACGAAGACTTGCTCACAAAGCTCGACTATAAAACCAAAGTTCACAAAATCTCAGGATCTGTTTCGAGATTTAACTGAAGATGAGCTTCTTGAAGTGCGCGACTACATCGTGAACAATGCCTCACTGAATGTCACTCCTTTCGAGAAAGCCACAGTTGACTCGAACTACATTTTCTTGATTGAACTACAGAATCCTATCAAAGACGAAGCCGTTGCATATCTTGACGGCAACGGACTAAAACCAACAAGAGCGGCAAATGTTATAATATTCAAAGGAGCGGAATTTCCTCCTGTGATTCAAGAGGTTTTGGTATATTTTGCTGAACCAATGAGACATGAAATAAACCGGTTACTGACAAATGATGACATTCCGTTTCATACCCGACCTCCAAACAGCTACGAATATGCAAAGATAGACGAAATTGTCACTAATTTTGGAGAAAAAACTCACGATATTTTGAAAGAAAGTTACGATGGTTATAGCATAGTCAACTGCACGGATCGTTGTTTGAGTTTCAGTGATAGTGGGCCAACGTCTATCTATAGTTCAAATGAACATGAAGCATTTATTTGGTTTGTGCGAGGCGTGAAAGGACAATATGTACACCCAGTAGGGCTGGAAATCTTGATACAACGTAAGGGAACGGATGTTAGCAAATGGCGAATTGAAAAGGTATGATAAAAATAGCTAGTTATTAGCTACATTTGGAGTAGCTACATTGGGGCATAGATTGGGGAGTAATACGCACGGAAAACGTAAATCCTTTAAAATTCTTAATATTTCACAAATAATTTTACGAAATGCGAAATTCTGTTTATTCATTCAAACTCAGTTACTTCCTAAATAGGATTTAATCGGATTTGAACTTTTCTAAACGGGCTTGATACAATCGGGCCCTGGAGGCTTGTACGTGTGCGTCTCTAGATTAAGCCTGGTCCTCATATGTCACCAATACAATGTTGCCATTAATTTGACACCTTCAAATGAGTAAATTTCACGGCTGTCGACAACATGAAAGCAGCTGCAATTATTATTTAAAAGTTAGGCAGCATAACCGTACAAGTTAGAACAAAATTTATGGCTAGCGGCGTCTGCTTCACATGCAACTTTATATTTTCTACGGCTTATGGGGTCTAAATATAAACTGAATGCAAACTGGTTTACCACGCTCTTACAACGATGTCGTCATTGCACTCGACATGTGCGGATTCAGTAGCTAATAAAGGCCCAGTTACACGGTGCAATTTTTCAGCAACTTGCAATGCAATTCTACTTTTGTGAGATGTAAATTTGGCCATTACGAAATTTTTATGTTTATTACACTCCATGTACGTTTCTTACCCATACTTTCTTTCTAAACATGGATTAATAGTTTTTGCATTTCAATCGCTTCAGGTCTACTACAATGAACGAGTCTTCGATTCAGTTGATGAATTCGTCAAGTTATATAAACTTGGAAACGTCACAAAAGTTAAACTTCCTGCTCCTAAAGGAAAAGATCTTACATTTTCCACTCTGAACAGACGAGGAACAAATCTTCAACCTTCTCTACCATTACGTGAACCTGAACAATTTGAACCTGATGGTAAACGTTACACAGCAGAAAACAATCATATCGAATACATGGGATGGAGTTTTGATTTTCGTGTTCGTACAACATCAGGTCTACAATTGTTTGATATCAGATTTAATGGAGAAAGAATCGTGTACGAATTAAGCTTACAAGAACCTGCATCATTTTACAGTGGTTATTCGCCAATGCAATCCTACAGCAATTATCTTGACACTGCCTGGGCACTTGGAGCTAATTTTGAGCTTGTGAAAGGTGTTGACTGTCCCAAATCTGCTAGATACTTCGATGTTGTAAATTTTGTCGACTCGTCAAAACCAGGAAAACGTCGTAATGCTGTTTGCGTCTTTGAACACAATCTAGGAATTCCGCTTCGCCGCCATTTTGAGAACGACTTTGAAGGTAGTTATACTTTTTATGGAGGAATGCAAGGTACAGGACTTGTTTTAAGAACAATATCCACACCATATAACTACGACTATATATATGATTTCATATTTTACCCCAACGGAGTCATTGAATCGAAAGTTTCCACAACGGGCTACTTACAAGCAACATTTTGGACCCCTGAAGAAGACGAATATGGTAATCAAGTGTATAAAAATGTCGCTGGCTCACTGCATGATCATATGATCCATTACAAAGTTGATCTAGATATTGCAGGAAGAAATAACAGATATGAAACAATAACAACAAAAATCGAGAACATTTCTTCATCGTGGTTTCCAAACAAACGTCATGTCCAGAAAAGAATAATACGTGATCTAAAGAAAACTGAAGTCGACGCTGCTTATAAATTTGATTTTCAACATCCATCTTATCTGAATTTCTTTAACTCAGCAAAGAAGAACACTCATGGTGTTCGACGAGGATATCGGGTTCAACTCAATGGAATACTTCATCAATTGTATCCAGAAAACTGGCAATTTACAAATGGTTTCAGTTGGTCACATTATCAACTTGCAGTAACAAAATACAAGAAAAACGAAGACAGAAGTTCATCTATTTACAACCAAAATGACGTGTACAATCCAGTTGTAGACTTTAAAAAGTTTTTTTTGGATAACGAGAGCATTGTGGATGAAGATTTAGTCTCGTGGATAACTGTAGCTATCATGCACATCCCACATTCTGAAGATATTCCCAACACATCAACACCTGGCAACCATGCTGGATTTTTTCTTCGACCTTTCAATTACTTCGATGAAGATCCCTCAATATCATCAAGAGATAGTGTTTTGATCACGCCAACTGATGAAGGTTCAAAGGTTGATAGATTTGGTAGACCTCATGGTTCTCAATGCGTTCCCCCGGAAGTACCCATTGATTACAACGGACGAGAATTATAATCAAAGGTAGAATCGATACATTACATATATGTTTTATGATTATAGTGAATGGGGAATAGACGTAGAATAGACGAGGGAATGATGATTATACTTTGACTAAACTTGATATTTTAGGAATATAAATATAGGGAAAATATGGGAAAATAGTATAGACCTGGAGGACTATGAAATATTATAGTCACTTGAACAGGATGTGGATTTAATCAATATTTACGAATAGATACATGTACACACTTAGCATCTGATAGTATTACTTAATATGGATGCGCGGATATTGTTGGTCAGGCTGTAGGTGTAAATGTTATGAACTGACAATAATTGTTTCAGTATTCCTATAAGCATATTGTGTTAAATGTTTGCTGATTCGGTTGAGAGATCAGTGAGTTTCATTATAATTTCTATGATACAGGTTACAAACGAGATCTGAGTAGTGAGATATTTTTGCCTGCAAAGGAAAATATATTATTAATAAATATATTATTATAAAAAATATATTATTATTACAAAGTAGAGAAAAATGTATTATTTTCGTAATCGAATCCTGCATTTAAAAAAAGTCAGAAAACGTACAGTAAGATATAATATAAAATTTTGTTTAATTGCCACCAGAGGCATTAAAACAACCCACCCTTCGGAATGTAGCCCGTGGCCTTTGGAAACGGTGTGCTGCGGGCTTTAAAACGCTTGATGCACAAATTACACCCCACCACCTTAAGCATTATAGATTATTAGACTTTGTGAAGTAAAATAAAATAAAAAGAGTACTTGTCTACCGTTTAAGAACGGTGTTACAATGTTATGCTTTGGGATGTATTTACACGCCGCCATTCTTTATTTTTTGCGAGTCACGCGGGCTGATGCATGTGATATTTTTAGCCGATCATTTCTGAACAAAACTGATTAGGGTTGCCGCTTGAGAGCCGTTTCATGTCATCTCTGAACCATCTTTGCCTGTTCGGGCAATGAAAAATTATTTTTTCTTTCCTTGTTCCTTGTATAGGCTAACTGTCATTCAGTTGTGGAAACTCGTTGGATAGTCTCAGATCAACTAACTACCCTGTACAAATAGTAGCTCGTTAGTTCAGCTTAGCACCTCAATGACAACTAAGAAGAAGGAAATAGCATCGGAATAAGGTTTCTAGCCTAGGATAAACAGCAGAGAACTTAGCCTCCTCCGCAGGCATCTCTTATGTATTTATATTAGGCACACAGCTAACCCAAGCCAAATATGAATACATAAGAGATGCTTACGGAAAAGGCTACAGAGAATTTGGCATTTTGATGGACAGTTTAGTGACAACTGATCATCATTTGCACTTTCAGAGTTCAGGGTTCACTGAAGGTTTGGCATTACAATAATCTTGATTGAAATAGCTTCATGAGAAAGAAGAGACAAATATTTCTAAATCAACATTCCTTATTGGGTTTCGCTGAAACAAAGAAGCGTTCCATTCTCCCGCGGTCTGTCTGAGAGACGTTTCACAGTAATAATCTTCCCTCGTATTGAACCAATATTGGTACTGAGCAAGTCAATGAGTAATGGCAACCGGATCAAACAGGAAAGACAATTATTCTTCTGTCCCGACAACAGTAATAGCAACCGAATCCAAGAAGAAAGACAATGCTTCTGTCCCGACAAGATTCAAAATCGCCATCTGTATTCTGGTGTTAATTATTGTAGGTCTTATTGTTGCTCTTATTGCAGTTTCTGTTAAACAGTTTGACGACGATCAAGACGACACGAAGACTTGCTCACAAAGATCAACTATAAAACCAAAGTTCACAAAATCTGAGGATCTGTATCGAGATTTAACTGAAGATGAGCTTCGTAAAGTGCGCGACTACATCGTGAACAATGCCTCACTGAATGTCACTCCTTTCGAGAAAGCCACGGTTGACTCGAACTACATTTTCTTGATTGAACTACAGAATCCTATCAAAGACGAAGCTGTTGCATATCTTGACGGTAACGGACTAAAACCAACAAGAGCGGCAAATGTTATAATATTCAAAGGAGCGGAATTCCCTCCTGTGATTCAAGAGGTTTTGGTATATTTTGCTGAACCAATGAGACATGAAATAAACCGGTTACTGACAAATGATGACATTCCGTTTGATACCCGACCTCCAAACGGCTACGAATATGCAAGAATAGAAGAAATTGTCACTAATTTTGGAGAAAAAACTCACGATATTTTGAAAGAAAGTTACGATGGTTATAGCATTGTCAACTGCACGGATCGTTGTTTGACTTACGCTGATAGTGGACCACCATCTATCCATAGTTCAAAGGAACATGAAGTATTTATTTGGTTCATGCTAGGCGTGAAAGGACCATATCTACACCCAGTAGGGCTGGAAATCGTGATACAGCGTAAGGGAACGGATGTAAGCAAATGGAGAATTAAAGAGGTATGATAAAGGCTATAGTTATAGCCTACATATATGTCTGTTTATTATACTTGTGAGGTGTATCTCGTCTCTTATGTGATGCAAATTACTGCATGAAGAGATAGATCTTCACTTCAGGTCAACAACTCAGAGCAGATTACGCGCACTTATTTTTCATATAACAAGCAGTCCTTTAAAATATATAATATTTCACAAATAAGTTAACAAATGCTTGGGGAATTTTACGAAATGCGAAATTCTGTTTATTCATTCAGACTCAGTTACTTCATAAAGAGGATTTTATCGGATTTGAACTTTTTAAATAGCTGGAGGCTTGTACGTGTGCGTCACCAGATGATGCCTAGTCCTTATATGTCACCAATGCAATGTCGCCACATGAAAGCAGCTGCATCGTGAGAGTTGTTTTATAGCAATATCAGCTAGACATCCGAGGTTCTATATGAATAATATGATTATTTAAAAGTTAGGCTGCATAACCGTACCAGTATAGAACAAAATTTATTGCTAGCGGCGTCAAGCTGTTGTAAATGTAATTTCTGGTTAGTAGACGGTCACTGCCATCCACATGTAACTTGATATTTTCTACCGCTCATGGGGCCTAAACTGAATGCAAACTGAATGCATCGCATCTATCGCGTAGTCTTACAACGAAGTCATCATTGCCGTGGACAGTTGTGGACCTGTGTTGCGGATTCAGTAGCTAATAAAGGCCCTGTTACACGGTGCAATTTTTCTTGCAACTTGCAATGCAATTCTACTTTTGTGAGATGTAAATTTGGCCATTACGAAACTTTTATGTTTATTACACTCCATGTACGTTTCTTACCTTTACTTTTTGAATACTCTTTACTAAATAACATCTCTTAAAAGTAGGATTGTATTGCAAGTTGCAAGAAAAATTTCACCGTGTAAAAGCGCCTTTAGCCCGATTTTTTAGCTAACTTCAAATCGGAAACTCCATTATAGTCAAGCCTTTCCACACATACTGCATTCACGCATTTCCTATATATCAGGGACCGCGGAGGGGGGGGGGCTGGGGGGCTTTAGCCCCCCCAATAATTTTCAAAATACATGTGATTCCTTTATAGCGATTTTTATATGGCCATAATAATACGAATAAAAACTCCTTATAGTAAGTTGTGTAATCATAATTATGTGTTCACTATCCGTGTTGGTGAACAATGTTTTCATTGAAGTGTTTAGAAGAAAAATATAAACAGATAAGTATGGTCCCCCCCGAGGGTTCACTCTTTCGGCTTCGCTAGCCCCCCCAATCCAAAAACTGCTCCGCGGTCCCTGTATATTTGTGACACCTCATTTTTTTTTCTTTCTAAACATGAAACGCTTACACATTCCCATAAAAAAATATTCAATAGTTTTAAATTTCAATCGCTTCAGGTCTACTACAATGAACGAATCTTCGATTCAGTTGATGAATTCATCAAATTATATAAACTTGGAAACGTCACAAAAGTTAATCTTCCTGCTCCTAAAGGAAAAGATCTTACATTTTCCACTCTGAACAGACGAGGAACAAATCTTCAACCTTCTCTACCATTACGTGAACCTGAACAATTTGAACCTGATGGTAAACGTTACACAGCAGAAAACAATCATATCGAATACATGGGATGGAGTTTTGATTTTCGTGTTCGTACAACATCAGGTCTACAATTGTTTGATATCAGATTTAATGGAGAAAGAATCGTGTACGAACTAAGCTTACAAGAGCCAGCATCATTTTATAGTGGTTATTCGCCAAAGCAATCGTATACCAATTATCTTGACACTGCCTGGACACTTGGTACTAATTTTGAGCTTGTGAAAGGTGTTGACTGTCCCAAATCTGCTAAATACTTCGATGTTGTATATTTTGTCGACTCGTCAAAACCAGGAAAACGTCGTAATGCTGTTTGCGTCTTTGAACACAATCTAGGAATTCCGCTTCGCCGCCATTTTGAGAACGACTTTGAAGGTGGTTATACTTTCTATGGAGGAATGCAAGGTACAGGACTTGTTTTAAGAACAATATCCACAGCATATAACTACGACTATATATATGATTTCATATTTTACCCCAACGGAGTCATTGAAGCGAAAGTTTCCACAACGGGCTATTTACAAGCAACATTTTGGACCCCTGAAGAAGACGAATATGGTAATCAAGTGTATAAAAATGTCGCTGGCTCACTGCATGATCATATGTTCCATTACAAAGTTGATCTAGATATTGCAGGAAGAAATAACAGATATGAAACAATAACAACAAAAATCGAGAACATTTCTTCATCGTGGTTTCCAAACAAACGTCATGTCCAGAAAAGATTAATACGTGATCTAAAGAAAACTGAAGTCGACGCTGCTTATAAATTTGATTTTCAACATCCATCTTATCTGAATTTCTTTAACTCAGCAAAGAAGAACACTCATGGTGTTCGCCGAGGATATCGGGTTCAACTCAATGGAATACTTCATCAATTGTATCCAGAAAACTGGCAATTTACAAATGGTTTCAGTTGGTCACATTATCAACTTGCAGTAACAAAATACAAGAAAAACGAAGACAGAAGTTCATCTATTTATAACCAAGATGACGTGTACAATCCAGTTGTAGACTTTAAAAAGTTTATTTTGGACAACGAGAGCATTGTGGATGAAGATTTAGTCTCGTGGATAACTGTAGCTATCATGCATATCCCACATTCTGAAGATATTCCCAACACAGCAACACCTGGCAACCATGCTGGATTTTTTCTTCGACCTTTCAATTACTTCGATGAAGATCCCTCAATATCATCAAGAGATAGTGTTTTGATCACGCCAACTGATGAAGGTTCAAAGGTTGATAGATTTGGTAGACCTCATGGTTCTCAATGCGTTCCCCCGGAAGTACCCATTGATTACAACGGACGAGAATTATGAACTAACATTTCAAAGGTAGTTGTAGAATCATAGACGATAATCACGATACATATATTCTATGATTTTGGTGAATGCAAGAATAGACGAGCCAAAGGTAATAATATAAACTTTTAATTTTTAGGGTTGTAGCTTTAGGTTAGGTTACGGGTAGGTTCAAGATAATACATGGGAAAATGGTATAGAAACTAGGAGACCATTACGTGAACAGGTTGTTTGTTTCCAAGTGGACGGGATTCAATATTTACCAGTAAAGAAATGTAAATGCACTAAACATCTATTATCTCAAGTTAAATATGGTTATGACGGATATTGTTGGTGAGGCTAGGGATGAAAGTCGCCAGGTATATAGCAACAGATCAATTCAATATCCCCTTTGAAAATTGACGTATAGTGTTCTAATAAATTTTCGACAGAGGCATATCTTTCGACCCGAGGTAAAAATGGCACCACCCCTCCCTAGCCCATTCTTCGGCCTTAACGATAGGGCCATGTCAAAATTGAACTTAAAATGCCGCTCTGCCCCTCTATAAACGGTCAAGGACCACCCGTTATACGTCTCGTCTGCAATGAGACAAAACTTTTATATTGTCTTATTCTTTACAGTATAAACTCTAAATAATATAAATTCGATAATACTCTTGGGATATTAACAATAATTTAACTTTATAGTATAAAGTATATCTCTATTTATACAAAATGACATGCAATTATTTGGGGACTGTCAATTTACGTCCATTAAAAACATTTTTCTCAGGAAGCTGAACATCCAATAGTTCCATTCGCATGATAGCGACGAAATTACTACCAGCAGTAATCGATGTTCCGAATACGGAGTACACATAATCGTAAGGTTCGTGTTATAGTTTTCGACTAAAAATATTTCCTTTCGTCTCATGTCCGTCATGAATGATCTCTGTCTGCCTTGGCGAGCCATGTGTCGGTGTATCAATACTATTTTGACGATCTAGATTGAAAATTGACAAATTAAAAATTAGAAGCACTGTGTTGTGACGTCGTTGATGGCGAGTAGTCTTGAAGGCCAATCACACCGAATCACTCGCAAGCAGGAAAGGAACGTACATAAAACATAATGCATAATGGATAGCTTGCATGTCGAAACTTGTATGAGAATGGATGTGTAAATGCACACAACACCTATTAAAATTTGCAAACGATACACAGTTTATATTTTTACTTACATTTATTCTCTAACATTAACGATTCTCTCACCGGAACTGAAATCATACATGAACAACACTAATAAGTATCGATCAAATTTCCGAAAAAGCTTTTGTAATTCTTGTGTTCGTAACATTTTGCTTCTCTAAAGGTTATATATATTATCGTGAAAAGGAACTAAAGACAAAACTGTGTATTTTTTGCAAATTTTAATTTTAAAACTCAGTTAAAAGCCTGATGATAGTATGTTTAAAAGTAAATAAATAAAGTCAATTTTTACCGTTTTTTTTCGAGCATAATCTGAAGGTTAGGAAAACTAGTATTGTGATGATAACACCAATAAAAAACCCAGAAATAGTTGCCACAATCAATACTGTCTCACTCAACCAGGATCTAGTAGCTGATGGATGAACTACGTCGTCGGGTCTTTTAGTTACTGAAAAATCAAAATATGCACTTAAAATGTCACTGAGCCACGCCAACACTTGCCCGTATGGGCTCTTACCCAGCGGGACTGACCACATGCACTATGATATTAAAGACTAAATTTTTAGTGCATGGACTAGAAGCATGTTGTTGAGCTTTTTCAACCTAAATACAATCACTAATCAAGAAGGTTTCTTTGCTGGTTCTTTCTTTCTTGGCCAAGAGCCTTGAGCAAACAATCTACGTATACTGCATCAAATTCAGCGTTCGGCGCCAATATTGAGTTTTGTCTCTAGTATTCTGTTTGCTGTTTAGTTGCATGTATAGTCCTAAAATATTGTGAACTGACGAGCTGCAAAATCACCAACCAGATGTAGTCTGCTGTATATAGTTACCTGGATTTTCGACACTGCTGCTGCTGCTGCTGCTGCATAACAACGTCGCCATCGTTGGAGTCGATTCTATTTTATCGGTCCCTCTATGCTGCAGCCCGTGCATGCGCATTGATGGGATTGATAACTTCGACTGTGTCGCGGCAGTTGGTGTTGTTAATATCATTGATGAAAGTCTCGATGCTTGAATTGGTGATGATGTTAGTTCAATTATACATGATGCCTGGGTTTTAGAAGAGCTTGGAGAAATAATCGTTGGAGTTGTAAAAGAAGTTGGAGTTGGAGCTTCAGAAGACATCACCGGTCGACACGAAGATAAATCGCAATCCTTATTGGTTAAAGCTGAATATGCAAAAATTAGAAACTGCTTTATTATTGTTAATCTTCCTATCAAACAGGCAATGGTAAGGTTTGAATTACAAGGTTTGAAGTTAGCTAAACAATTGTTACATGCAGTCATTAGCAAACAACTACTATATAACTCTATAAGTTATTTGCAGTGTAGCACGGGCAAAATTACTTGTTGTAGACCACACTGGTCTGTTGTAACAGTTGTGTTATTACCTGAAATGCGTTTTAGAAACACTAACTAACCTCTTATTTTAAACACTGACTAACCTCTTAAATTACCTGAGTGAAGACTTTTAGAAACACTAAATAACCTCTAGTACAGGTGGATTATTTTTTAAAAACGTAAAACTATTATGATAAATACAGTATTTTGATACCTGGTTTATTGAAGTTCATCCCGTAGACTGCCTTCTTTTTTTCTGTTACATATACAGCAAAGAACATTGTGCATCTTGCTTCGTTATCGTTAAAGGTGTTTGCTTTACCATCAAGACTGTTTCCTATAACCAAAACAGTTGCGTCGTCACATGCAATGCATGTATACATAGACAATCCAAAAGATGTCTTTTGGATTGTCTATGATGTATATAATACTAGCTAAATATTTTCTTTTAATACGTTATATTGCAAATGATCAAAGAGTACTGTAAAGAAATGATAAAACTCTGGTGATATGAGAGGCGAGACGGGACGTTTGCCGAGATTAGATGTTTTTTAATTTTTCATCCCGCGTTTACATTATTGTTTTATACGGGATGTTTTCTCACAGGAGTACCTGAGACGTTTATACTGTAATAAGTAGCGCGACTGCGCATGATCATAATCAAATAATAATGAAATGTTATCGACAAAATTGTTTCTATCTCGATACGTTCGCGCAAGTATGAAGGTGGTGCGTTGAATGACGACCCAAAAAATTCAAACTGCCCCGGTATAGGACGCCACTGAAGATAACTACTGTGAAATGAAAAATATTTACACTCCACCAAATATATACTAGTCTGCTAAGAACTTGATGCTATAATAGCGGTTTCACTTACCAAAGAAGACATAAATGCTTCCTTTGTCATACCTCTTGGCCGCATCTTTGTTATATTTATACGTAACTTCAGTGGAATCGTATTTTCCAGCCTTACACTTGTGTAAAACTGTAGTATCTGAATTAATGAAAACAGAACATCCTATAATGTGCAACCTCGTACCCAGGGTCTTTCCTGAGGGTAAAAGACCCAACTTCCATAAAAGGGGCGAAGTAATAATTGCATAAGTAAAAATATTTAGTTCTTGAACACAATGACCGATGTTTTTATGATTTTGTTCAAACAGAAACACAGAGAATATTTAACAAATTTCTACCCAGAGTTGCTTGCACTATATATGTTTCCAATTTTTTTATCAATTTCTCAATGTCAAAGATGCATTTAGGTTATGGTCATCTGAAAGAATTTCATGGAAATAAGATTTTCTGCATTCTGGTACGACAGCTGGTTATGATGCGCGGCATAGCACTCTCGTCATTTTGTCATCGTCTATTTAAAACATCGCGTGCAAGAAAGGCACATTAATAAAATGCAACCTGCATGTATTCTGTATATACCTTGACTTCGTGGATCACAGAAAGAATGAATAGTTTTATTTCTAATGCTATTAATCATCTCATCTTTCGTCCCCGTCCACTTCCGCTGGAAAATTCTCGCATTTCTATCATCGTCCGTTCTTGAGAATCCATCCAATAAATTTGAAAAAAATTTCGAAGTCGGACAAGTGAACTGTTGTTGATCATATAGATCTACAGACGGTACGACCAGCCAATTACACTTGCAGTATAATCTACAAAACGTTAAGAATTAGAAGTTACTATAGGGACTTTGTGGAGGACTGAAAAAAATATTGAAAAGAAGTACTAAATAATGAGTACTTAAAGAACAGGGAAAACTGCGGTGGAACTTTACAAATTTGTTTTTCTTGTTGTAGAATACTAGTTCAAGCACTTTGCTTTAAATTAATAAATTTCAGTTTGCCGACAGGTTTGCGGGTATCCCACGACGTTCGTCACCACCCTCTTGCGCATTAACTGGCTTAATAACTGACTGCTATACAGTTGTCTGGCGCCTGGATTACGATCGAGGATAACAAAATATGAATATGTATATAATATATTGGCGTCTTTTTCAAGCGTTTTTAAGAACTTTTGTCTCTCTCGTCGTCGCCAATTTTGCATAATTTGAGGAACAATACTTAATGAAAATTCTGGAAAACGCTTCCCGTGTGAAAATATTTTAATCATAATTCGTTTCAATTGCACGCTTCGACTTCGATCAGAAACATGACAGTTCTTGAAGACTTCGTTGGTTAACGCAAAAACATTTTTATCATTTAGATTTTAGTTTTATAATTGATTAGCTTTAACCACAAAAGACGACAAAATTGACCGCCGTAAACCGCTTTTATTTATATTAATTCACGATAGTCCTTTAGATTTTTAGCACTTTTATGAATTATGGCTTAAAGTATTCACCGTAATTTTAGTCACGTATATAAATTCTTTTGCTGATCCAAACGTTCAGCCAACATCATTATCTATTCCATTTTCTTGAGTGAGCCAATATTAATAGGCTACGCATAATAAATTCTAGTAATTGTTTATATAAATTATCAATGGCATACGGAATAAGCTGTCTGTGTTGAATAGCGAAAGAGCGACGCAGCAAAAAATGAAAAATAATATATATTTTCACGCCGCGAACACGCTTTGCAGTAAAGTGCTTAATGACTTCCCAATATCATTTTAATGTCAGCATGCTCATGAATTAGAATATCTTGGGAACAAATGTTCTTCCTTCCTTTCTCTTTTCTTTAAATCGCAATTATTTGTCAAATACGTAAAGCTTCATTTGCGTAACAAATTAAGATCACAAAAACGAACACAATAACCGGTTAACGGCGGTAAATTTATATGCGCGATGAAAGCGTCGCGGGCTATAATGCTAAAGTGGAGTTGTTATTGTCTAAAATCGATCTGAATATAATATTACTTACAATGGATTTAAATGATCCCAAACGACTGTCGGTAGAAATCGTGTAGCCCAAATACTATGATATGTTGATAGCAGCACCATAACAAAATACGCGATGAAATAAGCCATGATTCCTGAGGTATAAGGCAATCAGGCGATCACATAAGTCAGGAGAACTATATAAATTTGTTGTCCAGTAGTTAAGCTTGTCAACAGAATATTAAACCACAGCGGTATATAGTGTGGTGTTCACAATTAGATATTGTTCGGCAGTTCAACTTGTTGTGAATCTTCCTATTTTGGCGTCAAGAATATAACTACCTCGATAGCCTCCTTAATACCGGCTGATTTTTCCTCAGTCGAGACTTGAATATCCTCAGCTATATAGTTATGGTCTCGTATAATTCTCGTGTCCCAAAACGTGAAGTAAACGTCTCTTAGCCAGTCGTGTATTAATCTGAAACTGCATATTGTAATGCTCTCCCCCGTCTATAAAACTTGCATTTACGGTGTTCTATTTCATTTCGTGACGCGGGATAATTTTGACAACAGACACTAAACCGGACTTGTGTCACCTGCTGCGGGTAAAGGTTAGATGTTTAAAACCATTATTCCATTTACCAAACCAAACATTTGAAAAAGAAAACAAAAATAACACTGGCCAATATGGCTGCAAATATTATCGAAGTAGGCAACCCTTAAATGCCTTTACCTTAACCGACATTCATAAGCTTGATTGACGTCAAATACGGTTTGTCTCTTATATTATACGTTAACACTCAACCGTTGAGGAATAATTTTTTATCGTTGAGAGTGGGATATTGTCAAACCTAGGCAACAGACAGGCATAGGCAAAGCCCATAGAAAAACAAACTGGGAGCTGTAGGCGGTTTGGTAGGTGTCGAGGGAACAAATAAAATATTTACAATCCGTTCATTTTATCATTTTACACGATAAATTGTCCAGCCTTTGTCGTTTTGACATGTTGACATTTTTTCCCTGTCGGACATAATGAAAATATAGTAATAACATTTTTATAACTACTAAATCCGGTTTCTGCTTTGGGATACGTTAAATAAATGAGTGCTATAGCAGTAAAATACACGAAGATAGTCTATTCCACTTTCCAGCTAACTTAGTATATAAAATTGCTTCTTGTATTTCCAGGCGCTTGTTGAAACAGATGTTTGTTAACTTTGGGTATATTTAATGGATGCATGCCCGTGCTAGGGGTTGGTCAATTTATCTAATTCAGTAATTGTATTCACCTTACTAACATACTGTGCATGTAATACCGTAAAAAAAATATGTCGAAAGTAGAAAAATGAACTCTTTGTTCATGGAGAACAATGCAGGTAATATTGTTATGATATCTGCGCCGTTCTATTTTATTTCTCACACGAATCATCTTGTGACAGCCAAGGCAATATATTGGACATATACATGTCTGCACTCCAGGCAGTAAATATTGAGTTTTGTGATGATAGCTTCAGTTTCAAATCTACATATTTGGAAACTAACCAATAAATGTTTTTGGCGTTTGGACCAATTTTCCTGCGAGGGCGAGTGTTTATAAGATTATAAGGACTGGTTATATAGCCATGGGTATTTATTATTTTGGCATTGGAGTTTTTGGAATCCAATTTTATTGGCCAAACTGGCCAATTTTTTTCTTCTTTTACACGAGCGTCTTTATACTGTCAATATTTTTGACAATGTCAGTAATCTTGGTAACCAGTATGTAGGTATATTGAGGTGTATTTCCTATAGTTTATATAAACTTAGCTTATAGTAAACTTATAGACATTAAGTTATAATATATCATGCATATGCATGCATGCATGCATCTACCAAAAATTTAGTGAGACCGCACTATAAGTCTATATGCATTATGCCAATATATAAATGTGCCGTGCAACTACAAGTATGTTAAAAACTGAACCAGAATAAGATGTTTTAAACTTGATCATCTTGATATTCTTTTCCACTTATCACGAAATTAATCTATGCTATGTCTGCATAAAACATTACACATTCATGAGTCCGTTTAAAACTAGATATATGATATATTATATAGTTTGTAGTTCCATCCAATGATGACAAGGTGTCACTAAAGGGATCAGAATTGTCAATGCAAGTTTTAGTTATTTAAATGCTGTTGTAGTTTCACTTGTTTGCCAATTTGTGATTGTTATTGTAAGTATATCGTGATTCGTTCTAATATGGACCAGTCAAACCTATATCGCCAGTCGCCAAGGTACATGCATATATAGCTATATGTATAGACCATAGACATAGGATGCTCTATATTCTTAATGACTGTATAACCCCAAAGTGCTAAATACAAGTACCTCTTGCATTTGCAATTAGAATTTTGTCTTTAGTTGAATGCCTTGTATCTGGAGGGCTTGTCGGCTCTGTTATTAGGTGTTTAGGAGAATATATTATAATTAACACCCTCAGTAAACTGTGCGGTAAACCACGTCATGTAGCGATTATTTCTAATCAACCAAAATTTTTATCATAGTATCCCACAGAGATACCTAGATTAATAATATTTCTAGCGCATTCATATAACTGCCTCTACACTCAATGAACGCCGCTGAAAAGCAACATGTACACTGTGTGCCTAGCAAGGGTTTTAACCAGCTGTATATACAGCAAAGCCGATTGCCCTAACGCCGCGTAGTTTATATCCTATAATCAGGCTGGATATTTTTACACAGATAGAAGGAAATGAAAGGTGAAAGCAAGTATTTGCTATGCGCGAAAGTATTTCCTGTGAAAATCCGGCCTGTCGAAGGGTCTGCACGAACGGGATTAACGTTTTCTTCTGGAACTGAGAACTAGTGAAAACAATTAACCAGCAGGACATAGTTCCTTAAAGAAACTCCACAGCCTACTTACTGTTTATGTATGCAATGTTTATGTTTTCAGAATATTTGTATACATATTTAAACCATAGCAACCTCGTGTTTAGTTTTCTTACAGCCTAAATATATAAGTATGTATCTGCATGCTAATCTGCCTGACACGATTAGCTGGCTGATTATTCTTTTATTTGAAAAACACAACAGAAACGCCGCGATATTTTTGAGCTGGTGTGCAATAAAGGTATAATTTGGCTGAAGCTTATCAAGAAAAACACCTGTGCATGCCAACCAGAAATTGTATCGCACCGCACGTGGGTATATATAGCAAGTTCCACCCCGATTTCCCTAACGCGCCAGGCCCACAACAAGGTTTCGTGGGGGTATACGAAAACTGGCCCAAATTCCTGGCAATTTGTTAGTCAGATACCAGGCCCAAAATTGGAGAAAAATGCTGTTGATTACACCATAGAAGAGATACAAATTAAGTATATTATTCAATGGAGCTTCTAAAATATACCAAACACTGGCAATAAACGTCCATGCAGATGATACCGTAAAGCGAGATGCTCGATGATCGCCCACGTATATATATAAAACCCCTGCCCGGACTTGACACATGCATGCATATCATGCATGGATTCGGAGCGTGCGAGCGTGCACTTCAGGGAATGATTTATAATAGAGTTAACGCGAGATCAAAATGAATCAAAACGTTTCACACCGTCACACGCAATTCTAGTATTTTCATTGTCATCACTGATGTACACAACAACATATAAATACGCTTCTCGCATGACAATGCACGTTATTGTAGCTATGATGAAGAAAAACGTCCACCATACAACTTCTTGTACTTGTATTTTCAAAAAATCTTGTTTAAAACTAGGTCATGCATGTGTATTGCATTTTTATTAAACATTAAGACATCACAACTACACTATTTCATTTCTGGATGTCATGAGTGTTTGGCCCTGTTTATAGGCCAAAGTACATATAGACCGCATTATGACCGCGAATGTATTTTTTGAGTCTTGTACACCACAACACGCAGAGACTATGTGCTGTTTTACTATAGTTGCCACGACGTAATCTGAATTTTACGTTTAGACCTTAGCTGCTTTAAATCATTTGCAAACAAGAAGTCACGAAAAGTTTATATGCCGGATCTGCTTACTGAATGTTTTTGTTAATTGTTTTCCACAAGAGCGTGGGATGCAGCTCTTCACAACTACCTCAGCTGTGAAATCCCACGATTTTTAGAACTTCATGTATTGTCGTCTATTTTTTTTAAAATAAACGGCAGTTTAGCCTGTTTAGGCATACAAACATTCGAATAATAGTGGTGTGAATTAAATGTTATTTGACCAGAGTTTATCAATTAAGTAAACACCTGTGTCATCCAGGAATCATTTTACGCTTTTTGGGGTATAAATAAATTTCACTGACTCTGCTTTCGCCTAATCATGTTAACTTCAGGGGGGAGAAGAAAATCTACTTTAAAACTGAAAAGGAAATAAGGAAATAGTCGCACTATCTGAAGCAAATATAATCTCTCTAAGACTAAGACTGAGACCTTTCTTATAGTCCTAAAGGAAGTTTTTCTCTACCCTATTTTGCATGCATGTATATACAAGTCAGGCTTCCTCTTGATAGTTAAGATACTGATAGACTCTGATAGAGTAAGACACATGGCATGCAAGAAGCTGTAAAAATTTAGAAACTTGCACCTGCGGCCACAAGATAGGGTGTTACCAGACAAATATGCTGTGATATTTCCCGAAAGAGATTCTCCGCCTTCGAAATATTGAAATAATGCAAATCGTGTCATCTTGTAAAACCTGCGTAACAGATGGGGTCAAGGAGTGCGTAGGTGTTTTTGGCGATATAATTCTCCCTATGTCTTAGTTCAATGTGGCAAATAACCATTTTGTTTTGATGTAAGAAAAACCAAGCTTTATTCACTAGTTTAGCTTATAATAGACTTTTACAACCAGAATGTTAGTGATGGTATCGAAACACGAAGTATAAAATATGTATACTGCATGTATAAAGGTCGAGTGGAAATCCTACATCGAATGAGGTGCCAGAATATTTTATAAAAATACAAGCATATGTATGCTTATATCCAGCTGAAATCGCTTACGTTCTTAGTGATGACATTTAGCGTATTCATCATTTATTTTATTCACCAACAGTCTTTGCACAAAGCAACTTGATCTTTGATATAGTCTCGACATGGACAGAGTCTCATGTGAGAGCCAGAGGAAGATACGCAACTGTATAACAATGGCTGTTGTTGGAAGTGACAGGTCTTTGTTTTCTCTTCAAATGATGGTGCCACTAACAGATTACTATACTTCACGGAATCACACGATATTCTCTCTCTAAAAGAAGAAAAGGTCAACAAAATATAAAATGAAGACCATATAGAAGACTCGGGAGACCATGCAGTAGGTGATACGAGATCAGGATTATTTCACGTGAATTAGCGAAAAGGATGGCGATTACGCTGCAGTTATAACATTCCAGATTGACCAAACAGTCTGCGATCTATCAACACTAACGCCTTACTGTTATACATAAATATTATTTGGCATAATTTAGAATCGGCCTAAAAATGTCAATGTTTGGATCACTGGTTTGGATAGACACCAAAACCTGTTAACACGCATCCTTCCCATATTTATACAAAGTTGAACAAAGTTTCCCTCTTGTTTAATTTCTGATGTATCGTGATTCGTCCTAATATGGACCAGTCAAAGCTATATCGCCAGTCGCCAAGGTACATGTACAGGACTAAACTAAACGTTCTCTATCATAAAGTATATTAAAGCATTGGAAATGTGCCATATTGACATTATAATTATGGGTTGTTGGCATGATCATTAAAAATTCCGCCCCTCGTTGGGTGTGGGCACAGATACGGCATTAAGGCTGGCTTCCAGTCAGGAAAATTATCCTCTGGACCGTGTTGGACTGAAAAGTTCTCAACCAAAACTAATTGCCCGTCCTAGGCACAAAAGAAACAATACTGTTCGGTCCAGTACTCCAGAGGATGATATTCCTCATCAGAATCCATCAAATTTTGTGGCCAAAAGGATGGGCATATTTTCAATTTAATCTAAGAGACCTGTATTAATATACGAATTACGCAATATGTCAAAGCAGTGACAGCGAACGACGAACGATCGAGACTATACAAAGCGTCTTAGTTCCCAGGCCGTCATTTGCTCTACCCATTTGCTCTACGAGGTTGCTGCTGACTACAAAGAGAGATGAAGCGAGACTCACCTTCTAAACGAAATCAATTGATTTAAAATGTCCCAGTATGAAGGTTCACATAGCATTCCTGTAAAACCAGTTGAGTGGTCAATGTTGCTTACTTTGATCAATCAGGTTTGCATGCAACACATTTGATCGTCTTTTTGTGCTCACCTTTTTCCCAGCATGCATCTTTACAAGACTGGCCAAATTTTCCTTTCACTGTTTTCATATTCTTCACTGGTGGCCATTGTTTGTCTTCACAGAAATCCTGCAACATACTTTTCATCAACCAACAAGTGATAATAGCATTTCACTTCAAAGTGTTTCAACTAAGTGTCATATTGCATCATAGTAAGTTGATTTGATTTAGAAAATGTTATAATACGTAGACATGTACTATCTTACAAGATGCTCTATTTGTGCACTCATCCTTTCCAGCATTCCTTCGTGAGTATATTCAAATGGAAGATACGGTTTCAACTGAAAATGAAGTAAAAAGACATGCATCACAATTAAACTGGTTTACAGAGTAATTGCAGCAAATTGTTGTAAATAAATTTGCTATAAATTTTGACAGTTACTGTATATCAGAAACGGTGGTTAGGTTCAAAATAGAAAGCAAGTCTATCGTTTAATTCAGCAAGTAAACTAAATGTTTTTTACCCTAATACAACGATAATGTTTACAACTACATATTCAGTGCATATAATATTCAAGTTGACTCATTCAAGAGAGATGTAAGAGTGTTATTTAATTTTGACTTATCCGCCGTTTAAGCAAAACCGGCTTGATACAACCGTCAACCGGCCCCAGTATTATAAGGTAAATCCTAGGTTGAAAATAACAGGATCATTCTCCCATCTTTTAACATCTTCAAAACATTTGCGTTAGGCCTACTAACATTTACTGCTAAACTACAGCTATATAGCTGAAACATACCGTGTTTTTCATAATTTTATTCATGGCTCTGGTAATCTGTGTAACATTCCGCATGTCAATTGTGTAGACATAAGGTTCTCCTATAAATTGCGCTGCGTACGGATTTTGTGATGTAACAAGTCTCCTTGTTGGTTTGGTAGCGAAGAACTCGGAATTGTATCTGTTGTGAGGAACCGGGTACTGCGTAAAAGCAATTTTGAAATGTTAATGACATGGGCACGAGGAACTCAAATGCTACTAAATTTGGTACTAATATAACAAGAGAGTTGATGTTCGCGGGCATGCATAAATGTGTTTTTGGCCCGACTCTGAACTCAATTGTATTTTGTGATATTACTATTAATAGCATGTGAAAAAAAATCAAATGGTATGGTTATCTATATATTATGATGTAATGTAATGTCGGTTTCACAAAAAAGAACTAAAACACGGATATTTCAGACCATGAAGTACCTTTGGGTTTAGGAATGCTGCACCATTTGCAGCTGCCTCCAGAGGAGCTGGGCCTTCATATGGGAAACCAAGGCCAACAAAAACCTACAAAGTCAGTTGGAGAATTTGGGTTTGATATCACCCCTACTTAAAACAGTCAATTCTTAATTAACCTTGCATGACCTGTTGTCATGCCATGCACCTTGAAATATAGTTACATTTCCTAAAGTAGCCGCTACCTTTGACTGTTGTAACAGTTTCTGAATTGTAGTTCCGTTCACGATTCCATGGTTGATAACGTAGTTTGGTATGTAATGTGGCAACTTACCAAGTGTTCGCTAAAAAGAATGAATGCTAAATTATTTTCCACCGAAATAGCCTGGATTAGAAAGGTTTATAATCATGACAATTATATTCCTAAAGTGCGCAATTTTTTTGGTGCAACACGAGATTATAATACTGACATAGCCACATGATGATAAATATTTCCTTGTTCGGAGCAATCAAGAGATTTCTTTCATCAGGGATTTACAATATAGAAAGAAAATGAACGAACTGAAAGTTTTCTTACATTAAATGTACCATGAATCTCAACATATTCGTGAATTTTGTCCAAATACATCTTGTTTCCAACCTAAGTTAATATGAGCATTTCTGAACAAAAGCTATAACGGATTTTTGGTCTAAAATTAGACCAATGTTGTTGACTAAATTTAAAACATTTCTGGACAATAGTACTATAATGTTTATCCTTCAGTGCATGATTAACTTACCATCCAGAACACATCCTGTTTTCCATAAACCAGAGCCATATTCTTTTTTGCATACTTCTTTGACGCTTTTTTTGACGCACCAGCAACGAAACCAATGAAAGAATTGTCTGGGCTGTGAGCTAGAAAAGTTTGGAATAATTCTTAGAATCACCCGTTGGACGGAGCCAGGCGAAAGCTTGGCGAAAAAAAGAATATTCATAACATCATTCCAAATATAATGAATCACATGAACCAAGCTTTGTGTATGGCCCTGAGCCCCTTCTCCAGTTAAACAATCAGGGCTCCAACGGCGAAGGCATATTTAATACATGGATGTGCAATTGATTTGGTATTTACAAACTATATTTTCATAAGCACATTATTTGGTTGGGACGTACGGAACATGGTCATAAATTGTCTCAAGTTCAACTCCAGATTCCCCCATATAGACTTATACTTGCTGTCGGTTGCTTTAAAGTTGAATTCAGCTTCGGTACCAAATGAATCCACTACTCTTGACTTACATCTGTAAGAATAAATTGTTTGTATAGAAATTGTTCAGGCGCTCTTACACTGAGGGATGTTAATTAGTAAAGAGTGTTCGAAATACTAAGAAAACGTTAGCAGATCGTAAGAAATGTTCGTATTTATCAACTTTAGATGCCTCAGGAGTGGAATTGCATTGCAAGTTGCAAGAAAAGTTGCATAGTGCAACACCGCCTTTATAGTCTGATAAAATATAAAGAGCTACAAATGTTATCTGTGAAACGAAAAAACACATGTTAATTTTCCCTCATAATTATGATTGAATTTAAAATTTCTAAATTCCATAAATGCATGTTTGGAAACTGTTATATCTTGCACGAACAACATTCTTCATTCTTCACAGAGATCAGTTTCAGGATCGAATGAATATAAGAATTTCCTTAGTTCTAACAATCACCTCACTTCTGACCAATAGGGACCAATTCTCTTAATAACAGATTCGATTCCAGTGATATCCGTATACAACAAATCATACTGAAACTGCTTTACTGTATCGTTATTTATACAGCCATTCTTGTTTGGAACAGGAAAATATCTGAAATGTAATATTTCATAAAAATAACATCCATTTTCCAAGTTATATATATATCATAATCTGAATTTACTTTTTATTAAAGTGAGTGTGAACTTTTTGCTCCAATGAAGGCAATCACGATTAATTGCTTAGCATGCATGGCTACCTCAGAAATTCATCTTTATATTTAACAACGGTGACGTCATGACCAAGAAGATACAAAGATGTGATTATGTCACTCCACTGAACCAACTCTCCCAATGCACCCCCAGAAAATGCTCGTTCCAAGATTATAGGCACGATTGAAAACGCTCCGAGGTAAACGAGTATCTGTAAATGGACGAAAATGAAGTATGACTATAAAAAAGTCGACCATGGTCATATTCGCCGTAAAATGGCAAATACGACCATGGTCATATTCGCCGGAAAATGGCAAATACGACCATGGTCATATTCGCCGGAAAATGGCAAATACGACCATGGTCATATTTGCCGGAAAATGGCAAATACGACCATGGTCATATTTGCCGGAAAATGGCAAATACGACCATGGTCATATTCGCCGGAAAATGGCAAATACGACCATGGTCATATTCGCCGGAAAATGGCAAATACAACCATGGAAAAAAATTTTTTAAATTAGCTATGGACTATATCTATAGAAAATTTAAAATTAGCTATGGACTATATCTATGGATGAAATCAGATACTGAATAAAATTAGCTATAAACATACTCTCTTTTTTGTCCGTTTTGTTAGTTGTCTCTTCTGATTAAGATTCAGAATAGCTGTGGCCCAGTTCTTTTTCATCGATGTAATCCGATTTTTCATCCACTGGTAATTGGAATCGTTAAACCATTTTGTAATTAATCCATCGACATTTGTTCGAATATTAATCTGTAGGAGATAAAAACAGATAATTAAATTACCTTAGCAGGCAGTATTTTCGTTTTGGGTTTAGGTACTCCAAAATACCTGTTTTACCCAAGAGAAGTTCAGAGAAGTCGTGCACATGCAGGAGTGAAAATGACAAGTGACATAAACGTTAGCGAAGTAAGGGCTAATTGCAGACGAATTTAGTAGATTTTCAAATGCCCTGAGCCTCATAATGTTCAAACCTTTCTGTCAATTCTATCAAGCAGTATATTCTTAGAAGTTGAGGATGCTTTTCTCCATGGTAAACGTGGGCACCAATGTTCGACCTACATCACAAGAAAATAGCTGATAAAAATCACTGTGTCTAACTATCTATATTAGTTATAACACTTGGGGAAAACCTATGGAAGAATTAACGTTCGTCCATCCGGGCGTTGAAAAACTGCGGTTACTATTGGCATAGTTGTTACTATTGGCATAGTTGATCTTATGTGATTGTCTGCGATATGAAAACCAGCGACTTTAGTAAGCAAATTAATCATACTTCACTCAAATAGATCAGGATGGAACATGTATCGTCTGCACGTATGTTGTTTTCCATGGCAAAACAAGGATTACCCCAATTAATATTAACATACTAAAAGAATAAAAACCAATCAATTTCAAATTCATTCTACTGTGCATCACGTTAAACCGCTAATAATATAGACGAAAGCTAGAGCCATGCATCCTTGCCAAATTTTGGCATTTTCTCTAGGTAAAGTCAATCTCTGTCTTGTAGTAGTAGCATTGATACTACTCATATGCAAGTTACAAAGTGACAATCATTAGACAGAACCACTCTGAATGAAATAACAAGAAGAAACTGAAAATAGACTTACATTGAATTTTTCTTCACACAACGGATATTGAGTAGTTGGTTTGGGAACATGACAAAATCTTCGAATATGCTCATTGTCTGCGCGAGACAATGAAACAAAATAAACAAAGGAAAGCGCTCATTAGATATATACAAATATCACTGAAAGTGTAACTATTGCATGTGAAAGAAAACGGTAAAATTACTTTCCCAGGCTTCTGGCTGCCGAGGTTGACATAAATTTTTGTGGGAACAAGCGGCTCTAAAATGCTTATTTTAGTGCATTTATTATGACTTATTTTATGTGCATTTATTTACGTCAGCCGGGACGGCTAGCCGCGGACTGACTATACTGAACTGGAGACTATCCAGACTTTGTGATATTTAACTTATATAGAAATCAAACGACTACAATTAAAAAATGCGCTCTAAGTTGCCTACTTCTCTCCCCTTTTGTTCTTTTAGCTTTTTTTTTCATGGTCTCGATTTTTCCGCTAATATTCTCTATTGCTTTTCCAATTTTTTGCACGCGATCAACGATGTTACCAATTGCCTCTTCTGAGAATAAAAGAACACAGCACAGGCCTGAGATTGCCTCCGGTTTAATTTTTATAATCAAGGGTGTTGGTTTTCGCTCGAAATGTCGATTTCAGTTATAACTGTGGGTTAATTCATTCAGTCGATCTCTTCAGGTCAAATAATGAACAGTGCCAGTGATCTTCTCCTAACATGGCGAGGAATCAACATTGCATCCAGTAAAATCGTTATTTTTGTGAAGGCTTTATACCTACTAGTATTGTCTACTTATTGTCGCTTTGTTTTTTTGGGAACATTCTGCATGGTTCCCAGTTTGCCTTATTTAGGAAAAAACATGCAAAACAAACGACTGAATATACGCAATAGTGCACGGCTGAAGACTCCAGCAGTAGTGACACACCGAAGCACAATTTGACAACACAAGTTAGCGATTTTCCAAATTCAATTTAAGTTTGAATGCAACTAAAATTGGCCAGTCCTAGTAACTGATATATCATCTATAGACAATAGTCCGTCAAAAAACGGTTAAAAAAGAAATATTTCCCCAGCAGTTCCAAGTATTTCCAAACAAATCGCACTCGTCGTTAAATTTTATTGCGGGCAAATCTATAGAAATGGTCATACTTACTTTTTACATGATTCTCGTCTAGATCTTGATGGGAATTCAACACCACGCTAGCAATGTGCCACGCTCCATTTGGGCTCGCGTTTTCCATCATGCTGGCCAACATCGTAAATACGAAGATTGTTACCGCCACAATTCCGATATAGAATAATAGCACTATTCTTGTTAATTTTATTTTCGCCATTTTTATTTTACTAAACTACTTAAAAGTAACAGTGCGAGAAGTAGCGAAACAGCTTATAGTGAAAGAAATCTCATAACTTTGTTATGCGCGATACTTGCCACATCATGTAAAATGTAAATAAGATATTTTTTAATTACAGCCTGATTGGGCCTTGTATCAAACCTATTGTTGTTCGTGGCCACGTTGTATAAAGCATGCTCCGTGCTGTCACTCTTGTGAAACTCAAAATGCTTAGTAACCAAACGAAAAAGCAGGTAAAACGGAAAGCATTTTGTTGATTCAAATTTTTAATATCGATATAATCTCGATATATGGCTTGGCCTCGTATCAGATAATATACAGCAATCCGCGCCAATAAGAATTTTAAAATATCCAGTTACACAAAAATACGATCGAGCCATCGAGGCCATTGCCATTGGCCTTGTGAAAATTTACCAATTGATTTTCATTTCATAATTACATATTTCATTACATTACATTGCACTTGACCCTCACCCAAAAATAATGATCTTAATAGGGTTCTGTCTAGTCTGAAAAATGCTCCACGGTCCCTATCTCTTTGCCTTCAAAGGCATTGTGCTAACGTATTGAGGACAATCAACCAGTACGTGAAAATTTATGCGTCACAGAAAAGGGTGTCAATCCAGGGAAATAGGGAGGAGATGATCGACCCGAGTTAGTTGAGTCTGTTATCTCCTTTGGTTTTGAGTTTTGCTTATTTCGTCTCCGAAAAAAAGATATTTTCGTCGCAGTTTTCTCTTAATGACAATGTCTACGGTAGGCCAGAAAAATTGCTTTCAGGCTGATATCGATCCCTAGATTTTCCCTCCAGGAAGGTAGCGCACTAGGTCGGCTGGTACGGATAGCGCCGTAGCGTTATTTTATCAAATGGTCTTTCTCTTTGACCAGTTTATATTTTTGAATATTTTAAAAATTATTTATTGGCATTTCAACCTCACCTCAACTTCTTCAGTCCTTTTTAGCTGATTGGCAAACGTGCATAGAAGACAAAACTGATGCATGCATTATTCAAATATAAATTTAATACTTAAACCGAAGTCATTCAATGGGACCATAGACAATCCAAAAGACTTGTCTTTTGGATTGTCTATGATGGGACAGACGATCATATTTCAAACATTTTTAGGAGGGTCACCACCACCGGCGCCACGGCCCACGTCCTCCTAAATGCCTGGATGTTCTGCTGTGTTCCGTGTGACTCCGTTATCCTAACTCCCAAGGCCGTCAGTTCTATCCATTTTGCAAATGGTCTTGGTTTAGTGTGGTTGTGATTTGTGACAGACTAATCCATCTAATGAGTAATGAAATATCTACTGTAAAAGGGGACATTGACCTTCATACCATAGGTGGCCCAGACTTTGACTTGCGCGTGTGATCTCGCGCGCGTGTCGCGCTTTACTTTGTTTACTCGTCCATACTGTGGTCTATATATTATGGCAAAATTCAAAGGGCCTGTCCGGAAAAGGCCCTACGGGGTTTCTCTCGGGTCATATATCCTGTATTGAGTCTGCAGGCATTTGGAACATTATAAATATTCACGAAAATATTGCTTCGTCTATCATTCCACTCAGACAAACAAAACATCACATTTATCAAAGATTTATCGCATGAAACACCTACGTTTTCGCGAGATGAAGAACTGATGTTATGGAAAAGAACTGTGGCTATTCATCTTATTGCTTCTCTTATGTATCTTTACGGGTTTTCCGATGGAAATAAGGTGTCAAAAAGCTGTCTGTGTCGGACGCTCGTTTCTGCCACAACAGTGCATTGGCACTGAACTAGAAGCGTTGTCTTCAAAATCTTGTACAAAACGTCTAGCTTACATAGAAACAATGCCTGGAAAGTAGGTCGAGGTAGTTATTAATAATGGCGAAACAGCCTGCAAAAGATACCGTATATCGTGAAGAGCTGAGCTTGTTTTTAAAGCAGCTTTCGCTAGATTATTTGGACAATGTTTTTCCATCAACCATGAACCTACAGCAGTTCAGAGCGTTAACGGAGGATGAATTAGAGCAAAGTTTTCATGTTAAAAACGAGAAAGACCGGGAAAAGTTGATGAGAGCTGTGAACACATCGAGGGAAGATTATAGCGATGAAGAGGATGAGGTATATTTCACGTTTTTTAATATTTTGTCATAATTCTGTGTCTGTAAATATGAGTAACACTTATTAGCATATACATTAGTTTGTAGTTAAAGTAATATTTCATATGTTCGTGTGTAAAGCCTCTTTAAATCCTTTGTAGACATTTTTCTAAATATCTCTGTTTATATCGCAATGAAATGTAATACTGTCATAAACATTATAGTAACGTGTGTCCAACCAAAGCCTACGGTAGGTATATAGTGAATACATGTGACGTATCAACACAAAGAACTCTAAATCATTACAATTTGTAGGGAAAAACTCCTGTATTTTCTCCTTTTGAACTATTTTGACAAAGTAGAAACTATGCAATTTGAGACATAATCGCTATTAGATTGTCCTAAATGTAATTCACCTTTTGGTATTTAGGCTTTCATTTTAATAATAATAGCCAAAATGTAATAATTTGAGAAAGAACATCTGTTTCATATTCAGTTACTCTTGTGAGGAAATTCTGAGGTGACTGGTGGCATCAGCTTGGATTTCATTTAGGATATTTTAGATTTCAAAAATCTGATTGACGGATCAGGATTTGCCCCATTGATTTTCCAAGATCTGGTAAATTTTGTTATACAAAAAGACTTAGATTTTGCCTGGCAAACCAAATTGTATCATGTCTCTATGACCATGTATAACAATCCCACAATATGTGTTTCTACTTTTACACACATTTCAATTATTTGACATAATCTCTATCTATTCCTGGTATGCATGGTTGCATTTCAAGCATCCCTGTTATAGCCAAAACTTGATTTGCCTATGTAGAGTATATCTTTCCTGTTGACAATATATACAAAGTCTAGTATGCACTATATGTTGTGCTGCATGTTTCAAGTATTCTTCATGTAACTTGATTGAAACTATTTACATTGCATTGATTGATAAAATGTGTTCCTACCTAGCTTATACCATTATCAATTGAAATTTTTATTTTTTTTTGGGTGATGCTCACTAAATTGGGGGTGATGTACAGTAATTAGAGGATTTACCTAGATTAGTTATAGAATGGACTTGTCTATGTTTGGGAGTTCCAGTAAAATTGTTCCAGTAAGTGCATGCAATGTTTAGATGTGGATGGCAAATAATTTGAACAAAAAGATTGATTGGTAGAAATTTACTAATTAATTTTTTCTTATTTTTGTACTATGCAAAATCATCTATTTTAGCACTTATTTCAACATATAGAATTACATGCAGGCATTGTCATAAAAACACCTAAAACCCTACTTTGTTGTATTTTAGTCTGATTCCGAGTCCAGCCTACTGTCTCACACCTTACCTAATGACTTCAAAGTATCAGGAAAAGCTGATAACCATGAGAGAAAACTGGGAAAAATGGAAAGCTTTGCATTCTTCAACAGCCATGAGGAAACATCAAATCTACTCAAAATGAGATCCAATTCAAGTTTAGGAAGCTCTGAACCTAACCTACGTGCATTATCAGTATGTTGAACATGTCTTGTTTCAATATAGTTGTTGTGATATTTACTCTGGTGCCTAGATTGTAAAATAAACTGATTTCAAAAGAAATGGCCTAATTAAAAATTATTTCCCCCCCCTAATAACCAAGCTGCCAGAATATGTAAACTAGAACCAACAGGCAGGAGTTTTCAAATCTCTTTTTAAATTACTATTTCTGTTTTATTTAGGAAATGAGCAATAGAAAATATGGGTAAGATTTTTTTTTCTAAACTGTATTTTGATATTAAAGGCGTGTCCCCAGTCCCACGAACTTATTTTTGTATGCCTCGTGTTGATGTTACTTTCATATTCTCGTCATTTCATTTTCCGGCTTGGAACAGTCAAATCCAAATGACGGAATTCATAAAAAAATGGGCCTTGTCGACCGGACCATACCGTATGATGGAAAATATTTGAACAGTCATTTTGTCACTTTCTCGTAATGCCGTTTAACGCGAAAAAATGTGAAGTTTGATACGCTTAAACACGACTTCTCCACGCTTGGCCACGATTCCCGAGTTTCAGGCGATTTTGTCAAACATCTGTAGATGTTTCATTGGCCTAATGTTGCATGGTATTGACATCCCAACATATGTTGTTAATTCGTGATAATCAAGCACAAACATTCGTGAAAAATCTGCTTCGAAATCTTGGCTCTCTTATTCACGACCACATGCAAGTGCTTTTCTATCTAATCTAGCGTCTGTTGCATCTTGCTCATGGCTGCATTTAGCGAAGTTAAGTCGTAGTTAACTTCAAAATACACGATTCTGATATGCCAATTGTATCACTGAATTATATAGTTCAAAGTAAACTTGTTAATATGTATATATGAATTCTCGTAATTTCTTGCTGCTAAGGTCAACACTTGCAAAAAACTCGGCCCCAGAGTAGTATGAGGTAACGAATAACCTCATTGAAGGCATTTTACACCATCTGATATAGCCTACGTGCGTCGATTTACGTAAGTCGTTGATGACTTCGGTTTATGCGAATTTGGCAATTGAATGAGTGACAGCATAGAAAGATAAAGGCTGAAACAGCTTTGTGGACAGATTTGCTTATATTTTAAGCATTTGCTCAGTGAATTAAGTTTAGGTTTTGGGCTTCTTTTGGTTTATAATACACGGGAATTTTTTAGTGGGCACATGCATGCATACAATACGTAATTCATAAGAGAAAATATTCTCCGAAAATACACGTATTGTAAACTCAAGATAGCTAAGAGTTGTTAAAAAAAACATGACAAAATAATGACAATTTTAAAGATGCAAAATATTGCGTCTCTATATTTAAAAGTCATCGTCACGCCTACAGTGTCTATATTTATACTTTACCACGCCGCGATCGTCATGCATGCAGCATTCATAAGTTTTGACCGTAACCTTATTAAATATTACAAGTTTTGTCGAGGTATACAAAACTCAGTTGTTTTTGCTGTTTTGGTCGCATCTTGAGCGGTATTTTTATATCTTTCAACGTTGCATGTGTCCGTCAAACTGAATTGTTTATACTTGTTTTATTTTTTGCAGTGTTCCAAGCAGCCGTAGACAACGGAAGAATTTTAGTTCTGGCATCAGGACGCCCCCTCAAGCCAGATCTCCCAGAGGTATTTTATAGAATATTCCTCAGTTTTCATTATTTTACTCCATGAATATAGAAAATATATATTGGAAAACCCATCCTATATGATAATCTGGTAGATTAATTGTTGAGTATATACTATATAGCTACGTATAAACGTTTCTTTATAAAGTCGGCAGGCCTTGGGTCACCACAGGAAAGTTCGAGTATGCTCTGTTATGACGTGCTCTTTATTTTTTTTTACAATTTTATCTTGTTTAAATATCAGTCTTAGCGAAATGCGAGGGCAGGGAAATTGATGTGAGTTTGAAGAAAGTTCTTAACGTCCAATCAATCAAAATTGCATGCCCACGCCATCTTTACTGTAGTCGTCTAGTCGATCGTGTTCATCGTCTTTGAAATGTGAAAACACATTGACCACGTTTAGTCCCTGTATATGCGGACACCATGTGTACAGATACCATTATGCACTTTTCATACGAGCATTTATGCCAGGCCGTCTTTGTCCGTCACTCTATCTTCATACAATAAAGATCGACACGTGACGGTGCATCTGTTATCGATCACGCATTCATTAAAATATGGATTATGAGAGAGAATTTCTCGTTGAGCTACTTGAGCAGTAAAATATTGGTCAACTACGATACGCATTTTCTTTAGGTTGGGAAAGTCCGTCTGGTAGTCCGTTGCCTGGTTCTTCTCTGTCTTCAGTTCCTCATTTCAATTTCCCGATTTCCAGATGGTATGTTGAGTTTCCTCTACATAGTGGGGTGTCGCGCTGCAGTCAGCCACGCGAAATACAGTGTGTAATGTGTATTTAATCAGGTGTTACTCGCTTGTATCATGGTCCCGGTTCTCCCTTGCTCTTTCGCAGGTTATACTTGCGTTTTGTCGCATTTCCATGCATGTTGCTAATATAGGATTAATAATATTATTGATGAACATTAAATTTTACCTATTCCTTTTTATCAACCTGAGGTTTTTTATACGATTTCATTTTCAAATTCAAAATGCATTATTTTAGAAACGCTACTCTTGAGAAAACCAGATGCATTGGATTCTGCGTAGGATTCTGGAGTAATATTTGTTGTAAATAATTATGTCTTGTTTATGCTTAGTCGTGACAGTAGAAGATGGTCTGTAACATCATCTGGTTATGGAACAACACCTTATTCTTCATACTCGGTATGTTGTGAGAAATACAAATGATACGCGTACAGGACATGCAGTTGCCGCCATCTTACCGTAGTTTTCACAAGTCTTGTTTCTTATATCGTTTGTACTGTATTTGATTAGTCAACCAATATTACGATAGAAATGGTGAGAAGTTACATAATAAGTAAGGAAAGTTTAGCATATCGAAGTCTGTTATTTTAAAAAATTGAAGTAAACTTTGTAGAATCAATCAAGATGGCGCGTAATGCAAGATTTTGACTTCGGAATTCGTAGTTTTCGGGGTTTCTTGCCATTTAATCGGACTTTCCGATTTCCCAAAATAAATTGTAAGCACGTCAGGTTGCGAAGTGTATAGAAACACATTGAATTAAACGCCGAGGCAGGAGCCGAAAATTCTTTCTTTAATAGATTATTTTTATCCTTTATTTAAAAGTTGTTCTGTTCCACTTTTGTTCTGTAGTCTTTAACGTCTTCTCAAGAAAGACTGAATCAGGTGAGTGACAAAATATCCGTATATACAAATCTATTTGCGTATTCATTTCGTTTTAATCTGTTACTGCATAATATATTTATTTCAGCTGCCGAATATTCCTTCTTTTGACGACTTGCACTTCAGGTAATGGCTGTAATAATCTCATAATTTTGATCTATTCGTAAGAACTGTCTCCAAAAATTACCTCTTTAACTTAATGCTCCACTTTTGATGACTCTTCACAGTGATTTTGACGATGAAAGGTTTGGTGATGCTTTTCCACGTCGGGGACGCTCTCGTAGTTTGAGGTAAGCATCAGCGGTGACCTTACCTTTCCAGGAACCGTATTATTTGATACCTTTACAAAGGAAATGAATGCACAGATACCTAGTGCATGTTTATAAATCCCTATCGAAATTGTTTGCTCTTATAATAATGGCAAAACTTGCAATATCTGATGGTGTGAACAATTTGTTTGATATCTTTGCATCTAGTCCTCCAAGACATACTTTTGAATCAAGTGAGATTTTCACCTCAACGTCGTTATACAAAGAACGTTTTCCAAAGGTTTGTTTATATTTTTGATTAAGAACATTCAGTTTTTAATTGAGAACATTAGTGCGTACCCCACAACATGAACCTTTTTTAATATGGTATCTTCATTTCGACATCATTAGGCTGTTGAACAAATGGAAGGACAACTTCAGGTAATGCCATATTAGTCATTAAAAAGTCATCGTATTTTACGGAACTCGTACAGTTTATTGAAAAAAATTAAATTATATTTCTCGATTTCTCTTTCTTCTGCAGCAGACAGACAGCCTACATTGAAAAACATTTCTTTTCATTTAGGAATTTATTTCAAATCATTTGGAAGAAGACAATGAAGTAAAGAAAATTGGAGATGGTGTCTCAAATTTTTTTCTTGTTCAGGTATGACATCATCGCTTGACAGGCTCAACCATTTTGCATGGGTCTACATGCATTGTTTTGTATGAATGAGCACAACGTTGGATTTTGCCCAGTTGTATTAATATCGTTTTTTCTCTCAGGTTGTAGAAGCGGCTCGTGATTGTTTAAAGAAATCGAAAGATGGTCTCTTATCCAGTGGATATTTTATAGATTTAAGTGATAATTTACAGCGATTGCTGTACGAGGTATGAAACACTCCACAGCCCGAGAAATCACACCCATATACACAAAGACAACCTTTTTTGTCGAATGAAAAACACGGAGATTACTGTCATTTTTGGGTATATTGTAGCCGAAATGATTTTTGTACAAACATGATGAAATATATTATTAAATATACAAATATCTTAATTTTTATGATCGGTGTCAATATCGACACCAACTTCTTATGTTCAAGCTGAACAGTTTGAATTTTTGTTTCGATATCGACTGTTACTAAACTATTTATTCAAATATTCCTGTGTTTGTAATTTCTTAGGCCCGTTCCAAAACAGACAATGATACTCCAGTTATAAAAGTATTCCGCCAACTGTTCATAATAGTCTCAAGAGTTGCCCGACTGCTGTCTTGTTTGGTAAGGAGTTTAATTGTGATGACGTACACGTACATAGGGACGGTGAGAGGGGATAGGGAGGGGGTTGACGTGGGTATTAACGTGAAAAGAAGCGGCTGTAGCAATATTCCTAAAATTTTGGGTTTTGATTCCAAACATTTGGTTTTGCACGATCTCATTATTTCGTATATCATCCTTATCAGTGCAAATAAAAAATTCAACTCTTTCGAAAGGCACTAGAATTTGTTAGAAATTTGTTTAGAATTTGTTTATCAAATTCTTGGAACAACCCGACATTGTGGTTGAGTTATAGGGCATTTTAGGGCATTGGGGTACTGAGCTACATTTCTTTATTGTATTTTATTTCATTTTAGGAATTCAATGCTGAAGAATTTTACAATGATTTGCAAGCTACCGAAGTTCGTTCAGATGAGCTGGAAACATATGTTAAAAGTAGATTAAATGTTAATCATTCCGGACAGACGTCACCAAAACAGGAGGTTTCGCCCAACAATCAGGTACATAGCTTTATTTTGTATGTTGTTCCTACCAGAACTGATACTAATACTAAGGTAACAGACGGACTGACTGGGCAACCGCAATGCTAGCTCATGTGCTAATCATGGTTTACAAACATCTTATACAATATAGTATATGACAAGATTGATTTCCATATATTTATTATGACCTTTTGTTCCCAGGACTCACCGCGGAGTGAAGCTCCACCTTCGGAAGACGATTTTGAATATAAGAAGTTAATTAGTAACGGTGCTTTTGGGTAAGATTTTTCTGAACGATTTGGCTAATTTTTATCACAAATCGGATCTCAAACATGCAGTCTTCCTGACTAATTGTTCCTATATGTACAGGGCTGTGTATTTAGTTAGACATCGAAAAACAGGAATACGATTTGCTTTAAAGAAAATGAACAAACAAAGTATGATCTTAAGAAACAAGGTAAGTTGAGACAGCTTGCGTTTTGCCAAAGACCCGACTACATCATAATAAGGAGCCTTCCTGCTTTTAAACAGTATATTAGAAATATTTAATTCCTAACTTGTGGTTTGTTTCCTTTTAGGTCAGTCAGGTTTTTGCCGAACGAGATATTCTCGAATTTGCAGACAATCCATTTGTGGTTGGAATGTGGTGCAGTTTTGAGACCAAGGTAATTGTTTTAATGGGCCATGCGTGTGTGTATGATGTCATCGCTGCTATCATTGTTTTCCATCTTTATAATGACATATTGTTTGAACAGTCAACAGTGTCTCTTTTAATTTGTCCGAGTTTTGTTATTCCTTATCTGTAAAAATGCGGATGGCTTAGGATGATATACATACAGTTGGTTCTTGGTTAATTATAGCTGTATTTTAGGTATTTAAAAAGTGTATGTCATGCACACTTTCCAACATTGTTTTTAACTAAAATAATGTTTGTAGAAACATTTTTGTTTGGTGATGGAGTATGTTGAGGGAGGTGATTGCGCTTCTTTGCTCAAAAACATTGGTTGTTTACCTGCTGATCTTGCAAGGTAGCAGCTTGAATCTTATATATTAAGAACTGAGTTTCTCGCTAAGTATTATTTCTTTATCCATGTCACATCTCATCACATCTGTGTTTATATAGACAATACTTTTCCGAAACCGTTCTTGCTCTGGAGTACATACATAGTTATGGAATAATTCACCGGGATTTGAAACCTGACAAGTAAATATTCAATATCACAGTCTCCTATATATTATAATTGCATATTGCTATAATGATTTTTATTCATCATTTCATCTTTAAATAAATCATGCTCTTCAAAATTTCAGTTTACTTATAACTTCGCTGGGTCATATCAAGTTAACCGACTTCGGGCTTTCGAAAATCGGTCTTATGGAAAGTAAGTATTATATATGCTCATGATCTATGTTTTTTTAATACGTGTTACTTAAAACTCTGCTGTATCTACTGCAGTGCTTGCGGTATACCGCTACTCATGAAAGAATTCGGTTAAGTTCTCGATATGAGCCACCATCTAAAAATGTCCATGTTGTCACAAAACTTGGCATAAAGCAGTCGTCAAATGAACTGGCTAGAAAAAACATTTTTTCTTTTTTTCCTAAACATCAGTGACGACGCATCTTTACGAAGGTTCAATGGAAGCTAAAGACAGAAAACAATTTACTGATATGCAGGTAATAATGTACTTACCTTTTGAAGTGTTGTTTAAAATGGTTCTTTAAGAAGGCTGCATGAAAGTCGGTAAATTGTGACATCTTCTGTTTGGCAAAATTACAGGTGTTTGGCACACCAAATTATATTGCTCCGGAAGTTATTCTTCGTCAAGCCTACGGTAAACCGGTTGATTGGTGGGCGATGGGTATCATTCTTTATGAGTTCCTTGTTGGTTGTACTCCGTTTTATGGAAACACCCCAGAAGATCTGTTTAACCATACATTGAGTGGTGAGTATTTAGTTTTTGTCCAAAAAGAATAAAAGGACCATTCGTTGTGTGAAAAGGCATGAAATGCACGTATTTCTGTGAGTGTGAAAAGTGATGAATATTCACATGTATTAATGCATAGTACAATTTCCTGGTACTAGGTGACATTGATTGGAATACCGATGATGAAGTTGCTGATGATGCTAAGCAGTTAATTATTCGTCTACTTGAAGAAGACCCCGAGAGACGTTTAGGTTCGTTATTTCACTAATCTTTCTCGCTGCTGTTGTTACCTGCTTTATAGTTACCTGCCGTTATCAAGCGCACAGTGCAGTTTGATTCGAGTCTGCTAAAATTTTTCAACCTTTTTCTAATATTGAAAATACCCGAGTCTGAGTAGCTTCAGTTTCTTACCGGACAAAATTTCCATTCATAATGTGCTTGCATTTCAGGTGACCATGAAATAAAGATCCATATATATTTCGCTGGACTGGATTGGGATGCTCTATTGAGGCAAAAAGCCGAGTTTATTCCACAGTTAGATGACGAAGAGGACACTAGCTACTTCGATAGTAAGTCGATCACAAGGTTGCGTAAAATACGCCAAGATGTACATCGACTTGAGCAACAGTGATAACGTGGATTCACGACATGTATTATTTTAGCTCGACTGGATCGTTACAACCATTCTCTTGAAAGTGATGATGAAGAAGATCAAGCGGTATTGGACTTCGGTAGCTTCTCAACCTGCTCACCGCGTTATTCAAGAATATGTAACTCACCATCGCCCCTTGCGTCTTCACCTGTCTCGCCAGTCAGCCAGGATATGTTTAATGATCTTAAATCCAGTGAGAAAACTATTAGAAGGACCTACAGTGAAGGCAGCAACTCTCCTCCTACTGTCCGCCGTCGTAGTAAAACGGAAACACATGTTAAAGGCTTTAGGGACAGGTATTTGCAGGAATAATTAAATTTTTTTATTGTATATACATTTTTGGAATATTCTTTATACACTTTATACAATATTATACATCTCGCAATTTTTCTACTTTCCTCAGTTACATCCATAAACACGATGTTTATGATAGACACGTGAAAATGAGACAAGAAATGTGTATTTTTTGTACGGTATTTTTGCAGAGCGGACACAAACAATTCCTTCAGCGATCGTCAAGACAGTGATGATGATAGTATCTTAGATCCTGAACCAACAAGATTATCATATACTGGTTCTGAATCTACGGAGGAAAACAAGATTACGTCACCTCAACGAAGAATTGCTCGACCGGAATCAAGTCTCGCGAAAGAAAGTAACAGGTACTCTGTACATAGACGATACTACGTTTTTCACATGTTTACGATCATCATTAGTTTGGTATGGTGCCCGGTCACTACATTAAAACAAATGTTTTTTTATTCCGGTTGGTGCAAAAAAATTGTTCCTTAATCTACGGTGCTCTAATTTATAGAAATTATCAGCAGTTATTCCAAATATTAAATATAGTTTCATGATTTCTGCCAGTACAATCAATCTTCGAGAACAGCAACCTCCTACGATATCTGCTCCGCCAGAGATTTCAAAACCAAGAACATGGTCTCGAAGAACTGGGGCTAATGCCCCTGTTCCACATCTACTAATGCCCAAGCCCCTAGAAATTGAAATTGATTCCAAAAACCCATCTTCTGCTCCGTCTTCTCCAACAAAGTCCCAGAAATCCCCATTACGACGCCTGAGGTCCCTACCTACCAATCAAGCCAAGGCAAATAAGGAGACAAACAGAATTCCAAGGCTACGGTTACCAGGTAATTTGAATCTACGAATAATGTGGTCATTCGCGACCAACAAACATTCTTCTGAGTCTAGGCATTCCCGAAGCCTTATACCTAATTGGATTGTGTTTAGGAAAAGGTAGAGAAGCTAGACTTGCCTCTGATCCTGCCTCTGTGAGACAATCTAATTGAAATCCTAATCCCGATAAAGACGGAACTATCTAAACGAAAATACCTCACTCTAACATGACGTTACCGTACTAAACAAGATATTTGTTGCGAAATTAAATCTGCAATTTTTTGCGATTTTGTTTGCAGAAGAAGATGGTTGTAGTTCCAGTCCTCCAATGAGTCCTCGATCTCCACCGATGTCTCCACGTCTAATGCGCAAGCCAAGTATTAAAATGACAGCCCGTCATACAATTACATTCAAAAAATCAGCTAATGGATTAGGATTCTCTTTGGAGTCCATTCGTGTGTATATTGGTGACTCAGATTACTTCATAGTAAATCATTTGATAAAGGTTAGAGAATTACATATTTGTATGAATTTTCAGTCTACAGTGAAGAGCCTTGTTGTTCCCATTTTTTTATTATGTACTGTACAGTACGTGCTATTTGACAGAGTTGAATCTTCACGATCTTAATTCGTATTGGAGTGATTTGTTGAAATGATCTTAGTTTGACCAAAATCCGCAAACTTCAAGGATCCCGGACGCGAAACGTAATATCCGCGCACCGAGATAAAATCTTGACATTTTTCATTAATTTATAACCAAACTTTAGGATGTCACTCCTGATAGTGGAGCCGCTGAAGCAGGGTTACGAGCTGGAACATTGTTAACTCATATTGATAATAAGGTAAGATTGTTTTAAAGATGCTGTCATTTTACGATTCACTAACTTGTTACTACAAAATGACATTTTGCAGTTGCTGTATTACTGAGCGAGTTGCTGTATTTTGATCTCTTCAATAGAATGTCCATGGCCTGAATCATCGTCAAGTCATTGAACTATTGCTTAGCAGACAGGTTGTACTCAAATTAACAACAATTGAATTATCTCAAACGACCATCAAGCGTGGAGGAAGAAAGCGATATTCGTCAGTCGGTAAGCGAGTTTCAAAACGCTCGTCATTTCGGAACCACAAACGAACTACTAGTAATCAATCTTTGAGTGGTGCAGAAGAGCGAACGAGAAAGAATTCAATAATAAGAAGATGCAGTAGCTTCAAGCGAAGTACGTCCCCAAGAGGCGTTAGACGAGCGAGTTCACTCAAGAGAACGTCGTCAAATGTCGAACGTGGGTCGTCAGGTTCACGTCGGTTGCCTTCGTCAATGATCGTGTCATCTTCGCAGAGTAGTAGTCCGTCGTCATCACCAGGAGGGTCGGGAACCCAACTATCACGACCAGGTAATGTGGAAGTATTCATGGTTATACAAATCTGTTCTACCCCGGCTTGTTGAGTATACCTGTTTTTGTGGACATAGACTCTGTATACTGTTTGTATCACCAACAGTCGCGACGTCAATATTTTTTTCTCGTTATTTACCAGGTGCGCTTCATAACTATTCGAAACAGTTAAGCAGGCGGAAATCGTCTACCCACGGCCAAGCTCCATTATCTCCTCTAGCAAGAACACCGTCTCCTTCAGTCTCGCCGTCACAACAGAAATCACCAAAACGCAGCTCTTCTCCCCTTGCTGCTAGAACTTCTTTATCCCCAATCCATCCTAGAACCCTAAATGTATCCTCGTCACCTTCCAACAGGCCTGCGTCACCGCTATTGAGGCGAGCGCTGTCTCCAGAACGGTTTAAAACTGCACCAGCTGGACAAATAAAGTTTGAGATACATCATACAGACGACAAGAAATTAAAGACCGCAATGAGTTTTGATCGCCCTGATATTGGTGGTAAAAAGATTTGATTTGAAATTGTACATCGTTTGAAACGACGTTGTACGGTTCAACAACGGAGTTATAGAATCATATCGCCAGGAATAACCAGGCAGAGTGTACAAAATATGTGTGACATTGCTCGACGCGTGTTAAAATAAGTCGTGTTAAAATAAGAGTAAATTGGTAATATTGTGCATCAGTATACCGTTGCACCCATGCAACAACACAGGAATACTATCAGAGGTGCGGGGAAGAGATGAGGAAATGCATAACAAATTAGAGAGTAAAGAACAAGAAGAAAAAGAATGCCATCATCGTACAATTTTGCACAATGTAATAAGTTTTGTTGCAGGTTTAGTTGGGAAATTGGAAAACAATGACACATCTGACTGGAATAGGGATAGCAAACGAAGTGAATGGTGCACCAGTGGTTGTATTAATGGTAGTACTAATGTTGGTACTAGTTGCGGATAACGTAGTAAATATGGAAATAATTAAGCGAGTGGGCAGTTCGTTTTCCGTAACAGTGCAATTTAACAGTGCAACATTGCTGAGCGATCACTGAGCGATCACAATGAACAATGATATATTGTACATGGTGTGAGTCTGCGAGTGTTTTTTAATGCGTGAAAAATAAGAATAAAATTGCTGCAAAATACCTTTGCGAGTTTTTGTAATCCACGATTACGGAATAGATAGGATAGATGTTATAATGCATGACTGAAAAAATGAGAAGAAAAACACCAAATAACATAAATATTTGGCAACAATGAAATTAAATTCCTAAATGCCTGTAGTTGCTGGCTGCATACTGATTTTCTGGTATAGAATTGTACATCTGCTATCGTTTCCGTGATCATGGATTTACCTTACGGTTAATTGTTAATCATGTTTAAAATTACAAATAAATGTATGACAACGAAATATTTATTAAACATTAAAGTATAAATGATCACATAGAGTGTACGTTGTTCACCATTTATTTAACTTATGTTTCTCTTCGTTTGGCTTTATGGGTTCGCACCCTCTTTGATCAACGAAAGAAAACCGCACAAAGGGTCCCGTGTGAAGGAACATTGGTAAATATAATGATGTGCGTACCAAATACAGCGCGTGGCCTGCATGATTATAGGATATGGTAGAGGTTTCGCAGAGGATCAATCGTATAAACAAGAGATTACAGCTACTTAGGGTCCCTTCTTATATTATTTTATTTGGGAATTAGAACTGCAAACATTCCACTCTCCTCTAAGCCGTCTGCTTTATTTTCTGCATTTGGATTTCTATACATAGGATTTCGTAGACCCAAGTAGCGACCAGCCTTCACAATTAAGCGCATTCAGTTAGAGCGCTCCTCCGAGACAGAGGCCTTATAAGTTCCATTTTCTTTTCGGTCTAAAATTTGAATAGGCTTACTATTGATTATTCTATCTACACAAGCACTTATATGTCGTGTCGTTAGCCATTTCTTAGCCAATACTCTTTTAGCAATCTTTATAGTGTTGAACCTGATCTATTATGTTGCTTCAAAAAAGGGAAAGATGTCTTTGCTCTCTAACTTTAGAGCTATGTTTGCTTATAAAAAAAGTATTACGTTCAAATACAGGAACCTATCTTTTGCATTCTTTAATTAACCTTCGTTAATCTTATCAAGAGGTGGCAGAAAATACGGTTTTCTCTGAATGAAATTTGTCCTACGGTACTCTTTGCACGCTTGGATGTCCATCAAATCACAAATCGGAATTTTTGGAACTTCCAAGCGATTATGATCGGGAGCAAAATCCTGTTTGGCATTTGGATGCTTATGCAATGTTGTAATTCTCTTTATATTTGTTTCTTCCGGTACTGCAATAGCTTCGTTCCTATTGTAATGAGAGGTCACTATTGTTGGTAACTTGTTTTGAACAACCTGCCCTATCTTTTCTTTCTCGGGCAAAGTATCTAGTTGTTCTGTCTTATTACACTTAAAGTCATTGTCTCCATTGTTTTTTGATTTGCTTTCATGTAACCTGATAGGATTCAAATGTTTTTGACTGTGCTTTTTCGCCCAAGGCTCTCTATGAGTAACAATGTTTGAGCAACAATCGCTAAAAGGTCGTATAGTGACAATATTCTCATCACAAAGGAATCGTTCGGCTTTATAAGGACGTCTTTTATTCTGATATTCGCCCGTCTTTCTTTCCTGCTTTTCTTGTCGTACAGTTTCAATATTTTGTCTCAACCGATGTAATTCGGAACGTACAGTCTCGGTTTGTTCGTTCAAACGTTTGTTGGTGCGTTTGAAAGATTCGCTGATGTTCTCAAGAGTGCGTCTCAAGTTGTTTTCAGTGTGAACGTATTTCGCTTTTTCTACCTTGCTCTGTCCTCTAACAACAGCACCTTCGCTGGGATACACTGAATGCTGTCCGTTCATTCCTGGAGTTCATCCATTGCAGCTTTTATGGAACTTTGTATTAACAGATCATATGACCATCAATTTCACGGTTGGCTTGAACTTGCGAACTTGTGAATACATGAAGCGCAAAACGTACACTAGTCTAAATCCAGGTTGGAGTAAATTAAAGTTTACCTTTCGACAGATCGTACAACATGACGCGTCTTAAGGAATTAGTGTACTTTTAAAGAACTAATAAGTAAAATAAGACTGGCTTTGCGATAAACTGTCAAATGTCTAGCTAAAGCTAAGCAAACAGCGTGAACAAACAGACTAATTGCTTTCACAATGAAGCAGGCGCCAACAACAATCGATTAAATATGGCGGGTTTGTTTTCAGTGCAAATATGACGAATGAAAATAATACATCAAATATTATATACATATACTTGCAAGGTTACTCGGACTATCTAAAAGAGGGACTGTTGGATTAACTAGAGACAATAAAGTAGTATACTGCACACTCTAGGATCAGCATTGGAATAATATATTTACCACGTCTTTTTATTTCAAAATGCGGAATCTAAAATCAAAAACAGTGAATCAAATACTAAAATAGCAGCGCTGTTGTTTGTAGTATCACTGCGCAGTACTGAAAGTCGGATTGACCTAATCTTAGGACGGCACATTAACAAAAGTTTTCAAATCAAATTAGGCCTATGTGCTGCTATGAATATATCAATCTTCAGTGGCGGATCGAGGTATTTTGTATGAACCAAATGAGAGCTGTTATCTACTGCATGCATATCTTATGGAGATGCCTGATCTAAAAAATAGACGTAATTCTCGAAAGCAAAATTCGCAAACAGCAGTTCATGACTTTTCAAGTTCAAGTAGCTGCATGCCCACAAACTAATTAATTTGACTATCAGAAATCAAAGTGTGGCTATCTATACATGAACCAATAAGGATTTTCTGGAGCGCTTGTAGGCTGATGACCTTTATCATAACTATAATCCTGCTATAATCTGATTGCGATAAATTAACGCGCGAACGTTACTTTTTTTCAGGTCAAATACTGACTCATGTTGTAGTAAAGGTTTTGTTTTTGATAATTAGAGTTTCGTATGTTTTTTCTTCCGTATCCGAATTCGTCCAGTTTCCTCGTGTGAACACGTAGAACCGGTGAAATTTTCATTCGTCTTCACCATGTGAACACATGAACCGGACGATGAGCACGGTTCCAAATTCATCCTGTCCCGTGTGAACGTAGCCTTATTTTTATCTGAAATACAATGCCACATAAATACAATGAAACCGCCAATTTCAAACGTGTTCCGACAGAATTGGCATTCCTACTTTCCGTTCTCATTAATTTAAGAAGAACTGTCCATAATGAATATAAATTAATTAGACTGATTGTCATTGAACTTTTACCTTTGCTCAGTAACGTAATAGTCTCTCCAAAGAATGTTTAATCAATTTGCTCTTATAATTATATAATGCTACAAACTATGCGGCATCATTTCGACTGTTGTGCTTTTCGCTTACAAGATGGCGGGGAATAGTAAGTCACAAATCTCAGAAGGTAACTTAAGGAAAAGAGTCTCGAGTCTATCCCGCTTTTTAGGAACACATAAAGCTGTCATGAAATGGAAAAGTTCCTTGCTCCTCTCAGAAATTTTTACTAAAAAGATGACACGCGACCCTGGGACATTTAATGTGGATTCTAATGACACTCCAGCTGCAAGAGGACTGACGAAAAAAAGCCAGGAAATGTTTTACCCGGAAGAAGATGAATATTCGTTCATGGATGAACCCCGGAACAGTTACGAGTTAAGCCCGGTTAAACGTTTTAATGTTTCTAAAGTCAGAGAAATTATGAAAGAAGTCATGCACGAAGAGGAAAATGGAAAGAACAGATTTGAGAAAATAGATGGAGATTTATGTAAATCATTGGCCGATAAAATTAAACTGCGTGTAAAAGATTCTGGATTTTCACGATATAAGATTCTATGTGTTGTATCTCTGCTTCCAGGCTGTGAAAGACAGAATATAATGATTGCTAGTCGTTGTTTATGGAATACAGATTTTGATAACTTTGTACAAGACACTTTTGAAATGAAAGATTTAACTGTCGTAGCAACGGTTTATGCTTTGTATTATGAGTAATCATAAAATAGTGATTCTATCAGTCGTTATACGTATTGTATATATTAGTAATATTATACAAATATTGTCTCATTGATATGTAATTTTAATCCTGAGAAATAGTCAAGTGGATTTTTTGAAATAGCGAGTCATGACTACAGTAATCTACATAATCTGATAATGACATTCGGTTTGATAGAACTCAGAAAACTAAAATGAAAACTTTTTCTCCGTAGATAGCCAGTCTTTGCCAGTATGCTTAGCGGGTAACTAACGCCCTAAAATCCCTAATTGTGATTACGTTTGTGCGCTCAGCTTGACGCAAATTAGTCAAACCGTCTTGGACAGTTAGCTTTTGCATTCTTGAATCTTACTTGCTTGTATTTATACCGTTCCAACCATGAAGTTTGATTTTGACTTGAGGCCTACATAGTGTGTCACAGAGTTTCAAGTAAAACTGATACCTCATTGATGATAAAAATGTTTTACTGTTTCCCGTTTTTAATATTTCCCTCAAGTCACATTCGCTTTCAATAGGAAAGGAAGGAAGGAAGAAATCAAAAATGAAATTTCATGCAGAAAATACAGATGAAGTACTCAGTTTTGGTATTCGCTATTGGTATACTGGAGCGAGTTATCCCGGCAAGGTGAGGTGAAAACTGTATCATAATGAAAGACTATAATCAGGTTAAGCCTTTTATGCATGTGATGCGCTTTTACCTTATTAAAATATTTCTGGTATAGAACAAGGTATTGATGCTACCATAAGACAACCAAACTTTCTTTAATTAAAACAAGCTTTCTATTGAGTAGAAATACCGCTATTAAATGATACAAGATGACGACGTCACTGATCTCTCTCCCAAAGTTGTGACTGAGATAAAACCTGGGTTGTGTTTGGTTAGGGCACCAGTAACAAATATCAATTTTCTACCTAGAGCCATTGAACCAGACAGAGATTTGATAAGGCCATTTGGAGATTTGAGCCGCTTTAGGAGATTTACAAACCCTCCAAAGCAGCCAAACATGGCATAGGTGATGTGTATAGCCAATTATAGTTCATATGTAATATTGCCTATGTAAATATGTATGATATTGTTAAATATAAATTTATTAGAGCCTTTAAAGAATCAAAGTTCAAATGATAATGGAACGAGAGCACTCTAAAACCAATAGATCCAATAAATCCTAAAACCCTTCCAAGAGGACTGGGTACAAGATTGGTCATGTTTGATTTGAAACCATTGAAACTCCATGTTTCATTTGAAATTTGAATTAATTGAGGTTATATTTCATCTAATATTTAACCTGTAGCTCTTACGATTTGAGTATCCAACAACAAGAAGATGAAGCTCACGTTTAAGACTCTACAGCAACAAACATTCTCCGTTGAAATCGAGGCTGAGAAAACAGTGAGTGGATATTGTAAAATGCTGTGTCATTTTGTCATATTGGGAAAGTGTTCAAATTTATATAGGAAGTAATGCTCGAAACAGACCCACTGTTTGGTCCATACCTCTATTGGTGCTTTACTCGATTTACTCAAAGTATAAGGGTCTAGGAGATACAAAATCGTGTTGTGCTGTATATATTCATATTTCCTATTTCATTACCTGATACCTACCCTCCATGTGTGCACTATATTAAAATAATACGCCTCTCCTTTTTCCCGTGGTTGACTTGGTATAAATATTAGCTGTACAAAGAGAGTTATTTCAATATTTAAGTAATGAATTTTGGCATGGGTTATGAAATCTGCTGTAGAATTACCAAAGCCAGAATGCCTGGTCATTATTGTCATAGACATCCAGTCACATCCTGATCCTCATTCATGTAATTCTTGTAATTGTTGACTTAGACATTGAAAACCGAAGATCTTTAATTTTTTTTAAACAAATAAATTATAAGAGAATCAAGATCTATATTAGCCTAAGTGCATACTAAACTTGCATTGCTCCAGAGCTGCAAATTCTAGTTTAATAAATTAATCCACCATACTTGCTTATACACTTTTGGTTTCAGAATTAACACATGCTAAGACATGTGAACCATCATTTCATTTTAAAATATCAGCAATGTGACTGTTAATTTGAAGTTTATATTGATGGAAACATATGAAAATGGAAACACTTAAAAGCTACATCTACACTGTATTCTTGATTGTGAATATTGAAGTATATTGTTTGTGTACTATTTGCTTTCACTAAATTTGTTTTATATATGTATATTACATTTTTGTTGATATTCTTGTCATGGTCTGGTCTAGTGAACTCGTAACAATAAAGGCATGTACAACATGGTACTGTACTTATGTATTAAGGTCCTAACACGATGCTTCCCCATTCTGAGATAATGTTTTTAAAAAAAAGTTCCAGGTTTTTGTAGCATATTATAGATAAATGTCATTTTATATAAGATAAATCATAAATATTTAATCTGCAGGCAAATAAAAAGTAATGAATAAAAAGCAGCCAAGAAAATTCATTTTGGTTTTGTAGGTTCTTGAGTTAAAACAGAAAGTAGAGGAGGAAAAGGGGAAGGATAAGTTTCCTGTAAAGGATATGAAATTAATTTATGCAGGTGATGTTTCATTTTAGTCATAGTTATTGAATTGTCATAGTTATAGTCATAGCTATCTGTTGGTGCCTGCCAAGTGCAATAAACAGATTAACCTATGAAATTTCGTTTTCATAATATATATTACAACAATTTATTAGGTAAGATCCTAGCAGATGATAAACCCCTTGTTGAATATAACATTGATGAAAAAAGTGGATTCATTGTTGTCATGATTGCTAAGGTATTGCATAAGATTACATGAATTACATACAAAATAGCTTGGAATACCAAAGTATCATTCTTTTCTATTTGCCAATCACTCAATTGCCCAAGCTGGGGGCCAAAAGGGGCACTTTCATTTTTTGCTTTCTACTTCTGCTCTCAAAGACACTCAACACTCCCTAGTATGTAGGGTTGAAGGGGCAAACTTCTCCACTCTGGGAGCCTAGAAAAGCAATAGTTGTACATAAGAAGGAGATTATGTTTCTTTGTCAATTTTTTTTAATACCTAAATTACTGTTTTAACTTATACACTATTGCTACATGTTCGTAGTCAAAATCTGCAACAGCTTCATCTGGTGCAACAGTTACTGCAACCACAGCCTCTAGTAACACAACAACTGGAACTAATAATTCATCATCTGGAACAACAGCAACGGTAATTATTGAAAATATAAATATATATAGATAGATCAAATTTACTATTAGAAATATTACTAAGCCCTATGTGACAAAAATCTTTCTCAAATTTGTAATTGTACATGTATTATTATTGAAGGCTAGTACACCAGCCTCTGGTAAAGAAGAAGAGAAAAAGGAGGATAGCGCAAAATCTACAAGGTATTTCATTAGAAGAATTTGGGTTGATGGGAGTGTTTGTAGGTGAAGAATTGTTGTTGTACATGTAGTTAGTTGAGAGACAAATATTAAATATTATCGACTCTACTAATTATAAAGATTTCAAATTGACTACTGGCTAATTCAGGTGTACTGGCTAGTTGAGGTTATTGTGACCTAATTTTCTGCTGCTAATTTGTTTGTAGTGAAAGTAGTACAATAAGTTCCACCACAACATCAACAACAGCCACAACAACAAGTGACTCAACAACAACAACTCCAGCGACTGCAGATCCACCATCTGTAGCATCAGCAGAATCAACATTAGGTACAGTAACAGTTTGTCTTTCACATACAATACAGGTGTAAGTACCACAAAAATTTACACTGGCAATGTTCAGGGAACCAGTGCATGTATAATTATATGGTTTTAGGATATCTAAAACAGAAATAGTAACAGAAAGATTTTTTTATACCTGACAAAAAATTTGGAACATATGACTACATGTGTAATTTCTGTGTCACATGCTTTTCATACAACCACCTATTATGAGATTAATCAGTACACTTCTCAAAATAGATCTGTAGACTTTCAACAAGTTGTACTAAAAAATTAATGAGATGTTAAAGAGCCATCACAAATATTGATTACATCATAAGTTATCAGTTCCAAACTTCCAATATTCAATATTTAAACATTGTACTTTCTGCAGTGACTGGAACACGATATGAAGAGATGGTGACAGCAATTACAAGCATGGGTTATGAAAGAGATCAGGTACAGTACAGTGATGTGCATTGAATCCACATCAAATGAATTTTTATCATGTTTAAACTGTTGTCAAACTCATCCAACCCATCATTATTTTGCCTGAGTCTGAGTCTGTGCTGTTCTTTGCCAGGACCTCACAACATGAGTATTTTTTTTCTGTACACACTTCACTTATGTTCAGACTTCAGTATTTTGTATATTCTTTCCTTCCCAAAGTTTTAATTTGTCTTATCATGGAGGTTTGAAGGTTCATGAATAGCATTGTGTGTGCCCATCCACTTGTGTGTCAAAACTCCTTAAAAATAATTCCCGGACACACATATAATACGTTGTATTGTCTTACAGGTTGTTCGTGCACTAAGAGCGAGTTTTAATAATCCAGACAGGGCGGTGGAATATCTTATATCGGTAATTTTTAATGTCTTGTGGTACTTCATTACTTATACCTCTGTGTACTGTACCTTTGACAGTGTATGTTCGCTGATGGCTGATATATAAGTCAATATATTACAGGGCATACCAACCGTTCCACAGGAGACGGGAACTGGTGACGAAGCTACTGAAACAACTGCACCAGCCAGTGGTGGAAACAGCGGCGAGAGTCCTCTTGCATTTCTACAAAACCAACCTCAGTTTGCATTAATAAGACAGGCTGTACAACAGAATCCTGGATTACTTCCGACGTTATTACAAGAGCTTGGTCAGTCTAATCCACAATTGTTGCAGGTACAGTAGTTCTAACCACTGTATTATCGTGCTGTTTGTTATATCAGCTGCATGATTTTACGTATATATATTTAATTAAGTTCTTCTTATGGTTTGGTTCATTTTTACCTCCTAAATATGTTTACCTTGTAGTATATCACCCAACATCAGGAAGAATTTATCAATTTATTAAATCAACCTGTTGAAGGAGGTGGAACAGGTACGCACAAAATTATTTCGCTTTAAAATATAGACGTCAAACGCGGAAAGCCTGATGTCATGCATATACACGAAGTTTGATTAGCTCGTTTGTTTTGTGAAACCATCGATGTCATCTGTGATATTTACATCTCTGATGTCTTATGAGAAAGATGTACTACTTGCTATACGACCTCTTAACGGACGATAATAGAGTTTTTAAAATCTTGGCCTAATTCGAAACGAAAAAGCTACCTGGGTAAGGCTGGATTCGCATGGTCTTAACAGCAAGTTCTATCCTTTAATTATTGGTTTATTTATCACTTAAAATCACTGCTTAAAACAGACGTAAACAGATATGAAACATAAGAGCAGACAAGACTTAATCTTGTTTCCGAGATGTCGTTATACTTCATGTAGTATGTATACGTAGTGGCGAACAAGGATTGGTGCGCTTCTGAGCTTTTCTTTAATGGAATATTTTGACAAATATATTTCCCGTGAATGTAAGGGACCGCCTCAGTTACTAAGCGTCTAATTATTATTTATCTACCTTTCTTTACCTGCAAAGCTGCTCAACCTGCAAGCACAGGTAATACTGGCTCAAGTCAACCACCTGCAGGTGAAGGACAGCCAGGTAATCAGCCCGGCGGGGAAACAGGAACAAGTTACATTCAAGTTACTCCTGAAGAAAGGCAGGCGATAGAAAGGGTAAGAGATGAGATGAATTTTGATAAAAGTGTTAAATCAAAAAGACCGACATCTGTTGCATGATTCAACTTGCGTCTGTATAAAGGAAAATACTAAGTTATATTGTTTTTTTTATTTTAAGTTGAAAGCTCTTGGATTTCCTGAAGGTCTAGTGGTTCAAGCATACTTTGCTTGCGAAAAGAACGAAACTTTGGCTGCAAACTTTCTATTAGAACAAGGCTTTGATGATTAACGTTAATATACTGCGAAGAAAACAAAGTTATACCACTAGGAGACGAAAAGGAAAATCATATGAAATTATCCATATTTTCATACCGGGACGTAGCGACTGTTAGGATAACATCTTCAGATCTTCTGCGTCCTCGTGACATTGATCGTACAAAAATAACATATGATTTATGCCGATGCGGTCACATAAAGATCCGTTCATACAAGGTGTATCAAAGTAGACCCTTTTAAATTTATATCAGCTGTATGCTTTTTTTTTCTGTTAATCCCCGATACGACAGATGTAAAGTAGGTAACTGAGCTGTTTCATTTTCATCATAGCTTATGGTGAGAATGAAACAGCTCACCATGGTTAATTCAGTTTAATTAATTATTCTGTGTTCTGAGCACATTTTTTGTAACCTTCTTTAGAGCTAATCTGAATTTAAAAGCGGTATACTTTCTGTTTAGACACGCTGTAGTTAATTTCCACGTGTGCAGGGTTTTCTTACATTCTTCCCATGAAGCAAAACTTTCATAAATTTTTCAACACAACAATGGTTCTCTCCAGTCGTCCCAGAGTAATAATATAAAATATAGATTTTCTATTTGGACACCATGTAATAACTGGATCAAAAAACCAAACTTACAGAAGAGATTTAAAAGAAGTGCACATATGTGTACTGACTGATATTGTTATGGCCTTGAGTGTGATTTCGGGGTTCTCTGTATACGTCAGATTGATATGAACTCAACGGAACCGACTACAAATCTAAAAAAATTATCATGTTTTAGTCCACAAAGTACTTATGTTATTAAGTAACATCACAAATTTTTGGTAACATCCGGCTCCTGATTATGCCCCAAGCCCAAGGCCAACGTTTTGCCGATGCCCCCCTACTGACCCCTACGTGTGCCTTATGTTCACAAACTCGCACTCAAGTGGGCAGACTGACAGACTCAAAACGTTTTGGTATTTTAGAGTTAAAATATCGTACTCTCTGGAGGTTAGTGCATTATTTTGTGTTTTTTTTTCGCTTTTATCAGGAGCGGTGTTTTAATAGTATCAATTTATTGCTAATTTATCTGGCAGAAAAAATATGTCATGTACCGGGGGACGAATATGTCAAAATATATCATGTACCGGGGGACGAATATATTGGAGAGACCAATGTAGTCTTATGGAGTAAAACGCTTGTTTTAGTTAAAATTTTAGTGTTAAAATTTTAGTTTTGCTATGATTATGAGCATATACTAACCGAAACAAGCGTTTATACTGATTCTGGTCTGGTCAATTGTCATTGACTGAATATTATGGTCTATTGCTCAATATTTAATAAAGACAACATACGGTATATATTGTGATTATTTAGCATGCAGATTGAAGATAAGTTTTACAATTTAGATATCTGCATATATGTAACTGAAAAAAAACTCCATGTCACACCAAGGAGCTGACCACAACATGAGTGGTATGCAACAAATTTGATATGGTTGAACATGTTATGGTAGCAAAATAAGTATGGATTTGCACCATTATCAGGGCCAAAACTTGAACAATAAATGGGGGAGGTTTATGTATATATTCATATCTCCCAATGGATTTCTGTAAGCTATTGCACTTATTGTTAGAGAAATCTGTCAGTCAGAACTAAATACATGTATAAACATATATTTAGCCCCCCATTAACATGACTCACTAATGTTATAAATATTAAAACAACCTAAAAGATTCTAACAAACCAATATTGTGTTATATAATTGAATAGTTCATCATATCAAACTTATGTTTTAGGTTAAATTATAATGAATGACAATCACAGTGAGAAAACAGCCCTTCTTGATGACAACCCGTAAGTACTGTCCTGCAAAACTATGCACGTAATGTTATTTCAAGCAAGAGATTCGTTATGAACTTTTATGTATGGATATCAGATTTATAACATCCAAGTTCTATAGTCCACTTACTTTTAGTGTTGATATATTTTAATATTTTAATATATTTAGTTTTCTCTTTATTTAACAAATTATTGAATGATGTGATTGGTGAGAAGTCACTATTTATCACACAAAATAGCATGCATAAAACAGTCATATCTCTCATTCTAAAACCACCACACATGCCAATTTTGCTCATAATCAATTAGAGGTTCTGAATTCATTTGAATGAATAATAATAAAATTTATTAAATTATTACTGATTTACTGTATTATACAAATATGATACCATGGATGAGATTATTTGTTTTAGACTTTAGATTTGATTTGATTTTGCTGTTGTATGAGTGTATTAGACATAATAACATAAAAAAATGAAGAATGTCATTTCTAATTTCTATTTGGATATTGACAAAATATATGGGTTGAAATAACCCTAAATGAACCTTTCATTCTAATGGCATGGCATATGAATAGCACAGATTTTTCTAGCAAAGACTAGGTATTAATATTAGGTTGCGGTCAGTGCATACTATCCAGGCCAGCCTATACTATAGATAACACTTCTTTGTCATACTATCTTATCAATGGTGTAGTATGACTTGCAGTATTGGCTTGGCTGTCTATGACAAGAAGGGACTCAACTGTGGTACTGCAAACCTCTGGAAATCATGTGACCTAGTCCTCTTCCTTGATTCTTAATCAAGGTGTCTTGAACATTAACCTGGGCATGTAACTTTGAATAGTTATAGTGCATTGCAAAGCCAAATTAATCACTTATTTGGTAGAATTAGACTTCTGCATAATACGCTTTCAGAGAAAAATCAGATAAATGAGATAATGGTATTTTAAAATGTAAAAATCGCATGGCTTATGAATTATGACCAATCAGAATTAAGTAAATCTTTGACATGATTTGAGTATAATTTGAGTATAAATTTTGAGTATAATTTTGCGTGAAATTACTGATATTCAGTGTCAGTGATCAAAATTCACGAGTGATTAAAAAACTGCAAAATGACTGGAGTCCAAGGATGAGTGCATGTATAAAATACTTACGACAACTTACGACTATGAGTGCAACTTTCTCCGCAAGTCCATAACGTAATGTTGGTTTCTTGTCGTTCATTTTTGGTAATAAGTTGTTGCTTTATATTTTTACTAAAGCTCGCAATCTTCTGAAAGTGAATTACAGATTCCGCCACAATCTACAAGCATACAGAAAAGTACGCCACCACTATACCAGAGTTTTAGCAACGATCGAGCAGATGAGGTAAGAAGTGTTTTTAAGGGTGGTCCTCGACAAGAACAAACGATCCACACGTTTTATTTCAAAAAAGATATTGGTTCTATATTGGCTGATAACTCTAGTAACTTTTTGGAAATGGGATTTCACTCTCAATAAAACCTGGTTTTCTGATCTCCATTGGCATTGGCATTGTCGTAACCGATGCATGAAATGCTTTGTCCGTATTAGAAAAAAAAATCTATTTCATTGGTCATCGACAATGAATCGCAGAGCATCGCCGACTGTCTGCGAGTGATGAAAACGAGGGTTTAATGACCCGAACTAGATCTTCGCCCTAATCAATACGATATAGATAATTACTGAGTAACAACTATCGGATGACCGAAATGTCGAAGTTTTCTGTGTATTCATAATTAAGTAGACTATTGAAAACTATCACAAATATCCTTTCTATATCATTTCAATTTATGACTCCTTGAGATAGAAAGTAATTCATAGTCATTTATAATATACAGTTTATCTGGCGTTTGTCCCATATGCTCCGGTACTAACTCTACATGAGCGGAGCAGAATTAAATTTGATATAGTTATTGTAAATTTAATTATCGACCTGCGGATAAAATCTCGTAATGTAAAACTGTCAACTTCTATTTACATTTCACCATAATGTGGCTCATAAAGGGTTTGTTCGCATACTAACACGTACTACACAAATTATATATATATATATATACTGTCACATAACTATGGAGGAGATCTATAGTAATATAACTAAACATTACATGTTTGTTCTATTAGCATGACATTGAAACTCATCCTTCAGAAGTACTTATTGTTTCAACTAGAGGAGGCGGCCTTGGTACTCAAAGTAGCTTGGTTACTATGTAAGTATAGCAACTTGATAGATTTTAACGAATTTTTAATTGAAGAATTGGCTCAGTGCCACTCTTACCTATACAAGCTACTGAATTTACTTATATTGTCATATCACCATGCAAAATTTCAAGAATATTATATTAAATATTGTTTGTTAAGATTTTCTATGTGGAATACGATGATGGGTACTTCACTACTTACTATGCCTTGGGCAATAAGTCAGGTAAGCCACTGAAGTATTCGTAAGCTGATTGAATAATATAGCAAAAAAAAAACTTTTTAAACTGTTGTTTTGTCTTGGGGTTTTCATGACGTAAAATTCGTGTGATCTGCGTGATGCGCACCGATATTGAATCCTGATATTGTATTGTAAGGCTATATCGATTTGAATATTCAACCTAAGCACCTTGGTTTTGGAATAAACTGCGTCGAGAAAAAAATAAAAAGTAAGGTTAGGGTAGTCTTTACCGAACTTTTTAAGTTATAGAACTTTTCCTGAATGTTCTAGGCTGGATTTACTTGTGGGATAGTCTTGATGATATTCATTGGTGGACTGTCGTTTTATACAACAAAGCAAATTGTAAATTTTGCTGCAAACTACAGTAAGTTGAAAAAAGTGCGATGTCTTATAAAACTCGTATACAAAACTCAAATTTTCTTGAGAAACTTGAGAATATGATTGTACTTGCTGTGTGTCATGGGTTGGTTAGCAAACTTAGTAACGTTTGTTTTTTGTAGGCTCGAAAAAAAGAGAGACATTGGAATTTTCTGACATTTGTCGAGCTTACCTTGGTCCCTGGGGAGACAGAGCAGCCTTCGCATTTTCGCTGTGTGCTATATTTGGTGCTTTGATTGTGTTTTATGTTCTCATGTCGAACTTTTTGTATAATACAGGAAGATTTGTATATGGTGAGTACATTATAATATATACGGTGCGTCATGGAAAAACATTCCTTTGAAATATAGTTGTTGTTTGAATTGAGATTGTCTTAAACACTACATATATATATATATGCTAGGTCGCGACATTCTCGTTTTTTAATTTACCCATGCGTATACGTGGAGATTTTCATAATAATTAATGTGTATTTATTCAACTTCAAGCAAAAGTTTGGTTTCAAAGGAGTGCTTTTCTGCATGCACCCTGAGCACACTAGTATACCTTGTTAACACATACTGCATGTAACGTCGTACAAAATCTCTATTTTTATCAAATACACCACCCTTAGATTTGTATCTCTGAATGAATCAAAATATACCCCTGTTTATTTATTATCCCTATATATCTATGTGGCATGCATGCAACGTATGAATTATACTGCGGTCCAATATCTCCTTATTCTTTGTTCACTGCATGTCATCAATATGTGCAGGGTGAGTAAAAAAGTGATGCCTTTCATGTTCAAATTAGCCGCGAACTTATGAGTGGCCTACGGTGACAATTCCCTTGTGTCCACAGGATGTAGTTAATAATGCGAAAGCGTTTAAAGCAATTTAACTCATTCAACGTGACGTGTGTGCTATAAAAACAATTTGATAAAACGGTTTATTATTATTTACAGAGTTTATAATAAAAAAATGTTCACAAGCTATGCGCCAAGTCCTTCAACATGACCACCGTTTCTTTCAACACAAAGAGTTGTTCGCTTGCATGTTCATATATCACGAAACACTCTCTGAATTAGGTCAGGCCGCAGGCCGTAAATCTGTTGAATCACACGTATTAAAATGTGTTACAACAAAAACTCGTTGTTCAGTGGTTAGTTGAACCATCGTGTTCCATGCAACCAGTTCCATGCAAATTTCTACACTTATCATTTCTCGCAAGACTTATTATTTCTTGTTAGGTTTTAGATTAATGTTCACTTATTTGACGTGCCTCGTATAATACTCATGAGTTATATATTTAGGCAACTTCTGTTTAAATAAGTGCCTAATTTGAATTTGAAAGGGACATCACTTTTTTTACTCACCCTGTATATATTCCTGCTCTACGTAACTTATTTTAGGTCTACATGCATTCCTTCAAAAGTCATTGATCGCAATGTTCATATACATGCATGCAGTTCAGTTTCATAGTTGTACAATGTAGCTACGTGGTTTACATGCATGAAAGTTGTCTATCATTATGAAACAAAGACAAAAGCTGTACTACTTTGTAGTTTAGCGGCGAAAATATCGAGCTAAGAAAATAATTAGCCTGATAACAAGCGATACCAGCGCATAAACAATGATCATCGCCAGTGGTGAAATAATAAGAACACTCTCTAGGATGTTAACGGAGCGCATGAAAGTGGAGTTGGTGTATAAAGAGGAGTAATCTTCACCTCGGTATAATGCCTTCACCAGCGTTAGTCCTGAGAAGATTACCAGTGTTGACAAGGACACTGTTTCTAATAAATTTTCCCATTTCTTTTTAAATGGCTTCACAAAAAGATGCATGACAAGTATTAAAACGCATGCAGTAATTGCCGCTAGTGTCCGCCAGCGACTATCGTAGATGAAAGTGAAGATTAATATAAGGACCAAACGACGTAATATCAGGACACCTTCCCATGCGAGTGGAACACGTGGGATACACGCGTTGGCTTTGTGAATTCGGAATGGACCTGTGAGAACATGAAGTATCGCCACACGATTCTTGCTCATTGGACTATGATCAAGGTTCTGGTATCGAATGACGTTAGACTTGTTGCGTAGCAACAATCGTAACCAGTAGCAGCAAAATGGAAGCGGCAGTAAACAGCCAAAACAAAACTGCTTGACAGATATTAGTCCTAGGTTTAAGACGTAAGAACCCAGAAACGGTACCATACAGAATGGTAAAACTGACGTAATAACATACCCCAGCAGTACGTATTGAAAGTTTTGGTAACATTGCATAGTCCCGTCAATGAATAACACCTTTGTGTTCTTATATGGCACACAGTAAAGTAGCTTCAGGCTAAGTCTGGTTGTGGAGGAATACATCAATAAAGAAATGTGGATAAACGCGCCGAGTGCTCGCTCCGTGAACGATGGTTTGTTTGTACCTGGTGCATCGTCTCTTTCATTTGCTTCACCATTGATATCAAAATTAGGATTAGTAAATGAAAAATGTCTAACATCCCAGTAATTAACAAGAAGCTGGTTCTGGGATGAATTACTAACATTTGCAGCTGCTCTCTTGCGTCGACGGACGCTCATACCAAGTTTCCATACGAGGCATCCAAACCCTAGAACAAAGAGCAGAACAAAACCTACGGAATGAGATAGAAGTGTTTTCGACACAGGAGTAATACCAGGAAGAGGACAGTCAAACGAGGAAATATCCGACACTACCATACCAAAAACATGAGATATCAAATCACTAACGCGTTGGACGGCTTTTTGTCTCTCTTCGAAGCCCACACTTGATACCAACAAGTTGATTATTTGATAGTAGTAGAAAATGATTTTAATACAACCTCCACTTTCAGGGTCCACCTCGTTACCTCTATCGGACAAACTCGGCAACTTAGAAGGAAGACCTTTTTGCAAAAAACAAGCAATGTCTTCGTGATAGAGAAAGAATATGATATAAGCCAATATAAGTATGGTCGCTGTGGGGAAGAAAACGGAAGCATTGCATGTGCTGTTTTTTCGACATGCAGTACTAAATAGAGATTCAGTTGTCCCACCAGGACATCGTGCGCACAATGTTCCAGTTCTTTTTCCATGACACTGGTGATAGGTAGAACACTGTTGAGAATCACAACAGTAATCATGTGGACAGTCTATAAAACGAACTTCATTTCCAATTTTGTATCCCCAGAAATTAGGTTTAGCTCGCAAATAACCATAGACACACTGCCCCCCGCGCGGGCAGTGGTGACACTCAATGGCCCCCGCGTTGCCTCTTTCATATGAATTGTACGTTAGATTTTTTGTATTGTTGGGCATTTTAATTATCACTCCTCTTTCCAGCGAGTACGTCTTTCTCGGACACGGCGCGCAATAAATATGAAGATAACTAAAAGAAGTTTTTTCTTTTTGTCCTTTCTCTTTGCTTACAACTTGTTGTTGACCAGCGCGAAACCCTTGGGGACAAAATACTGCTAGGATACCAGCTATCACTACACCTCCGAAATAATTTGAACTGAAACTTGGTAGGTTATTACGAGGTAAATGGGCGAAGATAGTTTTTTCTCCGTTTGTTTTGGAGATATTGATCCTATTATTTCCTGTGATTGTGACAATACTGTTCGGATATGCAAAAACTTGGACAGCATTTTCATCGCCGCCATTAACGTCAAAATGGCAATCGTGAAGTGTCACTTTAACCTCGTCTGATATTGAGATCACTCCAGTTGAAGGGCTCTGGCCGTGGCGGTTGTTGATAAATTTGCAAGCAACCACTTCGAACGAACCATAATTGAAGAACAGCGTCGCGTATATACCAGCCAAACCTTGCTGTGGAAAGTAACGATTACCAAGAAATATATTATTTCTTATTAAAGCAGTGCTGTTGAAATTGTATGTGTTAAGGTCGTATTTATTGTGTTTGAGGGGTGGAATAACAAACTCTATCGTTCCAGTATTGTTGTGAAATAAACTATTTTCGAGCGAAACGGAATACTGTCGTGCATGAGCTGCCTCAAGGTACATCATTGTCTTTTTCCAATAGTTGTTTTTAAATTGAAGGCTTTCCAATCTGATTAAAGTTGTTTTATCTGTCAGATTGACGAATTTATCTTTCAACCAAAGAAAATAATATTCGGGGCCAAATTCGAGATGATTCGTAACGTTCGTTTTGCTAATTACAATTTTCGTTTGTTTTGCGAAAGAATGGGTAAATATGCCATTTCTACGTTGTTGTCTTGGTACGTTTTCTCCAAAGAAAGAACAATTGTTAATCAGTAGTTCATGCGTTTCACTATTTTGTTGAATTGTCTCAAGTTTTTTGCCTAGAGAAATGCTACTCGAATAAAACGAAGTGTTAGTGATCCTGAAAATGGAGGTGTGACACGGAAAGGATTGGATACCAGTGGACCAGTGATTGTGTAAGATAGAGTTGTTTAAAACAAGGAGCACATGGGAACACTTTTCTTCTTGGTTTATTAATATTCCTATGGAATTATTGCTGAATCTGCATCCGGTAACGATTAAATTCGTTTTTGTCTGCAAGCTTCTAACAGCGACTTTAGAGTTGGTTAGATTAAGATGAAGAAGAGATAGACTTATCGTCTCTGACTCCTGTGACTTTCCTTGGATTGAAAACAAGATTTGGTTTCCTCGACATTGAATTTCAGCCAAGCCGTTTATACCTCGTATGGTGAGAGAATGTTGTATAATAATTGTAGAATTACCACCACATTCTTGGTAAGGACGGCCTCGTTTGACGAATATTATGTCGTTAGGACCTGTACGTTGTACGGCATAGCGTACCGTTTGGCACGGACGAGAAAAAGTTCCGCAGATAGGGTCGTCACGACCATTATTAGCCACGTGTAGTTCATGTGATACCATTTTGAGGATAACTAAAGTCAAAGAAGTAATTTCATGCAATTACATATCTATAACAATTCTGACAGCATTTGTATATTAAAGGCAATTATAAAACCAATTGTTCATAAATATAGAGGCCTGTATATATTTCAATGTATATATATAATTGTATTGTATGCACCTCCAAAAATCATCTATATTTTCTTTTTGTAAATGTTTCGATGAAATAATGTTGTCGTTAAGATAGGTTCAAATAAAGTTTAATATTGACATAGAACCATAGGAAATAACATCGCCGAACAAAGCCTTAGCATATTCACCATTTTTTACGTACGAAATCGAATAAATTGGACGTCCGAGAATTAAGATAAAGTTTAAAAGTGAATTGTGCGTGAAATTCCCAGTTCAGATTCCTGCAATGTGAAAGAGATTATGACAAAGTCATCCAGAAACTAGTTTCATTTTCGTTATAGGAAGAATGTAGTTTCCTATCGAATAGAAAGCGTTACTTTCTATATTACTGATGCAATCATTCTTAGCAAATATGTTGTCTTCTCGTCTTTGCCTTTTCTCAATGCTGTATTATGTTGTTCCTTGCGTCGGCATGACTTAAATTATCTACACGGTACGCCCATATTCTTGTAAAGTATGATATGTTAATCTGATATTCTGTTTTTTTGTCTAGAAAAAACACATGTCTTCAATACAACCTCGTTCAATGGTTCTGGAGAAGGTGAAATTTTTTTATTTACGTATTTTTAATTTCCATGATAGTTATCACTCCATGTGATGAATATATAGTTACCTATCACTCTATATCTCTGTAAAAAGGTTACAAATAATTGCCTGGTTTTTAAGTTATTTTTATTCCCTATGCGTTTTTTTATGCTCACATGTCTTCGTTCTACCATTAGATTTTCTCATTCATACATGCACGGAGCATGGGGGCCTTTAAATATATAATATGCATGTATTATATTTTCGGTTTCTGATAAAATCAAAACAAATATTTTCACTAACAAAACATCGCCCTTATATAGTACATTTCTGTTTTAATATATTGATCTTTCCTATTTAGTATTTTGTGCAGCTGATGCGTTGTCTGAAGCAACTGAGCCTGATTCTGATTTCTTCCAATACTGGAATAAAAAGAAAACTATTCCTTTCTACTTACTTATTATCATTTTCCCATTAATGAATATAAAGTCGCCAACTTTTTTCACAAAATTTAATGCCTTGGGTATGTATATGTCATATTGATAGATATAGCCTATATATTGGGAGACATAAGTTACCATAAGGCCAAATGATCTCGGAGCCTGTGCATTAAATAACAGGTGACTTACTAGATATTAGTTAATTGTATTTTCACTAAAGCATGTCAGTAAGCTGCGAACTGCGTGGATTTAACCCGAGTTTCTACAATAGGCAAATTTCTTCGTCCAATGAAATGAAATGAAATTCGCGAAATGAAAAACGAATTTCGGTAACGCGAATGGAAAGTGAAAAAAAGCATGGCGATCCCGAGACAGTTGTTGCCATGCATTCATATCTGCACTTTCGCCATGCCAATTAAAATTACATTTTACAGTTGGAAATACTGACACAAAATATAATATAATATAGTTTCACAAGAGCTATGGCTTTGCCGGTGCAGGTCTGCATTATTGAAAAGGCGAAACGCGAAGCATGCGTAGTAAATATACGAATTAAAATATTATAGCCATGCATTCCAAAAATTATTTCTGTTTTTGTTAGGAACAATTTCTGTTATATATGTAATCGTGTTCACTATCTACAATTCTGCCAAGTGGGGAGTCAACATAGATTTTAGTGACAGCAAGTCCCCCCATTATGTGGCACGTAAGTAGCAAGAATAATTTCCTTTTCTCACCCGAAAAACAAAATAATTAGATGCTATATTCATCTAAATACATGTTATATTCACTCGAATGACAAAGAAAAGGTGTTGCTCAAACTTTATAGTGCGAGTGCTTAGATTTTTATCCATCTCTCTTGTAGAAATTGAACCTTCGTTTCCAGCTCTTTCTGGAACACTGACCTTAGCATTTTTTATTCATAACTGCGTTCTATCAATTACGAGATATCAAAAACACCCAAAAAACAACGTAAGTATACATGCAGTAGTACATCATATAGTAGTATTGATTTGCAGTCCTGAAAATCCGTGTGTGTATATTGCAATTTGAAAGGAAATATTCCCATATCGTAAAAATGATAGGAATGACAGGCTGGGTTATACGTCAAACCATTCAATAAGGGGTATATATTACTGTCACCACTTCAAAATACCAACGCTTTTGCCATATTTACTTCTATTGCGAAAAACATTTTATATATTCTCATTCTATACTTAAACTGTTGCGTTATTCTACACCTTTCATTTGCTTGTTTTCTGTAGTCTCGTGATGTTCTCATTGCGTATATTCTTGTTGGGGTAACGTATAGTCTGATAGGATTTGTCTTTTATCTAACTTATCCCATGGACAAGAAGTCTTGTATTGATGAGGTACGCCCAATTTTGCTGCTATCATATTCTTAAGCAGTGACAGTTTATTCACTATTTCAAGAGGGCTTATTTTTTATTTCATCCTCCCGATATCGAATTCGGAAGGTTATTGCATCGTAAACGTCAGGACGACAGGATTTTACCTTTCCTAACGCCCTCATGCATGAGGTATTCCTTATAACAAAAATAAAATGTGGATTATTATTTTTAATAGGTACTTCTTGAGAATTTCGCACCAAGCGATGGAATGGCATTTGGAGTGCGTTTAGTGTTTCTATTTCAATTGATTACCGTTCTTCCTCTTTTGGTCTATATCATAAGAATTCAAATCATGAATTTCTTCTTTGGTAAACCTTATCCAAGGTATATGCAAAATTTTACTGCATCAACAGTCAAACTATACTCCTAACATTGATAAACAATGCTATTGCGGGTGATAATATATCTTTTGTTCGTTTCCCTCTTTCATTGTATTACATTTTCATGCACAAGGCATACCGTCGTTACCGGGACAAACCTTGTACTGTCATATTTTACGTCAAATCTATACATCTATACATCATTATTATAGCAGCTTAAAAAGAGCATTCGATGTGTAAGGTTGACACTATTTTTCTTTTTCTATACTTTAGCTTTCTTCATATCTTTCTACTGAATGTATTCCTTGTGGTAATGTCAGTTTTATTTGCTTGTTTTTATCCACATGTTGGGGGTATAATCAGGTATGGTTGAGTTATATTCTCTAAGAAAAAATAAGTTCTCCATTCCCCCCACTTTAAGCGAAGTAATCGAGACAGGCATTGAGGGTGAAATAAATTTTTGTTCCAGATTCACGGGAGCGCTTTGTGGTTTGACTTACGTTTATGCCTTGCCTCCAATAATTTATATGAAGCAAAGAAAAAAGGAGGGGAGGATGTTGACGAAAACGTCGATGTTTCTTCACTGTTGTATCATCGGAATTGGTATCCTGAATTTTATAGGACAATTTATTATTTCTGCGTAACATTTAGTATAAGCTTTATAATGACTAGAACAATCTTCTTAATTTCGTTTATATGTAATTGAATGCGCGGCACTTTGAATGACGTAGGCACAATCTGAAGCCGGCACACATGCAGAATAGGAAAAAAATACAGATTGAGACTAGTGCGTGTGCTCTCAAGATGTATCTCAAGAAGTGCCTCACAGTGCCTGACAATGCAAGCGCATTGTCAGGCACTGTGAGGCACTTCTTGAGATACATCTTGCAAAGTAGGTATATAAGAAAATTCAAAAGGAAAACATTGTATAACCTCAACCGCGCGCTAACAATTTCAAATGACAAATAGTTTCTCCCTAATAAAAGCCATTAGGACGCTGATGGAATTTTTACCAGTGATGGATTTTAGTCACAGGCACTATAGGCAATAAATATATCGAGAAACGATAAAACTTACATATTTTAACATGCACGGTTGATTATATACAGAAATTCGCTTGTCTAATTATTTTTTTATAGATATAATTTCAAATTCAGATAACAAAATAAATTTATATAATACCATGCAATGTTGAAAATAATAAATTCATTTAGCAATTTTATATTAACCAAAAAATGGAAATAAATATATAGTGATTTTACATCAATCTTCACTTCTTTTCGATTTTTTTGCCGGCAGCGTTTTAAAAAAGGACATATTTTTGGCAACAAGAAAACTTAAAATAGTGCAATTCGGAAATAAAGGAGAGACTACGCGCAAATAAAGGTAAGACTATAATAGTTAATGATGAGTTTATTTCTCTTATTAATAACTGCTGACCTGACCTACAACTGTTCTTTCGTTTCTTTACAGAACGAAAGAGCGTTTAATAATAATGTTTTCTCATTTCTTCGTAGCGTGATTGCGAGACGAGTGTTTTCGCTCAGATCATTGGAGTCCAAAACTTCGTCATCTTGCTGCAAAAACAGTAAATTCATGATCGTGAGAGTTAACTGCATGTGGTTTCATTGAATGCAAGGTACGTCTGCATCCTGTACATTATGTCATTTAGACATGCATTTAAGTAGGCATTTTATATAGCGTGAATGTACACTGCAATTTTCAAAATATTTACCTCCTTCGTCGTGGGATACTGACGAAGCAATAATGAACATCTGCAATTGAACGGAAATTATTCATTCAAAAGAAATATGTACAGTAGTTTCGTATAACTACGGATTGGCACTTTCATGCATATATCATTTCATAGATTAAACAGATTATTATTTAGAACCTTGTCTCCAAAAAACTACAAAGTTTTTCTTCATTTTCTTTGCTAACTTTTACAGAATGATCAAAGAGTATTGTTTGCAATTCTTCAGCTGTTTTTTCTGATAACTGCTTTCCCTCGTCTAAATTTAGAAAAAATATAGAAGTCTCCGGTGCCTTTGCCCTTGTTGGTAGGCAAAGCGAAAAAGCGATATATGAAAAAAGTACAGTGCTAATAAAAATGAATTAGCCGAGCCTGACATTTTTTGGGGGTTCCTCTATATGGAAGGACAAATAATCTGCACATGCAATAAACTTTTGTCAATATAAGAATATTCATTTACCCTCAGTGACGCAGAATATTCTTAGAAATGCTAACAGATCTTTTGTTAGTGGAATTTCTTCTTTCGTAACAGCAAGATTTTTCATACTATAAAACAATGCATGCAAGGTATCACATTATTAGCAATGAAAGAAATCGTAAAGACGATCTTAATTAACAACTTACTTCACACCGATCTTAGACAAAAGTTGTGTCTTCAACATATGTAGGGAATCACTTGAGCTAATTCCTAAAGATATTAATCAAACGATCGTGACCATGTAAATATCTCATTATTAAAATCGCAAAATACTTAGGAAAGTAGGCTTACCAAGTTTGATGTGAAGCAGATCATGTTTATTGTCTGTGTAATAGAATCCTGAATGTACGAAGAAATCGGAGTTTGATCTTGGACCGTAAAATATGAAGACCTACGAAAACATCACACAATGTACATAAGGAAGGTTACGTACAAGCCTTGCTAATACTTGTGCATCGGGGCGAGGTGGCCGCTGGGGGGGGGATGTGCCACCCGCAATCCTTATTCGTTCCCCAAGCCCTGTATGGGTATAGGGGTAGATTTCTCACCTGATCACCTGACACATATGAATCCAAGGCATAACAAACGCAGGAATCCGTACTAAGATCGTAGTCCGTCGTGAACTGCTCGGAAAACAGACAAAGTTAGTCTCAACTTCGAATCCCTCCTTTGACTTTTCGAGCACGTGACGTGCCATGAATTTTGTGATCTGCATTTCCTAACTAAGACGTACTATTTAAAGTAACAATTTAAAAATTAGTAGATCAGAATTAAAATTAAAAAGGTTTGCAATTTTGAGTTTGCTGGGCAATGGGAATTTGAATCAATCAATAGACCAAAAGCCTTAATGTAATGTATACACGGTATATTCACAAGCAAATATGACGTACGTGTCCTTCACAATGATTACACATATCAAGAAAAGGTATCAAAGCCAAATGTAATCCTTTGCCACTAGAACATGGTATTTGATTTTGTCTTGTCATCACAATAGAAACTGCCCACCTAAATTAAATGATACATTACTAGTTTTATCAATTAACCCTGCTTCCTATAGGACAGAGATTGGGTTTGTATATACTGTAGTAAAGCTAAATTCGACTGTATCTTATACCTGTATTGATTGTACGTGAATGACTTCATAAAACTTAATTTATTATTTGTCGGTATTTTCTGTAAACATATTGGACAGGCATGTAAAGATATATAAATGAAAACACAAATAATTATATTTCACAAATACTGGTAGCATTAATATGGTATTCATTTTTGTATTGTATACCTTGAAAAGTTGATACAAGTACGCATATTGACGAGCAATGCTTTTGTACAGGTTAAGAACATTGCCTAAAATATATTAGTTTTGATAACAAAATTGGAAGATCCCATGCAATACTGCCTACAGTATCCTCACAGTTTAACTCGTGCCATGCACTGTATCTTACCTAAAACCTGTGATCCTTTCAATACACTAACTTCTTCTTGTGTGAAAAACAGAGGAATGCTAAACTTTAGCGGGAGAATATCTTTTAACGTTAAGATTTGTATTCATAGATATTTCATGTTTATTTTAATTTAGTAGAAGAGTTAAAATTAAAAATGAAAAGGAAGCATTGAAGGATACCAATATAGGGTTTCCAAAATGAGTCTTCCTTGTGACACTCGTTCAGTAATTTCAAAGCAAGTACTACATTTGGCATTACTTGTAATAGTTTATCTGTCTCAATAATAGATCCTAAAAGCACAGAAAAATGAAAAATGATTTATTCATATATAAAACCGTTTTAAAGCTTCTCTTGCATGATCGGAATAAAATTATACATCGACGTTTCCCCACAGTCGAGATAGTAGTGTACAAACCTAAAAATGTGGAAGTTGAATGTTCTGAAGTTAGGATCAACTTTCGTGGGATATTTAATATTTTCTCTCCTGCCTTTTGAAGAAAATATTTCAGCAAAGTCGAAGATGCAGTTTTCATACAGCAATCTTTACAAAAATCTTAATCATTCACGTCGTCGTTACCTGAAGCGAGGTCACAGCTCGGACACCACAATCAACCTCAGAACTTGAGTACACCTCCACCTTAGAGTATTAAAAGGGAAAAGATTTTGCATGAAATTTGTAATAGTAATTCTCTTGCACAGAATGCCAAAGTCGAGGAGTAAGACTATTAAAAGAAGATCTGAGTATTTTCACAACGGCAGTTTCTTCAAAAGCTCTGGGCTAGCTGCGTTCACAAACACTCAAGATGCTGAAGCCGTTTGTTTCTAATCATGACATGAGACGTAGCAGTAAGCAGATCAAGCCAGATCTTAGAACTTGACAACATATACAGCGTAAAATTGAACGTTGTTTAATGTTTATCAATATCGTATTGCAGAATCTAGATGATAAATTTAACAAGTAGCGAACAAGTCAATAAAGTACATTACATTTTCAGAATCAGCCTTATTTTCCTTCAGCCATTCAGAGAATTTAGGAAGGAAAGTACTTCGGGTTGGTACCTCTTCTTTTTCTTAATAAGGAAACCAGATGTTTTCAAATCATATTCAAAGATGAGACTGCATGTGTTTTGGGAAAAACTAAGTTGAAAGGAAATGAGTAGTGTTACTTACATACCTGACTGAACCTGCATTTTCTGGATTTTGTCAACTAATTCTCTGATTGCAACATGTTCATCCCATTGCTCTTTAGCATTTGCAGCTGGAAGTGAGCTTGCTTCTAGAATATTATAAAAGTGCATTGCATGCTTCTTAAGCAGGTGCTAGTTAAGGATGTTAAGACTTGTCTACAAAGTAAACAACAAAAACAAAACAATTTAAAGGTATGGTTTAGACTGGCCGTAACTGAAAGAGGTTAATTAAGACTCCAAAAAGGCTGTTTCAATCAATCTACAATAAAGCCCCCAAGTTTTGGAAATTTTACACAATACAATAATGAAATGTCACAGCTGCCAATATTCTAGTCTATGCTACGAAACACTGGCTTGCACTGGAGACCACTGCTTGATTTGGAGACTGCTTGCCTTCTGCATATATAGACAAGTCGCCACAAGGGTTTAGGAGGTTAAAAAATTAATGTTTTTTTATCTGGGAGGGGGAGGGGTATGTGGAACGGACATCCCCTCACCTAGCTTCCACATTGTAGAAACAAAATGGTAGGGTTGGGACAACCCCACCCTATCTTCCTTTTCCCATTCTCTGTAAAACTATCATTGTATTAAATCTAATATTAAATATATAATGCACAGATGGCAGATGTCATGGCAAATATGGTTGTGCACTGTTTTACCACCAAAGTAACTCAGTAAATCTGACTACAAATCAGGGTCACAGCTGGTATTTGCATATAGTTCAGGTTGCATCCAGTCATCCACTAGTTATAAAAGGGCCTTTCAACAAGATACACCTAGCGAGTATCTGTGATTTATAAAGTCTATTTTAAATGTGCATAGTAGCACCGCATTTAAACCGTGAGCATAATGACATGACTGTGTCAAATTAAAAATATAATACTTTAATTAAATTTGAGAAATTTGTACTTTCAAGAAGTAAGGAAACAGTTGCATCTTCTTCTGGTTTGCTCTTCTGGGCTCTGCCGTCTTTATTAGTTCTGTTTTTCTTTCCCATCTTTGTACTTTAATATTTCTTATTGCTTAAATTTATTTTCAAGACGATAACAAAGCCATTGACTGAGTATAAAATGTAAAAAACTTTCTCATCAAAAAACTAAAAATTAAAAATAACAAACATGATAAATCCGTCAAATCTGTAAATCAGGTGATATATATGATATAATCTGACAATCATTAGATAAATCGAATCTCAAGATTGATAGCGAACTAGCAGAGCTAAATATATAAAATTTAAATATCGATAGCTCTTCATCCGAGGGGGTATAGCTCAGTGGTAGAGCATTCGACTGCAGATCGAGAGGTCTCCGGTTCAATCCCGGATGCCCCCTTCACTCTTTTCAATTTTCTTTTTCAATTTTCTTTCTACCCAGAAAAGAGATATTTACTTTACCAGAATTTTGCATTTTTGTAAAAGTGGAATTTTATCAAATAATATATAATTTCGCAACAAAATTTTGAAAATTATACAATTTTAACGAGAAAAAATAATATCGCCCCAAATCCCCATGTTTTATAACACGGCCTGTGAATCGAACAACTTTTCGTGTATCCAATTTTGTACGTCTCATTGCAGTTGGCTAAGTGAGCGACGTCTTCGATGTTCGAGATATGGATGAGATTGAAAGTCTTCAGGTGAGCTTTTGGGTATATTTTATACCTCAGAATTACTTTCTTTTATTTTCTTAAATAGCTGTGTTTTGTGATTGCACAAAGATAGGCTATTAAGTAAAAAAATGCATTGAAATTGGTGGTTTGGTTTGTGCGATTGCTGCAGGGATCACCCCCGGAAGCCCTATTTATTAATTATTAGTAAGAAACACAAATCTCAAGTAAAATTAGTTGATCGTTGACGTGGGGGAGAGAAATATTGTCCAACACGAGTTTACGTTATGCCAACCACAAGCGAAAAATTGCAAAATGAGAAATAAGTGTAGTCCAGAACCATAATCTGAATTTGTTTAAAATTACATTACTTTTGCATCCAATTGAGATTTGCCTTTCACAACCCTAAAAAATTTCAAGGCCTCCGAAAAGAATTCATCTTACCAACTTCTTCTCATCGCTTCATTGCCCCCAAGTAAATCGTTTTTTCCATGTATCAAGCTGTTCTTGTAGGCTTCTAAAGCTCTTCAGGTGTACTTAGGTTTTGGGAGCAATTGTAGCATACCTGGCCAACGCAACAGGGATCAATAGACCTTTATGCATTATGCATTATGATGTAACAAGCCATGACGCCTAATTTTCATAATTATTATTCATTTTTTCACCTGAGTCATATGCCTTACCATATCACTATTATTTGTAAAAACTTTAACCACCTAATGTTAGTTTATTTTGGCTTGTTTAGAATGATCAGACAATTGATGACACTGTGAATGTTGGTGGTCTTGAAGAAGTTCTGTCAAATGATCCAGCTGTGAGAACGTCTACCAGATTAGATAGTATAGATAGTGATGGTGAACATGTTCATGATTTACATGTCAAAGTTGAAGATCCGGAAAAACATATAGAAGGATATGTCAGTTACTATGTTCTCACAAAGGTTAGTCTTTATAGTATTTGCAAATAAATGTAATTATAGTTGCACAGTCTGGCTAAGGAATTTGGGAGTCTTCACTGTTATCAAGTTACACATGTTTTCTGTATAAAATGATAATGTCTGCGTGATTATTACATGTTTATCATATGGTACTTGAATTGCATTTGCATCAAACTGCTCCACTCAGATATGTTTGTTTGATGTTAATCCAAAATCTACGTATATTTAATTTAGACAACAAGAAGTGAATTTGATCAACCAAATTATTCAGTAAGAAGAAGATATCAAGACTTTTTGTGGTTACGTCAGCGGCTGGAGGAAAGCTACCCTACTCATGTTATACCTGTAAGTTATGCAAAATTTAACTCCATTAACTGTTCAGAGCACTCTCTCTACTAATACATAATGGTGACACTGGGGAAATCATTATAAAAATGGTCACATGACTGTTCAGACTTATTCCCTGTCTTTTTAGGCATTCGGTACCAGTCAGAACAGGCATGTGACCTCAATTTAATGGTGTAATTTTACTTTTTATTTAGCCATTACCAGAGAAGAATTCATTTACAAAGCATTTTGACCGGTTCTCAGAAGAATACTTAAAAATCCGACAAGATGCATTAAATAGATTTGTATCAAGAGTATCATCACATCCCGTCCTGTCATTTAGTGAACATTTTCAAATATTTTTGACTGCAAAAACATGGGTAAGTCATAAAATTTAACTTTATTCATTTTATTTTGCTTTTATACAATGGTTGTTTTGTTGTCTTTAGGAACTAATGACTGCAAAGAAACAAGCACCTGGGATTATGAGTAGGGTGGGAGATTCTGTCAAGCACACTGCCTCTTCAATGATGTTGAAAACAAGAGATAAAGAGTTCACTGATATTGCAGAATTTGCAAAGACTTTCAATGAGAAAATAAGCTCTGTTGAGAAAGTTACAGATAAACTAGCTCGCGAGAGATTTGGTATGTTTGATATTGACTGTGTATTTAAGTTAATGCAAATGTTTTTGACCAGAAAATAATGATGTTAGCTAGAACCTAGAGTGAACTGAACGCAACATCTATTCTTGGAAAAAATACTCGTGATGTTTGTTCAACGACTTATCCGATGCAAAAATTCACGAGTTGGGGCCTTACGATTAAGCTCATTTTTTCTTATCTCCTAAGCCCTGGCTTTTCAATTTATAGACCTTCTAGAAAGCTTTAGAGATGGAATACCAGTGTTCAGATTGTGGTCAAACTCGGAAATTAAATTAGGGGATCCCTTGAACGAAATGGCAGATGCTATGGAAAAAAACAACGAGGCATTAAAAAATCTGGTATGAGAATTTCTATATTCATTTGTTTTTGGTCATCATGATCAAACGTCTCTACTGAAAAATATTCCTGGAATTAACTCGTACATTATTGTATGTCAAGTTTCACAAAAATACTACTCTACGATACTCATACAAATTATACAATACGATCCAACTCGTACACAGATCTTTCAGGATGCAGTTGAGGAAAGTGATAAGGAAATACCCTGTGTTGCGAAGGTTGCCATACGACTTTGGACTAACTGACGGTTTATTTTTGTAGTTAAAGCAACAAGATGCTGGTATTATGGAACCTCTCAAGGAATACATTTTATATATTGATGCCATCAAGGTGAACTTTCTATTTTCTTCGAAAGTAGTTGGGTATTTAAGTGGCACATTTTGTATACTGTTATCGCCGGAAATAGAGGCTGGAATAGAAATTTCTTTATGAGTGGTAAAATAAATTTTTATGTCGATTAACTTGGAAGTTGAAAAATTGGCATTGGGAAAATAAAGTAAAAATTAATAATACTTCATACGTATTGTAGAAGGGTGAACTCTACAACAATTGTGTTTACGCCAAGTTTTATTTTACCCGGACTGTGTATATCCTGGCTGTTTTTGTAATCCTCCTGAGCAAATGATGTGTATTGTTTAATTCAATAATGTTTTTTCGTCAGGGAGCCTTGAAAAGACGTGACGCGAAACAGATGGAATATGAAGTTACTGTGGAAGAACTAAAACGAAAGAAAAAGGAAAAAGAGGAAGTAAGTATAAGAAAATTTACAACATACTGTGACAAGATTGGTCGCACCATTATGTAGATCGCTATAAAAGTAGCTGCATACAGGAAAAAGCTAATAATTTTGGTATTTAATTTATCATTATTATTTCAAATTAATATCACCGGACAAGCGCAAAATTATCTTTATCTCTCCAGTTGGAACAATCGACACAAACACGTTCATTTGGTGTTTTAATCGGAAGTCGGGATCCCGAGGAAGTGAAGCAAGAAAAGATTGATAAATTGAATGCAACGATTGAGGATGTGAGAATTTATTGCTTTATTTAAGATATTTGTCTCGTCTTTGTATTATTATTAATATTTATGTTTTTTTCGCCATGCAAAATTACAAAAATATTAATTTGAAGACAAAGAATAATTTCGCTCCGCATGCAAAATTCCGGCTTTTTTATCATAGAAGCTACCGGCTCAGTTTTTAATGGTAATGACATTTATTTTTGTAGCTTGAACAAAGTGTTGAAGCCGCAAATGATCGGGCAGAATGTGCAAATCACGATTTAAAAGCTGATATCGAAAGATGGCATAAAAATAAACGACAAGATTTCAAAAAATTATTTACTGATTATTCTCAATGTCTCATTGAATATTTCAAACAGGTAATATACCGCGATGTATTGATAAGGTATTCTGTCTGAAATCTGAAAATTACAAGTTTCTTTTCATGTTTATTGTGTTTAGAGTCTAGAGGCCTGGAATGAAGCTCTCGTTAAACTGGAATCAACTTCATTAGATAACGGGGCTTTCATTGAAGAGGATTAGTAGAGTGGAATGGTGAAATTAATGTCAAATTTTATTTACATAGAGCAATTTTATTACACGCAGTTCATTTGGGAAACAACTATACTTCAGCAGTGACCATTGAACAGCCGTGCATAATTCATATACTTTTAGTTTATCTATATGGGTAAAAACAATATCAATAAACTAGGGATATTTTGGTGTTATTACCCGTCATGATATAACTTTGACCAGGGTTTAGTTTCTTCATTACATATCTTAGTTTCCAGTTTACCAATCATCGACATGCGTGAGGTCACATGTTTCGATAAAACTTGGTTGAATCTCTCACACAATTCCAAACACGATTTGTGGTAGCTATATTTTGTATACATTTTTCACCATAATAAAAGTAATATATAAGGAATCGTGTAACATCGGTTACACACAGCGACTTGCAGCTCTTTCGATGGCCGCTTACAAATTGCCTTCGTCGGTGATGCTATATTAACGTTGTTTTCTGACATAATTATGTGAAAACAATTAGAATTCGATTAATTGGAGGTTTAGTTCGATAAATGATGATAATTGTTAGAAAAAACACCTACCATATTACTTTTTTTTCTTGATTCCTTTTACGTCTTAAAATAATTGTGATTTTAATTACGGGTGAAGAATTTCAAATTATATACTTTAGTGAATCATATATAGTGACGTAGCTATACTAGGTATATTTTTATCAATAAAAATTTATCATAGTTTTCAGTGATTATATCATTTTAATTACATGTTAGATGTAAAAAACAATAAAATAAAATGATAATTGTGATTTGATTAGTTCGTTGTTATTTTATGTGATACTGTGAGAAGTCATTTTCGACAATGTGAAATAGTCTGTACTCTGTATCTCGTATCAACACTATTGCAGTTAGCGATATGAACACGCGTGAGCCTGACCAGACCGATGTGAGTATTTGACTGTCCAGAACAATGGCAGACCAGTCATTGAGGGTGTTTACCGGCATGTGATTTATAGTTCATGAAATAAATTTTTAACTTCAAAATGCCAAATGTTGTTAGTCGGTCGTTAGTCTTTCTTTCGCGTTTAAACAAAAGGTTTACGTGGACACGTCAAATGCAGTTGATGATTATGAAGTTTATCATCTCATTGTTTGAATTGCTGCTTTAAATATACACCATGCATGGTTTAGTTTGTTTTGTCTGGCATGAAATAGTTAATTGCATAATTATGACTAGTAATTTTGACATGCCAAACTTTTTATGCACTCGTTGGTTTAGCTCAGTGCTAGAACAATTGATATTTTAACAATAGAATAGATGATTTTAATACTTTGAAATGCAAATTTTAAAACAGTGATCTCGTTTTAAAATGCGGCGAATTAATGATACGCGACTGAATACAAACATTTCAAAGTGATTAGTTTTTTGAGGAATGGAGGAAACAGTGAAAAGTCAGACTTTAACAGTTTAGCAGATCATCAGAAACTATAAAAAATGCCAGGGATCTAAAAAACAAGGATGTTTTTTTATGCACATGCATGTACACGTTATACTGTATATGAATGATTTATTGTTATATATTCACAATTTATTGTTTATCATTCAGCGATGTCCTTTTGTTTTTCTAATAATTCCGATTAACATATTTCAAACGCATGGAGAGGTTCACAATTTCTCTATTGTACTGTATAATCCTCATGATAAACAGGAATTACGTCACATGGGGAAGGTATATCAAGGCAGCCACAGCATTTTGAACTTGTTTCTACCCTGGTCTTCAACATGGTTCGGAAGCGCTGCGTCTTGGTTGCCGAAACTTTGGCTGGATTCTTCTTCCTCGCTTGTCTGCTGGTCGGACAAGAAAATGCTGAAACTACACTGCAAGATATTCCTGTGTAAGTATGAATACATGCTTAACTCTAGTGGCTCGAGTGGTACGATTTTATCGTGCATGAATCGTTGCTCGCCCGGCTTCAACAAAATTTTAAGAAACTTTCTTCTCCCCACGAGTGTTAAAGCGGTAACGATTTCTGAACTTGTCCTAGACCTTGTCTATCGATCTATCGTTTGTCTTATATCACCTGCGAAGTTATTTATCGGCAAACCATTCGCATTTGCGGTCCTAAGTACAGACCACGTTTTGTGTGTTCGAGTTAGTTTGCGGTTGTTTGTTATACAATACGTGAAAGCGTGCCCGAAATACCTTTTTATTACAAATGATGTTCTTCCGAACTCCACTTTGGCCAGTATTTGGCACTGATTTATCTTTTACGGCGAAAGTATTCTGATCGTTGTGAGGCACGCCCTTCTACACTGCCGCATGGTGTTTAAATAATATGTACATATATAGTCATAGAGAACAAATAGTAGCCTCTCTCGATCTTTACTCGATTTAAGCGGACCTAATTTCTTAGTTGGTTTATTTCTAATGCACAACATAACACGATACGCGGCCAAATCGTGCAATACAAAATGCATTTGAGTCAAAATGACGGACGATTTTGACATTTCAATGTGTTTCTTTATAGGTATAAAGAACTAGACCTCCTCGACAGAGAAGCCAGATCCGTGAACAGATCCGATTCCATTGATAGAATTTGTTTCTACCAAGTGCCTTACGTCCACGCTGTTCCCGAAGAGTTTAACGTAACCGTCGTTCAAACATTTGTTGCTTTATGTGGTAATGTACCTGATGAAATTCCTCTCAACGATGGCTCAAATCAGTGTCGGTTTACTAGGTATGTGTACAGCTATTCAATCGGAACACAACTGAAAACATTTTCTGTCAGTTTGTTAATTTTTCGATTTTCAAGAGACTTATTGAAGCCCCTTTTATAACAGGAATTCGTAGCCTGAACATTATGATATATAGCCTATATATAGTGTAAAAAGTGAGCAAGGTATAAGCTTGAATTAAGACAAACTGGTATTGAAAGAACCTGCTTGGTTTGTTTTGAAATTGCCGTGGAATGATGGTTGATATCATTCCTTCTCATCCGTCTGCAGAATTGTATTGAAAGAACCTGTTTTTGTATTATTTTAGATCAGTTGTTGTTACAAAGAAACGTGAAGTATTCAAAAGGATGTACAGAGTTGAATCGAGGTGTTGCAAAGGATGGACTGGACCCGAGTGTACCCAACGTGAGTAAAAACCAATCTCATCTTAGTGTGTAAATTTAAATCATGAAATCTCGCTATATGCACAATGAAAGCAATTTTGAACACATACATGTGCATGTTGGCAGTGAAATAGTAGAATTTTGCACTTGGGCATAATTAAGATTCGCGTTGTTGACCTTCACAATGTCTAGTGAGCATTAGCCGTTTTGTGTTACTAATTTTGTGTAATTATGGGGAACATTGAACTCCAGTATTATTGGAAGCATGGCAATTACATGCATTCAGGACTGATAAATTTGTTCGTTCTTTGTATTAACCAGCTTATTGAAACTGATTTATTTAAATCTCGATTTATTTCTAGGTGATTGTGATCCACCTTGCATGAATGGGGGAGTTTGCAGTAACGACCAATGTTTTTGTCACGATGGCTATACTGGAAAAAACTGCGAAGAAGGTAGTTGCATATCTCCACTGTTCAATTCCTGATGCTTTCTCTCGATATCGACTAAAATATTTTCTTGCCACGTAATTCTACAGCTGTATGTCGAACACCATGCATTAACGGAGCTTGTATCAAACCAGACGTTTGTATGTGTCATCCTGGGTGGACTGGGCTAACTTGTGAAACAGGTAGACAAAAACGACTCTGCATATCTTAAAACTTGCATGATTTTTTGTGCGGATTAGGCTTCAGTTACCTGGGTAATATGAGAAATACCTAATTTATACCTCAAAATACCGAAATGATTCGTATTGCTGCTTTTAGTAATAAATTTGATAAATTTCTAGCAATATGTGAAGAGGAATGTAAGAATGGCGGTAGCTGTGTAGCCCCCAACACTTGCGCTTGTGTCAGTGGTTTCACTGGAGAAAAATGCCAGGGAGGTTAGGAACTGATTTGTGCAAAAATGCTCATGTTTTTTAGAGTAATTGTTTTATCGCTGTGATGATGATGGATAGGAAAATTGTCCAAATACAAACCGCCGTCACCTATAGCCATACTGCTTCACTGTTATCTCCGCTATATATTAATCAAATATTTCATACTTCCAGAACGTTGCCCAAAGCCCTGTGAACATGGCGGGATTTGTTCCGGTGGATCCTGTTACTGTAAATTTGGATGGACTGGGGAAACTTGTAACGAACGTTAGTACAATGATAACTTGAGTCTTTTCTCAACTTTAATCGTAACGTGGCGGAACGTAGCGTATTCCGTCGTTTGGCAGTCAATTCTAACTTCAGCCTAGTTTCCTGCACGCTACGTATACAGTGGCGTAGCCAGCCTGACGATTTTGTCCCGCTATGTAAATTTCGAGTTATTATAATTATTCATTTCTTTAGAAATGTATTGTTTTCACAGTCAGTGAACACCAAAATATTAGCATGGCGGGACAAATCGTCAGGCTGGCTACGCTACTGTACGTATATCGCTGCCATACGGCTGTGACTGTCAAATGTTGAACTAATAATTCTCATTCACGAATATTAAATCTTGAATATTTTATAGCTGTTTGCGAAGGTGGATGTCAAGTGGGTGGCATTTGTATGGCGCCTAACACATGTCTTTGCCCTGAAGGCTACTCTGGAAAGAATTGCGAAATATGTAAGTTCCAATGCCTCTTCACTGAAAGTAAAGAAATCCCCACCGATGAACTCTAGTTACCCCGAGATTCATCGCAATATATTAACGTACATCTATATTTTCTTTCATCATCAGCTCTTATCTCGAATCAAGAAAATGACCTATCCTTTATGTTTAAAAGACAAGTCATCTCGACAACATCAGGTAATATTGACATCAGTAGCAATCATATTCGATGAAACAGTGTTTTCCTGAACCTGAAATAGTTGGAAATTTTACCATACTTTTCCCTACTGAATTTGCATTCACTGAACTTGCAGTATTTGTATTTTTACGACCAATGATGGTATTTGACATTATCCTCCATTTTATCTGTGGAGAATTTATTTAAAGTTTGTGAAAAAATGGGGGTTTTTTGTGGTCGCCCGGATGAATTTGCCATAATATAACCAGTATATTTTGCTAGATACTTCAATATCTATATTTTTAGATGAACCCGACTTGTGTTACACTTGGGGTCAACACCATTACAAAACATTTGACGGGAAGTACTTCTATTATCCTGGACGTTGCACGTACAAACTGGTTGCTGACTGTGTTGATGACATGTTCTCTGTTCATGTTACAAATGATCCAAACTGTCCTGAAGATCAAAAATGTCGTCGTGGTGTTGAATTGTATCTTGGTGGACATGATATCAAGGTTTGTAAATTCGCTAAAATCATACTATTGATGATGTCGTGAACGTGTGGAGAAAATTAACGGCATAGTAGTGTATTAACATCAGCGACTAAATAAAAATCATTGTTCAACAGTTTTTAGTTGATGCTGCGACATCTATAGTAACCAAGCATAGTAATTACTAGAAAAATGTTCAATAAGACATACCCTACTTTTTAGGTTGTTCTTGACCAACATAGACATGTCGAAGTCAACGGTCAGAACGTATCACTGCCTCACCTGGTAGAAAAAATTGTGATTCAAGAAGTTGCGAGGTACATTGTCGTGTATGGTTTCAGTGGTCTAACTATCCAGTGGGACGGTCACAGCGCTGTCTATGTTCATATGTCTAATGAATACCGAGGGAAAACCTGTGGTTTATGTGGCAACTATAACAGCGACCCTGCAGATGACTTTCTTACTCTGGCTGGTAATCAAGTCTCCAACGTGAACACATTTGGTAACAGTTATAAAATGACAGCCTTTGGTGAAACATGTGAAGATGTTCCTGCACATATGGACTCGTCTCCTTGTAAAAAGCTGAGCTCGACGGAATACGCGAACATTCGTATCTCTTGTGCAACTTTGTTGCAAGCACCGTTCTTATCCTGTCATTCGATCGTAGACCCGGCGTTATTTCTAAAGATGTGTGAGGAAGATGCATGTTCCTACTTCAACTACACTTCAGTCAACTCCACATTGTGCGATGCTTCTACCCAATATTCAAGAGCCTGTTCTAGAAATGGAGTTGAACTTTCTTGGAGAGATGATCTTAATATTTGCGGTATGTATACCATAGAAATTCAATAGCGTATTAAATCCAGGAACTGTAAAGAAAATGATGAAGATTTTGCAATGGAGACCGTCCATTATGCCCGAAGTGTATGTGTGAAGTTTAAAACATATAATGCAAATATCTGACTAGGCTGGTAGATGTTTATCTTAAAATCGGGTAATTCAATACGCAATGAAAAGCTCAAACATGTTTTCCTTTTTCATTTCGTTATGAAAATATTTGACTATATTTCGTGGATGAATATGTACTACACGTAGCCCAGTCCATAGGCAATTATTCCTCTTTATTCAGACGTAACATGTCCGGCAACGATGATATTCAGTGAATGCGAAACGGCTTGTCCAAGAACGTGTTTTCATAAAGATAAGAAATATATTTGTGACATGCACTGCATTGATGGCTGCACCTGCCCAAATGGAACTTATCATGATGGACAAAACTGTGTTGCTGAAAAAGAATGTCCTTGCGATCATCATAAAGAGCTATTTCCTGCTGGATCCATCGTGCAAAATGATTGCAACAAATGGTAAGTAGTCTTCCATATAACACCAATTTTAAATTTCTGTTCATATACAGTCTCGGGCGACAAAATTGTTTCTATTTTAAGTCGAAAAAATCTTTCGTCATGGAGGAATCTTAACTCGGATTTTTTTTGCAGTGTTTGTACCGGCGGCAGTTGGTCATGTAGTAGTGATGTTTGTGCTGGTGAGTTAAGTTATCTAAACTTTTGTAGCACAAGTGCTAATATTATGCAGTGATATTATTATTATTATTATTTGAAATTTTGACATACAGAATTAACGTCCGGAAAGAATTCGCCTGTAAACAAGCTAAATGGAATTGATTTTTGATCTTATTGTTCATATTTCTTCGCAGGGACGTGCTCCGCAACAGGTGACCCGCATTATAGAACGTTTGACGGCAAGGCGTATTCATTTATGGGCCATTGTCGTTATATCTTTGCGAGAGACTGTCACTCAAATACCTTCGAGATCTTGGTCGAGAATACTCCATGTGGCACTGATGATACTGTCACTTGTACTAAAACTGTTTTTGTCAACGTTAACGGATCCTCGATTGTCCTCATGCGCGGTGGAGCAGTCATTGTGAATAGCAAGGAAATTGTGCTTCCCTACACGACAGCAGGTATGATCATTCGTATATTTTTTTTATTTTCAAAAGTATATGCGAATTATAAATCACGAAATTTTGGAAGTTGTCGATGACTGGTGTAGCTGGTCCTGCAACTGAAATGCTATTGAAGATCACAACATTCAATAATAATTTTTCTTGAAATTGTCCATTTAAATACAAACAAGATACAAACATTTTCTTTCATTTTCCTTTTATCCTAACATGCCTTACACATGAGATCAGGATTCCTATGGATCCAGACACCGGTAGGATGCTCATTTAAATTGTACTATTTTCTTCACAGGGGTCACGATGACAAGAATATCCTCCCAGATAACTCGTTTGCAATCTAGCGTTGGATTAGATGTGAAGTGGGATGGAATGCTGCGTCTTTATGTCACAGTTCAACCCCACTTCGCTAACAAAACCTGCGGTCTCTGTGGTAATTACAATAATATCCAAGATGATGACTTCATGAACAACGACCACGCTATCGAAACCAACGTTCTTGCTTTTGCTAACTCCTGGGCAACAACGGTTTGCAACAAAACTGCTCACGCGAAAAACCCATGCGAGACGATGGTCCAGCGAGCGGCCGAAGCCGAGATGAAGTGCGGCGCTCTAAAAAGGGATCCATTTCAAGCATGCCATCATAGTGTGGATCCACTGGATCATTATATTCAAAACTGCAAGTATGACGTATGTGGTTGTCAGGATGGCACTCTCTGTTATTGTTCAGCGCTGGAAGATTATGCACATGCGTGTACACGTCATGGTCATGTGATTAACTGGAGAAACACTGGTCTGTTCCCTGAATGCGGTATGAAATTCTGATTTTCTTTTACCATTATCTAGATGACATTACTTATTTGGAAATGCAGCTACTTTATTAGTGCGACAACTTAATCCACTCATCTTGGACCAAATGGTGTCTAAAATAACGCTCTTAGTTCCCGCAATAGAAATAAATAGCATATTTTTTTCTGCCACGTATTAATTTACGGCTTGCAGAAAATTTAAAGTTAAAGCTTCTTGCCATGGATAGTTTCGGATACTGTAGCTTGACAAAACGTAACATTTTTTTAAACAGATGTTCTGTGTGAGAACAAGCAACAGGAATATAATCAATGTGGTACTTCGTGTTATGAAACATGCCGTGATTTACAAGCAAACGAGGGCTGTATTGAGGAATGTTCACCAGGATGCCATTGCCCAAATGGCACAGCATTAAATGAAGACAACAATTGTGTGCCTTACTCACAATGTCCTTGTCATCAGGATGGTGACGACTACGCCCCTGGAGCCTCCTATTGGCCCGACAGATGCACCATATGGTAACTTATTATTCTTACTTATTATGAACTTGTGCTTATTATGATTAAATGCGTTTTTAAATCCCATGTGGAGTAAATTAAGTATCCCACAGTTTCATGACAAAAAATGCCAATAAACGAAGGTGTTCTTATCTTTAATAAATTAATAGTACTTTTAATACTATTACTTTTTAGCACTTGTAAGAATGGAAAATTTGACTGTCAAAACGAGACATGCCAAGGTAGAATTTTCTCGTATTTACTTTTTGGTCATTTGAATTGCGTCTGATTTCAACTTGGTAAACCTTCCAGCTCCCCTTTGCCACAATTTTCTCGTTTTCATTCAAAATGGCGTTTGTGTAGTATATCATTTTAAGCGTTACTTTTCAAATTAGGCGTTGAATGCTCTTCTGGTCGAGTTTGGTCCACTTGTGCCCAATGTGCTAAAACGTGCGAGAACGTGAACTTGCCATGTTTGAACCAACAATGCGAAGAAGGCTGCATTTGTCCTGGAGATCTTGTCTTCGATGGTTCTGGGTGTGTTAATGTCTCTGAATGTGCTTGTCATCATGATGGTCGTCATTATGACTCAGGAGAAACTATCACTTTAGACTGTAATACTTGGTAAGTATTTTTACATTCTACTGTACCTAAACATTTAGAAATACTAAATTCCATCACTTCCCTTCGCAGTACTTGCCAAGATACAGCATGGACATGTACTACGAAAAAATGTCCTAAAGTTTGCAGTGCAGTTGGCGATCCTCATTTTAAAACATTTGATGGTAAAAGGTACGAATTCCAAGGCTCTTGTGGGTACATTTTATCTGAGGACTACTGTGGCAGCAGCACTGGAAATTTTCGCATTGAAGTGCAAAACATTCCTTGTGGAACGAGTGGGGTTACCTGTACGAAAGCACCTATTGTAACTTTGGATAGCATAATGATCTCCTTCATTCGAGGGGGAAAACCAAAAATCGAAGCCCTACCTGGAGCCAAAAATATAAACCTCACGTCGGGATATAACATCTACGAGAGCTTGTTCTTCACTGTGCTGACGACCGAAATTGGGTTGACTATGGAATGGGATCATGGTACTACAGTGTATGTCAATTTGGAACCTACTTACAAAGGTAAGATAACATTTTATTCCAGTAACGCAGTTTCGCAATTCTCCACTTTCCTGTACCAGGGCACATTGATCGAACTTACTTCAAAGCAAATATCCTGTGCAACGTTGAACGTTCGAAATAAACAACTGCCTTCGGGTTTTTTCAGCATGATTAAATATAAAATGACGCGATACACTTCCACGCTGATTATTTCCCACTGAGTGTTGTTTCTTAATTGTGCTCTGCAAATCGTGGGTAGGTTAATGAGACTCTTTCATGCGTCTTTGTATTCAGTCCAATTGACCGTTTTCTTATAGGAGATACATGTGGTCTTTGTGGTAATCTCAATGATAATCAAAACGATGATTTCTTGACCCCCCAAAACCTTCCTGAAACTCTGCCGACGGATTTCGGCGATTCTTGGAAAGTTGAACCATCTTGTGCCGATACACACGTGATTGAACACCCCTGTAAGACGAACAAACATAGAGCCGCTTGGGCGTACAAGACCTGTAACATCATAAGAAGGGATGTTTTTCAACCTTGTCACGATAAAGTAAGTACCGAAAATCTCTTACCAACTTGCGTTACCTGCTTTCTTGTTCCTTCAGTGAGTTCGCATTCCTAGCTCTGTAACAAATATATATTTTGATAGAGAAAAAATCCGTAGCATCTATTGATCCATCTTTAAACGTATGCTGTAATATTCTATTTACAATTTCGAAGCGTTTTAATATTGCGTTATCTTGCCTTCTTGCTTTCAGCTAGCATTCATCGTTGACTTTCGTTTCAAATATTGTAGGTTGACCCAGAGCCATTTTTCGAAAATTGCTACTATGATGCTTGCGGTTGCGATACTGGTGGTGATTGTGAATGTATGTGTACAGCTATTGCGGCTTATTCAAGGGAATGTAACCGACACGGTGTGCATGTAAAGTGGAGAACACAAGAACTTTGTCGTAAGTCGAAATTGCTGTGAATTTCTTCTACATTTTCTTTGAGTTCATTAATCAATATCACTGGTAAAACCAATCACCACATGCGTTTATTTCATTGCTCTTTCTTCCAGCTGCTCAATGTGAGAATGGTCTAAAGTATGAGGCTTGCGGTCCAGCATGTCCGAAAACGTGCGAATCGCTTTGTGGCTCAAGTCCTTCATGTCCAATACCATGCACTGAAGGTTGCCACTGCCCCAATGGCACAGTACTTCACAATGGCGGCTGCATCAAACCAGATGCCTGTACTTGCATTGTGGATGGTCACGAGTACCAAAATGGTTCTTTTGTGATAAGAAATTGTCAAAGTTGGTAAGATATCCTTCGTACGATTGAAATGAATACTTTGTCAAGGTTTTACTGGTACTCAAACCGACCCCCCCCCCCCCTTCATCCATATTCCCTAAGTTTTCATGGTTATATCCAGAGTAATCACATCTATCTACATAATCAACACTATTTCAAGTTACTTAATCCAATAAATTCTGAACAAGAGTATGTTCCAGACTGCTTTAACATGACTGCTTTGACTGCTCTACATCGGAATATTTTTACTAACAACACTGTAATGCTTCCATTTTTATAGTATTTGTAATTCTGGGTGTCTTCTTTGTACTGGACCAACATGTACCACCACGTCAGAAGTAACTACCAAACCTACAACTGCTGCAACTGGTGTGCCTGGCATTGTTACGAAATTGACATCTGCTGCCCCTGGTGTGATCACTGCTTCCACTGCTCCTACTCTAAAAATAACAACTGCCGCAACTGGAGTTACAACGAAACCTACAACTGCTGCAACTGGAGCTACCACCAAACCAACAACTGCTGCAACTGGAGTCACCACCAAACCTACATCTGCTGCCACCGGAGCTACCACCAAACCTACAACTGCTGCAACCGGTGTTCCTGGCATTGTTACGAAATTGACATCTGCTGCACCTGGTGTGATCACTGCTTCGACTGCTCCTACTGTAAAAATAACAACTGCCGCAACTGGAGTTACAACGAAACCTACAACTGCTGCAACTCGAGCTACCACCAAACCAACAACTGCTGCAACTGGAGTTACCACCATACCTACAACTGCTGCCACTGGAGCTACCACCAAACCTACAACTGCTGCAACTGGTGTGCCTGGCATTGTTACGAAACTTACATCTGCTGCACCTGGTGTGATCACTGCTTCGACTGCTCCTACTGTAAAAGTAACAACTGTCGCAACTCGAGTTACAACGAAACCTGCAACTGGAGTTACCACCAAACCAACAACAGCTGCAACTGGTGTAACAACTAAACCTACAACTGCTGCAACTGGAGTAACGACTAAACATACAACTGCTGTAACTGGAGTTACCACCAAACCTTCAACTGCTGCGACTGGAGTTACCAAAAAACCAACAACTGCTGCAACTGTAGTGACGACCAAACCTACAACTGCTGTAACTGGAGTTACCACCAAACCTACATCTGCTGCAACTGGAGTAACCACCAAACCTACAACTGCTGCAACTGGAGTAACCACCAAACCAATAACTGCTGCAACTGGAGTTACCACCAAACCTACAACTGCTGCAACTGGAGCTACCACCAAACCTACAACTGCTGCAACTGGTGTAACTACCAAACCAACAACTGCTCCAACTGGTGTAACAACTAAACCTACAACTCCTGCAACTGGTATAACAACTAAACCTACAACTGCTGCAACTGGTGTAACAACTAAACCTACAACTGCTGCAACTGGTGTAACAACTAAACCTACAACTGCTGCAACTGGTGTAACAACTAAACCTACAACTGCTGCAACTGGTGTAACAACTAAACCTAAAACTGCTGCAACTGGAGTAACTACCAAACCAACAACTGCTGCAACTGGTGTGACAACTAAACCTACAACTGCTGCAACTGGTGTAACAACTAAACCTACAACTCCTGCAACTGGTGTAACAACTAAACCTACAACTCCTGCAACTGGTGTAACAACTAAACCTACAACTCCTGCAACTCGTGTAACAACTAAACCAACAACTGCTGCAACTGGTGTAACTACCAAACCAACAACTGCTGCAACTGGTGTAACAACTAAACCTACAACTCCTGCAACTGGTGTAACAACCAAACCAACAACTGCTGCAACTGGTGTAACAACTAAACCTACAACTGCTGCAACTGGTGTGCCTGGCATTGTTACGAAATTGACATCTGCTGCCCCTGGTGTGATCACTGCTTCCACTGCTCCTACTGTAAAAATAACAACTGCCGCAACTGGAGTTACAACGAAACCTACAACTGCTGCAACTGGAGCTACCACCAAACCAACAACTGCTGCAACTGGAGTTACTACCAAACCAACAACTGCTCCAACTGGTGTAACAACTAAACCTACAACTGCTGCAACTGGTGTAACAACTAAACCTACAACTGCTGCAACTGGTGTAACAACTAAACCTACAACTGCTGCAACTGGTGTAACAACTAAACCTAAAACTGCTGCAACTGGAGTAACTACCAAACCAACAACTGCTGCAACTGGTGTGACAACTAAACCTACAACTGCTGCAACTGGTGTAACAACTAAACCTACAACTCCTGCAACTGGTGTAACAACTAAACCTACAACTCCTGCAACTGGTGTAACAACCAAACCAACAACTCCTGCAACTGGTGTAACAACTAAACCTACAACTCCTGCAACTGGTGTAACAACTAAACCAACAACTGCTGCAACTGGTGTAACTACCAAACCAACATACTGCTGCAACTGGTGTAACAACTAAACCTACAACTCCTGCAACTGGTGTAACAACTAAACCTACAACTGTTGCAACTGGAGTTACCAGCAAACCTACAACTGTTGCAACTGGAGTTACCACCAAACCTACAACTGCTATTACTGGTGTTACTACGAAACCAGCAACTGAAGTAACTAGGAAACCAGCAACTGGAGTAACGACCAAACCTACAACTGCTGTAACCGGAGTTACCACAAAACCTACATCTGCTGCAACTGGAGTAGCCACCAAACCTACAACTGCTGCAACTGGAGCAACCACCAAACCAACAACTGCTGCAACTGGAGTTACCACCAAACCTACAACTGCTGCAACTGGAGCTACCACCAAACCTACAACTGCTGCAACTGGTGTAACTACCAAACCAACAACTGCTGCAACTGGTATAACAACTAAACCTACAACTCCTGCAACTGGTGTAACAACTAAACCTACAACTGCTGCAACTGGAGTAACTACCAAACCAACAACTGCTGCAACTGGTGTGGCAACTAAACCTACAACTGCTGCAACTGGTGTAACAACTAAACCTACAACTCCTGCAACTGGTGTAACAACTAAACCTACAACTCCTGCAACTGGTGTAACAACTAAACCTACAACTCCTGCAACTGGTGTAACAACTAAACCTACAACTGTTGCAACTGGAGTTACCAGCAAACCTACAACTGTTGCAACTGGAGTAACTACGAAACCAACAACTGGAGTAACTAGGAAACCAGCAACTGGAGTAACGACCAAACCTACAACTGCTGCAACTGGAGTAACTACCAAACCAACAACTTCTGAAACTGGAGTAACTACCAAACCAACAACTCCTGCAACTGGTGTAACAGCTAAACCTACAACTGTTGCAACTGGTGTAACAACTAAATCTACAACCGTTGCAACTGGAGTTACCAGCAAATCTACAACTGTTGCAACTGGAGTAACTACCAAACCAACAACTGGAATAACAACCAAACCTACAACTGCTGCAACTGGAGTTACAACTAAACCAACAACTGCTGCAACTGGTGTAACAACTAAACCTACAACTGTTGTTACTGGTGTTACTACGAAACCAGCAACTGGGGTAACAACCAAACCTACAACTGCTGCAACTGGAGTTACTACTAAACCTACAACTGCTACAACTAGAGTTACCACAAAACCTGCAACGGGTGTAGTAACAAAACCAACAACTGCTGCGACTCGATTAGTGACAAAACCGACGACTGCTGAAACTGAAGTAGTGTCCAGTGTTAAATCAAAACATACAACTGGTGTTCCTGGTATTGTTACGAAATTGACATCTGCTGCACCTGGTGTGATCACTGCTTCGACTGCTGCAACTGTAAAAATAACAACTCCTGCAACTGGAATTACCACGAAACCTGCAACTGGAGTAACCACCAAACCTACAACTGCTAAAACTGGGGTAAAAACCAAACCTAAAACTGCTGCAACTGGTGTTACTACGAAACCAATAACGGTTGCAACTGGGGTAACTACTAAACCTGTAACTGAAGTAACCACCAAACCTACAACGGCTGCAATTAGAGTAACCACCAAACCAACAACTGCTGCAACTGGTGTCACGACAAAACCTACAACTCTTCAAACTGGTGTGCCTGGCATTGTTACGAAATTGACATCTGCTGCACCTGGTGTGATCACTGCTTCGACTGCTCCTACTGTAAAAATAACAACTGCTGTAACGGAAGTTGCTAGCAAACCAGTAACTGGATTGACGACCAAACCTGCAACCGTAGCAACTGGAGTGACGGCGCAACCTACAACTGCAACAACCGGAATGACAACAGAATTCGCCGTCATAACAGGCGCGGTTACAGGAGCAACCTCTCCCGTCGCTGGGGTAGGGCTTATAACGACGAAACCGACAACACCAATGACTACAGAGGCACCCAGGGAAACCACCGGTATAACCATAGTAACGACAAAGCAGGCTGGCATTGGGCCAAGAGTGATGACAGTGCAATCGGCGTTTACACCAGGGGCTGCTACACCTGCAGCTGGAGGTGCACAAACAACACCAACAAGTGTTTTAACAGGAGTAACTACGCAACCTGCAGGTGCTGTAACAGGAATAACACATAAACCTGCAACTGGAGTAACAACCAAACCTGCAACTGGTGTGCCTGGCATTGTTACGAAATTGACATCTGCTGCACCTGGTGTGATCACTGCTTCGACTGCTTCTACAGTAAAAATAACAACTGCTGCAACTGGAGTTACCACCAAACCAACAACTGCTGCAACTGGTGTAACAACTAAACCAACAACTGCTGCAACTAGTGTAACAACTAAATCAACAACTGCTGCAACTGGAGTTACAACGAAACCTGCAATTGGAGTAACCACCAAACCTACAACTCCTGCAACTGGTGTAACGACTAAAGCTACAACTGCTGCAACTGGAGTTACCACCAAACCAACAACTGCTGCAACTGGTGTGACAACTAAACCAACAACTGCTGCAACTGGTGTGACAACTAAACCAACAACTGCTGCAACTGGTGTGACAACTAAACCAACAACTGCTGCAACTGGTATAACAACAAAACCTACAACTCCATCAACTGGTGTAACGACTAAACCTACAACTGCTGCAACTAGAGTTACCACTAAACCAACAACTACTGCAACTGGTGTGACAACTAAACCAACAACTGCTGCAACTGGAGTTACAACGAAACATGCAACTGGAGTAACCACCAAACCAACAACTGCTGCAACTGGAGTAACCACCAAACCAACAACTGCTGCAACTGGAGTTACCACCAAACCAACCACTGCTGCAACTGGTGTAACGACTAAACCTACAACTGCTGCAACTGGAGTTACCACCAAACCAACAAGTGCTGCAACTGGTGTGACAACTAAACCAACAACTGCTGCAACTGGTGTAACAACTAAATCAACAACTGCTCCAACTGGAGTTACCACCAAACCTACCACTGCTGCAACTGGTGTAACGACTAAAGCTACAACTGCTGCAACTGGAGTTACCACGAAACCAACAACTGCTGCAACTGGTGTAACAACTAAACCTACAACTATTGCAACTGGAGTTACTACCAAACCAACAACTGCTGCAACTGGAGTTACCACCAAACCTACAACTGCTGCAACTGGAGTTACCACCAAACCTACAACTGCTGCAACTGGAGTTAGCACCAAACCTGCAACTGCTGTAACTGCAGTTACAACCAAACCTGCCACTGGAGTTAGCACCAAACCTGTAACTGGAGTAACAACCAAACCTGCAACTGCTGTAACTGGAGTCACAACCAAACCTCCAACTGGAGTAACAACCAAACCAACAACTGCTGCAACTGGAGTAACAACAGGTGTGCCTGGCATTGTTACGAAATTGACATCTGCTGCACCTGGTGTGATCACTGCTTCGACTGCTCCTATTGTAAAAATAACAACTGCTGCAACTGGAGTTACAACGAAACCTGCAACTGGAGTTACCACCCAACCAGCAACTGCTGTAACTGGAGTTACAACCAAACCTGCAACTGGAGTTACCACCAAACCAACAACTGCTGCAACGGGAGTCATCACCAAACCAACAACTGCTGCAACTGGTGTAACAACTAAATCAACAACTGCTGCAACTGGAGTTACAACGAAACCTGCAACGGGAGTAACCATCAAACCAACAACTGCTGCAACTGGAGTAACCACCAAACCAACAACTGCAGCAACTGGAGTAACAACCAAACCTGCAACTGCTCTAACTGGAGTTACCACCAAACCTGCAACTGAAGTGACTACCAAACCAACAACTGCTGCAACTAGAGTAACCACCAAACCAACAACTGCTGCAACTAGAGTAACCACGAAACCAACAACTATTGTAAGTGGTGTGACAACTAAACCAACAACTGCTGCAACTGGTGTAACAACTAAATCAACAACTGCTGCAACTAGAATTACAACAAAACCTGCAACTGGTGTAACGACTAAACCTACAACTGCTGCAACTGGAGTTACCACCAAACAAACAACTGCTGCAACTGGAGTTCCCAGCAAACCTACAACTGCTGCAACTGGAGTTAGCACAAAACCTGCAACTGGAGTAACAACCAAACCTGCAACTGCTGTAACTGGAGTTAAACCCAAACCTGCAACTGGAGTAACCACCAAACCAACAACTGCTGCACCTGGAGTTACCACGAAACCAACCACTGTTGCAACTGTGTAACAACTAACCTACAACTGCTGCAACTGGAGTTACACAAAACCTGCAACTGGTGTAACGACTAAACCTACAACTGCTGCAACTGGAGTTACCACCAAACCAACAACTGCTGCAACTGGTGTAACAACTAAGCCAACAACTGCTGTAACTGGTGTAACAACTATCAACAACTGCTGCAACTGGAGTTACAACGAAACCTGCAACTGGAGTAACCGCGAAACCAACAACTATTGTAACTGGTGTGACAACTAAACCAACAACTGCTGCAACTAGTGTAACAACGAAATCAACAACTGCTGCAACTGGAGTTACAACAAAACCTACAACTGGTGTAACGACTAAACCTACAACTGCTGCAACTGGAGTTACCACCAAACCAACAACTGCTGCAACTGGAGTTACCAGCAAACCTACAACTGCTGCAACTGGAGTTAGCACAAAACCTGCAACTGGAGTAACAACCAAACCTGCAACTGCTGTAACTGGAGTTACAACCAAACCACAACTGCTGCAACTGGAGTAACCACCAAACCAACATCTGCTGCAACTAGAGTTACCACCAAACCAACCAGTGCTGCAACTGGTGCAACAACTAAACCTACAACTCCTGCAACTGGTGTAACGACTAAACCTACAACTGCTGCAACTGGAGTTACCACCAAACCAACAACTGTTGCAGCTGGCGTGACAACTAGACCAACAACTGCTGCAACTGGTGTAACAACTAAATCAACAACTGCTGCAACTGGAGTTACAACGAAACCTGCAACGGAGTAACCACCAAACCAACAACTCCTGCAACTAGATTAACCACCAAACCAACGACTGCTGCAACTGGAGTTACCACCAAACCAACAACTGCTGCAACTGGAGTTAGCACCAAACCTGCAACTGAAGTAACTACCAAACCAACAACTGCTGCAACTAGAGTAACCACCAAACCAACAACTGCTGCAACTGGAGTAACCACGAAACCAACAACTTTTGTAACTGGTGTGACAACTAAACCAACAACTGCTGCAACTGGAGTTACCACGAAACCTACAACTGCTGCAACTGGAGTTAGCACCAACCTACAACTGCTGCAACTGGAGTTAGCACCAAACCTGCAACTGAAGTAACAACCAAACCTGCAACTGCTGCAACTGGAGTTAGCACAAAACCTGCAACTGGAGTAACAACCAATCCTGCAACTGCTGTAACTGGAGTTACAACCAAATTTGCAACTGGAGTTACCACCAAACCAACAACTGCTGCAACTGGAGTTAGCACAAAACCTGCAACCGGAGTAACAACCAATCCTGCAACTGCTGTAACTGGAGTTACAACCAAATTTGCAACTGGAGTTAGCACCAAACCTACAACTGCAGCTACTGGAGTTAGCACCAAACCTGCAACTGCTTTAACTGGAGTTGCAACCAAACCTGCAACTGGAGTTACTACCAAACCAACAACTGCTGCAACTGGTGTAAGGACTAAAGCTACAACTGCTGCAACTGGAGTTACCACCAAACCTACAACTCCTGCAACTGGAGTTAGCACAAAACCCGCAACTGGAGTAACAACCAAACCTGCAACTGGAGTAACAACCAAACCTGCAACTGCTGTAACTGGAGTAACAACCAAACCTGCAACTGGAGTAACAACCAAACCTGCAACTGCTGTAACTGGAGTTACAACCAAACCTGCAACTGGAGTAACAACCAAAGCTGCAACTGCAATAACAACCAAACCTTCAACTGGTGTGCCTGGCATTGTTACGAAATTGACATCTGCCGCACCTGGTGTGATCACTGCTTCGACTGCTCCTATTGTAAAAATAACAACTGCTGCAACTGGAGTTACAACGAAACCTGCAACTGGAGTTACCACCCAACCAGCAACTGCTGTAACTGGAGTTACAACCAAACCTGCAACTGGAGTTACCACCAAACCAACAACTGCTGCAACGGGAGTCATCACCAAACCAACAACTGCAGCAACTGGAGTAACAACCAAACCTGCAACTGCTCTAACTGGAGTTACCACCAAACCTGCAACTGAAGTGACTACCAAACCAACAACTGCTGCAACTAGAGTAACCACCAAACCAACAACTGCTGCAACTAGAGTAACCACGAAACCAACAACTATTGTAAGTGGTGTGACAACTAAACCAACAACTGCTGCAACTGGTGTAACAACTAAATCAACAACTGCTGCAACTGGAGTTACAACCAAACCTGCAACTGGAGTTACCATCAAACCAACAACTGCTGCAACTGGAGTAACCACCAAACCAACAACTGCAGCAACTGGAGTAACAACCAAACCAACTGCTCTAACTGGAGTTACCACCAAACCTGCAACTGAAGTGACTACCAAACCAACAACTGCTGCAACTAGAGTAACCACCAAACCAACAACTGCTGCAACTAGAGTAACCACGAAACCAACAACTATTGTAAGTGGTGTGACAACTAAACCAACAACTGCTGCAACTGGTGTAACAACTAAATCAACAACTGCTGCAACTAGAATTACAACAAAACCTGCAACTGGTGTAACGACTAAACCTACAACTGCTGCAACTGGAGTTACCACCAAACAAACAACTGCTGCAACTGGAGTTCCCAGCAAACCTACAACTGCTGCAACTGGAGTTAGCACAAAACCTGCAACTGGAGTAACAACCAAACCTGCAACTGCTGTAACTGGAGTTAAACCCAAACCTGCAACTGGAGTAACCACCAAACCAACAACTGCTGCACCTGGAGTTACCACGAAACCAACCACTGTTGCAACTGGTGTAACAACTAAACCTACAACTGCTGCAACTGGAGTTACAACAAAACCTGCAACTGGTGTAACGACTAAACCTACAACTGCTGCAACTGGAGTTACCACCAAACCAACAACTGCTGCAACTGGTGTAACAACTAAGCCAACAACTGCTGTAACTGGTGTAACAACTATATCAACAACTGCTGCAACTGGAGTTACAACGAAACCTGCAACTGGAGTAACCGCGAAACCAACAACTATTGTAACTGGTGTGACAACTAAACCAACAACTGCTGCAACTAGTGTAACAACGAAATCAACAACTGCTGCAACTGGAGTTACAACAAAACCTACAACTGGTGTAACGACTAAACCTACAACTGCTGCAACTGGAGTTACCACCAAACCAACAACTGCTGCAACTGGAGTTACCAGCAAACCTACAACTGCTGCAACTGGAGTTAGCACAAAACCTGCAACTGGAGTAACAACCAAACCTGCAACTGCTGTAACTGGAGTTACAACCAAACCAACAACTGCTGCAACTGGAGTAACCACCAAACCAACAACTGCTGCAACTGGAGTTACCACCAAACCAACCAGTGCTGCAACTGGTGCAACAACTAAACCTACAACTCCTGCAACTGGTGTAACGACTAAACCTACAACTGCTGCAACTGGAGTTACCACCAAACCAACAACTGTTGCAGCTGGTGTGACAACTAGACCAACAACTGCTGCAACTGGTGTAACAACTAAATCAACAACTGCTGCAACTGGAGTTACAACGAAACCTGCAACGGGAGTAACCACCAAACCAACAACTCCTGCAACTAGATTAACCACCAAACCAACGACTGCTGCAACTGGAGTTACCACCAAACCAACAACTGCTGCAACTGGAGTTAGCACCAAACCTGCAACTGAAGTAACTACCAAACCAACAACTGCTGCAACTAGAGTAACCACCAAACCAACAACTGCTGCAACTGGAGTAACCACGAAACCAACAACTTTTGTAACTGGTGTGACAACTAAACCAACAACTGCTGCAACTGGAGTTACCACGAAACCTACAACTGCTGCAACTGGAGTTAGCACCAAACCTACAACTGCTGCAACTGGAGTTAGCACCAAACCTGCAACTGAAGTAACAACCAAACCTGGAACTGCTGTAACTGGAGTTGCAACCAAACCTGCAACTCGAGTTACCACGAAACCAACAACTGCTGCAACTGGTGTAACGACTAAACCTACAACTGCGGCAACTGGAGTTACTACCAAACCAACAACGGCTGCAACTGGAGTTACCACCAAACCTACAACTGCTGCAACTGGAGTTAGCACAAAACCTGCAACTGGAGTAACAACCAAACCTGCAACTGCTGCAACTGGAGTTAGCACAAAACCTGCAACTGGAGTAACAACCAATCCTGCAACTGCTGTAACTGGAGTTACAACCAAATTTGCAACTGGAGTTACCACCAAACCAACAACTGCTGCAACTGGAGTTAGCACAAAACCTGCAACCGGAGTAACAACCAAACCTGCAACTGCTGTAACTGGAGTTACAACCAAATTTGCAACTGGAGTTAGCACCAAACCTACAACTGCAGCTACTGGAGTTAGCACCAAACCTGCAACTGCTTTAACTGGAGTTGCAACCAAACCTGCAACTGGAGTTACTACCAAACCAACAACTGCTGCAACTGGTGTAAGGACTAAAGCTACAACTGCTGCAACTGGAGTTACCACCAAACCTACAACTCCTGCAACTGGAGTTAGCACAAAACCCGCAACTGGAGTAACAACCAAACCTGCAACTGGAGTAACAACCAAACCTGCAACTGCTGTAACTGGAGTAACAACCAAACCTGCAACTGGAGTAACAACCAAACCTGCAACTGCTGTAACTGGAGTTACAACCAAACCTGCAACTGGAGTAACAACCAAAGCTGCAACTGCAATAACAACCAAACCTTCAACTGGTGTGCCTGGCATTGTTACGAAATTGACATCTGCCGCACCTGGTGTGATCACTGCTTCGACTGCTCCTACTGTAAAGATAACAACTGCTGCAACTGGAGTTACCACGAAACCTGCAACTGGTGTTACCACCCAACCAACAACTGCTGTAACTGGAGTTACAACCAAACCTGCAACTGGAGTTACCACCAAACCTACAACTGCTGCAACTGGAGTTAGCACAAAACCTGCAACTGGAGTAACAACCAAACCTGCAACTGCTGTAACTGGAGTTACAACCAAATTTGCAACTGGAGTTACCACCAAACCAACAACTGCTGCAACTGGAGTTAGCACCAAACCTGCAACTGCTGCAACTGGAGTTACTACCAAACCAACAACTGCTGCAACTGGTGTAACGACTAAAGCTACAACTGCTGCAACTGGAATTACCACTAAACCTACAACTGCTGGAACTGGAGTTAGCACAAAACCTGCAACTGGAGTAACAACCAAATCTGCAACTGGAGTAACAACCAAACCTGCAACTGGAATAACAACCAAACCTTCAACTGGTGTGCCTGGCATTGTTACGAAATTGACATCTGCCGCACCTGGTGTGATCACTGCTTCGACTGCTCCTACTGTAAAAATAACAACTGCTGCAACTGGAGTTACCACGAAACCTGCAACTGGTGTTACCACCCAACCAACAACTGCTGTAACTGGAGTTACCACCAAACCAACAACTGCTGCAACTGGAGTTAGCACCAAACCGGCAACTGGAGTAACAACCAAACCTGCAACTGCTGTAACTGGAGTTACAACCAAACCTGCAACTAGAGTAACCACGAAACCAACAACTGCTGCAATTGGAGTTACCACCCAACCAACAACTGCTGCAACGGGATTTATCACCAAACCAACAACTGTTGCAACTGGAGTAACCAAGAAACCAAAAACTGCTGCAACTGGTGTAACAACTAAACCTACAACTCCTGCAACTGGTGTAACCACCAAACCAACAACTGCTGCAGCTGGAGTTACCACCAAACCAACAACTGCTGCAACTGGTGTAACAACTAAACCAACAACTGCTGTAACTGGAGTTACAACGAAACCTGTAACTAGAGTAACCACGAAACCAACAACTGCTGCAACTGGTGTAACAACTAAACCTACAACTGCTGCAACTGGAGTTACTACCAAACCAACAACTGCTGCCACTGGATTTACCACCAAACCTACAACTGCTGCAACTGGAGTTACCACCAAACCTACAACTGCTGCAACTGGAGTTAGCACCAAACCTGCAACTGGAGTAACAACCAAACCTGCAACTGCTGTAACTGGAGTTACAACCAAACCTGCAACTGGAGTTAGCACCAAACCTGTAACTGGAGTAACAACCAAACCTGCAACTGCTGTAACTGGAGTCACAACCAAACCTGCAACTGGATTAACAACCAAACCAACAACTGCTGCAACTGGAGTAACAACAGGTGTGCCTGGCATTGTTACGAAATTGACATCTGCTGCACCTGGTGTGATCACTGCTTCGAATGCTCCTATTGTAAAAATAACAACTGCTGCAACTGGAGTTACAACGAAACCTGCAACTGGAGTTACCACCCAACCAGCAACTGCTGTAACTGGAGTTACAACCAAACCTGCAACTGGAGTTACCACCAAACCAACAACTGCTGCAACGGGAGTTATCACCAAACCAACAACTGCTGCAACTGGAGCTACCAAGAAACCAACAACTGCTGCAACTGGTGTAACAATTAAACCTACAACTCCATCAACTGGTGTAACGACTAAACCTACAACTGCTGCAACTGGAGTTACAACGAAACCTGTAACTGCCGTAACTGGAGTTACCACCAAACCTACGCCTGGAGTGATCACAAAACTTTCTACTCCCAGAACTGGTATTACCCCGAAACCTACAACTGCTGCAACAAAAAAACTGGGGACAGTCTCAACAGTCGCGCCGTCGAAAGTCACACCAATACTCTGCCCGGGCGGGATGGTAAGTGTTTAGTTTTTAGGATTTTGGCTTTAATTTTAAAATTCTTCCATCTTGATCATCAAGTAGCAGAAAAACGTGAGGGAATTGCTCCAAAATTTACCCACAACTCACTGTGAGGTCGTCCTTGGTAAAATCCTAAAGAACTAAAAGCTCGCAAATCGGGCTCGAAACGCGTAATGCAAATTGAGAACTAGAAATGATCGGTTTGGAAAGTTTAATTCCGATATCTTAGGGACATAGCAAAACACTTTCCGCTATAAAATGACGTTTTATCAAATTTTAGGTGTTTACCAGCTGTGTACCATCATGTGAACCATCTTGTCAGTATCGTAATACCAGTTGTAGTGCGGGTAATGTTTGTGTATCAGGATGTACTTGTGAAACTGGTTTGGTTTACAATGGTACTCATTGCGTAGAACCTTCGGACTGCCCATGTTACCACAACAATATATTCCACAAAGCTGGTGCTACCTGGAGTCATAACTGCAGTGATTGTATCTGCTGGGAAAACAAAGTGATCTGTACTTTGAAAGTTTGTCCTTCAGTGACTTTCTGTCCATCGCCACAATACGAAGTTAGCAAGAAAAACTGTTGTGATGTATGTTCCCCGGTTTCTGTCCAATTAACGACATTTGCACCTACAACTGCAGTGGCATGCAAGGATGATGGATTCTTCTGTCCCTCTGATAAATCCTGCATCCCAAAATCATGGTTATGTGATGGTTCCCTGGATTGCTCATTTGGGGAGGATGAGAACAGTTGTAAGCAGGTTATTCCCTGTAATGAAAGTTTAGGTATGTTTTCTTTCAACTGATTGTAAAATATATTTTAAAGTCTTCGTCTGCATTTCACTTGCATTCCAGTTGCAGATGCGTTATTTTTCCGTTTTTTTCACTGAAGGTAACCAGTAGTTTTTTTCGCCTTTTTAAGGGGCTGTACAAGCTTATCCTAATACTAGTTGGAGTAAACAATTGTCAAACCGTGGAGCAACATTGTACTGCCTACAGGAATACAATGATAGTTTGTTGTTCCATGCTGATCTTGGTTTTATCTCGAAAGTAACAATGATTGGCTCCGAAGTTAGAATGATCTCTTTAACTTACCAAAACTTTGACATAAAGTACAGTACAAATGGTATCGCGTGGAGTACTTATGAAGGATGGAATCTCACGGTAATAAATTTATTTCGATGTTTTTCGTACTAATGACGTAATATTTACTAATTATATATTCTAGTACTTTGTATACAAATTTTGAGCTTAGTTTCCACATTCGCACGAAAGCGCACGACTGGAGCGAGTTCCAATGTTGATTGTCGCTTGTTGATGGATAAAGGCTTTCCGTATAATTCGTTAGGAATTTAAACAAGTGGTATTTATTTTTCACAGGGCTCTGTTGGTGACCTCTCGCTGTTTAAGATGAGGAATCCATTTAACGCTCGTTATGTTCGTATAATACCAGAGCATTGGAATATATCTCTTTGCTCGCGCTATGTCGTATTTGGTTGTGTAAATATCACCGCTACCTTCGCTCCCACGACAAAACCCTGCTCGGGCTTCACCTGTAACAACAGTTTGTGTATTAACCCGAAGTTACGTTGTGATGGAAGCAATGATTGCGAGGATAATACAGATGAAATTGGATGCCCGCCAGTCACGTGCTCTGATAACCAATTCACGTGCAATAACAGTAAATGTATCGGGATTAATCACGTGTGTGACGGAGATGATGATTGTGGTGATGCATCAGATGAGAGTCCTGGATGTGTAAAACCAACATGTCCATCCACGCAGTTCATGTGCAACACAAGTCATTGTGTACCTCTCCGGTGAGTGATATTTTCCTGTATTCATTAAATAATAATTTAATACTGAGCAGCACATTGAAAGCTTTCATAGTGCCTTACGGATTCAAATGCAACATTATATTCACCTATCTTACATTTGTTGTTTATCAGATTCCTATGCGACGGTGAAAAAGATTGTCCTGGCGGTGACGATGAAGACCCGAAGAACTGTCCAACGACAACTCAACCGACAGCTTGCGAGTTTCTGTGTTCCGATGGCACGTGCATTCCAAAGACGCAAATCTGCGATTACTTCAAGGACTGTAACAACAGCATGGATGAAGCTAATTGTACTTGTACTAACACATCCCAATGGCGCTGTTCACGAAGCCAGAAATGTATATCCATCAGTTATATCTGTGACGGAACGGAGGAATGTCCCCGTGGAGAAGATGAAGAGAATTGTCCTACAATATTACCAACGACAATTGCCTCAACTGCACCGAGCATTTCAACATCAGTAAAACCAGTTGAAAATATCACCACCGAAATTTTCACGACCCTGCCTGTTACAACTTTACCAATCACCACTCCGCCTCTGTGTGTGAGAGGAAACCAATCGTACAAGGTTTGAATTATGGTTTAAAATATTAAGAGCAACCTGTTATTTTCCCACATTGAAAGTAAATCTGCCTCCCTTAAAGCAGTTAAGCAGGAATGAAAAAGCTTTTTTTACATCAACTATTGTACAACAAACAGTTTCAGCATCCAAACATAATTTGTTTCCTCGTGCCCTAGGTTGGTCAAACTTGGATTGAAAATAAATGCTTCAGGTGTCGTTGTCTCAATGATGGATCAACTAACTGTACGAAATTCTGTTCAATTATTTTTTGTCCAACGGTACGTGTCTACATTTATCTCACTTAATTATTGCATGCAATAATTATATTCTTACATATTATACTGTGTTGCAATAGCCAATAAGGAAACAATTCCATTATCAGATTAACCAACCTAAGCTCGATCAAAGGTAGTGCCGTAGCGGTAGTAAAAGTCGCACCTGAAACTACTTAAATGTAATCAACGGTGACCTCGGCGTATATTCCAGCTGACTAAGGGGGGGGGGGGGCGCATAGTTGTGAAGGAATCATCTTCGCAATACCAAACATCTTAAAATTCCGAACACTTGATTCATACCGTATACTTTTCCATGCAGGGTCAAGTGCTGGCGTCGTCGTCAATTGAATGTTGCAACTGTCAGGTCGGTACCACTACCAGGCCTGTGACAACCATACCAGTATCAACAGTTCCCATCACCACAAAGCTCACAAAAGGTAAATTAACAAAGACAACCGTAATGTTAACGGTTATGGTTCGTACTATTAATTTGTCCACATCTCGCAATTTTCTTTGCTGCATGTTTCATGCAATCTCTCGGATTTGAGTGGCCGGAAATTCAATTGCAACAAAAACCATATTAAAACAAATCTTGCTTTTAGTTTTCTAGGCTATATGTAACCGTAAATTGTCAAATATTTCATGTAAATTAATATATGTTCATCTTTACTATAGCTAAAACAATACCAACAACAATCTCAACGCCGTCCATTACAACAAAAGGTAAATACGTTCTGCTACAATGTTTGAAAACGCGTACGAAGCCACAATATGGTGTCCTCAAACCCATTCAATTTCGCACATTTCTGCTCTCTTGTTCTAACCTCGTATGCGATCACTGAATAATCCTTTCTTACAGTTCCTGTTATTCAATGCGTTAATGTGACTTGTTCCTGTCCGCAAACGTGTGCTGACATAGCTCGTGGCTCAGATAACTGCAGTACTTCTGAATGTGAACCCGGTTGTCAATGTCCATCTGGAACTGTTTTGGAGAATGGCATTTGTACGAACGCAACTACATGTCCATGTTATCATGAGGGTAGAGTTTATGAGGTAAGGTTATGCTGGATGTTCTACCGGCTATTCTCCTAATAATTTGATTTAGAAAGCTCGTATCTTTATCAGATCATTCAGATAAACATCATATCTTAATTACCACCGCTTTATCTTTAGTTTGGAGACTCCTACAATAAAGATGTTTGTATTACCTGTATGTGTTTAAGTGATGGATTCTCGTGCCAAAAAAAATGCAACAAAACTTGTCTACCGGTAATATGATAGTGTATACAATGTACATATTACTAGGTACTTTTGACTTTATACCAAATTCAGTTTTATATCAGATTGCTGACTTTTTAGAGTGAAGAACTTGTCACCCTACCAGACCAATGCTGTTATTGTAGACAAAGTAAGTACACTGGGATTTCCAAACTACAGCCTTACGAAGCCTGAAATGAACAAATATTTATGAACAGATTTTCTATCAGTACGCGAAAAGGTTCTGCGCTTCAATATCAAAACCGTTTCTTTCTCCTTTCTTTAGAATGCCGTTCCGATATGATTTACAAGCAATGCAGTTGCCCAGTTACTTGTGAAAATACAACATGCGATTCTACGCATTGTAAACCTGGCTGTGAATGTCCAAGTGGTAAATATGATGACGGTTCTGAGTGCGTGGAAAGAAAAGATTGTTACTGTATTATCGATGGAAAACAGGTTGAGGTATGAGGTTTATATCTTAGTTTTACGGCGACAGTGTCGTAACGTATCCAGGCCGGTCAGAGGAAACTTCTAACCAGCTTTGGCTATATTAAAATTCTATTTCATAATTCAAACTTTCAATATTGAGCACTATTGGTATATTCATTCCTATATGTATGCATGACTCGCAATAAAATTACATCGATATTGTTTTTCTTTGTTAGAGTGGTGAAGTATGGACAGAAGGAGAATGTTCCACGTGTTCCTGTACTGATGGCGAAGAACTGTGTAACAAGACATGTAACATAACCACTTGTCCGACGGTTAGTCTCATTGAAGTAATAAGTCATTAAAATTTCAGTGTTCAAAATTTCACTCAATTTACCTTGTTTATTACAGGGTTATAAACTAGTCCACCCTCTTGACAGCTGTTGTATGTGTATTAAATTACGTAAGTTAATGTTAACGTGTGTGTTAAACTTGGTTCGTTAAATATTTTGTTGCAAATATTACCTCTTATTCTTCCTCCTCTTCCACAGCCACTACAATCCCGACAACACCAGCCGCTACACAGCCTCCCGCATGTTTCGACAATGGAACGTTGAAGAAGGTAGATTGAATAATTATAGATGTACTTCTAATAGATTACTAGTAATAATAGCATTAAGCTTTTTTTTTCTTTACAGCTCGGTGAATCGTGGTCAAATGATCTCTGTGAAAATTGCACTTGTGAAGAAAACAACCAAGTAAAATGCATTTCAACGACATGCCCGACTGTCTGTCCGAAGGTGAGGTTGACTTGGAGCTATGAAAATAATGGCAGAAATGAATAGTTTTTTGGTGCTTAACCTACGATTTTTAACACTCGATCGATTTTCTTAGGGTTGCAAAGCACAACAAATCCCGGGACAATGCTGCAACGAATGTGGTAAGTATTGCTTGCTATATGCGCATGTGTATGCTATCTTGCAATACCAATGACAAAGTTTTTTTTCCCTTCTACAGTTCCACTTTCCTACACCACAATTTGCAAAGATAATGGCACCGTTTATCATGTAAGTTTTTCATATTAAGAATGCTTTTTTATGCCTATATATTAAATTAAATTATTTCCGTATTAGGCTGGAGAATCATGGAAACCAGATCCTTGCCAGAATTGTTCTTGTTCTTCAGAGGGCAAAGTGACGTGCCGTATTGAACAATGTCTACAAAACTGTCCAGTGGTAAGCTACACTGCGCGAAGTTACTTATTAACAAACGAGTATTGTGCACTTATAACATCCTCTGTGTGCTTAGGGTTTTGAACGCCGTCATCTACCTGGTCAATGCTGTCCTAAATGTGGTAAGTTTACATCAAATCGTTAGTCCGGGAGCTTTTGAGTGCACTTCACGTAAATAATTGTTGGAAAACACGTTGTTGATCTTAGATCTCTTTGAACCTTTTTTTTAGTTCCAGTCGCTATGTGTACAGCAATGAGAATCAGCACGGTAATCACGGATCATAATGGTTGTACCAGTAGAAATGCTACTGCATCCTTCTGTAATGGACCATGCAATTCGAACGGAACTGTTTCGATTATTGGTAATCTGACCATCGTCTCAACATGTCGCTGCTGCAAACCTTCATCCCTAGCACGAGATTTAACGCAAATGGTGTGTCCTGATGGATCCAGTTATGTTCATTATTACCCTGTTATCCAACAATGTTTGTGTACCAGATGCGGCGCTGAAACAACCAATGAAATGACTCAACTACTGCATTTGATCACTCAAGAAAACCAAGGATGAAACCTATTTTTCAAATAACAAAAAGACTCAAAAATCCAGAAAAAATAGACTAATTTTACTAATTTTACTTAGAAAACATTTCTATTTAGTGATTATTGTAATGCAATTAATGACTAGGAATTATAACATAGCCAATAATTAAATATAAAGTACCAAAATTGTATTTAAAATACGTTCAATATATCAATACCTAGTAGAGCTACTGCGTATGCAGTGAAATAGAGTAAGTAGAAATTTATTTATAAAGTGAAGTTCAAGTTAATTATGCATCATAGCTGATTGTATGCTGGCGTACAAAATTAAGCTACAAAAATTATATGTACACTTTATTTCATTTTAAGCGTTTTAGTTATTTATGGCTTGGAATAATTCGTTTCCTAATTACGCCTTGCTTTATTTCCTAGTTTGAAAGAATGTCCTGGTAACCGGCCTGTAATATATAAGTCCATGATCTACTGTAGGTAATGAACTATCCGCTTGGAATTATTTTCCGATATTTAGAACAACCAATGCATTGAGACCTTGTCAGCAGTCGTGTAAAGTATAAAGACTAGTATTGTTGCTGACCTAACTATTCGTCAAAGTTTTGCATGTGGAATCATCTGTGCACTGAGACTACTGAGGATCAGAATCCTACCGTCGGGCGTGGCCGGACAGTCTCCAAATAATTTTTTATAGGTGCGCCTGTATTGCAAAGGGATCCTAAAAGTTTATAAGGAAACATTGCAGCTGTCCATTGGCGAAAGATAAGAGATGTATTTGTTTTTACATAAAGTGATAGTCACTCATAAAAGTCGTACTCGTAAAATCCCGGACTTTGCAACGCTGAGCCGTACTTTATAATAGTGGATATTAGGTCTGATGGGAATACTTCATGTAATTATTTTAAAATGCAATGTCATTGGTGATTGGTGAGAAATAGAAAAATAAAAAACTGGAAATATTGGAAGAGAAAGAGTAATGAGATGTTTCATACAATGTTTTTTTTTAAAGTACTTTAAATCATAACGGAGAGTATTAAAGAAATGAGTTTCAATGACGACCAGGATGATTGCCCAGTCTTGATTCCAATCAATTCAAGTTCAGTTGATGGCAATGACGGTATTAATGAGAAAACATCTGGGAAGTCAGACTCATCTGAAAAGCGAGTCCCTGTCACGATTGTTACAGGATTTTTAGGTAAAAAATTATTATTATAAATGGTTATATTAATGTTAGGAGTTTTCCAAAGTCAACAATGTTCTATAGACTGCATAATTATGCGATATGCCATATGCCATGGTATATCATATAAGTGATATAACCAGGGAGCAGCGTGGCAGTGTTTTCAAACAACGTAGCATCAAATGTGGTACAACAACTGCCTAAATTAGACAAAACACTTCTCAATGTTTCGACCTGGGGGCCTTCGTCAGGAGAGTTAGTCACAGTTGTTATACCACATTTGATGCATGGTATATTATATATGCATGTTTTGTATGGATTAACTAAGCTAGGTTTGACTATTAAATTTGATAAAATATTAAAGTAAACAGACACACTTCATGATATACACTGCTACAGTAATTTAGATTAATTATAACTTGGTCTCCAACTCTCCATGAAATAAATCTCGAATAGTTGTAGGTATATAGCCTAAATCAATTATGTTTAAATTCCATTCAAATCTTTAACTTTTTTCTAACATTTTTTACTTTTTCAATCACTAAACCAGGTGCTGGAAAGACTACACTGTTGAATTTTATTCTCACAGAAAAGCACAATAAAAGAATTGCTGTTATTCTAAATGAATTTGGAGAAGGTGAGTTCCTGTAATAGCTGGTTATAGATCAATATTTAAAGGATATATTGACTTTGGTATATGCATGTCTTGTTGAAGGTTCAGCATTAGAAAAATCTATGGCAATTGGTCAGGGTGGTAATCTTTATGAAGAATGGCTGGAACTAAGAAATGGGTGTCTCTGTTGTTCTGTCAAGTATGTTGCAAAAATGATTGATCTCTTATAATCCACCACAGTAGAATGCGAACAATGCATGATGAAGTACCTTCCCATGTTGATTTGATATTTTTGTGTCCATTGACTGCGAAAACAATGAATTACAAAATATATGGGTAATTATACTACCCTGAAATTTGCATAGCAGGACTTAATTTGATATGCTATTAGCAAGATATCATTCTATATCACAAGTAACAAAACCACCAAAAGAGTCCTATTTTGTGACCAAATTGATATACTCCTTGTTTTTTGACCAGAATGTACTTGTCGTGAAATGAGAATGCCAACTTAGTGTATGAAGCCAGATTATTATTTAAGCACAATATATTTATTGCAAGTGCATGTAACTGCAATAATTCTACTGTCTAACTTACATTATTAAGCAGCCCATTAATTCTTTGTAACCATACTTGCTGTATAACACAAGACAGTTATTAATTAAGTTACAATGTATTGCCTGTGTTGATCACTGCTCTCCCCCCAACAAAAAGTTCTAATCGAAATGTTTCTTCAGCCATGTATGTTCTATTGCTTCTATAAATAATATCTTAAATAATTACTCATAATGCACTTTTTCCCACATTACAATCAGAGATATTGGTGTAAAAGCAATTGAGAATTTAATGAAGAAGAAAGGAAAGTTTGATTATGTTTTACTTGAGACAACTGGTTTAGCAGATCCTGGACCTATTGCATCTATGTTTTGGATGGATGATCAATTATGTAGTGATCTATATCTTGATGGTATGTAGTTACCACATGACTCAAAATGCATTCAATTCTTATTAGTCTTGCATGGAAAATTAGGACCATATTTGACTATTTTACTATCTTGCATAGCAATCACAAAGCTACTAAAAAGTTGACTTGTCCTCTCCCATATAACAGTTCTTAATATTTCTATTAAGCATGATTATCAAAATTTCCACAGTTAAACAGGAGTTATAATGTACCTATCACCTAATGTTTTCTAATATATTGTATCTAATGTTTTCTATTAATGCAAGCTGCTTTGTGCAGAAATTTGATTGCAAATTGTTGCCAAAATACCTGCAAGACCTTAAATGGAGACAGCTCCTATTGTATAGTTAAGCAATTTATGTTGGAGCTATATGTTTTCCTTTTAGGGATTGTGACAGTAATCGACGGAAAATATGGTTTGAAAGTAAGCACTTTATTTTCTATAACTTAATTCCCACGTCGGTCAACATTTAAAGTTGAAGCAGCCCACCAAACAATGTTGATTCATAAAGTTACATCATTGAATTATCAGTGTATTAATACAGTGACAACTATTTTGAATCAACATATTTGCTGGGCTGCCTATGATATAAGACTTTGCCTCAAATTTAGGTGCTTAATTCTTAAATCTGTGTGTTTGACGTAATTTTTAACAAAATATCTGTGACCACAGTATGTATATACATTTTCACTAAATCACTCAGGCTTTTATTTTTCCCCTGTTAATGATTCATTGTCTCTCATTCTAAAACTAGCTAATTTTACCCCATTAGTCACACTGATGCATGGTATTAAGGAATGTGATATAGCAAGTGGCGATTTTTTCTTAACATTTGAGTTGTCTTGTAACTACCCACGAAACTTCAAAATGTTCATTCTTTCAATTCAAGCACCTGACAGAGGAAAAGGAGGAAGGAATACTCAATGAATGTGTCAGGTAAATGTACTTGAAGTATTGTTTAAGAAGCAGTGTATGACGAAAATATCAAGTGTTTCTATGAAACAAAGCCGAGGAATCAGAGAAATAAGATACTGCAGTATGATACTACATGTAGATACAGTATGTGTGAACACACTGAATCCCTCTCCACTGACTGATATATCTGTGCCGTATAGAAACCAGGATTTAGTACCTGCCGCAATAGGAATTTTTTTTACAATTTCTTAATTTCTTTTCTCCGCAACCTATTTTATTTAGACAAGTTGCTTTAGCTGACGTTTTGATCATTAACAAACTCGACTTAATAGAAAAAGAAGAACTGGCACAACTACGAGATTTACTAAGGTATATTATTAGGCCTGAATAATAACTTTTGCTATATAAGTATAGTATGGATTGTGTTAGTATAATATATTGGTCCTTACTCTTTATTCACTCTTGAGCCAATGGCATAATCTCCATGCATGTTCTTGCTTGTATTTACATATCAGGTTTAAATGAATTTTATAGAAGTATAAACGCAACGTGTACTTTCAAAGAAACTCAAAGATCAAGGTGAATATATTCATTTTGTATTTCATTCATTTTTACACATAACAGCTAGTGTATCATACTGTCAGCATTCGTCTGTGGTATATATCTAAACTGAATTCTTTATGGTTTTTTAAATGAAAAGTTGAATGTTCATGGCTTGGGTTTTTCACGGAGGTTTTTGGAAGCATTCTTGTACTCCAGGGGCCGGTTTTATCAACCCCGTTTAGCTTAAACGGTGAATAAGTTCAAAATAGAAAACAGGTCTGGTCCTGTCGTCATCAAAGAAATTTTCTTTCCCGCCTTCTATCTCTGGGGCTGGTTGTTTTCGGAAGGTGGATAAAGTTATCCACTGGATAGTGATTATTTCAAACGTTCAAAGAATTCTCACCACTTGATATGGGCAAGATTGAACTCCACAATCTCGAAGTTAAAATACTTTTTAACGATTACAAATTTAATATTAGTAGCTTTATCGTTTTTCAGAGGATGAAAAACTCACTATCTAATGGATAACTTTATCCACCTTTCGAACAACCGGCCTCTGGACACGATTCATGAAAGAAAGTCCTGAGATTGATACTCGAAGAAGATATTCGACAAAGTACTGACATCCAAAATGAAATTGTTGTTACAGAACGCCTCCTTCCCCAACCTTTAAGTACAGTAAATCATTTTGACAATTTCAACTCTCACTCCCCTCTTCTTTTATTGTAGAGTGAATATAGAAGAAATTTTGGATTTACATGTTTTTGATAACGTGACGAAAATGTGGGTTTAAAGAGAAGTAACGTTTGTTTTATTGTGTTTAATATTCGATATTTATTCACATGACTTTGTTTTACTCAATATTTTTTGTTTTTATTTCAGAAACAATGAGAAACTACAGATGTTTCACCCACCACAAGCTTCGCCACATATTGACAAGGTAAAAACTAAGAAGTTTATATTTTACCTCAAATAGTCTCAATGATTCAATTCGTGCATGTATGTGTCTATAAATTGTTTTTAAACGATCATACTATGAACATATATATATATATATATATATATATATATATATATATATATATATATATATATATATATATATATATAAATATACATATATATACATATATATACATAGTAATGGTTTAATGCCGGTTCGTTTTAGCTTAGTGGTAAATTGAGTGTCCGGCTATGAACCTTAGGTCAATGAAACAAATTTCTTATCAAGATTTCATTAGTCACTGCATCGTTCTCTTAAACCCTAAGAGGTAATTGTTATTATAGTTTAGCCTTTTATGTTGAAAGGACAAAGACCGCTGCTGACTTTTATGATCCCTTAAAGTTTTAGGCGGATATTTCTACTTAACTACATGTCGGCACTAAATGTTCTCAAATATCTTTTCGATCATATCGCTTTGGTAAACAATGTTTGTTTAATGAATATATAAGATTTCTCTTGTGTGTGGTCGTAATTACTGCATGTTATCTCCAGCAATGCCGGTATACTCCTTTGTTTGTAGTTCTAAGACTAAGGGCCAGTGGCACTCACATGTATGATACGGTACATGCTTGTAGATAGATTGCATGCTTAGGGAAATATTTTCATATGAAAGTCGGCGTACAAATATTTTCTTTTTTTTTGTACATCAAGTTGTACATCTTTTTTTTGTACATCACATTTTCTTTGTAAATGCTAATAGTTAAAATTATAGTTTATTTTATGTAACTTTATATCCACGCAGCAGCTGGCCCAATATACGATATGATTAAAAATTTTTATATCTTGAAATGAAAACCAAAGCTCCAGGCTGCATCGACGGAAAAATTTAACGTCGATATATGAACAGCAGATCAATGAGAAAACCCTGCTAGGTATAAAATTTGACCCCTCGTCAGTCTGTGTACACGCAAAGACGCATAATTCATACATTGATATATCTTTTTATATATATGGCACAATCTAACGCGTGTCTTATCCCTTTACATGCATGGCATAAAATTACCATTTCCTAACAAATGAATTTAAATGAGCGTGTAATGGTAAGAAAACAATAAGTCGTGATTATGTAATTTCACATATAATCATCATCTTGATTTGTTGAAATGATCAATCTGTGACAGGGGTTAATACTATTGTCTTTGTTTTGCAAATTTGAAGCTCGCAGCGTGTGACAATCTGAGGACGATATTGATTTAATATCGCTGCCTGAAGTATTTAGTTGTAAACAGCGCCGATGAGAAGCAGTCCTTTCTTACTTAAAGCTGACATTTAATATAGCAACGAAATGATTAAAACACGTAATTTGTTTCCACGAATCATTGCGTTGATCCTACTCACTCTTCAAGCTGGACTGCTCGATTATTTTCTTGTCAAGCATCAAAATTTAAAATGGCTCGCTTGGATAGTCACGGATGTATTCATAGTAATGGTGTGGACGATGGCTATGCTGGGCTCAACAATACCGATTTGCAGCTTGTTTCGAGGTTGGCTGGTTAAGAACCCAAAAGGCAATGACTTCACAGCGACGTATGTTGCCTGGCTGGCTTACGCCTTACATTTTGCTCCTCAGGTTGCAACCATCTTCAAAGTATTTGCCGACGAGCTCGACAGAGAGAGTTTTCTCAATCCGAACTTTTTGAAATTGACGTTGTCAATAACACCGATGTTATTTGTATGTCTTGTCTACTCACATCATAAGTCCAGGGAATCGTTTGCTAGAAAAACCTACGTTCAGATTCTTGTGAGTTCTGTGACACTCGACCTGTTCGATTCCGTTGAGATATTAGAGTATTTGTTTGACAAGGAATTTATATCGTCGTCCATCGAAATTGCAATAATCGTATTTGCTTGTGTTAACTTTTGTCTACCTGTGTTAGCACTTTATGAGCTAAAAAACAACGAATTTCGCGAAACAGGCCAAGTTCCTACGGTGTCATTCAAGCTTCTATATGTATGTTCATTTCTTTTCCTCGTGAACATACCGTTCTTAGTGATTCGTGCTTACTTGTGGCACACGTACAAGCTGGATGTATCCATTCTCTTTGCAAAGAATATTCTTGGTATTTATTTTGGTTTTGCGGAGATCTATGAATATTACAGCGAGACGAGGCCTACGCAGTGCCATGGCTGCGACGAAACATTTGCTAAAAGTTACATCAAGAATCACATGAAAACGTGCTTGGAGAAAGCTGAGCAAACTGAGTTAAGGGAGACGGAAGAACAGACGATAGAAAACGTCAACGGACAACAGAAAACTTATCTCTAATGAGACGTTTACTACATGATTGCACATGCAGTTTACCTTAGCTACATATTAAGCTAGGATGGGATTATGCACCTGCATGCATATTTATTACAATATTTATATAGCTACTCTTGTTATTTATAAACCTTAATATGTTCAAATATCACGGCTGGTTATACGAAAAGAAAGGCCAGGGTGTTTGCAAGTTTTTGCATCAATGAAGTTCGATGACTAACTTATACGACGGTTGCGTGCACGCGCGCTCATTATTATACGTCTTCTCGGAGTCATGATCATCGGATTATGAAATGACGAACAGCAGTTTGCCATTTTAGATCATATGGTTTGAAATGATTATCTATTGTACTGTACTTTTAGGAAGATGAATAAAAATACTTTGTAAGTGTATCTAACATTGTTATAACATGTATTTATATAATAACCTTCAAATTGTCTTTATACTCCCGACGGCTGGACTAGTCCTGGTTTTTATATCATTTAGTGATATAATCGGCCAATCAGAAACGTTTATAAACTTCATTTAACTAGACACAAAATGTAGTAGATGGCTGTAGGCTGTGGAGAGCCCTCAGTCGGTATTTTGAAAACGTCCCAAATAGAATTGCCCTTATTAAAAAAAAGTGTCCCGAAAATTGCCCGTGCATGCGTTTGCTTTTGTCTTTGTTTACTTGACATGTCGAAATTGTATTATATTACCCTTTTATTGCATTCTAATTTTAGCCAGATTTGGATTAGACAATTTGAGAAACTCAGCAGCACGTCTGTCGCGAGACGAATGATTGGAAGAAGGACTATTCGTTTACCTTCATTCTAATGCCGTAAAAACAATCATTTTTAAAATAAATCAGTATAGTGCAGAACGTATGTCCCCTATCGTATGGCAAGTATGGCAAGCCAAAGTGGACAAAAGTAGGTCGAGTATAGTATGCGATAGTCGAGTTGTGTATATGATAAGCGAGTACTGTATACAATAGTCGAGGATACACATACGAAGTGATCGAGATAAATGAACTATAATTGAGCTTTATGAACGATATTCGAAATTATTAACGACAATGGAGTTTTCTAGCGACAGCCGAGATTTTATATACGATAGTCGAGTTTTACGACGGTCATTTCAGTCAGCGGACTTGTACTCTTCCGCTTCTTCTTGGCGGGAAACGCGACAAATATGGCGGACGTTGAAGAGCTGCGGAATTTTCTTTTAAGTATTCAAAATCTTCTCAGACACTGTAGTCAAGCGTATCTGAATAAAGATACAGTGGGTGCTGAATATTGCAAAAGCAAATTACAAAATTATGGCGCTATAATTGTTGCAATGGCTGTGGCAGAGTCAGAAGGTGAAAATGAAACGGCTCTTTCTGGCCAGACTGGCGTTTCACTTTCAGCGCTTCTTTCCGAATTGTTGTCTGCTATGGAAAATGAACAAGTAAAGTTATCTGAAGTAGTGGAACTATCAGTAGCAGAAAATCTAACTAATGTACCATCAACGTTGCCGAGCACAGGAGGAAGACCTGCTTTTGACATAAAGAAGGAACACGTTGAACAATTAAGAGATGCAGGTATGAACTGGAATGCCATCTCAAGATTTAGGGATATCAGAGAAAACATTGCAGAGAAGAAGAGCTGAGTTTGGGTTAACGTCAAATTTTTGCACTATAAGTGACAGTGATCTGGATAGACATGTTGTAGAAATCCTACAATTAACACCATATAGTGGTGAGTCTTGTGTCAGGGGAGGTTTGAAAGGGCGACATATCCATGTTCAAAGAGAAAGGGTGAGGGAAAGTATTCACCGTGTTGATCCTATTGGGAGGAGTATACGAAGAAGATATGCCAGTGTCTCGATCACAGCTTGTTGCGTGTTATCATTTTGCCGCACAACAAACGACGGCGAACTGCTAGTGTTGCTTGGGATAGATTGCACGTTTTCATTGCGAAATATGCGTCGTGTTTCTGCCTCAACTTGCGGCGAAATAGCGTCTGCTAACTCACTTATGCGATCGAGAAGACGATTTACAGTCTGAAGAGGATCCGCCATTTATGGAAATGAGTGATGGGTTAGGTTATAAAGTACCCCATAGAAGTATATCGTGTCCGCTGACCGAAATGACCGTCGTAAAACTCGACTATCGTATATAAAATCTCGGCTGTCGCTAGAAAACTCGATTGTCGTTAATAATTTCGAATATCGTTCATAAAGCTCAATTATAGTTCATTTATCTCGATCACTTCGTATGTGTATTCTCGACTATTGTATACAGTACTCGCTTATCATATACACAACTCGATTATCGCATACTATACTCGACCTACTTTTGTCCACTTTGGCTTGCCATAGGCAAGCCAAACTGGACAAAAGCAGGTCGAGATGTGTACGCGATAAACGAGAACTGCATGCAATATATGAGAAATGTATACTATAGTCGAGAAAAGTGTAAACGACTGTCGAGAATTGTAATTTTAAGTCGAGAAACGTATACGATTGTCGAGAGTTTTGCTGCTGTGTGCGATAGTTGAGAAAATGCAAACGATACTCGAGATTTTCGCCTGTGCCTTTGGTCAGCGGTACGTGGTCGGAACCGATGGAATTTAGTGTGATCATTTAGAAGCGTCATGGCTGCCAACGTGGATGAGCTGCAAAATTTTGTCAGTGCTCTTGATAGTTTGTTTCTTCAATGTCAGAGATCTCAATGTAATCGGGATCCAATAGGATCAGAACATTGCAAGAACAAAATGGAAGACTATATTCTTATCGTAGTTGCTATGAAGACAGCTGTAGATGAAAATACAGCGCCAAATTCGTCGTTAAGAATTTTGCTTGGTAATTTGATTGCTGCAATGGAAAGAGAACTCGAAAAGTTAGCTGAGATTGTCGACAATTATCCCATCGAGGAAGTAAGAAATGTTATTTCGCTTTTGCCTAGTACGGGAGGAAGACCTGCATATAACGCTATATATTTATATCACGCCATATCATGGCGGTTGGTCATGGCATTTTCAGCTCTCGTAGACTTTGTCATGTTCTGTATTTTTATCTTATTCTTGGCAACCTATCAACTTACACATATTTCCGTAAGTCTTTATCATGTAATTCAACAGTTTTATTAACCACAATAGAAGCCAATATTGTGACAATCAAGTGTTATGGTAAACGGCGAAGATCAACGGTCAAAACGCGACCGTTAACGAACCAAACGATCATTATCAAAGGTACTCGTTTACTGCTACATGCGTTTTTTGCTACTTTACTGTTGCAATTATCTGGCGATGTTCACACTAATCCTGGTCCAATTACGGCGTCAAAACCTTACATCGAAAAGAAACGATGTTTGTTATTTAATGCACGCAGTCTGTGTAGCATTAACAAGCATGTGGACGGAACACTAGTAAGCAATTTATCTTCTTTCCAAAACATGGTGTACGCGGAAAACCTGGACATTGTGGCTGTTACCGAAACATGGCTTAAAGACAGTATTGCTGATAAAGAAATACTTCCGCACGGGTACGATATTCTGCGAAAAGATCGTGCGTCGTTTAAACGTGGCGGTGGGGTCTTACTAGCACTTCGCAGCGATATTACTTACAACAGAATAACATTAGGACAATGGTGCGAGAGATTGGAAATCATTGCGATTGAAATAGTGGAAAATGATTCAAGAAAGAGCCTTGTTTCAGTCTGCTATCGTCCACCTAACTGTGACGCTCACGAATGGCTTGACTTGTTTTCGTCGTTTTTACAAGTTACAGAGAACTATGACAGAGCATTTATTACTGGAGATTTAACTTTCCAGATCTGACATGGGACTCTCATATCAAATCTAACAGTTATGGAAATGTCTCGGCTAATTCTAATGATTTTCGTGAACTTATGTGGGATCTTTATCTCCAACAAGTGAATTTGTTTCCAACAAGGATGAACAATCTCATTGATCTAATTTTTACCAAGTGTCCTGAAACTGTGTCTGACATATCAAAGGTCGCGGCGAGAGAATTGAATCTCTTTAGTGATCATGATTTGGTTTTCTTCGACATCTGTTTAAATCCAAGATCGTTATTTTGTGATAATCGAACTGTTTTTAATTATCGTTTGGCCAATTGGGACGGTTTGTTTCAAGAGCTTGCGCAACTCGGTTTTGCTGACGACAGTGGCGTAACCGTTGATACACAGTTTGCAGACGACACTAGCACAACTGCCAATATGATTGACGTTGACGTCACTTGGCAACACTGGAGCGCACGATTTTTAGAAACAGTTTCCCGCCATATACCAACTAAAACAATCAGAAGGCGCAATACTCCACGTGGTTTGACAGCGAGGTGAGACATCTATTGAAAAAGAAAGAAACGGCCAGAAGAAAAGCAAAATCAAGCGGGAGAACTTGTCATCTAGAGAAATACCGTGCACTCCGTCGTCTAGTTAAGCAATTAATCTCACGTAAACGCAATGAATTTTCCAGACTTGCCCAATTTATTGAGATCCAACCCTAAACAATTTTGGTCAGTATTCAAAACAGTTTCCAATACATCCACTGCTCCAAATAAACTTGAGTGGACAAATGACAATGCTACAGCTACTGCTGAAAACCCCAAGGACATCGCTGATCTTCTGAATAACTACTTCTACTCTATGTTTAAACCACCATTGACTGACGAAGAATACGAACAACATCCTCATTCTCTTGATGATACATTATTATGCGAGCCGTTAGATAACATCCGTTTCACTCCGCAAGAAGTGCATAGAATACTAACTTCTCTTGACATCGAGAAAGCCACCGGTCCTGATAAAATCCCAGCGTTACTACTGTGTGCATGTGCGCCACATATCGCTCCTTCTTTGTGCCACTTGTTTAACAAATCCGTCTCTTTGGGAGAATTTCCAACTGCCTGGAAACTATCAAACATCGTGCCAATTCCCAAAGGAGGATCCAGAAAATCAGTCACCAACTATCGCCCCATATCCTTGTTGCCAATTGTTTCAAAAGTTCTCGAACGCTGTGTATACAACAAATTAGTTGAACATGTCTCTGTTCATTTACACCATCTCCAGTTTGGCTTCATGAAGGGGAAATCAACCACCTCACAGCTCCTGCGGATCTTCCATGAAATCGGCAAGGCACTTGATACTCGAGTACAAACTGATGCGATCTATTTAGACTTTGCAAAAGCTTTTGATCGAGTTGATCATCGACTTCTAATCCAGAAACTTCAGCGATATGGGATCTGTGGAAATTTGCTACGGTGGTTTGAGAGCTACCTATCGGGTCGCCACCAGAGAGTTACCGTGCTTGGTGCAACATCCAAACAAGCAAGAGTCCTCTCTGGAGTGCCACAAGGATCGATCCTTGGACCACTGTTGTTCCTCATTTACGTGAATGACCTTCCCAACGTTGCCACGTCTTCATCTTCGGCAATGTTTGCGGATGACACAAAGTGTTTCCACACCATCGAACATCTCAAGGACGTGCATGATCTCCAAACTGATCTCGACAACATTTGTGAATGGTGTGATGTTTGGAGAATGGATTTAAACGGGGGGAAATGCAGTCACCTTCGCATCACAAGGAACTTAAACCCGATTGATTCGTCCTACAGTCTAATGGGGACAGCAGTTAGGAACGTAACCACCCAGAAAGATCTCGGAATTCTCGTCCAGCACAGCCTCAAGTGGAATGATCATGTGTCTGTTGTGTCGAGCAAAGCCAACAAGATGTTAGGATTCGTGAAAAGGTCTTGCCATGGTATGCATGATGTACGCGTGCGTAAGGCACTCTACACCAGTCTTGTACGTAGCCATTTCGCCTACGCGTCTGAAGTTTGGGCTCCGCAAACAGTCACCCTAATACAACAACTTGAGAAAGTTCAGCGTCGAGCTACCAAATTCATATTATCACTGCCATTCCGGACCAATATTACGTACAAGGACAGGCTTTTGAAGATCGGTCTGCTGCCCCTAACCTACTGGCACGAATATCTGGACATCATGTACCTATTCCAACATTCCCAAGGTGACCCCAACATCTGCACTAAACAATCAGAACGCATCACAAGACGATCAGACACCACAGGTCGTTACACCACGTTTAATATACATAAAGCAAACACGACAACCTTTCAGAACAGTTTCTACTGCAGAACCCCAAGAATTTTTAATGAATTACCAGAACATCTCCGCGACTCCAAACTCTCAATCTCTAAATTCAAATCTGAACTGTTTAATTATTATAACTACCTCACAGAACATGTATATGACGTGGACATTCCGCAAACGTTTAAGAGTGTATGTGTAAAATGTAATTCGTCTCGTCCCTTGTATAGTCTAAATGTAAAGTTGTGTTGTTGAGAGTTATCCATGCATGTTCAACATATTGTGAAACAACCTTGTATTGTATAATATTTTGTAATAATGTCCACCACTAATGTTCATGTAAATATTCTTATTCTATTTAGTATAATTGTACTGTAAGCAAGGGACCCCATAACTGGAGTTAAAACTCTGTGGGGCTCACCAGCCAAACATGGCGAAGAGTATAAATAAATAAATAAATAACATCACCAAGGTACAAATCGAACAGTTGAGAGAAACAGGGATGAAGTGGTGTAACATTGCAGAACTTTTGGGTGTGTCTGAGCGAACCCTTCAAAGACGAAGGATAGAATTCGGAATTGAACCAAGTTTCTCAGAAATTTCAGATTATGATCTGGATAATCAAATAAGAGAAATTCTCCAATTGACACCATATAGTGGTGAGTGTTACGTCAGAGGTAGTTTAAAAGGAAGACAGGTAAATGTCCAAAGACATAGAGTTAGAGCTAGTATCCAAAGAGTCGATCCAATTGGTAGGAGTATACGAAAAAGGTATGCAATTTGTCGACGTGTCTACAATGTTCGTGGGGCAAACCATTTGTGGCATATTGACTCTAACCATAAATTGATATCATAGAGATTTGTAATTCATGGTTGCATTGATGGTTTTAGCAGAACAGTTATTTACCTAAAATGTTGCACAAACAATAGAGCAGACACTGTTCTTCGCTTGTTTGAAAACGGTGTGGGAGAGTTTGGCCTACCATCTAGAGTTCGAGGTGACCATGGCGTCGAGAATGTTGATGTGGCAAGATACATGGTTTATAACAGAGGCACCGATAGAGGCAGTTTTATCGCTGGTAGAAGTGTGCACAATCAGCGTATTGAGCGATTGTGGGCAGAAGTCAACAGAGTTATGACAGCGCTATACAAGGATTTGTTCAAATTTCTAGAGAGAAGTGAACAACTTGATTCCCTTAATGAAGTACACCTTTTTGCTCTTCAGTATGTTTTTCTACCTCGCATCAATGTATCCTTAGCTGAATTCCGAAGGCAGTGGAATCATCATGGAATGAGAACTGCCAATCATCAGTCACCATTAGCATTATGGCATACTAATATGATAACAGTCCCAGATGATTCGACAGTAATTAACTGGGAATCCTATGGAATTGACTACAGTACCTCAGGACAAGCAATTCAAACAAACAATAACATTGTTATTCCCAATTCAGATATTGAACTTACTGAAGCACAACTCCATTACCTGCAACAAACGGTAAATCCTTCCCAGGATGATGGGAATAATGGTATAGGACATTTTTTAAATACAGTGGACATAGTTGGTGATTTTATTTCTGAGGAAACAATAGACATTTGAATTGTTTAATTAACTATAGTACCAGTAAAAACAAACATTGAAATTACATCAATCCCATAAACTATGTAATTTATTTCATTAAAACAACAAAGAACCTGCAGTACAAATTTTCTGCTTAACAATGTTAAAGTGATAGTTGTAATGTTTACATTATAATTGTACATCTGGAACAGTATCAGTGTTTATACTTATGAATTATAAAAAAATTCTTTATTAAACATACTATAAAGGCCACAGACATAAATCACCCTTTCAATGTGCTTCGAATATTTAGTATGATAAAATATCCATTGAAAACTTTGGAAAAAACATGGAAAACACATGATAAAAAAACTTGAAGTGCAATCAGCAAAAGCCATGTTTGTTACCTTGTTTAAACTGCACATTAAAAATTTCGTTAAAACTGAAATTTGAGAGGATGCAAGTATGAAACCTTTAACTGTTGTACTTCATGAATAATTCCCATTCTGTTGTAATTACCATCTCAATCATGCTTTTTTCATTAAATACATGGAAGTTGCTCTGTACCTAAACCAAACAAAAACTTAGACTACTATACATCGCTTAAACCAGTTTGTACTCTACACAATGTCAAATGACCATGACTGATACCCCCTCATAATGTTTAGGAACTCTTCAGCAAGAGCCAAATATGATTCATAAGTTGAGGGTAGCTCAATTAAGGGGGCACATGTACGAGCAATGGGCCGTCTTTCCACACCAGTGAGGGTACTGAATGTAACTGTGATTGAATCGCAGGTGATGATATCACTTCCTGTGCAAAAATGCAAGAACTTTGCCAAGGCTTGGCCTTCCAGGGACTTCACAAATCGCTTCAGGTGGGCAAGACTCTCTCGTTCAGCATCATTGGAAGGCTCTGCTCGAAATAGCTTTATAATTTTCTTTGCAGTAGGGGTCTTGCTTTTATACAACTCTTTGAGATCCTCAAAGGTTTGGAATGCTTTATGCTCTTGTAACATATGTAATATAGGAGCCCAACAGTTCACAATATATCTTGGTTTCTGTATCAGCTCCTGATGCGCCAATTCGTTGATTATTTCTTTAATATTTTCCTGCGATGCTACTCTAAAGCACTTCAAAGAAGACAAAAAGTCACTGACATCTTCAGCATCTTTGTCAAAGCTATCACCAAGACACTGATCCAGAACATCCTGGTCTTCAGCTGGGATATATTCTTTGAATGTGGCAAGTAGAAATTCCGTTGTGATGCATTCCTCCCCAAACAAGCATGATGCCATGAACAGAGAAGAAAGTTGAAGTGGGAAATAACCATAATTCTTGTATCCATAGACAAGAATACGAGCAATAGCTTGCCATTCACGTTTCTGCATATCGTGCCTTATGAATGGTGTTTTCTCCTTCCTTCCCACAGCTAAAGACATAAAACAATTGTCCCAAAAATGTGTCAAAACATCCAATATAACACCCTTCCCTTTTCCTTTCTCTGGTTCACCACGTGCATCGATCACAACCACATCAAGATAACTGTTCAAAATGCTTGGGTCGGGAAATATTTCAGTTAAATCTTTACGGATGGTGGATCGGTGGACAGTGACTGTTTTGGGAAGCATTGGAGTGTACATTGATATTAAATGCAAATCAGCTAAAAAGACGAAGTGAAGAAATTAGTTTATTTGTTACAGGTTAATTAGAACATAATATTTTTAGTACATCAAATTCCTACCTTCATCCATATCAGAAAAAACCTGCCCTGTTTCAACATCAATAATTTCCTGCTGTGGACTATGAGTCTGATCTTCATGTTCACCAATTTCTTCATCAACAACATTGGGTGGAGCTGGTTGGGTGTTGACATTAATAGAAGGGTTGTTAGAGTTGACATTTATTTGATTAGGTTGGATCGCTTGGGTCTGTTGGGTCTGTATAGGTTGGGTGTTGACATTGGCCTGTTCGGGTTGGGTGTTAAGACAAGGCAGTGTAGGCTGGCTATTAACATTTGTCAGGAAAGGCTGGGTATCAGCATCGGTTGGAGGGTGATTGGAATTGACATTTGTTAAAGGGGGGTGGGTGCCTGCATTCATTGTAGTAGGTTGGATGTCAAAATTGGCATGTTGGGACTGGGTGTGGGAAGCAGGTATGTTGGAGTTGAAATTAAATGAATGGGGATGGGTGGTAACATTGCTTTCATCAGTTTGGCAATCCAGAAAACACTCATCTAATTCTTCTTCTTGAGCACAGGTTGACAGAGGACTTGACAACATATTGGTTTGCTAAGGATGATAAAAGTATGTGGACAATCTCATCAAAAGTTTACTACAAACTAATGAAAACAGGATAAATGCTCATTATCACAGGAATTTAAGTCATTAGATTGCAATTAGTTTAAATTAACAATATAAAATACCTGTGCTACATTTCCATATGAGGCCAAGTCAAAGAGTTGTTGATTTGGGCGGATATAAACAGGCTTATTTCTATACAGCCGCTGTAGCATGGCACCATCTATACCATGCTGTCCAGGTGCCAGTGATGGAACCACCAGATGTGAATGAACGGAAACTAATAATTCAATATCCACACCGGGTGGAATTTTACCATCAAAAGCCTCAATTATCGCTCTTTCGACTTCCATCATTGACTGACTTTTTGTAAATCTGCACCCTGAAATAACGTGACCTCTTTCATTCAGAGCGAGACGTGTTCCTTGCCGGGGTACGACTTGGTCGTCAGGGCCACTTAGTAAAACCAAATCGCGCAAAAATGGCTTGTTTTCGCTAACGTTTGGTTTTTGTTTTCCCTCCTTGCGAGTCGAGCGCGAAGGTCGTTGACCTGGAAAATGGTGTCTTACTGAGTAAGGTCTATATCTATTCGATGTTGGTTCACTTGATCTTGAGGTGGAAGGTCTTGAAGTAGATGATGGTCCGATGCTCGCATTATTGCCTGTAAAAGTGCGCCTCACCTCCGACTCGGTGTCGATTTGATTTGGTCGTCCTGATATCGCATCAGACAGTTCCCCGATTCGTGAAAACAATTGCCTTATGATATCGTTTGACTGTTCACGATTACCGTCCCGGTTCCCGTCTGCCATATTTGAATAATATGAATACTTAATCAGCTATTTTTTGAAAATTTTTGAGTCTATAAAGAATACTGCGGAATACTGCGGTCAAAATGGCGAACGTAAAGCCAAATTAAGCCATAGGTAAAACGCATGCGCGAGTTCCAAAAATAGCGGGAAAATGTCACCAAAACAACAAGCCCTGTCCTATTTGGAGTCATGCAATATTTGTCAATTTGTCATATTATATTCCGACCACGTACCGCTGACCAAAGACACAGGCGAAAATCTCGAGCAGCGTTCTCACTTTTAAGGAAATTTCCTTAAACTAAGGAAATTTTGATCTTATTTCACCTTTTTAAGGAATTGTTTGAGGAATTTTATTTTTTAAAGAATTTCTAGAAAGAATTTTATCGAAATTATTTACTTTCGTTACAAAAGTCATAAAACTGAACAAAACATGGCAAAAATTAAAAATTGTTACTCCATTTAATTCATGGCAAAAATTAAATTGTTACTCCACACTAATTTCTTCATCTTTTGACTCCGAGTCCGACATGCTCCCTTCTCAACCTTTGTCTTGATTTATATATTGTTTATAATAACGATAATAATAAAACAGCTTTTTACACTAACTAATATAAAACCAAAACAATTTTCCCGCCTTTTTATGGGATTATGCAATAACCAAGGTTAACAACGAGGAAACCGGTCAGTGACGTCAGGTAACCACGTGACCGAATGGGAGGGGCGAGTGGAGGCAAGGTGCGGAGCAGAGCCCGCAGAGGGCATTAACAACTCGTCGGCGAACGAGCGATAACGTCGGCAACAGCAGCTTGTGGTAAAGTGCTATTAGTAAATTTCTTTCTTTCTTCTTTGGTTTACTCTCTTCATTTGCCTGTCTTTTCCACCAACAAAGTTGGTGTGAAGGGTTAGCTCTCGGCGGGGGGAGGGGGTGCGTGCTCAGCTTAAGGTACCGTAGGGATCTCAACTGGCTCCAAGTAACAGCACTCGTTCCAAGCCACCCCTCCCGCGAGCGACGAGCTAACACCTAACCATCCAATCGGGTAAGTAAGATGGAGGAAGGTGTTAAAGTAAACTACACTAGGTCCCAGGCTTCATATCTGGGAACCCTGAGATTTAAGGAAATTTTACTCAATCTGAGGAATTTTTGTCCTTAGTCTAAGGATTTCTAAACAATAAGATGTGAGAGCCCTGATCTCGAGTATCGTTTGCATTTTCTCAACTATCGCACACAGCAGCGAAACTCTCGACAATCGTATACGTTTCTCGACTTACAATAACAATTCTCGACAGTCGTTTACACTTTTCTCGACTATAGTATACATTTCTCATATATTGCATGCAGTTCTCGTTTATCGCGTACACATCTCGACCTGCTTTTGTCCAGTTTGGCTTGCCATACTATCGTCCTCGTCTTCAAATATGTGTCTGCATGGCAACAACCTTCGGCGGCAATCGTATTATCAAAGTGTCAAGTGTCTATATTGTGCATGGAGAGGCCCGAGATAGCGTCTCTCTCTTTCACAATGGTTGTACAGAAAAAGGACCGAAACAAAGTGTATTCAAAATATGATTAAATCACAAATTATAAGGCTGGTCTAGTCCATATACGTAAATTAAAGACATGCATTTACATATACTTTCAGTAAGCAGCTTCAGGAGCAATATAATTTTGCAAGATTACTTAATACATCCGTTCCAAAATTCGTGTTCTGAAAAAATGGTTTGAAAGCAATAAATTTGGAAGCTAGTCATTCCATTTCGTTAGGTGTATTTTATAATAATTGTCGCAGGATGAAAACAATCTGGTTTCTTGTTCTTGATTACCGATTTACTCGATTGAGCGCCGCCCCCGAATGAGCGCCGCACTAATTATTTTCAAATTCGACGCGCCGTCAGAATTGTTGAAGACGCTATTGTTAAATCGGTCTTTAGAATTTTCGTAATTAAGGCGCAGGTCAGTCGTGAAGGTAGAGATTCCAGTGATTTGTGCGATTGGTTTTCTGTAAAATGTCCAAATGCTTACAATTCACAAATAATTTTTTTTAAAGAGCGCCGCCCTCGATTAAGCGCCGCATCTGAAGTCCTAAAAATTTAAAGAGCGCCGCGGCGCTCAAACGAGTAAATACGGTATTGTTAATCTCAGTCCATTTTTAGTGAAGATCCTGATCCTAACAGCGGGGAATATCATTCAATAAATCTCCCTGTATTCGTTGTATATTATATGCCAAAAATTACTTTCACCAGCAGACAATTTAATGAGATATATATCTCTATGCGATATATTTCTCTACATCATCTAATCAACTTGACGCGTTTCATGACAGCTAAACAAATATTGAGTATACAACAGTGGGATCAGTGTTTTTTCTTAATCAGATCATGGCTTCAATTAATCAAAATTTCTCTTATCTCTAGAGTGTCAGAACCGTGAGTTTAAATGTGGAAGGTGAAGTGGATGACGATGAGTTTGACACTTGGTTACAGGTAGTCGCGATATCCTCTTACCGTCGTATTTAACTAATACTTACTGAGACGAATAGCTGTTTCAGCATACCTGTAATACCGACAAAGATACTGGCCGCCATTTTATTAAAACTCGCTGCGTGATTGTGGCGTTGTCGGGCGTCCGTATTCCATGTGACGTAAATTCCAGGGGTGATCAATTCGAAATCGAGATTTTGTAATCCGGCAGAACGCGCTGGTTCTTCGCTGTATGTTTGTACTGTTAACTTTTGAAAAACTACTTTGTGCTTGGTTGCAAATATGCATGTCCTGACAATTTGTATCAATGGTTGATATTTGTGTTACATAAGCATCGAAACATATCAGGTTGACTCTTAATTAAATCACTGATAAAAGAAAATGCCCATTAAAACCTGAGAGTGTCACAATTTTACAAAAAACTCGCCGGTTAAACCAATTTTTTAACTGATTAAAATCTTCACAGGAATTACTCTGGGAGAAGAGTTTTCGTAATCCAGTTACTGGCAATCGGATGGATATTTTGCGATTTAAAGTAAAGTATTAAACAACGTTTTATAGATTCTAAATTTCCGTTTGCCAGAAGTTTAAGAAAACACTCCTAAGTCTTCTTCATCCGTCGTGTATTTGGACAGGTTGGAACGAGAGATATACTTGTAAAAATAAGGCAATCTGCCCTTACCAATAATAATCCATCATACCAACTGTGCGTGTGTCTATGTTATTTTGTAATGTGGAGTTCTAATCTCAATTACTTGCACGAAAGGTGTATATGAGGTCGATTAACGGTTGGGTATTTAGCAAACCGACCATCAAAAGTTTGTAAATGTTTTTTTCTCCATAAAGGCACTAATATCATTTCGCGGTTTCCGTGAAAAAGTGATTGTTCAAGCCGTCCATGAACTGTTTGATAAAGTACCCACGGAAGAATGGGTGGACGATGAAAAACGAATAAACCGAATCATTTTTATTGGTAAGAAATAGAAGATACTTCATTCTCTACATTTCATACTGGATTTTATAGTGACAACTAAATTCTATATTCATATAATATGCGGGAAAAATGTCATAATTTTTACCTCTTTTTATGACAAATAATTGTTTTTTATTTAACCAGGATCTAACCTGGACAAAGAAGTGCTAGAAGAAAGTTTTGTCAAAAACTGCTTAATTCAAAGTGACAAGAATTCTGCTGAAAATTGAACACAGAATTCTCTATTTCTTCTATTATACAGGGTGTCCCAAAAAAAACGCAACACTTAAATATGCATGAATATTAATATTGTTCGGGTTTGCACCATAGTTCAGCTAAAATGACTTTTAGAATTGTAAATGAAGGATTAAGAGCCATTTTCAATTCCCAGAGGTGCATGCTTATCTATTGCGCTTTAGAGCTGTATTAATGTTCTGCATATTTAAGTGGTTGCTTTTTTTTGGGACACCCTGTATATACATTTTATTTATTATACACGTATAACAACCTAACCAAACTGTATGTAGTTATAAAACTTAAGTATACAGCTGGTTTATATTCATATGTTCATGTCTCCAGTGAGAGACGACAAACTCTTTCGTTTTTCTCTCCTCAAACAGTAGATTTTAAAAATTTAAAAATTTCATATAATTCGGTATATGTCAAAATTTCATAAAACTTTCAAGATTTCAAAAATTTTAGTAATAAATTTTACAAACTTTAAAAAAATTCTAAAATATACCGAAGTAATTTTAAATGCTCCAAAAACCAACTAAATTAGTTGTAGTAAATATTTGAACCCATTTCCAGCATTTTAACAAGTTTTTACAACATTTTGAAACAATGTTGTTTGTCAATTCTGAAACATTTCGACGTAATTTCAACCGAATTATGAAATTTCAAAAAATTGACGAAAATTAGTATTTTTCCTTTGGTCCACCGATTTGGCTGAAATTTTGAAATTTATCAAAGTATGATTTTATGTGTTCAAATGTATTGTTTTCATGAAAGAATGCAATTCTAATTAATTCTGAACCATTTCGACGTATCTTCAACCGAATTTTGAAATTTCAAAAAATTGACGAAAATTAGTATTTTTCCTTTGGTCCCCCAATTTGGCTGAAATTTTGAAATTTATCAAAGTATGATTTTATGTGTTCAAATGTATTGTTTTCATGAAAGAATGCAATTCTAATTAATTCTGAACCATTTCGACGTATCTTCAAGCGAATTTTGAAATTTCAAAAAATTGACGAAAATTAGTATTTTTCCTTTGGTCCACCGATTTGGCTGAAATTTTGAAATTGATCAAAGTATGATTTTATGTGTTCAAAAGTATTGTTTTCATGAAAGAATGCAATTCTAATTAATTCTGAAGCATTTCGAAGTATTTTCAACTGAATTTTGAAACTTCCAAAAATTGACGTGGATTAGAATTTTTCCTTTGGTCCCCCGTTGCCAATTTGGTTGAAATTTTGAAATTGATCAAAGTATGATTTTCTGCGTTCAAATGTATTTTTAATGAAAAACTGCAATTGTATTTAACTCTGAAGCATTTCGACGTATTTTCAATCGAATTTTGAAATTTCAAAAAATTCACGAATATTACAATTTTTCTTTTGGTTCCCCGTTGCCAATTTGGTTGAAATTATGTATCGTATCAAAGCATAATTTTATGTGTTCAAATGTATTGTTTTCATGAAAGAAAGCAATTGTACGTATTTCTGAAGCATTTCGAAGCATTTTCAACCGAATTTTGAAATTTCAAAAGATTGACGAAAGTTAGGATTTTTCCTTTTATTCCCCGTTGCCAATTTGGTTGAAATTTGAAATTTATCAAAGTATATTTTATGTGTTCAAACGTATTGTTTTCATGAAAGAATGAAATTCCGAAGCAATTCGACGTATTTTCAACTGAATTTTGGAATTTCAAATATTTGACGAAAATTAGATTTTTTCCTTTGGTCCCCCGTTGACGATTTAGCTGAAATTTTGAAATTTATCAAATTATGATTTTATGTGTTCAAATGATTTGTTTTTATGAAGGAATGCAATTCTAATTAATTCTGAAGCATTTCGAAGTATTTTCAACTGAATTTTAAGACTTCAAAAATAGACGAGAGTTAGAATTTTTTATTTGGTCCCCCGGTTGCCAATTTGGCTGAAATTTTAAAATTTATCAAAGTATGATTTCATGTGTTCAAATGTATTGTTTTGATGAAAGAATGCAATTGTGCTTAAACCTAAAACATTTCGACGTATTTTCAAAATTCAAAAAAATGGACGAAAATTAAAATTTTTCCTTTGGTCCCCCGTTGCCGATTTGGCTGAAATTTTTGAAATTTATCAAAGTATGATTTTATGTGTTCAATCTATTGTTTTCATGAAAGAATGAAATTCTAATTAATTCTGAAGCATTTGGACTTATTTTCAACCGAATTTTGAACTTTCAAAACATTGACGAAAATTAGGATTTTTCCTTTGGTCCCCCGTTGTCGATTTCCCTGAGATTTTGAAATTTTTTTTCATCAATTATTTTCTTCCTTGTCAAAATTATTTTTCTTGTGTTTTCCACAAGTGTACTTCTGAAAATGTGAAGGTGTACTTCGTTTTTCGTCTAAATTTTTTACTTCGTGTCAAAATGTTTTTTTTTCGCCGAAACTTTTCCCAGCGAAAATTTATTTTCTCTCAATTTTTTTCTTGTATCTAATTTTTTTTTGTCAAAATTTTTTTCTTGTGTCAAAGTATTTTATTTTGTAAAAATTTTTTCTAGTGTGAAAATATTTTATTTTTTATAAATTATTTTTCTTGTAAAATTTTTTTGCTTTTAAAAAAGTTTCGAGCCATTGGTTTATTTTTAGAATATTAAAAAAGTCGTCAATTTGGCTTAATTTAGTATTATAAAACCCTTCGCTGTCGCAATGAACGTGTAATAATCCCACAATCACCACATTAAGCAATGTCATATATACTGAACCTTCGACTTTTCGAGTCATACCCACTGCGTTATTTGGTCTCTGTGTACTTTTTGCAACCTTAACGGGGCACTGTGGGTTTTTATATAATAATATAAGTTTGTTATCAACACACAATCCGGTGGCCGAGTGGTTAAGGCTATAACCGGTAAGGTTGTAAAGGTAGGTTCGAATCCTGCATGGGAGTAGTCGCATTTTTCCCGCCGAAATTACTATTTAATTTAAAATTCTTCGATCGTCGGATTGTATGTTAATACCAACCTTACAATATATATATATTATTCCGGTGGCTCAGTGGTCAAGGCTATGGCCTACCAGGCTGTAAGGGTAGGTTCGAATCCTGCATGGGAAAGGTTCGATTTTTTCCACCGAAATTACTATTTAATTCAAAATTCTTCGAAAAGAATTAGGTCAAATAAAGAACAATAGCTTTCGACAAATGATGCGGTGGTCTAGTGGTTAAGACATTCGTTTCTCACTCTGAGGACAAACGTTTCAACTCCTGGCAATGCAAAAAAATTAGCCTGAAAAATTTCGGTGTGATTTGGAAGCGTTAAAACCGTAAAAGATTTCTCGGCCTTTGCGAAAGACTGTAAATTGAAAAAAATTTGAAATAAAAAAAATGAAAACAAATTCTCGCGTTCAAAAGTACTTGAAAATTGAAAGAAAAGCACAATTAAAAAAAGTTTTAAAAACGCGTGTCTTCTAAAAAGCCTGAACTGAATGAAGAAAGTCAGACGGAAAAACAATTTAACAATTCCCGCTTTTAAAAAACTCATGTTTACTTACCTTAATTTTTTTTCACGAAAATTTGACAGGGTGATTTTCTCGAGACTGAAAAAATTTAATTTTTTTCACTTTTTTGAAATTCTCTTAGATTTTTTTTCGACGCGAGTATTTTGTCTTGGGCTACCTGTGTCTGTCGGCTACCTGTGTCTGGCTTGACACAGGTAGCCCAAGACAAAATACTTTCGCGTCGAAAAAAAATCTAAGAGAATTTCAAAAAAGTGAAAAAATTAAATTTTTTCAGTCTCGAGAAAATCACCGTGTCAAATTTTCGTGAAAAAAAATTAAGGTAAGTAAACATGAGTTTTTTAAAAGCGGGAATTGTTAAATTGTTTTTCCGTCTGACTTTCTTCATTCAGTTCAGGCTTTTTAGAAGAAACGTGTTTTTAAAACTTTTTTTAATTGTGCTTTTCTTTCAATTTTCAAGTAGTTTTGAACGCGAGAATTTGTTTTCATTTTTTTTTATTTCAAATTTTTTTCAATTCACAGTCTTTCGCAAAGGCCGAGAAGCCTTTTAACTGTTTAAAGCTTCCAAATCACACCGAAATTTTTCAGGCTATTTTTTTTGCATTGCCAGGAGTTGAAACGTTTGTCGTCGGAGTGAGAAACGGATGTCTTAACCACTAGACCACCGCATCATTTGTCGAAAGCTATTGTTCTTTATTTGACCTAATTCTTTTCGATTAATTTTAAATTAAATAGTAATTTCGGTGGGAAAAATCGAACCTTTCCCATGCAGGACTCGAACCTACGCTTACAACCAGATAGGCCGTAGCCTTAACCACTCGGCCATCGGATTATATGTTGATAGCGCCTTAATATATACGACGTTATTGCGGTAGCCCAGTGGTTAAGGCTACGGCCTACCAGGCTGTAAGGGTAGGTTCGAATCCTGCATGGGAAAGGTTCGATTTTTTCCACCGAAATTACTATTTAATTCAAAATTCATCGAAAAGAATTAGGTCAAATAAAGAACAATAGCTTTCGACAAATGATGCGGTGGTCTAGTGGTTAAGACATTCGTTTCTCACTCCGAGGACAAACGTTTCAACTCCTGGCAATGCAAAAAAATTAGCCTGAAAAATTTCGGTGTGATTTGGAAGCGTTAAAACCGTAAAAGACTTCTCGGCCTTTGCGAAAGACTGTAAATTGAAAAAAATTTGAAATAAAAAAAATGAAAACAAATTCTCGCGTTCAAAAGTACTTGAAAATTGAAAGAAAAGCACAATTAAAAAAAGTTTTAAAAACGCGTGTCTTCTAAAAAGCCTGAACTGAATGAAGAAAGTCAGACGGAAAAACAATTTAACAATTCCCGCTTTTAAAAAACTCATGTTTACTTACCTTAATTTTTTTTTCACGAAAATTTGACAGGGTGATTTTCTCGAGACTGAAAAAATTTAATTTTTTTCACTTTTTTGAAATTCTCTTAGATTTTTTTTCGACGCGAAAGTATTTTGTCTTGGGCTACCTGTGTCTGTCTTGGGTCCTGTCTGGCTTGACACAGGTAGCCCAAGACAAAATACTTTCGCTTCGAAAAAAAAATCTAAGAGAATTTCAAAAAAGTGAAAAAAATTAAATTTTTTCAGTCTCGAGAAAATCACCCTGTCAAATTTTCGTGAAAAAAAATTAAGGTAAGTAAACATGAGTTTTTTAAAAGCGGGAATTGTTAAATTGTTTTTCCGTCTGACTTTCTTCATTCAGTTCAGGCTTTTTGGAAGACACGTGTTTTTAAAACTTTTTTTAATTGTGCTTTTCTTTCAATTTTTAAGTACCTTTGAACGCGAGAATTTGTTTTCATTTTTTTTATTTCAAATTTTTTTCAATTTACAGTCTTTCGCAAAGGCCGAGAAGCCTTTTAACTGTTTAAAGCTTCCAAATCACACCGAAATTTTTCAGGCTATTTTTATTGCATTGCCAGGAGTTGAAACGTTTGTCGTCGGAGTGAGAAACGGATGTCTTAACCACTAGACCACCGCATCATTTGTCGAAAGCTATTGTTCTTTATTTGACCTAACTCTTTTCGATGAATTTTAAATTAAATAGTAATTTCGGTGGGAAAAATCGAACCTTTCCCATGCAGGACTCGAACCTACGCTTACAACCAGATAGGCAGTAGCCTTAACCACTCGGCCATCGGATAGTGTGCTGATACAAACCTTATATTATTGTACAAAAACCCACAGCGCCCCGTTTGTTGCAGCGTGTATGACTCCAAGAGTTGAAGGTTCAGTATACATCACATTGCTCAATGTGGTGATTGTGGGATTATTACACGTTCACTGCGTCAGGGAAGGGTTTTATAATACTAAATTAGGCCAAATTGAGGACTTTTTCAACGTTCTAAAAATGAACTAAATTGCTCGAAAACCAAAGAGATAAGTCTGAGGAAACATTTGAAGCCATTTTTAGCATATTAACACAGGTTTAGAAAATTTTCAAAAGTCGTCAGATTTGCGCAAAAAAAATTGAAAAGAAAAAAAATTTGCTGGAATAAATTTTCGCTGGAATAAATTTTCGCTGGAAAAAAGATTTGGACACAAGAAAAAAATTTTCACATTAAAAAAATTTTGAGACAAAAAAAAAATTGGAGAGGAAAAGAAATTGGACACAAATAATTGAAACGAAATTTTTGGATCGAAAATTTTAAAAAACCCAACAAAATATATTCAAAAACCAAAGAGTATTGAATACTAAATATTTAAAGCCATTTTCAGCATGCTAACACATATAAAAATGAGCATTTATGAAAATAACTTGAAGATTATGAAGCCGTATTTTCAAAAGTCGTCAAAATGGTAAAGGGGTAACTCTTGCTATTTTGGCCAAAATTAATATTTTTTTTAATTTTCCAAAAACGAACTAAATGTGCTGAAAAACTAAAGATATTAGTCGTAGTAAATATTTTAAACCATTTTCAGCATGTTAACAATTTTTTTTTAAATTTTCAAAAGTCGTTCGTTTTTGGAACATTAATTAAAAAGTCGCTCAAAAATTTTCTAAACATGTTGAAAATCGTTTTTTCAGCACATTTCAATTTTCGTCAATTTTTTGAAATTTCAAAATTTGGTTGAAAATACGTTAAAATTGCATTCTTTCATGAAAAAAATATATTTGAACACATAGAATCATACTTTGATAAATTTCAAAATTTCAGTCAAATCGACAACGGGGGACCAAAGGAAAAATCCTAATTTTCGTCAATTTTAAAAATACGTCGAAATGGTTCAGAATTAATTAGAATTGCATTCTTTCATGAAAACAATACATTTCAACACATAAAATCATACTTTGATAAATTTCAAAATTTCAGCCAAATCGGCAACGGAGTAGCTACCAAAGGAAAAATCCTAATTTTCGTCAATTTTAAAAATACGTCGAAAAAGCTTCAGAATTAATTAGTATTGCAATCTTTAATGAAAACAATACATTTGAACACATAAAATCATACTTTGATAAACTTCAAAATTTCAGCAAATCGGCAACGGGGGCCCAAAGGAAAAATCTTAATTCGGTTGAAAATACGTCGTAAGGTTTCAGAATTAATTAGAATTGCATTCTTTCATGAAAACAAAGCATTTGAACACATAAAATCATACTTTGATAAATTTCAAAATTTCAGGCAAATCGACAACCGGGGACCAAAGGAAAAATCTTATGGTTTTACAAGAACCATATACAGAGTCTAAAAACGCAGTTAGTATGAGTCTTAGTAAAATAATATAGGACATCGCTCAATGTGACGATTGTGGGATATTCACACATTCACTGCAACTGCGATGTGTTTTTCAATACTTCCAAGTTTATTTAAATTTTTTTAAATTTCAAAATGTTTTAAATTTTTTAAATTTTAAATTAAAAAAAACTGCGTTATTTGTGTCTGGGAATTTTCGGAAATCTGGGGAAATTTTTAATAAATATTTCAACTTGGTTGTGAGTATAGAATGGCATAAAATTCCAATAAATATATAATATAGTTCAGTGGCATAGATATAATATAATTTCACTGATACATATAATATAAACACGTCACGGATGTTTAAAACACGCGCAAGAGGCCTAGGGACTAGGCTGTTAAAATGCTGATAGGCTGATAACACTAATACATCCTCGTCCCAGGGGGGGACACAATCACAATGACACTGATATGTAATAAAAAGCCTGATGAATGGTGATAGGCCTGATTCCAGTATATACCAGTGAACTCTGTACAACATTGAGATTTGAGAAGTTAGTTCACCACCATAGCTACCACACCATCCAGCCTACCGAGACAAGAGCTGCTAATATGGTGCCATCATAATTACTAATTTCGAAGTTTGGAATAAATTATGATTGCAACTCGCCCATTTTGTTCGAATATATCTCGCAGTTTTCGTGCTTTGATAACCGGTGCTCCCGGCTCGGGAAAAGGGACTATATCATCAAGAATTGTTCGTGATTCTGGTTTGGTTCACTTATCAAGCGGAGATGTTCTGCGTCTGCATGTCAAACAAGGCTCTAAGCTAGGAACGAAGGCAAAGGATTACATTGATCGAGGTGTATTACTACCAGATAATCTTATCGTAGAACTTATGATCAGTGAAATCGATAAACTTTCAAACAAACGTTGGTTATTGGATGGTAGGTGAAATTTGAAGATATTTGTGCAAAGAATAGACCTTTTTGCAAAGTTGGCAGATTTGTATACTGGATACCTTTTTACAACTAATTGTACTAATTAGTAGTAAAAAGGCATACCGTACATTTGTACTAATTTTATTATGCTCTTTTCAGCTATGGTGCTTGTATTTTTTTTGCATAGGTCAAAAAGTAGTCTCTAAATATCTATTAGATTGGGATCCTCTATTAATCTTTTATATGTAATAGCTAGGTTGGGAAAACATGCTTTTGTTGGTGATAGTGCATAATAGGGCTAATAGAACATGGTGGTATAAATATATACAAGGATGAATCAATATGCAAAATATTCAATTCCTTTTGCAAAAGAGCCTGCAATAAGGCAATGGTGCTGGAAGGAGTATAGGGCTTGTTCTATAACCTTGACTGTATTTCTAGGGATCAAACAGACCTCCAAAATTTTTTTCTCCCCCTGATTTTAGTCCTGATTAGTCATTAAGATTTAGATAGAATCTGATTTTCTGGTTTCGCAGGATTTCCCAGAACAATTGAGCAAGCAATGCAATTGGATATGAGGCAAAAGTTTGATATAGTTATCAATCTTGATATACCATTTAGTGAAATTAAGAGAAGAATTGAGGTATGAAAGTTTCACAAATACTGTACTAATGTCTCACTAATAGTTTCACTAATACAATACTATATGTCTAAGACATTACTGTATGTGTAAATGTATAAAAATATATATAATAATAGTCTAGCCATGGAAATGTACATTTTTACTTTGGAATTTAAGCAAAGATATGTGCACTTGAGCAGTGGACGTGTTTACCATCTTGAGTGGAATCCTCCTAAGACACCTGTGAGTTAATTATCTTATAAGTATATTATTGGCTAAATCAATTAGATTAGTTAAATCAAATTTTGGCCATGTTTAATAATGATTTGCTTTAACCAAATCATTTTCCTAGGGGATTGATGATATTACAGGAGAGCCACTTGTGCAGCGCGAAGATGACAAGGTTTTTTTGTAAATTAATATAATAAGGCATGTTTCACATCGAACTTTTCATGTGTCAAATCAAATGCAAATGAACTTAAACAAAGACTTTAGCTCATTAACATTAGGTTCGGCACATGAAAAGTTCAACGTCTGAAATGGGCCTAAGTTGACTTGATTCGTACTACATTTATAAAAGGCAAGAACAGAAATCTATTGTCAGAATATTTTTTCCCTATAAATTCCGCATGTAATGTAGCGGTAACTTTTGATAAATTTCTTATTTAGCCTGAGACTGTTGATGCAAGGTTAAACATTTTCCAATCCCAAATGACTCCTGTGCTCGAGTTTTACAGGTACAATTTCTGAATTTGCAGATTCATCTTTTGTTATATAGAAAATTTAATAATGCTGTTCACAGGATGTAGCCATAGGCAGCCCAGTCAATGCGGGTACCGCATACTATCTTATGTACATAATTATCCTAATATAATGCTGTAGCACAACATTGTTCATGCCTGTTTTGAACTACTTGCATCAACATGATGATTTTTATGCATGTAGTTTGATCTTGAGAAGCATGCACAGCAGTGTTCCCACTTCTGATTTTATTTTTCACAGCAAGCAAGGAATTTTGAAGACATTTTCTGGCACAGAGTCTGATGTTATATATCCAGAAATTAATGAATTTTTAAGGAAAGTTCTACCAAAGTGAATTATGCAAAATGTCTATAATGCTTTGTGGCAATATATATTAAAAGCCTGTGAATTTAATTAAAATAGAAACAATATAATAATAAAATATAAATAATCATATTGGAGAAAGACCACAATTTGCAGGAATTAGCAAAACTATCATGCATCTATTTAATTCCTGTCCATGAGAAAATATCAATACATTCAGAGCAACAGGTAAAATATAACCCAGCCTGGTCATGTTTGTCAATTTGGACAGTGAAAAAATGGATTGTTGCATTACCATGTTGTTCTACTAAATCATTTGTGCATTGTTCGTTAGGAAAACCTACGGGAATGATAATCATATTCGTATATATATCCATGTAGCATACAAAACAGCAGCTAAATTTTTTACAAAAAGGCCTAAATCCAAAACACAAAATAAACTTAAATCATAAAAAGAGTACAGGTGTTTGTCATTTGAAAAAGCAATCTGTCTTATCGTATGTAGTAAAACTCATTGTTCATGGGACATAGATATCTGCAAGTGAAAAGTAGCAAAAGAAGACAAAACGATCAAAAAATTTGTTCTGTTGTCCACCTCTATTGGCATTGCCCCGAAACAACTTTCTTAGTTCGATTCTTTCTGCAAATTAGTTTAGTATTGGTTTCTGTAGTTACATTAAATGAACAAAATATGACCTTAGTCAATCTGTGAAAACTGAGAAGAACATACTGAACAGTTTAGCATTAAAATACTTGGAAATGGACAGCAGAATTACGGTAGAAATTGATTGAAGGAGAATTATTTCCAATCGCCTTCCCTGTAAGTTGGTCTACAGTAGTCCACTGAGAGAATACAAAATTTTCTAGCTGTGCGCTGCTGGAGCTGCTCATCAACGTTGTTTGCGTCTATCACAAAACTGCCTTCTCTAAAGCCGCGTTTACACTTCAGGCCTAGACCTGGCCTGGACCAGGTTAGACCTGGCCTTGACCAGGTTAGACCTGGCCGGGACCAGGTCTATGACAAGTCTATGTAATATGTGCTACGTTCACACTGTCTTCCTTGTTGATGATGTACGATAGCCAAAGTAATTGACAAAATACATGAAAAAAGACCCGGGTCAAGCCGAAAAGTGGTAATACTATATGGATCCTATACCAATCACACTATTAAGTTCAAAACTTGTCAGGACTAGGTAAGGCCTGTTCACATTACCATTACTGGTCCAGGCCACCTTCTGCTGTTGACCTGGATTTTGTGGCCTAGACGAGGTCCAGACCTGGTCTACGCCGGATAAACAACGTTCACATCTAGGCCTAGGCCTGGTCCAGGCCAGGTCAAAGCACGTTGTGTAAACGCGGCTATGCGCGGTGATGAGTGTATCTTGTGTATCACCATAAAGGTTATTGGAACCTTTGCGGTTACACCTGTGGCACTGGAACCTCCTTTTGATTTGGTTGTACAAGCAAACCTTGGTAGGTTCCTTCTTCAAGGACTATAATGTCTTACACTTCAAGCATCTGATATGCATTCAATGATGCATGTGACAAGGAATATTTAAGATTTTGTTATGGAACCATGATTTGCAGCTATTCTAACAATGCAATACATTTTTGTTTCACAAAGTGTATATATAGGAAAATTACAAATTTTACAAGTCTTGCTTACCCGCATCTTCAGCTTATTCACAGTGGCCTAAGTCACCGTCCGTACAATCACAGCGGGGAGCAAGCATTATTTGTTTAATAGCTTGATTACAATTGGAACTCCTTTATTGTCTATCGCCTTTAGTTTTTTATGATATGGTTTCAGAGATTCTTTCACTTCTTCACGTACTTCAGAGACTGAACACTCAAGCAGGCTAGAGTAGAAAGCAAGGATGGTTGATATACCAGTGACTGGAGTGTAAAGCAGTTTATTTTAAGTTGCAGATTTGTTCAGCATGTAAAAAAACGGTCACGCAAGTTAACATGCAAAAAATGTGGTGAATATAGTAACAATGACAACAAAATTTCTTTCAAAAGAAAATTCTAACCTTACGACTACAAATGCTCCTCTATTGATGTGGCATGTGTTAAATAAGCTTTCTGGATCCATTCGAGACATCAACAATGGTGAAAAAAGAAACTCTGATCCTAAAACATAACGTCATATTTTGAAAAATATATTTCGTGCAATTTTTGACGACCTTTAATTTTATGCAGTGCCAGTGGACTAATATGCAATTTTAAAGACAAGGACTTCTTGATTTTTTTGTTGTATATTTCAAAATACCGTTCGTTTTTGGGCTACTTTTTGTAATGATATTACATTATTACCTTTCTCGCTGCGTTTTTTGTCTAATTGTATAAGCTGCTTGATTGCGAAATGACCGCTTGCACTTTTAAAAACATGGTTCTAAATAGACGAAAAGTTGTACCGTGATAAACAATGTTAGATACACATCAATATGTTAATAAATGTAGGTATATAAAGTGCTAACATATATACTACATGATATATTATATAGTAATTTATCAATTTACCTCCTCGTCGTCGCTAGCAATATCTAAAACTTTAGTTGCTAATTTTACAACACTTTGCATTACAACTTCCACATCACCTATGTAGATAATAAAAATAAAATCTCACTGTTAAACTTAATATTCAGATATTCAGAAGAGGCGCGCCATTTTTGAATCATGATTATTTAAAAACAACTTAATATTTAATGACGATTGGTAAACACAAGTTACACAACCTGGCAAGCCAGTTGGTAAACATTGTTTTATTGTTAGTGCACCACATATATGGGAATATATAATAATTTATTACCACATATATTGCATCACAGCAAAATATCCAAAAAGCATCGTATTTTTCATACATAATTCGTACGTCACATATTTCATTAAGCCATGTTGTAATACTTCTCAACATGAATATTGCATATCGTACCTTCAACATTATGTACAATGGCGACAAAAAGTTGACTTAATGCTTTGTCAAAGAGCAATGTCTTGGCATTTTCTGCTGAAAATTTGATCAACGAAGGTGAAATTGCTGACAAAAGTTCACCTCTTCGCACCGAGTTCTCCTTCTTGCTATAAGGACAAGGATAAGAATATCTATCAACGCATTGATTAAGGAATATCAGGCCCGATTTTTGCCGTTATCCAAAAATAAATACGCAGTATATTGCTTGGCGGCTGAGGAAATCGTGCAAGTAGTACATGTACGTCAGAATCAGCAATGGAAGTTCTCCCTACCTGCTTTTATTACCATCACCCTGTGCTAATTGTTCAATTATCTTCGGGGCGAAATATGAGGGTGAACGTGGAGCGAGAAGATAAAGAAGAACCTTTCTACCATGATGGTTCTCAGATATATCATTCAAACATGTCACCATTTCCTGTAGACAACAAAATCATTCACTACAAAATAAGTTCTGCTGTATGTTATTGTCTAGAGCATATATCATAACGCCAAAGTCTACTGAAAGCTTATCACATATGACGACTTACGTAAAAATAAAGCATAAATGTGTAGATCGCTTACAGAAGGAAAATAATCGTTTGCCGTTTGGGTTTATAAACTTACCGCGATTATAACTTTTTGCACAAGAACAGTATCATCAACACAATCGAACAAGGCAAGTAAAACAAGATGACCATATTCCTCCTAGGTTAAGAAGTTCTAGTTGAAGCAAGAAGCATCACATTGTGAAAGCCACATGAGATTATGTACCTTGCAGATTTTTGTAACATAACCCTTTAAACTCTTTACAATAACTTTACGGTCCTAAAATCGCATTGAATAAAATTGTTAAATAGGTTATCTTATTGATGATAGCTTATTTGATTAAAACTCTATTTGTTTTTCATCTAGATGACTTTAAGAGAAGGAAGAAGTAATCCTTCTAAATTCTAGTCCAGCATCCTCCCACCAAACCACAGAGAAGTTACTATTTTCTATAAATCTATTGCTTTCATTAAAAACATTTTCCAGTTGAAATTGAAATCTTACTTTTGGAGTCCCATGCCATAAACACGACATGGTCACTTTTGCCCCTTCACTCGTATGAAGAATCATCACCAACTGTTCACGTACAGCTTCAATCATCTCCTGAAAAGAAAAAACTTGAAAGGAATTTTGGCAAACATTTGTTTCTTAATTCCACACGAAGCATTCTTCGAGAACTTCAGTATGTCTGCATCAACACTTAGTTTAGCAATTAATTTTTCACTAATTGTAGAATCTCTGGTGTTATTAATTAATTTACTTCATTAAATATCAAGTAAGAACTACCAAGATGTTTTGCCAAACATGTCTTGTGCTGTACAGCATTTATATTTCATAATGCATTTATACATAATTTCATTTTGACCATTACAATACACATGACCTCCAAAGTTTTGATTTGGGAATTGACAGTAACATCCTATCTTCAAAGCAGAAAACATGAAATAAAAAATCATACCGTTCGCATCTTTTCATCAGCATTAGTGAAGAAATCTAGTAATGCCTTATGTACAATTGTATGTGACACAAGTGATCTGAAACAAATTGTAACAGATTGTTTGGATACAAATTTACAAGATTTTGTAATTCATTAAGCTGATAAACAAACTGATAAAAATAGTCAAGTTTGGCTGATTATTTTCAACAAGTTGAAGATTTTTTGCATGTAGGAATTCAATTCAATATGTACATAACAATACAATTCTCCATCAAAAATAAAAGTTAATAATCTTGAATGGTTTCATACTTTTGTATTAGAGATACAAGTGTTTCCTTAAGGTTCCTAAGGATATATGGTTTCTTGTGTGGATCACATGATATAATTTCTTCCAGTGAACGAGCATCATCAATCTAAAAGATATCAAACAGTGTCACTCTGTATTGTTGAGGAAAAAGTATTGATGAAGACAAACGGAATTATATTTGGTCCTGAATGAGATAATGTTTGTAGAAAAGATGTACCTTTGTCATTGAATATTCTGCTCCATAAAATTCTTGCATGAGATATTTTCTTTGATTGGAATTAGCAAAATCATGATAGATATTTTCAATTATATCTCCTGCTTCCTAGAAAAATTTTCCAAGAAATACATTATGTAAGATAACACTTTTGAAGGTAACACTTTTGAAGGTGGTTGAGTGCCACCAGGAATAATGACATAAACTTCTAAACTTCTAACTCATAATTGTAGAAGACTTAATTACCTTATGTCGGATACATTTCTTAACTTTGCGATTAAAAGATGAAATAACATGGCTTCTCTGTTCCTTTGTTCTACATAATGTAATATCATGATTAACTGTGACCACATGTAATTAAATTGCTCAATCTGTCAAATGATATAATTGTTTTTCCTTTTTACAATTAACTTATGTATTGATCATCTCAAAAATCTATTCAACTATACTTACCCATACTTCATCATTTTCTTAATAAAGAATTTGGAATATTTCTTTAGTGCTAATTCTGCAATGTTGTCTAGTTAAAAACAAAAAACAGTAAAAAGTCCAATATAATTCTTGCAATCCATGATAAATTTCTCCCACATTACCTATTTGCAAAAATGATAGATCAGTTAACACATACCTTTGAACTGATCAAACAGTTTTGCTCTCTGCTCTGCACTACCATACTTGATGCATATTTCTATCACTCGGACAGTATCATGTTTGAAAACAACCTGGACACAGCATAAATGATAAATAAAAAATTATATTCAAATCTTGCTTCAACGATTTTTTAAATTCTTCAGTGCATTTGCAACTTATTCAGTCAAATCATCAACAGTACCTCATGACCATGACCAGCAATAATGCCAAGAACTTCATCAACCATTATCTTCTTTTTGTCAGATGAAATGTCCTTCCTTTTAATTAGATGTTAATAATTTTTATACAGTAACTGATTCAATTTAATGTAAAAGTTTGGTTCTTTGTGCAACTTGTAATTTTTAATAAAATCATATAAGAATAGCATTTTGTTTTTAATATAATTTTATCCTACTATCTCATTACGGCAGTGCTCCCATGACGCAAAGTCAACCTTATGCAAAGCCAACCCAAATTTCTCACCCCTGCTCTATGTACAGAATGTATATTGAACAGTTGAACTGTAAACCGATTTGTGTGGAGAAACTGCTCGATCGTGATTTTAATAAATTTTAGAAATATTGATCATGAAAATCACAATTTGATTTATCATTCACAAATCACAAACTGTGGTTTTGAACCCTGCAAGATTATTTTAACTTGAGAGATTTAGTCAAATACCAATTATGATTAACCAATTTTCTATATTGAATGAACTACTATTATTAGATATTAAATTCATCAATTATTGCATATAGAGTATATTAAATATCAGGTGTATACCTTCTCAATCCATCATATTTCTTCATTAATGACATAGTCAATTCATAATTGTGTTTTCGTTTTCTCCTAGCAACTTTAAGCTCTTTTCTGTCCAATCTTGTTGGAATTTCATCCCCTTTCTTAGCTCGTAACTTTTTTTTGTTTGGACCACCGTCATCTTCTGACTTTCGTTTTTTATTCGAGTCAAATAACTCCTTCTCTTCACGTCCATTAAGCTTGAGCTTTTTATTGCCAGTATCCCTTTTTCCTCTATTTATTTTAAACGCGGGAACCTTTATATCCTTATCCTCCTTTACAATTTTGTCACTGGCATTAGATTTACTCTTCAAACTCTTTTTAAAATTCTTACGCTTTTTTAACCCATCAATGGGTTTTTTACCTTCGATATATTTGTTCTTAGGCCTGCCAAATGCCCCAGATCCACTTTTCTTAGTCCGTTTGAATTTCATAGTACAGTATAAGTTAGATTCAAATGTATAAAGGATAAAGTTTGTAAGGATATATAAACATATGTCACAAACTTCCAAACTTCAAAACACGCTGCAACGTAGCGGTTAAAACTATAATTTTACACGTGCAACTACGTCGAAAATGCAGCAACGAACGCCATCTTGAATTTCTGGCGTCAAACCGAGGCGAGCGGAAGTCTGGAACTAGGTTTGTACTTTATAAGCAATGAAATGGAACTAGTATACTATTTCTAGTAATAGTGAAATTATTAATTAAGGTGCAAATTATATAGCTTCAATCAATGAATCGACAATCATAAAGATCCTATCAATACAGCTATTGTTACAGTTGTATTCGAGGTAACTGGGTTTTTATATGCAACAAAAATTGATGAATATGGGCAGCCACCTGTACGCTACGCGTGCCTATTTTTTTTAATTGCAAATGTAAGTCTTAAGACTAGAGAAATTTCAAATGAATTAGGAATTGAAATTAGGGACGTTTCATCTTCATTGCCGTAAAACCCAAGTGCCTGTTAATGCAGGCTCTTTGTAGTACGAAGCTGGCTCGTTTCCATCGGTTACATTTTCGGCGGTGATTATTCTGAGGCCTCCCATTTTCGAAAATGGGCTGTTCTAATTGGAAAACAGGTAGTTCTAAAACCTAAAATGGGAGTTGAGTTTTCTTTCAAAGGAAATAGGAAACATCTATGAGGAGATGAAAGACTTTAGTTTATTAGTTACCAGGCCACTTCCCAGATTAATTGTGATGTCACAAAATGTACAAATTTCAAAAATTCTCTGTTGATCAGCTATCCCTTACACACCCAGAGGAAGAAGGTTCGTGCTCTCTTGCCAACAACACATGTTGGATTTTGAAGCAGCTATAAAATGGGCAGTTCCAAATTTTTCTTAGGATGACCCCTGGATTACAGTTTAATGACTTCGGTTGCCATGAGGCCCGCGACATCATCACAAGGGCGGATTAGAGATTGTTTTTCAATAACTTGCCGACAAAGGATTACCGGGGCTTTTGCAGCAGCATGGCAGCTTCTTCAAATATCCAAATAGTGAAGTTGTCTCATCGCTTTCTTAATTAAGTTACCAGAAACTAGTCATGCTAGCTGATAAACCGCTGAAAAAAACGCTAGGATTTTCTTTCATAAAACATTGGAAAAATGCCAACCTTGCCGGCAACCTGATATTGGTGTTTCCTGTTTTGTTTGCATGTGATCAAATATCAAATATCAAAGCTCACTAATATTTATTCTTCCGATGTAGTGATACCTACAATCAGCAAGATGAAATTTCTTCAGGTGATTACTAGTATGTGTTCTCTCTTTCTAGTAATACCATTCAGCACGTCTGACACGGAGTTTATTGCGGCCGTGTACGAACATGCATTTGTAAATCAGTTAAAGAATAAAACAGACGTGTCAACAAGGCGAGAAGCCTTGCGTATTGTCATGGATAACATGGATGTTTATGAAAAACAAATTCTTGAAGCTAAATCAAAGGTATGAACTAAGTGAACTAATACTGGTTACGGTACTACTTTACCAAGGTTTTATACATTGGCAGTTGTTAAATCTAATTTGTGAGAAAAGGACGTGCATGCCAATAGAGGAAGGGAAGTGTCAATCAAGAAAGCATGAGGTTGTACATTTTGGAGAGGAGAGAGAGAATTTGAGATTTTGTGTTGTGAATTGAGATTGTTGTAAATACTGATTTGGATGCGAGTTTACGACACTCTTATACTATGTCCACAAACACTTCTCACGTCTCGAACTTATCTTACACTAATAAAACACTGCATGTTGTGTTGAAAGGTCTGTGTTATTGTACCATGATATCCTAAACTCTTCAGAATTGACTTGGGCAGCATGACAGATTTCGTCCAGGAAGACTAGCATGGCAGCAACAGAGACCGTGAACATAAGAAAATAAGATGCCATATACCAGTACAAATATCAGTTTAAATAATCACAATTACCGTCCAGTTTTCCTGTGGTCATAAAGTTGACAACATAAATAAAGACAAAATTTGATCTGACATAACGGACTAAAAAGAATATTTATTTAATTAAGTTAAAATGTAATCTCAGTGCATCAGGCGCTGATTCTAGAAGGATGGCGCTGATTCTAGAAGGATGCCCCTTCACAGTAGGTTCAGGAGGTAAGGTCAGGATTTAACAAGCTCGCATCATTTTGTCGCTAAGGAATCTTCAGCATCACTTTATAGCCCAATCAGATTGTCTCTTCGTTCTCATTGATATTCAACTATCTCGTCTTAATCTTGAGAATTAGCCACATGATACGGATGAGGTGGTGATTAAGAGAACATCTTGAAGTCTGAAGAACACATATTCCACGTTTAAAGTCACGTATCTGGCGAATGTGGTCGTTCTTTTATAAGCACCAGGATGAGGAAGTATTGCATTTTAATTTGGCTGTATCACTTCTTTCCAACTCAGTAAAGTGCTCGTCAACAACTCGTCAAGTGAAATTATAGTCTAAAGACGAAGCTTTGCATGCTTTAATTGAAGAACATGAAGTTTATCGCGACAAAGAACAGTGTTCCGGGAATTGAACCCAGTAACCGTGTGTACAAGTCAGCTTCCATTAGACCATTATGTTTTCTATTCTGAGGGCGTTTTACGTCAGACATTAAAGTCTACTGGGTTGCGAAAATATTCTAAACTTTTTATCGAGTATAACGAGACATACCAATTATGCGGATATAAATTGTCAACAGAAATGTTTAGCTTTCATACAATTTTACTCGTGAAAAGTTCAATTTTCGTATGGAAAACCAACCGTAAACACGGTTCCGAACACACGGACACTGTTTTTTACGAGGGAAACCAGAGTGCCTGGAGAAAAACCCTCACCGAAAGCCGGAATTAAACACAAAGTACACAAAGTTTGAGATTTTATTAAAACAAAGTCATGTATTACAACAAAGTGTGTGTGTGTTAAAGATATTGAAATCAAGAGAGAGGAGACGGACAATTTTGGTCCTATTTTTATTAATATTTCACTAAACATGTATTACAAAGCGTGTGTGTTTTCTTTACATAGTACATCATTAATATACGAAGACAAACTATTATATCTAAAACCGGTTACAAAGTAGGTGCGTTTAAGATCTTGACATTTAAATTTATAGAACTGTGCAGGTTAAATGTTAATTTGGCATACTTTAGTATAAATTGTTCATGTCTTTTTACTGTGTGCTATTGTGTTTGAGTAATGTTCTTAAAAGACTGATCAGTAAAACATGCATTAATGTGAGTAAGTGTTTCTAAGTTATCGTGTATTTTTTTGTTTTATTATAGACTTAACCCACTAACTCTGGTAGAGAGCTGAATAAAGCTTATGAGTTCGACGAACTAATATAGTAATACATAAAAATGCCTGAGTTCAGAGCGCTTAAATTCAAGTTACGTTCGTCCAAAAACTAAAATTATTCTGCTGACAAATCATAGGCAGTGTTCCTAATAGTTTCGTTTTAAGCTGTCGAACTGTGCACACATACTAAGTTTCAAGGATCGAGTTAACTTGAAGATATTTCATGAGCCCTTATAGAAACAGCATGAAGGTATACACAATTGTCTTTGAAAACTTCATTGCACATTTCAGAGCTGAGGCATATAGCCAGAGCATGCTGCCCTTGTAGAAACAAGGTTTGGAAAAAAATACAAGATTGAAGAAAAATACAAATTGACTTTATATTTTTTTTTTGAGGCTGAGGCATATAGCCAAAGCAACAAACTGTCGAAACCAAGTGCCGCATCAAGTGTAAATATTTTTTTTTTAAAAAAATTCAGTCAACATTTTTTGTACCATGCAAGGGATATTCCCAAAGCAAGCTGCCCTTATATAGAAACAGCACCAAGAGTACAATTTTTTTTCAGAGAAACTGGACTAAAACTTTTAGAGCTAAGGCATATAGCCAAAGCAAGCTGCTCTTATAGAAACAGCAATGAAAATAACATTGCAACGTTATTAGATATCCCAAGATACCTGCTAACACTTCGAACCACATAGCAAAGTCAAACAGTACAGACAAAAAGTGGCGCCTTACTTTTCATAAGCACTGCTCGACGAAGCTAAATGATTGGAAATCTCACAGAGACCTTGGAAAAATAATAAAGTTACAATGCCACTGCCAATGTTTGTCTCGTAATTGTTTTCTAACTATAGTAGAAATAAGGCATGTATATCGTTTTAAGATAACAGCATGCACCCCCCCCCCACCCATTCCTTATTTTCTTCAAGTAAATTATAAAATTCATTAATTGAGAGCATGTGTGTGTTAACTTTGATTGCATAAATTCATGTATTTCAGAATAGCAAGACAGTATAAGACATGCCGTAAAATCAATGTTTCTGGCTTGAATATAACTGTAGCCTTAAGTGAATGCAAGAGATAAGAGAGATATAAACTAGAAGCCATTATATAGGCCATGGTTTGCATCAATGTATTTACTCGTGTGCGTGTCTATTTTATGTGCAGCTACAAGATCATGAGGTATAGTGCATGTTTTTTTTATATAAATCATGTTTTTTCATAAATACTTACAAAATATTATATGTTCAATTACAAAATATAGTAAGGCAAGATATAATCGTATATTTACAATGTTTGCTGAGAAATCAAAAACGTATTTACACACAAATAATTTTACAACCAGACCGAATAGAGACCCTATAGTTATCATTTTACAATGTTAATTCCGAAAGCCGCAATTGCCCGGATTTCAAGAGCCGAAGATGATTTCAATCAGGACAAGATAGAGAAAGAGGAAAGAACCTATGGGATTATGTCTGCCATTTGTGGCTATGGTTTGTGTTAGTGTGCATGGGTTTGTGTTAGTGTGCATGGCTTTTTAGCCATTTCTAAGGTAAAATATGGGTATATATAACAGTTGTGATATGTTTTCAGTTTCAACAGACAAATTATCAACCTAAACCTTAGCGCAGCCCTAAGTACAAGCGAGCAGTTTAAGCGCAAAACCGATTAAAATATTTAACCGAATTTAAGAAACGTTTGCTCACATGCATCATGCATTAGCTATGTTCCTGGTGGCCAGAACTTAGTTAACTGAATTTAAAACTTTATTTAACTTAAGTTCGTTAACTAAATTAGTTAACTTCGTTAAGTTAATCATGCACAGACTAATCCCTGCATGCACATTTTTTGACCACCAGGCTACTCTAACCTGTAACGATGCCCGGGCATCGCTGAACGTTGCTTTTTGGCGTCGATTTGGCGTAGTTTTGGCGTATATTAGGCGTCGAGTTGGCCTACATTAGGCGTAGATTTGCCGTCGAGGTTGCCTACATTAGGCGTAGATTTGCCGTCGAGGTTGCCTACATTAGGCGTAGAGTGCCGTCGAGGTTGCCTACATTAGGCGTAGAGTGCCGTCGAGGTTGCCTACATTAGGCGTAGAGTGCCGTCGAGGTTGCCTACATTAGGCGTAGAGTGCCGTCGAGGTTGCCTACATTAGGCGTAGAGTGCCGTCGAGGTTGCCTACATTAGGCGTAGAGTGCCGTCGAGGTTGCCTACATTAGGCGTAGAGTGCCGTCGAGGTTGCCTACATTAGGCGTAGAGTGCCGTCGAGGTTGCCTACATTAGGCGTAGAGTGCCGTCGAGGTTGCCTACATTAGGCGTAGTGCCGTCGAGGTTGCCTACATTAGGCGTAGAGTGCCGTCGAGGTTGCCTACATTAGGCGTAGAGTGCCGTCGAGGTTGCCTACATTAGGCGTAGATTTGCCGTCGAGATTGCCTACATTAGGCGTAGATTTGCCGTCGAGTTGGCCTACAACTGGAAGAATAAAAGGCACCATTAGTTCACTGCTTAGGTCTTTAGAACTCAATTCAAACGTAATTTGCATGTGGTTAGAGGGAAGGTTAGCGGCTCAACGGTACGATTTGGCGTATATTACCTTTCTCATGTCATCAATATGCCTCAGAAAAAGCCTAGACTTGATTCTCTTCAAAGGCGAGTTATCTTAAGCCAGTTCAGCCACAATTCATCGGTCGTCAATCTCTTGTTCACAAATTTCATCGTTTAACTTCGCTTTAATACGTCAAAATTCTGCATGAAAAGAATAAAAGCTACGTTAGTGCTATACAAGTTTGTATTTGAAGCTGAACACAACACGAGAGGCATTACAAGACGTGAACTAAGGACACGTGGAACCTCAGCCCAAAAGCTCACGATGAAACAAGCTGATAAAACACACACAAAGGAAAGGCATATTACCTGGTATTACACCAACGACAGTCTGTAATATGAGATAGTAAACTTCTATTAAACTTCTCTTCTGCTGAAGACGATAGTAATCTGATAGCAATTTCTGTTGAAATTTTCTTAGCATGGAGACTCATTTTTATTCTTCGAAGACCAGCGCTGAAGTGATATCTCAAACTGAAATCAAAAGCACATATTATTCATTTCACCCGCTCCTCGTGACTGCAAAATAAAGTCATCCTATTGGATGAACACTCCCGACCTGACAGCTCAACAACGCTTTTCATTGGACGTTCATAGTAATTTAAATAATATGATTAATTCTCTTCTCCTGAGCCAGAACATCAGAAATGAAAGGAAAGAATTTATCATATTATTCAAATTACTATGCTCGTCCAATCAGAAGCAATGTTGAGCTGTCAGGCCGGGAGTGTTCAGATAATAGGATGACTTTATTTTGCAACACGAGGAGTGGGTGAAATAAATATCTAGCTTTGATTCAACGTTGCCACATCACAACTTGGATAACACGGAGTCGGAGTTCCGGAGTCGGAGTTTCGGAGCCGGAGTCCCGGAGTCAAAATTACGGAGTCTGACGTAATAATATTGGAAAACACGCTATCAAATTTGCATAATTCACGTGGAGTCATTGACCACTTTTTAACAGACTCCGTGTTTTCCATAATTTGTGACTCCGTGTTTTCCAATATTATTACGTCAGACTCCGTAATTTTGACTCCGGGACTCCAACTCGGAAACTCCGGCTCCGGAACTCCGACTCCGTGTTATCCATGTTACCTTTCTATTTCTGGTAAAATAAATTAGAGCTGGGACCGGTTGTTTGAAAGACGATTGGTTTAAACGGTGGATAAGCCAAAGTTTTAAGATACTCTAATTGATTTTGTGCATGACTGAAATTACATCTGATGCGTTAACTATGTTCTTCCATTGAAAAGTAACTGAACTATTTACATGGAAATATTTTAGCTCAGTTGTTCAATAAATAAAAAACATTGTTTTCCATTTTGAGCTTATTTAAAGCACTTGTTTTTATGTAGAATGTCGTAATAATTGTTTTTCCTGAGTACGGTCTGACTGGTTTTGATCACACCCGTGAGTCATTTCGACCTTTTCTGGAAAATATACCTGATCCAACAAAGCAAGAATGGAATGCTTGTGAAGCCAAGCCTGACAACTCCACAGCAATTATGAAACGACTAAGTTGCCTGGCAAAGAACAATGATATTTACATCGTCGTTAATATGGGAGACATAAAGCTATGTAATAAGACAACTGATCCACATTGTCCAGCAGATGGAAGATATCAATATAATACAAACGTCGTGTTTGATAACGCTGGAAAACTAATAGCCAGGTATATAATTTGTGACGCGGAAAAATGGTAAATATCCGCTTATGATCTGCCTGTATAGACAAAGCAACTTGGCATCAGTTCAAATATCACTGTAGGCCTGTTAGAAGTTATATATGGTCCCATGTCATACATGCAAGGGCGCATTATTGTTTGCAGTTTCGTACGTCATTCCATATTTCCGTCTCAGTTAAAAGAACATTGACTGCAGTCATGATTTTTGTAAAAAAAAATTAAATAATTATAGAATTAACCGCAACGACAATCATAAAATGTTAGCCGGGAGATTATTTTGTTTTGTATATTTGAAATTATAATAAGGGGAAATTGAAACTCGACTAAAGGGTAGACAGTTTTCAAATTTCACGACACTTATTGACGATTTGGCGTTGAAAATATGGTATTTTTATGCATATAGGTAGCAACAGCTAATGAAACTGAATATTTATACTGCAGTTATTCATTTTTAGATATCACAAACAACACCCCTTTCTAAACGAAATGAAAGTGATAAACCGTCCAGTAGAGCCAGAATTTATTACCTTTGAGACACCGTTTGGTAGATTTGGAACATTTACATGTTTTGATGCTCTCTTTCATGATCCGGCCATTCCGTTGGTGGAGAAATACAATATTGATCACGTGGTATTCCCCACAGCATGGTTTGATGTATTACCGCTGTTTGCTGCTATCGGATTTCACAGCTCTTGGGCTCGTGGCATGAGAGTGAACTATCTTGCGGCTAATACGCATGTTCCTGTATTTCTTAACACAGGTAGTGGAATTTACAGTCCAACTGGTGCAAGGTCATTTTACAGAAGTTTAACTGAGAAAGGTCAGCTGTTAATTGCTAGCCTTCCTGCATCACCTCGAAAAACATCCCGAAATGAAACCCAGATAAATGCTCGCCAAAATCTTAATTATTTGAGCGATGGCAGCAAAACTAACGTTGACATGGAAGATGAGTTTTATTCCGACCTATTTGGCGACCTCTTTTTATTCAAAGAGTTAAGCAAAGAGGAGGACTCTTTGAAAGTATGTTACAACGGCAGTACAACATGTTGTTTGCTTACATACAAGATGGTTGAGAAACAAACAAATGAGATGTATGCATTAGGAGTATTTGACGGACTGCACACCAAAGAAGGACAATACTACTTAAGAATATGTGCGTTGATTAAATGTCTAAATCTCGATCGAAATAGCTGCGGTCAACGTGTATACGACGCCAATACTATTTTCAACTCCTTTCTTTTAAAATCCCAGCTAAATACGCCATATGTGTTCCCCCAAGTCGTCGCTGACGGAGTATCTCTTTTGCCTGGGGAATGGAATTCAAGTATGCCTCCAACTTCCTTGCAAACTACACAAAAACTCAGCAAAGGATTGTTGACAGCAGCGCTGTTTGGACGTGTCTACAATTTAGACCCCTTACCTTCAACCGGCAGTACAAGACCCTGTTGTGCTCCTAGTGTCCTAATATTAGCATGCTTATTTTTCGGACAGTCATACTACCACTATAGCTAGATACTTTAAGGCTAAATGCTAATGCAAATTTCCTCTTGCAGTCTTGTTATTTGATGTGTGGATATAAGTAATAAAAACTGGGGTTAATTGTAATTGTGATATGTTCGATATGTTGTTAGTATGTTTAATAACGTAAGATTCCTCTTGATTCCTCCATAATGCATGCTATAATTTGCATTTCGAAATCAATACATATATACAACCAATTGTAATCTTATACTATAGACACGAAAGTAAAGAAAAATGCCTGATCAATGTTGTTTATTCATCTTAATGCGTATATTACAACCAAATCACATTACCCACTATTGCATCCTTTACTTTTATATCAGATATTTCAACCTATTTTTCCAAGTATCTCAGAAGTTGAAATTTGCGATTACTTGCGTCTCGTTTGAACTAGACATGACTATTTTGAATAGGCCATGTAGGCATTGACGTTTTAGATATATGCAGATGCCCTATAAGTTACACCCAATGTTCTTCTTCGCTCTTCTTATGATATTTATTGATAAAAATTGTCGCTGGTTCATCTTCAAGCAACATTTCACTAGAAAATACAATTTAGTATATTCAGTATACATGCATGCATGGATATAGCTATAGGCTATATATGATATATTAACATGGGAACTATGCTGCATAGCTTGTAAATAATCATAGGCCTACTAGTATAGGCTAGTACTACGATTATTTGTTTGATGAAGTTGTGTAGGTATACTCAGGCAAACTAATATTGTGTGATGTTGCTACTCTGATATTAGTCTTTTTCACTCAGAACTGACATGACGTATAGCCTACCTTTCTGATTTTTTGTTTATGACTGGTTCATGTCTTGACATTAACTTTCCCAAGTCAGCACTATGTCTCTTGGAACTTGCTCTGATGAACTTTCCTCCGATTCTTCTCTTTGGAGTGACATCAAGCGGGATATGCAGAATGCTGCTTCTTGGGTCTTGCTCATCAGGATTTACGATTGTCTTTGATATGGTCTCCGATGGTTGTTTTTCATTATTGTTCAAATGTTTCACCGAAGTCTCAATTGGAAGGCATTCAGGGTTCGATCGTCTACGCAGACTTCGCTCTGGTTGTCTTAACAATTGATTCTGATCATCCTGTTTGCTTTCGTTCTCCTGATTCCTTCTGCTGTGGCTGCTCGGAATTAAAAACTTACTTTTCAATTCAGAGTTCTCTTTTGTTAATTTTTCTATTTTCCGCTCTAAAATCCGTTTAGTCCTCGAAATTTCTAATGCTTTTTCCATGGCGATATCATTAGCTCGTGCATTCTCTTTTCTTAACGATAGAATGGTATTGTTTTTTTCTTTGATTCGATCTTCCAAATTATGGACGGACGTTTTGAGTTGAGATATCCTCGAGTAAGCCCGTTCGAGTCCTCGGTGTTCTGAAGATTCATCTCCTCCATCCTGGATTCCGCTATAAGACCTGGTTAGTGGTTCCTTCTCTTTTTGTTGCAATTCAATTTTCAAGGAGGAATTTTCTTCTTGCAAATTTCTCAGAAGAATCTCACTTTTTTCACATCGCTGTCGGAACGCCTCTCTTTCTTTCTTAACTCGTTCCAAGGAAGCTTCGATTTCTCGAATGTCTTTACCTGAACTTGATTTTTTCTGTCCTTGGAATGCTTTCTTTTCTTCAGTGAGTTGCTGGAGCGCGATCTTGAGGTTCTCCATTGCTTCTTTTCCTTTCTCCACCAACTGGCTATTCTCCTGGGAAACCTGGTCGTTTCTATTTCTCAATTTCTGTATCTCTATTTCGTACGTATCTTTCATTTTCTTCAAGTCCTGGCGTAGAGAGTTAATTGTCACTTCTTTTTCGTTCCTTTGTTTTGTTATTTGAAACAATTCACGTTCCAGTTTTTTCCGAGATATGTTGAAATTTTGAACTTCCTAAAAGAAATCAAAGAAATAAATTAACTGGCCTATAATTTTCGACGGATATACAAAAACCAACCGTAATAACTATAATACCCGGCGTTATAGTATATTTAATCTGTTAACTGCAAACCATGGTTCATACCCGCGTCAACTTTTCAATATCTCTCTGTTGTTCTCCACTTGAAGACTTGTATTCCTTCTTTTGTAATTCCATTTGCTTTACAAGTACCTCATTTTCTTCAAGAAGTAATTTCCTTTCTGCTTTTAAAGCATCAAGAACTTCGCTATCACTCTTGGAGTTTTTCAAATTATCACTTGAACCTGGACTTTCATGTGTACGATTACTAAAATATACAGAATACTCCCCAAGTTGCTGTAGAAGACTTAACTGTTCCTTTTGTAAAGATGATTCATCTTGTTCGACCTTGCTCGATACTGAATCCAAATCATCCAACTCTGATAAACACTTCCTCAGTTCTACCAAAAGTTCGTCGTTAACACCATTCCTAGTTTCATTGTTAACTGGACAGGTGGATGAGTCCAGTGACTTCCAGTACGACAGCAACCTACGTTTATCACGAAAAGAATCCGGCTCATCTTTACATGTTTCTTGCTTTTTCTTTTGTCTCATCTCAACACCCGAATACATTCCAGTGCTGTCTGGTGTTATCTTTGCATAGAATGCATGAACGATCGCATTGATTTAACTAAGGAAAAATTGGCAAAGAAATAAAACATCATGCTAATAATACTTACTACAGTGATTTTGTATATACCAACCGCTCTGGAAAGAAGCCTTAAAGCCGGCGTTTCAGTAACATTACGTACAAAATTTGAAAACAGATTAATTTCTAAAATAGCTACCACGACGGGGTAACCAGCACAGCAATTGTTCTATTGATGTCGTATTCTTAGTTAGAATAATTACATTCTTACAAGTTATAGAGAAACGCACTATAAAATGAAGATATTTTCCCGGAGAAAAGGTGTAAAAAATTTTCCTTATTCAACTCATGACTAATGTTTGCGAATTGCGTCTGTACACTCTTCTGCAAGTCTCAATTCTCAAATATAAAAAACCCCCACGGAGAAGAGAACTAATTGAGAAATACTAATGATTCACCTCGGAAAATCAAGATTTCAGATCATGGCAAAGTCGCTTGGAATTTTGCAATAGATAGAGTTGAAATTTGATCTTTGTTAATATAGCCTAGAAACCGCTATTCTTTAGTTTAATACTATTTGTCCGAATTGATATTTATTTGACAAAACGATAATCCAAGTATTATTGACGTTCTTCAGCCTTGTGTGACAATATAATCCTCTGGAAAACTCTTGCAATCAGATGGTAAAAATTTCAGCCGATGAGCGTTGCGTTTACTGGGGTTTCGAGCGTGCGATAAAGCTATAGCTACATGAGGATTGACCACCTTTTCAGATATATATACTCAGAATATTCTAGGAACCCTGGTGTGGTACTTGTGACTTGTCCTAACTTAATTTTAAACAGCGCCAGTTTAGATGACTTAACCAGACCTCCCAGATTCATATTTATATAAACCAACCTCGTAAACTGCATGTCCGTCCTTAGGTTGACTGCCACAGAAAAAACTTAGCAGGAGGTACTTACAGCAAATATTGCGAAACTTACAAGAGCGTACTTTTAGCATGCACAATATAAATGTTAGCATAGCAACTCAATGGTTAATTGATTTTTTATATTGATAACTTCAGAGCATTCCGGCTCTTCGTAATTGAACCGTCGCCCCAACTAGATATGCACACACTCGGTAATTTGCAGATACCATAGAAACCATGTTGTAATATCCAATATTTGCAGTTCTGGTCATATATAAGGGAAGCATTATGGCGGATTGGCTACGTTTTTGTTTACGATATGAAGTGTTCATAAGCGTCCTACTTTATGGCACGAAACATTGAAGTACTCTTAGTATCATTGACATATATCCCAATATACTCCACACTCAAGAAACCCGAGAGAAACGGCGGCTAAGATGTTCAAAAACCATGTTTCTTTAACTGTTTGCGAATGACTCACCTGTCGACAAAGAAAACGAAGATTCAAGCTACAATTATAGTTCTTTAAGTTCTCCACTCAGTGTCTGTAGTGTTTCGAGTTCTAAATTTGAGCTGAAAGTAATCCTGCCCAAAATTCGACGTCTTCATCTAGGACTTAGGGTAGGACATTGCATAAAATCCTCGCAGTTCGATCAAACCAAAGATACGATAGAAGTACATGTTCGGCGGTCGGAGTGTTTACAACATAAAGTATGATAAAATTTGCATTTAATAATATATTATGCAAATTGCATTACGAGATTTATCCCAAACAATATCGCGCAGGAAATAACGAAGTGAATCGATATACACAACAATATATTCTAAGAACTTAATTTTCGTGACAAGCTTTCCCTGCATGACCATGTCGTATGATCAACACTCATGATCGGAAAGTTTGAACAATCTCTGCGCTACAGAGATATCACCCAAACCCAAGGCCAAGACAACAAAAAATACATTCCTACAATCAGATTATTACTGAAAGAAAAATTAGGCACAGGCAATTAATGCCAATAACCGCCGGTTGAAGCCAGGAAACCACAATAGATACGCAAAGGGTACATGCATGAGTTTGAGAGCGATAAAGACATCTGTAGGACTGGTGTTTTACAAATATATATACCGTAATGTACGCCAAAATGAATAAGTTCAATGGAAACTGATTATCTAAAATTATATAAGCTCATCGCTGAATGGCTGTGTTTCTACACGCGCGGTATGAAGTGCTGAGAATTACAAAATTATTCAAAATAAGAAGTAAAGACTAAAGGGGAAAGGTTGAACAATTTAAAAGCCCTTGAAAATATAAACTGCACACGCCTACGCTCCAACTGCTTGTCTGCTTCGAGAGTGCTACGCTCTACTTTTACTGAAATGTCCTGGGAACGAGGTTGGTTCAATGCCCTAGTGCACAAGGCCCTCCCAAGGATGAGAAGATATTTGGTCAACTAATGATCAATTATATATTACATATTTATTTGATAATATATAATTTAATTTATACTAAACTCTATATATACGTATAATATACTTTCTCGACACATAATATACAATATTATCATTATAATATACAATATTATCATTCTAAAAGATTGATAAATAATCTAATATTAACAGCATATATTAGTATTATTATTTTAAAGTCTTTTACAGCAATGCTATTTTCACTGATCTTTGAATGTCTAGCTCTTTAGCAGTCCATTTTAAGACGTCAAAAGAATTGGCAAAATAAACGAATAAACACACATCGCTTTGATTCTAATCTTCATAAAAGTTCACTCTGAACCATAGTGGTATATTTATACGTAAAATTCGCATGCGGCGCTAAGTTCTATGGGGCATTAATACCGCATCGCCTGGGAAACTAGGTGAACCCTTCTATGAACTGAATTCATTGTTAATGTCTGGTTTTTATCTGCCGTCTCTATGCGTGATCTCTATGCATGTCATTCATGGACAGTCATGATAAAAATGTAAAACGCTTTTCAAGCGTTTTCAGCTTTGATTTTTTTCGGTGAAAATCCCTCGATATCCTTGCCTTCATCTTTGTGCGTTTATATCTCAGAGAAAAATTCAATTTTTCCAATCATTCAGGATCCGGAATCATTTTTCTTTCAACGGCATTGTTTCACTTGAGGATTTGACTTCCTGAGCACTGGACGAGGTGGGTGAAACAGGCTGTACTCTGAATAGTTTGGATGTCGATGTCGACAAAAATCCTTCAGAAAAAATACAGTATTAAAACCAGCTATTACCGGGTCAGTGTTATAATATCCAGGCAAAAGAATTGGCTCAAAAGTAAAAGGCTGTAGCATACAAATGCGATATACAGATATATTGACAACATTTGTACTCTGTAGTTCGTATTCTCCAAAATATATGTGAAAATATGTGCATAATTACAATTATTTGCAAAATATCTACCTGCCATTATATCACCTTGACTTTGATTTGTTTTAGCCGCTTCGTCAACCTGTCTGTGACTTGTGATAGAATACACACCAACAAATGATAAAAAACACCTAAATGAATTATTAGAATGTTTCAGTTAAACACAACCATTTATATTCGGGGGCGTGACAACCTGGTATGTGGTGGGATGTGCGACCCGTAATAATTTGTCAAAAGTCAAAATGCTTTGCTTTCAACGAAATTCGACGTCAAATTAAGAGTAAATTCACCAAAATTTCAGATATGCAACACACGTTGGATTTTTCTGAAGGCTGTTTTCAGAGATCTAAAAGCTTCGAATTTGATATTCGATGTCGATTCTGGCCGGCGATGGCAGTGCCACGCGTGACTATGCCCTTGGTTTTGTATCAACTAGTTTTTTAGTCAAGCTTACTTACGACTTACCCAAAGAGGAACATAAACAAAACTAGAAAGGATATTCCATAAAATTCTCTGTAAAAGAAAATACCTACAAACGATAAAAAAACAAGTTCAGCGATACCAAAAAGGCAACTGATAGAACAGGATATAAAAAAAAATCAGGGAAGGAAATTTTGGCAGGAATCTTAATGAAGAATGAACTAAAAATGAAGGTAAGTATATGTTTATGGATTTAAAAACAACAGATGAAGAATCATGGCCTATCAGACTTACCAGAAAGAATTGCACTAATGGTGAAAAAAACAAAGTTTGTAGGAACAACAACTGTAGCATCATGATGTTTCATCGCTACGTTTAGAAACCTAAGGATTACACAAGAATTTTGTAGAAAATATTAATAATTTCATCCTCATCGTCGCTATCATTTGGTTAACAAATGCCAACATTACGGTGTCAAGCTCCATTGACAATGTTATTTTACTTCAGCTATTCTCATTTAAAAATACTCACCTAACTTGTGCTACAGCAGTGACTACCATTAATATAAACATGATGTAAGGTAAACCATGATCCATTTGATTCATTCCAGCAAAGGTAAGATTAATCATGGAGGAAACACCTTTTGCACATATAACTGTAACAGAACCTATACGAATAACCCAGTGAATAATTAGAAATATCACTCATTCTCCCATGCAACAGTAGTACCCAGGCTGCTGTGACTATCCCCTAGTATTCCTACTCTTAAAGTGGCTCTGTCAAGCAGGTACTGAAATTAGATCTTCAAAACTATTATTGACCAAAGCCAGTATTAAATCGATTATACACAAAATGAATTTACAATACTTATAATAAAAATATTTTAAAAAGTTGGGGCTAATGAGCTGTTATAATACAATATGCTTGAAAATTTAATTCAAATGAGGTCGACGTGGGTGGTAAAACCCTCTAATCAAGCTTTTTTTAACAACATCTTTTCCTTACCTAATAGAGCAACCAACAAGAGATATATAAACACATTTTCTAGACGATAACGATGTTGAAAGTACAGTAAAGCACAAAACAACGAAACTTCAAGGATCTGAAAAGGTATACATCAAAGCCAATGATTAAGATTGACGAGGAAATCGTTTGAATGAGTCAAACCAACTTATTGCATGATTATTGATTGTTCCTTCGTGCAATAAAGTAGATCGTCGTCGCGTAGAGATATTTTTTGGGATAGGATTAAGTAGATTATAATACATATGTAGATAATCAAATTCTCAGCTCAATTTAAATATCTATAATACTCACTAAATACAGAATAAATTGCCACTGCCTTAAATACGACATAAGTTGCCTCGCCGTTGGTTCATTTCCTTCCTATAAATAACGAAAAATAATAAAACTATGTGTCTAAAATCTGCTTTAAGGGTTTTAAATATTGAGAGCACAAACACCCAGGATTGACGCGGTCATATTAAGTCGTAATTGCGTTAGATTGTAAAAAGTGTTCGCAAATAGAGTAGTGATATGGTGGAATATTATAAAAATGTTCAGAATCACTGAAATCTCCCCTCATAAGAGAAAAGCTTAGAAAGAGAACAGGGCCATAGCTAGAAGCTTAATTGGGGGGGTGCATATTCATATATTCGTCTTATGCCAGAATGATTTCTTTTGTATGCTATTGTTCCTATGGTATATAAACATGAATATATGAATATACACCCCCCAATTAAGCGGTCTAGCTACGGCCCTAAAAGAGAATGACATTACCTAGAATGATGGTACTATATATGATAATGTTGGTACTATATGGTAATGATGGTACTATGGTAATGATGGTACTATGGTAATGATGGTACTATAAGATAATGTTGGTAATATGGTATTATAAATGATGGTATTATGGTAATGATGGTACTATGGTAATAATGGTACTATGGTAATGATGGTACTATGGTAATAATGGTACTATGCATATCAGACATTCTGACTGGCAGATAGGAAACAGGGAAGAAACTACATGTACAATACCTTGGATGAGAATGTCACCAACAAAAATGCACCCACAACAGCCATGGAAATACCTGAACGATGGCAAAGAAAAGTCGACAATGCTTAAATCATACGTGGAGCTTAAAAAACTGAGTTTTATTTAAAAAAAATTACCGAAAAGATCTTGAGCTCTAATTTTTTCACCCAGGAAAACGACAGCAATTATGGCGTTCGCTGATACATGAGAGAGAAATTATACATAACTGTATATTCTACCACTATATGCAGTAATCACATTATATGCTAGCTGCAAATTGTGAATGATAAAACAGGGTCAAATCTTATTTTCATTGCAATAAACATTTTGTTTACCTATCACAGTAGTAGTTCCAAGTGGAGCAACCAAAGAGGCTGGAGCGAAGCCATACGCAGAAAAATTACCAATCTCACCAAATACCATCAGAGCAATACCAAACCTAAAATCATTAAGTATTAATTACTTCTACTGTTCGAAAATCACATTTCAATTTAGCTAGAAGATACACCAGTATTTCCCAGTATTAATACCATGAGAGTTTATGATGATGTCAATGTAGTGATAGTAGGTCTTATTTTCAATTCAAAAGGATGAACTTACCACCATACTTTGCTCTTTAGGTAACCTTTACCATCAGCATCATCACTTACTGACAACTGATTGTGCGAGTATTTCTAATAATATAACAAGAAATGAAAGAAACAGTCTTATTATATAGTCATTGTCTTATTGCATGGTTGTTTATGCCAATGTCTCTTGTTCTTCTCTAAAGGTGTCAATGTTGAGTCTTATTTTTTTATCAACATATTGTAAATAACTTTTATTTAGAATTGTAAATATTATCTATTACTACATGTTGAGTCTTATCACATACCTGTAAATTCATAGAAATGCTGATAAGCAAATTTCCACATATTGCCAATGCTGCCCCAACAAAAATATACTAAAAAAATACAAATAGCATAAAACAAATTATACTAGTAGGCTGACAGCATAGTTGAATAACACCAGAACAAATTTTTCAAAATCTTTTGAGAAGGTTCATGTAACAGAGTATCATATTTTAGTTGAAAATATATACCCTCTCATTTAGGAGTTTATGTATTTATTAAAGTGAGCAGGGCTAAAAATCGTTTGCTCTTTTATTTAATTTGCAAAAAGTGAACAACCCAGCATGGAATGTAACCCAACCGCAGGTACCTAAGGTAGTGGGTGGTGTGGTATGAAAGCAACAAAGGGTAGCTGCTGGAATCTTTGGTACTAGGTTTGGGGTGCAGCATGGAATACAAAACAATTGGTGACATATTAAAATGATGCTGACATTTGACTATATATTATCCATGATCCAAAAGGTCACTCATTGTTAAGAAAATTGCTAAAAATCATAGGAATTTGTGCCATTTGATGCATTGTACTGTTTAAAATGTTATTCTGCAATACAAAGATCAATGAGACCACAAGAGCTCTGAGCTGATACGATCATAATTAATTATTTAGATCATTACAAAACAATGTTTGCAATTTTCACGAAAAATAATCGGTGATTGCTTAATTTGATGCGTTGTACAAAAAATAATTTCGAATCGAATTTCAAATGACTGCGATAGAACCAAAATAAAAGTAATGAAATATCTTGAAATTAAGTCTCCCTTTAATGTATATCTTGTTTCAAATCAAACTTTGATTCATGGAGACAATTAATATTTAATGAACGCGATACGAACTCTGACTTAGTTTCTATTATTGTAGCCAAGGCTATCATAGTTGTCGTGCCCGGAATAAATAATACTTGAGTACTCAAAATATTCAAACTTTTTTCGATGTGGCTCTTGTTATTTATATTGAATTCGATATCAACTTTTCTTTGTCTTACATACGTAAGTTTCATCTGTCTGATCATGCGATTAAAATTTGCCTTATTCATAGTATTACCGAAAACCGCAAAATAAAATGCGATATTTCAAGAGCCACAGCTTTCAATTTTTGTTGTCTTAAAAAGCGTGTACTTAGTTGTTTTGGGTACGTACAAGTACAACTTACTGTATGGTAGCATAATTTTTTATAAACACAAATATTATACAATAGAAGCCCTACCCCCTGACTCGAATCAAATGCTTCCGTGTTTACAATTTTACAATCGATAGCAACTTTACGATGTACAAGACTTGGCCTCAGTTTTTGTATTATTACAATACAAAATATTTAATGCACAAATATATCAGTCAGTGCAATGAACCAGTTGTTGTTGATTTTATAATGCAGCTTGTATTAAAGTTGTAAGACACAATACAAATTGCAAAGGGAAAAGGTTGAAATCCTCTCTAATTCCAATATGGATGTTCACAGTGAGATAAGCGAGACAGGTCCTAGCAGCTATGAGAATGAATATTGTTTAACCTTGTAGCAATATTCTACCTTTACTGGTACTTTCTCCTCATCAACTGTAGATTCAATTTCTTCTTCCATGATATTGATATTTGAAACAAACGGCAACGAACAGAAACACGACTGTCTTGGGTAATTAAAGTCGAACTTGTAAATTATTAACACTTTGCAAACATTATTAATAATTCATGAAAGAACACAAAAAAGAATCTTACCGTATCGTAAGTACAGAAAGTACAGCGATTCCCCCAAATCCCCAAGTGAACTGCCTCCTGGGTTATCCCTAATCCTGGGTTAAATTTTAATCCACTGTTTTAATTCATGCTCTACACTGCACCCCGCTTGTTTCAAAACATTACAAAATATGACTTTTCTATTAAACCAGAAAATACTCATGGAAAAACAAGCGATGAATATAATTTTGCAACATTTGCGTTAAACGTCTTTTGAACAACTGGCCACTAAATATAATAAAAATTGGCTGCATGGGATAGTTAACGTAGGGAGTAACGTAGCCTTTTCCAGGCTAACAACTCACTAACAACTTTGGTGTATTTCACGTTTTGAAAAAAAAACTTTTTCAAGTCATATAAAATTTACTATAAATAAATTAATTTCAAAAATTAACTTGCTAACATGCAGATTTCTCAAACCCTTCCAGTAAAATCAGATACATTCCAATTTAACAAGGGCAATAGTCGATACGTATTTTAAACTACGAGTTCATGCGCGGATAAATAACTTGTCTTCACACTGCGATAGTCTACCATGAATGATCCTGTAAATTTAATTCCAAATTATCTTCACCGGATTACCAGTTAATAAGGAGATATGGTTCTTCATGTTATACATCGGAGCATTTAAGCTGTGAAAAACAAAGAAAAAGCTAGAGGTAAACTGACTGCCAAAATTTTGTTATGAGTATTTTGAAGAAATAGGTGTAAATGTTAAACAAAATTGCTGACTGACTCTTTTTACAGAAGTATCAAACGCCTGCAAATGAAACCAACGATATGGAGGTTTTTGTCAGCAAACTGACTGATTATTCTTTACGCGATGTAACCTCGTTCCAAACTGAACTGCAAAGTCTCTGCCAGGATTTTTAGGGGTTTTATACATTAATTTTTTTTTTAAAAAAAACCTGTTGAACCAACTTTGCAAGCAAGTTTTACTTCTGCACAATGCACATACCACATGCAGCTTTCAGAGCTTGATCTAAATCATTGATCAAATCTTCACTGTTTTCAAGGCCAACAGAAAGACGAATCTACAAAGTAAAATATGTATAAACCTCCCTGTAAGACGATTACTGGAATTTACTGCGTGATTTCTACGTTTTTTGAATACTTCTGCAACACAAGACAAGAGACATGATAGATTGCTGATTGCTCGCTGGAATTGTGCACGTTTAGGTAAATCTATATCCAGTAAATGTATGTTCATGTTAATGCAGTTCATTCTTTAAGTTGTGTACATGCAGTCGGCTTTCAAAGATATTTCAATTCTCACCGGCTTTAGGAAATATAACTATAAACCTAATGCTAAAACGTTGCCCTATCTCGTTTTAGAGCAATCTCACCCCCCCCCCTTCTTTTTGTTCAGGAGAATGCTGCATTTGAACAAAGTTAAAGTTTTCAGTCTTTCTAGTTTGCTGCAGTATATATTAAGCAATACCCCAATAAACATAATAATCCAGGTTAATATACTCGTAGAACATCTTACCAAAGTATCGGATATTCCAAGCACTTCACGTTGATCCGCGGGAACTGATGCATGAGTCATCAAGGCTCTACAAAATATTCAGCCAAGTTTAAGGTTTCGTTTCAAATTGGAATAGCTGGACTGGATTCGTGGACCTTTACCACCTGAAAATGCAATCTAGCATCCTGTATACCTATTAACACTTCGCTCAGACAACACACGACACCAGTTATAATCTCTGGAAAGTTGGTTTCTGATCTTATCTGCACTACATGGCCCTCTTCAGTATACAGACGTTTTATAAAACAAAGTTTACATTATAAAAGCATGATTACGGACAATCATGTAATTAAACTAAGAACTTACGGATGTTCTGTTAAACTTTCATAGCCACCCAAGCTTTCAGCAAGAGTGAAAAGCTATTCAAATTAAATATACATTAAAAATGATATTATGAATAGGAGGAAGTGAAATCAATGTTAAGGATAATTATTTCTATAATTCAAAATTGTGTGTCTTATATTATCCGTCCTTACCAGTCCCTAGCACGCAGGAAGAGGCAGTGTTAGCAGACCCAGTAAATTTTTGAAAGAAGTGTCGGGAACGCCTATATTTCGAAAGGCCCCTGGTCTGGAAGTGGGGCAAACAGACTTCTCGTGCAATATTAAGTCGGATATAACAAAACTTCGAATATAGAGACTGAAATGTTTCAAGTTTCGTCATGACATACTTTGGTGAATTTGAAGAATCTCTTAGCAGTTTCAAGGTTACCACTAATAAAGAAAGTGACCATACCACCAAAACCTGACATTTGTTTTTTCGCAAGGTCATGTTGGGGGTGTGACTCCAAACCTAAGAAAGAAACATAGAAACGAGGTTAGCCTTGCGGACGCATCGGAAAATATTGGTAGAAAGAAGGTACAGTCTACTTTGTTGCCAACACGGCTAAAAAATGTTCCCGGTTGATGGAACAACCATGGGCAGCACTCCACCATGGTTAATGTTGCTTCATTTGATAACAACCATGTTCCTAGGGTGTGGCACACCATTGTTTCATCAAACGAGGACAACGTGAGTGCTCAGTTTAGCCCTTGCATCCAAACAACCTCAGAACGTAAAATAGGCTACAGCCTACAGTTACTTTAAACTTCATTCAATTTTGGCAGAAAACAACGTTTTGACCGTACATAACATACCTGGATAAATTACCTTCTCCACATGAGGTGATGAATTCAAAAACTTGGCCACTTCAAAAGCGTTTTTCTGGTGTTCACGCATGCGTAAATGCAACGTTTTGACACCACGTAATGCTAGGTAGCAACTAAATGGCCCAGGGACAGCCCCCATAGCTATAAACAGAAAGACGTTATTATCACTCAAGATTGCGGGGCGACTGACCGTCGGTTAGCAAGAATAGAGGAACATTCATCTCACACGCATATATTTCAAAAACCAGGCGATTTTCTCGGGGGCAAATGACATCTAAATATTGATAGAAATACATATTTACCGTTTTGTAGAAAACGTAGTCTTTCGTGAATTGTATCGTCATTGGTGGCGATAAATCCCATGACAACATCTGCATGACCTATATATATGTACATAAAATATAGCCTGGTAAAAACACTGTGATTATTGAATTATTGACATTGATCATAAGAAAAGGTGATGAAAGTGATGCGGATAAGGGAACTACATTTTTTAACAAAATAAAAATTTTAGGTAATTTTTAAAGAAACTTAGCAAATGTACTTTTTCTATCTCATTATTGTGTATATACAAACCATTAATATACTTGGTGACAGAATGCGTAACGATATCGGCGCCAAGTTTTAATGGTTTCTACAGGAAAGAAAGTTTCTCAGAAATCAGAATGTATGTTTTCTCACTTTCAATAACACTATACACTATAAATCTATATCAATATTTTGGTTGTCATCATACTGTATTGTACATCCGCATATAATGTTCTGCACTCGCGTAATTATTTATGAATTATGGACAACTGTTACTTAAACCTTTTTAACAAACCTGAAAGTATGGTGTTATAAACGTATTATCAACAACAACAATCATGCCCTAGAAATAGAAAGAAAATGGTTAAAAGTATCCCAGAAATAAAATCGCCCGCACTGAGATCAAACTCGTCAATCCCACAAGAAAAGCACTTAGGTTACAGGTTAGAATCCTGCAGCAATAAAGTTTGATGTCAGCAGTTTAAACTTTTGGTCATAAAGTTGGATGATTGTAATTGTAAATTTTATGTGCATTTTACATGTCGGAGGTGTAGTTTACCTTGGTTTTATGAGCAACATCAGCTACAGCTTGGATATCAATTAATTTCAACAAGGGATTTGTAGGAGTTTCAATCCAGACCATCTGAAAACAAACCGGAAATTCAGTATGTATACAAAACTACAAAACATTGATTTGTAAAAAAAAACTCAGTTTCAGAATTCCCAACTAACCTTTGTGTTAGACTTTATAGCTTGTTGTAGCTTATCTATATCTGTGACGTCAACCATACTGAACTCTAGGTTAAATCTGGATGAAACCTTGGAAAAATATCTGTTGGTTCCTACAAATGTTCAACACAATACTTGCAGTCTTACTAAACTGTGGCAGATTCAGGGTTAGGCAGAATAAATTAGTACAGTTCAAAATCGTAATCGCATTGGTAGATTTTTATTTAAAAATTTTTATTTAGAAATCCATGACCAATTGCATTGTTATCAATGTATTTTGAATTTAAAATTAGGCCTTTTAATTTATTCTGCCTAATCATAGATCCTCCACTGTTACTAAATAAACTTCCTGTACTTGAACATTCATTTGCTCAATTAATTTTTGGCAGTAAATAAAATTTCTTTATCATTATATATAAATTTAAATGGAGAGAATAATGTATAACAACAAAAGACCAAATAAATATTTTTTCATGCAATGGTTACTGCAGTCAAAGCCATTAACAACTGTAGTTTTTTTCTGCTTTTGAAAAAAGGATGCCATAATTTAATTATTACAGAGAATTGCAAATTCCTCCACAAAATTGGAAACCTCCAAAAATTGGAAATTTCCTGGCTTCCTAGTGCATAAAAAACCTCACAGATTAGGTCAGGCCTTCTCTATTTGGAATCTACACATGCATTTTCTGCCATATCACTATACCTCCATATACATCATCACAGACAACAACATGATCACCAGCATTCAACAAATGTGTCAGTGTTGTTAATGCTGCCAATCCTGAAGCTGTTGCAATACCTTTGCAAGGAAAAGAGAATTACATATCAGAGGGATTAGAATAAAGAACATATATGAGAATTGGTAATTAGAATTACGTAGGAATTTCTTTACAATCATATTAGAATACAAAATGTATACAATAATGTTACAGACTAAAAATATGGTCAGGGGCATGGCAGGAACTAGATATGGGAACATATATATATATATAGTGGTGCTTGCCTATCAATTTTCAAATGCTATGCATTGGAGAAAAAAATTTGAGCACTTGAACTTTAACTAGGCAAGCTTTGTGCACCTAAGATCTCGGCGAAGTGCCTAGTTCTCCATTGGTGAAACTTACCATGCTTGGCATCCTCCAATGATGCAACACATTTTTCAAAACAATCTCTGGTTGGATTGCCTGCTCTTGAGTAATCATAACCCTGAGAGTAAATCGGTTGCAAGTCTAAGTTACTGTCTGTGGTTCTATTAAAGCACGGATAATCTCATATATTTTACTCAAAAGTCAAAGCCTCAAATGCATCCTTGCAGTTGTACTGACATAAATGAAGTAGAATAATTTGACAATATACAAAAATACTAGTCACTAAAATCATTGATACAAATCTTACATAAGTGACTGCTGGTTCTTGTTCTTCAAACGTGGTAGAGAGGAATATCGGTGGAACAACCGCATGACATTTCCATTGATCAGGTTCGTTGCCAATATGAATAGCTTTTGTTGCAAAATGTGCGAAACTGCTCATGATTATATACGGAGATTTTGTTGATCTAGGCAATGTTAAACGATGAAAGAACAAAGAACCAAGACAACGTTTTAATATCGGTCTCATCGGTGATGACGTTGCCATCCTTCTCTAGAACACCACAGCTTGCCCAAACTATCATGGGAAATTTGGAAGTCTCCAAAGACGAAAAGCAGGATCTAGTGGAATCTCACATGCTTGACGCAGTTTTTACCTCGTACGCATCTTTACTCTTGCTATACCCTGCTTTGGCAGATTTTGATAGTAAATTAAAGCTGTTCAAACTATTACCGATGACGGCGAGTGAGATATTGCACAGTATAAACCTCGGGGGCTGCAGACACGTGCCATGCGCAAGCGCGGTGTAAATAACACCAAAGTTAATTAAAGGTTATTCTTCAATCTCCACTCATCACAATGGCAAAACGCAAGCTCGCTGCGAGGGGTTTTATCCAAAGAAAATTATTTTATTTACAATTCAGCCACTTACAGCGAGCTGGCGAAAAGAGCTTTAATACTATTTGTTGAGTATATTATGTTGCGATGAGTGCTAGGAGTTTGAAAATGATAATAACGTTTGGTATATAGACTATTCGAAGACCATTTCGGAAAAGATCAGGAGAGACGACGACTGAGAAGTTACACGCAAACGCGGCTAGTCAGTTTTTCTCTCACCAAACTTTCAAAATTGTTTATTCTCTTCCAAGATTTTGTTGAACTTGTTAGGGGTTGAACAAAACAACGAGCCTAGTTGGATTTTTATGGTTTTCACTAGTCAAATTTTTGGCAAAACCACCTTTTTTGCCTGGCTACATGACTATAGTCTGTAGCAACAGGCCTCGTGCTCTTTTCAGCATTCATCTTCTTTCTTTACGGGGCTTCCGAATTAACGTGCTCAATCAGTAGAGTAACTACAAAGCTGGGATATATAGTGCAAATTTTTAACATTTTCATTTATTAAGAAGTATATAAACCTCTATGGAGAAATAGGTTTACTTTCCTTGCCTGAACCAAAATAATTCTTATGAAAGTATTGGGTCTTTCTGTTTAATATAACTGATAATTCAATCAATAATTAAACAAAAGTCAATCTCGTCTGACCGTTCTTTGCCCCAGGAACAATTTCGTACGTTAATTTCTTTTTCTTCTTTTGAGGTTTATTGTAGATTGAATGATATAATTGATGACTGGGCAAAATCTGGAGATAAATAAAGAATCATTGCTGCATGTAATCCAGTTTACAGCCTATTGCATGGCTGCAAGCATGTCCCTAAAGGATTCCCCATGCAGGCCGGCCCGGCCAGAAGATTGAATGAATGAACGGGTGTACAATAATAGTACTTCTAATTGTGTAACTCACAAAGTGGATATTTTTTAAGTGGTTGCCTTTTTTTATATACGCTGTATATTGCATTATTACTATTAGAAAATTTGGACTCGTGCACACCAAATTAGGAGTTTTTGCCTTCAGGAATTCTAGCATGCATGACAATAAATGTTGGAGACCTCAGTGGTACTGACTCAGTGGTAACACCGTTATAAATTAGGAGTAATTTAGCATGACATAAAAATCTCACGCAACTTACCGTCTTTGTACGCCGCAGACAATTCCGCATGTTTGGGCCAACTGGCGGTTGAGATATATTAGAAACGGATTCTCTCGAGTCGGAAATTGGTAAGCCACGAGGCTTAGGTTGAACTATCCCTACAACATCAGTCATGTTATGTCCTCTTTTCAAACCGCTTTTTGAATATCTAAACATAAGAATTTTATCCATGAAACATATAGACTTTTATTTATTTACATACGAACGCCCAATCGCCTGTTGGCCAGATTTTTGAGTATCTGATTGAAAAGTTCTAGTGACAAAACAACAGTATGATTTCGTTACATGCATATTTTATGCTGATTTCGTTATACTTTTATATTATAACTTATAAGGTCCGGAATTTTGACTGAAAATGACTTTCTAAATGTCGTTTACCCGAGAAGACGTTTCTGTCTTTCTTTGTAACCACCACATAACAACGTGTGATTGCTGTTTTCATCTGTGACAGAAATATCTCCAGAGACTTCTCCACGAGCACTTCCAACAGAATATTCCTGGAGGTGCCTTTGCTGGTGCCTTTCCATCCAAAGCAAAACATTTGGAGTATTATTTAGTTTCTGACAGTGCGCTAAATTTGCGTTCAGGGAATTCGACGGTATGTCTGTTAGCTCAAAGGCAGAGTCTTCATTATATGAATCATCATCTGCCATATTTTCGATCACAGGATTGAAACAATAATTTGCGGATTCAAACGTTTCGTTGTGAGCAAATTGAGGAATCTCAATTTGATTCTTTTCATCTTCAACATGCAAACCACATTCAGTTGTTTCTTTAAAATTCTAAGATAAAAAGAGTTCCACCAGCTTGAGATCATGCAGTATGATGCACATGCACGACCTTTTGTGGTAGTTCTTTTGCTTACTCTTCCAGCCTTTTTGTCTTTATGTACAGCTATTTAAACAATTGTGCTTGCTTTCTTATTCACGGAAAGATCATTGGTTTGTTTTTACATGCATATTTTCTTAACAATTAATTCTACCATCTTGGAATGCACCCATTCAAATAATATAATATCATGCATAGTAGTTAATTTGCAAACCTTTAAAATACGTTCAGAAATCCAAGGTAGTGCTTTCTTGAGCGATTCAAATGATGCAGTCAAAAGTTTAGTTAGAGGTAGAACATTTAGCATCAACTGTGCGCTGTAAAATAGAGCAACTCAGGTTAAATACTTTCCAACACATGCAGAGAGGTAGATCATGAAAACTGTTTGAAAGGTAACGTCACTAACAGCCGCCATACCACATTACATAAAGGCAACTAGGCAAGGCTGTAAGTAACCGGTCAACAGCAATTGTTAAGCCTGTCATTGTCTTCATTTGACAACCTGACATATGTCAAGAATAAGAATACTATTTTACCAACCTAAACGAGTTCAAAGATGGAAATCCAAGTAGGAATTTCTCGTTCTAAACACGAAACACCACAATACATATGTCAGCATTAAGAAGAAGGGCGTACCCTATACCTATAGAGAAGCTCTTAGTAACTATACTTACTAACGCGGAAATGATTAATCCTTTTTGTGAAAAAAAAATATTGTAGGACTATTCAGTGAAAATTCTGTAGATTCACTTTATTTGTTTCAGTATCCTGACTCACTTTTCATAGAAAACATTTTAGTGCCCTAAACTTGTCCTTGCGTTACCAAAAAACCTACTACTGAATTGGGAAAAAACTCACCTCAGAGCATTCTTCAGCCAACCAGTTACGTCTGGCCCAGTCTTGTTTGGTAAACACTTGACTGGAATCTCTTGTTACTTCACAGAGTCGCCTTATGAGAGATGCTGTATGCTTTACTGACTGGGAATAAAAAACATCGACGACAAAATGCGGAAACGACTGCTGTATTGACATTAGACATCCATGAAATTTAGCCAAATTCAATTGAACATTTCCAACAAAGGAATATCTGTAAGTTACAAATGAATTGGAATGTGAAGCTAGATATAGAAGCAAAATAATAAAATATATTGTAGAAAACGTTCAATCGAAACAACAAATATCGTATTCACCCCGAGTTTCTGTTTCCTTCGCAAACAAGGATAATACTGCACATTTGACATTTAAAGGATGTGGAAAGAACGAGGTCAACAATACTCATATATCCATCTTCACTACCAAAGTTGATCACATTTTCAATAATCACACTTGCATGTTGATCCAGCAGAAGATCAGGCTGTCGACACATCTTAGATGAAGTAGTCAATGCATTTCTTAAGATTCTCTCATATTCTCTCTCAATAATAACAATTCCACATCTTTGCTCTAAATGCCGAAGTAAGTCAATATTCTTCGTAATTTTAGATGACCCAATAAGAGTGTATATAGCTTGTTTTGCTGTCTCGGGATCATATACCGGTGATTCTGAAAACAGAAATATTAAAAATCAGCCATATTTTTCCGGCAACGAATCTTCTTCAGTAGTGTGACCGATCAATCTTCTAATAATTACCTTCAGTATTGTATTCTCTGCGTTCCTGTCCACCCCCACTCGATACACCTTTGAAGCAGATGATGTTATTGACTTTAACTAATTTTCCAAGCAACATTTTGTTTAGCCATTCCTGCTTATCTTCATAAAGGATGAACGAAACAAACAAAGACCAAGGGAAGTTATCAGGGATGTCAGAAGGATCACAAATAACAACATGGGCGTTGTTTATTACTGGGCATATCTGACTTCGTCTTTCCATGGTTGTTATTTTTAAACCTTGTAGTTTCCGGAGTTGATTCATCAGGCATGTTGATGTGTTTTCGAAACCTTTGAAGATCACCACCAAAATTTTGTAGTTTAAAGACATCAGTGAAGGTTTGGGTTGCCACGTCTGCACGTAGTTATACGTTGCGATGATTTTTGGATGAAATGCCTTTGCTTCAATCATATTCTGTTCTGCTTTCATTAAGTTGCTTTTGATTCTATCCAAGGAGTATTCAAACTCTTGGTTGCGCTGAATGGCCACATTTTTGACATAATCTACAAAAATACAACAATTCACCAGTGACTTACAACTATCTCTCTACGGAAAAGACTAAAGCACATGTGTTCAAGTATTCAAATCTTAAGAGGTGAAGGTAAGGCAAATCATCAAAATTAATAAAACTTTGGAAAGGGGGACAATTGTAAAGGGGGACTGCTTTGTGCATTCATAACTTATTAATAAACCTTCTTCAGATCAATATAATTTCTACTTTAACGGTTTAAAGCGAGTAGTCATAGAAACAAAATATTGGCGAATACTATAGTCGAGATTTGAACATTCTGGTTTCATCTATCAGAGTTAACCCTTTCAAATCTTGCACGTGTGCATGAGTGAGTGTTTGGAGAAAACATATAAAGCTGGATACCTCGGGCCACCGTTATCCCACATTCCTTAACGAGTTCAGCAGTTGTTACTAAAGTATGAAGACCAAGCAACATCTCATACTTCTTGCTATCACAAGCCTGATCGCTTTGAATTAGATCCGATTTATTCTTTTCTTCTTGTTTCAAGGCAAATCT